CTTAATTATATTAGAGCTTAAAAAAATATAGCAGATAGATTTTAATATTAAGAATAATTAAAATAATTAATTATCTGATTTTTAACTATATTATAATCAGATATAAAAATTTTCTTAATCTGATTATAATCTAGCAATTAGATATAAAAATTTTAATTAATCTAATCTGACCTGGCTGTTAGCCACTCTAATATTAATAAGATTAAATATCTAACTTAATATTAATAGCTTATAACTAGATAAGAAAAATTATAAAATATTTAGAATAATAATTAAAAAATTAATATTTTTAATATATAGAATATAATTAGATATTATATTCTTAATTAATTAATTATTTTAATATTTAATTAATCTAAGCCAGATTTATTTATCTATTATAAAATATATTTTAAGATATCTTAAGATTATAAAAAGCTATAAAATAATATTTCTTATTAAGAAAAATAAGAAGAAAATCTTTATTATATATATTAATTTAGTATATATTAATATAAGATTAAAAAGATTAATTACTAAATATATAATAATAATTAATAATTTATTTATTTATTAAATTAATAAAAAATAAATTATTATTACTCAGAGCTTTATTAAAATAAAGTATATTATTATTATTAAGATAATTAAATAAATAGTCTGATATAAATATTTTTTATATATAATTAAAAAAATACTATATATTAAAATATCTTTATTATATTATATAAAAATAATTAGAAAGTTATTAAAATTATAAAAAATCTAATAAATTATTAATAAATAAAATATATTTTTATCTAATATTATACTATTTATAATTATACTATAAATAAAAAGATTTAGATTATCTATCTATTTACAGAGAATATAATAATAAATAAATAAATTAAAATAATTATATAAATTAATTAGATATATTTTATTAAAGATTTAGAACTTAATTAAATAAATAAAAAAATTAATTTTAATATATTAATATATCTAAATTTTTTAAATATTTAATATATCTTTAATTTATACTTGTTTTAATTATTTTAATTTTAAAAGATTAATTATATTTTAAATAAAAAAAAATAATATAATATAATTAAATTTATAAATAAAAGATTATTTTACTTCAGTTTATTAAAAATAAAATATAATTATTTTATTCTAATTAAGTAAGTATATAAACTAGTAAATTCTTAAAAAGAATCTACTAGTAATTACTAGATAGAAATCTCTAAGTACTTAAAATATTAATATTATAATACTAAGAAGTACTTATTCTATCTATTACTAATATTCTATATCTGCGCCTTAGGCTGTGTACAAGTAAAGTGTCCGGAAGCCCCTACACCCCTGAGGATCCACTTCACAATCTAACTTGACACTGCTTCTTGCTTATTAAACAGTCTGGAGTATAAGAAAACACAAAAAATATATATATTCGAAATAATCTCCGAGTAAGTCTCAATTACTCTGAGAATAAATATAAAAAAAGATAATTAGTAATTGTAAGACATCAACCTAGGGTAGTTGTTGCCACTGAGCCAAAAGACTAACATCATTACCCGCAGTTAGTACCTGCGGACCCCTAGAATCCCATTATATACTCATGTACACTCGGGAGGAGGCGGGCTTCACCCTTGTAAGTATGCAGACCCCGCGGATATCATATCTTACGGCCGATCTCGAACGGTTGGAACCTCGGAATATCAATGGAGCGATTTTTTGCCGACTTCGTTTTTGTATGGCGTCACTATATTGATGATCCTTTGACATGGAGATACAGTTCCGCGGTTTTCAGGGTACTAGGTATAGCGTTTCTGCGTCTTGCAGCTTGGGATTTCGAACTGTCTCCTACTAACAACGCTGAGCTTCCAATCTCCTTCTCGTCGATTCCTTCTTGGACTTATCTCAAAACGGACACATATTGATTCCATGGATTTCTCATTGTCCTACAAGAAAGCGTTGAATCCGATGCTATGATACACGGAGCTCTCAAGAAAGCGAAACCATATATTGACAAATATGGTGGGCATCGCCAAATCTGCTTAATTCTTATCTCACCACATCATGTCACTTTTGTGGAGGTTTCTCATGGTGTTGCTTTGGCCTCCAAGAGTATTTGTACTACTCAACAGATTTTTGGCAGTCAAATGCTCACCTGGATTCCGCGCTCTGACCCGGATTATAACATCAGACTGCTGGAAAAAGCCTTTGCTTGACAGAGAAAGGTGGAAACAGAACATTCCGCCCGAGATCTTTCACAAGATCTTACATGACTTGGAACCTCGAGATACAGTAGCATTTTCGCAAGCTTCCAATCACAAGGCTGGAAAAAGAAGGGGGGTGATAGTGCTCACGGCTTATCCAACCCGCATAGATCTTCTTACTGTGTTAGTATATGCAACAGGATGATAGAATCACAAGTGGCTCCAATTATTGATCAGCTATAGCCGCTTTGATTCAAAGTGGGGATAACCACACAGCCTTCAGATGCGGAAACACTATTACGGCATTCACTAGACTGGACAGAACGAGTGAAATCTCTGGATGTCTTGTTTCTCGCTGGGGTTGCTTTAACTTTGGTGTCTATTATAGAATTTTTATAATAAGATAGTCCTATCTATTTTTGAGTGGGAGAAATATCCGTGCGCTGTTTTATTCTGTTAAACATTATCTGATTTCTTTGTCTAGTATTATCATGCTAATACTAGTGTGATGGATGATTGGCTCTACATGATACAGCCAAGGCCTGCAATCATCATCATCACTTGAGAGGCGGCGGTTTGATATGTTCTGTACAACACTGTTGATAGGCCAGGAACAATACTACAGCCTATTAACACAGCACAGATACAGGAATAAGGCTGAGAGCCATAAGATCTGAACAAGAGAGATAGCTTGCATCATCAGGGAGAGAGAGAGGAAGATAGTATTTGGAGCAATAATAAAATATGCGACGTCCAATCGTCTCCCCAATCCACGGGACCTTGAGGAAAGGGTGTCAAGTCTTCTCAGCTATCAATGTCAGATGTAATTGTCCAAGCACAAGCATGAAGAGAGGCTGGCCCCTTGAAACCACTGATGCTAGGATCAAATCGAACGCACTAAGAATGGCAGATAAGTGCCTTGTTGTATTAGTGCATTCATGAACTGCAGCTCTTTCTATAGAAAATCCCCAATCAGATAGAACTTTTATCTATTTTCCTATCTTCCTGTTAGTACCATGATTCGTCCTCTCTTGTGTTCATTCCATCTGGAAAATGCCGAACTACAGTAAGAGTCATTACCAATCCTTACTACTTGCATTAATCCTAACTTTGCATAGTTTCATAAAGATGTACGCAGCTATCTCTCAGAACTTGAGTGACTCTGTCTTGCAGCTGGAGACTATGTCAGTCATAATTCTTGTATACAGCCAAACTGTATGCTAACACAAAGCCTCTACAAGGAGACTGTGCATGAGTTAGGGGAAATTCTAGATTCATCAGACCAGATCACTTCACTGCATTCAGCTCTAACTAGAAGGTTTCAAAGGCAAAACCAGCAGGACAAGTCGTCGTCTGAACGCTATAGGTTTTTTTTCAACTTTCAAATCCCCCAATGGAAATCAGTTAAACGTTGCTCAAGTAAAGGATCTTGTCACTATTACGAGCAAAGGGAAGTTACATGAGCAAGATCTGAAGGTGCTGACGATATACTCAGTGATATGGGCCGAGGAACCTAGGAAATTCTGGGATGGAGAAAAACATAATAATAGTATTCTTTGGCGTTGATTCCATGACTTGGAAAGAATGCGAAAAAATAGAACCAACCAGGAGGAAGGTTTTGCTAGTGACATTCTCCCGAGAAATTGAAGAGGAGCAGCATCGTGAAATTATCACACAATCAAGGAGGAAGAGGTCTAAAAAGACTGAAAGTCATGTCCAGCATCGGGAAGGGATGTATCTTACTTCCTCTGTGCAAAAGACCCACAGCTTGAGGGCACCGGAAAAACTAGTTTATCAGATTTTATATTATTAGATCTTGTTTTTTATTTAAAAATTATATTTAAATTCTTTAATTAGAATCTCTAGTAATTTCAAAAATAATATTAGTTAATTAATATTTAGGACCAGGCCCTGCCCATGATTTAAACAGAGAGTTACTCTATAATTAAAGTTGGTAAGGTGGATAGTATAATTCAGAAGCAACTAGAGTAGTTGGTATATATTTAATAAGCAATTAGTAAATACACAGAAATATATATAAAGCACTTATATAATGCCCTCACAAAAGCAGCGGCACCTATATCAGGCAAGTGGACAGGACTTACCACAAAACATTTCAGTAATAGAACTACTACTACTACTACTAGTAGTGTCTAGTCTATCATGTAGACTTACAATCTACATACATCATCATTCATACACAATTGGATTCCGCGTGTACCATCATCTGAAAATCTACCGAACAATAACATAACTCCGAGGGCAGTCCAGTCCATCCATCCGTGCGCATCACGACTCCAGGGTCAGCCCTGGACCAAATGGTCAGAAAAGAAAAAAAGAAAAACCACATTATAGGGGCGTATATCAGGTATCCAGGGGAAATAAGAAACGGCATAGATAAAGAGTGACTCGAACCCAAGGCTTCTCTCGATCTCCAGGACCTCCGCGGCCAGTCCTCCCCGTCGAGGCACATCACTTGCAACCAAAAACACCATTAGTAAATAAAATAGGCCGGTCAATACGATACATCAAGAATCACCATGGTTAAAATGTGCTGATCGAAACGCGCAGGGGAGAATGGACCAAAGCCTGAACTCGGATGGAATCGAGGGTAGGGGGCAGATTTAATTTGTGAACAGAAAAGAAGCAGTTTGGCTGCCTTTCCAAGAGGTCATCCAGTACCATGAAAGTCGGAGAGTGGCGGTGAAGGTGTGAGGGATGTGTTCATGGCTGAATCGTCCACCAATTCAAGAGAGAAGTGCGTTGGCCGAAATGGCATTCAATCACTGCTGTTTGCTCCCAAAGCAATGATCGGAATGTCTAGAAGAAGTAGGGGATTGAGGCACTGCGGATATGGTTAGCGATGTGAATGAACAGGCTGGCACGCCGGGACTTACGCAAGCGCAAAGGCAGCTGTAACACCGACAAGAGCACGGTTCCGCACTCGTTCCTGCTTGAGCTTCTCCTCCAAGACCTTGGCCCTCTTCACACGAAGTGTCTTGGTCTCCTCGTCTTCCTCCTCCTCATCGTCGCTGAGCACATCCGCATTGCGTTTCGTGGCCGCCTTAGCGGATGATGGCGCTCCCGCCTCCGTCTGCGCCTTGACGGCTTCCTGCACCATCGCCTTGGCCTGGGCAATCATCTCTTCGGTCTCGGCCGCAGACGGCGCCTCGGGAAGGCTGATAGGCATCTCGACAGACACCGTGGTCTGGATGGTCTTGGCATCATCGGCCGATTTGCCATTGGTCTCAACGTCAACCTTGACCTTCTCCTCCACTTCCTCGGTTTCCTCAGTCTCCTCGGGCTTCTCTACAATGGGAGCTGTCTTCCGCATCCTAATTGTCGATGGCGTTCTGGGAGCGAAAATCGTCTTCTCTTCACCATCCACCTCCACGCTCTGATGAATGGTGCCCGTGACCGATTCCGTCTCTGCCGTCTCCGCCGTCAGATCGAGAGAGCTTTGGAGGCTTGCGTTGGCTAGGCTTGTCGCGGCAGCGTTGGCCTCCTTCATGGCTCTGGTTTGCCGGGGCTTGCGCGGCGAGCTGGGCTTCTTGCTAGGCGAGGCGGACCGTCCCCTTCTCAGACGAGTCGACGAGGCAGTGAGTATGGCAGGGGCTTCGATTGGCGGCAGGTCGAATCGAGGAGGCGGGGTGATCTGCTTCTTCGCAGATGATGGGCTCTGGATGATGTCGGTGGGGTCAAGCAGCGCTCTAACCCAGTCGTACATGAGGTATTCCTTCGCAAGCTCGAGGGCTATGAGGCGAATCAGAACCTCGTTCACCGTTGACACGGAATGGATGGCGCTTACCGAGCAGAGGTGAAATCCAGACATTTCCAGCAATCTCGTCTTCGCTGGTCTCCGTGCGGGTCTTGAGGTATTCCCGTTCGGCCCGCTCTTCATCCAGCTTCGCCCAGGGGAAGGCAATCTTGAACATGCCAGTCGCACTAACAAAACCATCCTTGCTGCGTCGCTATAAAAACGGAGGTTACACGTCAATTCACCATCCTAGCCGAGCCCACCTCTTCCGGAACCAGGGCTTTCAAGACGCGACTTACCATCAAAAAGTAGGTTTCAGGATGTTGCTGAGGCACGTGTGAGGGGAAAATCTCCGAGCCCTTGAGATCCCTGGGCAGCGGTGCGCGCAAGTGAGCATACTCGAAGGGACCGAGGTTCTCCGGCTTGGTCGCATTCGAGGTGCCAATCTGAGTGGGTTTCACGGCGAGGTTGGTCTTCCCCAGACGACGGCGCGCAAGCAGTTCATCGTCTGAGGTTACAGAGGCATCAGATTAGCCTTTGATCTAGGGGCTAGCCGGTTACGATCGAGCCCGAGCCCGAGCCCGGGCGCTAGATGGGATCCCAACTTACAAGCAGGAGCCGAGTCGGCGAGGACGTGGGGGTTGTTTTTCTTCGGCAGAGAGCGCACCATGATGAATTACAGGCTCCCAGGAAGCGTCAATCGAGGAGCGGGGGGTAATAGTTCGAGGGTGGTGATGGAACGACGATGCGACGACGGCCACGTTGCAGGCGCGTCTGTCGGCGAGCAGCGCTCTCGGTGGGAAGTCGCGAAGACAAAGGCGTCAGTCACCACGAAGGGGAGCACAGGGACAGCACAAGCACCACGATGAGATCGTGGCGAGTAATGGACCGGTCGAGCTGAGGCAGCGCCGCGACAGGCCAGATGAGATGAGAATGGGCGCAGGTCGATAAGCGGTGCAGGCAAGCAGGCAGGCAGGCAGGCAGGCAGGCAAGTAGGGGAGGAAAATAATCAAGGACTTGAAAGTGAAACGGGCGGGCGCTTGCTCCCACCTCCCGTTCCGTGACCGTACCACTCCCCCCACGGTATCGCGCTACGGTGGCACCACCGCCTGTTACGCCAATCCCAGCCTCGACCGCCCCGGGGCGCTAACCCAACCAGGCCGTATCTGCGCCGCCAGCCCATCCCCCGGTATCGGGTGTGACGCGTATTGTGCTGGCTGGTATTGCTGCCTTGGGGCCTCACGCGGCGGTTGTCCCCGTGACGCGCCGCCATAATAATAATACTCAGTCTTGCGCTCGTCCGCGGTCGACCTTGCTCTGCTCCAGCCCGAACCACGGTTGCTGCTCAGTGAGAGCTTTGTTGACACGGTCCCCAGTCTTGGGCCGCTGCAGATGTGCAGGCAATGCAGTCAGGCACTGTTTTGCATGCTCTGGGCCTGAGTGAAACGGTCTATCTGTTGCGAAGGATGAAACAACCCACTAGATCCAGTCGGGTCCTTTCCTACGGCTTCCCATCACAATTGACCGCGGAAATACACTCCATCGATATTCTACAGACTCAAACGGTCCGCGGATGGCCATGCATGCGCGAATGCGGTCATTGTCCTATCTGGCCTTGAGAACCAAGATGGGTCAAGACTTAAGGATGACGCATGGGAATCAATGATATCGAGAACCACGACGCATTGGCTGATGAGGGAGGGAGTGACCGCGAAACCATTGTCCCCCGTGCAGGCAGAGAGAAAAGGACATGGTCTATTGAGGACTCGATATGCGTGGATGACCCGGCACGGTTCGGCACTTCCCCTTCCCATGAGTTCAGTCGAGAGTGTAGCCTCCCCTCCGCATTTTGAGCAGCAAGAAGCGGAAATCCACCATACTGTGTAATCTTCACCTCTCCGGGGTCCCGGTAATCCAGGCCATTAATATCATACCTAGCATATGGACTCACCGGGGGCTTCCTGTCCGGTAGAGCGGATCAGTCTCATAGCGCCTCATCTCTTGCAGCTCCATAAGTAAGGCGAGGTGGACCTGCGGTCTGGTATAGCGTGGGAGTCCGTTGCAGGTTGCAGGTTGCAGGTTGCCCGAACCATCCATCTCTCCAGGCTGAAAAGAAAAGCCGACCGGCCGCAGCAAGAACGGCGATGACAGCCTCTAAATATAACCATTATTGCGTGGCCTCTGGCTGGTACTCCGTCCGGATCCCCTTAATATTCAGAGGACAACAATGCCAATAACAATAATAATAATAATAATCATCGCTGGGCAGGCGATGGTCTGGCCCATCTGATCCTCCACCGCCTTTCCCCCCACTTGTACTTTAGTCGACTGCTGCCACTCCAAAACATCCCCAAACAATTCTCTCCTCAGCCATTTCCCTCGATTCCAACCTTTCTGTGCGTGCTGCTCTGCATTCCCCCGGCTCTCCTGTCCAAGACTAACCCCATCACTAGCCCCTTCGACCCTGTTTGCGAGGAGCATATCTGCCTCTCCTCCGCCTCCCCCTACTACACTAGCTGTCCACTACCCCACCACGAACCAAAACAACCACCATGCCCGAACACGAGGACGACCTCGTCGCCTCTCAGACCGAGGGATTCAAGGTCGGCGAGAAGAAGACCATTGAGGAGTACCAGAATCTCGGTATGTGGACATCGCCGCCTGTCACCCACTGGCATTCCAGCCCCCCTCACGGAGGGTGGCCCGCCTCGTGGCCATTGTTGCCCCTTGCTTGCTTGCCAGCTTTCCCCCCCCCCCCCCCCCCCAATGCAGAGGAGAGCCGTCAAACACCACCCCAGCGAGTAGATACTATACGCGGGGAGGTTTCTCGCGCTGCAAGATTGATTGGCCCCCTCTTCTTCTCTCCTCTCCTCTCCTCTCCTGCATATCTGCACCCCTATTCTAACGCAATCCCCTGCAGACAAGAACGATGAGTCCCTGAACCGCTGGAAGGCCTCCCTGGGTCTGAACACCGGCAACACGGTCGGCGACCCCAACGACCCCAGAAAGTGCATCATCAAGTCCCTTGCCCTGGAGGTCGCGGGTCGCGACGATGTTGTCATTGAGCTGTCCGCCCCCGGTGCCGTCGACACCCTCAAGGAGAAGCCCTTCAAGATCAAGGAGGGCTCCACCTTCCACATCAAGGTCGTCTTCCAGGTGCACCACGAGGTGCTGAGCGGTCTCAAGTACCTGCAGGTTGTGAAGCGTCACGGTATCAGAGTCAGCAAGGACGAGGAGATGCTGGTACGTAACCCTCACCCTGACCCTAAATACACACCCTCGCCTCGAACATACCATTAACAAATCCCAGGGAAGTTACGCCCCCAACACCACCGACAAGCCCTTCTACGAGAAGAAGTGTAAGCACCCCTCCTTCCTTCTCCCTCTCCCCACCCAATACACTAACAATCCCCAGTCAACGCCGAGGAAGCCCCCTCCGGCATGATGGCCCGGGGCCACTACAACGCCGTGTCCAAGTTCCTCGACGACGACCAACACACCCATCTGCAATTCGAGTGGTCCTTCGACATCTCCAAGGACTGGTAGATGTGATACGACGCGATGCGATGCGATCCAATGCGCTGTGAATATCCTCTCTCTGTCTCTGTCTCTGTCTTTGTCTTAGTCCCTATCTCTAGCTATCTGTGTCTGTCTGTCTGTCTGTCTCTCTGTGTGTCTTTGGCTGGCCTCCCTCATATATGAACACTATGAACACTATTATCATTACCCATCATCTTTATCATCCCTGAGCAAGCAGCATATATTATCCCTTCGCGGGCTTTTTACCTACTTTATTATCATAAGCGTTTGGATGCGGATGCGGATTTACCTTCCTAAGTACCTTCTTTTCTTTCTCTTCATTCCGACACTTTGCGTTCCTTGTTTGTCTGTCTGTCTGTCTGTCTGTCTGCCTGCGCTGCTACATAGGGCTTCTTGTTCTGCTTGATAAATCGATTGATTGATTGATTGTTGGGATTTGTTTGGATTGGTTTGGTGGTGGGCCACTTAACCTGACCTCACCCGATCTGATCTATGGAGTACTTAACCTACGATAAAAAAAGATGGACAATGCACAAGTTCAATTACATCTGGTTCTGAATCTGGTTCTGGCTCTGTTTATCCGTAGGGGTATATCTAATGATCAGATACGGGATATTCTGATTTCTCAAAAGTCTATCATCTCTTACATCGCACCGGGGGAAGTCGTCTATAGATGTTATGATATTTACCAAACTCCCAAAAGAAAAGACGAAAAAAAAAACAAAGAAAAGGGGAAAGAAAAAAAAAGATTCTCATGGGCAGTATAAAAAGGGGGTAGGGGTCAGGGTACCAAGACACAGAAAGATAAGAAAAGAAAAGAAAAGAAAAGAAAAGGGTATCACAGAAAGTAATCAATCACCGGACTCTGGCCATCCTTATTCTGCTGGGCCTGCTGTTCACCGCGATGGATATCGTTCTCGGGAGCGGCGTCAAAGATATTGAAATACCGCTCGCCGGTATCACTGACCTCGAGGACACTGGCCAGATTGCCGCACCGATAGCAGTAGTTGGGGGCACTCCAGACCGTACTGAGCCGGTCATCATAGAGCACCTGGTAGCCCTCCTGGCACAGCTGGTGGGCGCGCAGGATATGCGACATGCTGTTGACCTCGAGGAACTTGCGCACGACCTGGGCGCCGAAGGTGTAGCCGGCGCCGCGGGGCGAGAGGGAGAACTCGTCGCGCTCGGTGTCCGGGTCGGACCAGACCAGATCGGCCATGGGGCCCTCGTGGGGGATTTCGCGGAAGCGGTCGATGATCTTGATCTGGTCGATGGAGTGGATGGAAGGGGAGAGGCCGCCGTGCACGCAGAAGATCTGGTCGTTGATGACCACGCTCAGCGTGAGGAAGTCGAACATGTCCGTGAAGTAGTGCCAGACGTTGGCGTTGCCGTATTTGCGCGCGCACTCGGTGTAGAATCCGTACGACTGCGTCACGCCGCGCGACTCGTGGTTGCCGCGGATGAGGTGCACGCGTTGCGGGTATCGCAGTTTCAGGCACACCAGGAGCGAGATCGTCTCGACGCTGAAGAGTCCTCGATCTACGTAGTCGCCTGTTTGTTTCGAAGCACATCCGTCAGTATTCGGCCACAGTCGGGTCGGCGCGTTTCCTCCATTTTCACCACCACCGCCGTCGATAGAGTGTCGTCATGCGAGCGACTCACCCAGGAATAGGTAGTTCGTATTCGGACAAAACCCCCCGATCTTAAAGATTTCGAGCATATCGAAGAATTGACCGTGGATATCTCCGACGACAGTCACGGGGGCCGCAATGTGGACGACATTGCTCTCCTTCATCAACAGCTCCTTGGCTTTGGCGCATATAGCTTCGATTACCGAGTCCGCCAGCAACTCTTTCCGGTAGAGTCTCTCAATGCACTCGTCGAGGTCGATACTAGCTGACCCAATAATGAGTTTCCGCGCGGGACACGAAAGGGGCGGGGCAGGGGGGGGGGGGGTTGGGATGGGATCCCCAGAAGAGAGGCAGGGCAGGACAGGACAGGACGGGACGGGACTTACCCGGTAGTCCAGGCATCTCGGATCAGACGAAATCTATATGTTTCTAAAAAGCGGTCGTATATTCGTATACTGTGCAAGGCACGGTTGAAATCAATGGCGGGTGGGGTGGTTCACCCGGAAATCGTGTCCACAAGCTCGAAAAGAATCAACAATAGACAGACAGAGAGAGTGAATGGAGGGCGAACAGGAGGCGGGTCGTCTCGAGAAGGGATATGTTTGTCTGAAATGTTCCTGCAGTAGCTCGCATCATGGCCGACGGAGAGTCCGCAGGAGAACAGGGCGGGCGCGTCTCGGGGAGACCTGTGCGGGATGACGAGGTCTGGACGCGGGGAGGGTGAAGTTTGGCGAGTCGATCGGAGGGGTTGCGCAGGGCTTATTCCATGGTCGTAGCAGGATCTGGCCTTCAGGTGGGGATGTGTTGGAACCAAGCAAAGCAGGAGGAGAAGCGAGGCCGGAAAGCTGGAGAGCCCGTCGGTCGCTCCCCGTTCTGCCGGCGGGCACCGCCTGCGTGTGTGTTCCCCGACGCGATGGACCGAGTAAGTAGTTACTCTCTACTCTGCTCTGTCCCTTGGAGTGATGAACACGAATGTGACTGTCTTTTTCATCTCGTCGAACTAAAAGGCCCACTGGCTCTTATCCCAGAAGTCCAGCGGCTAGCAGCTACTGATCACTATCCAAACTCAATCACCTAAAGTATACAACTAAAAGACTTTATAAATGAACTGCTCTCTGCTCGCGCCGATGCCGCATACAAATTACTCACCACGCCCATCCTGATCCTATGCGTTAGAGACACATTAAAAGAGCTTAGACAGGATCTAGGACCCGACCGACTCTTCAAACTTGATCATCGGTAGGTCGGTAACCGCCGAACGCAGCAATTCAAGGTGAGTCGGGACCCAGTCCTTGTAAAGGGCCATAACGAACTTATACGGTCTCCACCTGTCCTCCCTGGATAGCAAGTCAAACGACTTGAGCAGCTCACGATGATATGTTGTTCTTCCGTCTTCAATCACCGGATAATGGACAAAGATTTGCACTCGGAGGTGATCGTGAGAAATCGAAAAGCCTAGAGGCCTTCGATGCAATTCATCCTGACGCCCAGCCAGTTTGAAAAGCTCAACCACGCCTCTGAGTGCACGAGTCATGCTGTGGGCATTCTTTCGGCTTGCTATCTCCAGACTTCCGGTACTGGACCTCAGCTCTGCGGTAAAGAACGGGAAAAGCATATCATCGGTGCCCTTGAAGGCAGATGTCTTGTTAAATTCACCCAGGAAGGGCTCAAGCTTGTCGAACTGCTCGGAGGTAAACGCACAACTCCAAAGTTTAAATCCAAGTGCATAATCCGGCTGCGGTGTTGGGAGTACGTATCGCAAAGCTCGTGGAGTTTGTCGTGCTCGTGGTTTCCTCGGGTCCTTGGCGTCCAGGGAAGTCGATCCATCCCAAGGCTCATCCATACTCTCTACCAAGCCCACCAAGCCCAGCCGGCCGCTGCAAACCTCCAGCTCGGCCGAAGGAACAATCAATTGCGCAATCATGCGAGTAAGGGCGGTTTCGTTTTTCTCTGGCAGTCCATCTTCCAAATACTCCAAAGCATCATCGTCGAAAGCTGTGCCCGCGGGTGTCATGCATTCTTTTTCTAAAAGCTTCCGACAGGAATCTTCATGGCCACTTGCAATCCCGTCCTTGTGCCTTGTCATATAACCGCCCTTAGTCTTGAGGTATTTCCCATAAAATGGCCTATCATAGGCCCAAGTCACGGTTCCTTGTGTATCCGTTTTGGTTGGGTACGAGTTGGGATGGATTCCTGGAGATTCTAATTCATCCAGCTGGCCCGTAGATCTCAATCCGAAGAGCTCTCTGGGCCACTGCTGATTGTTTACCCAGTAATCGACGGAGGCGTTCTTTCCTGTATGTGGCTGGTTTTCAAGCTGCTAGAATGGGGTCAGCCTCTGCTTCCCGATTGGAGAGACAGACATACCTCTTGATCAATCTTCTTATCCAAGTTAGGGATGTGTGGCGGTTGCATCTCTCTAGACGGGCCTTCTAGGTGCTGAGACGTTGCTGGTGCTGGCGATGGTGCGGCTCGCTTCTTAGATGGCAATGTTGCCCCTGCCGCTCGCTTCCGTTTAGAACTTGATGGCTGCTCCTGAGATGAACAAAATCAGTCAGTCCTCCTCACAGACTTGAATTGGGCAGCGTCTTTCAATTTCAACCATACATGGCTCTGTTGCTTAACTGCAGAAGACGGCTGCTCCTTTGAGTCGGTGACTCGTTGTGCTTTCTCATGGAGACGTGCACTTCGCCGGCAGCCCTGCTGGTTTTGTTCCATGCGGAATGGGAAGGAGGTCTTGTGAAATTTCCTGGCTGGGATGGTGTAACTGAGATATGTTTGTGTTTGCTTTGGAAAGGGGCATGGGGCCAAACAAGAGGGCTTATATCCTGCGGGCCGGGACAAAAGAAACACGAATGAAACGAAGTGAATGCGCCAGACCAACAAACACAAAGGCTCCTGTCTCCTTTGTCTTTAACACCACAAAGCTGCAACACAAAGCCGCATCGACCGCAACGAAAGATGTTCAGCACCATAAAGCTACACCACAAAGCTGCATCTTAATGAACCAAAGCAAAAAATGTCCAAAAATATAGCACAATAAGTCTGGCACTCACACCCGCTGCCTCTATCTGCCTTTGAACCACGCGTGTGTGTCTACAAATCTGTCTGGTCCACAATCCCCTCAAACTCGGAACAGCCTAGATAGTTAACCTCTCCTCACAAGCTTTCCGGATAGCCTGCAGCACATCCTTCCCGATGGGCAGCCGCAGCGGGAGCTGCTTTCCCTGGCATCTGCCCGTCCCCTTAACCGCCTCCACCACCACAGTGGCCGCCTTGCGAGGATCGCCTGGCTGGTTCCCGTTTGCAGCCGCACATCCAGCCACTACCAGCCGGTTCAAATCCGGATACTCGGGCAATTGACGAGGCGCCCGGTGCTGGAGATTCCCAGGGGTCATGACCTCCGTGCGAAAGTAGCCGTAAGTCAGCAGCGAGGTGCGGATGCCGAATGCCGCCAGCTCGAGGGCCAGGTTTGGCACAACCACTTCGATCAGACCCTTTCCGCCTGTATAGCATGAGGCACCGGGTGCTCCATAATACACGCCTACCGAGCTGGTGAATAGGACGGTGCCGGATTTCCGGGCACGCATCATTGGCAGGAAGGCCCGGGTGAGGTTGAGGGGGGCGAAGGCATTGGTGCGGGGGGCATTGATGAGGAAGGGCTCGCTGGAGGGGAGGATGTTCAGATCAGAGGCTCCAGAAGGAAAGTGGGTACAGAACTGACTCGAATCCTTCGACTATCCCCGCGTCAATATATCCCGCGTTGTTGATCAGCACGTCCACCTTTCTGTAGATGTCCCAGATCTCGCGCGCCTTGGCATTCAGCTCGTCCTGGGGTGTGGTTCCGTCGAGGTCGAAGACAGCCGCACCGGCATCTTTTAGAGAAGAAGACGGTTGGGACCACTGATTCCGTGGCGGGTTCGGGCTGTGGCGATGACTTGGTCGCCCTGTGATGGAGAAAAGTGAGTCTCGCAGTCAGAGAATGGTGGGGGGTAGCCCACCTCGGCCAGAATGGCGCGGACTAGGGCTTCGCCCATCCCGGAGGAACAGCCGGTGACGAGCCAGGTAAGAGCTTGCGTTTCGTTTGACATGGCTAAAGGTGCAGGCTTTTCTTGAGGAAGAACTTGATAATTTCTGGTAACCGACAGTTTTTTACTTGGTCTCTCTTGAGTTCATGAATGCATGCCCTGTTCCTAGCAGGAGAGGGGCATGGCCAACCTTTTAGACCTTACAGAGGCTAAAATTAGGCCAGATTCATCTACACTTAGTCGATTGACAAGGAGCCGAGAATGGTGTAGCACTATTCCACAGCAGGGCAGAGATTCCTGCCAAGTGGATGATTCGTGCATTTGTTTCTGGCAGATCAGCACGGTAAGCGCTACAGGCAAGCCTCGATGCATGGATGGTCATCCCTGCCCTAACTAGAGATGACCACAGGACACATCCCTGTGCCCAACTCAGTGTTCTTTGTTCTCTATTGCCTCTTATCAGGGACTAGATGCATCCAGGCATCCAATATATTATCTTGCCTGACTTCCCCCCCTCCTCTCATCTGCTCTCCTCCCCGATGTCAACCAACGCACCATGTCCTGGAAACAAGTCTCTCCTACTCGCTACGAGCGTTCCTTCGACTCGCTTGAGCGCTTTTATCACACCGTGGCCGACGCCGGCGCCCCCCTGAACAAAGAACATTACTTGATCTCCTGCACTGCTCAGCTGCAGTCACCGCTGCCTCCCGCCGATGCCGTCCAACAAGCCTGGAAAGCCTTGCGCCTGCAGCACCCACAACTAGCCGCTGAGGCCGAAGCCGAGGCCGAGGCCGGATCTGGCCAACGCTTCGTCTACCAGGTACCAACCTCAGTGGCCGACCTGGACGCCTGGGCGACAGCCACCTTCCACGTTGTGGCCGATCAGACCGCCGACGAGCTGTACGAGAGACTGCCACCGTCGCCGCGCTTCCATCTCTACTATCTGCCACGCACCTCAGCGCTCGTCTTCCGCACGCCGCATTGGCGCATCGATGGCATCGGCCTGCTGCATCTCCAATCGGCCTTCTTCCAACTGCTAGCAGATGGCGCCGCCCCAGTCCTCGATGGCTCCGAAGCCTCCCGTCTATGTCCCGCCCTTGATTCCGCCGTCGCCGCCTCCCTGTCCCCGCCAGCCGCGGATGGGGATGCATCCACCGCAGCAAAGGCAGAACTCCAGCCCATCCTTTCAGCCCTGAAAACAGAAGGGATACTCTCCCTTCCCACCCTCCCCAACATCCTCCCCACCACCTCCAAACGCCTCATGATCTCGCTCTCCCCCGAATCCACCGCCCACATCCTGGCTGCCTGCTCCGCCCGCAACATCACCGTGACCGCCGCCGCCCACGCTGCCCTCGCCCTCGCTGCGCTCCCTTACTCAAAGCCCCCGTCCCCAAACCAGCATCAACAACAACAGCAAACCTACATCGGCTTCAACGCCTTCGACCTCCGAAAATACCTCCCTCCACCATGGAACAGCCCCGCTGCCGCCGTCTCCCCCTACCACGTTGGCCTCCCATTCAGCATCCCCCTCCCCTCCCCCGCCTCCACATCCACATCCACATCCCCATTTACCTACCTCTCCCAAACCTTCACCACCTTCTACCGGCGCAACCTCACCCACCCCTTCCCCCGCAACATCTTCACCTTCCTCCCCGAGTTCATAGCCCAAGCCACGCAGCTCCTAGCCTCCCCGCAACCAGATCCGCTCCAGGCGCCCGCGCACCCGGGACTGAGCTCTCTGGGCCGCGTGAACGAGATCCTCCCGGCCGTGGTGCGGGGAAAAGCGCGGGAGGTGAGGCTGCGCGAGTGGTGGATTGCCATGGAGGTGATTGATCGGTCGGCGTGGATGCATGTGTGGACGTGGGAGGGACGGTTGGTGTTGGCGGGGTGTTGGAATGGGGCGTTTTATGAAGAGGGGTTCGTGCGCGGGTTGTTGGAGGCGTGGAGGGGGTGTTTGGTTAGTAGTTTGGTTTGACGTTTGACTTAAATTAAGTGAGAGAGGGGGAGGGGGGGGGGGCATGTATGTAGAGCAGAGCAGATGAGAGATTTGGGGGATTGGGATTGGGGGGGTGAGGGGTAAGGGGGTCTTGAAGGCATGGTAGGGTAGGGTAGAGTATGGTATGGTATGGTATGTAGGAATTCTTGTGTGAGATGGGGTTATGGGTTAAGTAGGTAGGTAGGTAAGTACTAAGTACTCTGTAGTAGTTTTGCTGATGGTTGAGGGAATATAATATGTTTATGGCTTGTTGTTCTTGTTCTTGTGTGACGTGACGAACCGAAACATACCTAGCAGTACGGAGTAGATAGCTTGATTCTAGTACTAGTAGTTATAGTATCATTCTAGAACTTACCTTATGTAGTATCTAGTTACTGCTAACTACTTTATGGAGATGTTCCCGTGCCCGCTCCCGCTCCCGCTCCCGATCCAGACACCCACCTAGTAGATACTACTTATAGATGTGATGATTGCTGCACACAGTCTGACAGTATATCACGTTCTAATTCCAAAGCTATATATACGCGCAAATATCTAGATGGAAATCGCGCCCGAGATACTAGAGAGCAATATATACGTTTTGATTCGATTCGGTTAGCTAGAGTATTCTCTATACATCGATCATCTTGCCTGAAAGGGGAAAGATGGCTCATGGTATGGTATGGTATGGTATGGTATGGTAAGGGAGAAGATGGTGGTATCACTGCTTCAAAAGCCCGGCGGCTTGACCGCGCTCTTCCGAGTCAGTTTCATATTCCTCATCTGTCTCCTCTTCCTCCTCCTCCTCATCTGTCTCTTCGTCTGTCACCTCTTCGTACTCTGAACCAGTCACTTCTTCCTCTTCCTCGGTTTCCTCTTCGCTCTCGGTCTCGGGCTCGTCCAGCCACTGGTTCAGAGATTTCCCCTTCGACGAAGCGCCTGGACGGGCACGCCCATTGCCCGAGACTGCAGCGCTTGTCTCATGGTCTTTGAGGGCGCGGTCCAGTCGCTCGCCCGCCGTCATGGAGGCCTTGTCGGTGGAAGTGAAGTCCGGCTTGATTTCGTTTTCCCGGAGGCGGGCATCAGGCTCCTGTCCCAGCTCGACCCAGTCGGGGAGGTTCTGGTAGCCCTTCAAGCCGAGCATGCCGGCGTCGGGCCCTACGACCAGGGTGGCGGAGCCGATTAGCAGATCCTTGCGCGTCTCGGACGGGCTGGGAGCGTGCGGGACGGGTTTGGGTGCGAGGAGGAGCAGGTTGGCGAGCTGGGTGGAGGAAGGAGTGCCGAGGAGGGCTTTGTATAGGCGGGCACGATCGCGAAGGTCGTAGGATGTGTCGTATCTAGCGAGCATGAGGATGTAGCGCCATAGCAGGGTGATTCTGTCTTCTGGCTCGTCGGTCTGCGGCGTTTCTTCGTTGGTTGTATTCTCCTTGTCTGCTTCTTCCTGTGCGTCGGCATTGTCGGCCCATTCGTTGACGATTGCCTCGGCTTTGGGCTTCGGGTTGGACTCCGCTGGCTGGGGCGCTTCCTTAGGGGGGTTTCGCAGCAGATGATGCAGGTAGACCTTTGCACCTAGGAGGACGATCTGCTGCTTCACGGCCTCGGACTCGTTCGCAAAGTCTTGTACCAGAATGCGCAGGACATCGGGGGCGATGTTCCTCTCTGGCTCGGCTCCCGCGAACTCTCCGACCAGCCAGACGATGGTGGCCCTAGCGTCTGGGTTCTTCGTCAGTCCCAGATGCTTGACTAGTTGGATGACGGTCTTCTCATGCGAGGCTGGGTCCTGTTGGATAAGGTGTCGAATGACAGTCAACGACTCCGCAACAAGGTTGTCGTCGAGACTCGTGATTTGGCTAAGGAGGACGTGTAGACAGTGATCCGCTGTCATGGGATCGCTCTGTGCGCAGCGCCCAATGGCACGCACGCTTTCCCGCACCAGATCGGGATCTGCGCCCTGCGAGAAATGCCCCAGTTCGCTGAGAATCACGCCCTTCAGATGTAACCCGCAATGGGGAAAGAGTATGGTGAGGACCTCCAGCTTGAGACGCCAGATGTGGCGAGGATCTATCGCGTGAACCAAGAAGTGGGTGACGTATTTTGTAAACGGTTTCGGGTGGCTTAGAGCAACAACAACGATATTGTAGAGCGCAACATGCTGTGTATCCTGCGGGCCCCTAAGCAGTGCGACCAAAGGACCAATAGCGGTATCCAGGTATTCCGGGGTGCCGAGGTAGAGAAAACACCGGACAACACTGACAATCACAGCTGAGTTGCGGTTCTGCAGCAGCAACTTGCAGGTGCGCAGGAAGAACTCAAGATCGGGATCCAACACAGGCACTTCGTACTCGTCGCCATCACCGCTTTCAGTGGCCTTTTCCTCTTCGTAGAAGTCCTTGGATACCACAGCTTTTTTCCCTTTCTCCATCCTGCGGGGAAAGCACTGGCGAGCATAGAAGGTCAGAAGGCGCAACGTCGCAATTTGGCTCCATTCATCCATATCAACGAGCTTCTTGACGAGACTCCGGTAATGCTTGTGAATAAGATCGATCCGGTCCGGGCAGACATCCAGGAACGCAGCAACAGCAGGCCCCAGGACAAAATACTGGCTATCACCCAGCAGAGTCGACAGGTATTCGACCAAATTCGGCAGGGTGGTGGGGTCCAGGCGATAACACTTCGGAATGGCCAATGCTGCCGCTTTGCGAACATGAGGGCTCATATCGCCGCAACCTCTCTTGATTGCCAGCGACACAATCTGGCTGATGACCGGGACACGGATGCCGGACATTGTGCGCAGCGCCATGGCCCGCGCCATGGGATTCTGGTCCGTAAGTGACTTCTGAATTGCATTGATGGACAAGAGCGCGAGGTCCGGTTCCGCCTCCGCATGATGCACCAAGTAGATATAGACCAGCTTCTTCACCTCGAGGTTCGCACTAGCCACGTTTTTGACGACGGCGGAGAAGAACGGGTGGGACGGTTCGGATCGGTACATCAACTGTATTGCGCAAACGCAGTCAGAGTCAGCCAATGCACTGCACGGAGGTTGGGCCAGATCGGGGATTCCGTACCGTTATCACTCGGCGCATGCCATCCAAGATCTCCCGGTCATTGCGGCTATCCAGGAGCTTTTTGATGTGTGCTGTCGTCAGGTTTCGAGACGACAAGCCCGTGCTGGACCCTCTACTCATCGATGCAGACTGGGCTGCTTCCAGGGTGAGCTCTCGAGCTGCTCGCAAGATCAGTCAGTTGGTCTGCGCAGGCACGGAGGACAGACACCTAGACACTGCTAAGCGAGCTCGACCACGTACCTGTTTCCAGCATCGAGGAAATCCTGGATATGGTCTCCATTCTGGCCCCAGGCCCTTCGTACGGGCACGATCACGGACAGGTCCTGGTGGGGGAATGGGGGGGATTTGGGTGGAGAAGAGCAGGAGGAAGTTGGGAGTTCCGCGGCGGGCGGCGAGCGGCGGGCGGGCAGCTGGCATGACGAGGGACGATTGGGTAACGTGAACGTGCTGCTTTTCCGCCGTCTCCTCCGCCCTCCCGTCCATCCCACCAACAACCAACAACCAACTACCAACTACCGAGGGATGGCTTGATGAACCTCAGCCCACTAGCTCGTGGATAGCATAAACCATGTTCCTCTTCGGCCCAGCCTCTGGAAGCTCTACCAACCAATCTCCATTGTCTCGTGGCCATGGGCTCCGTCCGCCGTATACACTCTAGCGACTGGGTGACGGATTTCTTACGACACGTTCTGGAACAAGATGCGCCTTCGACGCTGCTACTTGTATGCTCGTCGAGGGAGCAGTTCCTAGAGCAGCTGTTTGCTGCGAGTCACATGCAGCAAAGGGAGACTGGAGAACGCCATTACATACTTACAAAAACCATCGGATTACTTTCCAAGTCGACTAGGATCAAGCTGGTCTTTTGTCCCACACTGGAGCATCTCCGGGCCTATATGGTGGTGATACAACCACAAGAGCCCCCCCAGCAGGGGTTAGACATGGAGGGAAGGCAAGCAGCACGTCCTATGATGGCGATCCTGGATCCTCTGGCGTTGCACCTCCCTACCTCGGAATTTTCTGCTCAAGGCCTGTCCAGAACGTTGGCCGCTGCGGTGGAGGTATCCTCACGAGCGGGGATGGATCTCGTGCTCTGCGAATGCCGAAACGCCACGGATCCTTCCGACAGGCAACGGGGCGAGGCATTGTGGCACACGCAGGTGCCACTCCTGAACAGTTTCGCACGGATAGGGGAGGAAACCGTCTCTTTTCGGAGAGGAGTGCCTGTGAAAAGAGTTGCACAGCGGTGGTTTGACTTCGAGAACGAGCATCCGGCCACTGACACAATGGACGTCTGAGTGTTTCGCGGTAAAAGAAATAGGAATTGACAGAGCTAAATGCAGCCGAGCGAGTATGTACTACAACTTATCACACCATGTAAACCCCAATAATCAACCGGGTATCCTTGAACCGACCCTTAACTCCCTAAAAACAATGACAAACCCCAGACTTATAGACATTTCTCCATGTCGGTGATGTAAAGCTTGATGTGCGACTCCAGTTTCAGGTACTCATCGTGGGCACCTTGAATCTCGCTCTCAATGTTCTCCTTGAGATCGGCCATCTGGGAAAGGTCAGTCGTGTATGCGAAACAGAGACAGGGGAACCTACCTTCTTCTCGGTCTGTTCGATCCGAATCCTCCTTCTCTCCATGTCGCGCTGCTTATCAGCACGCTCCTCGCGCAGCTGCTTCTGGACCTCCCGGAGCTCCTCCATACGGGTCTGCGCTGTCTCTGCCTTCTCTTGGGCGTTCTTCCGTAGAGCTTCGATCCTTTCGTTCCACCGCGACAGCTGCCGCTGCAGCAGCTTCTCTGTCTGCTCCACCTCCCTCACGTTATTTCCTCGCTCGGAAATCGCCTCCCTGTTCCTGGAAGCCCTCGATTCCTCCTCGTCCTCCTTTTGTATTTCCACAGAGATATCTTCGAGGAGCCGCACACACGCCTGCACATCGTTACTGACGACAGTGAACGTATCCGACGAGGTCTGCAGAGCTCTCGCCCGTCTCTCCATCGCATCAATCTGAGCCTTCTCGCGTAGCAAATTCTCCGAGAGATCAGTCAGGGATGACTGGAGAGAGAGCGGGCTCTCCATGACGTAGGGACGCAGTTTCTCAACCTCCTGTCGGGTACGGACGACCTTCTCCGTCTTCTCCTCCAGCTGTGCCTGCCGCCTCGCCTTGTCGACCTTGACCCGTTCCAGTGTCTCCGCCACGCGCTCCTGGTTCCGTCTCAACTCAAGCAGGCGGGCTTTCAGCTCGTCATTCCGTCTAACCTTGTCCTTCACTTGTGCTTCGTTGGCCTTCATGGTCCGGCGCATCTCCTCGAGACGCACCTCCATCTCTTGATTCTCGGCGTAAAGCGTATCGATGCGCGACTTTGTCTTCTCCGCCTTGTTGAAATGCTCATCAATGACAGGGGTTTGAGACTCGCGGAACCGGACGAAATTGATCAGGTAGGAGAATATCCGGATGAGTCGGTCGTGTGTAGGCTTCGTCAGATCTGTGAACGTAAAATCGTTGACACCGCACTGCATTAACGTATAGAGAGTCAGACATTGCTACTTCTGCTAGGGTCACTCGGAAGATCAGACGTACCTCCCCCATCAACCGTCGTAGACTGGTGAAGAACCCCATCAGATTGCGCGTGTCCGTGGGTACAATGTCGGGGTAGTCGCCAGAGACGTCGTCGGCTGCGGCACGCATGGCTGGCTCTACCGTTTCGCGGGTCATGTTCATGAGGAGTTCCGCAAACCATTCGAACACCATTTGGATCTGTTGCGGATTCGGCTTGATCAGGTCGGCGGCGGTGAACGGGATACCGATGTCGTTGATACATCCTGCGATCTCCTTGTCGGGCTGTTGACAGCATTAGAGCACTGTACCGCGTGGACAGACCAGCATGGCAGTAAACTAACCAGGCGCATCAGCGCATCGTTCTCGTCCTCCTTCTTGCGACCTCTGCCATGGTGTTGCTGCGAGCCATGGAACTGCTGGCTCATGCGTTGACTGTACGACATGGTTTCGCGCAATCCAGAAAGGAATTCTCAAACCGAGCAGCGGGGACCAGGGAGAGAATCAGTGCCGCGGGGTTGTGAGGGGGGCGCTGTCGCTGGGAGGGAGATGTTATGATGATTGTTTACTGCGCAGGACTCGCATGGCAACCGGAAGGGGACTAGTGCGGCCGGAGAGGGGCACGGCAGACAAACAGTGCAAACCTCCTCCACGCTTCCTTTTTCGATGACTCTTTGCGGCGGCATTCGGGATTCACGACAAGTTCCAGCTCAGCTCAGCTCAGCTTAGCTTGCATCTCTCAGCTGCTCGCCCATCCTCGGACACCATGCCAGCTCCCACATCAGGCGCGTCGGACGCCGCCAAGCCGTTCGAGTAAGCCACCCCCCTCAACTTTGTGCGAACTACCTTCTGCCCGCCGCTGCTAATATTCGCCGCCAGCATTGTCGCAACCTACAATGAGCTGCTCCGCTCCGACCCGGACTTGACGATGCCAATTGCGGCCATCGAAGCTTTGGTCCTCCTCCTTACACACTCCCCCTCGTCGACGATATCCGAGACGCTCGACCTGCTTGAGAAATCCACCGCACACTTGAAACAGTCCATCCCCAACCCCATTGGCCTCTCTGCCGGAACCGACCTCTTCCAGCGATACCTCATCACGACTCTGCAGCGACCGGGCCAACTCGGACCGGCGGGCGATTTCAATGCGATCAGGGCGCATCTGTTGTCGAACGGGCGGCTGTTCATCCGACGTGCGAAGGAGAGCCGAGACAAGATCGCGGCGTTTGGAAGAGGGTTCGTCCGGGACGGAAGCACAGTGTTGACGAATGGTGGATCGCGAGTGGTGGCGTCGCTGCTGCAGAAGGCAGCGGACGAGAAGGGAGGCCCGTCGGCCGTGCGCTTCCGAGTGATCTACGTCCTGTCGTCCGCCAAGCACGACGTCGACAGCTCTGGCGAGCCGGAGGGAATGCAAATGGTGCGCGCGCTCCGGGCGAAGGGCGTTCCGGTAGCGACGATCCCGGAGTCTGCCGTGGCGTATGCCATGGGAAAGGCCGACATTGTCATCGTGGGTGCCGAGGGTGTGGTTGAGAACGGAGGAATCGTGTCGCGGATGGGAACCTACCAGATCGGTCTTCTTGCGAAGGCCATGGACAAGCCGTTCTACTGCGTGGCGGAGAGTCACAAGTTCGTCCGCATCTACCCGCTCGGACAGTACGATCTGCCCATCGAACAGCGCGTGATCGACTTCAAGACGGAGGAAGAAGTGGCCGACGAGGCGAAGCAGCAGCAAGCGGCCACGCCCGCAGTCAGGCCCGTGAACTCGGCGGACAGCTCGGACGTGGTTGACTTCACACCGCCCCATCTGATTTCCGCGTTGATCACGGACAGCGGTGTCCTGACGCCGAGCGCGGTCAGTGAGGAGTTGATTAAGATATGGTTCTAGTTTTGTTTTTCCGACTCTGTGCCCGGTACTCTCCCGACAGATATGGAGTGCAGGGCTTGCGATGTTTTCTAAAAATGAATGAAGCGGATTGGCGTTAAGGTCATGATATATCCGGACGCTCAGGGCGTTTGTCGGCTTGAAATGTTGTGTCCGCAAATCTCAAAATTCAATAGACTAATGACTCGACTTGAGTCTTGAAAGATCTGGCCCATCGATTGCCGTGGAGATCGTTTGTAGGCTACCTGGTTGCTTACGGCTTTTCGCAGTCAATGTGTACTATTAGCCCGGCACAGGTCGAACACTCCTCTGCTCTCACGAATGCCGGCGGATGCAAGAACCGAAAAATCCGGACATAACAATTAACCCATCACCACACCTGCAGACTTGACTCTTATGTATAGCGACTTACAGCTTCGCTTGCTTTCCAAGTCCCCAGCAGCCATCAATGCCTGTCAACACTAACCCACAAATCCATACATCACGACCCAACTATCCACCTCCACAACAACACAAACCATCAAGAGCCATCCATCCATCCATCCATCCATCCATCCGTCCGTCCTCATAATCATACTCACTCCACGAAAACCCCCTCCCCCTCCGCCTCCCCCACACTCCAACCACAATAACCCCAAATACAAGCAAGGGCGACCATCCCCTTGCGTTATATCGACTACTACGTAAGTAAGTAAGTAAGTAAGTAAGTAAGTAGATGGGTATGTATATTCAAAGAAACGTGCGCCGGGACATCCACTCTCCAAATGCCAAACCAAACCAAGCCAAGCCGGGACTGGTTGGTTGGTTGGTTGGTTGGTTTCTACTCCGACGCCGACTGGTGCATGGGACTATTGACGGATGGTAGCATATCTACTTCCTTCTATGTATGTGTCTAGTCCGTACTGGTAGAGATGGTTCGCTGGATAGGTGATTCAGGAAATCAAGGTCCCGAAACATGGCGATCTTTTTTTTTTTTTTCTCTTTGCTGGATATAGATAGGTAAGGGATGTCTACTATTAGATGTCTTGAACAATTGAGAAATGGGCTAACGGTAGCGATGTATAGATAAGTAGTACCTGGGTAACCTAGGTATAGTACATATATGTATCTCTGCCAAGAGGACCAAATATAGTGCACATCATCACGGCCACGGTGCACGGGTGCACAGATACATACACAGTGTCCCCAGATCCTGGAACTGAAAAAAAAAAAGAAAGAAAGAAAGAAAGAAAGAAATTCAACTTTTGGGTAGTACGTAAGTAAGTACCTCCACATATCCCAAAGTCACAGTCCCAGATACCATTCGTCTAACCAAGACCATAAGGTAGTAAATATCCATGATGTATTTGCGAATATCATGCAGCAAAGAACTGTCATTATAATGAGTCGTAATTCATAACACGTCCAATCGAGGGGACTGTTTAACCATCATCATCATCATCATCATCATCATCATCATCATCATCATCATCATATCTCCAGGTAGTCGTAATCATAAACATAAGTCGTAACAAAATTTCCCAAATGCCATGGGAATATGGGATGTCCGCTCCGGATTCGGTCCATGCAATATATCCATCCCACTGAAAGCCCGAGAGATCACGAGGGCGAGCGAAACCGCCTGGTGAGAGTGAGAGAGTGAGGTCACCAGACATAGTCTCAGATCTCAGACCCAGGCACAACAGCGCAGCGACAAGCCAAGCGACTTCATCGGCAGCCACGAGAGTGCACTTCCACGCCCACATCGTTCATCACCCGATAAGATAATCCCAATTCCATTGCAGGGACAGGCCATGTCATGCCATATCATAGCATAGCACGACCGACTCCACGAATCCCAAACCCAACCCAGCCATATCATATCATATCATATCGTATATCCAGACGCTCCCTCAAAACGGATACACGTTCCACAAACAACCAGACCAAATAAACGATCAGGTGGCCTGGCCCAACCTCCCCGAAAAGCGGAGCGAGAAACGGATATCATCGGACGAGACACAGCGTTTCTATTTCCGACTCGTCTTCCAGAGACTTCACAAGCCCAGCTTAGCCTGGGGAGTCATGCGCTGCGCTGCGCTGCTCAAGCGGCGGCGGACATGCAAGTCGGGGTTCGGGATCAGTTTGAAATGCGACCAAGCTGGCAGGGGAAGGGGAAGGGGAAGGGGAAGGGGAATTTCTGGTCCAGGGAGGCAAAGGCGTAGAGGAGGAGGTAGCCGAAGGCTACGAAAAGCCATAGGGCGGCCATGGTTTGGTTTGGTTTGGTTTGGTTTGATTTGGGCTTGGGTTTTGTTTGGTGGAGGGATAGTGCTCGGGCTCGGAGGGGTTCGGATTCGGATTCGATGGTGTCGATAGTCAATAGTAGTTATGCTGTGTTGTGCTATGTTGTGTGCGCTGGGCTGGGCTGCAGTCTGCAGGGCCGTCGACAGGCGACAAGCTGGGGCTGGGGGAGGGGTACAGTGCTTTTGGATATAAATAGGATGGGATATGTATGTTGGTGAGCGAGAGTCGGGCCCGGGGATGTCACAGGCCAGATATAAATGTATTGTATATGGGGGTGGGGGCCTGGGAGTGTGAGCAAGAGCAAGAGCAGCTGCCCTTCTTGTCTACTTATGCTGTAATGTCTAGACCCTGCACGGTATCGAGAGGGGAAATCAGGGGCGGGGTTCGGTGTGATTGGAATCATCAGGGCCGCTGTCTGGTACCTAGTTTTACGCCGTACGGTGCAGTGGTTTGCGGGGAGAGGCCCAATCGGAGTCCCATTGCCGGTGGTCTGACTGAGGGTTTCTTCATGATGCGGTAAAAGGTGCATATTTACACAGGAGTTGATCTGCACCAATGTTCTTCGGTGGACTTGATCGGCTGCGTGATGTTGATCTGCTGATGGAGAGCCGAGCTGGCTGTCGGCATATCAACATAGACAGTGGGCGATGGGTCATGTACATAGTAGATACTGATAGTGTAGAAAAGAAACAGATGTCGAAGTCATTGTGACTGCAGTCGACAGCCCCAAAGTGCCCTGTAGCGGTGCCTGCATCTATTAATCTGGCGGTGTGATTAGGCCCTTATCAGATGGCGATATAGTACTTTGCACTTTGTATAGTAGTCAAAGACCAGGATGCGATCCTGGGTGCTTCATCGAGGTGTCCAGACAAGGCCAATCAATAGATCGACGATCTCAGATCGGGATTTATGTCATGGTGATTTATGCTCAACTCCCATGTGCCTATCCACCACTTACCACACACACACACACAGTAAGTAAGTGACCCGAGTTTAGCACTGGATTTTTTCCACGTCAGCCGATGGATCCGGCGGGCTTATCAATCGGCAACAACACATCATCTATTCCAGACAGACGAATCACACCGCCGGATGGGGCCGATGAGCAATCGCTGCCATCCACGGCTCCCCGTGCTCGCGGAAATGACGACGCCGGGTGATCATATCATGCCAGCAAATGGTTCCCCAGAATAATAATACAAAGGTCGAAGGCTTGAATTCGAGTCTTCTAGAAAGAAAAGAAGGCCGTCGCGGGGGTGGGTGAACCACACGTGCCTCTGGGAGGCGTGAACCATGGTTCCCTCGCGCTTTAGCCTTCAGGTCCCGCCGCCCCTCCGCGCGACCCGAAAGCGATGCAAAACAATGAGGCTATGCGTTTGACTTTGAGGCATGGGATTGGATTCACTGTCTGCCCGCGCCCGGCGCCCGCCGTGAAGGACGCTCGCTCATGTTAGGCAGCTCGCCCGATGGCCGTACGCAGAGGTTCTGCTAGATACTTTGGTTCTGCTGCGCGGCGTGCTTACTGCTGCCTCATACCTTGTAGCGAGTACCGTACCTACTTGCCTACCTGTCCACATACCTACTAGCCCTCCAAACCTCTCATCCCCTCCAGCATCTTCATGTCCTCTATCAACTTATATCATACTCTTTAAGCCCGGCCGTCCAGATTGTTAGCGTCACTGACAACCGCAATCCCCTGCAGCATCCATCCATCCATCCATCCGGACCAGCCCGACAAGACCGACTTTTAATTATTATCTATTGTGCAATCGAACCAACCCCGCCTCCGAGAATTCTCGCTGCCTGCCCTGTCTTGTCCGTCTGCGGCCCAAATTCGCAGAGATCCCGGTCCATCCGCAGCGCCAGGCCTGTACCCTACTAACCTACCCACCTAAGATCCGTTATTGCCTAAACCAAGACCAAATCAAAGAAGAAGAAAAAAAGAAAAAAAAAAAAAAAAAAAAGGCAGGCTTTTTCTATTCGATCTGTCCAGTGGCGTACAGGAGGGGTCCGGCATCTAAACCAATCGATTTACGACATCTCTTAAAGACACGGACCACATCACAGTACGACCACCAACCAGTACGGAGTCTCCGTACTACTGCTGTGTAGGAGCGCCAGCTTCAAGCCACACCCACCCGTACTAAGAAAGTATGGGCGCCGAGTCAATGCCAACAACGACAATGACAACGACAACAGCAGCAACAGCAACAGCAACAGCAGCAACCTCGCACCCACACGAGCCCTGCAAACGACGACGAGGGTCATCCTTCTTCGGCCTAGACGGATCCAACCCCAACCCCAACCCCAACCCGGGCCACACGCAGCCCACCACCACCAGCAGCGCCAACAATAACGCCCACAATAATCGTGGTCAGGACAGCCACGATTATTCCTGGTCAATAAAGAAGTTTCTGAGCCGCCATGTGAGCCGTCGATATCGGGTTCTGGAACGGGAACCGAACCGTCTCAGGAAGCGGTTCACTCAATAATTTTTTATTTTTTTGATTATCCCCTATTTCCTCCGGTCATACCTACAGTACCTACCTACTATACCTACTCCGTATATACCGTATATTAACGGAATGCGGGATGGGGATGGGGATGGGGATGGGGACGGGGACGGGGACGGGGATGGGAGGGAAAGGGAAGGAAATACACCTGTCACTTTTGATGGGTCCCTTATTACCTACTTTACTGACTGACTGACGGAGCTCAAGACAGGAGGAGTATGTACGGAGTACTACGGAGTACACAGCCTGCTATTTATCTACCTACCTACCTACCTACCTACCTATCTACTTGCTACTTGCTACTCCCTAAATATGATCCCGGACTGGGACTGGGTATATTACGGTCTACTACGGAGTGCGGAGTGTCATACTCATCTCACCATCTCGATTCCATGCTTACTTACTTACGGAGTACCTACCGGTATATGGCCGGCTGATCCATCCATCCATCCATGCCACCTCAATCAAACAGGGCAAGTCAGTTCATTTCTCGGAGAAGGTGGTGGTGGTAGTGGTAGTGGTACTGGTGCAGTGGATATCGTCGGGTTCCGCAGGACTTTCCATCCTTCCCACTCCTTCGCACGGCGCAACTTCTATTGGACCATCTGTAACTCTTATCAGTCAGTACCTACCTACCCAGGCGGTGTCGGTGTCGGTCTTCCGATTCTATTTCTTCCATCATCCTTTTCTTCTCTCATCAATATCGTCCATTAGTATGTGTCTGACAGTCGGTGTTGGTTTCTTTCCTTCTGTTTTTTTTTGTTTTCTTTCTATTTTTGCTTTTTCCCCCCCTCTACTGTACAGGTACTAGGTACTCTTGGCGTTGGTTTGGTTTTGATCCGATTCCGGGGGTTCTCGGCGGTACTTTGGGTATGTATGGACATATGTATATAAGTATTTTTCAACTTAGGTAGGTAGGTAGGTAGTTAGGCAGTATATCACGTTGTGTTGTGTCTATTGGATAGTGTGTGTGTGTGTGTGTGTGTGTGCTGATAGTGACAATGGTAGTGGTACTCGGTACTTACTATATAAACTTATATACTTATATACCTATATAGTAATGGGTTGGAATAGAGAGAATAAATTCCACCCACCCATCCAACATGCACGCGATAATAGCACGTACCTACTTCCCTATGGACTGCATTGAAATTTCGATACATCCAGATCTTTATAGTATAATATCCACCTCCATAAACCATCCTATATCCTAACCTCGGTAGATGGATGGATAGATAGATAGATATACTTATAGGTACCTCTCTCCTCATTTTCAAACCAACCGGACGCATTCAATACATCCACCCACCTACCTACCCACCGGTACCTAGGTACATACATACATACATACATACATACATACATAAATTCATATCTATTTATACGCGCTATACTCCGTAAACAGACAGACAACGCACAGAAAACCGTTGAACCTAAAGCTCGATGCAGGTGAAAGTGCAAGTACAAGTGCAGCTCCAAGCATGACGAGACCCCATAAATGAACCAATAATATAATACTGTGCATACTGCCACCAGTGCCGTGTCAACACAGCACAGCACAGCACAGCACAGCACAGCAACTCCGGCTGCCGACGTGGTGCCTTACAACAGCCGGAAAAGTATGACAGCGGAAAAAAAAAAAAAAAAAAAAAAAGAGAAAAAGATGCTTTGGGTGGGGTTAGTGTGTATTATTGCCTTAACTCTGATCTGGAAGTGTATTCTGTGGGGGGATTGTTGGTGGTGGTGGGTAGGTAGGTACTATAAGTAAGTAGGTATCTAAGTAGTGTGTCGTGGACAATATCTACTAGATAGTATATAGTATATACTTTACTCCGTACCCAGTAATCCGGAAGCATGAAAGATGGAAGTATAGAAGTGTGGAAGTGCAGCGGTCTGGCTAACTATCAGCTAACTAACCAACCCATTGGTTAGCCAGTCAGCCAGTCAGCCGGTCAGCCAGGCCGTCAGACACATCACATCGTGTTAGAAGTCAAGCTTGCAGTATGACCCAATCCACTCACGCTCGGAGGGAGGGAAGAAAACACCTGCGCTTCCCGTACTTAACCTCATGCGTCATTGTTGGTGCTGGTGCTGGTGCTGGCACGCCGCTCTGTGGGGAACATGATGCGTGGTATCTATCTAGGGTCTGGATGAGAGAGTCTTCTCGGAGAATTTCGGGCCACTGGGTGCCCAGGTGGTGGTGGTGATGATGATGATGGCGGTGGGTTAGTGGAGTCTGTCTGTCTGTCTGTCTGTCTGTCTGTCTGTCTGTCTGTCTGTCTGTCTGTCTGTCTGTCTGTCTGTCTGTCTGTCTGTCTGTCTCCCCGGACTCTATTTTTGGGGCTTCTATAGATAGGTAGAGAGAGAGGTGTTGTTCGGTGGAGGCTGGCTGACTGGCTCTTGGTATGGGTAGATGGATGGATGGATGGCTGCTTGCATCGGAGGGGAGACTGAGAGGGGTTGGAGATTGAGTGGCTGCATTATTTTGGGCGGGTCGAAACTTGAAAGTATCCAGCAGATGCAGATGAATAGATAGGTAGTGGTGTTGCTTTTCTTGGGCATGAGTCTGCGCTTGGTTTGTTTTCCTTAAATGCCTCGATTTCCTGCTGATAAATGTGGTATGACCTAGGAGACGGGTTATCTGCCGTTGAGTTAGCATATTGGCTGCATTTAACTATAGGAGGGTGAAGATAATGCGACACTTAGGCAGTTTTGGTTTTGTATCTGCGGACAGGAATAGCAGAGAGTGCTGTGGGATATTCAGCATTCAATTCACTGACCAGTAGCTATTCATTTTAACTGTCCATAATAGGAAGTTGAACGTGTGTCCAGCATATCCCTCTAGACGAAGAACATGGAGCAATCTTTCACAGTGCGGAGAATATGTAAAGCAGATGAAGAATTTGAGATGCAAGGCGCGCCAATACTCCATGGGAGGTGCGGTGCAGACTGCAGACAGAGTATTACCTAGTAGGCAAGTGCAGAGCTTTGCACATCGCACATACTCCACGTCCTGTTAGTTGTTGCATGCGCTCGAGTATTGGAAATGGAATTGGCATTTACAGTCATACCGTGCCAGCGCATTGGGGTTACTGCATATAGATATAGGTATGTGCCATGATGGCCCTTCCCTTCCCCTCACTTATACATTGGATGTGATATCCTAGGTAACTAGGTAGGTGTGTCTGTTTGTTTGCATGTAGATACTCCATACATCCTGCACAGACGGACTTGGTACAGTGGGTTGGGCTGTACTACCCGCCCTCAGGCTCATCAAGTCGATCGCCGGGTCTGTCGGTTAGAAACGCAACGGCCTTCAAATTCAATACCCACTGACTTACGGCGTATCTTACTATATAGATACAATCTAAAGACATGGGAAGTAAATTCTGGCCCGACCCACCCCACCCAAGGAAAAAGGAAATTAATCCGCCTATCAACAAAGGCGATCCTGCCGAGTTCGAGGGGCGATGAGGATTTTTTTTTTTGCAATGGATAGAAATCTTACTAGTGGGTTGAAATTGTCACAGCAAAAAACCCACATCGAGATACTCGATACTATCTACTGTGTAGTGTGCACATTAGATGGATACACGGAAGGCCGATGGGGATGACGTGCATGACGGAGACATGGTACTATCTCAGATGGATACGAGGACCGGGCCTTGATTGATTATTGTTATTTTAAGCCGATCGATAACCATGGTACTGGGGTAGGTACCTGACTTGCGGTACGGAGTATTGCTTGAGCCTTGGTTTTGATTAATGTTTACTATTTACACTTTACCTACATAGGTACTAGGCACCGAACAAGTTTTTCACTACTCCGTACTTCACTGCTGTCTGTCCACTCGTGGAGGGAGTGAAACCTCGAACTGTAAAAAGTGGAAAGCGCAAGTAAACAAGGGCCGGCCGGGGATGGATGGCATACCCGCTGTCCCATCCGTCCATCCACTCCGCACCTGCAAGGTGAAAGAGGCCAGAGTTCCAGTTAGTGTGGTCTAAGTCGGCCGGAATGTTTCACCTCCCCGTCTCTTTTCGGCGTCCAGATTGAGATCTGGCCGGGTCTTTGGGCCATCAGATGCAGGAACACTGAACTCTTGATCCACTGATTTGCGCTGGTCGAGCTCGACCCTGAGACCAATGGTATCGCCACGAAAGGGGGGGGTGTTGGTCAGAACTCAACGGGCTTGAAGGATACGCCTGACGCCATGGCTGTATTGAGATTCGAGGTGGCTTTGTCGAGCAGCCAGGATGGACAAGCTTCGTCCCTGTGCTTGCTTGAAAGCAATAGTATCGAACTACTTTTAGGCGAGAAGGCGTCATGGGTACCGGCGCATTGAACCTGCCCGTGGTACGTAATGCGTGAGGGAACGGTATACCTACGGAGAATCGGAGTACTGCGATAGTACCCTAAGGTGGTAAGTTAGTTGAGTGAAGGGAGACCCGGGTCTCCGATGGACTGGAACACCAGTAAGATTGGACTGCAATGGATCTTTGCAGTCTTTCCCGCACACGCGTCAGGTGGCTCGCGTGTGCCTGGCTTCGGCATTATCGGGCGAGTATATTTATTGTATAAGGGAGGAATAGTGGTAGGGAGGAGTGAGGGCAGCTTCTGCCCTTTGTGTGCGGGTGGGCGTCGCCACATCTGCAAACTGCAAGGACTGGCAGTAAACAATCAACATTATTAGACCCGAGGAAATTGCTTCCGCGGCCGGGTCGAGCGACGACTCAGGCCCGGCTAATTTAATTGATTGATTGCAGCTGACTTGAACGAGCCCATCGATGCACGTTGCCAAGTTGATGCCGTCCATCCCCGCCGGACGGACTTCATTTCCAGGACGATATAACAGGATGGGTCGTCGGGACGATCGACGCACATGGTGCTGAATTCGCGATGCTTGGAGGTTCGCAATCCTTGGACCCTAAAGACAGGAAGGAGGACAGGCGGACAGGCGGACAGGCGGGCTTGGGTCGGGAAATAACACCGACCCACAGGGAACAGACAATGAATTGGGAGCAGCAGCTCCCTAACTCACAATGGCGACTCGACCGTTAGGGGCTACGGGTCGTTTTACGTTATTGTCCTGGTGTGCACGCTTTGGCCACTGCAGACTGGACCTGTCAATGGCTGTCAGAATTGTCAGGTTAGTGGTCTAGCGAGCGGAAATTGAATGGGTTGGCGCGGGAAGTTAAACGCTGGACGAACGCCCATCGTGGTGGATGGGGGCGTGGCAGACACGATACCTGACTGACTCGGTTCCTGGGTAAGTAGATAGTATTGCCGAAGAGGATGCTTACCTACGTATGTAGGTAGGTACTAGGTATCTAGTAGGTGGTATGTGTGACCGTGTGGAATATCAACCCCAGCCACCAATCTCTCAGGTACTTACTTGTACCGATACCTGCCTAGTACCCATCTACTAGCAGCAGCAGGTGTAACGAACACCATGCCCCCGATGCATCTCTGGCAGGATCTCTCGATCTCCCAGTCCCCTCAGTTACGGTGATACCGGCTGGTAACATCGCTGCTCGACTCCGTATTTTCGTCGGGCTAAGCGAAACCAAGAGATTAGCACCACTTTTGGCTTAGGCCTCCCCACTGCAGGAGTCCATTGCTGCCATTGCATCGTCATTTGGCCCCTCCGCTGTTCCTCATGCTCCAGGTGGAATGATGGGGCCCAAAAGCTTAGGTAAGGTACGTGGTAGCGCTGACTGTATCGACGATTTCCCCGATTCCAGGATTTCAAGTAGTATGTTGGCCGAGAGTCATCCATCCAGCCTGCATGCGCCTCAGTCAGAAAGGATACCACCAGGAAAGTACCTTTTACGGGGTACTGCGACTCCCGCCGGTAAGGGGAGCGGAACCGGTGTGCTTGCATCCGCCTCCTGTAGTTATGGGAGTCATGAGCGGTGCGTCCCGGCGGTATGCCAATACTCCGTCGCTCGACAGAGTGCAGACAGACGGAATGTCGACATCAGCAGCCATTACCATTAATATTATTATCCAAACGCAAGCAATCTAGACCAGAGAGGGTCAATTGACCAATTGGCATACTGTACTTAGAGAGCGGGAACGCCAAGCGCTGCTAGTTGCGCATACATGATCCCGTCTTTTTAGATCACAATGCTCTCTCTCCATCCATGCTCATCAATCTCGATAGCCCATCGTACTGGTCGATTGTATCTGGCCGTAAGAAGATGCCCGAGTCGTGGAAGTCCAATTCCATGGAATATTCCATGACATCACACCCGATCGCAGAGCCGGGCACCAAAGCGGAATACGGCGAGTAATGAACCACTAGGAGATAATACGATCTTCAAGGGAGAGAGCGCCTTACCTCCTGCCAGTGCCCGGGGCACCTGAGGCTGTATGTAGATTGTATTGATGATTATCGTCTTGTCCTGGAGTGGTACTGTAAATTTGCCAGTGTCTGCCAGTGTTTGTCTGTCTGTCTGTCTGTCTGTCTGTCTGTCTGTATGGAGTAAGCCGCAGCGCGCAGCGTCGTGCAGAAGCCCGGGCGGGCAGTGTAAGTCAGTCAGTAAGCAAGCAAGTAAGCCAGTCAGCAAATCCGCCTTGAAGGCCCCGAAAATACTATACATTACCATACGAGCCTTCCCGGGCAGTTTTGCTTACTGTTGTTCCAGACTTCCAGTGTTGTGTTTACAGTGTTTACAGTGTTTACAGCGTTAGCTTCGTTTCTAAGTATGGAGTTGTGGAGTACGGCAGATACCATGGGTCACGACTGGCTAAGCGGTCCCTAAGGCAGGTACCAATGAAGTTGCCCCTAGTCGCTGTCTAACAATAATCGGATTGGGCTGCAATCTGGGCTGTCGAGAGTGCGACTACTAGTGCAGTAGTGAGTGACCTTTTTTTTTTTCTCCACACTGGATGAAAGAAATTTTTCTTTTCTCGACAATCGATTTTTGCGCCCGTTTTGAGTTGTTGTTCCCCACCCGATAGATATTACCTACTTAGAAAAGTAGATACACCTTGCTAGTTGAAAAAAACACTGTCTAGTCTGTAGTGGGTGTTCTATTGTTGTTGTTGCTGCTGCTGTTGCTGCAAGTATGTGCTGGCCCTCTCAGGCTGGTTGGTCGGTCGGTCGGTCTCCAGACTCTCCAGAAGGAGGAAAAGCCATTGGCGGAGGATTCGAGATGCTGCGGGAAAGGGAAAGGGGGGGCCAAAGGGGAGCAATGAGAGCGATGTAGGGCGGGTTGGTGCATATCATCCATCATCTGAACGGCCATCAATACAGTAATAATTTCGCCCAGCGATTAATAAGAATCCTCAGTCTCCAGTGGGTGGTTCTGCTGTGACGGCCGGCCCCGGGGGTCGACGGTGTAACCAACCGAGGCGATCCCCTGGTTCAGAAACGGGCGGGTTTGTTTGTCTCGGCCCTCGCAGTCCCTCGCTCTCGACCTGGACCGTTTGGGTAGTGCTGTGATGCTGTAGCGCTGGAGTAGTCTGGCGCTGTGCTGTATGCTGTCAAGTTCACAGTTAGATAGATACCTACTCGTCAGGCTCATCTCTTTCTCTACATCTCGTCTCCCTTTCCTCCCTCTTTTCCTCCTTTCTTTTCTTCCTCGCTTTCTACGGCCCCTCTTCCCTCCCATCCCCCATCCCCCCCCTTCCCCTTCCCCTCGTTCCCACTCGTTCACTCTTTTCTTTCGCTCTCCTTTCTTCCTCTCTCTCTCTCTTTCTCTCTCTCTCTCCTCCTTGTTCTGTTCGTTATCCTCGTCGTCGAGCTGGGTATCTTTTCCGCCACCCCATGTGGCGTGGCTCCGGGTCTCACTATTGCTACTAAACGGATTCCCACGCACTAGATACTTCCTGCTACGATTACCCGTTCGTTCTAAACCAATAGTGACCTGCTACGACCCCCTTCCCTCCCCCCTCCCCCCAGTCCAGTCCATACTACCCAGTAGTATCAGCGGCACACACACCACCCACACCCACACCAACACACCAACACACCAACACACCCACACCCACAACCACAACAACTACTTCTCCCTCTCTCCCACCGCTTTGGATGTCTCGGCTCGCCTCCGTGACCTGAATAAACCACCTGAGATCCGTGAATCCTCTCCTCTTTCCTTCTCCCCTCCGCCTGCGTATCAAGTTGCTTTGTTCTTTCTGCCCTTCGCCCCGTGCCTTGCCGTCCCTCGCCCTCGGATTCGCCTGCTGGTCGCGTGTCTACTCCACCACCCCCCCCCCCCCCCCGGTCCTTCCTCATGAGTCCAGTCACCCGGTTCATCTTCGCCTCCGACAAGACAATACCAGTGTCCACGTTTGACTCGTGAGCGGGACGAGGCACCCCTGACCAGACGTCATGGCGATATGGCCGTTTGGTCGCAAAAATAAGCGGCATACGATTCAGCTCGATGCTCCGGCCGCCGTGGCAGACGTCCCGCCGACGCAGGACCCTCGCCACAGCCTCGACAACAGCAAGTTAGGCAGGAAACTGTCCCGGAAGCATTCCAAGCGGCAGAAGAATCGGCACGCTCAGCCGGTGGATGAAATCCCGAGTGCCCTGCGCGATGCTGCCCATCCGGCGGCCTCACAGCCTGTCCAGTATCCTCCACCTACGTCACATGGTGAGCAGCCGGCCCCGATGAAAGAAAACCACCGCCTTCCCGCCTCCCGGACGGGCCAGCACTCCGACGGCTACACCACTCACTCCAACATGAGCCACGATCCTCCGTCGGTGTCTCGGTCTGCCTCGTTGCTGAGATCCAAGCGGAGCGAAAATGGCCCGGCCGTGCTGAAGAAAAGGCTGAGTAAGCGGAAGGCATACGAAATCGCCAGGGAGCGCGAGATTCGCATGATGGCTTCCGCTCCGATCGATATCCCCCGTCGTCCCTCCCCGCTGCCCAGTGAGCAGTTCTCCGTCGAGACGCGCAGGGGTGCCGGAACTCAAAGTCGACGTTCGGATCGGCACGTATCTGACGTCAGTCTCTCCGGGCGGGACTCGGCGGCATCCTCCCTTTCCGACGTCTTCGAATCCTATACCTTCAAGGTCAACACCTTCGCTGCCTGGACGCCGCGTCCTATCATCCGCTATGTGGAAGCTCCGCGGGTGTCGACCGCCAAAAGCCAAAAGCCGACCGAAGCCTCCATCCGGAGGGACAAAACCACACCGCACACCGCTCACGACGAGAACATCCACTCGAAGAAGCGGGTAGATAGGCTGGCCGATGATCTCGATGCGGGCGCTCTCCGAGAGTTGCTCGATCGAGACCGCCGGCGTCGGGAAAGGAAGCAGGTCGACGACCAGGAAAAGCTCCATCGCAAGCTGCAACAGGCGGCTGAACAACAACGACAGCAGGAGGCAGCTGAAGAAGCCTCTCAGAACCCGCAGACTCAACCCGAAGCCTTCTCGGAATCTCAGCGTGGCCGGCCTGGTGCTGAAAGCCGCGTGGAGCCCGACCGGGAGGGCGACGATGCCCCGCGCATTAAGGCAGCCAACACGTTCCCGGGCGGCGAACCTTCGGGGTCATGGCTGAGAGGCGCTTCCAAAGACACCGCACGGCATGCCCATGAGTCCATGGAAAGCGTTCATGTCATCGGCAATATAGATGATAGCTCCATTCGGGGACCGAAACTCGGCATGCGCCGCAGCTTTGCTCCGTCCCAGGACATGGGGATGTCCCGTAGCGATCTGTCTCACTCTCCCTCCCGACGTGAGCTTTACAGCCCGACTTCTTCACAGCTCTATGGCATGGGCCGCGAATCCACATCCGATGTGTCGCGGACAATAGACTCGGACCGGCGCCTGTCTGACCATAGCAGCGGACGTGTCAACACCATAACCTCCATCTTCCGACGTGGTAGCTCGCGTCTCAAGCGGAGCTACCGCGAACGGTTCCATGAACGCACCCCGGAATACTCGAACCCGTCGCATGAATCTTTCTTCAAGGTTCAGACGCAATCGTCGGGTCCGCCGCCGTTTGTTCCTCCACGCACCTTCCTCGGCTCAGGCACCATCAAACGGTCGCAGTCGAAGTTTACCGAGCACTTTGGCGACGAGCCCCTGTCTCCACCTGACTCACGCCTCCAATCTCCTGATATACCTGAAGTGTTGGACGAATTCGAAAGAGAGAATGAGATGGCCGATATGAATGTGGGAACACAGTATCCCATCCCTAGTTCTGGGTCTGAAGCCCAGGATATCCAAAATAACCGACATCAGTCTTGGACGGGCGAAAGCTGGGAAAGTAACCCGGACAACGTTCCCTTGTCCCAATCCTTAGCGTCGATCGACTCTGAAGGGTCTTGGATGTCGGGGCAATTCCTGCGGCGTATATCCCAAAAGAAGGCAAGCAACCCCCTTCGAAGCAGCCTGAGTTCGTCGCAAAATATCATGGAAGAAAGACGCGACGGCCCGAAGGACGAGGAGATCCCCACCAACGAGCCGCTCGTCCGATTCGGAACCAACCAGGAGGATACCCCCAAAGCCGACACGGATAGGCCTGGTGCGGAGCCCGACAAGGAGATGGCCATGGGCCAGGTACCTGAACACGCAGAAGAAACCTGGCATGATCAGATTGCACGGCGACCGGTGCTCGTGGCTCCGAGCATTCGTCCCAAGTCTAACGAAGGTCTACTGAGGAACGTTCAGTCGTTCTGCGCCGACGAGGAATTCAGCCCCATCGAAGAGCATTCCGGGGAGTTTGAGTTCGAAATGCAGGACGAGCCCGACAGCGGACATCTCAACTGAGCCAGATTCTCCGTGGGGGAATCCTACTTCTTATCCCTCGGGGTCGACATCTGTGACGCCATGATCTTCGGGGGACGTTCACCAGGACATGGTTGGAACCACGGGTGCCATGCTCCGTTATTTAATCTTTCCACTTTATACCCCAGTCACTCATTTAACCCTTTCCTATGTCACTCCTTTGTTGCAACTGCCCCCTTCCCCTCTCCCCCTACATGGCGGGTTTTGCGAAGACCATGGCGCTTGACGTAGCCATGCTTACATTCTCAGACGCTCTCACCAAGTCCGGCACGCGGCTTGCCCGTGCTCCTGTCTTGTTGGTGGGCTTTGTTAGTTTTCGAGTTTGTTGATACCCCCACATCAGCGGAAGTTTGAATGAGTCGCCTCGATCACCCAAGAATGGTGCTAATCAGCACTTGTGTGTGTGTGTGTGTGTGTGTTTGTTAGACTTTGAAGCATTCTCATTCTTCAGTTCAATGCACATATTGTGACATAATCTATCTGTTCTAGTTTCTCGTGTTGTCTAGTATGGGCCGTACCCGACCCTTCTTTTTTTTTTTGCCCCTATCCCCCGTGCTATTGTTTAATGTTTGTTTGGTTCGGAAGAACAACTCGCCGCTCGCTCGATTACCCCGTCCGGTTCTCTGTTCCTGGGAGTCGGACGCAGCTGGATCTCCCGTGGGGATCCTGGCCGAGTTCCTGTATCTTATGCTCAGACCCTTTTCCCGGACCCGTTGTCTCATAGATGGCTTTCCTGATACGCTCCTCATGCATGTAAATAAAGACTACTTGACGTGTCCCATGGGGGCCTGATAATTTGATCAGATCTGATGCTCTTGAAGTTCACTGGCTACTACTACTTGCTAGTACTGCGTACAGAGCAGGAAACCCCCAGCTGTCACATGACCAAGAAGCTCGGTAAGCTGCTTTCTGCCCCAGGCCCGAAGGTTGCTGCCCCAGGCACCAACAATCTGTCCAGACCGGTCGCGATTCATAAGCAAGGGCAGAGCACGTCATTTGCTGCCGCCGCTTTAGGGCCTCCACCGCTGTCAGTCCGCTGCCGAACAGTCTTCACCCTCGAACCGTCCTGCAACCCTTCACCATTGCCGACCAGCCAATTCCACCAGCGTCCCGTAAACATTAGTTTTCTGTCCGTCGCAGCACGATGCCCTCTCCTAGCCTGACAAATCCGGCAGTGGTTCGACTGACCGTGTCGCGCGGCGCCTCTTGGTAAGCACCTCCCTCCCTTGAGGCCCTTCCAGGGCGCCCTTCAGGCTTCTCGCCGGGACACGCTTAGTCAGAGGCGGGCGGTTCCCCAACGTCATGGACGGGCGTATAAAAAACGAATTGTGCCCCTCCTGGGCTGAGCCATGCCCCTCATTCCGAGCTAATCGTTCGTCTGAACCCGTCCATAGTTTTAAACCATCCACTGTCTTCTCCTCTTCTTCTCCTCTCTCTCTCCCCTCTTCCTCCGCTGCTAGATTCTTCTCTGTCCGAACTTCCACTAGAACCGCAGTAGCGCCCTCTCTCCTGCGTCCGACCCCGGTCAAGAACTTCCCCACCACCACCACCAACTTTAACAACAACTGCCGTCGCGCTTTCTCTTCCTCTTCCTCCGCTCAATTCTCCCCTTCGTCCACCATGTCTCACGGAAACGTCGTCTCTATCACCTCGTATGTGGTCCCTCCCTCCCTCTCCTTCCCCATCCCCATCCCTCTCTCCTTCTCTCCCCCTTCTCCCTCCCCATCTCCATCTCCGCCTCCCATCTCCGTCCTTCCCTCCCCCTCCTAAAGAACCAAGCTAACACCCCACTTCCCCCCAGCGCCGCCGAGTTCAAGGAGAAGGTCCTCGACGCCGAGGAGCTTGTCGTCGTCGACTGCTTCGCCACCTGGTGTGCTCCCTGCAAGGCCATCGCCCCCAAGGTCGCCCAGTTCTCCGAGATCTACCCCCAGGCCAAGTTCTACCAGATCGACGTTGACGACCTGTCCGAGGTCGCCGCCGAGCTCGGTGTCCGCGCTATGCCCACCTTCATCCTCTTCAAGAACGGCGAGAAGGTCTCCGATGTCGTCGGTGCCAACCCCCCCGCTCTGGAGGCTGGCATCAAGGCTTTGATTGCTTAGATTTGAGATAATGGGATACATGTTGTTGTTGTTGGTGTATGTGTATGTGTATTCGTGTGTGTATGTGGGCAGACAGTGAATATTAGGTAATGAATGATGGGGTTTTGATACCCGTCTTTCAATGGTTTACTTCTTATTTTTTTGTTGGGGTGGGGTGTGAGGAGTGAGGGGTGAGGATGGAGCGTGTATATGGGGAATGTAGCTGTGTAGTATGTAGAGATTGTCCGGTTTGTAAGGGTGGAGTGAGATGGAATTTCGGTCTGGTGCTGTCGCATCCAGAAGTCTTGAGGGGATCACCGTGGCTGGATATCTATCAACATCTATCGAATTCACATCCCAGTCAGTCAGGGATGAACGGCTACAGGTATTAGCAACATAATCATACTTGCTATACCTTATATACCTTACCTGCCGTAATAACAGCCACTGCTCCTCTTCCTGATATACTAGCCACATTGCACCATGATCACCAGCTCAATACCTACCGACCTTACTTGGGTACTTGTTGAGTACTGTACAGTAGATATAGTAATCTGCCCCTGCCCAGCCCTGGCAGCTTGATGTACCTATCATCCATCTCCCATGCCCCCCCTTTGCACCCCTGCAAGTGCACGAAGTCCCCTCCCCTCCCCAAGGATATGACTTTTTTTCTTTCAGCCCACACTTCCCTCCTCTCTTCTATATTATCATTTTTATACCCGTCCCGGATGAATTGAAATTGACAATACCGTGCAGGTGGTAACTTAATTAATCCATCAATTTGATCAATTAACTGATAAATTTTGTTTTCTAAAAACAAAACAAAACAAAACAAAACAAAACAAGATCCGGTATGATTGACCATCTCATAGAACTGAGTTCCCATTGGCATTGCACAGGCAAAAGAGTTGTTTGTTGCATCGGTGGACTTATCTGTTTCTGTTAGATAGTATCAGTAAATAGGATGTAGGCATGGTTAAATGAGAGTTTTATACGCATCTTAGTCTATTTGTTTCTACCGATAGTCTATCTACCTCTCTTGTTCGGTTACCGCGGGGGTTTCTAGGTAGGTAGGTAGGTAGGTATGAATTCTGTACCGGGGTAGAGGGCGAGGGGGGGCAGGATGTGCATATGAGTTGAGTGCCTTTGCCATTGTTAGATTCCTTGGTGCTGTGTATGGAATGGAATGGGGGGGGGGTATTGTTGCCTACGTTCCTACCTATACCTAACTAACCAACTACCTCGAGAAAACGGCACAGCTCCGCGTGGGGTAGACTGTCCAGTAGGCGCCTACCTACAGAGATACTGATGCTGTCCGCTTGTATCTACCTAGGGTACTCGGAATGACTTACCCCTATTGACGGGGTATTCGCAAGGATGGAAATTATGCACTAAGGAGGACTTGCCGGGAGTGAGACTTGGAATTAAACTATGTGTCAAACCCAGTATCATTGAGTATCACGGCTACTTAGGTGTCTGGACACCTTTTTAGTCGAGTGGTCTTTTTGGTCTGTCACTATGTGTGATCATCATCATACTTACCTTATTACTTCATTTGGGGGGGGGGGGTATATATACTAATAGGATGTCGCATTCCAGTGCCCACTGTTATAAGCTGATAAATTTGTACCCGAAAGAAAAAGTCTACTTCGGCCCCGGCCCTCTTGCTATGCCTATATAGAAAAAAATTTTCTTAGTAGACTTCAATACTGAACTCAACCCATCTCCTTTCCAGCGGTGAGCGCCAAACCCACACACACCCCGAGGCCATTCAAGGGCCCCAGACATACAACACAACATAGAATATCTCTCCACTTGATAGAAACAGACGGAAATACCTACGAAGTCCACTGCTAAGTCCAATAAGATCCATGCACCGCATCACCGAGGTTAACCCGCGGATGAGGTGAACTATCCAACTGCTTGACTGGCCTAGATACTTACTCAAGCCACGCGGACCTGGTGGGTATGCGATGTCAAAGCTTCTGGAGAGACACGTAGTTCAGATAAACAGTATATTAGGTTTTAATTTGCGTAGATTAGAGATCGTCGGTTGGATTTTCGATTGATTATTTACTCTGTAGATAGTTACTCTGTAGATGAAATTTCCTTACTAGAAGGAATCATGTTATACGTTCATTTGCCCATTATTGAGCCTGCAATCTGGGATCTAGAATCTAGAATCTAGAATCTAGGGCGTGGGGGGTGTGGGTAGATGGAGATAGCCTAACTCGACAGTATGGATGGGATGGATAGATAGATGGTAAGTTCCACGAGGTGCGATCGATAGTAATCTTCATACTCTAATAATGTCCAACAATAGGGTTGAATACATTAATTAAAATAGAATTATTACCTCAGCCTCATACACACCACCTCTAGATCTGACATCCCAGGGCCCCGGTATCATGCATGCATACTGCATAGACAGGGTAGAAAGTGAAGAAGAAGAGTTCTTGGCTAGAACTTTCCTCAATCCCTGGCCATAACTATTCCTCTCGTAGTAATACTGTGTGTATAACTAACCGGACCCATCAACGGACTCATGCCACTAGCCACATGCGGGCGGGTTCCGATGCCTCATTTATGGAGTACATACTAAGTAGGTAAACGGGGGCTTGATTGAAATATTGATTGATGTTCGGGTTGCTCCGCAGATCAACATGACTATTTGACTGACTACTCCGTACTCGGTACCGTATTGTAGGTGGGTGAGCTCAATATTGGGGTATGGGCATGCATGCTTGTTTCTTTGTTCTTGCTATCCTACCTATTCCACCTCTGTCTTAAACTTGTGCTGTAGAGCTCTCTGTACGCAGCTCGATAGCTACAGCTACAGCCCCCAATTTGTCGATCCCCTTACTACTCCATATCGGCGCTGGTCCCGCCCGAATGACGGACATCTCTCGGTCAAGCTAGAGCTCCAGTCCAGGATGCGGGCCAAACAGCAGTAGTCAGTTAGTCAGTTAGTCAGTTAGTAACGCGGCAGTGACACCCCCCCCCTCCTTCCTTTAGCACCACGTGCAGGAAGGATTGCACTACTGTTGGGGTGGTGTTTTGTTGTGTTGTGTTGTCTTGGGTTTGCATTATATTATCTATCCTGCGACTGGCTTATTTCCCTCCCGCAGGAGAAACATTTCTAAAAAGCATTAGTCGAGGAATCGCCTTCACGTGCGTGCGATATTAGATAAAACTGGAGTTAGTACTTTGTACTCCGTAGGTTGCCCCGTCATATAATTTAATCTAATCGTGGGTAGTCCGGCCCGGGCGAGAGTGCAGAAGGCCGAGCTACTCCGGGGGCCGTTTATGCACGGCCGCGGATGTAGAAAGACAGACAGACAGACGGGTGTTGGGTTGGTCAAAGGGGGAAAGGAGAACTATCTAGGACCAGGGAGGGTGGCATGATAGAGATATGTCTGACTCGAGGTAGATATTTCTGGAGGGAAGGATCGAGGATCTTCCTAGGTGACGCTGCAGGATTCGAATATTCAAGTAGCGTGCCTGGTGGCGTGCTGGTTTCCAGGGGGCAAGGTCGACTACTAGACTATATCTAGTAGTCTGATTATCTGCTGGTGATATCACGTACCAACCCGGTGGGCACTCTTGACTCTGACAGGTGACGAATCAGTTCTGGCCCCTGCGTTTGTCTGCGGACTGAACGCTCCTGCTGATCCGGGCCCAACTACCACTGTTGGGTGGGTCAGTGCCAACATTCGCCGACTGGTTGGATGCCATGCAGTGTGATTCAATATTCAGTCAACAGTGATTCACAGCCTTATCCATGGTTGTTCAACGTCTCTATTCAGCCCAGTGTTATCTGATTGGCGACAAATGAGACAGAAAGCAAGGTTTATCCAGAGTGGTCGAACGTTAACCGTGCTCAATAATTGGGTCTCCAAATCCCGGAGAGCCCAGCCCAGCCAAGACCGGATTGTCAGGATCGTCGAGCTTATGTAGAATAAGAATAGCGTGACGAGTAAGGATGGTTTGTTTTTTGGTTCTGACCATGCTTATCCGGCGTAAATGGATGGCTATTGAGGAGTCAATGGTCACTGGCCGGTGGCCAGACCGATTGATGACCCAGGGGCCAGAAACAGGGGGCTATCGGCAGGTTATTTATCTGCGGGAGTTTCTAGCCTGGCGTACCTATTCGTGGCTTCGTGGGGAGTGTCACTGTTACCCCGTCCATTCCGCCGCGAAGGAAGTAGTTCCGACTTCAGACCGCGGACCCAGGCCCTTCCTTGTTCTAGACGGCGAGACGGAGGGCGCGGTTGAGCGTCCGGAGTAGGGAGTCCTCCGGGCATCGCATCCAGGGCTAGTGGCCTGTGCCACAGTCCAATGCTGTCCGGTGCCGGTCCGGCTCCCCGGTATCAGAAACGGTGCGTTTGACAGCTGCATGGCGCCATGTGGATCGGGATATAGATAGAATAGTCCGAGACGGTGATGTTTCACCTTCCAGGCAGCATGATATCGTAGCTGCAGAAGGGTGAAGGGCGAAGGGCGAGGAGGGCGAGAAGAAGGTCGGGATCCGGCACTAGATGGATAGATGCCTGGCGGCCTGCGGCCATCGTTTACACACACACAGGCGGGTGCAGCCTTCCTAAAGGGGCTTAGCGTGCGCGTGGCTGCCTTGCCGGTCAGTGCAAATGTGCACTAGCCAGATCGGGATTGGGCGATCGCGCGGCGGAGAACCGATCGGGGTCACGGGACCGGCCACTAGGCCTAGCCAGGACTAGCCGGGCCGGGACGACCAACGGGATTGCATCTCCGGGGGTCCGCTTTGGTTCTTCTTGGCCACATTCAGCTTTCTCTCTCTCCCACTCCCTCTCCCACTCCCAAGTGTCCACTGCGGCGCTGCTCGAGATTGATTGTGTCTTACCCGTGCCATGAATCGCATGAATCGCATGATTTGCCAGAGAACATGCCCGGACCCAAACCTCGCAGGGTCTTGCGTTCCCCGTTGACGAATCCAGGCCTCCCCTGCCCTCCAAATCCTGGTACGCTGCACATGGCCCTGGGGCCTACCCTGGTCTTGTGGCCCCCGCGCGCCCTGATTTATTATTCCTGATTCCATTTTTCTTCTCTGCGCATGGGGCCGAACGGCTCACTCGGATCCATTTACCCATGCTGTTACGTATGACTGACTGACTGGACCTGGGTATGCTGACGGATATCCTGTCTGCTGGAACGAGGAGCGCACTGCTGACGCCCCCCCGTTCAACAGGGGAGGTGTGTCTTTTGAGGATGGAATTCGTAATGCGGTCTTCCCAGGCAACAGAATGCTTCTGTCGACAGCGGTTTTTCAACGGCGTTATCATCGGAGAAGAGCGAAAGGGTGACTGCCGGCGCAGCTGAACCTTGCTTAGCGTGTCCGATAAAGTCGCTTCGCCGGGTCTGATACGCCGGGAACCACAATTCAGACCCATCCGGGCCCGCCACGAAAGGATCTTGATAGTTACAAACTTACAATGGGAGGTTGTCACTTGGGCTCTGGGCTGAAGCGACCTTGCTTGTCCACTCCTGCGTATTTCCGAACTTGCCAGATCACGCGGGATTGACTTGGCAGAGCCAATGCCCCATCGTTCTTAATTATCAGCACAGATGGGCCCAATCGGACACCGTCCACTCTCGGAGACTTTCTGGATGGAGGCTTGCAATTCGCCCTGCACACACCGGACGCGGGCCGGCAATCGTGCTGGGAGCTTCCATCAGCAAATTGAACGTGCATGGCCCAGCACGAGAGGGGAAATGATCCATGGCTGGCTCCCCGGCAAATTAATTTACTTTACTCGGACATGGCCTCGTTTAGCCTACTCGTTAATTGTCTTCCCTAAGCGCATTACGGTCCGTCATCCTGGTACCTGGAGAAACTGGCTAGTACATGGCCCGGCCGCCGCGTGGAGCACCGGGCAGGTGAATGCCATTGTTATATTAAAACAGATTTCCCGCACTATAGTTGGCCTGCTCACGTCAAGCTTACTCATTGCTCTGTTTCGCCTCATGCATCACCCCGTTTCTGCTTCCTGGTAAGCCCTCGTGTCTGTAAACACACAGATGCAGTGAGATTCCCCGTTACTCTACCATCATCAATGCCTTGCCGGTGACACACTCCTTACTCAACTTCTCTCTCCGAGAATGTGGCTCGCCGATAGGTCCCCGCATGGGGACTATGCCCATGTATCGTACATGGGCGGGTTCATCTTTCTTGCATATGTGGTCAGCGTGATGGGATGTACAACCACCCTGGAGCTTCTTCATCGACGGACATCCAGGGCTGGCCTGTATAACTGGTACGTTCTTCTGCCACGTGTGTTTGAAACAGGGATGTGTCTGACTGTGTCTATAGGTACCTCCTGCTTACCTCCTCCATTACCATGGGCGGTGTCGGCATCTGGTGTATGCATTACATCGGGAATCGCGCCATTGTCCTCGGTGATGGACAACAGCAGATGCAGATCATCTATAGTATGAAATTTACAGGGGTGTCTTTTGTGCTGCCGGTTGTCGTCCTGCTGGTTGCCTTCTACTCCATCGGAGCCAGCGAGAAAGCAAGCTATGTTCGAATCCTGATTGGTGGTACATTGACCGGAGGTGCCGTGTGTGCTATGCATTACATCGGTCAACTTGGCATCAGCAACTATAGTTGCAGCTACCAATCTGCAAATATCGCCGGGGCCACCATCATCGCCGTCTTTGCCAGCATAGTCGCTTTAACAGTGTTCTTCCGATGGAGAGCCACTTGGACAGATAGCTGGTGGAGACGTGCTATCTGCGGCTGCGTCCTTGCTCTCGCTGTCTCCGGCATGCATTGGACTGCCGCGGTTGGCACTCGTTATCGGAATCGTGATGAGTCGATGACGCACAACGGCCAGTTGTCTCGAAGCCAAGTCGTCATCATTTGCTCCGTTTTGGTAGGTCCGCTCCATGTTGTCGCTCCACTTGTCGATGAAATTAACGAAGTCAGGCATGTGCCGCCTGCGGGCTCCTGACGGCATGCGCCGTAGTGGCTGGGGGAAACCGAAGACGACTGAACATGCAAGCCCGCCAGCTGGTCTTGACTTGCGCTTTCTTTGACCAGGAAGGGCGAATCATGGTCACCCCACACGCACTGCTTCCCAGTCGGAAGATTGTTGACCGTTACGTTGGCAAGGTATGTACATGACCCGGCTTCTGAAGTCTGTGTGCTGATATGAGACCTTGATGCACCTCTTCAGACTTTCAATGACGATGACCTTACCCGCAGCCATCCCGCGTTTCTCTGGGCTTTCCGTGCGAGTAGGAACTGGAATCTAGTCAAGGATGTTGTTCCTTTCATGAGAAGTCGGATCGAGTCGGAAACGGCCTCGATAGAACACTACATAACCAAGGGAGATACTATGGACAACGACACCGAGATGCAGCACGACTTCGACGAGCTATTCAAGCGACACTTCTGCGTGGCTGCCCAGGATCTTGCCGACGAAGTTCGACAGCCGCTGCCGTCCCTTGGAAAGCTGTACGACAACGTTCTCATCACAAGCGCACCGACCTCGCGCTTCTCTCGCGCGATGGGATACTCCAGAATAGGCAACAGCAAGGGTCAGATGCTATTCACAGTGCGTCACCTGGACAAGCTGGATTCGAACCGACTAGCCGCGGCGGGATTCCGTTTCACACGGGTCGAAAACGTCACTTCAGCTTTGTCGAGCCGGATGCATATTCCGCTACCGATTCTAGGCGAACATCTCAGGGATATGAGAGATTACGCGGCCTCCAGCCGGAACTACGAGGCTGGAGTCCACCTTGTCTCTTTCATCATGCGCCCTACCGTCTACGACCACTTCGAAGTGCTAACAGCTAAAGGAACAGGTAACCCGTTGCCTTCCGCGACGCTGCCGCTCAAACGTCTGCACATCCATCACCTAGATCTCATTTCCCATATGGAAGGGTGGACGATATCGACCTGCCTGAGTTGGCTGAGATCCGACGCCGCACAGGCTAATCCAGATCTCGACGACTTCCGCGAGCAGCTGATCCACGCAATGACGACGCTTTCCAGCTCGCTACCCCCTAGCATCAACCTCGCATCGAAATTCTCCGCCCGGCCTCTGATTGCCCCATGTCGCACCTCAAGCCCCTCGGACTCTGCGAACTGCATCATTCTGCCATTCTGCGCCGTCGGAAACCTAGACACCCAAGTATCGAACCCCGAATACGTCTTCACGCCCCTCCGCCTCTTCCGCGTCCAGCAGCAAATGAACGACGTCAACGTCGGGGGCGACGGGTTCGCAAAGGAGCTCGGCAAAGAGCTCTACTTTTCGAACGCGCGCAGCAGCTCCGCCACGGATTCCGAAATCGCGCCCTCCGTCCGAGCCGGCCTGAAATTCTGGCAGCGCAAGCGTTCGGAGTCCACCAACAAGCGTGGTAACTCCCAGGAGACGCTGACCGAGCTCTCGCAGCTAGGCGATATCGTCGTTCGCAGGGAGGTCAAGGTCGATGTCTCGAAGCTGTCGCAGCCCGCGATGGAAACGAGTACCCTTGGTAGACACACGTCGCACACCACTGTGGTCGCTGGAGATTTGGCTATTAGCACGTATGTGGATGAACTCTACAATATGTGCTATTCGCCTGGTGTGCGCTTGCGACCCGACACTGGCATCACGAGGATCCCGACGGGTTGAAGCGTGTCTGTCGGCGATCATCATATTCGATCTTATGCAGATGGATACAGACCCGTCGTGCATACAAGGGCGGACCTGACCTATCGGCCTAGGCTTAAGGGTTGATCTGCACGCAAACCAGGGTCCATGCCATGCCATCCCACCTTACTCATCCTCCCTCCTCCCATTTGGGACTCACGCCCGCGTGGTGATAGCTGCTCGGCGTCCGCACAACCTACCATCTACTGGCTTCCCAACCCTAAGTCAGCCAGCCAGCCCGTCTGGGCCAGACTCAGAAACCACTGGCATCATAACCGTCTCACTGCGAAGTACCTTCCATATCTATCACAATCAGCGCATTGATTGCCATCTACTCACGCCGATCAAGTACTCAGACGACTTCTATATCCTCACTATCTATCATCGCTACATCCATCTACGCGGCCTTTTCTGTTCCTTTCTCGCCTCTCTTTCTGTTTCTGTTTCTCCTTCTCTATACATTTCTTAGTTTCACTTCCATCTTCATTTCCTTGTCTCTTTCTCCTACTCTCTATCATCTGATGGAAAAAACACGGGTATGACCCCGCCTGTATGATACCTATACACCGTCCTGTCCAGCACACGCCACACACATAGACTTGTATATACACATATATGTATACATACATACATACATACTACCTATACTAAAGAGCAAAAAAAGCAATGCAGAGCAATGCACAACAATACTCGCTCACTATCCTAGGAACGTAATCATGAGCCTAAGCATACAGAACTATTGCACAACGTAATCCAACCAAATCTAATCCAACCCAATCCAATCTAATCCAACCCAATCCAATCCAACCCAATCCAACCCAATCCAACCCAATCCAACCCAATCCAACCCAATCCAACCCAATCCTCAACCCCCCTCAAAACCTCCAACCCTCAAAAAGCCCAAAGACCACACACATACACACACACCGCACCGCACCGCCAAAAGCCCCACCGCACCCAACCAAACCTCACCCATACATACCCCCCCAAAAAAAAACCACCCCCAAAAAAAGAAGATTAAAAAAGAAACCTCCCTGACTGGGAGTCGAACCCAGGTCTCCCGCGCTTGTTCCCAAGGGGAGTGACAAGCGGAAATCATGACCGTTAGACCATCAAGGATTGATGAGGTAATTACTCCCATAATCAGGTATATCAATCTTTCTAAAGGTTGGGGTTCGGGGACTCGTGTGGCGGCGGCGAAGGGTGGTGCTTTTATATGATGCTGTGTGTGTGTGTGTGTGTGTGTGTGTGTGTGTGTGTGTGTGTGTGTGTGTGTGCTGGCCGCAGTAGTTAGGAGAAGGCTAGAAGCTTAATTCTGATTCGGTTAATCCCCTCCTCTTCTGTTTATGTTTTTTACACCAGCCATACTTCATACTCTGTCCGTAGAATGAAGCGGTATGCAGATTAGGGAATGGATGGGTGGATGGATGGATGGATGGATGGTTTATGTGCATCGGCTATATCTGTCTGTTTGTCTGGGGTTTAGGTAGGTATATATGGGGTTAGCTGGATAGATGGATAGATGGATAGATAGATATAGAGAGGTTATTTATTACCCACCAACCCAGACCTAGGCCCAGGCCCAGGCCCAGCCTCTACAGGAACCGGAGTAAACTGAACTGAACGGAACTGAATCAAATCAAATCAAATCAAATCAAAGAAATAGAGCAAACTACAATACAACGGACAAGAAAATGTGGACATCACATCATGTTGTGTTCAGTAGAGCATAGTATAGCATAGTGTACTATAGTACACATAACATAGCATAGCAAACCATCTCTATCCAGAGAGCCAGAACTACCTACCTACCTAGGTATCTATCTGTGTATATATGTATGTACATATATATGTACGTATGTATGTATGTATCCATCAGATGCCACCAATATCATATCATGTAACAGTCCCCTTCCCTTTCCCTCCATTCCCCTCCCCCCTCCTCCCTTGTATGTCCCACGACAGAAGGCCCGGGGGTCTAGGCACAGTATAACAATAGGAAGAGAGGGAGGGAGGGTGCGCAGGATGACATGAAGTAAGAAGGAAGAAAGGAAGGAGGGGAGGAACGAAGGGAGTAAATGAAGGAATGAATGAATGAATGCAAAGCCGAAAAACCATCCATCCATCATCTTTCTCTATGTTCGAGTTCAAGAAATGTATAAAAAAACTTTTCCGTGCGTGACATGCAACCCAACCAGACAACCACGCAACCGACCCAATGCAAGCAAAAAGCAGATACAGAAGATGTTATTCGATTTATGCAAGGTGTGTGTGTGTGTGTGTGTCCTTTTGAAAACGCCTCGGGGTGTATGTGTGATGTAATGCATGCGATGCGGTGTGAATTCAGGTCAAAAAGTCGTTATTGACTGTCGTTTGAGGATGGAGGCGGAGGTGGAGGCGGAGTTGAAAGAGGTATGAGAGGGTGGGAGAGAGAAAGAGAGAAAGAAGGAGGGCAAAGATTCAAGTCATGAGCGCTTTATTCGCCAGGAGTCATATGAACAAGGAAGAGGAAAGAAAACGTCAATTATGCTCTAACCTATCAGAGGGAAATAAAACAACACCCGACGCGCTAATGCAAGGCCCCGCCAGCTATCTGGCCGGCTCGAGGGCTGATATTTGTCGTAACGTCGTATGCGTGAGCTCTTGTGTCGGAGAGCCCGGGTGGGAGATGAGGTGAGGTGAGGACGAGGAAGAGGACGAAGGGGCCTGGAGGCTTAGGTGCTCCTAGGCCGGACGAGTTCTCGAGAGTCGCTTGCTCCGCCTCGGAGGCTTTGGGTCGATGCTCGACTCGCCCGCGGGGATGGAAGCCTCGGCTGAGGCCGCTTTCGAACGCAGCCGCAGCTTTCTATCCCGCGCGGGCGAGTCGGCGGCAGAGGATGGCTCGGGGGCGGAGGCCGGCGAGCCACCCTCTGTTTGCTCCGCGGTCGGGCGGACAGAGGGCCTCTGTACCCCGGTATCTGGGCTCACCCGCAGGCGCAGGGACACCAGGTCGTTCTGATCGTCCCGGAAGGCGATCCCGACCGTGACGTCTGGGAGGATCCGGCGCTTGGTCTCGCGCACCCGGGTGCGTCGGACGGCAGGCCGCGGGTTTTCTTCCGAGTCGCTCTCGTCGGCCGAGCGCTTGCTTCCGGTGCTGAAGGGGGAGGAAGACCGCGAGGAGGGTTGCAGACGCGATTTCATGATCGCCTTCGACGCAGGGGCGTCTGCGAGAGAGGTACCGGTGCCGTCCCCGAGGAGATTCATGAACGCCCGATCGATGTTGCCGCGGCATTGCTGTAGCATCTCCACGATGGTGTCTTGGTCAAACTTGCCCCCAAGACCCTCCTGGATTGCGGAGATCTTCCACGGGGTAGCCACGTCCACGGTGGTAGGGGTGGTCGACGCCGCTTTTTCAGCCACTTCGTCGGCCTTCAAGACACATGGCAGACCCTGGTGAGGCCCTTTGACATTTCGTACGGAGGAGTAGTGTTGGAATTCCTGCCGTCTCGTTAGACACCGCATGAAACTAATCGGACGAGAACTTACGTGATATGCAATATGTACGACCTCTCTCACCTCGTCCTGAGGAGCATGGACATCGCGGAACGTCTGGATGCCGTACATGGTATAGACCTTGACATCTTTCTTGAAAGACTGGCAAAAGGCCTGAATCTCTTGAGCTCCACCCCAGACGCCCTTCTTGCGGGACTCAGCCACTTTAGTATCAAAGGTCCGCTCCTTATCCTGGTCTGAGGGAGGCGCCGGGCTCGCGGACGAAGAAGAGCTGGTGTACATGGCGGCGGCGGCAACGGCAGCGGCACGTCGAGGGGCCCTGCGCTCCCCGCCACTGGCAGAGACGAAGCTCATGAAGTACCCCTTATTGGCAGCGATGTGGTCCGCGAGGCGGATACGAATGTCGTCGGCGTGAGTGAATTCTCCGTACTCCTGGTCGGAGAGCGCGTAGTATAGGCAATTGCCTAGGGTTGGCCGTTAGAGACAAGACCCAATTGAGCCAGACGAAGCCCCGAGCGAGGCCGCGAGTCCAATTGACAGGAAGTACGTACCGTCCCCTTCAGTGGGAAGAGCATAGAGATCGAGCTCTTTGAGACAGGCGAGTTCCAGACTCTCTGCCTCGGTAGTCTTGCTGCGGCTTTTGCGGTTTGACTTCATGTCTTCCGAGGGCGGTTGAGCTTGTACTTGAGCTTGTACTTGAGCTTGAGCTTCTGGATGTGGTTCCGAGGGTGATTGAAGTGGTTTGGAGAGAGAATCGTCCGTGGAGGAGCGCGAGAGTTGCCGGGGGGTTGCAACTATAGGCACGATTCTGCCACCGTTTTGAACGTCCGCCATTGTTGGAGTAGAGCCCTGCCCGACGAACAGCCCTCATTTGGCAATCAATAGGGAAGAGAGCCTCGTCGAGCAGAGAGGGGGCTGGAGGACAATAGGGAGAGGATAAGGCAATAGCACGTAGCACGGAGGAGGGACCAGTGGGGCAATGGAGGAGTGAATTGGGGGGGGAAGGGAGGGGAGAGGGGAGAGAGGAGAAGGGAGGAGTAAGAAAGAGGTAATCGTGACGGGGGAAAGAAAGCGAGAAAAGCAACACGCACGATCTACACACGCGAGAACGGCGAGACTTTTCTTGTCCGGACGGAGAACTGCGGAGGGAACTTACTGGGCGCCAGTATCTTACCGCCGCTTTCCGTACCGAGGCCGGGGCGGTGAGCTAATAACGGACCGCTGATTGGCCGCGCGCGCGACCAAGGGTCGATGATGACGAAAGAGGTACGGCGCGGGCGTTGGTGGGATCGGTTGAGCGGTCAGGCCAGACGGAGGGGGAGACGGTCTATGCAAGCCTACCTGATCGGTGGCCTGAGTGTACATAGTAGTGGGTAGTACGGAGTAGACAGTATGTAGTAAGTAGTAGGGATACTAGCTTCCAAAATTCAATCCTGTCTGTATCCCTCCCCCGCGCCATGCATATCATACTTCCAGAACAATGGCATGGCCGCCTCCCGACTGAGACCTGGCCTATACTCTCTCTCTCCCTACCCGCGGGAGGGGGACGTCGGACGCGTTCCGTACGGTACGGTACCCGAAGTGCAGCCGCCGCCTTGACCTGCTTTCGGTGCTCAACTCTTATCAAATCGCGGGATCGACGGCCGATAGGATCAACTCCTCCGCACTCACCACCAGCTTGGCTTGACTTGACTCACGCTTTTTTTTATCTAGCGCTTACCAGCTATCTCTGCTCTGCTACATATACAACCATGTCCCAGTAACATTGCTCTCAACCCAATCCCTCAACTACTATATAAAAGAAAAACTGCAACCTCCACCATGGCTACCGCCACCAACAACATCGTGATTCTGGGGTAGGCCTGTTTCCCCGCAAGTCGACAGCGACAGACTGTACCCAAGCCCAACTAACACCATCATTCCAGCGCCGGTGTGTCCGGTCTCACCACCGCATACCTCCTGTCCAAGGATGCCGCGAACAGCATCACCGTGATCGCGAAGCACATGCCGGGCGACTATGACATAGAGTATACCTCGCCCTGGGCCGGAGCCAACTTTCTCCCGTATGTCAGCCAAGGGTAGGCCCCATCGATTCTGCGTTCTGGATCCCTGCGAGCCCATTAGTCTAATGCAATTGCGTCGCGCAGGGTAGGGAAATCGGGAAGTGAACATGAGCGATGGGAGCGAGACACCTGGCCCACCTTGCAGGAGTTGACAGAGAAGCATCCTGAAGCGGGCATTCATTTCCAGGGTACGTGCCTCCTACTTCTGCCACCATCGTCGTGTCAACTACCAGGATGAAGTACTCATCGACACTCACCAGAATCCATTGTCTACAACCGCACCAAGGACCAGGGCTCCGCCACTGGCGAATGGTTCGCCGAATTGGTGCAGAAGGACCCCTGGTATAAGAATGTTGTTCCTGACGTGCGTCCCCTCAACACCTCGCCTCACCTCCCCTCACTAACCACCCCACCCACCCAGTACCAAGACATCCCCGCCTCCCAACTCGCCCCCGGAATCAGCAACGCCTCCAAATTCACCTCCGTCTGCATCAACACCGCCATCTACCTTCCGTGGCTCGTAAGCCAATGTCTCAAGCACGGGGTGATCTTCAAACGGGCCGTGCTCAAACACGTCGCTGCGGCCGCAATCCACCACCACAACGGCCAGCCCGCCGACGTCGTAGTGAACTGCACGGGGCTCTCATCGCGCAAGCTCGGCGGCGTGCTCGACGACAAGCTCTACCCGGCGCGGGGCCAGATCGTGGTTGTGCGCAACGACCCGGGAAAGATGGTGTCGATCTCGGGAACGGATGATGGCGAGGACGAGGTCGTGTACGTGATGACGCGCGCTGCGGGCGGCGGGACCATCATCGGAGGCTCGTATCAGAAGGATCAGTGGGATCCGTTGCCGGATCTGAACCTCGCGACACGCATCATGAAGCGCGCGGTCAAGCTTTGTCCTGAGTTGGTGGGCGAGGGGCAGGGAATTGAGGGGTTGGATGTGATTAGGCATGGGGTGGGGTTGAGGCCGATCAGAGAGGGGGGGCCACGCATTGAGGGCGAGATGGTTGAGGGGGTCGCGGTCGTGCATAACTATGGTCATGGGGGTTTTGGATACCAGGCTTCATTTGGGTGTTCGAGGGATGCGGTTAGGTTGGTGCAGGAGGCTTTGAGGAGGAAGGATCGCGCGAAACTGTGAGGGGTGGATTGATGCTGCGGCCTGCGGTGCCCTTTGAATACTACGTATTATTATTAAAATGACAAGATATTATAATAAGCTACCCATGGAAACAGTAGTAGTAGATCCTTACGGGTACGTAGAATTTCAGAACTCCGATCCAGCCATGACGGGACGGCCAGCCATCGGGACGGTCTGAATTCATCATGACGCCATGGCTGCGGTAGTATAGACGTCAACCCCGGATGCCCTCTACGCTGTTTTCGCCCCAATCCATCAACCATTCTTGATACAAATCCAATCTAGTTATCGCTCAATTGGCATCGAATCCCCAATCCCCCCCCCGGTCCGACCAACGTACCTTGTTCAGATCACATCACTTAATTGTGTCTACAGCAATAAAATGAAGTACAAATCACCCCAGGTAGAGGAATACCCCGAGACGGACGCCACGCCTGACGCGCCCAAGAGAAAGCTCGATCAGCGCGATCCCGGGCAGGCGGATACGACCGGCGAGGGGAGTTTAGACGCGGAAAAGGAGCAGGGGCAACCGCCTGCCAAAGCGTCCAAATTTTCGTCCGCGAAAGACCCTTCTGGTGAAGTCGAGGTGATTGAGATCAGTGACTCCGAGGATGGGGATGAATTGTTTGAGGGGGAGGGGGACGAAGATGTTGTTGATGTAGATGAGGACGAAGGGGCAATGCAGGAGGAAGATGAGGATGAAAGACAGGGGTACGAAGACGAACAAGACCAGGAAGAGGAGGATGAAGATGCAGAGGGGGAAGAGGAGGGTGATCTGATGGGAAAGCCGAAACTGGAAAAGGCAGTCAAGGAATTCGGCCGCCCTCCGCTCTACGGCACAACCATCGCGGAGGAGCCTCTGGAAGACTCGCCCGATACACTTCTGGCCATGGCGATCGATGCGATACTGAAGTCGCGGCCCATCTCTCATGATCTGTCTCAGCGGGCCGTACATAAGGTCATTGAGGTGGGGTATCATGATATACGGAAGCTGGGGGGGAGCAGCTGGGAGGAGCGAACGAGGGTGCTGAGTGACGGGGGATATAATCGATATAGGGAGCAGGGGGCGACGAATCTGGGCGATTTGGCGGAGTTGGTGAATGATAAGTATGGTATGTATTGTTTATCCTAGTTGAAGTTGGTGTGGGTAGCTGACTGGGACTGCAGATGGAGATCTCAACAACCTCTTGAAGAAGGCCCACAACGATCGCAATGAGACCAGGCAGTTGGTCAAGGAGATTAAGGGACTCGGTGATCTGGGCGCTGATCTGTTCTTCAACAATGTGCAGAGCGTGTGGCCCTCGATGGCCCCGTTCATCGATGGGCGCAGCTTGCAAACGGCGGAATATGTCGGGATCGGGACGGATCTGGACGCCATCTATGCGGACCTGGGACGCGACTCGATGCGGATGAGTCGATTGGCCAATGGACTGTCTGCTGTGAGACTGGAGCACAGGCAGGGGGATTTCACGGCGGTTTGAATGTGCAATTCTAGGGCCGATCCTGGTTGAGTCATTTAGGCATCAGACTGAAGCAAGCAACTATACCCAGCGCTATCACTAGATATCTTTCGGACAGCTTAATCGTAGCTGCCTGTCCGCTATGACGTATGCGGGCTCTCTATCTTCTGGACCGATGAAGGAGCCCCCAGGCTTCTGGGGGAGCTGTTCATGATAAGAGACAGATGGAGCGAGTCAGTGACAGAGAGAGCATGCAGGACTAGATTGGAATTTAGCAGAAAACGAACACACGAGCAATGAGGAGTCCCGTTCTTTGTACTCCACCTCTTTAATCCGGCCAACCACCCGGGACCGCTGAGTCAGCCGGTGACGGTGCGGGCTTGGCAGACCCGCTGCTTGCGACAGCGCGACATCGATGCTTGAGCCTCGCCATCTCCTTGACTTCCCTCCCGCACTCTTCCTTCCGGCTCGTACTTGTCAAAGACGCTTGGCTCCAAAGGTGAGTTTCCATCCCCTGCTGTGCCGTTTTGTATGTCCGCAGCTCAATCGGTGCTCCCCACTCGCGACCATACCGTACGCAGCTGTGAAGCTAGGTATCTTGTCTACCACCACAGCTCACGGATAATAACCTGCACCGCGTCTGCCTATTCCTATCGAGCTAATGGGACTAACGGTTGCTCCTTCATAGATAAATCTCCTCTCTCAATAACATCCATTGACGTCGATCCCAGTCTTCCGAGATAGACACTCGATCTCCGCCCGAAACCACTGTCAACCAGATACACAGAACGAGCTTGTCCAGCCCAAACAGCTGCGAAAATGGATCTCTCTAACATCTTGTATGTTGATCATGACTGTGGAAAGCACACCTTCTCTCAAAACAAGCCCTAACGTAGCCACCACCCGCAGTCGGATTGTCAACATCGCTGTTGGTGTGCTCATGGTCCTGGGAGGTATCTCGCAGTTCTTCCCGGCGTCCATGAGCTCCATCATCGTTGGCATCTATGTGATCATCTTCGGTCTCAGTAAGTCCTCGCATCGACCAATCGCGCATCGCTGCAGAATACATACTCATACAATAATGTGCCTTAGTTGTCGGTGGACTCGAGTTCCTGCCCAACGTTCCGGACTACGTCTACCGTTATGCGTCTTTCCTCTTCTCCTTCCTGGGACGTGGTGGTTGTAAGTTGCAACTATTCTCGCCCGTCGAGCCTCGTTTTCGGTGTATTGACCAGCTGTCCAGTCTACATCTTTGTCGGATCGATCCTGCTGCACGACGCCGTGTTGCGCTACATTGCGGGCTCCCTCATCGGCGTCATCGGCCTGGGCTACCTGGCCCTGGAGTTCATTCCCTCCATCGAGCCTCCGTCCAACATGCGCGAGACCGACCAGGGCTGGGGCGCCGAGCAGGTCTAAATCCGGCAAACACTTGCTCTGGGACGGTAGGACGACGTCTGACGCATGATCCTTTGTCTCCGAAGTTGACCAGTGTCTGCGGATCCTATGGCTGAGCAGGGCGATGCGATCGATCGAAAGGTCGAACGAGGCATGCGTTTGCAGTGTGCGTGAAGGTCGGGAAAGTAAAAATATCTCTGATGCAATGTTTGATGATCGACGAGCGCGATGATTGATTGATTCTCAGCGATGATTCGAGAGCTGTGAGGTTGTAAAGGCCCCGGAGTCAGGTTGGGAGGCGGTTTTTGGCGGCCGAGGGGGGAGGGGGAAGAACCACTTGGCCCATTTCCAATTACGTTATTTTATCCATCTGCTTGTTGTCCTTGGGATAATTCTAAAGGCCCCGTCCAGTGGCCCCGTCCGTTCTGAATGGCGCGTTTTCCTTCTCCATAGCTCTGTACTTATAATAAAGTAGAGGATGAGATTGTACTATATCTATAATTTTTCTTCCCCCCCCACCGTCTGGTGTGGGCTCGTAGGTCTAGATCTGGCCGCGTGGCATGGCGTGGCATGGCATGGCATGGAATGACATGGTGGTGGTGGTGGTGGTAGAAAGGGAAATGGGTCGCTGGATATGACACCTCTTCGGTGTCCACCAGTCAATTCCAGCCTTTATCGAATTACTATTTATTGACACTCCGTATCCAGCCCAGTTGATTGATCAGACAGCCCAAGCGTTGGCTGTCTCGGACCAACCCGGAAGTCGGACGATACTTGTCCTCCGATGCCAACCGCGAGTCGCGACCAGATCCGTGTCATGTGGGCTGGCAAGATTATCTGATCCCGTTTGCTCCCAGAAAAACAACCGCCCACACAACCTTACGTACTATGCCCCATCTAAGCACGGAATACCCTCCCAAGCAAACAAACCACCGCCAAGAGCCATAGTCCTGCTCTAGAAACACTTGACAGCAGTCACAGCACAGGTAACAGGTGGCTCGGCCCTCCTTTCCGGCCCACGAGACCGACCCCCTCAGTTCGGAGATAAGCTGATGGCTGATGTGGTGACTGACTCGCCATCCGGTATCCGGCTGGGCTTGGGCTTCATCTCTGCAGTCTCCGTCCGTCCAGCTCAATAATAATGACTGATTATCAGGACGGGGACGGGGCCCGTTAGTCCGGATATGGAAAGCAACTGCGTCCGTCCGTCCCACCCAGCTCCGTTTACGGCGGTGATACGTCTGCCTCGGCTTCATCTCTCCTCACCACTGACTATCTAGGTAAATACATACTCAAGAATCTTGACTGGTCGGCAACAAGCAAACCCGCTGGTGCCGAATCCTACTGCGTACTATCAGCCCAGTCAGTCTATAAGACCCGTCCAATATAGCCGCTACGGAGGCATACGAATCACAAACAAGCCACCGTCCGTAGCTCACATGCAGCACCATCTCGCTACCGAGCACTAAGGCAGAAAGCACCGTCCAGGCAGCCTATCACTGCGTCCTGTGACAGCCGTGGTAGCCATCTCTGCCGCATGATCTGCTAAGGGTAGAGTAGACGCCAGACGGTAGAGAAGCCGTTGCATTGAGTTGGAACTTGGCGGAGTCCAGTCCTCTTGGCTCTTTTAGTTTTCTTTCTTTTTCTCTAAAGGGGGGGACAGCCTTACGGGTGAACTCCACCAAACAGTGCACATCCGTATCGTCATCGTCATCATATCTGAGATAATCACTGATTTGATCAGTGGATAGATCATGATATGATAACAGCATCCTCCGTACTCCGTACTTACCTACCAATGGACCCGCGACCGGGCGACCGGTGTGTTACCTTACTTACCTACCTTACTATATTACCTCAATCCTCCGTACTGTGTACAGTACTATGTTTCCAGATCCAGAGACACACCACTCACTCGCGATAATAACCTGAAAACTCACCCCAGTCGGCCCTTTTTACGTACTATTGCAACGAACGATGAGAAGACAGACTCAAGCAGCCAGCAGGAGTCAGTCAATCAATCAAATCAGCATCCGGATCTACGGCAGGCAATCAATCCTGCTTTTCTTCTTCCCCTCCGAGGGCGGCTGTTCTCGCCCACCCAAACCCAAAAACCCAAACCCAAACCCAAACCCAAAACTCAAAACCCAAATCAATAATAATCAACGGGCGTAACGCAGGTTACCGTGTTTAGCGCCTGAGTCCGGCGTCGCATCGCCCATCACAAATCGCACTACGGCTCGCTTGTCCTATCGTATCGTATCATATCATATCCATCTCACATCATCATATCATGGCGCCTGCGAGCCTGCGACTGCTGCTGTTGCCCGGTTCAGGTCATCGGCGTCACGCCACGATCGCACTAGTGGCGTCCTTTTGGGGGGGGGTTCGCTTCGCTTGCCCTGCTGTAAGTAATTGTACTTGTCGGGTGCGGCGCGTATCGCTCTGAGTACTATTGGTAATTGAACACGGTGTTTAAAAGGCCCCAGATTGACAAGAATAGGTGAGAGGTGTGGAGAGGGAGATGTCTAGATAATATTAGGAGGACGGAGTAAGGTACTTGAACTTCGTATCCGTACCGAGTGCACAGATTAGTATCTATCTATCTACCTACCTACCTACCTACCTACCCATTCGACCCCTCCGCCCCGACCCCGGGGGTGTGACAGGGGCTCCAAAACAGAGACGTGTGTATGTATGTACGTAAAAGCAAAAAAGAAAAAAACAAGTGTCACTCTCGCAGCTGCGCCTCACTGCATGGAATGGAATAGATACGTAGTTAGACATCGGAAGGTTTGGAAGGCCTGGAAGGCTGGCTGGAAGGGAGTGAGTGATTATCATTATTATTGATTTATCTACTAGTTAACTAGCACTTAGTACTTACCTAAACAGGTCCGTCCTAGGCAGGCATCTATCTACCTTACCTTACTCCGTACGCCACGGCGAATCGGAATCCGGTCAGCAAAAAAAAAAAGTCCTTGTTGGGGTTACGCCACGAGCCAATGACAGGCGCGATAGATCAAACGGGCCTTTCGTCAGCCGCGTCGGAGAGATAACACGCGGGTTCGGTTCCGGTCAAGACAGAATAAGAATAGTCTTAGAAGTATCTATCTAACTAGTGGAAGGGGAAAAGGGAAGAGAAGGAAAAGGAAGGGGAAGGGGGATGGATCAGTCTCCGGAATTCCGGTGGGGTGTTTGTTGCCTTTTTTTTTTTTTTTTTTTTTTTTTTTTGCTTTTCTCTTTTACTTTCCCCTTTTTCTCTTTTTCCCTTTCCTTGTTCTTACTATTCTTAATCTTCATGCAGCTGGCGATTTCACCTACTTACTTACCTAACTAGGTACCTACTTAGGTACATCCGACTATTCACTAGTAGCCACCACTAGTCCAAGTTCCAACACCGTAGGGCGGGCGGCGGATGCTTCGCTGCCACCGACTGCCGAGCCAGAAGGGCATAGTGCTATCTATCTAGTAGTAGTTGCGACTTGCGACCGACCATCCGGGTGGGGACATGGAACGTCGGGATTATCGTGATGGAATCTCCGACGCAGCCAATGTGGTTGCCTAGAATGCCGCTGACTCGACGACTAGAGGTTTTCTCGGCCAATCGCGGACCGTCGAGTAACGCTTATTCTAGAACGGACGCGCTACGCACTGTTCGGGAAGGCGCGCTGCCCCCTTTCCCACCACCACTAAACCGCATCAGGCAGCGGTGGAACCCGGATGATTCGATCTGGGGAGGGTCGGATAGGCCAGGAATCGGAAAACGGCCAAATGGGTGACGGACAGCGACGCAGGCAAATTCGAGCCACCGCGCGCAAAAATTCTGTTCCAGATGGGTATCTATCTACCTAGAGTTTGATTTTTTTTTTGGGGGGGGCTGGTTGATCTAATGCGAGATCAGTTGGTTCCGAACTTTTCGTCCAGTCTTGGGGAAGGCAAATCTACAGTAAGTATGTACTAGGTAGGTACTTTGGTACTTTGCAGGGGCAAAAAAGCAAAAAAGGAAAGAAAAAAAAAAGAAAAAAACCTGGCAGGAAATAGTACTCCGAAGTTGGGAAGAGGAATCGACCCCCCAGTCGTAGATCCCCCTGGGAGATCGATAACAAAGGCTGTCGTTGATAAGACCACTCTGCTGGGAGAAGAAGAATAAAAAGGAAAAAAAAAAAAGAACATGGCCGAAAAGAAAAGACTCTTTCTTAATTTTATGTTTATTTTTATTTTTTATTATTCTATTTGTTCAAAAAAGCAAGACAGGACGTGTTGGTAAGTAATCTGGTACTTTCTATTTGCCCGTCTCATGACAGATCCATCCGAAAAGGGCCTGGCCCGTGGTTCCCGACTATACTTGCGCCTGCTATCAATTTGGGTGGTAGTGTTCGGCCTCCCTCAACCTTGACCCTTCATCATCATCATCATCATCACCACTATCATCACCATCGTCAAACCATCGCTACCCACTTCCCTCTTCTTCTCCATTATCAATCTGCCTACCGCTTCCTCGGCTTTGTCGCCTACCTCTTCCTCACTCCGCCCCCTCCACGCCTCCACGCCTCCTCGCCCCCTCCCCTGGGCCCTCCTTTCTTCTTTCTTCTTTCACACACACACACCCTTTCATCTCTTGTCCTCTACCTACCTAGTACGACTCCGTACCTTTCCCCCCTCCCCATCATATCTGATCCGACATTCCATCGCCTTGGATTGATCGCCCGCCCTGTTACCGCCGATCTTTCGTTTCCTACTTCCGCTGTCCCCAAACCCAACGATCGATCTATCTATCCCATCTCTCAGGTTTCCAGACCGTTCTTTGGAGCCTCCCCCGGTCTCGTACTTTGTCACCTCACCTCACCTCACCTTACCTCCCACCTGCGACCTGTCCCTTCTTACCTGATCTCTGGGGTTCCCGCCCAGATTGCCGACTGCTGGTCGAGCACACCACCCGTCACAACTGGATCGCCACTCAGGCCACATCCCCCCCCATCGTGTGGACTGGCCAACACCCGGGTCTTTCGTGGCAGATCTGCTGCCCATTATTACAGTCCTGCTGCGTGCTGATCCTCTTTTGACTTTCGATCGCTCACCTCTTGCGAAATACGGTTTCTCCTTTCAGTCTTCCTTTGACCCTCGTCAGGGATCTTTGTCTCTCGTCTCCCGGCCCCCGTCTGGTTGGTCTTCGGAGTCTCACTAGCTGCAGTCACCTACTGGCTCGCCCTCCCAGTCAGGCTGTCGTTAGACTTTTCTTTTCTTTTTTTCCTGCACTGTCATCTTGACCGACTTTTGACTTGGTGATACAATCCATTTCTCTCCCCCGACTGTGGTGCGACACCACCATCACGACACACGCCCTCTCCTTATTTCGACTACGATCCATCTCAACCGACCCGGTCGTCTCTCGGAGCTCCCTTGCTCTGCTGGGCTCTGTCGCTAGGAAGTAGAGAAAGGAAAGGACACAACCCCACCAAGCTTGGTTGGCAATGTTAGCATCAATCCCCCAGATGGACACGGTGCGATCGCTCCCCCGGAATCCGGACATGGTTACGCGGCATCCATCGGCGGAGGACTTGGACGCTGCCCAGCAGTTGATCTCGTCCGCTCAGGCTGGTCGGGAACACCTCATCGACCGCAGCCGCGAGGATGAGGCCTCTCGAGCTTTCGACGTCAGACACACTCCATCTCCTTACGATTCAGACCGGACCATGCAAGGTTCAGCGATGCCATCGTCTGAACCGGGTTCCATCCCTCTCTCCGAGAAGTCCTCACCCAAGTCGCAGAAGGACACGTCCTTTCTGGGACATTCTTGCAGGTTAGTCCTGTTCGCCCATACTCCGTATTACCTGAATGATACTGACGACGGTGGCCTCACTTAGTAATTGTGGAACAAAGAGCACCCCGCTATGGCGACGATCACCGACCGGCGCGATGATTTGCAATGCCTGCGGTCTCTATTTGAAAGCCCGAAATGTCGCTCGCCCCACGAAGCGGAATCGCGTCCAAACAAACCCCGAGCCTGCTCAGCCCCAGCCGATACCGCAGCCGCAGCAGCAGCAACAACAGCAACAACAACAACAACAACAACAACAGCAACAGCAACAGCAACAGCCCCCGGTGATCCCCCACCAACACGAAGCCTCCCCTCCACATGAAGGAGGATGCCACGGCTCCAAAGGATCTTGTCCCGGTGGGGGGAATTGCAACGGCACCGGCGGTGCTGAGGGGTGCGACGGGTGCCCGGCCTACAACAACCGGGTGTACAAGTCGACTGCCCGGGGGACGGTGCCAGTGCACGCGTGGAATCGGGCGCCCCTTCCAGAGGTCGAAAAGCCGCTGCCCGTCCCGGAATCGGACGTGGCCGGGAAGAATCCTGTGCCGGCCGAAGGAAATCTGCTGGTGTCGTGTCAGAATTGCTCGACGACGGTGACCCCGCTTTGGAGGCGGGACGAAAATGGTCATCCCATCTGCAATGCGTGTGGTATGTTTTTTTTCCTTATCTCGGGGATCAATCTGCTAGGCTCCGAAGCGGCTGACTTGCGTTTTAGGCCTGTATTACAAGCTCCACGGGTGCTATCGCCCCACCACCATGAAAAAGACCATCATCAAGCGGCGGAAACGCGTCGTGCCCGCGCTGCGAGAACACTCCCCGACCGCGGCCACACACTCGTCCAACGGCTCTTCTGCCTCCCCCGAAGCCTCCCCCGCCACGCTCGCTCACGTCCACGACGACCACTACCGTTACTACAGCGCGGAGCCGATGGAACATTTTCCCATGGTGTCTGGTGACAGAATCTCACCGGCCGCGCCGAGGCAGTTTGGCTTCGCACCTCCGCCTGTTGATTTTACCGGTTTTAGCTCTGGACCCGTCTCTCTGCCGCATCACCCCCCACCACCGAGGCTGTTGGAGCCGGATCGTATCAACGCCCCGAGCCACTCTCCGGTGTCTCAGTTTGGCCGGCGGTCCCTCTCGCCGAATCCATCGGGCAATCCCAAGAAACGCACACTGGCAGAGACCGCGTCATCGGCCGAGGCTTTGTCGATTCCGACGACGCTGGAGAACGGGTCCAACCAACTTCCCCCTATCATGTCGTCCATCAATCCCTCTCCTCCTGCCCGCCTCAGCTCGATCTCCTCCCTCCTCAACCCCAACAACCACAGCGAATCGCGCTTGGATCCCTCGTTGGCTGCTCTTAGCCGTCAGCACCACCCGCCTCACCCTCCCCACCCCTCTCACCAAGCCCCTCCACTTGCCCCTCCGCCCTCACAGCCGTTGCCCGGCGTGTCCGAGCTGGATGGTCTTCGCGATGAGCGTCGCCTGAAGTTGCAGCGGGAAGCCGAAGAGATGCGCGAAATGCTGCGTGCGAAGGAGCGAGAACTGGCGGAGCTGGGACAGCAATGATCATTCATGGGTTCAAATTGTCTGGAATTGATGCACTTTGTTGTTTCTATCTAACCTTGCCTACCTACCTACTACCTACCTACCTCCCTACCTCTTTTTCTCCGACCATACATTTGGCGCAGAGCTCTTTCTGACAAGATACCAATTTTCAACAACGATGAGTTTTTCACTGGACTTGTGTCATATTTTATTCATTTATTTTATTTTTCAAGGGAAAAAAAAAGTTCTTTACTTTCTCCTAGTACTGGTTTTTTGTTTGGTTTTTTTTTTCAATGTTGTTCGAAGCGCTGGCGGGAACAAGCGATTAGGCGATGCGATTACAAAAGAAAGATATTATGGAGGCTGGTGTTTTGTTTTGTTTTCTCTCCTCTTTCTTTTTCTTTTTTTTTTTTACAATTTTCATTTTCCAATTCTATCTCCCCCCTTCCATCTTCTTCCATCTTTCCTTGTATGAGTGAGTGGGATTCACCCACCGGTTCAGGGCTGCATTTTAATGATGGGAATGGGACTGGGACTGGGTCTGTGCCCGAGCTCAGGATTGAGAATGCTGTTTTTTCTTCTATCTTCTTGTCTTGTCTTTATTTCGTCTCATGGGAATAGATCTCGGTATGGGTATGAGTATGGGTCTGGGCGTGGGCGTGGGCTTAATGAATGGGCTTACTTTACTTATCAAGATGACTTGCACGGACCGAACTCAAGCTTTAATCTACTATCTACTATCTACTATCTACTATCTACTATCATCCATCTATCATCTATCTATGATCTAATCTATCCATCTATCTATTATCTATCTAATCAGCAAATCGGCGATCGATCGATCATTCGATCATCCCTTCCCTTCTAAATCAATAAATGTTGGATGTTTTATCTGCCATGGGCTGGGCAGCCCTGGGCTGATCGATGGCTGGCTGGCTGCCAAGTTCCTCCCTACTGATAAGGATTAAGGCCGAGGACAAGGTTATTTAAGGTTGGTTGGGTTGGGTCGGCCCGACGTCGGCGAGTCAGAGTCAGAGTCAGTCAGAGTCAGACAGACTCAGACATCGAGAATTGTGGTAGTGAAGTAGCTAGGCTAGGTCTTGAATTTGAAAGGGGGATTCGTGAGTGATACCGATACATCGGTTGTTTTGGTTTGGTTTGGTTGTTGGTTGGGGTGTGAGAGTGAGAGTGTGGTGGATGGTTGGTTGGTTGGTTGTTGTGGGAGTAAGTAACTAGTTGAGATTGTTGTTGTTTGGGGGGGGGGGGGCGTTTCTGAATTGGTATGGTAAGTAACTAAGGGAAGGGAAGAGAAAAAGAAGGGGAGTGAGATTAGATCGGGTATCGGTCGGTCGGTAACTTTAGAGTGCAGTGCGAATACTACGGAGTACGGGAGTATGGTACGGAGTAGATATCTACGGACGGGCTTGGGGCTTTTGTTTGATTGGATATTGGATATACCCTTCCCAGTAACCAACCCTCTTCCCCCGTCCGTCTCTTCTACCTTTATTTTGTTCCTCCTCCACTGTCTGTCTTGTCCATGATTGTGGGTTTGATACTGCATGTAGATAGATAGGTAATAGGGAGTAATGTTGTTGCTTGCTAGTGTGATCTGGATGGGGCGTTATTGTTTCTTTTTTTATTTGATTTATATTTTGTTTTGTTTTGTCTTGTCTTGTCTTGTTTTTTTTTTTTTTTTTTTTTTTTTTTTTTTTTAAGAAGAAAAGAAAAAAGATCTCTTCTTGAAAGAAAATCTCTTACCTTTGCCGAATGGGATAGTATGGGAGGAGAGTTAATAACTAACTCTAAGTAACTTGACTTAACTTGCCTTACTATAACTACTACTATTGAGTAGTTCGGTATTCAAGTAGAGCTGTGACTCGATTGATATCCGGCAGATTTGATGAGTAGTTGTTTGGTTTCGTTCGATGGAATTTGGATTGATCAAGCTATTGACTGGTTGATTGATTGACAGGTTTTTCTTCCTCTTTTTTTTATTTTTATTTTTTTTTGCCCCGGGGGGCGGGGAGTTAGCTGTGCTTTTGGGATATGATTGGGTATGAGATTTGTGGTATGGCCAAGGGGTCTCTCCATTTATGGGTTGTGGGTAGGGTAGGGTCTGTTGTGGAATCTTGTGATAGAGGTAGGACAGGACAGGACAGGACAGGAAGGGCAGAGTAGGACATGACTCGGGTAGCAAAGTTGAGTTCAGCTTTCAGGGTCAAGACGGCAGTTGTACTTTAGTTGTAGGACTCTATTATTGGGAGCTGGGAGTTGGGAGTCGGGAGTCTGCTTTAGGTTTTTTGGTGGTTTGGGAGAATGGGATCTCTGGATGGTTTTGTATCTTCTCTCTCTCTTTCTTTCTTTCTTTTTTTGGTTGTTTGGTGGTTTTGTGATTTGGTGGTTTTACAGGGGGTATTGAGGGTAAGACATCATATTAAAACTGGCTGGGTTCTTTCTTTCTCGCTGTCTCGGTCCTTTTTTGTTCACTTTTTCACTCTTTGTTTGTGCTATGAAGAAAGAAACGAGAGCTAGGATTGTGACTGTGGATTGAGTATGCCTGCAGCAGGCAGCAAGGCAGCAGGGCAGATATCCAATCCTATCCAGTCCTATCTGCCTACCTACCTACCTACCTATCTACTGACAAGTAGTGGATTTGAAATATTAAAAGGCTGTATATAGATAATCTATACCTAGGGCTGGTATCGAATCTAGATACTTACCTTGCTAACATATCGGCATACCGGCATATCGGCATATGTACCAGTTGTCTACTCTATTGGTGTGGAGAGGTGATCGGAATGGATCTCTCTTTCCCTCTCTCTACCCCGGAGAATTTAAATTTGATGATATGCGGTGGGTAAGATTCTTACTCTTACTCTTACTATTACTTTTACTTCGAGTGTGAATATAAGACCTCCATTGTTATGACTTTCCCTCCTGAGACAGGTCAGAGAAAGAGATTGGCTATGCTTGGTTTTAAATATATATAGATGGAGTGAGGGTATCTGGAAATCTACCTCTCTTCTTACTTCACGCATAGATCAAGGAAAGAGAAGGAGGGGGGGCTTTGGTTTTAAATATAGATATAGATATAGTCATGATAGTCATTAACAATCGGCTGGCCATCGGCAGATGTGAGGATGTAAATCGAGGGGGAGGGAAGGGAGGGGGACATGATCTTGGTCTCGGTCCAAAGAGAAGGGAGGTGGAGGGGTGGGGTATAAAAAACGAGGGGATATAGTGGGAGGTAAGGGTAGCAGGTATAGAAGATGGCGTATATCATGCACCATGCATGCATACATACATATATTCAAGTGAAGATCATCCAGACACCGACCAACCGGCCCTAAACAAAGAAAGGGCGCGGGAAATATCAGAATAGAAGAAAAGGATGTGATCAAGACATGACAAAATCATCAAACATCCTCCACCACCAACCTCCGCTGACTGTTCGCATCCCCATGTCTCGACGACTGAATCATCGTTGTCGTGGTGACCTCGATCCCCGCACACGTGCCCTCATGGCTCGTCTCCCCGGACTTGACATCGATGGTGTACATCCCATAGTCGCGGTCCTGGGAGTAGAGCTCGACTTTCTGGCGGTGCGAGCGCGCGGTCATGCGGGTGGCGGTCATGCGGGAGGCCGAGATGGTGGGGTTGCGGGTGTAGCGGTTGTAGCTGTTTGTGTTGGTGGAGAGGAAGCGGGGGAAGATGCGGCTGATCAGGGGGCGCAGGAAGGGTAGACAGGCGCAGATGATGGCGACGTTGCATTCCGCGGCTGTCCAGTAGGCGGCGCCGACGTTGCTCCCTTTTAGGAGGGGGGTGGTTAGTTTGGGGTCTAGATTGCGGGGGAGGTGGGAGGGAGAGGGGGCTTACAGGATGTATCTGTGTCTTGGGCGACGGTTAGGAGGCTTGAGAGGCGGAGGGCACTGGTGATTATGACTCTGGATGATGGTTAGTATGTATGGATAGATGGATAGATGAGTGGATGGGACGTACAGCCCGCCCAGAGCGAAAATGCCCATCAGGGCGACTTTCTGCATGCGCGGAAGCTGCAAATGTGACAGGAGAGGCATCGGCATGAACAGCAGTATTGTGTCCGTGGCGATGTTCATCGAAGCGTTGAAGAACCACACGGCCTCGAAGCTGAGACAGGAGCCGGGGATCGCGCGGTCCCAGAACCGGGATACTGGGATGCAGTTCAGGAAGCCGCTGAAGACAGCCCACGTTCCGTACGTGGCTACAATGCCCAGCATGATGTAACAGGAAAGTCGGAAGCGGCGGTCAGGGAAGATTCGCAGGTATTGGAAGAGAATGGAGAATTTGGTGAAGATAAGGCTGGCATTGTAGAAGGGGATTGCGGCCCAGAGTCGCTTGAGGAGGGTTAGCCCATGTATGGGTGATGGGTGCGAAGGGTAGATGATCCTACCTTGTATTGTTGTTTTAACTGGGGGATTGTCAGGTGGTATGAGTGTTGTCCAAGACCGAAATGAACCTCTGTTGATGTGAGATATAGGGTTTGGGTGGGCTTGAGAAGGACAAGACTCACCAGCAGCAACGAAACCTAGGTATGTACACGCCAATACCTATACGGGTCATTAGCTGCTCAATTGGCATCTGAGTTGCTTATACATACCAGTGATGTCAAGATCATGTAATCTTCGCGACCAATAAGTTTCATCAGCCCGACTCTCGCGTACATTCGCATCGCGACGATCACAATCGAGAGCCCGGTAAGCACGGCTGTCACCACCAGTGCTTGCTGTCCGCGGGTTGCACCATCCTCTGTGCTTCGAGGAAGCAGCATGCTCACCACTATGTCATGCATCATGTCGTCAAGGAGTGAGTCAAGCAGGCGAGTGCTTTAAGGAGCGTGGTCCGTGATGTAGGTTAGATGCTGTTATTGCATTACTTTCTGCTAGATTGCTTGTTGATCCGTGTAGAGGTATAGTCTCCAGGTTCTCAAAACCTAGAGGCACAACTTGGTTTACCACATGGGTAAAAGAGCACCGACAAGCCTTAAAGAGAGTGGGTAGTTAAGAGCGCTCGCAGGAGATCAAATTCCAGATCCAAAACCAGGAAAATAGAGAGGTCCGGCCTTTTATCTGCTTGGTCTTCTACTTCCTAGGGCCCCCCGCAACGGCTCAAGGTTTGATAGTAGGGAATAGCGTACGAGGACACCTAGGGCGCCCTGGGGAATCATGTTCCGTACATATTGGTCGATTTGGAGTTTGCACTCGGCCTTGTCTGGGAGCAGGTAGCCACAGGACGGAGACTCCTACCAGATTGTAGTAATGATCTATGCCACTAAGCCCGGTGTCTCCACTGATGTCGTGGGCATTGTGGGTGCGGCTGAGAAAGGCATTAGTCAATGACGATGAAGCCCCAGATGACACCCAACGCCCTGTCAGTGGTACCTCGTCCCGGTCCCCAATCCATGGGACGCTACGTTGGTGTCTTCAGAACTTCCCTCGCCGAGTATAGTGCAATTTGATAATGCGGGCTGCTTCGGCCAAGATGTCGCTGATTCGGCCGGTCGGCTCCACCAGGGAGAAATCTTTGGATGCGTTTGTTCGGTTTGAACCAGGCACGTCTCTTGAGCTCCCATATCTAACACGCAGCTGCTGGTGGATGGTCCAAACCGTGCATGGGAAATAAAAGGATCAATAACCCTATCGGCAAAGTTGGGGTGTCCCGCCTTAACCGCGGCCGGAAGCTGAAGGAACTCGGCCGCGGGTTTCATGTTGATGAGACAGACTATCATGCCACGATCGTGCTAGTGTGGATAAGAAGAGTGGATGTACAGAGCCCTAAGCGGCACAGCAATGAGTAAACGCGTAGCATAACGAATGGTCGCATTGGTTTGTGAACGCGAGGGTTCGTCCCTTGGGTATTATCTTTTCCCGTACGGAGTAAAGGATAAAATGATCTGCCCTCCGGCACCGCAGTGGGGCACCAAGCAAGAAGAAACACGATATCTCTGGTCCCATGCCTTCCACGAACTATTCCGGGGGGAAGTGTTAAATATTGCTAGGTCAATCATGGTTTTATTGCCAGTGGCGACAGAAGCGGCCTGGACTCAGACACACTTGCCCGTGGGTTGCGCGAAGAAATTCCGCCATCAGATTTTTACCTAGTGGGACTGGAAGACCCCGAAAGTCTCGCCTGTTTGAAGTTAGCTTGCCCCAGCCTGCAGGTAGTAAGTAGTACCTTTAACGAAGAATAATCCGGGTCCTGCCATGCTGTGGAGCAAACTCGCTCTAGCGTCAGTATTGATTTACGGGATGCGACTGCGTTCGCCTGTTCAGGACAATCGTGCATGTGAAAATCATGGTTTCTTCGGAAGCTTCGCAGAGCATGTGGCATCCTCTATCTGATCGACAGGTCTATGGAGTCTTCTACCGTCGGTTCGAGTGCCCGATAGACAGTGTGTCCGCGCTTTGACGATTGACGCAACTGCTCGACTTATCAAGTGTTAAATAGTCAAGCGGCAGCTAGTTGACAGGGCCTTTTGTTGCCGATATTTCACTTGCGCACGTCGATCACAGGAAAGCCAAAGAGCATGCGATGGCCGAAGTTTGAGACTCGAGAAACAAGGTTTCCCTATGGCCATACTTGCCTGGGGTGGTGTTCGCATTTTCTCACTGCGATTGGCAGTTTGATCCACGCAGATTGTAGTCGGTTAGAAAGCCTGCAGAGGGACTCGTTGCATGGGGATGTGTCATTGATGGGGCGCCGCTCTGCCTGTCTACATGACTCGTGTTCCATGCGGGACTCATGAGCTCCATGATTCCGGCGTGCAGCCATTAGTTTACTATCCCACGAACGAACCAAGCCCCAAGGATCTAAGGTTTCACGTGGAGGACTGTCGTGCAACCCTCGCGCGAGCCTGCAGGGAACCGGGATGGCGCTGCCGATACTCACCCTCGTGACCCATATTTTGAAGATGACATACATGATTCTGGAGAAATGGAGCCCGAAAGACCCTCTGAATTCAGGTGTCTGGTGGCCTTTATGGAAATCTCTTCCACATCCAGCCTGGCCGCAGTGAAATGTGGCCATGATCACCAATCAAAAACGGGTCCCCTTATGCAGGTCCAAGGGGGAAATGGAATCTGAGTGTCAATAGCGCGGCGCTATCCCGCACCAGGCAGGCTATAAGCGGCAAAGGATGCACTACCGGGCAGCCGGTACGAACGCCACTATTGATGACGAAATTCGACAGATGCATGCACATGGCTTGTTGATAAGAACTGCCAATGGATGCGCGACACAGAGACCGGCTGTACAAAATAGGTATATGGTTTCAGCCCAATGTGAGGATCTGCAATGCATCTTGTGGGTAATTATGTGCTTTTTGGCTTGGGATCGGGGCTCAATAGGTTAGAATATGCCTTGGTAAATTTTGACCGTGGCGGTTTAGCTTCTGGGGCAGGTTGGGTGTGATGTGCATCTAGTAGTGCTCGTTGCGAGGCGCGCTGGAATGGCGGGGTCGTCCTGTTGACATGATAAAGGGGAGCTAGCGCTGGGAGACACCCTCCTTCCCTCAGTACCGAAGAGAGCGCGTTCAAGCCTTGGAGGATCGTCGAGGTAGATGTCATGTCAATATTAGACCAGCTCATTAAGCTGTTCTTTTCGGCGACTGTCAAACGGGGGATGATCGTCGCCGGAAGAGGGGAAGAGGAAGAGGAAGACGAAGACGAAGATGGAGCGGTCAGCGAAGTTCCTTTCATCCCTGACGATCGCCGCCCCGCCAGTCAGGGTCAGGTGATATGTCTATTGTCTCTACAACGTAAATATTATTCACTCTACGGAGTAGATGGGGCCAATTTGTCAATATAGTGGGGACATGTCCACATCTATATTCAGCTAAGGGATAGCTGAGTTGCGAACATATTGGTGGCTTCGATTCGACAGGGCAACTATCTATAGCAAGACTGATATTGCATTACCGATGGCCTCTTCGGTGAGCTAGTAGCCCCCTTGCAGTATCTCCCTTCTCAATACCCCAGTGTAGGTGAGTACGCCTTTCAGCTTGACATGCCACGCATGCAGCTGTCCCAGTATCCAGGAAGTTCGGGGCCTAAAGGCTATCTAGCTTCACAGTACCCTTTTATAGTGCCGAATTCTGTTTCGCACCATCGTCTGGCTGCACATTCCAAGTTCCTCCTTCTCCCAGATATTTCCAGACTGGGACCAACCATTGATAAAAGCTTAGATGCAGGTTTCTGATAGACTGGACGGAGTATCGAATAGTAAGTGTTTATAGCCGGATTCACATCTTCCAATCGCATAATCCTGCGCATGTAAGTACATTGTAACTACTTGAAACATGAGCCTCTCGAGCATAGACTGATACAAGTTTATATCCATCCTGTATCTAATACTCATTACTCTCATGTATGTGGAAGAAACGATGAGCTCTAGGAGCCCAGGAATTGGGACTTGCGTTGAAGATGGTGTGATGATGTAGATTCACTCACAGATAGAACTCTGAATCTCATTCATGCACACACCAGACATCGACTCTAATCGGCTTTCTCAGTTCCAGCACATGGAGTGATGTGTAGAACTCCTCTTCTAAGTTTGGTCCCTAGGAAGCCAGTGTGAATGGCGCATATTTTAGGATCTGATTCTGACCGGGCCAAACGAGAACCTTCAAATATTTTGATACTCTATGAGGCTAAAGACGGGTTCTGGAATGGAGGAGAACAGCCTCTCGGTTGAAACATCAGTCGGAGTTTCAAATGTCCGTCAAAGAATCTTCGCACAACGTCTCTTCCTGACGTGTATGACGTATATGTGGGCCGCTCTCCAAAGACCTCCTAACAGCTGCTCGGGTGAATTCAGAGCAGTATATCATTGGAGTACCGGGGGTTTGATTAGTTCTCTCAATGTCCGGTGAAACGGATGGCGTGCAGAGAAATATATTTCAAGACATATAGTATGTAGAGTTGGCAATTGCATATTTATTCTTGGAGCTGGTTCTTATAAAGTCGAATGGCGAACACATCAGTTCCATCTTCAATAACTATCAACAAATTGTCGAGTACTGTGTAGAAGGGGAAGACTGGCGTGGAGGGAAAGCCGAGGCGCGAGGGCCCCGCCGGATCACGACATGGCTTTCCCGACCCCCGCACAACCTATCATCTAGCTACAGGCTACGTATGATTCATAATCCCGACTTCCCACCCCGCTCCAATTCCCCCCTCTCCTAACCTCACCCTCACCATCCCAGCTGCAAAGCTCTTTATGCGGTTTCTCCGAGCCTACCATCACACCGTCCGATCCCTACGACAGCTTCCTCTCCCTCACTCCGAGATTCTCTCCGCACCGTCGCGAGCCAACAACCCCTTCCGCACCACCCTCCAGCCCACATTCCTCCACCGCACCATGGCGACCGCAATGGCCAAGCGCCTCGAAGGCAAGACCGTCCTGGTGACGGGCGCATCGTCCGGAATCGGTCGCAGCACGGCCAAGGAATTCGCGCGCACCTCGCCCAAGGACCTGAAGATCATCGTGACAGCCCGCCGGATCGACTCGCTAAAGGAGCTGGCCCAGGAAATCAAGGAGGAGGTCGGCGAGGGCGTCAAGGTGTTGCCCGTGCAGCTGGACGTGAGCAACCCGGAGGAGGTCAAGAACTTTGTTCCCTCTCTGCCCGCGGAGTTTCAAGAGATTGATGTTTTGGTGAACAATGCGTGAGTTGGCCTCGTACATTCATTGTCCAGCGTAGCTTGGGATTATTGAGAGTGATGGATGGATGGATGGATGGATGGATGCTGATGCTAATGACTGGATTCTAGCGGTCTCGTCAAGGGTGTCGCCAAGGCTCCCGAAATTGCCGCCGAGGATATCAACGTCATGTTCTCCACCAACGTCACCGGACTGATCAACATGACCCAGGCCGTGCTCCCCATCTTCCAGAAGAGAGCCGATGGCGGTCGAGGCGACATCATCAACATCGGCAGCATTGCCGGTCGCGAAGCCTATCCCGGTGGCAGTATCTACTGCGCCACCAAGGCGGCCATCCGGTCGTTTACCGATGCCTTGAGAAAGGAGCTGATCGCCACGCGGATCCGGATCATTGAGATTGACCCCGGTCAGGTTGAAACTGTAGGAAGCCATTTTACGCTCTGTCCCGACGGAGATATGCTAATAAGTGTGTGCGTTTTATAGGAATTCTCCGTGGTGCGCTTCTACGGAGACAAGGAGAAGGCCGATGCTGTTTACGCGTAAGATATCTCCCCGATTAGGTGGTAGGAAGAGAGAAATACTAACATGGACTGGCTGCAGCGGCTGTGAGCCTCTCACACCGGACGATATCGCCGAGGTCGTTGTGTTTGCCGCTGGTCGGCGCGAGAATGTCGTCATCGCGGATACTCTGATTTTCCCCAGTCACCAGGTGAGTTTACCGTCGAGTACAGAGGGGTACATTGCGCTGACAAGTGCATTTATAGGCGTCTCCGTCTTCCATGCACCGTAGATCTTAGATAGTGTGTGGATTGGATAAGTTGTACAGTGTGCCAGTGGCAGTATTAGTTAGAATTGACTAGAATCTTTTGGTTATCTAGAAGGATTTACAATAATGGTGATGAATACATGACATTGGTTTTGATCGCGTGTTGGACTACAATGCCGTGTTTTTCTTCCTTAATATTATGTAGTATGCGCTACTTTTGACACATGCAGCCGGATTGCCACTTTGTGGTCATCATTCTTGTTTCATTTGCCATGGAATCATAGGAATTCAGATTCCAGTTCATCCTGAAGATGACACATACGTAAGAAACCAGCCTTTTCTACGCTTCGATTAGTGGTGAGCAGATAGACCTGCCCTGAGGGACATACCTCCAATGCTCTATGACCGACGAATCTCTGGCCCTCTCCCTTTCCTCTCACCAGACTTCCAAGAAATAGCCTCTCATCCTAACATAACCCCGGTATATAACCAACCCCCTTAACATTCCAGCAGCAGCAGCAGTAGTAGTAGCATCACCACCACTACAGAATCGTAGTATTTCCCTCAGACAACGCCGTTAATTCGTTCTATTAATTATATCCCAGTCCAATGTCTCGTACTTAAGACCTCAACCTCAACCTCAACCTCAACCTTATTCGAAGTACACATGTGGAGAATCTTCAATGATAGCTGAAAGCCGAAAGCCGAAAGCCGAAAGCTGAGGGGCATTGTTCTCTGCAGAGCCAGATAACCTGATATAAAAGATTCAGGGGTTCCATACATACCGTGGTAAGTTTGCATGTACTAGCAGTGTCCGACTGCGACTACTACCACTACCGCAGGGGTATAATAGACCTCAGCCCGAACGAAGTTCATGAATATATCTCCAACTTATAAACCCGTTTTTCGACTAAGAGAACCACCCCCACCCCCACCCCCCGTACCTACAACTAAGACAATATCTATGATATGAGAGACCAAGGACGGACGCGATATCCAGAAGATAAAAAAAAAATAAACGGGTGTTCCTCTTCTGTGAGTGTAGAGGGGGGAATCAATTTATTTTTTTTTTACGAAGCGTTGATGATGATGCTGATGGATTACTGAGTAGACGTCGGGGTAACTATAGAATAGAAATAAACCAAACTGTCTTCTTCTCTGGATTTCTTTTAAGAAAAGAAAAAAAAGACAAAAGGTTTAGTAACCATAAGAGAAAAACGATAGGTAGTAGTTAGATCGTGAAGGCAGAATCAAAAGATGTTAATAAGGTCTAAATGAGATGAGAGATATAGATATAGATAGAGATAGATATAGACAGGGTAGATATCGTCCATAATTTGTTCCCTCAAAAAGCCATACAGTATAAGATAGTATTATATGGCCAAACCTAGTAGTATAACTACCCCTATTCGATCCTTTACCCCCTATACATAAGTAGGATTTAACCTACCCACCCTCCGGAATAACTTCAGCGTCACCAGTGGGGTGAAGATTCCAGATTCTACTTCGAGGATTCACACAGAGAAAGATTCTCCTATGTTATGTCGAATATAGGATCATCGAGGCATTCTAGTCCCAGGAAATCGATAGAGAGAGGGTGTGGGGATAGAGACAGACCTACCGGTAGTTACGTCTGTCTACCTTTAGTAGGTACTCTAATCTAGCCCTAGGTACAAGTTTATGTGATTGCACATATAGTACTGTTGCCTTTTCTTTTCCTTTCTTTTCTTTTCAATTTAATTTTTCTTCTTTTCTTTTCAGCCGGTGAACTACGCCATATGGGGTGTGAAGATTATTTACATATCTAGGGTAGGTACATGTGATTATGATTGTGTAACTGTGACTGGTTTATTGTCTATCTATCTAACTACTCTGTATTGATTTATCTATCTATTTACCTAGGTACCTAGGTACCTCACTAATGATTTGGAATCGCCTCTTTTTTTTTAGATCAAACCGCCATTCTTTTTTTAACGCATGACCTGTCACTGATCGATGAGGGAGGGAAATAGTATCCGACCGAACCCAGACCCAAAGAGGGATCCCGGGGAGAGGAGGAGAGGGAAGGGTAGGGTAGGGTCAGTGCTACCTATCTACCTACCTACCTACCTACCTACCTAGGTATATCATATTATATCATACCTGTTGCATAATAGCCCAGGGTCAGTGTGTTGTGTGTTGTGTCTATGTGTACCGGTACCGGTAGCTAAAGTTAGAGGTACCTGAACGAACGGCTGTCCCTATCTTGTACTTACTGTATGTACCGCCGTACTCTGTAGATCATTGAAATCAACGTACCTATGCACCAGGCGAAACAAAGTTATTGTGGACGTTGTTGACGTTGTCAGTGCGGGAGGCGTTCGATGGATGCGTCATATGTGGGTTAGGGATCAGCGGGGGTTGCTCAGGGACTCAGTCTGGACTCGGGGTTGATTGATGGGTGGTGATCAGTACCACTGATGGGTGGGTGATTTGATAAGTAGAGTAAGTAAGTACGGAGTAGGTTATTGATAGATCCACTCGGTGTTGATTTGTCTACCGCGTCTTTGGGGGTGTGCGATGGATGGATGGTTATTTCTGGTAGTCATGCTTGCTGGATTGGATGTTTGTTTTGTATGCATTATTGGCAATTTGTGTGTTTTCCTTTCCGCGAAAAAGACAGAGAATAAATAATAGGATGGATATCCGAGTCCAGTTATCATCAAAGCAAACAAGCAAGTCGGTTCGTCACATCCCCGGAAAGCCATGTTCATGTTAAACAGGCATTCGCCAGTCACTTGTACTGTACTCCGTACCTTTGTACCTTTGTACCTGACTTGTGACTGGTAATGTAATCGGCCGACATAAAAATAGCCGACAGGGACTTACCACCTTACCGGTCCTTCCTACCGGTCGCATTTCCGGTCAACCCCGCAGGTACGGCGCAGGTACAAACAAAGTACCCCGTCCCAGACAGGCGCCGGCACCCCGACTGAAGGCTCTGAGCTCTGAAGCAGCGAAGCGAGCCGTGCTGCCGTCCATGTCCATGGTTCTGTCGATGTGATGGGTCCGGGAAGAGGCCGAATGGAAGAGTTTTCCACGATCAGCAGCTGTTGGCCGACGATCTGTCTTTGTCGGTGGGATGGATTCAGGCCAAGGGCAGGAGATCCCCGGCGGCTGGGACGGAGTCAGATGGATTGGTAGTTTGTTAGTTTGCTGGCCTCGGGGGAAAGACCACGTCGCAGTAATGTAGCAGCAGCAGAAGCAGCAGCAGCAGCAGCAGTAGCAGGAGATGGTACGGGAGCAAGGCGGGATAGACGCAGCTGCGAAGAAGATGCAAGGACGCGAAAAGGGTTCAGAATTGCTGAGTCTATACGGGCGGAACGTTATGTTTTGACACTCGAGGGAGAACTGCTCCGCCTATCGCCAAATGAGCAAGGAGAGTCGATGCCAATGGCTCATTCGCCAATCGTGATTGAGCACCGCTGGTGATGGGATCGCACGGTCTCACAGTCACAGACCAGTGAGTACTGAAGCATATCGCTTATGGCAAGTGGAGGCGGGCGTGGAGCACATCCTGAACTACGATGTTTCTGTCCAAGTATCTCAGGCTAGGTCAAGTGCCAAGTGCCCACTAACTGTTGCAACTTGCTACCTGCAACTTGCGCACGACTCCGTCCTAGTCTGGTTGCACTCAGGGACTGACTCTGCTGAATTCTGAACCCCGAACGAAGCCCCGACAGGTTGATACTCGGGGTTTTATGGTGTAAGTCGGCGTGTCAAGTGGTTAAATCGGAGCTGTCATCTTGCTGCGCCCTCGATTAAGGCTGACGATGGTTCTAGAATAATGTAACGGTTGATGTTTCCACGATGGACACTCTGTCACTCCCAGTCATACGTTCTGTTCTCCCCTCGGAACTTCGGCTGATCCCCTTTCTCGCCATCTAATCGTAACGGCCGTGGGCTTTAGTTCCATGGGCCGTTCCGAGTTTTCAACGTTGCAGACGGGAAACATATTGTCTTTATCAGAGGGAGGTGATTGCTTGTGTGTGTGTGTGTGTGTGTGTGTGTCAGTGACAGACAGACAGACAGCACCCTGGGGCCTCAAGGCGTTCAAGGCATCGGGCTTGAATCCACCGGGCAGGCGTGGCAGTGATTGGCCTCGCGGTCGGGAGCTATTCGTTCGTTTACTGCGTTGCGTAAGGTGAGCACTGAGCAGGGGAGCAGACCCTCAAGGGGGTGGGGACGCTGGGTGATTTAGTCATTTCAAAGCATTAATGACCGGCGCTAAGAGGTGGGACCTGGGTGAAGATTAATCTGTGGGAGATACGATTAATATGGAAGGCTGGGGGGGGGGGGCTCGGAGCCAGCTCTGTATACCACTCGACCGAAGGAGTTAGCCAGGACCGGTCCTGTGCGATATCCAGCAGACTAGCAACGACGACGACGAGATGCCTGTGAACCCCGAGTCAATCCCAGAGCTAAAGGGTTTGTGTTATACTTAATAGGGAACTGAACCTTGGACCGAGCTAATCCCAAACGATCGGGAATGGTGAGCCCTGGATGGCCCCCTTTTTCAGGCTGCCGGCTCATGCTCATGCTCATGCAATCCCTCCCTGCCGGGTCTGTGTGCCTTTCAACCAGCATGGCTGTGATCATGATCGTAGATAGGTAATCATGAAAGGGTGATTATTGGAAGATGGGCGCGAGTCGAGGCCTCGGCGTCAGTGCCAGCCAGTGCCTGAGGGGGCTCCAGCGCCTGGATCGGACGACTGAGGTTAATTATGGGCAGGTGGGCCCGGTGAAATTAAACAGTTGGCTGGTGGCCGAGGAAAACCCACCCGCGCTGCCGGTTAATGCCACTCCCACCCCCTTTCATTATTCGGGCTCGCATGATCTTGTGTACTGCCTGCCTAGGTAGGCACGATGGGATTGCAGCTCTGCAGGTGGAAGATTAGTATTATTGATTGGATTGATTGATTGATTGATTGACTGATTGATTGATTGCTGGCTGGCTGGCTGGCTGGCTGGCTGGCTGGTGGCCGTGGGATTATTATATTCATGGGCGTGTCAATCACGTCGCACCCCATAATATCATCTCGAAATTATGGAGGGTTCCTTCAGGCTACAACCACGACCCTAACTCACGTAGTACCACGATGATAGATTCATCCTTTCTTCTTTTTCTTTTTTTCTCTTTTCTTTTTTTTTTTCGGGGATCCTTCCTCCAGATACTTGAGTGTAAAGACAGTACTCCGTAGCACGCCGTAACATCGTCGACTCGTCCTCCTCAGGCATCCCCACCTCTCGATCCTCAGTTGGTCGAACTCTCCTTAATCATCCCCTTTCCGCTTCTCTCTCCACCCCATCGTTTCCCTCCTTCTCCCTCCCTCCTCGAATCCACCCTGCTTCTCGAAGGTCGCTTTTACTTTTTTAGTGACCTTTGCTGATATCGTGCTCTGTTCTCCTAGACCGTTTGGGACAGGACGAACTGCACCCTCCACCTCCAATCCGTTAATCCGTTACCCTCAGAGTTCAATTCCGTCCGCTGCAAAGTTCCACGAACTCCCTCCCCCCCCCTGGATCCTCCTTCCACTACTACCACCACCTACCCTTCTTACTCCCCCCTCCCCCCCCCCTCCTCCCCCCGTCTGCTGCTTTAAGCTTGGCCTAATCACTAGACCCGCCGTTGCTGTGGACTGCCCTTTAGGCGCCTCTGCTCTGCGCGAAACTCCCGACGACCTGGGCCCCGACTCTTGTCCCTACCACCTGCAAAAGAAAATTGTGTTGCTGCTCCTTCGACCCGCTGTCACAGCTGCTGTTGGGATAGCTTCGATCACCGCTTCTCTTCCCCCCCCCCCTTCCTTCCCCTCCCCTCAGAGCAACAGATTCCAGCCCTGAACCTACCAGAATGGCTTCGAAGGTAAGCCTCCTCCTCGTCGCCATGAGTTTCACTTCCCTGTTATCCGTCCTCGTGTTTCTCATCTATGCCCCCCCCATCACCTCCTTTCCCGGTTTCCCCGTGATCGCGACCTCCTCGCGGCGCTCACACCACGGATGGCTCACATATCCTCGATCGCATCTAGTTTCTCCGAGAATACAAGCTGGTCGTCGTCGGCGGTGGTGGTGTCGGAAAGTCCTGTTTGACAATCCAATTGATCCAAAGTCACTTCGTGGATGAATATGACCCGACAATTGAAGGTGGGCGCCCGCGTCTTGCCCTGACTCCCGACCGTGTGGCTTATCGAGGTTTCCCTGAACAGATTCATACCGCAAGCAGTGCCACATTGACGATGAGGTGGCTTTGCTCGACGTCTTAGATACCGCCGGCCAGGAGGAGTACTCGGCGATGCGTGAACAATACATGAGAACCGGCGAGGGCTTCCTTCTCGTCTACTCGATAACGTCGCGCCAATCATTCGAAGAAATCATGACCTTCCAACAACAGATCCTACGAGTGAAGGACAAGGACTACTTCCCCATCATTGTGGTGGGCAACAAGTGCGATCTGGAGAAGGAGCGAGCCGTGACCGAAGAAGGTGCGTTCGGACCCGGCGTCTACCCCCCGTATTGCCCTGGCTGACAAGGGTGTTCCTGCAGAGGGTGAGGCTCTAGCAAAGCAGTTCGGCTGCAAGTTCATCGAAACGTCCGCCAAGTCTCGCATCAACGTCGAGAACGCCTTCTACGATCTCGTGCGCGAGATCCGCCGGTACAACAAGGAGATGTCGTCGTACCCATCTGGCGCGGGCCTGGGCTCGCGCGCCCCGGAAGGCAAGATGGACGTCAGCGAGCCTGGTGACGACGCAGGCTGCTGTGGAAAATGTATTATTATGTAATGGCCGGGCGTTGGATCTAAAAGAATACATATAGGTCGAGATACGGAAGGAAACAAAACACCCATCTACCCCAACCCCAACCCCCATCTGGAAAGAGAGATCAGCGACAGGAACGGGCCACTGTCGACGCGTTTTGGATTGTGATCATTATACCATACCTACCTTACATGCCTCGCTCTCAGATGATGTCTGCTCCCACCCTAATGCCGCCATCGTCTCCATGAACGTTCGATTCCCCCTTTGTTCTATTTTTGTTTACTATTTCTGAAAGATTGCTTTTCTTGGACGACTTCTTGCTCTTCGAAAGGACGAGAACGGGGCCTGTCAATAGATCTGTGCATTAATATAGGTACATGCTATTGTCGCGGTTCGCATTTTGGTATCCAGGGCTGCAGAATCATCGTTTTCCTTTGTCTGCCCGGTCGGGTCGTGCCGACCGGGCATCAGACTTGTCGAACTAATTGCCCGACTTTCTCTCATCGGTATCTCCTTCGAGGTTTGGGGGTGCGTCTCAGGCCCCTTATTCTTTTTATTACTTTTTTTTTTTTTTTTTTTTTTTTTTTTTTTCCTCTTTCTGTGGCCTTCTTTTGACCTGCTCGGACGGGGCTTATTGCCGCCCCGTCCTGCATCTTCGGACTTTTTGGTTCTCTTGCTCCGCTTCTCGCTCCTCCTTCCTTTCCTTCCTTTCTCCTTCTTTCCTCTCGAACCTGTGTTTCCTTTCTACATTGGCAGCGGCGCGCAACAACTTTTCTATCCAGTTCGTGTTTTTGTTTCTTTCTTCGTGTACACATTTGAGGATATTGGATAATCTCATTGGTCTTGGAATCTTGGTGTTCGCACATAAGTTCAATCTACCACTCTTGGACGCCTGACAAACACACGGCAAGGACTTATGATCGCTTCAATGCTCTGCACTCACGCCAAGGCTGCGTACTGCTACTCTTAACGGACTCTCCCAGCGATCACTACGTCATCCAATCGAAGGCATCGCGCCGCTGACGGAGTTATCCACATACCCTTTATAGTCATCAATGTGCGTGACGTCAACACAAGAAAAAGGTTTAGTCTGACCAAAAATGTCATTGTTTATGTATACGAAGTTATAGCTTGTACGAGGGTGTGATCGCCGGCGGTCCCCTCACTTTTCCTCCTCAGCGTCCGAAGGAGGGTCAAGCTCATCCTCCTTGAGCACCTTCTTTCCGTTGACATGGTGCTCAACCTCCGGAATAAGCGAGTCCATAAACTCCTTGTCGGTGCCCACCAGAGTCACCGTGTTGAGCTTATTCCCCCACCGCGGATAGCTGCCAACTTTGATGTTCCTCGACGACACCTTGGCGGCCAGATCTGTCAGGTACGGCGCGATCTCGCTCTCCGGAAGCGGCGTGCTGAACAAGTAGCGGTAGATGCCCTTTCCCTCGGGGTTGACCAACCGCGGCAGCAGGCTGGGCTTGAGATGCTCGAGCAGTCGCTCGAAAAGGCGAGGCACACCCGGCAGGATGTGCACGTTGCCGTTGATGATGGCGATCGGCACCCACATGTCGTCCGCCACGAATACCGCCTGCTCCTCTAGCGGGATGGCGTCGTCGTGCGGGAGCTCGACCATGCGCAGCTTCGCAGTCAGACTGGGCGACGGTGTCTCCCAGTCGAAGTTCGGCTGCATGGGGTGAGGCTTCGACAGCTTCTTCATCCGCTCAAAGGCCGCTTCGTGGAGCTTCAGCTTCAGACCGAATGCCTTGGCTATCGATTCGTAGGTGATGTCGTCATGGCTGTATTTGTGGCATATGTGTTAGCCGTATTCACATGTGGGTGGGTATGCTCGAGCGATATATGGGGCATGGGTCTGGGGTGCTGACGTTGGACCAATGCCTCCGCTGGTGACGACGAAGTCGTAGCGGTCGCTCATGCGCCTCACGGCCTCAATGATTTCGCTCTCATCGTCGGCAATCACTTCGATTCGTTTCAGCTGGATGCCGAGGGAGAAGCAGTATTTGGCGAGGTAGGCAGAGTTGGTGTCGATTGTCTGTTTATTATTGGGCCGCGTTAGTCTGCTCCAGCCAAGCACATCGTATGCGGGATCTCCAGGGACACGGCCACATGCACAAGAGACAAGGGCGGATAGGGTTTTCTCATCCTACCTTTCCACCAAGGACCTCGTCACCAATGATGAGGCATGCCGCGGTGTGGATGGTCCTTTTGTTCTTCGGAAGCACGGATGATGTCATCTTGGGGGGTGGCCCACGAGACACGGACGACAACAGGGAGGACGAAGCGATCGAGGGGGTGGGACGGGAATTGAGGGCAGGTCGAGAAAGATGGCGGGTGAGCTGACTGAGACGACTAAACATGAGGAAGAAAAGGAGGAGGAGGGGGGGAATAAATGGCGGACTAAGACTCAAGCGCGGGCGGGGAGAAAGAGGATGCGAGGGAAAAGAGGAGAGGCAGCAAGCGGCCAGCAGACAACAGCAGACCCGGTGGGGAAAAGCCACGCGCTCGCCGCCATCCCACCCACCCGACACCGCGGAGCACCACCATTTGCGCCGCTCTTGTCCTCATCTTGTTCTCATTATTCCCTCCCCACTCATCCCTTTCCCAGGATCAGGTTAATTCCGGTCTGGTGCTATCGTCCGATCAGATTCCCCGTCTCTGTCGTGTGCGACCCTTCCTCCCACGGTGACACCATGGTAAGAAAAACTGCCCTGCCCCGCATCGCGTGCCCGCTGTGAAGATCCCCCTACTAACGTCAAATTTGCGGATGCAGTCCGAGTCACGGTTATACTCCTTCTCCCCGGAGACCAAGGAGAAGCTGCGCAAGTTTCGCCTGGGGACCTCCCGCGCAAAGACCCCGCAAGCCATCATCTGTACGCTCCGTCCTCTTCAGCCTCGCTTCTGCAAGCATCCATCCGTTTATCACCGCCGCGCAATGTCATATCATATCCCATAGGGGGGACAGGGACATACCATACCTACCATACCAGGTTGAATGAGGATTGACAAATACTTGCCTGGCAGATATCATCGACAACAAGAGCCAAGAAATCCGGCCCGAAGATGGCGAAGTCTACACCAAGATGGAGGATGTAGCGGACGAACTCCCCGAGTCGTCCCCGAGATTCATTCTGCTCAGCTATCCCTTGACCTTGGTGAGATAATCAACCCCGTCAAGCTCCATAGGGGCTCGTGTTCATGTTCCCGTTCACGTTACTGACTGCAACCGTGACAATAACAGGCCTCCGGCCGTCTCACTGTCCCCTACGTCCTCCTCTACTACCTCCCCGAGAACTGCAACCCCTCCATGCGCATGATGTACGCTGGCGCCGTCGAGCTGATGCGCAACACGGCGGAGGTTAACCGTGTCATTGAGGTGTATGAGGATGAGGATGTCGTTTCGATTGAGTCGAAGTTGCAGGGTGAGGATTAGAGGGGTGGATGGGTGAATGGATGGAAGATTGAATGTGGATGGGAGGACGGGTTTAGGCGGGGTCTTTTTATATAGTCCTTATGCTTTTAATGAGTGGCTGGATGCAGAGTTTGGTGGGGTGTGGTGATATGATGGGGTTGGAAAAGAGGAGAAGAGGAGAAGAGAAGATGAATCTTGAGCGCTCCGGTAGCACCACGCGTCGCTTATACAAAGTACATACCTATGCACATACTTATATCTGCTGCAATAGATTAATGCCATATTGCTTTCGTTACCCTGCCTTACCTACCTACCTACCCTACACCCCATGAACCAACCGTCACCATCCCCATCCACCATCCTCATCCGCCAGTCAGCACATCAACAATACTACTACATACACTACACCACGGCACCATCCACAATCTCAATCTTATACCAAACCCTCTTCAAAACAATCATAAACGGAAATAAAAAAAATACTTCAATACACCATCCAACCCCCCGCCCCAATAATAAACCACACCACTCCAAAGCACAATTTGAAATTGTCACGATCCGATAACTAGGCTACCTCCCGTCCTCACATCCCTTGCATATATCTAGTCCCCGAAGTATCTATCTACCTAGGGAGTAGGTAGGTAAGTAGATAGATGCAGGTACACCGCCAAATCGAACATTCCAATGCGTCGACTCTCAATTAGTTATTAGTCAATCAGAACCATTTATTTATTTAATCCATCAATCACTCGATTAATCAATCAGAACCATTTATTTATTTAATCAATCTATCAATAAATCAATTCTCCAGCCCCACAGTCGGAAATACAATGATCATACCGTACCTATTTACCTACTTACGTATCTAGATACCTACCTACCTACCTACCTTCCTACCTACACACGGAAACCTTTCCCAGGACAAGACGAGACATGAGATCTGCCGGGTAGAATTTCGAGAGGGATCGATCGATCGATCCACTTTATTGTCTCGGTTTCTTGTCTGCGGTGGGGATGGGATGGGGATATTATTGCCGATGGCAGGAGGTTTGGGTGTGTGGACACGGGACTGTGAATGACTGTGGATGTGGATGGTTATTGTTATTTATGGCCTGGATTGAGTTGGATGCCTGGGTCCTGGGGTGGAGTAGGGTAGGGTAGGGTAGGAGGGCTTATGTAGAGTCGAGGTGGAGGGTTTGTTGGATTTTGAGGGTGTGGGGAGGAGGTTATTCAGTACTGGCGGGTACTAGATAGGTACTAGGTAGGTAGATAGTAGGCAGGCAGGCAGGCAGGCAGGCAGGCAGATAGATAAGTATCCTGTGGATTCAAAAGAGCAGGCCGGCAGGTACTGTATGTATTTATCTCATGGCGATGAGATTGTTTTAGACTTTTGAGAGTGATGAAGGGTGGGAGGTACCTAAGTACTACCTACGCATGCACTGAGTGATTCTTTTTTTGTTCATGCTAAGATAGACAATCGGATGGAACCGAGTGTTCTATTCTCACTGCATGTCTTGGTAGACGTAAGTACTATAGATGTTGGCTGAGCTCAGGGACCCGGTATGGTTGGTTGTCTTACTGTAGATCTTCTACAACTCTACTCCGTCCGTACTGAGTCTGAGTCTGACTTGAACATGAACATGACCATGTAAGTATCTACCTGGCTATATGTTAGATATCTACCATACCTAGGTATATATGTAGATAGTACCTCAGCTAAAACCAGCACAAACACAGTACATAACTACTTTGTACTATGTAGTAAGCATCCACACCTCTATAACCAACCCACCTTCCCCCCCCCCCCCGGTAAAACCTAAAACGCATACTAGCCCCATACCAATTCCCCCCCCCCCCACAAGTGGAGATTATTACAGTCTCGGACAGTCTGGTGTGGATACCTGCGTACTTACCTAGGTAGGAGTAGGACTAGGCCATATATTCAGCCCACTAGCCCCCATCCGGAAGGAGTTCTGGTTCTGCGTCTACCCTGACACCTGGCACTGGCACTTGCACTTCACCCCCCCGCTGCGCTGCGTCGGAGTCAACATCCCCGTCTATCCCAGATTCCTCCGGGATCCCAGGTTGGGTTGGACAGGGGCAGACCAATCTTAGGTATAGGATTGGCTGGTTGTGATTGTGATTTGATCGAGCTTTGGATGGGATACCGCGGTTTCTGGGTTTTAATGAAGGGATCCCTGTGGGATGTAGCAGTGTTTTGTTTTCTATTACTACTATTTATGTAGTGTACGGAGTAAGTATGTATAGAAATAGGCGGTTGTTTGGCATGGTGCAGGGGGGGGGGGTGGTTTGTTGTTGGGCCCGGGGGTTTGGGCTGGATCGGGATCTGGGTCGGGGCTATCTTCTGTTTTGGATTGTTTGCTGTTGCTGGGTGGAAGCGTCAAGTCTGCTGTCAGGGTGAGGGACGGTGCCGGGGGGAAAAGTAAACTCTGGGTTACTGCCGTAGGCCCGTAGTTACGGTAGAGCAGGGGGTTCGGATTTATCCGAGTAAGTTGTGTTCTTCAGTCGGATAGTACATAACTAGTAGAAGGAATCGAGATCAAGACAACTATCCAAGTCTAGGTGGTTAGATAGATAGTTAGGAATCTCTCCTCTACTGGACTCCGTAATTCATACTTCCATAACACCTTACCATGTCTATCGTCTAGAACAGTCGCAACAGAAGTAGTTACCTTACATACTTACTGCCAGCTGTACTGTACCGCCAACTCATCGCATCGCCATGTGTCCGTCCCTGACTGAACCCACCAACCCCGAACCCAGACAGCAGACAGTATCTAGACACTTCAACCCAGACAAGGCAACGCAAGGCAAAGCAGGTCTCCCCATTCTCCAACCAACCGGCGGGGAACAAACCCATCGCCTTCCAACCCGGTAGGTAGATTTTCTCCGAGACAGTAGACACCCCCCCCCCCCCCCCCCGGTCAACCCTGCAAGTTAAGGTTCCTCGGGTGCTTCATGCTCTGACAAATTCCTGGCCTGTCCTGTATGATCCGGTGTTGCACCATACATGTACCTTAGTCTGTATGAGCACGGCTTACAGAGTACACAAGACATGCCTATCTAGCAGTATCTACCTAAGATCTAGTCCGCAGCATCAGTGAGTATCTACGGAGTACTATACTGACCGATGACACCCCGTGGACAGTGACAGTGTCAGTGTCAGGACAGTGACACCCACAAGAGCGGCCTGCATGAAGCCGTTGCCGTTTCTAATTTACTTGGTGCGATGGCACTGGCTGCCAGTGGTGTGGGTGGTTGTGTCATGCGTCATGCACGGGCTAAGTCGATTGGGATACTAGTACTGTACTACCTAGTAAGGTAAGTACCTACCTATCTACCTACCTAAGTAAATGATGGAATGCTGCAGTGCGGTCGGTCGCGTCGGCGGTTTATACCATTTTAGTTTAACTGCTATGCAGTCTGCAGTCTTCCCAGTTCCCAGTGGGTTGGTACGCGATACGGAGGGCCCCTTGTAACTGGAGTTGAGGGCGGAGGAGTCGGAGTCCTGGCTTGAGCTGGAGATTGCTGCGGAGGGGAAGGAAGGAAGCGGGCGGGTTCCATCGGCGTGTTGGGTCTAGAATCCTAGTCTCGGTCTCAGTTTCAGCCCGGTTGGGGATGACCATCCATCGATCCATCCATCCATGGGCTAACTAAGGAAGGGATTATTTTATGACGCATTGCATTACTACTACTACTAGTGTTATTGCTTGTCGACGCGTGATGGCGTCGCTGCACCGCTTTCTTTCTACCGCAGTTCCTCATTCCTCAGTTAGATCTGGTCTCGGGGGATCCTCTCTGTTAAATTAATATAGATTATTAGGTTTGAGGCGCTGCCTTCGGCCGGATACCGGTCGAAACCCCAATTGCAGCGGCGCCGGTATGAGGCCGACTGGGAATGGAAGGTTGCACCGATGCTCCTGACGAAAGAATGGCTCTCTGCCAATGACCTCATGGCCCTGGAATTTCTTCAGCCATCGTCTGATTACTGATTAGGGCCCTGACCACCTCGCAGCCCTGGCATCCGACTCGAGCCGTGGTGCGCCTGAGTCAGTGTCCTGCCTCGACTGATCCGAATCATGCACAGGAACCGTCCTGTCAGCCCAGGGCCAGGAATTACTCGGACGGCGGACAGGATCATCGATCCCCGACTCTCATCGCGATCGTCCTGCTGCATCGACCATCCGGCCTGTTGGGCGTACTGTATCTGACGAATCGTTAAATACCGTACCCATTCTAACAGTCACATACCGCGGCATACGCGATAGTACGATACGACTCCTGTCTGCTGGCATCATCCCCCTCGTCACCAAGCATCAATCAGCCCCGACCCTGCAGAATAGTATCAATGTCGAGGGTTTTTCTACAGTCTCTAGCGGTACGGAGTACAGTAGTGTATTATCGGACCAGACTTCTGGCATCCGCCATCCTGAGCCATGGCCCGCGGAAGGGCTACCCACTTCCTGCCGGCGCGGCCATCGTGACCCGCGGGCGAGACCCAGTGGGTTTGGCCCAGTCTCCAGAGTGGGTAGATGCCACAGAGATAGATAGATAGATAGGGAGGGTGCCACTGCCGCGACATTCGATTCGACACCCATCCAAGGCAGCAAGGCTCAAGCATCCTAGGGCGCCCCGTCGCGTCGGTTCTTCCGCTAGTCGCCCGTCGCCCGTCGCCCATTGCTGGCCACACTGCAGCAGGTGAAGAGACCGATATCAACCAACCAGCCCAGGCCCAGCTGATCGCGTCGCCTTGTTCCGTGCCTGACCGGGCCAGAGTTTCTTCTGTCGTCGTGTTATGTCCCCTTTGTCTCCCTCCCGGACCGGGAACGGCCCTGGCTCCGATCGCCTTTCTTCACGGGCTGGATGGGGATCGATCCTTGGATATCCTTTGTTGATATAAAGTCAATGAGGGAGGGCTGCGTAGGTAGGACGTTGGACAACCCAGTCGATCCGATCGTAGCCCCGGTTGGGGAGGGGAGGGCCTTGGCGCCTGGCAATAATTACCAGCAATAATAATCCCTTCTGGCGGTGCATTATTCTTGCGGAGCCGAATAACTGTATTCACCTACAGTAAACTAACTGGTTACTGGACAGGGCAGGGAGGGTTGGTTCCAAACGGTGATTTGGGAGTTCTTATTAATGAGTGGAGGGGAAGTGCTTAAAAGCAATAAGAAAAAGAAAAAGAAAAAGAGGGAAAAGAGAGAAAAAATAAATTCAAAATAAGAAATAGAAGAAAGAGGAAAAAGAAAAAGGAAAAAGGAAACAGAAAAGAGAAATTAAAAAGAAAAGAAAACAAACAGCATCGGGGTTCGCCATGTGCCAGGCCCAGTGTACCGTATTTACGGTTCCATACTCCAAACTTTACATACCAGCTCCAACCCCCTCTTGCTCCTCCCCAGAAAGTCTGTTGTTCGGCTTCTATTTATCTATCGTTCGGCGCGCGCTGGTCGTTTGCCTTCTTTTATCTCCCTCTCTTCTCCCGGCTTCTTGACCAGTCGGTGGCTTCGCTTTTCTTCCTCCACCTCAGACCACCTCACACCCTCTAGGCAGTTACTAGCAGTTACATACCTCCCACCAGGTATCTACCTACACTACTAACTACTGCCCTTCGTCGTACGCCTTGTCGACGCCCGGTCCACACGATCTGACCGCCATTCAGCCAATCACCCGTGTGTGTCGCCCCCCCCCCAAAGAGGCTGTTCCAGTTCCCTGCGACCCTGCCTGTTGGGTTTTCCATTTCACCTCACCGTCTCGGCGGGAGTCCCAGGCCTGCGGTTCGGTACACGCCCGTGCGACCTGCCATACTTAACCGGCGCTCCCCTCGTTTCTCCATCTTAACCCACCCGCCACCCCATCCAAGTCCTCCGCATTCTCGTCCAAGACTCTTCTCTGCATTCTGCTACCTACGCCACCGCCTGTCTCATCTATAAACAATACCAGACAACATGCCGGCTGAGCAGGCTGCCAACCCGCCTAGCGAGGCTAAGGAGGGCCTGTCAAAATACGTCAGACGCATGAAGACCGCCCTTCGGAGACACTCGACTTCCAAAACCCCCGCACCCCAGCCAAAGCCGGAAGAAGCCGAGTCAAGCAAGGCTCCTGCGTAGGTTCAACTCCATGATGTTGGTTCCCCGTGGCACTGACTCGCGTGCAGTCCCCTGCCCCCCACCCCGCAGGCTCCCATCATCAAAGCCGCCCCCGACGCGACCGTGTTCACCAACTGGGGCGCCTTCCAGGAGGAGAAGGCCCGCGCCCTGTTTGCCAAGTATGGAATGAAGATTGAGCCTGGGGAGTGGCAGTCTGGCGACATGACCGTGCAGCGCGTGGTCAGACCGATCCGTATGCGCGTGCGCCGCACCTGCCATCGCTGCGAGACCATGTTCGGCCCTGACAAGGTCTGCGTCAACTGTCAACACGCTCGCTGCAAGTCCTGCCCTCGCTATCCACCTGCGAAGTCCAGCGAGAACCGGGAATTCCGGGACCACCGGCAGCACACCGAAGCGGCGCTCCAGGCCATTGTCGCGCAGAAAGCCGCCGCTCCTGTGCAGAAAACCCAGGAGCCTGCCCTTGCCGAGGCATCCCCTACCGGCAGCCAGGAGGTGCAAGCTCCGGTCCGACCCATCGTTCGACGGACATGCCATCGGTGCAGTACACCATTCGAGCCGGATACCACGGAATGTGGCACTTGCAAGCATCTTCGGTGCACGATGTGCCCTCGCGAGCCGTATGTCTAGTCCAACCCAAGCCACTTGCCCATCCCCACCAGCCGTACTGATGATTCCAGACCCAAAATGACCAGGCACCCGCTCGCCTATCCTGGTGAGGGCGACGTCATGGAACCTCGCCCACGGACGTGGAAGAAACCCCGCCAGCGAGTCCGGTACAGATGCCACCAGTGCACGACATTATACCGGTCGGGGGAGACGAATTGCCCCAATTGCGGGCAGGAGAAGGGCCCTAACACCCTACGAGACCCGTGAGTTGTTCACTTTGCCTATCGTCACGTCTACATGGTTACTAACAGTTGCAGACCTCACAGGGAGCGGCCCCAACCGGACCCAGAGGTCGTTAGACGGGTGGAAGAGCGACTGGCCAAAGTCAGGGACAGTTCTGGTTAGACAATACCGGGGCTTTTCCTTCATTTTCTTTTCTTCGGCATTTCCCTCTGCTCATGACGTGCCTTGCATGCCACCAACTGGCCAGTTAGGCAGGCAGGCAGCAAGCTTCGCTGGTGCACATCTCGAGTGGCACATGCAATCAACGGTGGTTGGCGGGCCTAGCAGCTGTTTGAATCACGATCTTCCTTTGTGACACCCGAGTCATCCCTCCCATCCCATCCCATCCCATCCCTATTTGGTTAGTAGGCTTAGAGCTTAGATCGTAGTACAGAGTATATACTGCATGTATATTATCCGTAAGGTACGGACTCCGTCTCAGCGACGTCCATCTATTATCTATTGGTCAGGATATGTGACTGTGACACAACACCTGTATCAGTGCAGCCTGACAACCTACTAGATACTATAGGTAGGTAAGTAGGTAGTAACCTAGCAGCTGGTCGGGACGGAATATGGTTGATGTCGATTCGATGAGGCCAAACTCAACTCAAAGCCCCGGGTCCGGGTCCGCCTCGAAGGTGGAGATGAGTGCCGTGCCACTGACCACTGTGGGTGGTTCCTGGTCCACTCACTCACTCACTCACTACTGGTCCCGACTGAACTGGACCGAATCGAACCTAACCTAACCTGACTTAAGCTAAACCCGCCGGTGGGAAGTGGGAAGTGGATTGGGAAGTGGGAACTAAGGTGCGATTGGGATTATAGTATTGGGGATTGGGAATCGGGTAGCCCCGCCGCCAGCTGGGTTGTATATTTGTATATTGTATATTAGAAGTAAGTAAGTAAGTAAGTGTAAGTGTTTAAGTACTGTGTTGAGTGTTGTGATTTAAGTGGTTACTGATTTAAATGTCTTTTGTTAAGGACTGTTTTATGTTTTGTGTTAGGTTAGGTAAGGTTAGGTTAGGTAAAGTAAAGTAAGGTAAGGTAAGGTTAGGTAAGGTAAGGTTCACGGTTCACGAATCGGACTCGCCGTTTTCGAATCCGCGATGTCACACCTCTCTCTCTCTCTCTCTCTCTCTCTCTCTCCGAGTCTGAGTCTGGGTCTGAGTCTGAGTCTGGGTTTGAGTCTGGTAATAAGAGTTAGACACGCCGGGGGGTATGGATCTCTCGCTGGGGATGGGGATTTGGGGGGGAGGGGCAGTGGAACCAACCGTCTTCCCCCCCCGCTCCGCAGGATGGGTTGAAGTGATTTATATTTGTCCCGACAGTTTGGTGTGCCTTGTGCCGTGTGGAGGAGTGGATATGCATTGCATGATGCTGCTGGATCTGAATCTGAATCTGAATCTGATGCTTGTGTTGATGATGTTGATGTTGATGATGATGTTGGTGTTGGTGTTGATGTACATGTGCGATGGGAATTCTCCTACAGAATAGGTACAGAGACTGCCAATCATATATGTGTCACCGCGTACAGAGTCGGAGTCAGTCAAGTCCTGGTCCGGAGGTGTACAGACTGGGATGGATGGGATGGATGGTCTTTCATTCATCAGGTATGTGTATGACAGACTCGGGAGGAGCCACCTACCTACCTACCGTAGAGTATACTGTGTACCGTTTCTTGTCCGACCTTCCTTTTTAGGATTGATGGATTATCCATGATGATACTGATGATGATGGTCTATTGGTGGGGATGGGGATGGGGATGGGAATGGGATGTTATGTTCCCACCCACCCAATTACCTGGTAACTCTCCTCCTGGGACCTGCTAAGTTGCTAACTCATTTGCCCTACGCTAGTTAAGTACCTAGTCTATTCTCCCCTTCCGATTCGATTCGATTCGATTTGATGGATTGATTGTTGATTGTTGATTGTTGATTACTCTGTATTCTATACGCAAATATCTAAACAAACAAGATTATCATCTTCTGAAATATCCAAAAAATACTCCAACTATCATAGATACTATACCTAGTAGGTAGTGGTACCTACTAGGTATATAGTCAGTAACATACCAACAAAGCGATTAAACTGTCTCAGTCTATCTACTATACTCAATATCTACCCCATATCCAGATAATAAATCAAAATCAAAATCAATAGTGTCAGTCACCGCGTAGATAGTCAATTGACCTACTAGTTATCTACTTACCTTACCCCGACTTAGACTATCTACCTACTAGTGTGTAAGTATGTGTATTCGTATGTGTATGTGTGGTGTATGTAAATCCCAGCAAGTGCAAACGCCGACCAAATCCCGCAGGACGCGATCCATTCGGCCGGAGAACGGATACGCATCGTGTCCGTGCCGATGGATTGGATGGGGCCGCACGGATTGGGGGGGGGGGGGGGATCTGGGCTTGTTCTGGTTCAGCCGAGGTCCGGACTTCTAGTAGCTTCCTAGTTGGGGATAGTGGGGACTATCTAGATGCCTTACTGTACCTTAGTCTGGTCACTGGTCAGTGGTCAGTGGGCACTGGTGTTCTGGATCCGTAGGTACTAGATATGTAGGTAAGTATGGTCGGTCTACCGTGGGTTGGGGGTTATAATGCCTACCTTATGTTAATTTATCCACTACTCCGTCTCCGTTGTATCTAGCTATCTAGGCTATACGAAGTAGATAGTTTTGGGTGGGTGTAGGTGGCACCATTCTCATTGTCTGGGGCGGGGAAGGTTGGGTTGGGGTGGGACTTGGGATAATCAATAGTAGTTATTGTTATTACTATTATTATCTTTATCGTGGTTGGGACTTATGGAGAGGGGCGATTTCTCCTATCTGGATGGATACTATAGCACGCTGTAGTTAAGGACGACTAAAGTAGGTAGAAAGCAGGGGTGCGGATACGTACAGCCTGAATACCTACGGAACGCCGATGAAGAATCACCAGGGTTGTAACTACTCCGTACATAAGGTAGTTAGTGTAAGGTAGTGTACCTAACTAGTGGAGGAAACGTACGGAGTACTCTGTACTACCGGGCTGTTCTAGGCGCCGACCAGGCCGCTGGGATAAAGAATACTCAGGAATCAGGATGGGTCAGATAGAAGGACTAAAAGGGGAGAGGGGAACCCGCTAGTTTGGATGGCCCTGTCACTAAGTAGGCACTAACTGTATGGATATCTGCACTCTGTCTGCCAGTAGTCTGGTGTCTGGGACCGGCTGTCTGACTGACCGGCCGGGGGGTTATGTTCCGTGCCGTGGTGAGTGGTATTGGGGCGTATTTTTGATTAGTACCTACTGCAGTTTTAGTTTGGGGGTTGGACATTAAGGTAACTACTAAACTTGGGATGGTATTATCTGTATGTACCTAGGTAAATAGAATCGAAACACAAAAGCAGCCGCCCTTGAATTTTTTTTTTCTTTCTTTTTTTTGTCTCTAGAGTCTAGATAGTAACCACCATCCTTGTACTTCGTAACGATCCCAATAATGAGACCCCAAATCCAGCCTGCCAGACCAGACAGCTGTCATACCCCCACCGCGCCTCCAACCGTTACGCTTACCCCATCCGGAAAACAATCACTGCTGATCAGCCCGACAGCGCCGGTCCCGGTCCCTGGGAGGGAAATAGCTTCAGCGATGACGCAGGATCTACGTGGCGTACGTACTGCTGTCTGTCTGTCTGTCTGTCTGTCTGTTTCCTAGATACGCAAGTACTTAGGTAGGTGCTTGAGCAAGGAAGGACGAGTCGAGTCGTGGATCGAAATCTCAAACTCGGGTTGATCTACGGAGTACATACAGGACTATCTGCAGTCTGCAGTCCGCAGTCCGTAAGTAGTCTGTTCTGGATGCATCTACTAGTGCACGGACAGACATCGGGACATACTTATCCTTGATTTAACCCGATAATCCGATGATGTGTAGGTTTTGTGTCCCGCTCGCATTTCTACTGCCGGTCGGGATGGATGGATGGGTGGAGGTGGAGGTGGCGGATGGACGGGCCACTCGGAGGTTACCTGTAGTTGTCATGTATGACTTGGTTGTGGTGTGGTGGTTGTTGTAGGCAGCAATTATAGCGGTCCTGGACTGGGGTTGTGACTGGTGACTGGCTTGGGGCGGTACAGTGTTACCTCGGTTGATTATGTCTTGACTCTATCCGTACTGTTGAGGGTTGTCTGGTCTGGTCTGGTCTGGTCTGGTCTCTCTTCCTGAGGGTCCTGGTACTGGTAGGCGATTAAGGTTCAACGGTGCTGGTGGTGGCGCTGTAGCTTGTGGGACTTGGATGGGCTGGTCTTTGGTCCATGATGTGGTCTGTGTGAGGTTAGGGGTGCTGGTGGGGTTGACGGATGGGTCGGAGTGATGATGATAGCAATAATGGACGGAAGATTGATATTAGTTGCATGGAGTAACTTAACTTGTCTTATTCTTTTGCAAGTACCCGACTACCAGGCTTGGGTCGGTGGATATCACGGGATGGCAGTCATGTATTGAAAACACCCCGATCTGATTACTGTGCGACGCCACTTATGCTTATTTATCATCCTGTCTGCGTCTCGCTGCCCACGACAGTATCTCGGTGCTTGATTACGGGATATGGCTGACGTCTCTAGCGCGGATCAGCTATGACGCATCTGCCTGCTTTGGCTCATCAATTCCAAGAATATCCCTGATGATGATCCAAATATCAGGTTAATAATGGCATCCATGTCGTGTACTTATCTGATAGCCACCACTTGTACGGCGTACTCCGTACAGAGTACACATACTGTAGTTCCAATAATACCTGATGTCCCCAACATGAGAGTCCAATGGCAAATTGAGATGTACCATGGAACTGGCTAACTTGCCCACCCACTGGCGGTCCGATCCGCCTGACCCGCTGGAAGGAATGGGGATTTTCTCTTTTACGTTCCCTAGAATGCGATTCTGTATATCAGTATTCGTACTGTTTTAGTTGAGTGTTTTGTATCTAACCTAATGATGTAACAACTGATATATGATATAGAATAGACAGCTTTCTACTGGCCAAGTACGGAGAACAATCAGATCAGTCGGTGACAACCTCGCATGAATCGCATCCCGATCTGCAGGGCCACTGCGTCACTGCGCATTTTGCTTCTCTTATTGGAGCCTGGAGTTTGTCAGCGGCGAACTGCGGTCCGCAGTAATAGTACCTACTACGAGTACTAGTAGTAGTTAATGTCCTGCTTCCTCAGCAGTGGCTATTGCAGTTTGCAGTGCCCTTCATCACATAGATAGTACACAGTATGTACCTAGGTACATCGAGTCGTACAACCAGAGTCCAGACCTGATCATAACCATCCCTGGTCGTCACGCCCGCAATACATAACTAGTACCACTAACATAACACCTGCGTCCGATCGATCACGTACATGGTACCTACCTACCTAGTAGGTAGATACATACCTATACCTGTACAACCCCCCTCTCCCTCCTATCCCTACCCTCTAGCCATATGTAATATGTGATCCCACCCACACCGCCAGAACCCATCTAGAACCCACATACCATAACTACCCCACCCCCAGCTGACAACCCAGCCTCCGACCTCCGACACAGAGAAGAAATATGCTTGACCCGGCACGCCGGAACCAAATAGGATGTCATCCCTGGAGGGACGGGACCCGACTCATGCGACATGCATCATCGGTTGCCTCCTTGGCAGCCTGGTGCTGGAATTCGCGGTTTCAGGCTTGCGCGCCTGACTCGTGGATGGCGGATGGATGGGCAGCGGGAGGGGGAAAGATGATTAGCTGGAGATTGGTATGTATGATGTTCTGCTTTGGGGATGGTGGGATTCGTTGGTGATTCGAATCCCTGCTTGATTGCTTATGCACTTACACTTACTTACTTTGTACATCTATGTAGGTACTGTAGGTACTATAGGTCGGTGGATTCTTTCGTTTTCGGTAAGGTATGTATGTATGTATGTATGTATGGTAATGTAATGTATAGATGGGCATGGATTGGTACTGCATAGGACTGGATAAACAGAGGAGTGAGTTCTACATCCACATGTTTTGGATTAGGTACCTACTCAGGTGGTGTTTTTCCTTGACGCCGAGAAAGCTACCTAGGTAGGTATATACCACCACGGCTTCAGGTACCGGATAAGGGAAGGCTGGGTTTGTGGCATGCACTGGACTATCTAGGTAGGTATATATATTGTAGAAAGCTTTATTGTTAGAGATGAAGTCAGCAGGTGTGGTGTTTGGGGGGATTATTTGGTAATTGTAATTATATTAGATTCTTTATGGTTAGGTCTTTCTCTGTTTCCAGTATTATAGATGGATTTCGAGGCGATATTATATATCTATCGAGGTAGTAGTGACTCTTGTTGTAGTTGTGGTCTGGTTGTGTTTTGGTACATCACCTTGTCAAAAGAGTAAGTTCTTATCCTTCTGATAATAAGTATTTAGTTTCCTTCTACCGCTCTTACTACATCCGGTCTCGGGAGGAGCATTACACTCTCTAGGGACTTGAGATTTTCCATACCCCCTGTGAGTGTGTGAAGTGATCGGGGATGATATTTCGAGGTCTTATTTCTAAGCCTTGAGTGCTTGTTGTCCACCAGCTGTGTCGCAATTAAAGATGTTCAAAGGAAAAGGTGAGGGCTACTGTGTGCCTGGGGCTTTAGGTACAGTTGAGTAAGCGGGATTCAGGACACAATGTTTCTTCTTTCTTCCTCTTCTTCTTATACAAAAGTCTTTGTCTGTTTCTTCAGCCACCTTGTCTATATCTGCAATGCAGCATTCCTCCCAGAACCACGATGTAGATCTAAAATAAGGATCCAATGGTCCAGCTACCAAAAAGACTGCCGCAACACTGACTGCAAATCCACCACAAGCCACTGATAAGCAGAGTGGACAGCACTCCACACCATGGATGCGATCTACAGAAGAAGATGACATGTATGGCTCCCGGGAGATCTTGGCTTGACTTGAAGGCTGTATGTGCTGTGGGGGCCATCTGAAGATCGCCCTTCACCCGTAGCTGGATGATCTGACATGTCAGCAGGACCTGTTGTCAAGATTGAGGCTCTCTCAACACCTGTTCTTTTCCTCGTCAGTCAGGATATCTTCAATGGACATGGTCATGGATTGGGATTTGCAACCGTCACAGGTGCTTGTACTGGCTGCCTCCCTGGCGACTATTGCGTTTGTCTGTACCAAGGTGCGGCATTTTCTGATCCGTCGTGAATTTGCGTGTCGTCAAACCTGTTAGCCAGGGCAGGATAGCTCAAAGGCGACATCCGACTTGATACGAGATCGGTCGTACCCAAGACCCTGGAGCCCGTCGAGTGCTTTTGCCTTTGTGGGATATATTCGCATCAACACTCTTTTTCCATTCCATTCTCATCAAACCCGACCTGGAGAACATCGAATTTCTTGACTTCTCGCGATGGCAAGACAATTGGAAACCTACAGAATCTCTTCTTTCATGATCTCGTCCACTCCGCCGCATATTTCTTCTTCAGCCACTTGTTCTGCAGTCTAAAGTAGGCTGATTGAAAATCAAATCTGGCTATGCTCTGAAGACCATCCAGACCTATCAGTTTGGCCTATTCACGGCATTGTACGGCGATCCAAAGGCCATCGAATGTAATGGCATCTGTCCCGAATTCTTTTGACGAGGCAGTCCATGCAATCAGGAAAACGAAAAGAAGTAGAAGAAAGAAACTCACATAGAGAAAACGCCGCAAATATGTCTTCTCGCATGGACTGGCTTGACGCGCCTCCAACTATCTGTCTCCCGCCGCGCTGGGTACACTAGGAGAAATAGGCCGATACTACCGGCGAGGCACATGTTTAATCCCTTTGCATTAATATGAGGCAGAAGGAGATAGTAGGAGGAGTAAGAGACAGCTCTGGAATATCTTTTCGCATTGACTGTGCATGTTGTAAATATGTTTACAGATTGTATATTTTGGCTTTGAGAAGTGGATACCCGTGACGGACGTTTCCAAAAACTCTTACCCACCACCCTGTAATATATAATCCTGGAAGTCCCCCATTAACGGCTCCAAATATATCAAAGACAAAAAATAAATAAAGAAAGTATAAAATGATCCAAAACACGCACTTCCAAGTGTAAATAATGTATACAACGCCAAGCCAACCCAATCAGCACATGATCTTATCAGACCCGCCGCCGATAACCACCAAATTTCTCTCCGCCTCGAATCTCTCCATCCATCATCCATCACCTCCACTACAACCACCACACCGTCCTCTACCTCTCACCTCCCTCACCAACACCACAATACTACAACAACAACAACCACAAAAATGCCCCCCAAACCCTCTACCACCACCACCCCCTCCCAGCCACACATCGCCCAAACCCTCCTCACGCGCGCGCACTCCCCCACCACCGCAACCACGCTCTTCACCGAACGCGTCGTCCAAAAACCCCTCTACATCCGACCCACCTCGCCCACACCCTCCGACAACCGCTCCCGCCGCCGCCTCCACCGCCTCCGCAAACACCAATACTTCCTGCGCAAGCAGAAGCCCCAGCCGCTGTCTGCGCGCGAGAAGCGCGTCTCGGGTCTCCATGCTCTTCCCCCGGCGGAAACGAAGTATGAGGTCTTTCAGGAGCTGAATCGCTTGTGGGTGGCGTATATGCAGGGGGTGTTGGATTTGGGGGGGAGAAGGGGAGGGGTGCGGGTGCGGGTGCGAGTGGGAAGGGGAATGGGAATGGGGCTGGGGCAGGAAAGGGAGGCCCGTTGGTGACGGCCACGGCGCAGGGGAGTAAACTCGTCAGTGCGGATTTTCATGGTGCGGAGGTGGAGGTTGTGAGGAGTCGGTGTGCGGGGAGGGTTGGGGTTAGGGGGATTGTGGTTAGGGATACGAAGTTTGCGTTTGTGCTGGTTAAGAGGGGGGGTGGGGTTGTTAGTGAGTTTTTTCTCTTCTTTGCTTTCTTTCTTTCTTCCTTCTGTCTTTTTTGGGTTGTTGTTTTGGAGGGTCCTGTTCTGGATGGTCCTGTTTTGGATGGTCCTGTTTTGATGGGTGAAATTGAGATGGAGATTGAGATAGTATGCTGACTCGTTCCAGCCATCCCGAAAGAACAGACCATCTTCCGGTTCTACGTGCCTGTGCCGTTGCCCGTTCCTGAGACGGAGACAGAGACGAAAGAGCAAAAAGGAAAAGGGAAGGACGAAGCAGCACCGGCTACCGAAACAGACAACGCCCCGAAAAGACCCCAGCAGCTCGTCTTCGAACTCCACGGAAGCCAGTTCCAGAATCGCCCCGTCGACCGAGCGAACAAGAAATTCAAGTGGCGCAATGTCGATTATATCTGAACGTGGGGGTGCTGGTTACGGATTATCGATTATCGATTTCGATTTTGAACCAGCGGGATTGTGGGGATTGGCGCGGATATCGTGCAGAGGCTGAGGGTCTAGGCTACTGGTCTGTCATGTCTCTGTTAGAAGAATGACTGGGCTTGGGACATGATCCGTGACTTTGCGATGAGACTACTGCTGCACTTGTGCGCATGAACTGGTCTCGTGAATACAGAGGTCAAGGGTATATCCGTATCCGGACAGACCATCTATACTGGGCCAATTCCCTGGATCATAACGCGATTGTCAGTTGTCAGTCTCGATCGCCCTCTTCTCCGTCTCAGACTAAGTAACTACTCGAGATGAGAGAGCGATTCTCCCGCTACGCGAGCAATCTTCCCGATCAGTGATATTCGGCGCACGAAAGGAATACTCGCTCCGGGTTGAACAGATAACTAGCTGGATAGCCATGCGCGGTCTGGAACAGCCTAGAAGCTGCCTACCTACCTACCTACCTAACTATTCTGGGCAGGCTATGTCCCATCAGAAGCACCGCAGAGCTAGTCTACAACAATACCCAAGATGCAGAATACGGGAAGTGTATGATATGAAACCAAATGAATTTCAGTGTTTATGATTTGTGTGTCTGGTCTCTGTTTGATTTCTCTGGTTTTCCGCTAGTGAGACCTAGATGTGAGTGGGTTGGCATGTCCCTGATGACTGCGAACCAGAGTGTAGTAGACCCTGGATTGCCGGATGGGTGGCTGGGGAGCTTGCTGATTGGAGATGGTCTAGATCTATCTGCACAGTCGTGGTATATCCAGGCCCTGTGCATCTCGCATCTCTCATCTCTGCTGGACTGGATGTACTCAACCCAACCCAGCTGCAGTGCGCGACGCTCTCTCAGCGCAGCTTGACTGCATTGCATGTCTGCCGTAGAAGCAGAAGCAGAGGCGGAAGCAGGAAGCAGGAAGCAGGAAGCAGGAATCTGATGCAGCAGCAGCAGCAGCAGCCACACCCAGCATCCATCCCACCCATCCGGCATCTGTTTCCCCCATCGATGCCTTCAACCGATAGATATATAGATACCTCAATGGATAGATGCTCCTCTCCTGATGATGAATATCCATAATCACCACTCACTCACTCACTCACATCCCGGCCCACTCAATACTAAACACCCTCACACTATCCTCATCCACCCCCTCATCCACCCTCGCCCCCCAACCAGAAACCCCTTCTTAACACCCGTCCCCAGTCTCCCCCCAGCAATTATATCCATCAGATCCAGCTCCTCGTCCCACTCCGCAGAGACGCCCAGGAAATGCGAATGGAAGCGCAGGGGATCCCCCGGGTAGGCGAGATACTGGCACCCGAAGCGCAGCCCGGGAGAGAGGTAGTAGCCGTCGGCGTGGAGGTGGGCGAAGAGCGGGTAGGAGGATGGCACGGCGGGACGGGGGAGATGTTCCGATGCGGATGGGGTGTATGGGAGAGGTGGGTGGGAGGTGGCGGGGGTGACGCCCATGGATGTGCCGTATGGGGCTGTTGTGGTGGTGGTGGTGGTTTGGGTACGTGGGTGTTGGGTTGGAGCATGGTCCGCGAAGAGATCGACGATCGGGTCGTCTTCTTTTTCTTGTTCTTTGCTGGGATTATCCGCGACAACAGGCTGCGACTGCTGCGACTGCTGCTGCTGTTCAGCCGCTTTGGCAGCCTTCCTGGCCTTCTTTTCTTCTAGTTTCTTCAAGGCCTTCTCGCGCTGCTCGTCCTTCCGGCTGGTCTGCACGCGCATGGCGTGCTCGCCCTGGGACTCTAGCTCACGCAGATACTTCCGCCGGTCGTCCTCCATGAGGGCTCGCATTCCGTCCTTCTGGACTTTTACCTCGTCTACAATGCACGCTACACCTTTGTCCACGAGCAGCCGGGCCTCCTCGGGCATCAGCTTCAGTGGCAGTCCCAGGAAGACATTCTGCTGAGGGATTTGGGGCAATGTGCCGCTTAACACGCCGCATATGTGATGCTCGCGTCTCAGATACGTGACCGCTTCAATGGAGAAGAGAAAGTAGCTACCCGCGATATACGAGATCGGAATGGGAAGGGAGGGGTCGTCCATTTTAGAACAACGTTAAGGGGAAGGAAGGAAAGTCAAGTTATGAATGACGAAGAGAGAGGAAGAGAGAGCTGCTGCAACTGAGGGAACGTTAGCGTTCGGCCTGCAAAAGAGGTGGGATGACATGAATGATATTCAAGATGGCAAATCATTTTCGTTACATTTCTCAGTCACATGTGCTCGTTTTTTGAGATTATTTGAGCTTCAGGGGATTGACAGATTATAGTATTTGTATAATCATGCAAGCGGGGCGGTGGATGCGAGGGAATGGAGGGATGCTTACCATCAATACAACTGAGCAGCAGCGAGTGATCGACTCTTGACATAAAAGAGTGATGCTGGGATTGCTCTGCAACCACGAGGCGAGAGTAAAGAGAAGGAAAAAAATCATCGGTGGGGTCGCAGCTTTAAAGCTCGCCGGAATGCCGCTTGCCGGATTGGGCTAGCGGGTGTGAGCTTAGTCATGCAGCACGGGCCAAGTGATGCGTGACCTTCGCAGCTGTACAGCTGGAACTGTCAACAGCGTGATTATCTTTGTTGCGTGAGCCGAACTGCTGGTCCTGATCGAGATGAATTTCCTGTTGTTACTATTTCTGGTGTTCTTTGCACCCCTGCTGCTATTCCTAGGTACGCTGCTTATCCGCTGACATGACAGCCGCTGACTCGCGAAGCCTGGCTGGGTCTCTCATCCTGCCTGGGGGATCGCCTGCGGGCCTACTTCTCGGCGTCTTCAGCTGGTCCGGGCATGGACTCGTATGGACGAGACTATTTCCGAGGAATGGGCAACACCGGGTCTGCCATGTCCGAACAGATCGAGCTGGAGAATATGCTGGACGACTTGGACTCGGATCATGAGGAATGATCGTGGTTCTGCTCGTTCGACCACTGCACCGCTTCAGAACTCCAGCTCCGCCTTCTTCGGCATTCCACCCGACGCCGCCGCCTCCTGTCCTTCCTTGTCTCCTTCGGCCGGCGGCAAGCTGAAAGGCTTGATCTCGAACTTCCTGCGGCTCAGCGTAAAGGCCCAGTCCTGTCCGACGTTCTGATCGCTGCCACCGCCTCTTTCATGCAGCACGGGCAGTCGATGCACCTTGAGCATTCCTTGCGGGGGCTCCTCCTGAGACGTGGCGGCGCCGGAAGACCCGAGGGCGTCGGATGAGTGGGGGAAGGGGCATAGCTCGATGACTCCGTCACTGAGTATCTCCATCCACCGCACAAGTCCTGCGGAGCGGGGAAAGAGGGACAACGGGATCGTGATCATCGTTGTGATGCGGGCCCCGGAAGTGGTCATCAAGGCCCTCAGGGAGTGCAGAAAAGGGAGAAGGTTGTCGGGTTGGCTGGTCTCGGGCGGATATATCGCGGGGTTCAGTAAGGAGGGGATGACGACGCGGTGGACTGTGCTTGGTGGACATGATGCAATGGCGGCTTGGAGACGCTTGAGGGTGGACGTGAGCAGAGGCTCGTTCGATGGTGTGAGGGGTATATAGTTCAGGTTGGTGATGGAGGGATGGGTGAGACGTTTTGTGAGGTCAAACGCATGGCAGAAAGCTGGCCGTTTATCCACGCTGGGGTCTGCGGCAGCTTGACTCTGGTCCCCTGCTGCTACAGGCGCTGCATCTGTCAATACCTGCACAGTCTTAACTGATAAGGGCCCTTACCTCTTGACCCTGCAATTCCCGCACCGAACTCGCCCAGACGCTCGTATCGCCAAGCGATCTTCATGCGCTCGCCCTTCCGTTTATCCTGCTTGTCGTCCACCGCATCCGCAGGACCGAGCAGACCTGGGAGACTCCGGCCCCATTGTTCGGGCATTCCAACCACATGCACCTTCTGATCCTGCACAACCCCCTCCGCTGCGTAGTATCGAAGCAATGCGCCCGCGAAATCCGTAGTGCCATTCTCCTCCACCAGCAGCAACTTCCCGATAGGAAGACCCCCGTGCCCAGCTAGAAGGTTGTCCAGCGACGGGGTGCCCGTCGAAGTAGTCGGTCGGCCATCGTCGGGGGAGGGGCGAACTCCGGGGACCGATTCTGGCGCCGCAGAGACCGGCGCTGGCTGTGAGGTGCCATTCACAGCCGCGGTGCGATCGACACCCGTCGACAGGCCAATATTCCGCTTGCGAAACGACATTGTGTGCCGAGGGACGAAGTGATTGAGGTCGTTGTCGTTGTCGTTGTCGGTGTCGGGGGCTGGAACACTTTTGAAGATTTGCTGCGGGGCAGCTTCGGAAGAGACTAAAAGCGGCGGCGCGCTAAAAGTCGAGCAAAAAAGCTGTCTGTCCGCTCTCGCCTTCCCTTCCTGGCGCTACCTTCTTGACTTCGCCCGCGTACCTCCTCCGTCTCTCGTCGCATCGACCGACCTCAATCACCCACCGGTTTCTTCCCACGTCTACACCCGCATCGCCCACCATGTCCGACCCGCTCCTCTTCGAAGACACCTTCACGATCACCACGATCAACTCGCAGAAATACGACCGCGTGTCTCGTCTCAGCTGCAACTCCACCGACAACTTCACCCACTTCACCCTCGATGTGAACTCCGAGCTGTACCCTTGCGCCGTCGGCGAATCCGTCTCCATGGCCCTTGCGTCCACCCTGTCGCTGGATGGCAAGGACGAGTCCGGGAACAAAGGCTGGAGGGACGTCGGCATGGGCGAGCAGACTCTGGCCAACGACTACGACTACGTCTGCCACGGAAAGGTTTACCGCTTCGAGGAGGGCTCGACCCAGGGGAACATGTAAGCTTGCTTGCTGATTTGCCACGGCTGTGTCTGTGTCTGTGTCTACATTTACTAATAATCATTCGGTCAGGGCCGTCTTCATCTCCTTCGGTGGTCTGCTGCTCTACCTTGAGGGTCCCTACAAGAAGTTGGCGCCTCTCAGAATCGACTACGTGTACCTGCTGCTGAAGAAATAGAGGCGTCTCTATTATTCTATTCTATGGAAGGTTCCGGGACGACAGGTCCCGGAGAGGAGATCAGCAAAGGAACAAAGAAAGAAAGAAAGAAAGAAAGAAAGGAAAAAGTGGATTTGCATAGGACGGGGGAGTTTCGAATTGCAGCGCCGGCGTTTGATTGGTGATTTCTGGGTATATCAGATAGAATACATCAAAATATTGACTTCCCGATATTTCAACCCCATCATCACCTACAAACACGCAGCCACATCGCACAAGTGACGCGTTGGAAACTCCAACCGACGATGCACGCGCGCCAGAATAGTGGAATAATCCGGCTCATTCTCCGCCGTCAGAATGCCATGCCGGATAAAGAAATCCAGCAAAACGACGGAGCAGTTCGGCTTGAACTCGCCATTGGCCAGCGCAGCCTTGCACTCGTCGATCGAGAAGAGATTAAACTCCTGTACTTCCGAGTCACACGGCTTGGGGATCGTCTCCGCGTCCAGCGGGATATCGAACACGTATTCCACCTCCGGCTGCACGAGGTCCGTTTCCCCCCCAGCCGCGGAATCCCGCACGTAGACATACGACACGCAGCCTACGGGGACGGCGTTCGCCCGCACGATCGCCTCCGGCAGCGACGCCTCCTCCATCGCTTCGCGCACCAGACACTCGAAGGGCATTTCTCCCGTGCTCATCCCCCCCGCGACGGAGTTATCTAGCATCCCCGGCCACGTCTGCTTCGTCTGCGACCGTCGCGGAACCCAGATTCGTAGCTCCCCGTTCGCGTCTTTGGTGTACGCTGTCGCATGGACCCCGTACGAGACGATGCCGAACAGCGGGCTCGCGGCGCGTTCCATCTCCAGGAGGAATTCGCCCCCCGGGCCGTAGACGGGGTAGAGCTCGTTGCGCCATCCCCTGAGGACCGAGAAGGTGTCCTGCTGGACGGCGAGCTCGAGCGCCTTGGCGATGACGGCGCTGCGTTGCGCGGGTGTCGCGGTGGGAGAGGTGAGCATCGTCAAGGTGCGGTTTTTGTAGTCGACGAACCAGTCGTTGGCCGGGAAGTTGAATCGCAACACCACCGCGTCCAGCATGTGGCCGAGGACTGCATTGCATCCGTTTACCTTGAACTCCCAGTAGTTCTCCAGGTGGGCTTTGTAGGAGGCGGGGTTGTCATCGGGGTAGGGGAATCTGGGGTGGGGGGTTAGCGGGGAAGGGAGAGGGGAAGGGGAGGGGAGGGGAGTGGTTACCTGTCGCATTCATCGACGAGCTGGATGTTGGACTTGCTCATGGTGTCGGTGGTGGAAGAGTGTCGCTCTATCACAACCGGAATGTCTATCTTGGGAAATCTGCCAGGGGAGGCGGAGCTGGATCTGGTCGCTGATTGGTCGATCGGCGCGGTATTCGGCGATATCTCAGATGTATCTGGAGGGTTCGTCACACTGCTGGTTGGAGTTCCTTCGGTGGGTGGGGTTGCTGCTGGGTTTATATACTATTATCTATCCATGGAGTGAGTGCAGTGAATGCTAGATGGGCCACCTCCCTGGTTAGTCGTGTCTCCAAGAAATCTTCTGTGGAGGACTTCGATGTCAGTTGACATGCTCCGTACCAAGACGGGAAATATGAGGAAAGCTTCGCGAAGCCTTAGGCGAATACTGCCAGGCTGCCTCGGTAGTAGATCCTAGGACGGTGTAAGCCTGTAAGGGCATGTAGGACTAGCAATGTAGGGTCCATGTAGGCAAAATGATGTCTGCACGTGTACTACTGTTAGTGCTGGTAAGCATTGTCATTCCTCAATCCCGTAAGGACCAAAAGACTGCCTATTCGCAGTAAGCTAGGATATGAAGCATGGAGGGATGAGATTGATTGATAGTAAGAGGTAGTTGTTGCGGATAGTACGGTGTAGTGACTACTAATATGTAGGAGGGAAAGGAGGTGTTTCCCCAACCGGCAGGTGCATAGCGACCAGACATCCCTCGTAATGTAATCAAGGCAACAACCCTCACCGCCCTGGCAGTATACAGCCCTTATCGATAAGGGCAATTTCGTCACAGATTTCCAGGCAGTCAGGCAAGTTCCTTCTCGGCGCTTCCATCGTGGAACGCGCCAGGAATTTCTCCAGAGCTTCTCTCCCCACTCGGAGCTCTACTCTCCTCCTCATCATCATCGTCATCCTGACTATGCATTCTCACCCTCTCCCGGTTCTCTAGCCAGTCTACATCCACCTTAATTTTATCATTACTAGATACCCGTCCTCCCAATAGAATACCACCACCGCCACCACTACCGCCGCCTGTACCCTGTCCCACCTACAGTGCATACCGTCACCCCCCTCTCCCCCCACCATGTTCTCCGTCATCATCCCCGGCCAACCGTGCCTCACCAACCTCGCGCAAGTCGAGGCGACCAAATTCGCAATCACATTCCCACTAGTCCCCTTCAACGAAGTGGTTGTCTTCTTCCGCCCGGACGCCGCCACCCCTCTCCCCCCCTCCACCGTCGCCGCCGTCTACATCCAATTCCCCGAGCCGAACCCCAACCCCGCCGCCGCGCCCCAATTCCACCTCCTCGGCGCCCTCCGCAACGACAAACAATCCGCCATCTTCAAGCTCCCCCCCAACATCCCCGCCCTGCAGAACGTCAATGCCCTGATGGGCGCCGCGGAAGTCGTCCTGGGCATCTCCGTCGAGCCCGAACAGGTGCTGGGCCCGCAACTGGAGGCGCTCGAGGCCGAGCAGGGGTCGTCCATGGTTGTGCGTCAGCAGAAGGAGATCACCACCAAGGTCCTGGCGCAGAGGATTATTGGGAATGCGTTCAACTTTTTGGCCAGCTTTGCGGAGTCGGATCCCAGGAGTCGTGGACAGGAGGTCGTTTCGTTGAAGTCGTTTCGTGATTGGTGGACCAAGTTTGAGAGGAAGGTCGATATGGATCCGACGTTTTTGGAGAGGGAGGATCCGTCGGCTTCGGGTAGGTCTTTGGTCTTTTGGTTGTGGGGTGAGCTTGTATATGGTGTGTGTGGGTGCGTGTGGGTTTGTAGAGGGAATAGATGCGCATGGCAGGGGTTTTGCTTTTGGGCTTTGAGCGTTTGGGGTTGGTTTGTGTTTGTGTTTATGTGTTTGTGTTTGTTCGTTGCTGCGATCATGGATTGTATACTATGTTTCGGGTTCCTTATACCATACCACCCACCCACACCACCATCACGGTCGTGGAATCTTCCCATCGGAGATTCTGTCTATTTGCGTCAACGTCGTGGAATCATATTTCCGGTTGTGGAGATCTATCTGTATCTGCGTCTATATAAACCGCTCGTCTATAATAGCAAGTCATCGGGGAGAAGGTATACCAGCCTTCCTTCCCAGCCGTAAGCTCTACCTGTATAGCTAGCACTTCTACTCAAGAAGCATCTTCAAGAAAGCTCCCGCAATCGCGACACCGTCATGTTCGATGCCCGCCCGGGACATGGCGTCTTCGGACTGTTCCTTGTTGAACAGCCCCGTCGCAGTGCGCAGCGTGATCAGCTCCGTCATGATATCTTCCCGGAACTCCGGGTGGCCCTGGACCGTGATCAATTTCCCGGGGATGTACATGCCCTGCACGGCGCATTTGGGTGACGCCCCGAGAGAGATCACCTCCGACGGGTAGCCGTAGGCGATGTCTTGGTGCATTTGGTGGATGCGCTGGCGGTAGTCCTGTTAGCGGGAGAAAGAAAGAAAGGAAGGAAGAGGAAGCGCAATTGGCGAGAGATGTTCAGCGGCGCAAGATTGAAGTGGATGTGGTGAATAGAGGGGATGTGCTGCGGGGGGGAGGGGTTCTTACGAGTTTATCCCTTCCGAACAGCTCCTTCCCAGCCTGCGACAAATCCACCTCACATACTGCCAGCTCCCACCCCGCCGTGTTCCGCCCGACCTTGACGTTCAGCGCACGGGCCAGAATCTGATGTCCGAAGCAGATGCCGAAGATCTTCACGCGCTTGTCCTGCATGGCTTGCTTAGTGTATTCGATCAATTTCAGGATCCACGGGTGGTCCTCGAACGAATCGTGTTCTGGGTTGGGTGCTGGTTAGCATACCGAGTACAAAAAATAGAGTATGTATGGTGTGAATGAGTCACACGTCGCGCCCCAAGCCTTGCAGTATGCAGACGATGCAATGTACATCATGCACATTTGCGCATTTTCACAGGAGATGGATGATGTTTGATATGTATCATTAATGTTAGGATGAGGGATGAATGAATGACTCACTTGAACCAGTCAGAACCAGCGCGTCTACGTCCTCCAGCTTCGGGTACTCCTGGGCCGTCACCACGTCCCATCCACTGATGTCCATGCCCGTCTCTGGATCTAGCTTTTCGGGCTGCCCGAGCGCTGCGGCGCTTTCGCGGAGCAGCAGCGAGAAGACCCCGTGGTAGCCTTTGTACTTCAGATTTACCTTTTCGACGGGCGTGTCGCATTCGAGGATGGCGATACGGAGTGGGGGGCCCATTGTGGTGGTTGTGGCTGGGGTTGTGGTGTGGTGGGCGGGGTTGTTTGGTGATGTGATTCGAAGAGGCTGCAGGCGGGAGGTAGAGAATGAGGGATTTGGACACGGACAACCTCCTACAGGATGGGGATGATACCTTGGTAAGCGGGATGGAATGGCTGCTGCAATGGTTGATGGTGGCGTGGGAAAGGCTTATCGGACACGCCTGCGCTATCAGGCCGCCACCGCCTTGCCTCAAGGGTTGGGTTCGGCTTTGCTTCCGATCCGATACCGCGGGGGTCCATGCCTCGGGTCTCGTGCCTCGTGCTTCATTCGTAGCGTACATAGCATTTAGATACGTGACGAAGAAATGGCAATTCTTATAGGATAACGGACAGCTCGAGCAGATCCTTCAAGCCGTGATCAGGCGTCCCGTATGCGGGGAAGATGTCATATCATGACCACCGGATGGCACTTGCTCCCACGACTGCCAGGGATTGGCTGACCAGCTGGCAGCGGCTGCTCAGGATCGAGTCACAATGGATAGATATGTCGCATTTGCGATGCAGCGGCCATTGGACCGTGCACGCCGGTGAGATGCTGTAGGACGCGTCGTGCGACCTCAGTGGTGTAACTATACGTACACTGCAGGTTACATGCATGCTCTGACTCGGTTCTCAGCAGTACTGCGGGATTCCATGGTCTCTTTCCTCTACCATGATCGGGCTCTCAGCCTCAAGGGTTTTCTGCTGTCATGGTTTCTCCTGTTAGTCTTTCTGCTGTCTGGTCTGGACCCTGATATCTGCTCGGTGAAGAAGAGTGTCATAACTATTGACAGTCACGCAATCACTTGGCGTCGGCAGAGAGAAGCGATGAAGCGATCGATGCCTTCAAGTTACTGCTCGGTATTCGGCATTCGGTATTGCAGTATTGATGCCTGACCGGCCAGCAGCGAATCAGCGTCCGCGGGTGCACGTGAGGGCGTGGGAATGGAGTCAAAGCCGCCCAAACCCAAGGCTCAGCGCGATTCTCCATCTACTCCGGACTCCGTCTCTACAAGGGCGCATCCTGGCCAGATGCACAACCTGCAAAGAGAGGTTGATTGTTTCAACATGCGGCGCGCTGATAACCAGCCCGTCTGCACCCCATGGATGCAACCAGAGGAGGGGAGCCGGTCACAATTTCAGGTGTTCCTGCTCGATCCACCAACCGAGACAGCCGTCGCATCCGGTGGAGTCCCCCTCCCCTTGGAGGCGAGGACTCGAGTCATCCATAGTTCCGCGCGGGATGGATCCGACTTGCATCGTGCATCCTTAGTGCCGCGCAGAGAAATCCCTCTATAAAATTTGTCTCAACCGGTGATTCAAGGGGATCTCACCTCGTGCGTCAGGCTGATCTCCCAGGCATTTCTCCCCTCTTTTTTTCCTGCTGCCTGCTCTCAGCCCAGGAACTCATTAACTCCCCTCTGTGCCTTTGAAGCTTGAAAAAAGAAGACCCTGCCTAGAGAGGCTTGTTTCATAGCGTTACGCCAATTACTGGCTCTTACACCGCACCCAGGGATTATGACTGTTTCCAACGCAGCTGATGGAAATCCCTCGTTTCCCAGTGCTACGGAATCAACACCACTCCTGAACGGACCGTCCCAGCCTTCATATACCAGCGAAGACGACACCGTTGTAGATAAGAATGTCGACCCAAGCCTGTCGTCGACTGCTTTCGCCCCCGAGGAGGACCCTGCCTTGCTGAGTCTCTCCAGAGTCACTTCGATCCCCCAGGGTATTGACGTCGAACCCAACCTCGAACAGCTGCCCTCCGCCACCACGAGCCATAAGCAAGACCCCAGAGATGCGGAAGATGTCGCCCCCAATGACCCTATCGGCTATGCCTCCCGCTTTATCAATGTCTCGCCCATGAGGTTCTGGCTTATCTTCACTGGTATTCTAATGGGTTACGTGATTGGGTTCTTCGACGCGACCTTGATGGCATCCAGTCACCCCGTCATTACCTCCTACTTCCACGCCTCAAACTCCGCGTCGTGGCTGTCGACTGCCTTCCTGTTGACATCCACCGCTTTTCTCCCGCTGTTCGGACGCATATCCGACACGTTCGGAAGACGACCCGTTTATCTTTTTGCGATCGCGGTCTTCTTCATCACTACCGCGTGGTGTGCTGCCGCCCAGAGTATGGTCAGCTTCATCGCCGCTCGCGCCTTCTGTGGCATGGGAGCCGGCGGTGTCTTCTCCATGGGCATGATTCTCTCCAGCGACCTCGTGCGCCTCGAGTATCGCGGTGTCTATCAGTCCTACATCAATCTCTGCTTAGGCGCTGGGGGCTGCCTCGGGCTGGCGCTTGGCGGGTTCCTGTGCGACCGAGTAGGGTGGAGAGGTGCGTTCCTCGTGCAACTACCCTTCATCTTCGTTTACTTCCTAGTAGCGGTCTGGACGACCCCGGCCGATCTGGGGAGAAAGAGAGCGAGAGCAGACCAAATGACTCTATCCAAGCTGATCTCGAGCATTGACCTCGTTGGTTCGATTATCCTTGTCGTGACTGTGACTGCGTTGATAATGGGGCTCAATCTGGGCGGCAACGTGTTTAGCTGGTCCCACCCGATCGTCATTGCGTCCTTGGTCTCCTTTTTCATCTTCGCAGTGCTCTTCGTTCGGTATGAGCGCACTGTGGAGCGCGGTGTCATGCCACTTTCGCTGTTGACACAGCAGCCTCGCGCGGGTCTCATCTTTGGAAACTTCTTTGGCGCCATCTCAATCAACACCATGATCTTTAATGCCCCCCTCTATTTCCAGGCCGTCAAATTAGCCAGTCCAACTGACTCTGGTCTCAAGCTGATCAGTTCGACGCTCGCGGTGACCACCTCTAGTGTTGCGATCGGCTTCCTCATGACTTGGACGAAGCAGCTCAAGCCCGGAATCGTGGTCGGAGCCGTCTTTCTGCTCTTGGGAGGCTGTACCGCTGCATCGATGGGCGTGGACACGCCTGATTGGATTGCGATGGTTTGCATCTCTCTGTCCAGTTTGGGCCAGGGCTGTGGCTTCCCTTCCATCATGGTGTCGGTTCTTGCTACTTCTGAACAGGACGACCAAGCGGTGGCCACTACCACTCTGGGCATGTGGAGAAACCTGGGCTCGGTGATGGGCGTGGCGACGAGCAGCTGGATCTTCCAGAACACTCTGCTCTACCGACTCGAAGACATGGTCACGGGACCCAACAAGGAGGACGTCATTCTCCTTGTCCGTAAATCGGTCCAAGCGATCGCAAACCTGGACCCGATGCACCAGCAGCAAGGTAGGCTTTATTTCTTGCGATGGTAGATATTATGCTAACGGATCATGTAGTAATTGGAGCCTATGCTGCGGCTCTCCGCGTGACCTTCCTCTCTGCTGCCGTCTGGGGTGGTATCATGCTCATTCTGCTCCTCCGCGTCCGAGTTCCCAAACTGGGGAGCAAGGCAGAGTGAAGTTACTGATATACTACAGTGATGATTGACTCGAATAGAAACGGCTGTGATATAGACATTTGGATAAATTGTTACGGCTCATGGCTTGAATGGTTACAACCCCATGCATTATGACTGATGGCTATAAAAGTTAGTGATATAGACCTAAATTTAGGTCCCGATTCGAAATGTTGCATAGGCAACGACCGGGGTTGGATGAGAATCGCCTATGCGATGTGGAGGACAAAAGGCTGGTGCCATCAAAATTAGATAGGATAGCTAGTGCTAGTACAAATTGCATATCTGGACCTGGGATCTCTATTCCCGCGTGACTTGTGTGGATTAGCAATGGAAGCCGACCAATCTCCGGCCAGGCGATGTCGGTGTCGGTGTCAGATTGCGCTAGGCCATTCGGGGACTAGCCCCATCCGGAGTCATGATTCCCCGCGGATCTTTTGAGGCCGCCCGTCGTCTCTCTCTCTCTTCTTTGTCCAGCCCGGCAATCTGCAGCATGGTTGTAGCGATCTACTGTCCTTGAGTGTGCGTGTTACTTAGTCTGGTCTATCGGAGTCGGTGTTCTTTCGTCCGCTGTGGCCTACCCTCTTGCAGAGGCTAACCAGATCCTTGCGCAGATTGGCGATCGTGAAACCGTTGCCAGCAACCGGTGCCTATACATTCTTTGTCGGTGTCACATCAACTCCCTATCTCGGACACATCCTCGTCCGATATTCGCTCGCCATACATCCCCCGACATCTATGTGAACGGGGTGCGTGGCATACGCAGCCTTACGGCGCCATCGATTACGCGGGTTGGCAGAATGCTCGGGAGGTCTAGTCTTGGGGGCTGAATCCGGGGATTGCTGGTTACCATATTTTTGGAAAGAAAGTGGAAGGGTGCTCTCATGGTTAAGAGCTTACTTCCGAAACCCCCGATAAACAACATCCTGATATGGCTTCAGCCGTCAGCGACCATGTCTCTGCGCCGTCGGACCTGGACCTGTCGCTCGACCTCACAATTTCAGGACAGATCGTCGATATACTTGATCTCGAATTAGAAGAAAACAGCCCCGCTGTCGCCAGCGAAATCAATGCCCTGGGGACGAGTCCGTCCGATGAGGGCGGCGTTTCAACCCCGAATAGCACCCTGGATGCGCCAGGTACAGGTACATCGGGCGTCAAGCGGAAGAAGAAGGTCGTCATCACGAAGCCCCGGCGCGTTCGGACGGGCTGTCTCACGTGCCGGGAACGGCATCTGAAATGCGACGAGGCTTTGCATCGATGCCAGAACTGTCGGAAGTCGGGGAGAGTGTGCCGGCGCGGAGTTCGCTTGAATTTCATAGACATCCAGACGGCGACGCCTCCACACTGCGTAGTTCGTATTTCGGCAAATGGGGTGACGTTCCGGGATGAGTCGCGGTTGATCGCGTCCGAGTATGTTGGTGGCATGGAGAGGTATCCTGTCGCGGCGGAATCGGCGTTGGATACGGACAACTCGTCGGGGTCTTCTTTAGCACCCAACCCTAATGCACACAAGGCCTCGTTCATGCAGGGATTCGGGGCCCCGCAGCCTGGAAGCTTGGGTGCGTTTGATGGCTTTTCGCATCCGACTCATAACCACTCGTTTGCCGATCCGACGACGTCGTTCGCGCCGTTTCGCTCGACTAAACAGGGCCATATCAATGCCATTAACCATACGTGTCTGAACAATCCGGAGGAAGTTTACCTGCTGCAGGTTTTCGTTGAAGAGGTTGGCCTGTGGATGGATTCGATGGATGCGGTAAAACACGTGAGTCCTACCCCTGCAATGTGGCTTGTCTGCTAGCTTACCTCGGCAGTTCACGCATATCCTCCCGTTTCATGCGCTAGAGGAGCCCATGCTCCTGAAGGCGCTTCTGGCGTGTGGCGCGCGGCATCTGTTCCATGTGGATGCGTCTTATGGCGAAGAGAGGGCAGCGGATCTCCACAACGTCGCCTCCCAATACCTTCTTCACTCGCTGCAAGACCCCGATCGTGACTCCGCTCTCTGCGCGACAACCGCCATTCTCCTCAACATATACGAGTTGATGTCCGGACGACCAATCCAGGGCATGAGCCACATCGCCGGCGCACGGGCATTGATCAAGGAGTGTCACTGGAACGCGAAAACGCCCGGACTCGGTGGCGCTTGTTTCTGGCTGAACGTAAGCATGGAACTACTAAGCTGTCTGAATTTCAACTGGACACTATCCTGGGACCCAAACACCTGGGGCGTCGAGCTGGATTTGAACCAAGCGCAACCCAGCGTCGCCGGCAATGAAGAGGCCTGGACGCACCGGATGGTCTTCATCTGCGCGAAGATCGCAAATTTCCGGTCCCTGGGCCAGCCCCCGTCGCTGGAGAGCTCGGCCACGGACATGCGCATCAGCCAGCGCTATCAGGAATGGTGCACCTACAATGACTGGTGCGATCAGTGGGCGAGAGCCGTGCCGCGCTCCATGATGCCGCTCGGCTATCTGCATTCCTGGCAGACGAATTCGAAGTCTGTTTTCCCGCAGATATGGTGAGTATTGCTGTTGTTCTAGCAGTCGCACAGTTGTTAAATGTTAGCAGGCTTATCAAGCGCTCCACCATCGTCGCCCAACTCCTCTACCACACCGCGCGAATCCTCCTCACGAAAACGAACCCCGTCGAATCCGAATTCAGCACAGAGATGCAAACTATCCAGCAGAGCCACGCGCGAGATATCTGCGGCATCGTCGCCCACTCGCGGGATCGGTACCTCCCCCCTTCTCTCCCTCCCCTCTCCCCTTCCCTCAAACTAACCCCCAATCAAACCCCGCTCCATCAAAGCCAAGCCATGTTAATATTGATACTAACAATAATAAACAGCGGCGTCGCCAGCCTCTCCATCCGCTTTCTCGCCATCGCCGCCGAATGCCTCACCACGCGCGAAGCCCAACAAGAAGCCTTCGACATCCTCGAATCCATCATAAAACAAACCGGCTGGAAATCCGAGCACGTGAAAAAGGAACTCCAGGACGCGTGGGGCTGGACCGACTCCCACGGTCCCCCGATCCCCATGTCTGATGATATCCTGGCCCTCTTCAATAGTGACCATGACCATGACCCTGACCATCCGCTGGATCCGGTCCCCCGGCCACATAAGATGGTGGTACCGTCGGGTGGTGTTGTTAATCCGGTTATGGCCACCGCGGACTTTTCGATGGAGGATCGGCCGTATAGGGATTATTATGTTGCGCCGGCACCGGCGCAGGCGCAGAGGGTGGTGGGGTTTGAGTTTGGTGGAGGTGGGAGTGGGAGTGGGGGCTTCTAGGTGTGCATTGTTGGTGTTTGGACTTTCGGGAGAGGAGGTTTGTTGGTTGTGTTCTGTAGTTTTGATGTTTTTGGATTGTTGTTTTAGATAGATACCACTAGAGTTGTGCTTTTGGCCTTGCTTAGGCATGGATTTTGGATGTATGTGTGTATGCGTGTATAAATTGGATTGACTACTTACTATACATGGGTGATCTTTATGTTCAAGATAAGTATCCAGTTGACTATTTATTAGAGATAAATCATAGGGTGGAATGATGGCGCTGTTGAATAAATTCGATGCTCATTGACAGGCAGCGGGCGGGAGAGCCCGTCGCGTCGGTCTGGTTTCTTCTGGGGTAGATCGTCTCTTTACGACTTACTTCTTCCAACCACCCTCCAGTTGGGCCACGACTCAGAGTATGGAGTACCTAGCATCAACCAGAACCCAGGACATTTCTAGCTGGGGCGTTGTCGAGATACCTTTTACCTGGTTTCGGGGGTATGGTTCATTCTGTTTTCTGACTCCTACTACTTAGGTACTACTACTCGGGTAGGTAGGCTGGTAGGTGGCGCCTGCCTCGAGGCCACTGGCTCCTCGATGCTACTGAGTTCTCTGTTTGCTATCCACCCTCTCTTTTAGTCTTCATATAGGCTCGAGATAGCTTCTCCGTCGATCGCTCGTCCTTGTCACTGAAAAGACACCTCGATATAGATATCAGTTCCTACGATTCTCTATCCGGGTAAGTCTACGGGGATCTTTTGGGCCGCGCTAGACGGGAAATATCGATTGGCTAACACAGTGGAGCTCTCCTGCATGTTAGGACCTGGAGATCCAATGATGATCTTTCACGTCAGTGCCCGATTCAGGGGAGGTTCAGCGGAGCTGAACTTTGGCTTGGTGGGGGCCTGGGTTGGGCTGAACGATGGGCGATATACAAACTGCGGAGGTTGCCCAGCTTGAGCGCGAGTCTTGCGCTTCGTCAAGTTATCGATTTATTTGTCTTTAAGCTTCACTTCTCCAAATTTTTGTGCTTCAAGAGGCCGACACTTTCTCCGAGGAAGCTTTTCGGGAAAGTTGAAGGGGAGGAAGGGTCGTCAGAAAGAGAAGGCTGATGGCAGTGGCAGCTCCAGTGCCCGGAACCAGATGGCTCTGGCTGCTCCCCAGGTGCCTGTCTTGAAGAATGAAAACGTGGATTACTCGACTAGTTCCAACGCAGAAGACGATGGTCTGGGAGCCAAAGTCAACGGGCCAGATGGAACCGACATACCCAGTGGTCATGCTGAGAGACCAAGTAAGTTTTGATTCTTTGGATGAAGGTTCTTCCTGTTGACATGCTTTCTAGTTGATAGAAGCGGAACGACTACAGATCTCCCTGACGACGCGAAGTCGACTCTAACGCCGACATCAATTCACAACGCTCTGTGGGAAAAGGCTTATGAAAACCTGAAGAAGGATAGCAAGACGGCGGAGTATATGAATGAATACGAAGATATAGATTCGAGGGACTTCTTGGAAGAGAGCATCGACGATACAACCTCCTCTCGACAAGCAAACGGAAGACTGCCAGGTGACAAGCGACTGCGATCCATCATCGAGAAGGGCCTGCATAAGGTCGAAACAAAGAAACGCGCAAGCGAAAGGTTTAGTAACGTCTCCAACATCATACAGCATCTCAAGGCCTTCGTTGATATCCCTTTGACAAATATTCCACAGACTGCGCTACCTTGGGCTGTGGTTTCTTCGACTTTGGAAGTAAGAAGACTTGATGTTCTTGGAAAGAGCCTGATGCTGATTGTGATCTGTGCTTCTGTAGATTTTGATCCAGGCTGGTGAATTAATCGATACCTTTTATGCTAGGCCTGCGTCGTGGATCGCACACCAACGGGCGTGTAGATACCGTGATCCGATACACCGTCATGGACTTTCATCTGGGACAATTACGGAGACTCCTGGAATTTACGATGGAATGTTTTACAGAGTGGGAACCAAATGTTGTATCTGATATGGACTCAACTCGAGGTAGGCTTGATGGCTTACGGAGGGCAATTCAAGACCTCATCGCCCAGGCATGAATCATGTTCTTCACGTGCCGAAGCACGGGCATCATGCCGCACATGTATATTCGTAGAATATCTAGCAAGCGAACAACCACTATGCACACAGGCTTTGGTCGGATTGATGCACATATGGAAATCAAGAAGGAGAGAGAAAACAAAGCAAAGGCATGACCTATCAACAACGATGCTGCACTCTGCCCCCCATTGCCTCCACCAATCGCACCATCTTGGCCGTGAAATGTCGATCTCTCGGCACAATATGTCCCCCTTCATGGATGGAGGGCTTCTGGCCAGGCACCTACACCATGGTCGCGGGGATCATCTGGCAACTGTTCTCGACCTGCGTGTTCACCACCATGCTCGAGTACGTTATCTACCGTTCGATGCGCCAGATCGTCAGGAACCCGCCCCTGCGCAAGATCACCTCCGCCCTGATGATCGCGTGCACTTGCATGGTCGCCAGGGGCATCTATCGCAGCATGGAGCTGATGAATGGCTGGGAGGGGTATCTGTTCACCCATGAGATATATGCCGTCATCCTCGATGCCCTGGTTATGTTCATTGCGAGCTTGACCTTGGCGATTTGGAATCCGGCAAAGTTGATCCAGGAGGCGAGGGAGTATGGGGGCGTGGAGTTGGTGGAGCTGAGAGGGGAGGAGAGGGATTCCAAGAAGGGGAGTGGCGAGTATAGACCTGTGGAAGAGGAGCCGGAGGCTGCTCTAGTGGAGTAGTTTGGTCCAGTCCTTTGCGAATGACGTGGATATAAGGGGTGAATGAGGCTAAACTGTCCGATTTAGTGGTAGATAGATGGTTGGTGATACTAGATGCAGGTGCTTGATGGGGGGGAGAAGGGGAGTAGATCGGTCTTTATCGTTACTGCCTACAGTTGTATATCGCCGGGGGCATATCCAGCTAATGGGCTTTGATACAGAAAGGCAAAATGTAAGATTACTTGAATGTCTGATTCGGAAAACGATAATCGTTCTTGGTGTTTTTATACAGTAGTAACGCAACGCCCACAGGGGAAGCCTTCTGTCCACACATGTTTTCATATTTGTTGAAAACTGCCAGGTTTGTCAGTTCCATGTTCTTTTTACGGCCTTGATTGGAACAGGCCTTGTGGTCGAATTTAAATCATGATCTCATTTTTCGTGATGCACAATGTCTCAGCGGTTGGATGTCTTGCGATACACACAATAGATACAGATATATAAGTAGCTTTACCCAGCCGTAGGCTCTTAGTGGACAATGAGAAACGGGAGAACGAAAAATGGCTGTAATTTACCGAACAAGACTTCTGGCATGGATTCCCATGGATTTAACGACAATTCTTTGAAAACACTTCTTGGATGCCATCCAAAAGCATCCATCCGATGTTGGGGCACGCGACGCCAAGACCGCCGACTGGCCGGCCATCGCCATTTCTCGACCCGCAATCTCCCTCCCTCCATCCATCCATCAACCATCCACAACCATTCACAACCATCCCATCAACATCAACACCAACATCAATAACACAACCAATCTCCAATGAATCCCCCCCAGCCGCGGCAACCCCCCGCGACACCCACCTACATCCTCCGCGGCCACTCTGCCGCCATCCACGCCCTGCAGATCTTCCACCAGAACCTGCGTCTCGTCTCTGCCGACGGCGACGGCTGGATCGTGGTCTGGGATCTCGTCTCCAAGCGCCCCCTCGCCGTCTGGAAGGCCCACGATGGCGCCGTCCTTGAAGTCAAAGGATTTAGTTTCAGTCATGGCGCCGTGACCGAGGTGTTTACGTATGTGATTTATCCATTCACATCCCATCTATCCCCACTCACTTCAACATTTACATACACAAATACCTAAATCTAACCCTCCCAGCCACGGCCGCGACCACAAACTGCGCGTCTGGCGCTTCACTATCCACGACGAGGAAGTCCTCCAGAAAACCCTCCCCGTGGACGTAGCCGAGAAACTGCCATCCGCCTCGGCCCCGAGCCAGCCCTGGCTGGTGCATTCTCTCCCCGTCAACGCGCTGAATTTCTGCGCCTTTGCGATGGTGTTTCTCCCCGTCGAGCCATCGGCATCGCCACCATCATCGTCATTGCAAGAGCAAGAGCAAGAGCAGTCGACTGCAAACGCAGAGACTGAATCCGGGGAAGCAGAGGCGGAGGCACCGAAAGAGAACAAGAACGCGAACGCAAATGCGAACGCGTCCCTCTCATCCGCCCTCATCGCCGTCCCAAACGCGCTCAACTCCGGCGCCATCGACCTCTTCCATATCCCCCAGGAACGGCGAATCTGCACCATCCCCGCCGACTCAGCCGTCAAGACGGGGATGGTCATGGCTGCGGATCTGGTTCTCACTGCCTCGGGCGAGTTGTATGTTGCGTCTGCGTATGAAAACGGGCATGTCATGGTGCATGGGTATCGCGGACCAGTCCGGGAGAAGGATCTTGCGTCTGGTGCGAAGGCGGGGGCATGGAAATGGGAGAAGCTGTATGCGTGTCGCGCGCATTCTCAGCCGGTGCTTTCCATCGAGGTGTCTTCTTCGGGGGATTGTTTCTTTTCGTCATCTGCGGATGCGGTGTTGGCGAAACATCCGGTTCCGAGGTTGGGGTTGGGGGTGCTCGTGGGGAAGAGGGTGGAGGAGTTGCCGATGAAGACGGTCAATACGAAACATGCGGGGCAGCAGGGGGTGAGGGTGAGGGGGGATGGGAAGGTGTTTGCGACGGCGGGGTGGGATTCCAGGGTGCGGGTGTATTCGTGTAAGACGATGAAGGAGCTGGCGGTGTTGAAGTGGCATAAGGAGGGGTGTTATGCGGTTGGGTTTGGGGGGGTGTTGACTGGGGAGACGACTACGTCTGATGCTGATGCAGATGCAAATGCAAATGGGGGTACGCAGGTTACGACACGCGACTTCTCGCTCGCGACGGTGCATCGCCAACGGAACCAGAAGGTGCAGGACACGCATTGGCTAGCGGCCGGGTCGAAAGACGGAAAGATCTCATTGTGGGATATCTATTGATCGCTATATACAGAGTGAGTGAGCAGACAAACAGACAGACTACCTAGGCAAGGTTGAATTCGTTGGCGCCGGCCATGTGCTCCTTCATCTTGGCTCTCATCTTCTGCGCGGCCGTGCGCGTGTCGTGGACACTGGGACGCTCGTCGTCATCGTCCCCGGCCTTCCTCTTCCTGCCCGCCGCGTTCCTCGACGCCTTGAAGTCCTTCTTCAGATCCTCCTTTCCTTGACGCAGTCCCGGCACGTTGATCTTGCTGGGCCGGTCGCGCAGCGCGAAACTCTTCGCCAGATGGCCCAGATGCAGCTCCTTGATGTCGAACATGTGGCGTTCGTTGGCGATATGCGTGGCGTACGCCCGGATGTGCGACTGGTACGCGCGACGCGCCATCTCGAGATACTTCTTGTCCTCCAGCGCCCACCGCTCCACGTCCAGCTGCCACTCCGTGGCCTTCTCCTCCCAGTCCAGGCTCTGCGACTGCACGTTTCCGCCGAACCCGCGCTTCAGGATCCCGTCTGCGTCCAGCCGTGTCAGCGCCTTTCCGCCGTCCCGGTAGCTCCGCTTGAGGATGTCGACGTAGCTCTCCTCGCAGCCGGGCATGAGGAACAGGAGCGCACGACCGTCACGTCCCAGACGCGCCGTACGTCCGATTCTGTGCAGATGATCCTCGGCGCTGAACGCCGGGTCGTATTCCACCACCAGGTCGATGTTCGGCAGATCCAGACCACGAGAGGCGACGTCGGTACAGATGAGGACGGACGCGTTGGGGCTTTTCGCGAACGCTCCCAGCGTGGCTGTCCGGACGTGTTGGGGCAGAGAACCGTGCAGTCGGTGGAGAGTAACCGGGTTCGAGGGGTTCGAGAAGGCCGTCGCCGGCGCGATGGTTCCGTGGGGCGACAGATCGGGTTTCTTCTCATCATCGTCACTGTCACTGTCACTGTCATTGTCACTCTCTTTCTTCTTCTTCTTCTCCTTCTCCTCTGCGCCCTCCTGCTCCTGCTTCCGCGTAAACAGCTCGAAGTGAAAGTCGACCGAGTCCGCACAGGACACGAACACAATAGCCTTCATGACAGACCCCTTCCTCATAAACGTGCGCTTCATCAGAGCCGTAAGCGTAACCAGCCGCAGCTTGGCTGCCACAATCGCATACGACTGCTTAAGCTGCGCAGGGACCAGGAACGCATCCTCCTCGCCCTTCTTCCTGACCTCGCCATCCTCATCCGCCGGATCCGCCTGAATATGCACCGCATCCTTCAAACTGATCTCTCCCAGCTTCTGGACCGTCATCTTCAGCGTGGCGGAACACAGAATCGTCGTCCTCTTGCCCGGAATGCCCGGGATGCGACTCGGTCTCTGCCTGGCATCCAACTTCTCAATAATCCCCGCCAACTCCTTCTCAAACCCCAACTCCATCAACCGATCACCCTCATCCAACACCAACCACCGCACATTACTCACGTCCAACGCCTGGGTATTCTCCAAATGATCCGCCAACCGACCCGGCGTCGCGACCAGAATATTCAGCCCCTTCCGCAGCCTCGCCTTCTCCGACTTCTTCTTCTCCCCACCGATCACCGTGCCCCCCACAATCCAATGCGCACACCGCAACAGCCCCTCCAGCACCACGGAAATCTGCTTACACAGCTCGCGCGTCGGCGCCAGCACGATCGCAAATAATCCGCTGGACCGCTGCACCACCGCCTCCGCCGTCTGCTGGTTCTTCGATATCGCCATGATCCGCTGCACCAGGGGGAGCAGGTACGCCATGGTCTTTCCGGACCCGGTCTCCGCCTGGATGAACGCGTCGCTTTCTTCTCTGAGGAGTTGGCTGATGGATGCTTTTTGGATCGCGGTCGGCGCTTTCAGCTCCAGTTTCGTCAGGAGATGCGCCGCCAGCGTGGGCGATAGGCCCAGGTTCGTGAATGTATCCAGCCCGTCGATCAGTGGCGCGTTCGTCGGCTTCGCTTCCTCCACTGGCTCCGTGTTCTTCTCTTCCACGTTCCTCGCTTTCGGGTTCCGCGAGAATAGCGACGAGACGATCTGCCGCGGCTTTCCGGATTGTTGCTGCTGTTGCTGTTGCTGTTGCTGTTGCTGCTGCCCATGCCCATATCCGTGTCCGTATCTTTGGCTAGTACTATTGTCGTTATCATCCCCCTCATCCACCCTCTGCCTCTTCACCGGCCGAGACAGCGGCAACGGCACCCGGTTCGGATTCCGCGGCGCCCCCTGCTCGACCCGCGCGTTCCCATCCGGGTTCTTCACCCGCTGTTGCGACATCTTTCGCACGCTGAGTCGGTCGCGCCATGTTCCGCCCTTCACGCGCGTCTCGGGCTTGAGCACTGTGTCGCCGAGGCTGAAGTTGAGGAGGAGGCCGTCGTCGGCCATTTTGTGGGTGGGGGTTTTTGCTTTTGTGGGTGGGGTTTTTTTTATATTCTTCTCGTCAGGGGAGAAAATCTGGGGAGGGGGAGGGGAGGGAGCTGAGCTGAGCTGGGCTGGACTGGACTGGGCTGGTCGGGCGGGAGAAAGTTTGCTTGCGGGCGGGCGGGCGCCGGAGGGAAATATTTTCTCGGGCCGCGTTGCTTCCGAACCCTGTGTTTGTGCCCTAGTTTCTGTTTTGGGCGGGGTTGTTATTAGGGGAGAGGATGGAGTATAGGTAGATGGTATCGGTAGATGGATGTTTTTGTGAGGGGGAGTAATTGATAGTTCTTTTTCCTTGGTTTTGGTTTTATTTTATTTTGCTTTGCTTTTTATACTGTTTGTGGATGATTCGACACTTTGGTTCCCCGGGTGTATCTATCCACAGTCAGTGTAGACTCCGTGTATCAAAGGATGGCATGTCTGCTAGTATGTACTTTTAGTTCTATCTATCAAAGGGTATATATATATATATGCTTTTATGCGATCAACCGCTCTAGACGCGCGGCGTGAAGATCAAATTATCAATCAACCGAACGGGCACCTTGCCCTCGCCCAGCCCAGTATCCTCGCCAGCCCTCGCCTCCTCCAACGGCGCCATCTTCAACGCACCACTCAGAATGGCCCCCTTGGCCGGATCAATCACCTCCAACTCCTCGAGCGAATCCGGATCCGCCAGCGAAATATAATCGACCTCAAACAGCGCGCGCTCCGTCGGGCCCAAGGCCTGCTGTTCCTCCAACACCTTCTGCGCCACCCCCCGCGCCGCATCCAGCACCTCGGCCCTCCCCACCTGCCCAGCCAGATACGCCTCCTCCGCCGCCTTCAACGCCGTATACAGCACCAGGCCCACCCCCCGTCTCCTCTCCCCCAGATACACATTCCGCGAGCTCATCGCCAGCCCGTCCGCCTCGCGCACCGTCGCCCCAATGCGGATCTCCGTGTCGATGTGGAAATCCTGCACCATCCGCTTAATCACGACCGTCTGCTGCACGTCCTTCTGGCCGAAATACGCCCGCTCCGCGCCGACGATGTTGAACAGCTTCATGCACACCGTCGCCACGCCCCGGAAGAAGACCGGCCTGGACGCCCCCTCCAGCTTCTTGGATATCGGGAGGATGGTCACGAACGATCCGTCGCCGTTTATCTCGGACGACGGCGGGAGCGTGGGGTACATCACTTGAGCGGTCGGGGCCAGGATGGCCGTGATGCGGCCGGGGGTCTTCGCATTGTTGCTGTTGTTGTTGCTGCTGCTGCTGCTGCTGGTGGTCTGCTGCGCCAGCTCCGCATTCAGTTCCTCGAGCTTCGCGACGTCGCTGTCCCAGGTCCGCGGGTAGCTGGCTAGGTCCTCGTTGACCCCGAATTGCGTCGGGTTGACGAAGATACTCACGAACACGTCGGTGTTCTCGCGCGCCGCTTGTCGGATCAGGCTTAGGTGGCCTTCGTGGAGGGCGCCCATGGTGGGGACGAAGCCGACGGTGCGGTTCGAGAGGAGCAGTTCGCGCCGGAGGTGTCGGAGCGGCGGGACGGAGCGGAAGACTTGGAACGAGGAGGAGGGTTGGGCCATTGTGCCGGTTGTGGTCGTCGTCGTGGTGTTTTTGAGGAGGGTGCTGGCGGCTGTGGTGTAGCAGGAATCGGTTAGAGATGTGGAGGAGAGAATGGGGGGAGGGGAGGGGAGGGGAGAGGGCGTACTGGAGAATTGCCGCTTCCAGGCGAACATGGTGGTTGTGGGATCCGGGTGAATGCCCTTTTTGTCCCGCGGTCGCCGGTGGAGCTGTGCGGGCGGGCTGATGGAAGGGGAGAGGAAGAAAAGGAGAGGAAGAAGACGGTGTCGTGCTCGGGACTGCCGCGTTGCGCTCATCCTCGCCGCGGCGTCGGCCTGAGGTGGAAGTGTGTCGCGGCATGCCCCGATCGGGCTAGCGTGCACGGCCCATCACGTGAGAGTAGCCTGATCCTCGGCATTTCTGGGGAAAAGCCGGGGATCGTCACTCGCTGGGATCTCGCCTGCCCAGGGACGAGGTCGCCATCATGGCTCTGCCTCTCTCCGCTCTCCCTCCCCCCTCACTTGTCCTCTCACACCTTCCCCCAACAGTCAATCGCCCTTCAGCCTTCCACCCATTAACTCCCCCCTGACAGTGGACACCATGCCCGCCGATAAGCCCCCGGTCGGCCAGTCGGCTCCGGATCTGGAGATCGTGGGAAACCAGGTCACCATCCACCCCAGTGCCGTCACCGGAGGCGAGCCGCACGATGACGAGATCACCGAACGCAACCTGGTCCGCCACATGGCGCGATTCCGCGAGAACCCCTTCGACTTCCTCCGCGAGGTCAGCCTCTACATGTCCGGCACCGGCTGGCGCGCTTACGACGACGTGATCGGCCAGCCGATCTTCTACTCCGGGTTTACCGATCGGATGAAGTCGCGGATCCTGGCCAGCACCCTGCTGCAGGGGAAGGTGAAGGAGTTGGCGGCGACCCGCTTGGCGGTGGAGGAGAAAGAGGGGCTGTTGGATATACAACCGGGGCCGGTGGACAGGAAGCGGACGCATCGTCGGAGCGAGATCGAGAGTCATCTCCGCGAGGTGGTCGACTCCATGCTCGACAGCATGATCTGCAAGATGGAGAGCAAGCGGTTCATCCGCGGCGCGTATTATCTGTGCACGCAGCTTCTGACGCGCGCTTATCATCAAGGTGGGTGCGTGTGCATGTGTCAGGGCATGGTTAACGGGTGCAGGCATCCACGTCTCCAGCGAGGAGGTCCTCCGCCTGCGCTCCGTCGCGGAGGAGGCGGCTCGCAAGAAGCAGTCGATTGTCTTCCTGCCTTGCCACAAGTCTCATGTTGACTACGTGTCGCTGCAGCTGATCTGCTACCGTCTGGGAATCGGACTTCCCGTGGTTGTGGCGGGAGAGAACCTTAATATCCCGATGTTGGGGCCTTTCCTCCAGCATGCAGGTATGTCCGATGCTGATGTGTCTTGTTCTGCTGACTGACCCCGCTAACTGTATAGGTGCGATGTGGATTCGGCGCAGTTTCGGGAACGACCCGCTGTATAACACCGTCGTGCAGGCGTATATCGACACCATGTTGCAGCAGGGGTTCAACTTTGAGTGTTTCATCGAGGGCGGTCGCTCGCGCACGGGCAAGCTCCTGTCGCCGAAGTTTGGCATCCTCAGCTTCATTCTCGATAGTGTGATCTCTGGTCGTGTGGAGGATACAATTATATGTCCCGTCAGCACGCAGTACGACAAGGTCATCGAAACTGAGTATGTTGTCAGGGGGTGATAGTAGCGTGGAGCAGTGCTGATGGTGTGCAGATCGTACATTAGCGAACTCCTCGGCCAGCCAAAGAGGAAGGAAAACCTCGCGGATCTTTTGTCGTCATCCTCGGTGCTGTCCTTGAAGCTGGGCCGAGTCGACGTTCGGTTCCACGAACCGTGGAGTCTGAAGGAGTTCATTGCCCAGCAGCTGACTCGGCTGCCTGAGCAGATCGATGCAAATGGCGGGCGGACGCTGAGCTACGATGACAGAGGCCGGGTGCTGCGGTCGCTAGGATACCGGGTTCTCTCCGACATCAACGACGTGTCCGTCATGATGCCTACGGCGCTGGTGGGCACCGTGCTTCTGACGCTGCGTGGCCGCGGTGTCGGAAAGGGTGAGCTCGTCAGACGTGTGGAATGGCTATGCGAGCGCGTCCGGGCGAAAGGCGGGCGGGTTGCGCACTTCTATCGCTATCCGACCGAGGTCGTGGTTGAGCGTGCCCTTGAGGTTCTCGGGCCTCAGATCGTAGGAGAGATCACCGGACTCGTGGAGCCCACGTTCCACGCGGTGGACCGTTTCCAGCTGTCGTTCTATCGCAACATGATGATCCATCTCTTCATCACGGAAGCACTGGTGTCCACAGCCATGTATACCCGGATTAAGCAAGGCGGCGGGCCGTCTTACCAGCGCATGTCCTATGGAGACCTGGTCAATCAGGTTTCTTTCCTGTCACAGGTACGTCCGGTGCCCTTTGTCTAGGCGTTGCTAACGACGTAGCTCTTCCGCGGCGAATTTATCTTCCCCCCCGAAGGCCTCGCTACCAATTTGGAGAAGACGCTCCGCGGGCTCGAAAGAGACAACGTCATCACCGTCAGCCGCGACACGAGCGGCGTGCCCCTGTTCGTCGAGCTCAGCGACGCCGAACGGCAGTGTGGCCGCGAAAACTACGACTTCTACTGCTTCCTGATCTGGCCATTCATCGAAGCCTCGTGGCTCGGCTCCGTGTCGCTTCTGGGGCTGACCCCGCCGCTGAACGGCCCGAAAGACGTCTGGATCGACCTGAACAAGGCCCAAAACAACGCTCAACTGGTAAGTAGCTGCCATCCTCACCGGACCAAGCTAACGGCGCAGCTCGGGAAAACGCTGTACCACCAGGGCGATCTCTCCTATTTCGAAGCGGTCAACAAGGAGACCCTGAAGAACTCCTACCAGCGGTTCGCCGAGGAAGGCATCGTGCACGTGGCGAAGAGCAAGGAGTCGAAGGCGTCGTCGGTGCGACTGGCGCCGGAATGGATCCCGGAGCGGGATGCCGAGACCGGGAAGCTGGTCCCGCGCGGCCGACTGTGGGACTTTACGGAGCTGATCGCGCAGTCCAGACGGGAGGGGTGAGTGTCTTTATGTCTGGGTCAAGTTGGTTCTAACGACCGCAGGAAAAACCGTCGTGACGGCGCAACGGTCTCGTCGCGGGTGATGCGCATGTCGGATCTGGTGGGACGGAAGCTGTTCGAGGACGCGGCGAGCCCGAGTCCGGTCGAGGAGGTGGATGTGTCGATGCGGCAGATGCGGCGGAAGGCGATTGCGCCGGCGAAGCTTTGAGTATACGTATACCCTGTATACCTTGTATGTAAGCGTTCGGGGAGTGGTTAGATATTTATCACTGCGCTACTTTAATGAAATGAGGTTTCAAAGGCATTGGCTACCCTAGAGTAATCCCGTTTAGCCATCCACACCAGTCCTGCCGGATCTGATTATCCCTACAGCATCTAACCACTCTTACTGTGGCATAGCCAAGCATAGTCACGGGACGAGCCATGAATTGGATCCCGAACTGGCCAACCCACGGCCATCGGCTACAGAGTCCTGACGTCAGCACTCCTTCTGCATCCACATCACCACACTCCCTCCCTCCACCCCAGCTATCCTATCCATCGTCAAGTCTGAAAACAATCACTTCCATCGCATTCCATCCATCCTGGCCTTGATCATCGCATCCTAGGATTGTCCTTCAACCACCCCACCACACCCCACCCCACCACACCACACATACTCATCACTACCACCACACCAACAATGAGTCGAGCCCGAGCCCAAGCCACCCGCCTCCTCGCCCTCACCCTCACCAAACCCATGCAGACCCCATCCCTCTCTCTATCCTCATCCCTCCAACCTCTTTCCCATCTCTCAACCCATCACCACCACCGCTACCAGCAGCAGCAGCAGCAAAACAACTACACCACCACCCCTAGCCCCCCAACAACCCCCTCTCCCCTCCAAAATCAAAATCCCAACCCCAACCTCCACAACCACAATAACCCACGCCTCCCTCCTCGACAGACACCTCCTTAACCCCTCGCACGCCGAATCCACGCAGTCGGGGACCGACGACTCGGCCGCGCACCACCTCTCGTCGTACGACCCGCTGATCACCGACCCGGCCGCCGAAGTGCGCGCCTCGGAGGAGGAGTGTCGTCGGCTGCGCGAGCTCGATGACCCGCTGTATGTGAGTCCGGGGAATCGCGAGGTCAGTCGGCTGATGGATCCGATGGTGGGCGGGGCGGTGCATGGCGCGGCGAGGGCGGGGCCGAGTGGACGTGGATGGACGAGGAAGGGGAGGGTGGTGAGGGTGAGGGGGGGTTAAGGGGAGGTGGGATTGGGGGAGGTGGGAGAGGGTGTTGAGGGATTTGAGGGGGAGGTTAAAGACGGGGGGGTGAGAAGGGGATGGTTTGAGTTGATTTGGATGGGAGGGGATGGGATGGGAGGGGAGGGGAGGGGAAGGGAAATGTGTGTGAGTGTGTTGGTGTTTCGGTTGGGTGGGTGGGAGAGATGAGTTGGGGTAAGAGGGGGGGATATAAAAGGAGTAAGTTATGTATCGAGTACTGGTGAGTACATCCTGATTGATATTGTGTTGACTGCATGCTGCATATACGGTATATATAGTATCGGTTTGATGCTTGATAGGTACCCACCTGATATGAGAGACAGACAGACAGACAGACAGGTGGACGGAGTTCTCGGGAAGGATATGATTATGACTATGGAGTAGGTATCGATCACTGATCCCAGAATGTACAATTTACACATTACTACTACTGCATAAATATCTAGAATGAAAAGCATAGTATATATCACAGTATCATATAGTATATATATATATAGTATCCTATAAGCCCAAAATAGAACTGAAATACCCCTCCTACCCCCTGCCAAACCAACCCAACCCAACCCAACAATACCCGGCAGAAAGCCCTGTCTTGTGCACTGCACAGCTCTACCAAGATCATTATTACACAGTAGTATGATAGATTAATCGCCCCACTCCACTCGACTACCACAGTACTATACTCCTCTTCGCTTAGCGCACCCGCCACACGATCATCGATCATTACGTCAGGGCGCGCGACGTCTGTGCGCCCGCCCGGATTAGAGTTGTGGTCGTTGCTGGACGGATGGACTTTGTATTTTGTGTTGTGTCATTATGGGGTTGGGTTGGTCAATTTCATTAATCATTTTTGTCCTGTGGAGGGTGGAGGATGGTGTGGTGTGGTGTGGTGTGGTGTGGTGTATTGTATTGTATAACCTGTTTTGTGTAGAAGTCTAGTTAGTTACTGTGTTAGGGTTGTAGATAATAGACATAGTAGGTAGATACAGGAAAGTCAATGATGATGAGAGAGAGTGGTTAGTAGTTACGTAGCCTGCCTGCCTGCCTGCCTGCATTTCCTTTCAATTTTACTCCGTACTGTGGTGATCTGATCGCGATTGCTAACTACTTATCCCTCACAACTCCGTCTACTCCAATCCTCATCATATCATGCATCATGCATAATGTAACTTCTCATAACATAGTCAGTCATAGTATATTGATCAAATTCCATTCTATCAACTTCCCTATACTCCAATTTAACTTCAAACCAAAAAGAAAGAAGTTCCTACCTCATGGCGAAATGTCCGACCGATAAAGTCACTGTCAATCGCAATAATCATCCTGATTGCAGTGCTTTTCCAGGACTGACTGCCATCGATGAGATCATTCCCCACCCACGCGAAACGCATCGGCGAAAATCTCCCCCCCCCCCCCCTGCTGATATCATTGCCGATCGAAGCTGGCATGTCGTTGGGTGATGGGGACGTTACTTGTCAGATTATTTTTATCAATTTTATTTTATTTTCTTTCCATCTGTGACTTAATGGTATTTTGTAGTGCTGCTTTGCTTTTCTTAGGGCTGTGGAAGTACAAGTGGGCCAGGTTGCCGGGATGACGTTATCACCGCGCGTGTGGCTGGACCATGGGTTGTCTGGCTTTCTTTTGTGTCCGTGTGTATGTGTCTGTGTGTCTGTGTGTCTGTGTATTGTCGGCTTTGTCTGGGTCGTCTTGGGGGGGGGGGGGGCGGTTTGGGTATCCGTGGTGGTGAAGGAACCCTGGTGTTGGTATCACCATCATCCCGAAGACAGGGTTGGGTTTGATATCAGGTGGTAGATGATATAACCAGCCTCGCACAGTACAAAGTGGGATATAGTTAGTACTCCGTACTATGATGTCCTCTATCGATTCGGCCCTGTCAATCCCACCCCATCCGCAGTGTCCGTGCCTGGGTCATAACCTCATTCTAAGAAATGCTCCAACGCCAACTTGCAATCCCACTGGCCTGGCCAGACCCAGACCCGGTGGATTGACAGAACAGTCCTATCTATTATTATGACCATTACCATGACCGTAGAAGCAGTACTAGTAGTAGTACTAGTACTACTATCAAACTCTAACTACTACCTGGTAAGTAGAAAAATCATGCATCTCCCCGATAAAGTGGGTATCAATAGCCGATCGCAACCCACATTGACGCAACCATGACCCATCCCTCCCCGCGCGCAACCCTGGCTTTCTAGATTTCCATGGGCTGGGCCGCTGCTTGCGGTGATGATGTGATAGGATGGATGGTTTTATTCCCTGCATGGCCCGTCCGATCATGGGGGGGGGGGGGGGGGCATGCTGATGATGGGCCCCGGATTGCTTTCAGGGCTGGGTTGGGACTGCAGAGAACTGCATGACGTAGATGGGTGGTGACATCGACATCGTCGAGTAGATGGAATAGAGGGAGGGGATGGGCTGAGGGCATTTAAAGGGTCGGGGGATTGATGCGCGGCTGGCTGGGAGGTTGGTTTGATTCTGACTCTGACTTTTATCTCATACATACCACTTTATTTTAGTTGACTTGACTACTTGACTACTACATACTACGAGACGATTACTTGCGCTACGCTGTTGATTCGGTTTACACGCACACGATACATTTAACGACCTGACCTGTTTGATTGATTTGACTCTGACTCTGACTCTGACTCTGACTCTGAATCTGACTCTGACTTGATTCGATCTGTCTGTATTTTTATGACGATTGTTCTGTGCGCTGTTGTATTATAGTCTCCGAGTTACTGGTACTTACCACCACCACTACTACTGCCTACCTACCTTACCACCTCCACCTACACCTACACCTACTACTACCTACTACTACTACAACTACTACCTCCACAAACTCACAAACCTCACTTCTCCATCCATCCCCTCACCACCTCTTCAACCACAACACATCCACATTCTCAAACCAACCACCAAAATCGGCGCCACCTTCTCCTCCAAATATCAACCCCCCAGGATCCCCACGAATCCTACAACATGACCTCCCCCATGACCAGCAAAGTCTCCAAGCTGAACCTCAGCCCCGACTCCACCAAAAAGGGCACCCCCCCAAACTCGGCGGCAGCAAGAAGCAGCCCCCACCTCTGCCTCCGCTGCCCCATCCCCGCCCCGGGCCCTGGGCCCCAGAAACGCACCCCCAAGAAACTCAACCCCGTCAAATCCACCCCCACCGAGGAGCTGGACCAGGAGCCCAGTCTGCCTGCTACCCCGACTCCGAAGGGAAAGGGGGCCGGGCTGGGAAGGGGTAAGACTCCCTCGCGGCTCAGTGAGCAGCGGTCTTCCCCTGCGCCGGTCCCGGATGATTTGCAGTCGCAGGCGTCGGGGTCGACGGCTCCGGGGGGGAGTGGTGGTGCAGGTGGTGCAGGAGGAGGGGGATTGGGCCGGTCGTTGGGCGGGTTGACCGGCAAGGTGAAGGATACTGCGCAGGGCGCGACCAAGGGTGTGGGTGAGACGGCCAAGGGGGCCACGAAGGGTGTGACTGGCGCTGCGAAGGGCGCGACCAAGGGTGTTGGTGATACGGCCAAGGGCGCGACCAAGGGTCTTGGTGTCGGTGACGCTGGCGCTGGCGATGTTGTCGGCGATGTCGCCGATACCGCGCAGGGCGCCGTCGAGGGTGCCACCGATACTGCGCAGGGTGCGACCGAAGGCGTCACCGATACCGCGCAGGGCGCGACCAAGGATGTCGGCGACACTGCGCAGGGAGCGACCAAGGATGTCGGCGAAGCGCTGCCCGAGAACCTCGGACCGATCGATCTGTCCGTCCTGAAGGGATTGGAGATCGGCGAGGACGGCTTGATCCACGACAAGGATGGCAATGCCATTGGGAGGCTGGCGGAGGGCCAGCCCGAGCATCTGGTCGGGTATGCGGTCGGTGATAACGGCGAGATCCTCGATGAGGATGGCGATCTCGTCGGTGTTGCGGATGTGCTGCCCGACGCGGTCAAGCATCTCACCGGTGGTGTCAAGGACACGGCCGATCAGGCGAAGGAGACCGTTGAAGGGGCTGCGGATCAGGCCCAGGAGACGGCCGGTGATGTCGCCAAGGGTGTCACTGAGCTGGCGGATCTGGCGGATCGGCCGCTCGGCGAGACGGGCGAGATCAAGGATGACGAGGGCAATGTCATCGGACGACTGGCCGAAGGCGACGCGGAGGATCTGGCGGGCTATGCCCCGAACAAGGACGGGGAGATTCTCGACGACGAGGGCGATCTCATCGGAAGAGTCGAGCTGGTTCCTCAGGTCCAAGATATTGCCGAGGAGGCCCAGGAGCAGGTTGGCGATACTGCTGAGGGTGTCACCGGACAGGTCCAGGATACTGCTGAAGGCGCAAAGGACGTCGCTGAGAGCGTCCCCGAACAGGCCGAGGATGCCTTCGAAGACGCCCAGGAGAAGGTCCAGGCCACCGCTGCCCAAGCCACCAAGACCCTCACCGACCTGGCCGAGCGTCCCCTCGACGCTACCGGCGAGATCAAGGACGACGAAGGCAACGTCATCGGCAGACTCGCTGAGGGCGACCCCGAGGACCTCGCTGGGTACGCAGCCAACGAAGCGGGCGAGATCCTCGACGACGACGGCGACCTCATCGGTCGGGTCGAACTCGTCCCGGGCCAGCTCGAGGAGACCGCCGGCGAAGCCACAAAGGGCATCACCGACCTGGCCGAGCTGGCCGAACGCCCCCTGGACGAGTCCGGCGAGATCAAGGACGACCAGGGCAACGTGATCGGGCGACTCGCGGAAGGCAGCCCGGAGGATCTGGTGGGCTACGCGGCCAACGAGGCCGGCGAGATCCTCGACGACGACGGGGATCTGATCGGGCGCATCGAGATCGTCTCGCAGGCCGCGAAGGGCGCCGAGAGCGCGGCCGGAAAGATCTCCAACATCGGCCACTTGGCTGACCGTCCCCTGTCTGCCTCTGGGGCCATCAAGGACGACCAGGGCAACCGCATCGGCAAGCTGGTCGAAGGCAACCCCGAAGACCTGGCGGGCTACGCGCCCAACGAAGAAGGCGAGATCCTGGGCGACGACGGCGAGCTGCTCGGCCGCGTCGAGATTGCCTCCCAGGCCCTCGCAAAGGCCCAAAGCATCGCCGGCAAGATCTCCAACATCGGTCGTCTGGCCGATCGGCCCTTGTCGGCCTCCGGCGCCATCAAGGACGAGCAGGGCAACGTCCTCGGCAAGCTGGTCGAGGGCAACCCCGACGAGCTCGCCGGCTACGCGCCCAACGCTGACGGGGAGATCCTGGGCGACGACGGCGAGCTGCTTGGCCGTGTGGATGTCGCGTCGGAGGCCCGCAAGGAGACCGAAAGCGCTGCCGGCAAGATCTCCAATATCGGTCGCTTGGCTGGTCGCCCGCTGTCTGCTTCGGGTGGCATCCGCGATGACCAGGGCAATCGCATCGGGAAGCTCGTCGAGGGCAACCCCGAGGAGCTGGTCGGAAAGGTCCCCAACGAGGAGGGCGAGATCTTGGATGATGATGGCGATCTTATCGGCCGTGTCGATGTCGCTTCGGAGGCCCGCAAGGAGACCGAAAGCGTCGCAGGAAAGATCTCCAATGTCGGTCGCTTGGCTGACCGTCCTCTGTCAGCCTCTGGCGCTATCCGCGACGATCAGGGCCGCCAGATCGGGAAGCTCGTCGAGGGCAACCCCGAGGAACTCGCCGGCCAGGTCGCCAATGCCGAAGGCGAGATCCTGAACGAGGACGGCGATGTCCTGGGTCGGGTTGATATCGCATCGCAAGCCCGCAAGGGTGCTGAAAGCGCTGCCTCCGGCAAGATCTCCAACGTTGCAGCCCTCGCCGAGCGCCCCCTGTCGGCCAGTGGAGCCATCCGCGACGACAAGGGCCGGCAGATCGGCAAGCTCGTCGAGGGCGATGCCGAGGAGCTAGCCGGGCAGGTGGCCAACGCGGACGGCGAGATCCTCGACGACGACGGCGAAGTCATCGGCCGGGTGGACATCGCGTCGCAGGCCCGCAAGGCCGAAAGCACCGCCTCCGGCAAGATCTCCAACATCGCCGACCTGGCGGGTCGGCCTGTCTCCGCCACCGGCGCGATCCGCGACGACAAGGGCCGTAAGATCGGACAGCTGGTCGAGGGCGACCCTGAGGATCTCCAGGGCTATGCCGCCAACGAGGCGGGCGAGATCCTCGACGACGAGGGCGACGTCATTGGCCGGGTGGAGATCGCGTCGCAGGCGCGCAAGCTCACGCAGAGCGAAGCCGAAGCCGAAGCCGAAGCCAAGGAAGGCGAAGGCGAAGGCGAAGGTGAAGAAGAGAACATCCCGCCGCTGTCCTCCCTCGAGGGCCTGAAATGCAACAAGCTCGGCAAGATCGTGGACCGCGAGACCGGGCGTCCCATCGGCGAGCTCATCGAGGGCGACCCCAAGAAGATCGCCAATCTGGGCGCCACGCTCGACGACAAGGGCCAGTTCTGGGATAACCGCGGCAGGGTGATCGGGAAGGTCAAGGCGCTGCCGGTGGAAGAGCACACCGAGGAACCGATCTTCGCGGGCCTGGAGGGACTCACGGTCGTCGAGGACGGCTGGGTCGAGGACCAGAACGGAAAGCGGGTCGGCCGGATCGTCGAGGGCGACCCCAAGAAGGTCCTGGGTCGCTACGTCGATGAGGATGGTGACGTCCTGGATAAACATGGGAACATCATCGCCAAGGCCGAGTACTACGAGGCCCCTGAGGAGCCGGAGCCCGAGGCTATCGACCTGTCCAGTCTCGAGGGCTTGACGCCCAACAAGCTGGGCTATGTCATCGGCCCCAAGGGCGTACCTATCGCCCGCGTCGTCGAGGGTAAGCTGAAGGAGTTGGCAGGCAAGGAGATCCACGACGGCCAGATCTGGGATGGCGGCAAGCCCATCGGCCGCGTCGAGCTCATCCCCCAGGAGGAGCGCGAGAAGACGCCCGAAGGTCCGTTTGCTGGGCTCGAAGACCTGGTCGTGAACAAGGAGGGCTTTGTCGAGGATGACGACGGCAACGTCGTCGGAAAGGTCGTTGAGGGCGATATCCGCATCCTGCGTGGCCGGGCCGTCGACGAGGACGGCGAGATCATCGACAAGTACGGTAACGTGAAGGGTCGTGCGGAGCCATGGGAGGCGCCCGAGGAAGAGGCGCCCGATCTCTCCATCCTCGAGGGCAAGACCGTCAACAAGAGCGGCAATGTCGTCGACGCCCAGGGCAACGTCTTCGGGCGGGTCGTCTCAGGCGAGAAGGGCCTTGCGGGCCGGAAGGTCGACGGCAAGGGCCAGGTCTGGGGCGACAACGGCAAGGTGATCGGCCAGGCCGAATTGATCCCCGGCGCGGAGGAGCAGAAGCCCGAGGGCGTGTTCTTCGGGTTCGAGAACGTCGTCGTCGGCAAGAACGGGCTGGTGACGGACGCCTCCGGACAGGTCATCGGCCGGGTGATCGAAGGCGATCCGAAGCGTCTGCAGGGCCGGTCCGTCGACGAGGACGGCGACATCCTCGACAAGAACGGCAATGCGATCGGGAAGGCCGAGCGCTGGGAGCCCGAGGAGAAGAAGCGCGACGTTAACCCCATGTCGGGCCGCAAGGTCAACCGCGAGGGCGAGGTCCGCGATGCCGATGGTAACCTCATCGGCAAGCTGACGGCGGGCAACCTGCCCTCGCTGATCGGGAAGAGCATCGATGATAATGGCTATGTTGTTGATAACGACGGCAACAAGATCGGAGAGTGCACGCTCATCGAGAATATCCCTGAGCCCGAGCCGGAAGAGCCCCAGATCTCGCAGGAGGAGCTCGAGGCCCAGCGCAAGGCTGAAGAGGATAGAGAACTCGCGAAGAAGATGACCGGCATCATTGCCCAGACTCTGGATCGGTTGCAGCCTATCTGTCGCATGATTACTGAGGTATGTTAACCAACGCCCAACACCAACCTGCACCCATTACACAGACACAAAGGATCGATGCTAACCGTAACAGCACATCGACAAAGCCGAAAAAACACCCAAAGACGAGCTGGACGAAGAACAACTCGTCAAAGACGTGAAGCCCCTCCTCGAAGAAGGCGGGCAAATCCTCCAGGAATGCAACGGATCCATCCGCGCCCTCGACCCCGACGGCCACATCGCGGCGACGGCCAAAGCCCGGGCTGCGACCCACGAAGCCTCGCCCGAGGAATACGGCCTGGCGGACCACATCAAGACGCTAACCGACGTGGTGGTCAAGACGATCGAGAACGGCAAGAAGAAGATTGCGGGAATGCCGCACGCCAAGAAGAAGCTGAACCCGCTGTGGGTGTTGCTGAGCGAGCCCCTGGGGCAGATCATTGCCGCCGTGGGGTTGTTGTTGGCCGGTGTGTTGGGGCTCGTGGGACGGCTGTTGCAGGGTCTTGGACTCGGGGGTTGGTGAATGGGCTGCTGGGTGGATTGGGGCTGGATAAGTTGCTGGGGAGTTTGGGGTTGGGGACGATTACGGATTCCTTGGGGATTACGGGGAAGAAATAGTGGCTTTTCAAGTTTCTTTCTGCTGAGCAATGGGTTGGACAAACTGCTTTTCTTTCTGAACAAAATGGTCTTTTTTTGCGTGCGTGCGTGTCTGCGTGTGTGTGTATTTGGTAGTTAACTATTAGTCATGAGTCATGTTATCGTGGTGTACTATATGTATAAGTAATGGGACTTTCAATATCTCGTTCTTGACAATTGATCTGAAGTTTTGTCTGCTGAACTGGATGTAAACAGATAACAATAAAGACCACAGGCAAGCAGACCTCCCTCCGGGACTAGGTCTTCGACGAGAGCTGAGGAAATGGTGGGTGGGAATCTGGAGGATTCATCCAAGATCTATATAGACGTGGGCTGTCCGCTAGCCCTAACATCCCAGCCCGCCGATCTGGGCTGGCGGATCATCGGGACACGTCAAGAATATTTCATCCAATTACATGAATTATAAAGTTCGGCGAAGGCAAAATTTATGTAGTAAGCTGCAGTGTTGATCTGCATATCACAGGACTGTTTTGGATGAAGTTGTCTTCCTATCACAGACATGTACCACCAGCCCATTGATAAGCACTTGTTAGGTGCTGCTATCCGTCACTACCTCATTCGGTATCCTGAAAACCACCTAGTACATAAGTACTGATTATATTTAGTATCAGACAGTATCACACTATCCTGATGTCTGGAGTAGTCTCGTGATATTATTGACTGACAATAGCTCTATTTATGCAGGCAGGTAGTGTTGTATAGCCGGTCAGCACTAGCCTCAACCCGACCCAACCAACCCAATCCAATCCAGTCCAATCAAGCCAGCCAGGATATATTAGGCTATCGTTTATGCTAGCGATGCATGCAAGAATGATCGATCCCAATTAGCCTGGACCCTGTTCAAGTTATCATACCCCCTCTTTGATTTTTCCCCTGCGACTTCTTTTATCCTCGCTGTCATTCCTTATCCATAATTTCTCGGTTCTCCTCACCCTCCACCATAACCACTATGCCTTCATTTCTAACCCCCCCCTCCCCCACCATAATCACAACCACAAACCCCACAGACCCAAATCCAGACACAAACCCAGACACAGACTCAACTCTTCTTCACCACCTCCGGACCCCCCCGCCACCCCAACCCCAGCACCGGCCTCCCCCGCAATCCTCATCGAAGCCGGCCTCTGCAGCTCCTCGAGCGAATGGAACGTGGTCCAACGACTCATATCCTTCCGCCTACGAGTCTACACCTATGACCGTAGCCCCCCATCCATCCCCCTTACCCCCGACGGCCCAGAACCGGGTTACCGAACTGACGCTCCTCCTCATCGCGGCCAGGATCTCACCGCCCTACATCGCACACAGCCTCAAAAGTAAAAAGTACCCGGCCTGGTCCTGGTGGATTCCTGGCGGACTCCGACGCCCATACCGCGCGGGTGGTTAAGTTTAATGGGTCCCGGGGGGGGGGGGGGGGGGGGTTCATTCACTGACTGACATTGTGGGGTTAGATGACAACCACGCGGTTTTCGGAAGAGGAGTATCGGGCCGTGAAGGAGGATGAGAAGAGTAATGTTCCGAACTGCGAGAGTAGAGAATGAATTCCCTCATGGAGGAGAGCCATGAGGACTCTGAATGAACAGATGCCGGAGGGGGTTCAGGCGTTGGGCGAGGGGAGGTTGAGTGTGCTGTTTTGCGAATTCGGTCGAGGGATTTCTTGTAAGGTGCTGGAGTATGTATGGTGAGCGCATGGGGTTTTGGGACGGTGGAGCTGAGGCAGCGGTTGGGGGCGCATTTCAGGGGGTATGCGTGCGGTGGATGAGAGGGCGCAGAGGGTCCATTTGAGGTTGTCGAGGGATAGTAGGTTTGTGGCTTTGGAGGGACGGGTGGTTACGCATAATGTGCATTGGCTCGCGCCGGAGTTCGTGACGGATGAGGTTTTTTTTGGGTGGCGGGGTTTTGGAGGGGGAGGAGAGGGGGTGATATCGTTTCGTTTGGTTGTGGTTGTGGTTGTGGTTGTGGTTGTGGATGGCGATGTCCTTATTCTGGATAGGTACGGAGAGGGGGGCAGAGAAGCTATTCACCACCAAAGTCAATCAAAGCCATGGATCGGCCACGAGGGACGGTGTAACTTCGGATCTCGACTGTCTCACTCGACTTGTCCCTCCACTGTCTCTCAGCTGTCTCGCCCCGTGTCCTACAAACAACCCCCCTTGGCTACAGGCTGGTACCAAAGACACTCCATCAACCCTCTAATCTAATTGATTCTATCTATATCATCATCTATCTGAACTCATACCATTACCTATACAGCTCCATTCCATTCCCAAATTCTCCACTCACGAGACGGAGAGGAGAGGAAATCAAAACAAGCCACACCGTGACCCGCCATGCCCTAATGTCTCTCACTGTCTGACAGCCTCCTCCACGACCGTCCATTCCTGCCTCACACTAATCCCTCTCCCGCGACTATTCCTCTCAGTCGTATTCACCGCAGTCGGATCCGATTCCTCGCTGTCGCTCTCACAACTCACGTTCGCTGTCGATGCAACGGCCCCCGGGTGTTTCACTCCCATCGGGCGTAGCGATACCTGGCTCTCATTTTCTTCGAGACCCCGGGATTCGTCTACATGCGACGGTGTGTGCGCGGCAGATGGTGACCGCGAGGAGGGGTTCGTTCGTCCCCGACTGGTGTTGTTGGGCGATGATATCCAACGCCTAAACAGGGGGCGCATCATGGGTACGCAGGCGAGGGTCACAGCAAGAGAAGGCTCAAGACCCACGAGAATACCGAGAAGGGATAATGAACATGTCATATCTGAGTAATTCCAGGTGGAGAACAGGGCGATGCAGAGGATGCTGATAACGCAGGTTCTGGAATCTCGCGGTCAGCGGGGGGTGGCACTAAGAGCTAGCAAGCAACGGAAGCAATCGGTGAACAACAAAATGGGATAAAAGTGGTGAGCGCCACTGCGGCAACAGGGGGGGGGGGGGGGGGTACTCCCCGCCTGAGCGTTCGGAAAGAGGGACCATACCGTCCTGACAGAAGGCAGAACCATGGCGTTATGGAGGGAAATCTTACACTGCTCCCAGCCCAAAGATGATCATCAGGGTCATCTTCTTGTATCTCACCAGCCGCAGCCCATACAGCAACGGCATCGGAATAATCAACACAACCACATCGGTGACGAAATTGAGGACACGAATAGTCATGTTGAAGGGGTTCCAGTGGCCGCACGATCCTCCCGGTATGGTTGTGTCCCAGTTGTAAGCGAACGGTCGACATATCAGGAACTGGGCCAGGATCGTGGCAATGGTCCAGGCCACAATGAGAACGATGGTAGTCCGGGCAACAGAGACCACCCAGGGAACGGGGAAGACTTGGAAATATAACAGGAGGATAGAGATTTTGCAACAGCCGAGTCCCAGTATCCAGAGGAGCTGTAGCGCGAGTAGCAGCTTAATCAGCGTTACCAAGGGCTCTGGTCCATAAACGGCCTCGATGGCCATAATATGGCCGTACCCGAGGCCACCCTGGAATACACAGGTCATGATTACGGAGTGTGCACTAATAGTGAAGACCTTTTTTGACAGGTTGATTAGTACAGGATGGTTGACAGACAGGATGCGGGCATCCACCCCAGAGCAGAGAATATTGCTTACGCAGGCGGCAATGATGAAATAGTCGCTCGCAGTCCATTTCTTATGCACAATATGATGAGCCAGGAGACGTAAGACCACGGCGACAACGGGCAGGATGGAAAATGTAAAAGACATACCCAGGACCCCCTTCTGGGCCTGCGTCTGGATGGGGAAGATAACCGTCATCTCGCTTTCTCTTGCCGCAGGGACCCGGCGACGCGGAACAACATGGCGTTGGGATGGACTTAAATGATCGTACATGCTCCATGACCACAATAGAAAGGGGGATACCCTAACTGGCTTCGTGTCGGTTGAGATTTGAGAAGCAGGGATTAAGAGTCTCGGTCGGCCGATAGGCGCGCAGGCGCCATGAATCATTTGAAATTTGGGCATCAGGCTCCAGATATAGTATCCCACCAACATCTCCCGGACCGTCCGACTGGGTGAACGATCGAGGATCCTCGGCTGTCGGCAGCGGTGGAGCATCTGACCTGACAGCGCCAAAGTACGGATTGTGGAGATCCATCGGGATGATGTCCTCCGGTCGTTTGGGGCATGTCGATTGGCGGCTCGATGCCACTATCTCCAGCCTCTCTTTTAGCGTGTGAGACAGCCCACGTTGCGGCGGCCAGAGTGCCAATCACCAAGCGGACTCCAACCCCTGGACCAAGCCATAAACTACATGATTCGATATTAGCCCGTGCTTCTTCGATTGGACACCTCAACCTTCTGATATGGCGATCCTCCTGTTGACCGTGCTCTTCCTCGCCAACGATCGCAAGTCGCTGAGATTTTCAGCCACCGCAGGCAACTGGCTAGTCCTCGTGAGCATGGCGACGATCATGATGCGGAACCTGGAAAGTCCCGATTCACCATGATGGATGATTCCGACGATCACTTCAAATTACATCACCTCCTTGTCCCAAGCCTCGCGCTCTCACCACTCTCGGGTTCCAGCTTCTCGTCGACCTCTCCGACGCACTTTAGGTTAGCACCACCATCAGCACCACAGCCATCTATCTACCCCTTCCGAACGCACTGAATCCATCATCATCCTAACCCTACACTACATCCTGTATGCCACACACCGACCCCTTATGCACCAGATCATCACCACCAAGCCTAAGTTACTTACCCAGCCGCCAACTAGCCCTCCGTTTTACACCTCCTGCTGAAAACTGACAGACTCGTCGCCGCCCGCCCAGTATAATCTCTACATCCGTCTCCTCCACCATAGACCTCCACCGTCACCCACACTCCCCGTGCTAGAACACCACAGACAAGCTCTCTCCACAGCCAACAGCCATACCGCGGAAACTCCAAAGCCCAACCTGCCTTCATCCTCAACATGTCCCCTCAAGACGGCATAAATACCAGACCCCCCCGCGTCAGCTCCTCTCCTCCAGCTTTTTATCGCGCGCCACACACCCCCCTTTAAATCCACACACACGACCCCAACAGGATCGTCGGTTCCTGGATGATATTTAGCTTTCTGGGTAGTACACGAAGATACCAAAGGGTGTGATGGTTATAGCAGACGCGTGAACTATCAGTCGGGGTGAGTGAATGGGAGTTGTAGGGGGTTATGGGAGTGGGTGACGTTGGGAATGGAGATTCTCGATCGCGTATGAGAATTGGATTGTTGGAGGTATGTAGGATGTATAGTCAGTGGGAATGCTGTCTGAATTTTGTTATAACTCCATCTTGGGACGGGGCACGTCGATGAATTGGATTTATATGATCTGGGAATTTGATGTGTCAAGGTATGAAGGACTGGTTCCAGTAGTATTCACTTCTAGAAGGGGATTCTTGATGATGATTTATTGCATATAAGAAATATCATTGATAATAAAAGATTATTTCTTCTATTCAATCATAACCAGGGATAAATAGGTTATATTCTTACATATCTATTCATTTCATTATTCACACTGACTGTGAATACCCCGGACTCAACGGGTATATAAAATCCATCCCATCCGCCATCCCTTTCCTTCCCTTTTTACCCCCCCCACCCCCTATCCTCAGAAATAAAACATCCCGATTCCGCCATCTCCTGAAAACAGATCCCTTTTCCTACGAATCCATCTAATAAGCCCTAGCACCCTATCCAATCTCTCAAAACAACCATGACCTACCACCAACACCACCATTACATATATGCATCTCTACCTGGCCAAACAAATCTACCCAAACTATATTCACAGGGGAAATTCCAAATCCAGATCTAACCCTCGCAGTCGAGCCCACAGCGAGGGGCCGTACTGATTCCCTAGTCCAATTCGGTCCATACAGGCAATAGACACGGCAGGGAGGGTTGGTTATTATACAGCGGACAACTCTCCCAGGACTGTGGAATGGTATATATGGTCCTGGACAGAGTGGGGGGGTGGGTACTGGGGCGATAAAAACACCCAGGACATCCGTCGGGTTGACGACCTAACTTCTGTGTCCGTGGCGGTTGGTCTAGGAAACAGCCCGTTCAGGCTTATACATGTCGTTGGCCTGAGATTGACGTAATAGGTTTTTGTATTGGGATACACTACTTAACTTTCGATTCAGAAATGGAATGTCATAAGACCTCAGCTGATCTCACTAGATTTGCATTTAGGATTCCTAGTCGGAACTCTGAATCTTCAGTGTCATCGCATCCTTTCTATCCTTTCATACTTGATAGCAATTAGCGACTAATTTCATCATGGCAGACAGCCTGCTACCTCATGCTCAGACTCATATCATATCATCATATTAATAATATCATATTACTATATACGACTCTTCAACCAACTACCCATCCAGCTAACAGCCATCCAATCCATCTCTTACCTACTATGCAATTCCAAAATAGAATGACAGAAGCTTAGTATAAAAGATACATAGTGGTACATAACCCCGAGTCCCTTAAACACTAAAGTACAACAAGACAAATCCAATAGATAGATGAAATCAGGGCTACATGCGATGGCATTATACAACAACCTCCATTCTTATGATTTGTGAATTTATGCCGTGTGTTTATACTGGAACTTAGGCTCATTATGTTGATGCCCCTCGTCCCATTGGGTGGCATAGATGTGGATGTGGATGTGGATGTGGATGTGCGATCTGCTGCGCTGCTATGTCTGGGTTTGGATACATATAATCGTAGAATGACTAGAGAGTCCGGTGCAATAACCCGACACCGAGCTCCTATGTCCTGAACAAGACATATAGTTATACCACTTCATAACTACAGAATATAGACAAATCCCGCGCCGTTACGCCCTACCCACTCACCCACCCCCAAACGCAAACCAACCCAAACAAACAAAAGCTGTATTATCTACCAAAACATCTATCCAGTCATGCAATATTCATAATTCGTTTCAGATCATGCAGTGAAAGCGGCTTCACCAGGTAATCGTCAATGCCAGCTGCAAAGGCCTGCTGTTGCATCTCGCTCGAGGCCACCCCGGTGACCGCCATGATGGCGGCGCGCGGCAGCGACTGCTGCTCTTCGTACTCACGGATCTTGCCCGAGGAGGCGATCCCGTCCATGATGGGCATGGAGATGTCTGTTTTTTTTAGTGAGACAAGAGATAGATATGGGAGGGGGACGGGGATGGGGACGGGGATGGAGATAAGAGATATTGGACGAAGATCAGGAAGCGGACAGGGATGGGGACGGGGACCGGGACGGGGCTAAGAACGAAAATAGGGACGAAACATACCCATCAAGATATAATCAAACGGCTGAGCCGAGTCCTTATATTTTTCCAGCGCCGCCAGACCATTGCTTGCAGTTTCATAGCTGCAGCCGATTTTGCGCATGAAGGTTGCCAGTATCTGTGCTCTGTCACCTAATGCCCATCATGGTGACGGGTGTGTCATACGTACCTTGATGTTAATGTCATTGTCGTCTACAATCAGCACATGGAGGTTATTCTTCCCCGTCGGCTCGGGCGGCATGGAGGCGAATTCCGAAACGTTCTCCCGGACGACGGGCGGAGACTCCGTGCCCTTGGCCAGGGCAAATGCATCGGATAAGCTGCGTCCGCGGAGAGGGAGACCAGGGAGCGGGCCGAGGACGGGATCGTCCTCGCATGCGCCAGGGGCCTGTTGCGACTCGGTGATCCGTTGTAACGCTTGCATGACTTTTCGGGGTCCGATTCTGTGGTCCATTAGTAAAGAATAGCGGTGATGGTGGTGGTGGTGTTGGAGTGCTATACTTACGGCTGCGAAACGTAGAACACGTCGGCGCCTTTGATGGCAAAGTCCCCGGGAAGCGAAACGCCCTGTTCGCCTATCACGAGGATCGACTTGTATTTGACGTCGATGGGGCCCGTTTTCGAGAGCTTTTTCAAGGTGGATTCTTCGATGACTCCGATGTCTCCGGAGGCTTTCTCGAGGTCATCAGCAAATGAGACCATCCAGCCGGGCTGGCTTAAGAGGACGTTGCTGAGAGCACTCCGTAGCGAGAGTTTGCGCTTGGCTTCCGTGCTCAGCAGTCCGCTGGGCGCTTCTTTGAAGTCCGCGTAGGCATTCAGGCCGATGAGAGAGACTCGGGTCATGATACGGGCGCCCGGGACCCCATCAGCCCACAAGGAGTCTCCTTCCACGAACTCCACGGGGATGTACACGTCCACATGGGTCCCGACTCCGACGTCACTTTTGATCTCGACGTCCCCGCCGAGGTAGTTCACGAGTTGCTTCACCACACTGAGACCCAGCCCAACACCTTCCGTCAAGATGCTTTCCTGCGCGAATGGTTGGAAGAGTTGGTGCTGGAGAAAGTCGGGCGATATTCCACAGCCGGTGTCCGTGATGGACAGGTGAGCTAGAGTCTTCTTCGTCTCGCCGTTTCGTTCGACCTTCTTGGCTAGAGAGATCTCGATGAAGCCGCATCGGGTGAACTTGAATGCGTTACCCAGGATGTTCATCACGATTCGTCGCCATGCACCCGACAGTGATTGCAGATGCCACGCGCCTAGATCTTCGATGCGGCTGATGACAGAGAGGTCATCTGGGTTGAACTGGGGAGGCGTGCCGTTAGGCCGACTCCCAACTCCGGGACCGCTCGGAAGATATCGACCTGCAATCTTGGCGGCGTTGATGAGGGAGCGATGGCCCGAGTACAGCGCTTCGGTTACCTCTTCCACCAGCTCGTCCAAGTCAAAGTCTGTCATGAGATTATCCAGGCCATCGCTGCTGGTGCCGCCCTTCTTGTGGAGTTGAGTCAGGTTGTTGATTTTGGTGAATTCAAGTCTGCAGAGTCAGTGAACGGTCCAGTGTGTGGGTGGGTGGTCCAAACTCACAGGTGGTTCATCGTGTCCAGTAGTGTCAGCCCGCACGTTTCTACCATGGTGACCATATCTTGCTGCGCAGGTTCCAAAGGAGTCGTCTGCAAGAGCTCGGTACTGGCAAGCATGCCATGTAGAGGGGATCGGAGTTCGTGGCTGACCGAGGACAGTAGATCGGATTTCGACTTTTCGGTGGCGGTCCAGTCTATTTGGCAGAACCCGGAGACAATGGAGTCACCAAATGTCTTCAGAAAGGCAAGATCATCTTGCCCTAGTCGACGCTTATCATCGCACGTCCAGACAAGTGTCCCAGCCAGCCAGCGAGATCGGTTCCAGTTCCACAGCGGAAGAAACACCAGAGACCTGGCCTCTGGGCAATTGTGCGCCAGCCGGGCATTGATCGAATGGTGTAGACTATACTCGCTCTGCAAGCTCTGTCTCCGCTGATGCAGCAAGCTCGAGACCGATGATCCAGAGGTCTGATGAGGGTGGAGGACCTCGCCGTGCGGGAAGGCAGTGAACATGTCATGCAGCAGCCCTTCCGTCAAGCCAAGCCTGAACATATTGGTATTGCACTCCACGGCGTGCTCCGACGAGGCGAACCCGATTGGTTCGCACAGCTTCTCGGACCAACCACCATGAGAGGAGATGCTCGGAGAGCGATGGGAGATCCCGGAGTCGCTGTCTTTAGATAGGACATCCCAGTCACGAACACTGGCGGTGGAGCCACTGGTTCCGTTAGACAGACTTTTGTGTGACCGAAGAAAAGCAATACTTACCTGCGAGAGTTACTGCGCGAGGCATCCACAAAGAGAACGCCGTCCAAGTCCATGGATTCCTGCAAAAGAGCGCTTGCACGGGAAAACAGCAACGACGTCTTCTCGGAGATGGCATTGCCCTCGGGCACTATGATAAGCTTGTTCGTTTCATCGGAACGTTTCCTCACATGCCGTTGATGGCTGTCATTGGGCGCCGAATGAACGGCTCCAAAGGGTTGGTTTTGGAAGAAGGGCGACTCGCTCGCCGGGGTCAGCCGGGGGTGTTTCGCTGAGGCTGGTGAAACCCCCCGATTATTAGTCGTTGTGATGGAGAGACGGTCAAGACCGGGTACCTCGGATGACCGAGGTGAAACAATACCGGTCGCGTTGCTGCGTCTGCGGGCCCTCCAACCGTCGTTCTCATGGCCCGACTGCCCTTTGATGAACTTCATGAGGCTACCTAGCAAACGGTCCGCCTGGCGGTGATGCCGGACCGCCCAGACATTCTCGAGGTGGTGCGCGACCGAGTTCGCAACATCCTGCAATCCTACCAGATCGCTGTCCGCGAAGGAATCGCGAGGTGTCTCATCCACAACGCAATACGTGCCAAAGGTCTCCCCGGAAGAGTTGCGCAAGGGAACCTCCGCGTAAAACCTGGACCGGAATTGTTTCACAAGAGGGTGGTCGGTCAGATCCGGTTGCATGGCAAGATCGCGGACTACGGTACGGGTGCTGTCTGATGTGACATTGGAAGACTCGATCGCGTCGCCTCCATCCCGTCCCAGACCCAACGTTTTCATGCCCACTGAAAGACTGCCAACACGAGCGTCTCCGTCGCAACCAGGATCGGACGGTGTGGCTCCCACGATGACCTGTGGCCCCGAGCCATCAAGGAGTGAAACAAAAGCATATCTGCAGTTCAAGCGATAGGTGCCCAGTTGCGCCAGCGCCGTCAGGGTAGGGTCTGACGCCGGGGACGTCATCAGGGAGTTATCCCGCCCATTGGCAGTAGACGGAAACGCCGGGCGCGGCAGCCCATGGGTTCGATCGTGGGCGCTGTAGAGACTGCGTGTAGGGGACATGATGTGAGCACACACCCCAACGGCCACAGTGCGAGAGCGCAGCCTACCTGAGGAGTTCCGGGGTCATTCGGGGCGGCGAAGGCAAAGGATGGACAGCTGCTGAGCCCACCGCGTACGGAAGATCGTCTATGGCATCGCAAGTCGGCGCAAAAATTGTCCACGATTCGAGCGGGACAGGTGTGGGACGGAAAAGAAAAAGCACGAGGTACTATCTCTTAAATACCGGGACGGGCAAGTCGAGCTGGTCACGCCGACCTGAACCGAGAGGGTTTGGGTTCACGACGCCGGCGCCACCGGATCTGGGACAGGAGCTTCCGAGGAACTCATCCAGTAGGGTGGGAACCGGTCTAGGCCGCCGAGTGGGTGTGGTCGAGTCGAGTCTGGGAGGGTGGAGAGTGGATGCTTGCTGATGGGCCCTGAGCCTGGCCATTCGATGGAACCGACCCCGACTAAGGGGGGGGGGGTCATCGATGGGCTCAGAGGGTGAGATCCTGCCAAATCCCGGGAACGACCGCCCGCGTCCCACGGGTCGGCCATCAAGACTCGCAGCCTGGGTGGCATCGGCCGAACAGTTCCACGAGACGACCATCACGCTGGTCGGCCCCGACAAATCCCCTGGAGCAGCGGCGGCGGCAGGTGCCGCCTAGCCGAGCAACCGCGAGAAACTTCCATCGAGATAGAGCGATAGATGGTGCTGATGATTTGATGGCGTGCGTTCGGGGGGTGAGAGTAACGCGATGGGAGGGCGGAAGAGTGGGACGGGGAGGGAGAGGGAGAAGGAGAAGGAGAAGGAGAAGGAGAAGGAGAGAGGCGATGGACGGGTCATTGATGTAACTCAACTCTCGTCAACGCGCCCGGATTGGCCCGGAGTTGCTTTTCCAAGTCCTGCCCGCATTCGGACATGTCGACGCCTCAGGTTACCTACCACGGCCACCACACCTTAAGCCTCAGGCATGCTCCGTGCTCCCCCTCTTCTCCTCCTCCTCCTCCTCCTCCTCCTCCTCCTCCATCGTGTCCGTATTCCACAACCCCAAAAATTCCTCCTGCACACGAGCTACGCACATGTGCTTTCCCTCCTCCCGACCCCTTTCATTGGGCGGAATCCACACTAACCAGCCCCGTCGACGGAACCTTAACCAGGCCAACTGATCAGCCGACAATCGGAGCTCATCCATGTACCGTCGAAGTCTACGACCAGGCGGGGAGGAAGGACCTCACGGACAGGCAGGCAGGCTGGCAGATACCGAGATCGAGATAAGATTAAAATGCTCCGACTCGAGGATCTGCGACGGGTTCAACGGTACCAAGTTACCAATCATGATTGATTTTTTTGACCATTACCATTACATTACTTACTCATCGACTTTGGGTTGCGGGCGGTCGGTGTGAAAATTGCGATGGATGAATGCAATGAAATCGGTTTGATGATTCATCTAGTTATATCTACTGTGCATCGGTCTAGATTCGACTTCCTTCAACTTTGAACTGAAGACTCTGGCACTTGAATCTACGGGGGCAGAAATCCAGAAACCCCCAGACTACGGACAGGATGATAAGAAGCGAGAAATGAAGTCAAGTATATCCTGGGTCTTCCTTTTTCAGGAAGATGGAAATATCTCCGGGGGGGTATCACTGTATTAAGGAGGCTTGGGTTGGTTGGCGACCGCAAATTTCTGCACGGCGGTAGCCAGCCAAGCCTAGTAATCTCGTGTTGCAACACCATCTCCTCGTGAAAGCCGAGGGCAACTCTAAACCTGCTTGGCCAATAAGTGGGTTCACATGCCCGCGGGCGCAGAAAGTCTCTCCGGCCAACCATGGCCAGTACGGACGCAAAGCTTCCCTCCGAGCATGTTGTTTGGGTCCTGAGTATACATCCCCATCCCCACCCGCCACAGTCACCTGACCTGACCTGATCGGTTGCCTCAACAGACGAGGGTGTGTGTGTGTGTGAGAGAGAGAGAGAGAGATGGAGGGAAGACCTTTGTTAGAATATCGCCGGATCCATCGTGGGGTTGATGGAAAAGAACGCCTCCAGGTCCATCGTGGAAAAGTCAAAGTCCCACCCCATGTCGGACTGCGTGAAGTCCAGCAGGTCCTCGCCACTGCCCACGCTGCCGCTGGGCATGCGGATGCCATCCTGCAGCGAGTTGCCCTGGAAATCGGACAGCATCGCAAGGCCTCCCCCGCCCGGCAGACCTCCGTGCACCGGCTCGGGCACTGGGCCCTGTGGATGCGGGGAGACGTCGCTGGAGTAGTGGCGGATCGCGGCCTGGGTTTGATCCAGCCCGAAGGGCTGGCCTTTGGCAATAGCCTCGGGCGACCAGTCGTACGAGGGGTGTATCTTTCGCAGGACGGTCAAGATCGCGGACATGGAGCTCGAGATAGGTTCCCCGGGTCGCATCGATGACAGGCCCTGCAGGGCGGCGTGGATCCACGGCAGGTGCGTGCACGCCAGATTTTCCCCATGCATGAGGTCGTAGATCAGGGCGAAACTAGAACTGCCCAAGAAGTACCCGTGGTAGCGGAGTTCCTAAAACACGATCAGCACCATGCAGACGGGACAACTGGTGGGTTTTCGAGAGACATACCCGAACGAGGTCGTTGTAGATCGAGGCTTCATAGAGATGATGGATCGTTCGACATGCAGCACTGAGGGCCTGGTTGCAGGCTTCGTTGAGCCATGTGGGGATCTCTGTCGGTCGTTTGCCGATGCCGCCCTCCCGGTGTGCGGACATTTTCATATCCCGATGCCACCGGCCCCGGAAAATCAGAAACGGGCGGAATGTCAAGAGGATGGTGTGGTAATAAACTACCCGGTTAGCATGGTGCCAGAGATGAGTTCCTCAAAACATACGCGTTATTAGGATGGTCTGTCTGACGCCCAGACTTCCGGGTTGAACCTGCTTGTCGAGTCCGAACCCGAGGGCATGCTGCATCATCGAGTCGTAGCCACGCAGTTCATCTGTGATCGACCTCGCAATCTTCCACATCTGCAGCAAGGACTCGTGACGCCGGCCGTACATCTCGTCGGCCGATCGGGTGATGATCTTCGAAAGATGAATCAGAACCTGCAGGAACGGGTCCTCCGGTGGTGCAATCCCAATGTCCTTGGCCGACAAGGATCTTGGCCGTCCTAGGTGGAAGCAGGTCCAGCTGAGGGGGCCGTCAGTACAAAGCAGTAACAATCAATTGGCGGTGGACGAACACTTCGTAAAAGTACAGTGACCAAAACGTACACCGTCGTTCCTCGACGCTATCGGCAGCGTCGCCACCGTCGCTGGGGGCTTCTTTGTGCAGGCCGGCGGAGATGGCCGTCCGGGCCGCCGTGCCCATCAGAAGAAATGCCGAGTTCGGCCTCCCTTGTTCGGTCTGGAAGTGCGCGTGCTAGTGAGGTCAACATCCCGGTCGCGACGCTCTGGGAGACGGCTACTTATCATGAACATGGACAACTGTACTGTCTGAAGGTTGACCACATCATCGAGCGATGTGGTAGACGCCTTTACGCGGTCATACAGTACATCCCCCCAGTGGTGATGCTCCGTCGCGAGAGCACCGATAGCCAAGCCCATCAGGAGCATCGACTGGGCCCATTTGTCCGAGCGGACGTCCGCCGTTGGGCGATACAGGTGCTCGAGCTGCTGGTAAAAGACGTCCTTGGGCCAGAAGGGGACCATATGATACAGCGTCGCCAGGAAGCGGTGCAGGAAGTCCTTGGCCAGCTCGTAGGGCAGGAACAGGACCTGCGCATCGGGCCCATTGGGGACCTTGTTCGGATCATGCGATTCGGCCTGGGTTCCGAAAAAGATGCGGCGGAAGCTGAACATGTCCAGGCCAGCACTGGCTTCTTCGACCTCGCCCTGGGGCTCCTGCGGCTCCGCTGATTGGTTGTTCGAGACCAGGCCGCGGTAGATCTCGTGCATCAGCGCGAAATGGGATGTTGAGCCATAGTACAACTGCACCTTGCACGATGGCGATGCCATGTGCGTGGCGGAAACGCTGTTGTTGAAGGTCAGGCTGACGGACGGATTTCGCCGTCGTGTTAGTGGTGCTGGTGGTTGTTGTTGATGATGCTGATGGTGGTGGTGGTCCGTCGGGCCAGGAGAATGCGGCGATGGGCCAGAATAGTCGGGCCGGGAGGCCCCATTATTGGAGGCCAACGCATCACTGGCAGACGACTCCGGGTAGTGGTGTTTCTTCTTGCGCTGGCGGATGACCTCGCGATAAATACATGGGGTATGGCGCAGCTGGCAGGTTTTGCACGGATTGACGCCATTGCACTTGATCTTCCGCTTCCTGCACTCTTGGCAGGCCTTGGGGATCCGCCAGCCGGAGGGCTGGGCCGGCGAGACGGGGTCGGCCATGTCCTGGCGGAGGGCAGATCAGAAGGGCACTCCTGACTGTATCGCAAGGGAGGGGGGGGGGGGGGGGACTTTCTTTGATGCTTCTGCGTCATGGAGCGATTCCGCATCGATCGAGAGCCGAGAAGTCGGATGTACGGCACGTGAGCCGATCCGGTATTCCGGTCCCGATGCGGCCTAGTGGGGCATGTGACTGTCAGCTGACTGGCGGCTGCCTGTCTGCCTTGCTGCCTTACGTCTTACTGACGTTTGCCTAGGCGCCTTATTGCCTGACTGCCTGCCTAACCCTATAAACCGACATGTGAGCTTAAGGGAGTCCACGATCTGAAATCTGGTTGAGGCGCATTGCGGACCATGTTTGATCTGCTACCCCTCACATCGGCATGCACTGGAGATGTCGCCAGCAAATAGGGCTGAGGCGCGCTGACCACCCAAGATGTGGGATGCATCCTGATTGACGGCAACTTTGGCATCCTCGTGTTACATCTCATGATCGGTGGCCGTCCCGATGTCTCTATGATGACGTCGCATGTATCACACTGTTATAACCCCCCAGGATCTCGCTCCTCTCATCTCGGTAGACCCTCCATCTAAGCAGCTACCATAGCTACCCCACCCTACAGCTAAGGACATCAAAACAAATCCCATGAAGCCAGCCATCCACATCGCCAAACCGCACCGCGGTGAGGCCTCGGAGAAGCGCGATCCAGCCACCACCCAGGCCTGGCTGATAGGGAGTGGCATCGCCTCGCTGTCCGCGGCGGTGCACCTCATCCGCGATGCAAACGTGACCCCATCGCACATCCACATCCTCGACGTGCATTCCCACGCGGGTGGCGGCATCACAGGCTGCGGCAATGCCCAGGACGGCTACGTCCTGTATACAGGCAGCCTGCCCTACTTCCACGACCGCTGCGTCGAGGAGCTCCTTTCTCTCGTCCCCAGCCTCGACAACCCGGAGAAGTCGCTCCTGGACTCCATCAAGGACGCCGACCGCCATGCGACTGTGCCCCAGAAGCAGAAATCCACCACCCGGCTCATCCGGCAGGGGAAGGACGGTCCAGAATGCGTCCATATCAACAGCCTGCAGATCGGGCCCAAGTACCGCATGGAACTCATGCGGATTATGCTCGAGAACGAACGCTCGCTCGGGGACGGCGCCATCCGCGATTACTTCGACGAGGCGTTCTTCAAGACCAACTTCTGGATGCAGTGGTCCACGACGTGAGCCATCCTTACCCAGTCTTCCCCGGTGAATCCTCCTGTCTGGCCCCGACTAACACAACCCCCCAGCTTCGCCCTGCAACCCTGGCACAGCGTGGCGGAATTCCGGCGCGGACTGTGCAAGCACCTGGCGGACATCGAACACCTCAACGACATCAAACCGCTGGACCGGACCAAATACACGATCTACGAATCGATCATCCAGCCGATCTCGAGCTACCTCGAGCGCATCGGGGTGGACTTCCACTTCCACGCGCGGGTGACGCGACTCGAAACGCACCCCGACTCGCCGCACACCGTGACCAACATCGTTCTCACCGACACCGACACGAAAGACCCGATCGAAAAGTCCATCGTGGTGGCGCCCAGCGACATCGTCCTGGCCACCCTGGGCTCGACCTCCACCGGCACCCAAACCGGCACCAACACCACATCCCCCAAACCCAGCTCCCCCTCCACCGACAAAGACAGTGCCTGGACCCTGTGGCACTCCCTCTCCGAAGCCTTTCCCAACGCCCAATTCGGCTCCCCCTCCCACTTCACCTCCCACACCCCACAAACAACCCTAACCACATTCACCACAACCCTGCACGACACCCCCTTCCTGACCCTCTACTCCACCCTCACAGCCACCGACCCGGGCACCACTGCGCTCCTCACCCTCTCCAGCAGCCCTTGGTGCCTCAGCCTCAGTATCCCCGCCCAGCCCGTCTGCCCGGACCAGCCGTCCTCCACGCACGTCATCTGGGGATACGGCCTGCATCCGCTCGCACAGGGCACCTTTGTCCCGAAGCCCATGACCGCCTGCACGGGCGAGGAGATCGCCACAGAGGTCTTCTCGCACCTCGGCTTGCCGGTCGACGAGCTGCTCCCCAGGTCCAATACCATTCCGTGCGTGATTCCGTTGGCCACGGCGCCTCTCCTGCCGCGGAAGATGGGCCAGAGGGCGGAGGTCGTGGCGGGGGGCAATCTGGCGCTGGTGGGCCAGTTCGTCGAGATTACGGATGATACTACTCTCAGCATGGAGTATAGTGTCAGGGGGGCGCAGATGGCGGTCGGCGAGGTGATGGGGTTGGAGAGGAAGGTGCCGCGCATCGAAAGGCATATGTTGTTGAGTGTGTTTGATTTGTTGGGCGGCGCGTAGGTGGGGAGGGGGGGGATTTTGCGGAAGGAGGGGCGGGGTTGGTGGTTTGTTTATTTGAATTTGTTTTGAATATTGGGGTGTGATTGGATGTCTCCTCCGTTTTCGTGTTTTCTTCGAATGGTGCCGTACCTATCTGCCCGTCTCTTTCCGCGCTCCGGTTTCATTTGATTGCCATGGACTGGACTGGACCGGGCTGGACGGAATTGAATTGAATTGCATTTCATGTATTCATGTACCTATGGCTCAAGCATTCCCCGTCTTGTTTTATCTTGTACCCCCCCCACCACCCCATACCTATAATATCCTGTCATACTGTCATACTCTTCCCTAATCCAGACTGACACATCTTACCACTTCTTCCTTTCTAATACCATCCACACGTACGATATATTCCAAGCAGAATGAAGTATACTTCCCATTTCCAAATCCTCTACCTACCTACCTACCTACCACCACCACCACCACCACCATGACAGCCGAAACAGAATACAATACAGAGTACGAACCTATAAATCCTTCCCATTCTTCCACATCCCCCCATCCATCCACGCATTCCATTCATTTCCGGAGCGTAGATAAGCTAAGCAAAGGTACGTACCAACTCCCCCCCCCCCTTCCCCTTCAAATCCAAGACATCCAGTATAGCATCCCCTATCAAGCCAACCCATATTTCCAACCACCACAACCACCACCTATTCCATTCCACTTCATCCTACCAATGTCCACGAAACAGCGTCTTGCTTTAGCGTGTACTTACCATGTTAACCTATCTTTCTGATCTCGTGATCTTATTTGCTGATCGGGTTGAATCCGCGCACGAGCACTTGCTCGGATGAAAGGCGGGAGAATTATAACTTAGATGGAATCTAACGCGCTAGCCGGTGGGGAATCGCATTTACCGAGTTATTGGGGGGAAGGGAGTAGCGAAATGGGAAGGGAGGGGAGGGGAGGGGGATGGGGTGGGATATTGGGATCGGGGTGGACAGGCACGGGACGAGGTGAGGTACTAGTATATAATGTGGCAGGGAATGGGTAGGACTATCTAGGCAAGGAAGCCAAGTTATAATCAACGCCCTTCTCTCCATCACGGGGATTTTATCTGGAAATGCCCGATAGAATGTAGAATGTGTAGCGTAACTACCTACCGACCGACCGACCTACCTATCTACCCGCAATATGTATATGTATCACAGCGACCAGACATTACCCCCACACACAACCCTAACCACGAACAAAAGTCCAACTCCTACCCGCTATCTATTCTATATCCGCCACTGAAAGGCCGGATTCCTCCAGTCCAGATCCTGGATCTGATTCTGGGTCATCCCGCCCAACGCACGATCCAGATCCACCGTCTCTCGACGCCGATTATCCCCGCGCATCCACCACCACATCAGCGCGGCGACGAGAAGGGTCACGGTCGAGGTAGCCAGATTCAATCCATTTCCGATACGGTAGTTTGGGGCATCGAAAGGCAGAAACGACCAGGTGGAGATCAGCCCGCCGATGGCGCCGAGGGTGACGTTTGTGGCGAGGGCCGAGGAGCGGGCGGTGTCGGAGACGACGTTGTTGGAGACGTGGGCGTTGCACAGGGGGCCGAAGCTGAAGGCGCCGCTGGCGATGAGAAAGGTGGCGCCGTAGCGCACGTGGGGGGACGTGCTGGCCAGGAAGAGGATGTATCCGGCCATCAGGAGGGGCGGGGCGAGGACGAAGAAGATGAGGCGCCGGTCGAAGCGCCAGCTCAGGAGCGGGAACAGGACGGTGAAGAAGGCGCCCACGACGTAGGGCGGCACGGTGTGCAGCTGCTGCGCGACGACGGTGCGGGTCGGGTAGATGGTGCGCACGATGGTGGGGGCGAAGAAGGCCAGGCCTTGGACCGTGATGTTGTTGAGGAGGAAGATGAATGCCGTGGTCAGGGTGACGGGGCTGAGGATCCCGCGCAGCGTCTTGGCCGCGTCCATCTGGTCGAGGATCTCGGTGGTGGCTACCCGTTCGCATTTCAGTCGCGCGATGGCCAGGGTTTTTTCTGATGCGGTCAGCCAGCGGGCTGTCTGCGGACGGTCGGTGAGGGTGGCGAAGGCCAGGAGGCCTAGTCCGATCGTGATGATTCCCTCGATCGCGAATATCATGCGCCAGGTGTGCAGACTGCCGAAGTGGTCGAGGGTGAGGATCGCCGAGGCGAGCAGTCCGCCAAATGCACCGGCCAGGGGCGCCATCACGACGTAGATGGACAGGTAGAAGGCTAGTTCCCGGCTTCGATACCACCGGGATAGGTAGTAGGCGATTCCGGGCATCATCCCCGCCTCGAAGACGCCGAGGAGGAACCGTACCCCGGACGCGCTGTGGATGTTCTGAACGAATGCCGTGCCGAGAGAGCAGATGCCAAAGGCTAGGGTTATGGCGGGGAGAAACCAGCCGGGTCCGATCAGCTTGCAAGCCATGTTGGAGGGAATCTCGAACAGGATGTAGGAGATGTAGAAGACGGACAGCACCGCATTGTAGTCGTTGCCATGCAGACCGAGGTCTTTTTCGAGTCCGGCCAGCTTTGCGTTACCTGTTGAGGGGGGCGTCAGTTGGGTATCGGAGGTAGATAGACGTAGCAGTCATACCGATGTTGGCGCGATCGATGAAGCAGAACAGGTATATCAAGGCCACGGTCGGGAGGATGTACAGGTCGATCTTTCGCCGGAGACGAGACTCGGCCTTGCGATCGAACTCCACCAGGGCTCTACCGTCCTGATCGCTCGCCGCAAGGCCCGGTCCTGCTGCTTTGTGTACGTCCTGATCCCAGATCGTCTCCTCGTGCTGAGCTGTACGCTTTCCATCCGCAGTGATGTCCGGGGGACTGGTCGACGACGCCATCTGTCGAAAACAAATCGCCCTGGACGAAGTTGTGCGGAACAAGATGAGCTGCGCTGGCTGGTGGGACCGGGAGCAGTCTGACGCGAGGAAGGAGTAACGGGTCGAGAGCTTGCCCCCGTTATAACATCGCATTCCTCTCGGGGTTCACGTGCAATGACGGGCTCATGGGACAGTCGTGGGGCAGCCAGTCATCGCGTCATGCGAGGGAATCAGGGTATTCAAGGTTCGGGCCAAGCAGTGGCACGCGAGGGTTTGTCCTCCCCGAAGGGTGAAGCTCGGCGGTTCTGATGTCCTTGGCGGCCTCCGCCTCGTGTTGCGCCTTGGCGTCTCCGCCTTTCCGCCTCTCCGCAGCCCCGGATTTCCGCCGCTCAGCTGTCATCCACACCGCCTCCTGTTCGGGCTCAAAATACGGCAGAGATGGATCCTAATCCGGAAGGCGGTCTATCACGTCGCTCCTTGCCAGGATAACCCCAACTCGAGCATCTCCTGGACTTCAATCGCATGCACCGCGCATCAGAGTGAGACGTGACGAGGTCTCGGTATCTCGTGGGCGTGTCTCTCCAGACCCATATCTGGTCATCCAGGCGGAAATGCGGGACCTTTCTCTCTTATTATTTATTTAATCCATCTAAAATGCAGGAGATACAGAGTTTTATATATTTTACTGAAGAAATATGATTGTTCTGCTCCGGCTTGGCATGGTCCTCGATTGACCATATTTGCCACTACTTTACCTCCCCCCGACTTGTATCGATTCTCTTCATCTACTATCCCACTGCGCGTCCAAAGTGAAGACCACGGTAACACCAACCACTTTCCTTATCGGCGACGGCGATCGAACATCCCAGACATCGATTTCATGCTTCTGGAGGAAAGAGGAGTTATCGCGCAAGCCTTAGTCATGGATAAGTGTTACAAATGAGGTATCAATTTTCAATGCCCTGTTAGTGTCTGGGGACAATTGGCTTGAGGGGTTTTGTTGAACACCCAACTACTTGGTATACCCCGGCTGCGGTTCTATCAGGAGCATGCGAATTCTGTGCCAGCACTGCGACGCAAAGAATGGTCTGTACTTGTTTACACCTTACAGGATTCACTTTATGGTTTGACAACTAGACAAAACAACTGATTTAGCCGAGTAAACAGACCACGAACTAGCCCGTCCACCTCCGCTCCAGCTTGCTCCTCTCCTTCACTCAGCAACCATCCATCTCGGTCGGAACATCTCTATGACTCTTTGTCCAATTTTGTCGTCGAACCTCATCAACCGTGTTGGCTGTCTCCATTGAACCCAAAGCACCGTTGTCGACAACTGCCCTGAACGGAAAACGCGTCGTGAGAAGTCTCGAAACATCAGAAAACCAACCCTTGTTTGAGACGGGGGATCTTCTCTCGGTCGCAAAACTCGGATACAGCAGATATACATCCGTATTCATCATCTTTCGCTGACGAGGGGTTCTGTTTCTTCGAACACCACAAAGAGGGGAGTTATCAACGGTCGCGCTTAGGGTTTCGATAACGAGCCCTCGCTCCCTCGACCCTTTCCGCGCCTTGCTGGCCGTTCCCGTCGCGATATCTGGCTTCACTCGCGCCCGATGGAAGGTCTGATACCCTTGTTGAGGTTAATACGCGGGCACTTCATGACTAGGCTGGAAAACGCCTGTGAAGGAGAAGTCACATACTAAGTGACTCCCGAGCTCCAGCGTCTTCTAGAAACTCCCCGGCCATTCATCCCATTTCCCACATAGTGGTATTTTATCGTGAAATGATAACATGATAAGTTCGTCGCTCCTGCTCCATAGCTCAAACAGATCAGTGCTGACTCCTATCTCCGTAAACAGCGTTCCTGGAGTTCCCCAATCTCGGTCTTGTCGATGAGTGCCCCTTTAGGTGACACATCCAAACATGCTGGGAACTTCTCTACCGAAATCGCTGAGTCAAGTCCTTGATTATCTACGAGTCTATCAACGACGAAACATAGTTGGGTGAGAAATTTCTCAACAACGCATTCTAATTCAAACCGTTCAGCTAAGCTTCAAACTGCAACCTCGAAAACCATCCTTTATCTCCCTAAAGGTTGATATCTTGAACACCACTCATTTCCATTTCATAGCCTTCTCCATCAAGAGCAACACCTCCATATACCTCTTCATAATTCTCATGTCCCTCTCATCTGCCTCCCACATCATCTGCCTGCATTTGGACAGCAACCCGGCGTCGAAGTTGAGGCGCCTCCACTGCAGCAAGAACTTTACATTGCCAAGCAATTTTGCTCTTAGGGCCCATCGAACTTCCATGTGCAACTGAATATGCCCGGCGCTATCATCAGTCCCAGGACTTTCCATGAGGTCTCCTTCCTCCCCGGGCAGGGCTAAAAACGGGTTGACAACCTTACGTCGCTTTTCAACTCGCTCTACCGGCGCATCGGACAGATCTATTGCCTCTCTAAACGCAGGAGTCAAAATAGGCTTGTTGTAAGATCTTGTCCAGATCCAGGATAACACAAACAGTTTCAGACACGTATACCTAGAGTCGGCTTCTAGAAGTAGTCGGCCCATCCTCTTATGTGCTGACCTGGGACCGTGACACAGAAGGTCTAACGCAGTTGCGTAATGCTGCCCCTCATTCTCGTTTAATCTCCAGTAGCGTTCACGGTGGTCATATTCATATCTGCCCCATAGTTCCCATTCGCTGCTGGATAGAAATTCACCGTCGCTATCTGTTAGCCCTTTCATCAATTCACTGCGCCTGGGCTTGGTGACCCATGCCTCCAAATTTGGGTCTGCACCGTACTGTAGCAATAACTCAGCAATATTGATCTGGCCATACTGAACCGCCAGGTGCAGCATCCAGAGTCCATCTAGGGTATAGGGATTCGCACTTACACCCGCGTTCAGAAAGAGCTTAACGGACTTGTAATCGCCTTCTTTAACGGCGCGGGAGAACGGCTCTGGGGGCAAGGCTATCTGCTCCGCTGCATCATTAGACACCACCAAGCGCAAACGGACTGGACTCGCATGCACATCCTCAACCCCTGCGTCATTTCTTTGAACCGGACCGTTGTATCCATCCACTGGCTCTCTTTGAGCATCATCAAGATTGGTCCGAGGTGGTCCAGGATATGTGGGTGGTTCTCCAGAAGGTGGCCCAGGATATGGAGGTGGTTCACTACTTCCATCCTTCTCCAGGAATCCTTTCCCATGTGGTCCTCCTTTGTCATCTTCATAAATTGGCCGTGAGGAAGTGGGGAAAGCATTCCTTTTATCCCTATCCAGGTATTCCACCCCCAGGTACGAACACGATCGCCCCTGCTTGTCCTCTCCGTCATATTCAAAAGGTGACCGAGGGTTGCTTTTATCCCTGTCCTCGTGTCCTCGCTTATGTAGAAGAGGTACCTCTGGATATGACAAATGTGGATTTATTTTGGTTTGGTCATAGAATAGAAGCGGCTGAAACTTGTCGTCGAGGACAAGAACTCTATTATGATAGTGCACCTGAGCAGGAAGCGCATAACCCTTCACTCTGGATCGCAAGTGAGGGTGAGAGAGCTCGTACAAACTTTTGCATTTGTTGAGAATCGACTAAGAGTTTGATTGTCCATATATTCAGCCATACCATTGACCACCATACCAAGGTATTCCTTTGGAAAGTCATCCAGGCTTGGGCAGTTTATCAGGTCCGTTCTGTGTTTTCTTCTGAAGATTCCTTCCAGCTTTTTGGAAGTCTTTATAAGCGAATTGGACATGCGAGAAGCTCTTCGTGACATAGTGACGTCTGTCTTTTTGCACAGCGCTTGGATGTAAAAGGGTGATATCAAGTAAGGAAGATAATACTGTTCTTTTTAGGTGAATAGGAAGCAGATTAGGAGATATTTATATCTTTAGCCGGTAGTTATAGTTTGCAGAGGAGATATTACGAATAAGCCAAAGAAGCCTAACCTAAAAACTAAATAAGTATAGTCCGGCATGTTCCTGTTATGTATGTGAGGAGTCGGCGTGTAACTCCCCTAAACTAAGGTGTCTCGATATCCTTCTATTTATAGAGGTGCACTAGGTTCGACAATATAATTTAAAACAAGGAGAGAAAATAGTCGACTAAAGATATATATAGAGCCTTCTCCTTCTTGTTGAGAAAGGAAGATATCATAGAAAATAATTCTTTACTCAAGATATTGGTCAGAGAAACCCGAGAATTGCAATGAACAGATTCCTCCAGTTTGTTCTGGGGCATGCTCGTACCTTCGGGATCATCGAACAGCTGGGATCAAACTCTCAGTCGTTTGTCACGGACACGCAAGGCCTTACACAAAACATGTCTTCCTCTGCTGCAATCTAGGGCTATAAATCATGCGATCCCTGCTCAGAAGTACTTCAGAAAGAGGGTTACTATGACGTTTTGGCGTGATGAGTTAGTTGAGATTGCGAATGATGAGAAGCCGCTGGACATAGGACCCCATCTGGCTCACAATGTCTATCTACGTTCATCCTGTGCACCCTGTGTCAAGGCTCAGTCGGATTTGGAAAAAGCCCTAGAGCCCTTTGCCTGGGCGGTGAAGAATGGCTGTTTTGAGTCTGTCGAGTTCTTTTTGGACCTGGGCATCAGCCCAAACTCTTGTACCCTGAATGCGGAGTGAATGTTGCACCTTGCAGTGAAACATGGTCAGGTTGATATTGCCAGGCTGTTGTTACAGTACAGTGCTAGACCTGGGCTCTTGGCATGGACCACTCTACCTGATCTTGGGAGCCTGGCCCTCGATAACCTCAGCCATTGGGACCCTAAACGAATTACGCCGCCTTTTTATGAATATGAACATCACCGAAGGGATTCTTACGACGCAATGGGCTTCCTGTGTCACTGTCCTGCACAGTCACATATGTCAATGGCCCGACTTTTTCCCGAATCTGGCTATAATTATCAATTCACTTACGGTTACCGCGCCAGCTCTCTTGTTTCAATTCTGCGAGCGGGAACCAATGATAAAGATTTTGATCTCGTCAACCTTTATTTTGAGGAACACCTTGCTTATGAGCGACTGTTCCTAGAGATACCTTTGGATATGATCATGTTCTGAAACATGCTATGCAATTGTTGAGTTCGAAGACAATCAAACGATTTCTCTCTGTATCTTCCTGGGAATGCGATACCATAGCCCAAGCTATTCGCCGAGCTCTCAACGAGGAGTATAGGCGCAGCATCCCTGAAACGCAAAAATGCTTTGGTAAACATATTAAGGTCTCTAGCTATATACACCGCCTATCTGCTGAGAATAAAGATTTCAGACAGTGTTTGTGACCTACTTGACAAGGCAAATATACCCTATGATTATAGGCAGCCCAGCCCCGCAAAAGACATTACAGTGCTGGACCTCTACTTTGACAAGGCCTTACATCCGGAGACCTGGGAGGTCATATGGTTCATGATACGTGGACGGCCAGAGAGATGCCGTCCTGAGAAAGACGGTGGGCTTTGCTTTGAATACTTGCCCTAACCCCAATCTTCGCAATTCCGGTGGACTTAAAAGTGCCTTTGAAAACGGACTCTAGAAGGCTAGAAGGCCTTTGGGTGCTTATTTCAGTTCTGGGTCCCATTTAATGTCAGGACCACCGCAGGTGTCCCTCTTCCGGAGCGCCATGCGCGGGGAGTACTCCTTTTGCCGCAGTGGCGCTCATCAAAGATTCTTATATTAAGCCTTTCGTCGTGAGTTTTTCGATATTGCAAAGCTCTTACTGCCGGGGCAGCGCTATGCAGTGAGGGAGTGTTTGGCAAGATCGGTGTTTATTTACCTTCCATGGGTATATGTGTTGGAGTTGGAGTGGGAGTTTAGGCAGAAGGGTCAAGTTAAGAATAAATCATAATCATATCGTTTATCACGTTCAACAGATTGTTCGGGATACAGCTATGATTGTCGCAATCAAGGCCATAACAAATACATTTGCCATTTACTCATATCCAAGTGTGATAATACTACGCCAGGTTATCTCAAGTCACTTCAGTAGCTTATTTGTCAAGAGTTAAAGCCTATGATTATGGTTGTCTACGAAGCTGTTGTAAGGTGAAAGCGCAGCGTCCGTCCGTATCCTGGTCACTGGGGTGGTGGGGTGTGGAATGCTCTCGACTACACCATCCTTCTTCAGTCATGGAGATACTGAGACACTTCTGATCATCTCTAAAGGGAGCCATCGGATAGGGAGGAACCCCCTTCCCCCCCCCCCCTTTCCTCTCCCCTTCTCCCATTCAGCAAAGGGCCACGAGCAACATCGCCCATGATTTCATCTCCGACAACCGTGAGCATAACCTCATGACCCAAACAAACCCCTATCAACATACCACCATCAGCGGTACAGTGAATGTCCGTATCTGACATGAAATATCCAGGTGTATCCGGGGCAAACAGGGAGAACTACCTCCCCACACTTATCCAACGCAGACACGCATGTACCGTGCCGTGTCTCCTGAGCTCGTCCAGTAGTGGGAATTCTCGTTGCCTGACCGGCGTCGCACAAGTGGTGCGATGTGTACGGTGTATACAGAGCATTGTATGACAGACAGGGGTACGGTGACTCCTACCAGACCCTTGCTCAGTTGGTGTCTCGGGAGGGCTCGTATCCGTACGCATGGAATCCCGGTGGAAAGGAGACCAAACAGACAGACCTCAGGTTTGGTTTGGAGTTTATTAGGGTAACAACAATGGTTTGTTTCTCCCTGCGAACCGGATGCAGGTCGAGCAGAGGGAGGGATGTTGTCATCTCCCCACTAAAACCGGGCGTGGGCATTGGGGTGGATCACAGTACTCCGAGCTGCAGGCCGGGGTGTCTACTTACTCTCTTGACTGTGGTACTCCGTACAGGGTGCCCCGATGCAAGGTGGGGCGCATCCTTGCCGCCATGGATGCTGATAAAGAAGTACAGGCGTACTTTGTGCAACGAGAGGATGGCACGATGGACAAGGGGACAAAGGACAAGGGACCAGGAGAGAGAAGAGAGGAGAGAAGGGAGAAGGCAAGGGAAGGAATCCATCCATCCATCAATCAATCACCCCACCGATGGCGGCCGGAGCAATCAAACGCGAGGGATTAGGCGCGTGGCAGCCCGGTTGGGACTAGCGCGGCCTCACGTGCGGGGACCGGCCCTAACCCGCTCTCACGTGACGTCCCCGCACTAGACCCGATTTGGCGGCGGTGACATCAGCGGGATTTGCCGGATTTGCCAGGCAACCAAACCAACCACCACCAACACATGCAAAGAAACGAAGGATATCGGCGGAAAATCTCCCCACTGCAGATGCAGCCGCTGGTTGCACGGCTGATCGGCAGCCGGAGGGGTCGAGCATCATTCACCGGTTGGGCTGCGAGTAGGTATATGTACTTTGCACCACCCCTCCCTGCGGGTCAAGTCGGACCGCCCGAGTCTGTGACGTACTGGCTGCCCACACCCGCTTTTTCTCACCGGCCAACTGTTGCTCTTTCCCCCCACCACCACCACCACTACCACCATCTAGCTCACTTTCCATCTCTCCCCTTCAGCTTCATCTTTCTCTCCCCTCTGCCTGTTCAGCCTTCAGCCAGCCATTCTACCTGACTGCTGAACTACGCACACACACACACCATGGCTTCCCACGCCCCCGTGCAGCCCCCCAAGCGCCGTCGCATCGGTGTCCTCACCTCCGGTGGCGATGCCCCCGGCATGAACGGGGTCGTCCGCGCCGTCGTCCGCATGGCCATCCACTCCGACTGCGAGGCCTACGCCGTCTACGAGGGTTACGAGGGCCTGGTCAACGGCGGCGACATGATCCGCCAGCTACACTGGGAGGACGTCCGCGGCTGGCTGTCCCGCGGCGGCACCCTCATCGGCTCCGCCCGCTGCATGACCTTCCGCCAGCGCCCCGGGCGTCTGCAGGCGGCCAAGAACCTGGTGCTCCGCGGCATCGACGCGCTCGTGGTCTGCGGTGGTGACGGTAGTCTGACGGGCGCCGACGTCTTCCGCGCCGAGTGGCCCGGTCTGTTGAAGGAATTGGTCGAGAAGGGTGAGTTGACCGCGGAGCAGGTCAAGCCATACCAGATCCTGAACATCGTCGGCCTCGTGGGCTCCATTGACAACGACATGTCCGGCACCGACGCCACCATCGGCTGCTACTCCTCGCTCACTCGCATCTGTGACGCCGTCGACGACGTCTTCGACACCGCCTTCTCCCACCAGAGAGGCTTCGTCATCGAGGTCATGGGTCGGCACTGCGGCTGGCTGGCCTTGATGGCTGCCATCAGCACCGGCGCCGACTGGCTGTTTGTCCCGGAGATGCCGCCCAAGGACGGATGGGAGGAGGATATGTGCGCGATCATCACAAAGGTAAATTCCCCCTCCTCCTCCGCCGCTGCGGCTTGGTAAAGGCGCCTGCTGACTCCGGACAGAACAGAAAGGAACGCGGCAAGCGGAGGACGATCGTCATCGTGGCCGAGGGCGCCCAGGACCGCAACCTCAAGAAGATCTCGAGCGACCGGGTCAAGGATATTCTGACTGAGCGACTGGGTCTGGATACGCGTACAACGGTGTTGGGACACACCCAGAGAGGTGGTGCGGCCTGCGCCTACGACCGTTGGCTGTCCACGCTGCAGGGTGTCGAGGCCGTCCGCGCCGTGCTGGACATGAAGCCCGACTCGCCGTCTCCCGTCATCACGATCCGCGAGAACAAGATCCTGCGCATGCCCCTGATGGAGGCCGTGCAGGCCACCCAGACCGTCACCAGACACATCCAGAACAAGGAGTTCAAGGAAGCGATGGCGCTGCGCGACTCCGAATTCAAGGAGTACCACTACTCTTACATCAACACGTCCACCCCCGACCACCCCAAGCTGCTGCTCCCGGAGAACAAGGTACGGTGCCACTCCCTGTTAATGAAACCACACTAACCCTCCGCAGCGCATGCGCATCGGTATCGTCCACGTCGGTGCTCCGGCCGGCGGTATGAATCAGGCCACCCGGGCGGCGGTCGCGTACTGCCTGACCCGCGGACACACGGCGCTGGCCATCCACAACGGCTTCCCCGGGCTGTGTCGCCACCACGCCGACACGCCGGTCTGCTCCGTGCGCGAGGTCAAGTGGCAGGAGTCGGACAGCTGGGTCAATGAGGGCGGGTCGGACATCGGCACCAACCGCGGACTGCCGGGCGACGACCTCGAGACGACCGCGCAATGCTTCGCCAAGTTCAAGTTCGACGCGCTGTTCGTGGTCGGCGGCTTCGAGGCCTTCACGGCCGTCAGCCAGCTGCGACAGGCGCGCGAGAAGTTCCCGGCGTTCAAGATCCCCATGACGGTGCTGCCGGCGACCATCTCCAACAACGTGCCGGGCACGGAATACTCGCTGGGCAGCGACACGTGCCTGAACACCCTGATCGACTTCTGCGACGCGATCCGCCAGTCGGCCTCGTCGTCGCGGCGCCGCGTGTTCGTCATCGAGACGCAGGGCGGCAAGTCGGGCTACATCGCCACGACGGCGGGTCTGTCGGTCGGCGCGGTGGCCGTGTACATCCCCGAGGAGGGCATCGACATCAAGATGCTGTCGCGCGACATCGACCTGCTGCGGGACAACTTCGCGCACGACAAGGGCGCCAACCGCGCGGGCAAGATCATCCTGCGCAACGAGTGCGCCTCCAGCACGTACACCACCCAGGTCGTCGCCGACATGATCAAGGAGGAGGCCAAGGGCCGCTTCGAGTCGCGCGCCGCCGTCCCCGGCCACTTCCAGCAGGGTGGCAAGCCGTCGCCCATGGACCGCATCCGCGCCATGCGCATGGCCACCAAGTGCATGCTGCACCTGGAGAGCTACGCCGGTAAGACCCCCGAGCAGATCGCGGCGGACGAGCTGTCGGCGTCGGTGATCGGCGTCAAGGGCTCGCAGGTGCTGTTCTCGGCGATGGGCGGACCCAATGGCTTGGAGGCGACGGAGACCGACTGGGCGCGCCGTCGGCCCAAGACCGAGTTCTGGCTGGAGCTGCAGGACACAGTCAACATCCTGTCCGGGCGGGCGGGCGCCCATGCCGCGACCTGGTCGTGCTACGAGAGCACTTGATGAGGTGATGGATGGATATGATGGCTATGATTGATCGATTTCATTACTTTACACTCTGGAATAGAGATTACAACATTAACTCTGCTTTGTTTGTAGACCGTACTGTAGTGTAGTGTAGTGTACTGTAGTGTCAATGTACCCACCCATTCCTAACTTGTAAACCGTAAACAACTTACGCACTTCCGATATACCCTCCTCACCACGTCTCCCCTCATCAACCCTAATAAACAGTATCATACCTACCCAAACACCACCCCCCTCGCCCTGGCAACCATAAAATCCCTCCCCTTCAACCACCTCACCAACCACCCCCACGGCACCCACCCAAACAACTGGCCCGTCCCCGCATTCGCCCCGACAGGCACAAGCATGAGCACCGAGTTCCCCTGCGCATACGTCTTGCGCTTCCCCGCGCCCGTCACATCGACGAGAAGATTCGCCGCGACGACGCCCGCCTGCTCGCCGGCCTTGAACGCCAGCCGCTGCGAATGCATCGTGATGTCGCCGGCCGCGTACACGCCCTCCATGCCCTCGACGCGCAGCTCCTTGTCGACGCGCACCCAGCCGTAGGGGTCCAGCGCGGACGACGGGATGAAGCTGTTGTTGGGGACAACGCCGGTGGTGGGGATGTAGATGTCGCACTGCAGGGTCGTGTTGTCGGATAGGTGGATTGTGTATTTTCCGTTTGTTTCCGCATGCGCATGTCCATGTCCATCTTCAGAGGCAGCAGCAGCAGCAGAGGTAGTAGTAGTAGTAGTAGTAGTAGTAGAGTTCTCAACAACCCTAACCACCTTCACCCCCTTCACCACCTTGACCCCCCTCCCAACCAACCCCGCCTCCGCCGCCGCGCTGGCAGAAGGCTTCAGCATCGACAACACCCGCTCCGTGCCGGATATCAGCGTCACCTCCAGCCCATCTCCATCACCATCGCCATCACCATCACCACCCCCCTTCATCTTCATCTTCATCTTCATCTGCCGCTCGGCAATCAAATCGCCAAACTCCCCCGCCGTCTCCACCCCAATCGGCCCCGCCCCGCCAATCACCACCCGCCTCGCCGCCGAAACCACCCGCTGCGCAACCTCAATGCTCCCCTGCGTGTCATCCGACCAAGCAGGCGTCTTGAACGGAAACACATCCGTCGTGGCCTCGCCCTCCACGAACCCCAGGGTCGCTTTGGGGGAACTCCCGGACGCGAGCACGAGGTAGTCGTAGCTGATGGATCGGGTCTTCTTTCCACTGTTGCCATTCTCATTCCCATTCCCATTCTCGTCCGCATTCCCGTCCCCATTCCCCTCTGCTCCTGCTCCTGCTCCTGCTCCTGCTCCCTGAGAAACCACATCAACCGCCACCGTCTTACGCACGTGATCAATAGCCGTCGCCCAGCCACAGACAAACTCGAATTGGTCGGAGTTGGAGCTGTAGGCCGAGAACCCCTCCGCGATGGGGAGGAGGTACTGTGCGGGTTGGAAGAAGGAGGGTTTGGTGAGGATGCGCGGGGATGCCACGTTCCAGTAGAAGGTTGGGGTGGGGTTGAGGAGGATGATTTTTGTTTTGGTTTGGGGAGACGGGGTGGTCTGGGTGTGCGAGAGGAGGGAGTGGGCGATGGGGAGGCCGGCGTAGGAGGCGCCGATTATGAGGATGGTTGTTGGGGTGGGCATTTTTTTTTCCCTTTCTTTTCTTTCTGTTTTGCTTTTTTTTTTTTGTTTGTTTGTTTGTTGAGGGGGTGAGGGGGTACTGGTGGTGGTGGTGGTGGTGTGGTGAAGGAGATAGGGGGTGAGTGTTTATTGAATATTAACGTCCTCTGACTTTGTAAATGTGGTGGTGACGAAAATCAAGGGAGAGTGGAGGGTGGAGAGAAAGAAAAGTGAGGTTGGCAGCAAGCAGTCGGGGTCGGGGATCGGCAACTCTAAGTAACTACCAGTAAGTAGTAACCTACTATCTATTTATCTCCGCCGTGGGCCCCTGCATGGATGGATGGCCATGCAGGGTTCACGGGTCGGGGGTTTTCTCCCCTCAATACAGAATACGGACCCGGACCCGGACCCGTATTTGCTCATTACCGTACCTAGTTACAGTATCTATATACCATACCTTACCTACCGCCATAAATGATAGCCAAGCCAGCCCCAGCCCAGCCCGCCAGGGGTATCTACAGTACGTTGTCCGTGTCTGTGGCGCTTCAACTACCTTAGCTGTCCTACCTACCCTCGTTTGCCTGCTTATCTACCTAAGTACCTACCTACCTGCCTGCTGCTGCCCACCCACCATTTGATTTGATCATTGCACAGGGGACTACTCCGTACAAACTCCGGGGTCTTCGTGATACTCAGGTGACAGCTCCGCGGCATATGCGCCCGTGTGGCTGGCCGTCTGTGTTACAGAAAGAAGTCTTTGTTTGGTTTCTTCCCTCTTTGTCTGAGTTTGTCATCCTTGGTAAGCGGGATTCATAAGCATAACTAGTTACCATCCGTACGGTAGGTTAAGGTTACGGGCTGGAGGGCGGCGGGCGGAGGGCGGAGGGGAGGGCACTATTGATCGGCTAGGCTGGTTTGGGGGTGGCTTGCGAGGATGCGATGCATTTGATTAGACTGACTGGACTACAGTCACAGTACGGTGTGCTGAAGAGTAAGACGGACGGACAGATGGTTTATAATACTATTAGTAATGTTGACGCCAGGTGTGCGGAACTGAGGAATATAATATGGATATGTGTGTAACCTGAGACCTGTCTACAGGTCATGCTCTCTTCTGTTCTGTTCCGCTCCGGTGCGGAATTAGATAATGCTTGTAGGTAAGGTAGTCCAATACTGTCATCAATAGATAGATAGATAGATACATGCTTGCTTGCTTTGCTTGTTTCGTGTTATGCCGTGCCAATACTTATCCATACTATAAATGGGTACTTAATCCAATTTCGTCTCGTGTTCATCTCATCCATCCCATCCGGTGGTGTATGTGTTGCTGTTGTTATTGTCACTGTTGTTGCATTGCACTGCACTGTACTTCTCCTACAGCCCCTCCAGCTCGTCCAGCAGCTGCACCGTCTCCCGCGGGCTGGCGATCCACGCGGTTGTGGACGCCAGGCGGGCCTGTACAATTGATCAGTACCCGGCAGTATTTGCAGAAGGTAGTGTGGTGTGAGAATCAGGGGGTTTAGGAGTATATGTATGTAAGCAAGTAAAAGGGAAAATACCTTGAAGTCATTCGCCCCCGCCGACAGGAACTGATCGCCGACATGCAGGGTCCTCTCCCGCTCGATCCCCCCGAAGTACTGCTGACACGCCCGCACTCCCCACGACTTGTCGCCGATGTCCACGAACACGTCGTTGCCACCTATATTCTTAGCATCCACCACACCTTGATCTCCCAACAGAAGACCCGAAGCAGAAGCAGAAAGAAAAAACTCACCGTTAAACGCACAAAACGGCAACCGCGAGCCCACCTCCGACCGCTCCACCGTATTCTGCACCACCAGGACGGTCTCCTCCAGCTGCTCGCGGCTGATCTTGCGGTCGAGCGGATAGACCCCGACGGCGCGGTCCTTGCGCAGCACGGCGACCGGCAGATTCAAGTTCGACGCACACGCCCGCAGCGACGACTCCGCGATATCCAGCAACTGCGTGATATCCTCCTCGGCCCACGACGCCATCTCCTCGAGCATCCACTCCGACCGCGGCACATAGGTCAACCTGGCCGGCGAGGCCGAGTCGTACCGGAAGAGGAAATTGCTTTCACCACCCATAACCACCAACCCCTCGCGCTGGGCATCGCTCAGCGTATCCGAGTCGTGCATCGCGTCCAGCAACCCCTTCAGTCGCTCGTAGTACTTCCCCGCCTCGGTGTATCCTGCTGCCGTGACGATGCCAACCTTCCGGTCTTGCAGCAGGAGGCGGAGGATGCGTGGAATGACCGGGTTGTCGGGCGTGAGACACGCCCCGTCGTCGTAGATCGTCACGTCTCCGTCGAAGGTCACCAGGTCGACGCCGGTCGAGCGCGTCAGGCCGAACAGTTGGGCGGAGTTGAGGATCAGGCGCACGTCGTTGAAGGATGGGGCCACGAATCGTCGCCGGCTGATGAATCGTTGCTGGTCCTGGTATTTGAAGGCGTCTTCGAGGTACAGTGTTGTGAAGAACGTGCCCACTGAGGGGACGAGGAGCTTGAGTTTGGATTTGCCGGGCGCGTCGTCTTGTTCGTGTTTGACTGGGGTTGGGTTAGTGGGGTTGGATATGGGGGGTATTGGGGGGTTATGGGGGGGGGAGGGAAGGGTACTGTGGTCCCGGATCAGCGTCTCAACGTCCCGGAAGATCTCGGCGTAGCGTTGGTGCGTGTCTGCCGCTACAGCGATCAGATTCTCGCTGTGTTCTTGATAGACGGCTGTGGGCTGCGAGTGCAGTACGAAGGGGACAGCCAGGAGGCCCTGACTTGTTAGTTGGTGGTGGGGAGGAGGGGGGATGGGGGTTAGGGGGGAGGCGTACTTTGATCCATTCGATCTGTGGGTCGGGGGTTAGCTGGCTGTAGACTGTAGACTGTAGACTGTAGACAGGGCAGTAGGACGTACCAGTTGGTCTCGACGGTGGGACTGGAGGGTCAGTCAGGTCGGTGGGTGGTTGGAGTGTTGGCATGGCATACCTTGAGCGCATCTGGACAGTCCGGTCAGTGTGAGTCAATTGAGGGGAGAGGGTGGCTTACATTCAACACGGTACCGGGTGGTCATGGTGGATTGGGTGGAGGGGAGGGATGAGATAGTATAGTCACACTAAATGCAATGGGGACAGAAGAGTGAGTCCGGGGATATGTAGACTGTTATGAGGCCGATGCGGAGAGTAACCGCGCGACACCTGAAGACACGCATCCGTCATGGCGGAGATCCCCGACGGCTGATTGGACCGGTGAGGTCATCTGACCTTATCGGCAGCGGTCACGGGGCGGGTGGCCAATCAGGGGGGGGGGGCAGCATCGCCAATCGGGCGGAGCCGTCCTACCAGCGGTTGAGACGGTGTAAGTATTGGCAGGGATGCACAGGATCTAGACCCCCCCTCCTTGCAGGATGGACAGGGATGTGTCCGGGATAAGGCTTCAGCTGACCCCCAACTGTGTGTCTCATCGGTTTCATCTCTTAAATACCACCAAGTCCCAATTCATTATTACTTCTAGTTACTGCTAAACACCCACCCTCTCGCGATGCTCCATCCCCCCAAAGCTCTCCTCCGCCACCCGCTGCTTCTCCCCCACCACCTCATCCCGCGCCTCCGCATCGCGATTGCCATACCGTCCGATCTTCCACCACGGCAGCTCAAACAGCCGATCCATGCTCTCCAGGCTGCGGCCCGCCGTCTCCGGCACGCTGAACCACACCCACACCCCGCCCACCACCGTCACCGCCGCGAAGAACCAGAACGTGCCCTTCGGGGTAATGCCCCCCTCGCCCGTCCCCAGCAGCATGTTCGGCACCGCCCGCGAGTTCCCATACTGGTTCGCGAAGTGCAGCGTCATCGCCACCGACGTCGCCAGCGCCCGGATCCGCAGCGGGAACAGCTCCGCCGTGAGCAGGTACTGCATCGAGTTCCAGCCTAGCGCCCATCCGACCCCCGAGAGGTAGATCATCGCGATGGCGCCCCGGCTGGTTCCCAGCTTGGAGGCCGGGAGCACGAAGCTATCGTCGATGCCCATCTCCGGCACGCTGGTGAGGAACGCCGCGACGTAGATCATCGAGATGGCTTGCAGGGTGATCCCAAGCAGAAGGGCGCGCTTGCGCCCGATCACGTCCACCAGGAACAGCGCGCAGATCACGGCGGCAATGAGCTTGATGATGCCAAAGACCCCCGTCACGAGCAGAGACTCGTTGGACCCGGTGATGCCTAGCAGACTGAACAGGTCCGGCGCGTAGAGCGTGATCGATCCCGCCCCGGACCACTGCGAGAGCAGCTGCGCCATCGCCGCCAGATACAGGCGGTACAGGTTGCTCGGCACCATGATCGCCTCCTTGATAATCCCCCGCCAGCCTGCTCCCATCGTCGCCTCCATCTCGGCCTGGTGCGCGCTCTGGATGCCCGTGAACTCCTGCAGCACGTAGTCGTGGTCGGGGCCGAGGCCACGGATGCGGCACAGGTTGGTCAGGGCTTCTTCCGGCTTACCCTTCTTGACCAGGAAGCGCGGGGACTCGTACTGCAGGAAGGAGAGGAGGAAGATCAGGCCCGCGAAGATGATGTGCAGACTCGTGGGCACTTCCTGGGCTGGGTTAGCGTGGAGGGAGGCAGGGAGGTAGGAAAGGATGTAGGATGTAGACGCACCCATCGCTTGTGCGTGTTGTCGCCCATGTGCACCTGACAGCCGTAGTTGGTGAAGTAGGCCAGCACAATGCCCAGGTAGACGAAGCCGGTGAAGACGCAGGTGCACAGTCCGCGGATGGACGCAGGAGCCTAACCAGTCAGCCACGACATTCAAGATATAATATGGTCTTTTCTGAGACGACTTACAATCTCCGCCAGGTAAACCGGCCCAACCACCACCGTCTGTCCCACCCCCAGTCCCGCGATGAACCGTCCCGCATAGACCGCTCCCAGGCTGCCATTCGCGCCGCCACCCATGAAGACGGCGATGCCCAGGAGCCATAGCACACATAGTTGACGGGTAGCCCACAGCCGGCCGATGCGGTCACAGACCAGGAAGGCACTAAAGCGTGCGTGAGCAGGTTGCAAGGAAGAGGGGTCATGAAAGCATGTTGCAGTTGATGTTCAATAAGAGAGAGACGTACAAAAGAGCCCCCCCCACCGACCCAATCTGCACCATCGCCGATACATTCGCCTTGATATTGGTCTGCTCCACGGCGCTGTATGACTTCAGATGGATGGTGCGCTGGAAGTCCTTGGAGTTGAACGCGCCCGAGATCAGGCCCTCGTCCACGCCGCGGGCTGCCCCCATCAGCCCGAAGGACACCACTGCGAACCACAGCTTCCAGTTGAAGACCTCCTTGGGGTCGCCCAGATTTCGAAGACGAAAGATATTGACGGGTTTCTTGGAGCCTGCCATGGTGTCGACGGCAGATGAAAATGACCGGGATGGGATGGATGTCTGGACTAGCAATCTCACCTCACCTCCGGGAGGGGGGGGGCAGACTACCTATTTAAGTACCTGACCGGGGGGGGGGGGGGGGGACGACCCGAATGACATGATACCTTCACCGTCATCGTAGCCGTCACTCGTCCCGTCCTAGGTAGGTTAGGTAGGTAGGTAGAGTCACAGTGACAGTGCCACTGCCAGTAACAGGACAGACAGCGGGCAAGCACCCGCGGAGAGCCATCCCATCCACCCATGCGTACAACGCCCATCCTGCGGGGTGAATCGGACCCCAGAAACTCTGTCCCGCTTGCCAGACCAATAGGTCCTTTGACCTGCTCGCGGGCATGCAACCCTGCGTCTGTCATTTCGTGACGAACTTATCATCGCTTGACTTTTGGGGGGGGGGGGGGGGGGTGCCTGGCGCCAAGGAAGGGCCCAAGTCGACGCTGAACAAAGACGCGCTGCGCTGTCCGGGTTGGCAGTCCTTCTTTGTTGGCGGAGCAGGACGAGGGCGAGGAATCTGTTCTGTTCTGTTCTGTTCTGTTTGGATCGGCCCTCGGGTGAGACGGGAGGGGAAGTCCTGTCCAGCCAGTGAATGCACTGAATGGGTGGTGGATGGGTTATGGCTCGGACAGGGTCCGGGGGGGAGATGCCCAATGGAGATGTCCAATGGAGGGGACACCAACAGAGGCTGGCTGGGCGGAGATGGGGAAGTTGGGGAAGTGGAAGGGGAGGGTCACGAGGGTTACAGTAAACTAAACTAAACTCAACTAAGTGTATGTAAACACCTTTGGTTCTAAGGATGGATAGATGGCCTGCAGTCAGCGTTAGTCACCCTGCCGAGACCTTCGCTGTCGGCCATATCCGACCATTCCCCCGGCCATGACGTCGACCACACCCTGTCAGGTCAGCACTCAGCCTGTCCCCCACTGTCGATCGTCTTCCTTCGCGTAAGTATTCCTGATCGTGGGGTTGACTGACACCTTTCTTGGCCGGGGATTTTGCTGAACTCAATTCAAACGCCATGCTCAGCCTGGACCAGCTCAAGCCCTAATTGCCGCTCGATTGCCGGTTATCTCAGGTTTGATCGGATTACCACTCCACTCTTGCAGCGATGCAGTTCAATCTTGACTTTCAGTGGCGAGATTCCTCATGGCTATAAGCATCATGACTGCCAACAGACTCTCCCCAAACCGGTTCTCGTCCGGCTCTCGCCAGGAACGCCGCCCTCATAACCCTCACCACGCGACCATGTAAAAATCGTCCACGACCATGCATTAACGGTGCGACAAGGAGTCACAGGTCTCTGACCATGTCCACCCTCATCCAAGACTCCATCGCCGGTCACGCCCTCCGCCTCCTCTCGCGAGGCCGCCTGTTCCGGTATGCCGAGGAGAAGGACCCTTCGCTATGGCGACGATTCGTCAACCTCGACAAGTCCGGGCGAATGGCCGAGACGGGCCACCCTGGACCTGAACCTGAGCCTGACGCCGACTCCGGGTCCATGACCCAAGTGCCCTCCTCCAGGTCGCAGCGCCGGCCCCCCATCACCCAATACCCCTCGCAGGCGTGGTCGAGCAACGGGCAGCGATACCAAGGCATGACCGGGGCCACGATCAACCCGGAGAAGGGCCGCGACGTCAACGTCGTCGATTGGTGGGACGAGAATGACCGAGAAGTATGATCCTATCAGCCCAGCACCGCTAATTCCCCTTCATCTGATATGAAAAAAATAGAACCCCCAAAACTGGCCCCTCTGGAAGAAAACCGTCGTCACCTCCGAGATCTGTCTCCTCACATTCAGCGTCTACATCGGCAGCGCCATCTTCAGCGCGGGCATCCCCGACGTCATGCAGAAATTCCACATCAGCCAAGTCGCTGCCACCCTTGGCTTGACGCTCTTTGTCGCCGGCTACGGCTGCGGGCCGCTGCTCTGGTCGCCCATGAGTGAGGTGCCCCAGATCGGTCGCAACCCTGTCTACATCGCGACGCTGGCTGTCTTCGTGGCCCTGCAGGTTCCCACTGCGCTGGCCGGCAATCTGGGCACGCTCCTCGCCTTTCGCTTTTTGACTGGCTTTTTTGGTTCTCCGGCTTTGGCCACGGTATTTGCCCTCACCCGTCCCTCGCCTGCTCCAAGCCACCCTTGATCCACCACTGACCCGCCCAGGGCGGCGCCACCATCTCCGACATGTACCGACCGTCCAAACGCGCCTACGGCATCGGCATCTGGGGCATGAGCGCGGTGTGCGGCCCCGTGCTGGGCCCATTAGTCGGGGGGTTTGCCGCCCAAGCCAAAGGCTGGCGGTGGACGATCTGGGAACTGATGTGGCTATCGGGCTTCACGCTCGTCGTCCTCACGATCTTCCTCCCCGAGACCTCCTCAACCAACATCCTGTACCGCCGCGCGCGCCGTCTCCGCCGCCTCACCCACCGCCACAACCTCCGCTCAGAACCCGAGATCGAAATCGCGGGCCTCACAGCCCGCGAACTCGCCATGATCACGCTCGTCCGCCCCTTCACCCTCAACTTCCTCGAGCCCATGGTCTTTCTCCTGAACCTCTACATCGCCCTAATCTACGGCCTGCTATACGTCTGGTTCGAATCCTTCGCCATCGTCTTCGGCGAAATCTACCACTTCAACCTCGGCCAGATCGGCCTCGCCTACATCGGCATCCTCACCGGCGTCATCATCACCATCCCCCCTTACTACTGGTGGATGCACCGCTACCTGGAACCCAAATTCGACCCCGTCACCGGCGCCCTTCCCCCCGAGGCGCGTCTCCCCCCCGCCATCATCGGCGGGCTCTTCATCCCCGTCTGTCTCTTCTGGTTCGGCTGGAGCGCAAGGCCAGATATCCACTGGATCATGCCCATCGTCGGCAGCGGGTTCTTTGCCGTCGGTGCGTTCCTGCTCTTTAACCCCGTGCTGAATTATCTCTCCGATGCGTATCCCGTCTATGCGGCGTCGGTGTTGGCCGGGAATGATCTGTTTAGGAGCTCGTTTGGGGCGGGGTTTCCGCTTTTTGCTACCGCTATGTATAGAAATTTGGGGGTCGATTGGGCGAGTTCCACGTTGGCGTTTTTGGCGGTGGCGTTTGTTCCGATTCCGGTCGTGTTGATGAAGGTATGTATGTCTGTTTTCTGGAGGTTGGTTTGGGTGTGCTGACTGGGGGGTGTGTAGTATGGGGAGACACTGCGGAAGAAGCATAGTCGGTTTGCGAGGAAGGATATATAGATAGATAGTCTTGTCTTGTCTTGTCTTGTTGTTATTATCCCACTACTATCACAACAACCATAACCATAACCATCATCATTATCAATTTAAATCCACATCTTGACACCACACCACTCCCTCCCTCCCTCCCCACCATCCACTCCCCTCATTAGACATTACCAACCAACTACCACTACCGCCTACCACCTCTCCCAATCATACCCCCCCCCCCTTCCCTACAATGCCCCTCCTTACACCCCTCACACCTCCCCTATCATGCGGCCCTTTCCCCCTCTCCTGCCCAAGATACGGCGGCACATCCATCTCCACCCCATTCCACTTCTTGATCCGATACGCCACCCGCTCCGCATACGACTCGTCCAGCGTGGGCGTGCTGAGCCAATTACACTCCCTGCACCGCTGGTGGTACACCCGTGCGTTGTATTCTTGGCCCGGGTATTCGCGGATCGTGATGGCGACCTTTTTGCTGCTCCATCCGGTGGAGGAGCAGGTCGGGTTGAGGCACGTGAATCGGCCTATGATGTTGGTGTCATGGGTTTTTTTGCTGCTGTGGGGGTGTCGTGCGGGTGGAAGGTGTAGGTTAGAAATGAGTCTTCCAGGAGCGTGCTGACTGAGGTGTGCTGGTCGGGGTGGAGGGACCAGCGGGGGTAGCGGGTTGATTTGGTTTTGGTTTGGGGGTTTTTGGCCATGCTGGTGGGGAGGGGAGGTTTTTGTTGGGGTGGTTGGTTGGGTGGGTTTGGATATTGGTGGTGGAGGTTGGGAAATGATGGTGATGGCGTAGTAGTAGAGATGGATTAATGGTGGTAAGGATAGAGTTGGTGATGATGATGATGATGATGATAAAAAGACAAGTCAATGGCGTTTATCGTGGAGGAAGCGGGTAGGGAGAGGCAGGAGGGGTCTTTCTGTACTACATCACAGTATTGGCAGACACATCACCACCATAACATCCGATAGGGGGACGAATGATTCCCTCATACGCGTCTGATACCCGCGGTAGTGTGGATGGCATAGTACCATGGATGGAGCATCGTCGTGCCATTAAGGTTGGGTCTCAGTTGCTGTCTCAGCCACGAATATCTATTCCGACAAACATCTTTATCCCTTCGGGGCTTATTTAGACGTTGGCGGACATTATGAGCGAGGGTGGTTTCAGGATGGTTTTGCAGAAGATGGAAATCATCTTTAGGGTTTTGAGCGGCCTGGCCTGGCCTTGCCGGCAGCCCAGGTGTGGGCGGTTGTATGCCATGCCATCTCTACCTGAATTGCTTTCTGTTAGTCAATTGGGATTATACTAAATGATAGTTAGAGTTAGTCTGAGATCAAAATATGTATATAGACATTAAATAGTCACACCTGGTAACTATACAGAGATTTGTCATCCGGGTCAGCGGTGTGACGTTCGGGTCACATCACATATCAATCGCCACAAAGCTATATCAAGAGCCCTCCAGTCCCCAAACATACCCTCCCAATGCGGCCCTAACCGTCGACCAAAATGCCCAATTCAGCGCCCGCCACGACCTAGGCACGCCCTCCCCCGCACACCGCGAACTCCTCATCCAATCCCGCCGACATCAAACACGCCACCCAGCTAGGCATCCGCCCCGCGATCCTCGGCTACGACTTCTGTGGAAAAGTGCTCACCACTCCACCAGACTCCCATTTCCGCCCCGGAGACATCATCGCCGGATACACTCCCACCGGCATCGGCCGCCCAGCCAAATACGGCACCCACCAGTCCTACACCGTCTGCCCGGAAGGCATGGCCTTCCTCGCCTCCGTAGCCGGCCAGCGTGATCCGGGGTTCAAGAAGGTCTTTGCGATGAGAAATAGAGAAGTTGTCATCCATCCTGATGTTCTGCCGCGGCCGATTGTTGTTCCGGCGAGGGAGGAGGATCATCGCCGTGCGTAGAGAATACTGTTGTGGATTATAAAGTATTATAAAGAGAAGAGGATATTTAAGTTGCCGGAAGTAAGAATATTTGAGAAAGATACAGAGAAGATATTAAAGTTAATAAAAGAGACTAGAACTGCATTCAATAAAATAGATCTAAATTATTAGAGAGGGGGGTTCTTTTACTCAATACTAGAGTATCTGTTTTCTTTCTTGCACTTGTATATACGGATGAGATAGGGCCGACGGCGAGAAGTTCTAGGGGAGGGGGCTTTTGAATCGATGATGGGTCCAACTCTCACATTTGGATACGGCTCTGCGCATTCGGTTCGATAGACTGCATTGGATATGAGCTTTTATTACATGAATGGAATGAATATGCATGGAAATGGTGGCTGAATGGACTTCCAATCCAGTAGGGAAATGATCCAATAGGTTTGAGATCTCAGATCTCGCCGACAGCGCTAACGGCCCGCATCGACAGATCCCCCGCAAAAAGTGCAAAAGGCAAAAATCAAATGCAAAAAGTTATGACAAGAGTGGGATTCGAACCCACGCCCCTTTCGAGACTAGGAATATTCGGTTGAATATGTATGATCAGGTACCTGACCCTAGCGCCTTAGACCGCTCGGCCATCTTGCCTGTTGATGTGTAATGGTTTTGTTATGATGCGTATTGAGCCAGGTGTGTTGTTTGGGTGTTTCTGATCAGTGGAGGGGTAGTTGAGGGGGAGAGGTGATGTTTCCTTCAACGCGGATTAGGGAGGAAATGGATGTGTTTTCGTCTTGAATGCTTAGTGGCTTGGTGGGATCTTGGAAATCTTTCAAAGGTAGGATCTGTTTTAGGAATGGGGTGTGTTAGGGCTACGGAAGCAAAATATATCTCTCCAAAACAGCCTGTAGAACAGCACTTTGCAAGATGTGATTGTTAAAAGCCAGAGAAGGAAGTATCCATTCCAATCGATGATCCTTGGCAAGTTCTTGAACAAATAAGCCTACTAGTCTGTTCTGCCCATTTACCGTCGACAGTACTATGCTTACGCCTGAGGCTGCACACACCGACTCGACAACCACACTAGCCCTGCCTCGGTTAGCCTGCCTCTCCCATCACGTGCCCCCGCGGCAGTTCACTCGTCCAATCCATCCGCCAACAGCTCCAGCAACACTCTCCAATCTACAGATCATCCCGCCCGTCAATCTCACAGCCAGAGCGGTCCGCAATCATGGCCGACTCCTTCAGCCTTCCGCTGCGCCCGCTCATCGAGAAGCGCGACCGCCCCGACACTCTCCCTCTCGAGATCGCCCAGATCAACGCCCGCTGGGGCTCCTTCCGCGACGTCAACGAGGACACCCTCCGCGCCAAAATCGAAGAGGACAAGAACCGCGACCCGTATTCCGACGACGATGAGGCCGAAAAAGCCGCCGAGGATGTGGACTCGACCGAGCGCATGGAGCAATTGTACAAGCGGCGCGCCGAGATCCAGCAGTTCGCTATGTAGGTGCCTTGCGAAGTTGACCGTGATGACGCGACCGCGACTAATCGAGCCGGACTCCAGGCAGGCGCATATGGAAACCCTGTTCGCGTTGGACTTTGTTTCGCTTCTGCTCTCCAAGCATACCCCCCGTCAGGCCGAGACGTCTATGTCGACCTTCTTGAAACAGGTCGCCCCCCTCGGTTCGCTGAACTCGGAAATCGTCAACCCGCCCCCGAAGCCGGATGCCGTCGGTCAGGATATTAAGGCCGTTTCGCGCGGCTGGAGGTTGCAGAATTTCAACGCTGCCGCGAATAAGTTGCTCAAGTCGGCAACGCGGTTGGAGACGGAGGTCGCTTCGGAGAGCAAGTACTGGGAGGAGGTGCTGGCGGTGAAGGAGAAGGGCTGGAAGGTCTGCAGATTGCCGCGGGACAGACAGGCGTTGGGGGTACAATATGGGTTTATGGAAGGTGAGTTGGCTGCGTTGTTGGTCTGGTGGTATGCTGACGGTTCTAGCTACGCCCATCTTCCGAGACCGCGGTCTTGCGGCTTTGCGGAGAGCCGACGATGGAAGCCTCATATTGGATAAGGGATTGGCGCCTCAGAAGACGCGGACAGTGCGGGTGCGTGTGAAGCATCATGATCGGTTTACCGGCTGCTCCAAGGTCCGGTCGTCGCCTGAGGTGGATTCGATCGAGAGTAGGATTTTACAGGCGCGTGACACGGTCTACGAGGAGGAGCTGTTCCATGAGTTGGTGCGTGAAGCGCGGATACTGGGCAGCCAGCGCGTCACGACCCGTCAGAATCTGGTCCGGTTCCCGATATCCGAGGAACAGGAGGTCCTGCTGGACCTGGTGGATGCGGACCAAGATGCGTCCGCGGATGACAGCATGGAGTCGACGGAGCATGATGCTCTTGCGGACGCGCTTTCTCATTCCATTCGTATCCTGCTCGCATATGCACACCGCCAGAACCTGCGACGAAGGACACAACCGCCGCCTCCCCTCTCCCAGAAACGCCGACACACACCGGAGTACCACCTGCTGCGCCCGATCATGGCGTACCTCCAGCACAGCTCCCATGTCCGATCGATGGAGACTTTCCTGACCGATATTTACCGGGTCCAGAAGGCAGCGGGACTGACGTGCGACTTCCACGCGGCACCGTTCTCATCCGTCAAGTTGTCCAGGATGCATCCCTCCCTCCCCAAGGTCGAGGGGCTGGTCCAACAGTTCCTGATGCCCTTCGAGTCCACCTTCTCCGGAACCCTGGCCACCCCGCAAAGTTCCTTCAAAGTCCGAATCCGCACCAACCCCGTCGCCCCGCCATTCGGCACCCTGTACGACATCTCCGTCAACCTACCGCATTACCCCCACGTCCAGCCCCCGAGTCGCATCGGGCTACAGAAAGAAGCCGCAGACGTCCTCACGCATTTCGCCATGTTGGAGATCGTTGCGGCCATTCAGGCCCATGGCTCCAAGCTAGCCAAGGATAGCCCCAAGAAAGACGTCACCGCACCCCTGACCTGGGAAGCGGCATACCCGCACCACGGCGAGCTGCTGGCGCTCTCGAGTGCCGGCCAGAATAAGAAGTTAAAAATCAGCCTGTCGCAGAAGGAACTAACGGTCGAGGCGTATTCCATGCGCGGGCTGGACGGCTTTGCCCGGTCGGCGGGTGCCCAGTCCCCGAAGCTGCGGTCTCAGACCTGGGTCCCGGACCAGGCGGGCCCTGTGGCTAGCTTGATGGACTTTGTTACTGAGGTGTCGCGGGACCAGTCGTGAGTCAGTCGAACTAGCCAGCAAGATCCATTCCATATACTCCATCCAACCTTGGGTTCGTGACGAAGCTGGAGGATAACGTCTACATCCCATCTGTATATAGACAGCTCCTAAAGAGTGATACCCATCATGACCATTCGACGGGCGAATGGCACGTGACGTGGCCCAAGCCCTTGATCGGCATAGCAGACCTTAGGTATATGCTGGATGCACGACACCTGGCGTCGGAGAAGCGGGACGGATGAAGGGATGCGTTCACGTGGTGATGCTAGATGAGCTGGACGGCACTAGTGTGGCTCATGATGATGATGATGATGCAATAGATGCATCCTGCTAGCCTTCAGCCAGAGCACTATTCTGTTGCATGTGTCAGATTTCTACTGGAATCGCTGGTGATGCGGTCGGTGATGCCATGTCGCTGAGGACCGTGATACGGGTACGGTCTCAATAGAGTCCGGCTCCATCATATCGGAGCTCTCCCCGCATTCCGACTCGAACTCGCAGCATTCGCGGCACACTGCGCGACATGCCCCGAGCAGCAATAGATACACCTAGATAGCATATTCTGGTTAAGCTTTAGATGAGATCTACTTCACAAGGATAAATAATCTGATCTGTGCCTGTCTTTATACCTTGCATCCTGCTGGTTACTTCCCGGACCAGGCTGTTAGTGAAGTCCGGGGCAACGCGCCAATACTAGCGCGTACAGAGGGTTTAAGGTTAAAAGTTACCACTAGTATGGATCTATCAACCGGAAACATTTCAAACCGCGTAACGGAGGAATCCACTGGTATAGTACCGAGGCAGATGGCTTCCACCCTGACTTGGGGCAACTAAGCCTTGCAATTACGCCAATAGAACTTGATTTGATTTGACACATATGGGTGAGGTAGCGGATTACTGATTGCCATCACGCCTAAGCTTTTTTTTTTCTTTTCTTTTTTTTTTTTTTTCGAAATGGAATGAAACTAGTACATGAAGGGTGTGCTGTGACGGGCTGGTCGAAGACACATGTTAGATACCAGGGTGCACAATATACAATCTATCATCTGTCTCGTATGAGATCTAGTATGAGGCAACTTCAGAGATCTGAGATATGCTGCATCATGTACTAGCAATTTACCCTATAGTTGACTACCTACGTGTAAAAATGGACTTTGTATGGAGGCTGGACTTGAAAAAACTCCACGATATCCAACCCTATTTACCGACATAAAAATTCAACTCCCGTCCATAGATCTAGTACAGCATTGATATCACCATCAGCCTGGACAAAATATATAAGAATAAGTGGAAGGAGTGGTCAGCGCTTTTCTTCCCCCTTCTTGGTTGTGCCGGACCCCCATTTTCATAAATATGACAGACCTTCCTGCCGTTCGCACCTGAAATTTCCGCACTGATAACCCATTCCCTAGCCCTACGGGCGACAAGCCGCGTAGGGTCGGAGTTACATCATCTTTTTCTCTTCTCTTCCTGCCTCACCCAACACACATACCGTGACGCTGCTACTTTTTTTTGTAACCATGGCATCTCTATTAGGATGGGTTAAAAGCCCCTTTCGGAGAGTTCCGTCCCCTCCCATGCGTTTTCCGACCAGCGGATTTGAGACGGTTCCTGCGTCCGAGATACTCGAAGAAGAAGGATTTGCTGAGTTGAAGAAAGTCCAATACTACTACCCTGTCAATATCGGCGATGTTTTCAGTTCCCAGTACCAAGTCGTTGGTAAGCTAGGATTTGGGGTTATCTACCTCAACAGTATGGCTCGCGCGTGATCTCGAGTAAGCAGGTCCTAGCTCCCTTGACCGCGTGTCATGACGCGTTAATGAAGCCAGGGGCCATCAATACGTGACACTGAAGATCTATACACGTGACCAAGCAAACGGAGAAGAGTTTCAGATCTACAAACACCTAAACCAGGGTAAACGATTCTCATCCCGGCTACCACCATGTCAGAACTGCACTAGATGCCTTTACCATACCTCGTCCAGGGGGCGATCATCCCTGCCTTGTCCAGAAACCCATGTGGGAAAGTTTCAGGGATCTACTCTATCGGAATCCCAGCCATCGGTTCACCGAAGATCTACTCAGATTTGGTCTTATGCAGGTCTTTCTTGCACTCGACTACCTGCATACTGAGTGCAAGGTTATACACACAGGTGTGACGCTCCCAGCTTCTACAAACTACGGTCGCTAATGTGCAACATGGTTAGATATCAAGGGTGATAACATTCTCCAGGAAATTGAGGACAGCTCGGTCCTGGAAGCTTTCGCCAAAGCTGAAATGGACAACCCCGTCCCCAAGAAAGCTTATTGGTGATGTGCCGGTGTATTCTTCCCGGAGGTTTGAACTACCAAGGACGTTTGGACGAGCCGTTCTGAGCGAATTTGGGACTGCCGTGCGGGGGGGATGAAAGACAGGAACATGAGGCCCAGCCGAATATCTATAGGTCTCCGGAGATGATGTTGAAGGCAGGGTGGAGTTATCCAATTGATATATGGAATGTTGGGGCTATGGTAGGTTTCCTTTTTACCTGTTTGTGTTTGGTTTATCAGGGTAATTGAGCGCGGAGTGCTAATGTGTGACTGAGAGGGATAGATATGGGATCTGCTTGAAGGCAAGCACATGTTTTATGGCAATGACCCAGATGGGAAGGGGTATTCGACCCGTGCGCATCTGGCGGAGGTTATTGGGTTGCTGGTACCGCCGCCGTTGGATTTGCTGAAGAAGGGGAGGCGGAGTGCTGAGTTTTTCACCGAGGATGGTATGTTGTCATTCCTTTGCCCAGGGGTGTGATCTTGAAGCTTATGGATGATGGTTAGGGCAATGGAAACAAGACGTGGAGATGCCGATACCGCAGGGTCGAAGCTTGGAAACATCAGAGGAGTTCCTTGAAGGACGGAACAAGGAGATGTTTCTTGAGTTTGTGCGCGGGATGCTTCAGTCGCCGGCGACCTGAGGATCGGAAGACGGCGAAGGAGTTGTTGGAGGATCCGTGGTTGAATGGTCGGGTGGAGTAGGGGTCCCTAAGGAGATCTCGAAGCCGACTATGTGTCCTTGTGATTGATTAGTGGTGAAGACTTGGACAGACATGTGTTTCAGGCGAAGAGATGTAGCCGGGCAGATATTTTGATGAATAGCAGGTCCCAAGGGATCGTTGACAGTGTAGCAGCCAGATCAAGATCACGCTCGAGGGGCGGCGGCCCGGACCCCACGGGGAGAAGGTACCCGGGTTTCGAAAAGGTAGCTTATGTGGTGTGACTGTTTGAGTAGGTTAGAGGACTGTCTGAGGAGATGCAGATGGTCCGTATTGGCCACAGAGGCGACCTCGCATTGAGAATCCTGTGTTGACACGGGGGGATAATTGTGAATATTGTGTTCGAATGTCGAACTGGAAGGTTCTGTCCCTTGATGGTGATGGACTGGGTCACTGCAAGCCCGAGCTAATCCTACACAGTACTATGTAGGTAGTGAGTAGGGATGAGTAGGGGTCTTCGAGCCATGTGTTCAGTCTGTAGACCCACCAGACCCACCGGATGGCCAGGAAACGAAAGAATGGGTCAACTGATGGACAGACAGTTCTTGAGTGTTGCCCCTCGGTTGCGCCTCGGCTTCCAGCCTGATCGGCGCCCACCGTACCGTACCGTCCCGATACGCCCTCCCCCGGCCCGGCCACGTAGCCACCCGCGCACCCCACCGGGGCCGTGACAATACGAGACCCATCCACAGGTCGGCTGAGACGCTTCCCTCCAGCCGAGGCTTCTTCTTCTTCTTCTCCCTCTCCCTCTCAACCACCTCATGTGGCCTCCTCCATTCGTCCCTTTTTAGTCGTCTGTCCGCTTCCTCGCCTTCTTCTTTCTTTCTTCCCAACTAAACACTCCTATCTCCCTACCTCCTCCACTCTTCTTCCTCCCTCTTCCCTTTCCTTCCCACAGTCCCCCCACACCAGAGGCATGTTCACGGCTTGGAGCAGGAGCCGCCTCATCACGCTTCCCCGACCCCGTCTCCCCCCCACCAGCTCTCTTCTCGCCAGATCGGCCGCTGTGAGTCCACAATCCAACCCCCTCCCCTAGACACCTTCAGATCAGGGCTGACTTCTGCTTCTCCTCAGACCCCCATCATGGCACCCCGGCGCAAAGCTTCTTCGGTCCCCGAGGGTACGATCACATGCGAAACCCCGTGCGATCCCCGTTAACGCGTCATACTGCAGGATACAGGGAAGACCTTTCCAAGGGCAAGATGCTCCGATTCGAAGACTCTCTCCCCCGGTTACCCGTCCCATCGCTAGAGGAAACCGGCCGTCGCTACCTGAAATCCGTCCACGCCCTGGTCTCCGAGGCCGAATACGAGCGCACCAAGAAGGCGGTCGAGGCCTTTGTCCGCGCCGGGGGCGAGGGCGAGCCCCTGCAGGAAAGGCTGCTCGCCCGTGCCGCCGATCCCAACTGCAAGAGCTGGCTGCTCGACTGGTGGAACCACGCCGCATACCTGGGCTACCGCGACCCCGTCATTCCCTATGTTTCCTACTTCTACTCATACCGCGACGATCGCGCCCGCCGGAACCCCGCCAAGCGCGCCGCCTCCGTCACCACCGCCGCCCTGGAGTTCAAGCGCCAGGTCGACGATGGCTCGCTGGAGCCCGAGTACATGCGCGGCCAGCCCATGGCCATGAGCACCTACCAGTACATGTTCAACTGCTGCCGCATCCCCGGCGACAGCGTGGACTACCCCCAGAAATTTCCCGCCCCGGAGCACGAGCACATCGTGGCCGTCCGCAACAACCAATTCTTCAAGGTGCCCCTGACCGTCAACGGCAAGCGCCTGAACAACTCCGAGCTGGAACGCCAGTTCGAGCGCATCTACGAAGTCGCGCAGCCCGCTCCGGCTCTCGGGACGTTGACCGTCGCTAACCGCGACCTGTGGGCCACGGCGCGGAAGCAGCTGCTGGCAGCGCACCCGGCCAACGAGCAGGCGCTGCGGGACATCGAGTCGAGCGGGTTCCTCGTCTGTCTGGACAACGCGGCCCCCGTGACGCTCGAGGAGCGCGCACACCAGTACTGGCACGGCGATGGCGCCAACCGCTGGTTCGACAAGCCCCTGCAGTTCATCATCAACGACAACGGCACGGCCGGCTTCATGGGCGAGCACAGCATGATGGACGGCAGCCCCACCCACCGCCTGAACGACCACCTCAACAACCTCATCTTCAACAACAAGATCGACCTCTCGGAGCAGCCCGTGCGCTCCGGTCTGCCCGATCCCCGCCCCATCACCTTTCACCTCGACGGGGAAGTGCTCGAGTCGATCGACGCCGCCACCAAAGAACACCGCCAGCAGATCTCCTCCCACGAGCTGAAGGTCCAAGCCTACCAGGGGTACGGCAAGGGACTGATCAAGAAGTTCAAGTGCAGCCCGGACGCGTATGTGCAGATGATCATCCAGCTGGCCTACTTCAAGATGTACGGCAAGAACCGGCCAACCTACGAGTCGGCCTCGACCCGTAAATTCCAAGAGGGCCGCACAGAGACGATCCGCACGGTGTCCGACGACAGCGTCGGCTTCTGCAAGGCCATCACCGACCCGGCCGTCCCGCGCGAGGAGGCCGTCCGTCTGTTCCGGTCCGCGCTGGCCGCCCACACCAAGTACACCACGGAAGCCAGCGACGGCCGCGGTGTCGACCGCCACCTGTTCGGCCTGAAGAAGCTGCTCCGCGAGGGCGAGAAGCTCCCTGCTCTGTACGAGGACCCCGCATACGCCTACAGCGGTTCCTGGTACCTGTCGACCAGCCAGCTGAGCTCCGAGTTCTTCAACGGCTACGGATGGAGCCAGGTTATTGACGACGGATTCGGCATTGCCTACATGATTAATGAGAACAGGTATGTCCCCCCCTCCCCTTCTCTCCTTCTCTCTACAAGATAATAAAACACTAACTATTGAATCCAGTCTGAACTTCAACATTGTTTGCAAGCGTCTGGGCGCAGAGCGCATGAGCCACTATCTGAACGAGGCGGCGTCGGACCTGAGAGACATGCTGATGCCTGACTTGGCCGCCCAGAGCGAGAAGGCCAAGATGTAAGATTATTTATATACCATAGATCGTTTTGAATCTAGAAGTATTTGCATATTCTATGTATTCCATGTTCAATTCTACCGCCTGAGGCAGAGATGTGTTGTAGCGTAGCATGTGACTTCGTCGGGGGTGGGCTGTCACGGGACGCGCCTTCCCTTCTTGTTGACTGTACGGAGTAGAAGTTCTTCTTTCCTTCCCCAATCTCCCTCCCACAATCTCCTTCAGGCACGAGATCTCCCTGTGCTGCTTGTTTTTGTTGAAGCTATCAACGATGTCGTACCATTCGAAGACAAGATGTCAGACCTTCTTAGGAAGACCTGGATGGGGAATACAATGCCCTTTTACCTCAGCAATCGTCTCGCGGGCGAGAGCGGACTAGGTACGTAACAGATTTTCGACCTTGTAGCAGGAACGGACTGACTTGTTCACTAACTAGGATGAGCAGCTTCGGTTCAACATCCACCAGAACCAGTATTTCAGCGAGGACTATGGAGTATAACTTGATTGTATAACTTGATGGAGAGGTCGGACAGCAGCTTCTTTCAACTATACACCTGAACCCACGATTTTCGGCAAGAGATAAGGTACCACTTGATTGTATGACTTGATGGAGAGGACGAGCGGATGACTACACATGATCATTTATAAATACCCCGAGTGTTGCGGAACTGTTAGAACTAGGGCTCCAGACTAAAAAGGTGTTCCGACGTCCCTCTCGTCCGGAAGGTCTCTGTTTCTGTTGATAGGAACAGACGCGTTGGTGGGGATTTGGCGTTTTACATCGGCGCTCATTAGTTCCTCGGATGATTAAATGGTCCGGATGATGCCCCATCAGTTCTTGGCTCCTATATCTAGTGCTGGTGCTGACACCTCGCGATTACAAACCGTCGCGCTCCTGAGGTTGGCTTTGCAAAGGGTGAGAATGCCGGTCTTTCCTGCTCTGTACTTCCACATGGAAGCCAGTTTGTCAACAGATTTGCTAAATACTCGACACCTCAGTACTTCGTTTAATTCCCTAGTCGAACCCAACCATTAATCATGGTTCCTGAGGCATCTGGCAATCCCTCAAACCAGATAACAGATTCTCAACAGGCAGTTTTTGAGCGCTTGCAACGGGAACTGCCAATTGCACTCAAAAATGGGTCAATTGAGGTGGTACAGGAACTTCTTAAGCTCCCCCGTGCCCTCAAGGTGCGCCTCGATTATGATTTTGATGCGGTGAACGGTTACTCAACAACCGGAATACCTCCTCTGCTATTCGCTGCAGCATTTGAAAACCCCGAAATTATCAACCTATTGTTAGACCATGGGGCAGATATCGAGGAGAAAACCCCCGCTGGATCAACTGTCATCCATATGGCTGCTAGATATGACTGCCACAGGAACCTGGAGACTCTTCTACAAAGGGATGCTCAGAAATTGGTCAATGCACAGATGGAAAATGGAAACTCTGCATTGCATCAAGCCGCCTTTTTTGGGTTTGAAGCAACTTGCCATCTCCTTATAAATTGCAATGCAGATCTTGGCCTACAAGATTGTTATGGGTTCACAGCCCTGACAACAGCTGCAGCTGGAAATCGTGAAGAAATCGTTGAATTACTTCTGAAGAATGAAGCGGAGGTCAATTCTCAGGATAATAACGAACAGAGTGCACTGACTATAGCAGCTAGGAGAGATAATGCTAAGATAGTTAAGGCCCTGTTGGACAGGGACGCAGACATCTTTCAACAGAGCGTGTTTGGGCATACGGCGCTGCACGTTGCTGCTTTTAATGGTAGTGGAGATGCCATTCGTCAGCTGCTGTCTGATCCACGGGTACCTGTTGACTTACAGAACAGGGATGGAAAAACAGCCCTCCATTTTGCGGCTTCGGTTGGCTATATATCTGTTGTCAACATCTGCTTGAATTATGGAGCAAAAATAGATGCAAAAGATAATGAACTTTACACGCCTCTTCATCTTGCATCTGCTGCTGGGAGAGCCGAGGTTGTTTCTGCTCTGCTCGAGAAAGACGCAAAGGTTGATGAAGTCAGTCTCTCGGGAGAGACGCCAATCATATTAGCCTCACGGAAAGGATATGAAGAAATTGTGGCCTCTCTTCTTGGCAGGGGAGCAGATGTCGCAAAGTCCGACAGATTCGGGTTCACATCCCTTCACTTAGCATCTTTATCTGGACACAACAAGGTTGTCCAGACCCTTCTAGCCCACAATGCGGCTATTGAATCCAAGGATAGAGATGAAGGGTGTACCGCTCTGTGTATTGCAGCTCGAGAAGGACACTTAGAAGTGGCTATCTCGCTCTTTAAGCATAGAGCAGATATTGATAACCCAAGCCATGGCGGGTGGACTCCCCTCCATTATGCTTGCTTGAACGGTCACAAGGAGATAGCCAGATTTCTCTTGGATAATGGTGCCGACATCGAGAGCATCAACGATAGAAAAAGGACTCCTCTCAATCACGCCGCAAGCGGGGGGGACTCTGGAGTACTTCAGCTTCTTCTAGATCGAGGTGCAAATATCAACACAATGGACAGTTCAGGAAACACCCCTCTTCATATGGCTGTGCGAGACCAGCGTACTCAGTGCATTGAGCTTCTCATAAAGCAGAGCGCTAACATCCACCAAAATAATAACCAAGGAAAGAGCGCTTTTTTCGAGGCATGTTGTGCTTCTGATCCGAAGGCTGTTGAGCCCCTTCTAAAACAAGGGCCATGTTTGTTGCGAATAGACCCCAATGGGTGGTCGGCGTTACATTTTGCCTGCTCCCATAATCTTGCCCTCACGGTAGAGGAGCTGCTCGCAGACGGCAAAATTGATCCATTGATTCCCACCAATGATGGAGATACCGCTTTGACTCTCGCTGCAAGGAAGGGGCATGTCGGTGCTGTGTTGAGTGTTCTTGGATCTCAGCACTACTATCCTAAAAGTCCAACACGGTTCAAGGCTCGTTTGTCTTCCAGATATGAGGCATTAACCCTGAATGAGTTATTATGGAACTCTTTTGATGAAATCACTCACAGTGCAATCGATGGTCTCAGATCAGTCATATATTGGGCAATTGTTAACCAAAATATACCTGTGTTGAAAAGATTCTGCGAGCATGATAGCACCCGGGGGTTGCGATTACGCGAGGGTATGAATTGGCTGCATGTGGCTGCGCAGTATGGACACAGCCATATTATAGAAGGGGTCCTGTCTAGTTTCGACGATTGGGAAACCACTGATAGTGGTATGATTCCATTACATTTAGCAGCTGCCAATGGGCACCTTCACTCTGTGGAGATCCTTCTCAATAGGCTATCACCGCAGCTCGATCAAGCTTTAGTCAAAGCCATTGTTATGCAAAATAAAGATGGCGAGTCGCCTCTGTCGATGGCGGTTGAAGGCCGACACGTCAGAGTCAAAGGTCTTTTCTGGAGTCAGCTGAGAGCATTTGCGGGTCAGAATAAGAACTTAGCCTTGGATAATCAAGAGCTAGCCAGTGAAGTTATCGAGTTAATTGCGCGATTTGAAAAGCCCGGACAGGAGACGCTTCTTCGTCACCTGCTGCGAACATGGTTCCAGACACCTCGGCAAATTCCGCCAAACTGGACAGTTCTCCATTTGGCCGTGTCTTGCAGACAGGCAATTACTGTGTGGTGGTTACTCTCAAACGGCGGGCACTTGAAGGACGACGAAATTGACCTTGCCCACAAGATCGTTGGGTCGGAATCAGACCAGCTTAGTACAATGATAAAGGACTTGCTACGCAACCCTCCCCAAATCGTGGAACAGGTTTCTGTCACAGATAGTGACCAGTTGCCGCCACATCCAGATATATCGACCGGAATTAAGCAGCTCCTCGAACTACCTGTCACCATTGTTGATTTTTACCCGAATCAGGACCGGGTTGACCTTCACTATAGTAGTCGAACGGTTCGAGAGGTTATCTATGAGCCCGGCTTGGGACCAAGTAAAATCATGGAAGATGCTCGGAGAAACGACCACCGCCAGTTGGGACTGCTCAAGGAAAAGCTGAGGTCTATCAGCAGAGCCGCGGCTACAAGCACCGGATCCGATTCGAGCGCCGGATCGGAGGGTATTGGTCTCCCAGTAGTTCTCGAGTCTGTGAAGAAGCCTACAGTAGAGCAACCCGGCAGTGAAAAAAACCCACAAGCGCCAGGCACAGCGAAGAGTGACCTGAAGTTCCGATGGATTCATATCCCGATCAATCATGTAAGACTCGCTCCAGTATCTTGCATGCATCAACTTGACACTCACTGATTTTATTCACGATTTAGATGCAACTGATCGAGGTGAGTGCAAAAGACTACCAAAGCTTCACAGAATCAGGCTTGTTAATCTCCCGCAATTAGGATCTACTGACTATACTTTCCATCGAATCTGGCAAGACAGAAAAGGACCATCGTCCTCTGGAAAGATTCTTTAACCGGAGCTGGATAGAGGTAGCTGCCGGTGGAGGAAAGAACTTCATGAAGCCTCAATGTCTGGTAAATATTAACTGCCGTCTGTCTTAGATTGGGCTTACTGAATTTATCTGTCTGTCAAATAGCATGATTTTGATACCGGTGACACCTACACAAAAAGGAATAAGCTTGCCCTTTATGTAAGGTTGAGTATTAACCTTGAGTAAACCTTGTCTAACCGCCAGCTAGATGCCATACTTGACACCCGGAGATATGCCAGTGGCGAAGGAACAGAACACAGAGAGCCCAAAAATGGATGTGTGGGGGGAAGAAATCGCGTCTTTCACTTCTGAAGATCGTATAGACAGGGGGACATTGCAGGAACCCATGACCCTCGACCAGTATTTCTATGCGACGATCGAGAACACACAGAAACGAGACGGCGATCAAGTGGTTACCCGTTACCTTTCAAGGACCCCCGAGACAGTCAGTGATGTGCAAGGCAGTGAAACAGAAAAAATGGGCCATAAGGAGACTGCAATCTCGGGGGCATCGACAATCCTTCTCGTTGACCAGTTATGGGTGTGGATTATAGACGATGGTATGAAGATCCAATCTCGCTCTATGGCCTCATTAAACCTGACGTCTCCATCAGAAACCATCATCACGGCTACGACAAAGCCTGCTGGACAGACTAAGGATATCCTTTCAGCTAGTATCCAGGATCTTTTAATGTCCACAGATAACCGAGGTCGCTCCGAGCGGCCGGCTTCGGTCAACGCCATGATCGAGCTGATTTTGAGCGTCACAACCGGTCTCTTTTCTCGGAGAACTATAAACCTGCCCGCCCCAAGCGGAAAACGCACAAAAGAACGAAAAAGCCCCCTGGAAATCTTTCGAGAGTCTATACGATATGTGGTCTGTTAATTCTGCAAAGTCCCGGCTGTTATCTCCGCACTGTTACCTAACATATCCGGATAGGCCGATGTTGAAAACACACTTTTCAAGGAGTTTTTGGAATCTTTGCACGATGAACAGAACGTCTCGGACCGCACTCACCGAGGCTGGATTGGAGATCTGCAGCTGAATCCTTATCATATCATTTCCAAGGAGGCTGAGCTTCTAGACGAGATCAAAGATATCCGCGACGAGTTGAACATCCTTCGTACCCTGGAAGAAGCCCAAGAGAAGGTCTGGAAGCAAGCATTTCAAACGGAGAAGCTAGAGAGCCTCCCCAATATTGAACACAGTAACATCAGCACTCCCACTGAGGTCTTGCGAGAACTCGACGAAATGGTCATTGAGGCTGGGATGGTTCAAGATGCGGTAAGTGCACCGTGACCCTGTGATCTGTGGTCTGCGTCTGCGACCTTGCTGATATGTGCCAGATAAACACCCTTCTTGACCTGCGCCAGAAGCAAGCCAGCATCAAAGAAGCCGAGTTCGGACGGCAGCAAGCCAACGATACGGCTCGGCAATCCAATATCGTCATGGTTTTTACCATCGTGACCATTGTTTTCGTTAGTGATATGCCCGTGACAGACTACATCTTTCCCCTTTGCTAATGACTAGCCCTTTTTGGGATATAGCTGCCCCTCTCATTCCTGACCTCCGTCTTCGCATTGAACGTCTCCGACTTTCCCCACCAATCGGGAAACGTGGAGTATCAGGGGTGGTGGATATTTTCGATCCTGTGTAAGAGCTCCCCTCCCCCCTAGATTAATGAGATTTCAAGTAATAGAGACAAACTGACATCAAATTACAGTCGGTGTATCCGCCTGCGTCTCCGTGCCGTTTATGGCTCTGGCGTTCAATTTCCACCGCGTGGTCAAATTCTGGGATAGCATCCGACCTAACCGGCCTGGTAGAGAGATGGTTCAGAAGGACCCTTCTCGATTTTCTCGCTCCGTGGAAGACGAATGCACCGATGACGGGATGAGAAATGGGGGAGCGGTATTCCCGAATGAGGTTGGGTCGTTGGGTCGACGCAGAGCTGCCCTCTGGCGAGATGCTATTCGCCGGCGGCCGCGGATGGCGAATCCTTGTTAGAATGACAGAGCAATTCTGGAATGGCGTACAGTGGTATGTTGTTGAAATTGAAATTGATCGTGTGGTCTACCGCACTGCACCGACTTCGATATTTTTTACTCCCAGTCAATCAAGACACGCCCATGTGAGCATCCCGACATATACACCTTTTATTTTATCTGAGAGACCCACTGCTAACGAAAGTCTTAGATTGAAGAAATTGATCTCTACTATTTATATCAAAGTGCATCATGTGCTCGTAGCTGGGTTTATGATTCGACCACCGCGGCACCAATCAGGCTCGATCTATTGGGGAGATAAGGCGTTATCAATCTCCTGTTTGTTTGGTTTGTCCTTCCATCCCCACTTTTTCGAGAAAAAAAGATTCAGAACACCGAAAGAAAAGACATGAAAAAAGGAATAAAGCCCAGAGTGTGCTAGCCACTGGGGTTTATTGGAATAATTGTGTACAGAAAGATATCCACTTCAACTGGTACTGATCTGATCTATGATAGAAAAATAGGAAAACAGCCACACTTGCCAAAACCAACTTTTTACCCTTTTTTGCCCCCCCGGTGAACCCGTAACCTTACCTAAAATCTTCCCTCCCCCCCCGCCAACAACCACCAACCCAAATCTCGACATCCTCCTCAGCCCAGCTATACTCCATACTCCATAGATACATATATACCTACGTCATTAATCATGCCCGACAAGGACGCCGGTACCCCGCGAGTCTTCCTCTACCGCCATGGTCTGTAAACCCCCCCCCCACTACACACAAACACACACACAGTCTCCCCCCCCCCCCCGTGTTCCCTCTTCTCTAAACTGAACCCCCCCACAGGAGAAACCGAATGGTCCAAAAGCGGCCGCTACACCGGCACCAGCGAGATCGAACTCACCCAAGACGGAGTGAACCAGGTCCTCGCGTCGGGGAAGATCCTCGTCGGCGCGGGCAAATTGATCGACCCCGCCAAGGTGGCCCGCGTGTTCGTCAGCCCGCGCAGCAGAGCCGTGCATACCTTCCAGCTGGCGTTCACCGAGGCCGATAGACAGGCCTTGACGGATGCGGGCAAGGTTGACCGCACCGAGAGACTCGCCGAGTGGGGGTATGGTCTGTACGAGGGCCTGCTGACCAAGGAGATCCGCGCGCTGAGGAAGGAGCATGGCCTCGATGGCGAGCGGGCGTGGGATATTTGGGCCGATGGGTGTGAGGGGGAGGGGGGGAGTAAGTCTTTCTTTTTCTTTCTTCATCTTGTTTTCATCTTTCTTCACGAGCGTGGAGCTGGATTTCTGGATTTAGGGTCCCTGCATCGCTAACAAGTATCAATCAGATCCCCCCAACAAGTCACCGACCGGATCGACAGCCTCATCGAGGAAATCCGCGCCCTGCACCAGGGCAACATGCACGGCGAGAACCCTTCTGATGTGGTTCTCATCGCGCACGGCCATACCCTGCGCGCGTTTACCAAGCGCTGGCTGGGCTATCCGATGGAGTTTCCCCTGTCCATGATGCTGGAGCCCGGTGCGGTGGGTGTTCTTAGGTATGTGTTGCGCTTTTCCCTACCCTGTTGCATGATCCTATTTGTTGGAGAGGCTGGTTTGCTAATTGGCGGGTGGGGGTGTAGTTATCAGCATCATAGCATTGAGGAGCCGGCTTTCTTGGTCGGGTATGGGTTTCCGTTGGAGAAGTGAGATGGAGATGGGGGATGGAAGGAGGGGGTAGGTGTGTAGACATAGATGGAAATATTTGGATGGGTGGTGTGTGTCTTTAGATTGTTAGGGTTTGTGGTTGAATAGATGCATTGTTGTTATACTTATCTGGATTCAGGAGGAGAAAGCAAGCATCGACGTGGCTGCCTGTGCTGTCAGGCCGGACTGACGCAGATACGGGTATCTATCCATCCATCGGTCGATCGGCTGTCACTCTATGATGCAGGATCTCTGGCCGTTGGCGATGGCACACCCCTGGAAGGTATATACTGGGGCGGTGACGCCGACGCAGTTGAGTCTGTGGAGGGAGCAGAATGCGATGCAGGCGGCGCTGATGCGCCCGTTCGTCGAGATGGGGAAGAGGATGGAGACGTTGTTGATGCCGCATAGGTGGCAGGTCCAGACATACACTATCATTTGTCTGGTTCAGTCTTTATTCTTTTATAGTGTGAAGCGTTTTTGAATGCCTGACACTTTTGACCCATGACTCGTCATTCCTGAGTAACTGCAGTTGTCTTCTTTCTCTCCCTTTGCGAAAGAAGTTAAGCCGTAAGATTGTCGTCGCTTTGATGTATTATGGAGTCGGGACTGCCGTTCTGCGTGCTCTGTGTCTGTGTCTGTGTGTCTCTGGCGGTTCTGTTTTGTTTCTATACCCGTTATTCGGAATTAGAACCTGGATTCGATCCACCCCTAGACTGAGAGTGTGTCCTGACAACCCCCTAGCCAGGAGTGTCTCGTCCTAGGTATTTCTGTTGATACCTTCGATACTACACCCTCAACTCGCCTTGTTCCGGTATTTCCATCTCATCAACCAGATGGTCCTACCTACCTACCTACCTACCTACCTCTCTATCCACCCCTCATCCCTCAAATCAGGCCCAATCTACGGAATACAGAGTCCATGTAGTGTTAACAGGGTTCTTTCTCTTCTCCCATCAACCCCTCAACAAAACCCACCCTGTCTCCGTCTTTAACCCCCCCCCCGTTCCTGCCTTGGAAACAGTCTCGCTAAAATGTTAATTCCCCCCTCATTCCAGGAACTTTTTCCCTTAACCCAGGGACTTTTTTTTTTTTTTTTTTTTTTTTTTTTCTCGGCAGTCAGTCAGCACTGTCGATAGACAGGTGGGAATCTCCCTAAATTGTAAAATTATTATTAATTATCCAGGGACGGCAGATTCGGCGGTGGCTCCACTGTAATAGCGGGGGGGCAATCAGGTCTGGTTTCAGGGAGCGTTAGGGAGGGAGGATGGAACCGGGTGTCACTTGTCAGGAGGCAGGACTCGGGAAAAACCAGGACGGGAGGATGATGGTGGTGGGGCTGGGCCGGCTGGGAGTGTCGGGTCGGGCTGGGCTGGGCTGGGCTGAGTGGGCTCTCCACAGGCGATGCGCATGCAGATGCGCATGCAGAGGCCTGAACTGACTGTACTATATATGTAGTCTGTACTATATAAGTGAAGCTTGGTGGTCTTGGTATCAGCCACCCATCTGACCTGATATAGGAATTATAGTTAGAGTCAGGCGTGAAAAATGAAAGTTAAAAAATAAATAAATAAATAATAAAAATGAAAAAATAAGAATGAAAGTAAAAGAGGGGGAAGGGAAGGGAAATGACGCGCTCGTATATACACAGTACACAGTACACACACCAGCTGGCTATAGTACACTCACTCGCTCACTCGCTCACTCGCTCACCACCTGCCGTAATCCGGATCAGAGCAGGGTTCGAAAAGGGACACAAACTTAAAGAGTAAAGAGAAAAAAACAAAAAAAAGAAAAGAAAAGAACAGGAAATAAAAAAGCTGAACGCTGGCTACAAAACAAAACAAAGCAAAGCAAAGCAACCCTACGCCTCCAACTTAAACGAGGCCAACCGGGCCTTAATCGCCTCCTCAGGCTCATCACTCGCCAACTCCCTCAACACACCACACGCAACATCATAAATGAGCGCATGGATCTGCAGCCCCCTCGTCTCAATCGCCTCCAGAATCACATCCTTCTGCTTGAGCAACCTGACCCCCTCCTGGATATTCAACTCCACGAGCCTCAAACTGGCCTCCTCCGTCTTCAGACCCTGCAGCTCCTTCAAATGCTGCGACCGGATCTGCCGCAACGGCAACAACCACAGATCCAAGATCCCAAGCGGCTTGTTGCCCAGCGCGGCCGCGATGCCGCCGCAGCTCGTGTGCCCGCACAGCACCACGTGTTTCACCCGGAGATGGCGCACCGCGTACTCGATCACCGCCGACGAGCTGAGGTCCGTCGCGTGGATGATGTTGGCGATGTTGCGGTGCACGAACACGTCGCCGGGTTTGAGGTCCAAGAGGGTCGTTTCGGGGCACCGGGAGTCGGAGCATCCGATCCAGAGGATTTGGGGGTGTTGGCCGTTGGCGAGCGTGGGGAAGAGGAGAGGGTCTTCTTGGGCCGTTTTGGCCGCCCACTCTTTGTTGTGGTCGAGGGCGGAGATGAAGGCGTCTGGTTGGGGTTAGTTTTGGGGTTTTGGGGGTTGGGATGGGATGGGAGGGGGAGGCGAGGGGAGGGGGACATACCTGTTACGGCCATGGTGGGTGAGTTAGATGTGACTGTGAGTGAGTGCACTGTAAAGTGATGAGTGCGAGTACGAGTGCTTGAGGCTTGAGGCTTGATGCGTAAGGCTTGATGGTGATGCTTGGTGTGGTGAGCGATGGGGTGATCGAGCTACTTATCCTGCGCGAAACAATATTGCGGACCCCTCAGCCCAGGGTGTCGAATGTCGAATGTCGATAAAAGGAGACCAGACGAGACACGACACGACACGACACGGAAGGGCCGATAAGCCGATGACCCATCTATCGATCCATACTCCTGACACCTGCCACCGGCTACCTGCCACTAGATAGATACCACTACCACTACCACTGCCACAGCCCGGTGGGCGGGTGGGTAGATCTGAGGTGGACAGGACAACTATGCTAGTTGCATGATCGGTCAGATCAAGCCCTCAATATAACATACAGTAAGTAGCACTAGTATCTATAACTAGTACTACGGTAGTATAGTTATTACTCCGTCCCACGCCTTGATTCGGGGCTGATGGGTAATGGGTATGGGTTATCCGGTCCATCCCATTCGTCCGGTCTGTCATCAAGCACGGACCCTGTCGCGACTTAGTCCGTTAATATATGGTTCGAGAACATCGCGGGCTTCCATGCCGTCCGTCCCCTTTCCTCCCTGCCGTGCTAGCCGAGGCATAATGACGTCCGTCCGACATCCGTACTCTCTTTCTCCTTTTTCTTTTTTTTTTGGTGTTGAGGGGCGGTGGATATGGATATTAATAGTAGTTAGTGGTATTTGGCTGAATCTTTGAGGCTTTTTTTTTTTTTATTTCACTTCTTGTTGGTGGCGGTTGAAACAGGAGGAGCCAGCCATCAAATGAAACCAAAACCAGCTAGCTGTGTGGGTGGATGGCGCCGTTAATGGGGATTGTGGCTAGCTGGCTGGCTGGCTGGCTGGCTGGTGGCCTATCTTATCAGGCCGCACTTCTGGCTGCCTGCCTGCCCTGCCAACGCGCTCCTCGCACGTCACGTCGCATGATCCATCTCAACTCATCTCATCTCATCTCATCGACCCCGCGACTGCGCCCAGTCAGCTGATATCTCGTACGAGATGAGATGGTGATGACGATGCTGCTGCTGTTGGTGCTGGTGCTGCCAGATTCGCTGCGCTGGGGTCGAGCATGACGCTGTCTGGCGAAAGTAATTACCGCGGTGTGATCAGAGCGTCGGGCTCCGGGATTGGGAATCAGGGGGCCGGATGATCGGCTGAGGATGGCTACTCGAGTGCGAGTTGGCCCTGTGCAGTGTGCAGTGCGCAGTGTGCATCTGGTTAAATCGGCATTGGAAGCATGGAGTATGAGGGAAATATCCTGCGTGATGAGTTGTTTCCCCAGTGAGGAACAAGGTGATGATGCGTGGAGACTGGAGGGGAAGAGGGAAGATGCACAGCCACGGGTTATGTGTAGCACAGCCACAGCCACAGCCACAGTGCGGTGTGACAGCTGAGACCTGACACCTGACAGGGACGGGCGGGCGCCTTGCTGCCTGGCCGAGCGGGTGTCGACGAGGGATAGCTGCCTGATCCCTCAGGCAGAGTAAGAAGCCAATCAGGATGCTGGTCCATCTCAGCTCATCTCATCTCCCTCAGCCACTCTAAACCATCACAGTGATCGTAAACTGTCGACAGACATCGTGATGATCCATGGAACCCCTCCCAGCCATGTCACAGCTGTGCGACAGTCCGGCCGACATCCGAGGAGGGGTCGTGCGGGGTTTGCGTGTGCCAACCTCCTCTTTCGCTCTCTCTCTCTCTCTCTCTCTCTGTCCTCTCTCTTCTCTTTCTTCCTGATGATACTATCCTGAAGAGAGAGAAATATTGCTGGATAGCACGAGTTTATTGTAAAGTGTTTGCGGATTACTTGTCTCGATATGGCGACCGAATACAAACTCCCCTTCCAGGTAGCTTTTATCCCGTCCTATACACCACCATCATCAGAACCCCCTCATCACTGCCCCAATCATTTCCCTTATGCCCTCGTCCAGCTTATCTACATCCGCCATCTAATATAGCGAGCAGCTCTCCGACCCGTCGATCCTCCACTTCGACTCCTTCGTTAATAACACCTGGGTTAAGTCTGCCAGCAATGAGCACTTTGAGATAATCGGTACCTCCTTCCCCCCATCCCTATTATACCCGCTATCACCACCACCACCACAACAACAAAACTAACCCACTCAGACCCCGGCACCGCCCTCCCCTGGGGCGCGTGCCCAACCTTCCAAGCCACGGACGTCGACAGCGCCGTGCAAGCCGCGCACGCCGCCTTCACCACCTACAAAACCACCACCCCTCTCCAACGCTCCCAATGGCTCACGAACTGGGACCAGCTCATCCGGACGCACAAAGCCGATCTCTCGCAAATCATCACCCACGAGACGGGCAAACCCCTCTCCGAATCCCTCAGCGAGATCGACTATGCCTGCAGCTTCACGCGCTGGTTCGCAGGCGAAGCCGAGCGCATCTCGGGGACGATCAGCACGCCGGCAGTGCCCGGCCGACGCATCCTGACCATCAAGCAGCCGATCGGGGTATCCGTGGCGTTGGTGCCGTGGAACTTCCCCGTGGCGATGGTGCTGCGCAAAGCCGGCGCGGCTTTGGCGGCGGGATGCACGATGATCGTGAAGCCGAGTCCCGAGACGCCGGTGTCGACGCTGGCGGTGGCGTATCTGGCGATGCAGGCGGGGTTTCCCGCCGGCGTGTTTAACGTGCTGACGACGGATTTGGGGAGCACGCCGAGTCTGAGCGAGGCGTTGTGTCGACATGAGTTGGTGAAGAAGGTGACGTTTACGGGGTCGACGAGGGTGGGGAAGTTGATTGCGAGGCATTGCTCCGCTGGCTTGAAGAAGGTGACCCTGGAACTTGGGGGGAATTGTCCGTTTTTGGTGTTTGAGGATGCGGATTTGGAGGGCGCGGTGGGGGCATTGATGGGCTTGAAGTGGAGGCATGCCGGCCAGGCGTGTATTACTGCCAATCGGGTGTATGTGCAGCGCGGGGTGTATGAGGCGTTTGCGGGGTTGTTGAGGGAGAGGACGCGGGGGTTGGTGGTGGGGCATGGGGCCAGGGAGGGGTGAGTATGGGGGCGTTGACGACGGAGAGGGGCGTCGAGAAGGCGGAGGCGCAGGTCGAGGATGCGAAGATGTTGGGCGCCAAGGTGATTCTTGGTGGGGGGCGGGTGCAGGGGGAGAAGGGGTATTTCTTCCAGCCGACCATTTTGACCGGCATGACCAGGGAGATGGCCGTGTCCAGGGAGGAGAGCTTTGCGCCGTTGGCCGCGTTGTATGTGTTTGACACCGAGGAGGAGGCGGTGCAGGTCGCCAATGATACGAGTATGGGGCTGGCGAGCTATGCGTTCACCAGGGATGCGGATCGGCTGTGGAGGTTGTTTGAGAATTTGGAGGCCGGCATGGTGGGCTTGAATACTGGGGGCATGTCGGCTGCGGAGGCACCCTTTGGGGGATTAAGGAGAGCGGGTATGGGAAGGAGAGTGGGAAGGAGGTTGCCGTGAATGAGTATTTGGTTACCAAGACGGGGACGCTGACGGTGCAGGGGCATTATTAGGGGGTTGGATGTTTGCATTGGCGGACTCGGATTGGCGGATGGATGGGAAGCATGGTGTGGGATGTAGCGTCATCAGAATATCAGATTGACTGCTGGATATGAAGCATAGTGCGGATTGTAGCATAGCATCAGAATATGAGATTCACTACTAAATTATCAAATATAAATCAAGGGTGGAATACCATCACCTTAAGCATATTAAATCCCGAAGTGGAGACGCTCAGCTGCGGCAGTGTCGGTAGCTACATGCAGTGTTGAGACAGTGAAAAATTACCATGAATGATAGATTTACTCGACATTATCCCTACTACCCTCGCAGATAGGTATGCCAGAGACATAACTTACTATCACTCATCCGCCAACCACCCGACTACCAGATCATCATCTTGGACACCATTCCTAATACAGTAGTAGATGAGCTACCATGAATATGCATCATTCATCTCACATCCCAGCCAATACAGCCACAACGCTGCATCTAATCCACCCGATCCAGCTTCTGCACAACCATAGCCGTAGCCGCCCCCCCGCCATTACAGATAGCCGCGACGCCATACTCGCCCGGCTGCAGCTGATGCAGCAGAGTCACCAAGATGCGGGACCCGGAGCTCCCCAGCGCATGGCCAAGGGAGATGGCGCCTCCAAGGGGATTAACCCTCTTGCCCTGCAGGCCAAGGATCTATAGTACACCCGTCAGTCAGCAAGCCCATTCATCCATCATATACACAGCAATCACATACCTTCTCATTCGCCTTAATCACGGCGGCAAACGCCTCATTAAATTCCCAAACAGCGACCTGATCCATGGTAATCCCGGCCCGCTCCAACGCAATGGGAACCGCCTTCGCCGGCGCGACGGGGAAATCGACCGGATCAACCGCGGCATCAGCGGAACTCACAATGCGGGCCAACGCACGATTTCCCGCGCCAAACTCCCTCGCCAACTCCCGACTCGCCAACACCAGGGCCGACGCACCGTCATTCATCGTCGACGCATTCCCCGCGGTGACCGTGCCGGTCCCGTCGCGCAAAAACGCAGGCTTCAGCCCCCGCAACTTATCCGCACGCAGATTCTCAAACCCCTCGTCCCTCTCCACCACCGTCTCCCCCTTCTTCCCCTGCACCGTCACAGGGACAATCTCCTCGTCGAACGCGCCGGCCGCCCACGCCTTCTGCGCCCGCTCGTACGACTGGATCGCGTATTCGTCCTGCTCGGCCCGCGAGATCTCGTACTTCGCTGCCGTCTTTTCGGCACAGATCCCCATGTGGAATTGGTTGTATACGTCCCAGAGACCGTCCTTGATGAGTCCGTCTTCGAGCTTGATCTCCCCGAAGGGGGGAAGTTGGCTCGACCGCGGAAGGTAGTACGGTACCCGCGACATGTTCTCCATCCCGCCTGCGACCTGGGCGGACGCGAGCCCGAGCTGGATGTTCTGCGCGGCGATGGCTACGGCTTTGAGTCCCGACGCGCACACTTTGTTGATTGTGGTGGATTCGACGGTCGCGGGGAGCGAGGAGAGGAGGGTCGCTTGCCGCGCGGGCGATTGGCCGACGTTGCCTTGCAGGACGTGGCCCATGTAGACGGAGGAGATGTGCGAGGGGGGCAGGTTGGATTTGGAAATTGCGGATTTGATGGCGCTGGCGCCGAGGGTCGGGGCCGGGAGGGTGCTGAAGGAGCCGTTGAACTGGGTGGAGGGGTGGGTGGTTAGTGAGCGATTGATTGGGGGTTTGTGTGGGGGTGGGGTGGGATGGGATGGGCTACTTTGGCTGTTGGGGTGCGTGCTGCACTCAGGATGTAGGCGTCCTGGATCTCCTTGCGGACGGGGCGAGCGGCGCTGAAGTGACGGCATGGCCATTGCCGGGATGCGGGGAGAGTCCGCGCGGTGAGGCGGGGGAGGGTGGGAGTGGGAGTGAGCATGGCGATGATATAGCTAGTATGGTGTGGTGGTGGTTTACAGTGGAAGAGGCAGAAGGATAAGATGGTATTAGATGGATGGGTAAGTGAAGACGGGTGAGGAAGAGTGAGGAAGCAAGCAGCAGCAGCAGCAGCAGCAGAGGGGAGTGTTGGATGCACATGCATGCCTCTCCTCCGCCTCCCGCCCGCTGCTAACCGCCAACCCGCAACCTCGGCAACTCCAGCCGGCGCGGATCAACTTGTCGGCCTCACGCATCACGTGTGCGGAGTCAAGGCGGTGACGTCCAGCTGTCTTCACTCTTCTCCTCTCTCCTCTCTTCTTCATTCACTCCTTCCATCGCAACACAATGAACGCAACACAAGTAACACACGCAACGCAATAAAGCAACATGAAATGAAACGTCATCAAGAAAATCCTCCTAGACGCCGGCCTCCATCCGGGTATCAGTCTGCAATTCCCTCATGTCTGCATAACGCCATAACCATATCCTAACCATGTCGAGCCTGCATAACTAACTGCCGTCCCAACTACTAACCATGCTATCCTCCCCGTCATCATGACCATACAAGCCTTTGCCTCATCGCAGTCATGATTATTGACATTCTAGCTGGTCTGCTCACCGCCAGTGCCATCCCCGGTGGCCGCGATGCTCCGCCACCCGCTCATCCCCCGATCGAATGTCGCCATACCACTCCGACTCCCGCATACGCGGTCTCCACCGTCCACCCTCCGGGGGACGCGACATTCCGCCGTCCCGGCCACGAGACGCGTCATACGCTCGGGCTCCCCGCTCCGCCATGAACCTGCTCCCCTCCTGGATGATGCGGGGCTCAGGACGACGCAGCTCCGGCTGTCGCATGTACCGGTGTCTTGGAGTGTCCTCCGGCATCGGGGAATCTGGTCGACGGCGCCCGTGGCCCCTCGGCGAAGGTCCTCGCGCGCGAGGGATCAGCGGCACAAAGTGTTCACGGCGCGGCGGTGAGGGGTAGGCGTATCGGGGGTCCTTGAACGGGTCGGGGTAGGGCGACGCGGTGCGGCGACGGTCCTCGCTGCCTGGGGAGTGATGGCGGTGGATTGTGTGGTTTTTGTAGAAGCGGGGCGACGTGTCTTCGGACTCGTTGTTGGTGTGGGAGCTGTCGTTGTTGCTCAGGGGGTGCTCCTCCACTTGCTCTGCGAAGTGCACGTGGCGCCCCCCGGGTAGCTCCGACGAGGGTCGCTGCTGCGTGGTGTTGTGGATCTCCACGGGGGAGGCCGGGGGGCGCGGCTTGCGAATCGGCTCGCGTTCGACAACGGGGGATCTCTCGCGTGGGGGTCGGACTCTCGTGGGAGGCGCGGTGGGAGGACGAGAGGGACGAGCACTCTCTGCCTGGGAGGGGGTCGACATGGCCGGCTGAGCGGTGTTCGACAGCTCTGGATGGTAGCCGGTCGACATCGGTTGCTGAGGGTTGGTCGACAACGCTGGCTGAGACGCGGTGGGTCGTGGATAGCGTGAAGGACGTGGACAGGATGAAGGACGTGGGTGAGATGACGAACGTGGATGAGAAGAAGGACGAGGGTGAGGGGAAGAAGCTCTCGGCTGGGGAGCAGGTCGCGGGAGGGGTGAAGGATGACGGGGTGAAGGGGGACGAGGGGGGTAAGGTTGTGGGTAAGACTGTGGGCGCGGTCTCGGTTCGCGCAAGATTGGGCCAGGTCGCCTATGCTCACGAGTGACGCGGGGGACAGGAGCAGGGGGGACACGAAAAGCTGGGGCAGGCCGGGGGGAGACCAGGCGGATCTGCGGGGCGACAGGACGATGCCGGGGAAGGGAAGTCCGCGGCTCGCGGTGGATGGGGGGAACCGGTACCTCAGGCCCAGACCCCCCCATGGCATACGGACGAGGAGACCGCCCACGCCCGCGCGGATTATCCTCCCCCCGCCCCGACTCAGTGTCTGAATCAGGCCCCCGCCTCAAGAACGGAAACAGCAGCCGGAACGAGTTGCTGCGTCGGTACGGTGGCCGCGGTCGCCGGGGAGCCTCAGGACGTTCGGCACGCTGGCTCCGTCGCGGCTCCCGCGGGTCCACGATGCGCTGTCGCAAGGATCGCATGTCTCGCGGGGGTGTACTGGGTCGGATGGGCGGCGGGCGACTGGTGTGTCGGTATCGATATCGGTGTTGGTGTCGGTGTCGGTGTCGTTCTCCCAGGCTAATGATGCGCGCGCGATGGCAGTAGCCCGCACCACCCAGAGGACACCGCTGGAGGACCCGTCGTCGGCGCACCTCTCTCAGGTAGTATATCTCGGTGTACTCCTCGACCACACACATGCCCTGGCTGAAGCTGCGGTAAGCAGGCGAAGAAACCACGTCCCAAGTATCGTGTTGACACCCAGCGACGTGGTGGTGCGAAGTTCCCCCCCGGCTCAACTAGCTTTTTAAAAGCGACGGTGCCGGGGCCGTGGCGCAATCTCCGTAGGCTGGGCGGCGGCGGCTGCTGCTGCTGCTGCTGCTTCTACTTACTAGACACGAAACACAGGCATGGTTGTAGCGGTGCGGTAGCAGACAAGACGGGAAGGAGGCAGAGACGGAAGCAGAGGCAGTTTCATCGGTTTTCTGTGTGCCAGGGCTAGGGACCACGGCGTCGCGACAATGTCATCGATCCACGACATGTGGTGGGAGTCATGGGTTCGCTTCGGCTGATGATAGGGGGAGCTGAGAATACGAGTGCGAATTCGGGCAGCTGAAGCACTGGGACGGCAGCCGCGCGACAAAGGGCAATCCGCATCGCGTGAAGGAAGACTAGACAAAGAAGTGACTGTTCATGATGATACAGACAAAAGACAAAGACCGACAAAGACGGTGCGGTGCGGGTTACGACATGGGATGGCCCGGCCGGCAGTCGTCTATGGTATGTATAAGGCAATCAGAGCAGTGGTTGGTTTGACGATCACCAGGTACAGGGCATGCGTCCGCCCGGGCGGGCTGTGGCTGAGCTTGGTGAGAGGGAGGGAGAGACACGAGCTAGTAAGTAGGTAGTCAGAGCTCCGCCGATCAAGTCGGTGTGTCTGTCCATCCAGCCTTACGGCTCACCAACAATCAACAATCAACAATGGGGATGTACCGGATGGGGGGACCGTCCATGTGGCGATGGAGTGTGGCTGCCAGTCGCCAGTGGTGGTGGTCACAGGGCTACCCAAGTCAGCCGGGCACCCAATGTGGATGAGGGTTCGACTGATCAGTGGGGGAGGGGAGGGACAGATGACATCACATCTGGGATATCTTTTTTCATCTACTGTTGGTTCGGGGTCTTATACCAATACTTTCTAACTGCAGACCGTAGAGCCTCCATCCATGCCTCCAGGGCCGATGGAATAGAGCCTCTGGCAGGTAGGGCTGCGGCAACGCGCAGCATCGCTGTCCTTGCAGGCATGTCTGCCTGACGGATCATTGGCCTGGGCGGACTGGCGGTCGAGCTAGCGGGATTAGGAGCAGTAGCAGTCATCTCGCAGGTATAACAATAATAACAATAGTAAGACTCTAGTTCTGGGGCTCTAGTCTGGGTCCAGACGTCCTCCCAGTCTAGGCAGCGGGAATGATCCCTGTCTCTGCCTGGCCGGCTGCCGCTGCGACTGGTGGCGCCGCAGGCAAGCAAGCAGCCTCATCCGGCTTCTCCCTACATCGCCCCTGTAAGGGCAAGACAGGTAGTATTCGGGGGTGGTATTGCAGCCAGGGCCAGGCCAGGAGAACGCAAACCACAAACCAACGCCGGCGGTCTGCGCGGTGAGCAAGGGCTGCGGTCCGACCCGGTGCGCGACATAGCATTGATTGCACATATGGCGCAGCTGCCCATACAGCCTCCAGCCTCCAGCCTCACAGTTCATCGTCCCACCTAGCTAGCTAGCTCGGTAGCTAGCTCTCAGACCACATCCATCTACCATTCAGCTAGCTCTCTGCGCATTTACAACGCCAGCTAAGCTACCAGCCACCCGCCACCCAACACCCATCCCACCGGACAGATAATTGGCCCCAGACAAACAACAATGCCATTGTGCCCGAATGCAGCACCCATTTACCCATCCATAAACCCCTCATCTCCCGACATAGTAAACAGTAAATCACCAATCAATCAACCAACCAACCAACCAACCAAGTCAACACCCTACTCACTCACTCTCAGCCAGCACAGCCTCCACATCCCTAACCTCCACGGCCCTCCCCTCCTCCAACGCCGTCTTAACCGCCTGCACAACAACCAGGGCCCTCAACCCCTCCACACCCGTACACCTCGGCTCCTCCCTACCCGCAATAACCTCGACGAAATGCTGCAGCTGCAAATCAAACGGCGTTCCCTTCTGCACCTCAAACTCCTCCGTGCGCAACGGCATCCCCCACCCCTTCTCCTTCTCCATCCCCCCAACCCCCTCCTCACCATCACAACCATCATAACTCCACCGTCTCATATCCGGCACCGACAACGACGCCCTGGCCCCAAAAATCCGATAAAAGTCCGCGTCGCGCTTCTTCCCCGCTTCCCAAATCAAGGGATTCTCGCCCGTCCCGGCTTCAAAGTTATGCGGGGAGGGCGTGGCATCGCAGACGAGGAACGTGCCGACGAGCCCGGACGCAAACCGCAGGGTGATCGCGGCGCCTTCCTCGGCGGTATGGGACGCGTCCGTGGCAGGACGCTGCGGGGGTGTCTTTTCGGCGAAGACGCGCGTGATGGGCCCGAAGAGGTCGTGCAGGAGGTCGATGTCGTGGATGAGGTTGATGCTGAGGACGCCGCCGGAGGAGGCGGCGCGCCGCCAGTCCGGGGCGAAGTAGGAGGGGGGTTTCTGGAGCGTCCAGAGGCCGTTGATGGCGATGAGGGGGCCCAGGGAGCCCGAGGTGATGATTTCCTTGGTTTTGAGCATGTAGGCGTTGAAGCGTCGGTGGTGGCCGATGAGGAGTTTCAGGTGCGAGTGTTGGGGTTGGGTGGCGGTTTTGAGCAGGGACAGGGCCGAGGGGATGTTGTCGCTGATGGGCTTTTCGAGGAGGATGTGGATGTTGTGCGATAGGAGGTCTTGGGCGATCGAGACGTGCGTGTGGTTGGGCGTGCAGACGATCGCGGCGTCCGGGTGCGGCGTGTTGGGGGTGGTGAGGAGGGCAGAGAGCGAGGGGAAGTATAGCGTGTTCAGGGAGGTCGCGATGGGGGCTGCGCTGGGCGAGGGGTCGATGAGCGCGAGTAGGTTCGTCGAGGGGTTGGAGAGGACGGATTCGGCGTGCCGGGGGCCGATGAGGCCTGCGCCGATGATGATGATTTGGAGGGTCATGTTGGGATTGGGGTTGGGGTTGTTTTTGTTGTTGTTTTTGTTGGTTTGATGAGTGTGAGTGTGAGTGGGAGTGGGACTATGAGTATGAGTATGAGTATGAGTCAAAGAAGTAGGAAGTCGGAACTAAGAAGCCTAGTTATATGTTTTCTGGGGAACCCCGGCCCTGTGGATGCGGGACTCACCGTGCATCGTTTCGGTCTGGGGTGCAGCCGGGTAAGAGCTGTCGCCGCGGGGAAGCCCTTAGCCGCTTGCTGCTGCCAAGCGCCATGAGCCATACTGTTACAGCCGTAGATCCGATGTCCAGCTGCCACGCCAAGATTGGAGTGGGTGTGTGAGTTTTTACTCTTTAGGCGATGCGACGTTTCTGGATGCGGGGGGAGGGGGAAGGGGTTAGCACTGGGACTCCCGGGGAGACTAGAGCTAGCTTGGCCACCAGGCCAGGAATCTAATTCCATCACCCCGAATCCTGATAGACCCGGCCGGTTCTCACGGCATCTTCTCCTTGGCTCGCCCCGCATCGGTGGCGCTTATCGGCAAAGTAATTAAGGAAAGCTGACGGCGGCTGAGGCACCTAGGATGTATGCTGCATCATACAGGCTCTGCCTTCACATGGAGCAGCATATGGCAAGTCCACTCGCCATGATGAAACTACAAGGCGCAGAAACGGAAAGACCCAGCATATATGAAACCATCTAAAGACCCATTAACACGTAAGGAAGTTATAGAACCCCGAAAACACCGTAACCCAGGCACCCTCCCCCCATGATCGACGCCCATCAAGTCCGCACCGCCCCTCTGGACGTGTCGCCAATAGGATCGCCCAGGAACCATTGTGCAAAGGTCGTCAACCCAGCCGCATTCAAGAATGTAAAATCATAGGGCTTCGTGCGGCGTATCAACAGCTCCTGGCCATCGAAGTATGCCTCGATGGCACGCGGATGCCATCGATTCATGGAAAAGAGCAGAACCTGTCGTCATGATCAGCTGTCTTTCTTTTTTGTTGAGGTTGCTCGGAAGGAGGTAGGGTTACCGGCGCAATCATGTGATTGACAAACACCTTCTGCTTCAGTTGACCCAACATTATCCGGATGACGGTCATTATTTCCCCATAGAGCAGATGACCGTCATCTACATCAAGGTCGTTGTGCATGATGCATTTGATATGCGGCTTGTGGGAATTCGCAACATGGATTATCGACAACGTGCCAAATTCGGGCTCAAGCGTCCGGTATAGATTGCCAAAATTGTAATCGCCGATCCTGGCGACACGATGAGTAAGGGGATGTGTGGTAAACCAGGGGGTAGTACTGGGGGACTTACTGGTTGCTCGACCACGTTCGTTGGACCTCTGGGAAATCCATCATCAACTTGCGAACGTATGATTGAAGGTAAAGGTAGATCAGTCGCCCGCGTTCGCTGGACAGGGTTAGTCCGTCGGTATTGTATTCTCGGTCGACATATCCTGGTGTTGGCGCTGGCATGTTTTCGGGAGCAAAAGAAGTGAAATATTTGGCTGTGAGCGAGTCATCCGCATCAAGGCTCAGAGGTAGAGCCCGGACCCTGCACCGTTTCAGTACGGCTTGGTCTAAGACATGTGTGTCCGTCTCTTCCAGGGCTTTGATGTCCCTTTCCATGAGGGTGAGAGCTCTGCGAAGATTGTACCGATTGCGAGACTCGGTGACGGGCTCCATTATCACGATGTACGTATGAGTGACAACCAGAAGAAAAGAAATATATCAGACTTTCCAGTCTGGATGGGATGAGGAGAAGACCTGCAGTCTGGAATGCTCGCGGCTAGACCGATGGGGTTGGAAATCTCCCGGCGTTGCCCCGCAATCACAAGTCGATCCTCGTTGCCGCTGTCGGGGTCTCAGCCCTGCCTGTGGCCCACCCATTGGCCACGAAGCATTCTCTTATGAGCTGTCAGAGGTAAAACACCCTGTCTGCGTTCTCTAACATTTATCTCTCAAAGTCACTTACTCGTGGCGGTAACTGTTTGTAGATGTTCTGTCTATTGGTCAAGTATGCGCTCGGTTAGAGCAGTCGGACCAGGTCGACCGCCAGACGGCGAAGCTGATTGAGCGATACAGAGGAACAGGATTGCTGTAATACTTGCCATGCGGCGCAACATAAAACCAGCTAAAAGGCTATATATATGCTACATGATATATGATAAAGAATGTGTCAACATGAACTACGATGACAAGGAAATCACCAATACGACGACCCTACGGCCTTGCTACCTCGCTGTAGGCTCCGTCCACATCCCTAACCTCCACATGACACCCGGACAAGCACGCCCATCCACGTTCAATCTCACTGTCAGAATTCTCCCCACTATGAGATAGGCCGCTCTACTGGGCATCCGCATGAGCGCGCAGCGCGATGGCCAGCAGAATGCTCCCAACTTGCTTCATATCTGTCCGGTTGGTTGTCTCCCAAGGACCGAATTCGTGCATCTTCAAGAACGGGCGGGGAGCCCCGGCCGGGAATGGATCATCATTGAGGAAACGGATATAGTTCTCGTCGTATTCGGCAAAGGTAGTAAAGATCTGGTGGCGGTTTCTGGAAACGTTGTAGGATGGATGGCCTTGCACTGAAGGAGAGGCGCGGGGGCACGCGCGCATCTCTGCACGACGTGGCCGTTGCCCAACATGGTAGATTTGACTCACTGGCCAAGTGTAGCCTCCGAGTAACTTATGTGCATCTGTCACTACCGGTAGGGTACATAACTACTGCCTCAGACAGTCCAGTCAGTAAGTAGTATATATCTACTTCGCGGGCGTTCGCGGGTGTTGCCGGGCAACCGCCAGGGAATCGATCATTCAGTGCCTCAGGCCTCAACAGCGGCGCACCAGGCCGCCACCCGCCTCGACCGACCATCCAATCCTCTCCTCCTCAACACAACAACCATGAACAAACCACCCCCCAGTGTTCCAATGAAAGCAAGTCAGCATGGACGATCGTTCTCTCATGCTGGAGAGGAAGGCCCGTCGCCGTGCTCTGGCTACCATCGAGGAGCGTGTCAAGAAATCGCCCAATCTGTATCTCGAGCCGACTGACCTCCAGACAGTCGGGATCCATCACCTCCCTCTGACCCTGAAAGACGGCACCAACGCCCTGCCTCGGTTTTTCCGCCCATACGCCGAGGATCTACCTCTCCCAGATAAGGAGGATGAGTTTGTAGACACGGAGCTATCCTCGGACCGGCCCATGTGGAATGTTCGAGACCTGGAAGATTTTCTCTTCCGTCATTTTCTGGACTGCAAAGAGGCCGCCGAGGAGCAGCATCCTCACAATCCCCCGCCGTCGGGAGTGCCCCGCGAGTGAGTCTCTTCTCAATCTCCCATTTCCCTCTCTCAAGTCAGCTCGGCGACTACAAGTTCGGTCTCCTTCTGGAGTGTATCGGGTTCAGCTGGGAAGCTGCGGCGGTGACGGAGCTTGCGGATCCAACCATCCCGCATATCAAGGCCATGCTTATCAGCGATGCAATGGGGGATGAGCGACTGCTTCGCGGCGAGATCATGACCATTACCGACATCATGGCTACGCGTCTCCGCACCAAGACCTTCCGCCCGCATGTTGTTGCTCCGGTAAGACGTCTCTCTCTTCTGTCTGCCATTAAACTTAGCAGTCTACTAACATGCCTCAGATACTGCTCGTGTCTCTGATGGGTCCTCGACATGCCCGGGTCCTAGAGGCCAGCTTCGACGGGCAGACCCTCACCGTCCGCTCCACAGAGCTGTTCGACTTCACCCAGAGGAACACAGAAGCCGCGCAGCTGCTGGCCCGGTATTGGCTTGGCGGCGCGTGTGGCTCGACTATGATGAAAGCGACCTGATTCTGGACGGACGGAGGCGTTTGATCTGGCGTTAGGAAATATTTGGTCTGGCGTTAGGGCACATCTGGTCGGATTGGATGGCAGAGATTCCCCTGGTTATGATCGTACTATCTGCTCCGCGGTCGCTGGAACGACAGGCTTGGATGCGGCGAATGACTGACAGATGATTGTCTTGATAATAATAATGATGAGCTGAACTGGACACGGCCTTGCGGGTACGGAAGGAGCCGTTCGTCTAACATATCTATCTACGTACAATGTTTCGAGCAGTAGCATATGCCCCGATCCACCTTTCATGACTCCCCACCCAATAACCGGCAGCCCCCCAAGGCTTGTTTCTTTGGTGTTGCGGCCATGTGGGGGGACCGTGACTGTCTCTGATTGGACTGCGAACCCTGCCTCAGGCATGAAAACAACCCCGGCTATAAAAAGATTAAATAGATTCTATGTACGCCAGCGGGGCACTTCTCCCACTGTTACCAGGAAGTTCATCGGAGGGGATTAATTGCCTTTGTATAACCTTATCGCCTTTCAGGGTTTACACAAGGAGTGACCCCTTTGCTTTCATCCGCCCGAGCAGGTGGCTGCCGGGCGGGCCCTGATTGGCGAGGACGGGGGAGTGGAGGCGGCACCGCCACGCCGCCTTGGACGGATCGACCATCGTTAAATTTGCGCCCATCCCCATCCCTATTCCTCCCATCTGACAGTCCACCCCCCCAAGCCAGGATGCCCAGCGCTTGCCATCCGCTTCCGCGACACCCATTGATGTCTCTCCCACGTCCGCTCCTGCCATAATCTCCTCGCGGAGATCCTGGGCCCGGGATGATTCCCGACCCGCTTGTGCCGGCCCTGCTGGCGCGTCCCACCCCGGACCACCCCTCGGCGGAGAAAATCCTCCCCTCGTCGGAGCCCACGAGGCCCAGCCAGCTCAACTTCTTCACCCCGCAGCTGGACTCCGTCATCCAGGCCTCCAGCATTGCGGACTTGTGCGCCGTCTACCGGCCCTTCGAGCTGCTCTTGGAGACTGGCCACCATAGTGGCCTGTGGTGGCTGGACCTCGCGGCCCCCTCGGACCGGGATATCGAGACCATCTCTCGCTTCTTCGGCCTCCATCCGCTGACCACCGAGGATATCAACACACGCGAGACCAGAGAGAAGATCGAGCTGTTCGCCTCGTACTATTTTCTCTCTCTTCGCCCGCCGCGCAAGTTCGAGACGGACGAGGGCGTCCGCATCGTCTCGCATAATGTCTACGCCCTCGTCTTCAGAGAGGGCGTTGTCAGCTTCAGCTTCGACCCCAGTCTGCATGCCGGGCACGTGCAGCAGCGGATCAAGGAGCATGGGACCCATCTGTCGCTGACGAGCGATTGGATCTGCTATGCCTTGATGTAAGTCCGCAGCCTGTTCCTTTTCCTTTTTCTTTTCCCTATCTTCATCCTGGGAATTCATCTTGATCCTGGGAATTTGGGAAGTGCTTACTGACCACCCCCGCAGCGACGACATCGTCGACGGCTTCGGCCCATTCATCAGCCGGGTCGAATCGGGCGTCGAGATGATGGAAGATAACATCACCATCACGCGGCCCGACGAGATCGGTCTGGTCCTGCAGCGCATCTACAAGTGGCGCAAGGAGGTCATCCAGATCCGCCAGCTGCTGCACGACAAGATCGACGTGATCCGGTCGTTTGCGCGCCACTGCGACGCCTTCGACGCCCCGACCTCGCAGGTCTCGCTCTATCTCAGCGATATCCGCGATCATATCATCACCATGATATCGAACCTGGAGCAGGCGGAGCAGATGCTCTCGCGCTCGCAGTCGAAGTACCTCACCCAGCTGCACTTTGACTCCGGGCGCATGCGCAATGGGATTGCCTCCGCGCTGGGCCGGTTGACGGTCTTGGCGTCGATCCTCGTGCCCATGCAGTTTATCACGGGGTTGTTTGGGATGAATGTCGTCGTGCCCGGGAAGTATGTCGCCAATTTGGTCTGGTGGTGGGGTATTATTGGGTTCATGTTTGGGGCGATTATTCTGTTTGCCCTGGTGGCGAAGAGGATCGGGCTGCTTGATCAGTGATGTGTTTTTTTTTTTTTTTTTTTTTATTGTCTGGTAGATACTTTCTTTGAGTCAATTTGATTGATTACAAACCTGCTGATTATTGTGAAAACTGTCCATTATATAAACGTCCATTGTGTCAGTCCATTGTTTCAGTCCACTGCATCAACTGTCTGTCCACTGTACCAATTGGCTCCTAACACCTAAGCTTTAATATCCACCCCCATGCCCCTCTGCCTCTCCCTGACCCCACCCATCAACACGCCCAAATCCTTCTCCGGCCCCCATCCACTCCCTCTCCACCACCTCTCTCGCCCTTTCACTCCTAATCCTAAACACCGCCTCAAAAGCCCCCGGCGTCGACACAAACTTGGACCCAAACGCCATATCATCGACCGGCACGGGCCTCCCATCCTCCCCCAACGGAGCGCGGATATCAAACGCCCACAGAATCCTCGCCACGAGGATGAAGAGTGAATTCCCCGCCACATACCGTCCCGTACACATCCTCCTTCCATAGCCAAAGAAATTCGAAAACTTCCCCTCATCACCCACTCCCACTCCCATCCCCATCCCTTCCTCTTTTCCTTCCAACCACCTCTCCGGCCGAAACACCATCGGATCCCCCCCCCCCCCCCAGGTCTCCTCATCCATACACATGGACCAAAACAGCCCCACGACCACCGCGCCCTTCGGAGCATGATGGTGGTATTGTGGTGGTTATCGTCGTTACAGTGGTGGTGATAGTGTTGGACATTGTGGATGTTGATGGGAGGTATTTTGGGATATTTGAGAGGTGAGAAAAAGGATAGAGGGAGGGAGAGGGAGGGACAGGACATATACATAGCGGCAGAAAGAAGAGGGGAGAGAGATATAACAGGGAAAAGGAGGGAGGATATGCAAGCAGGGCATACAGCACATATGAAAGAGGAGACGGACATCTATCTATCGGCTGAGGAGACGTCTCGTCTGTCCACTAACAGCAAGTCCATATCCCATCCCCTCTTCGGCTTGAGGCAAACATGCAGTAGTCGATGTCCAACCACTTCTCGCACGGCCTGCCATAGGGCTGTCGGACATGGCATTGGATGGAGTGGGGGTGCTCTATAAACGGTGCTCTGCAGCTAATGGCCCCATCGCCGTTGACGTGTCGACTCTTGCCAGTAGGGGACGGGATGGAGCCTAGGTTCTCGAGGGTCTCTTACTGGAGGGTACAGGGAAGATTGTTGGTGTGTTTTGGGCTGCATCGCATCTGGAAGGTAACCTTCATTGCCCGATCGGGCGGATTCTTACATCTTGACACGGGTCTTTGTGGTCGATTGCCGAAAAAAAGGGCTTCGGTCCTCTTTCTTCCGCTTCTTTCATTCTTTGTCTCTTTTTGTTGTCTTCTCGTCTCTCGACCATACCATTCTCCGGGTCTCTTATACAGACTTTGAAGACTTGAGATCTGCTGGAAAAGTACGTATACCAGCCTGGCGAGACAATGAGTAGGATCAATACCCGATATAAACATTCGTTAAACATAGCCAGCTATTATACCCATCATATATTCACAACCGTCCCAGCTCCAGATCCAGCTACGCTACTCGTAGACCATCCAGCCCGTGGACCCAATCACCACGAACGACATCACGGCCGTCAGGATCCCAGCCCCTGCTCGATCGGCCGTATCGATCCGAATGCGCAACCCCTCGGGCACCTTGGGCGGCGGCGGCGACGCATCCCCTCCCCCGGGGTTCCCCCGGCTGGTGCCGCCGGTATCCTGCGTGACGGGGGGGTCAACCCGCGAGATCAGCGTCGACTGCAGCACCTCCAGGGCGGCCATCTGAATCCCCACGTCGTCCATCCCGTCCCACTTCCGACTCGTCCACTCCAGCCCGCACGTCGACTGCCTCGCGCCCCCCGTGCACGTCGCCGCCGCCGCCTGCGCCGACGCCCGCAGCTTCGGCATGATCGTGTCGAACGTGAACGGCGCCATCTGCGTCGTCGCCGCCATCCACCGCGCCAGGTACCCCTTGAAGGACCGCTGGTCGACCTCGCACGTGTTGATCGGCTCGCATGCGCGCTCGTACATCACGTCGTCTTCGAAGAAGACCGATGACGCGTTGATGATGCCCTGCGTGTGGGCCTTCCATGTCGGTGACTCGGTCTGTAGCGTAGCGTAGCGCTGTTAGCCCTAGTACATCCTCAAATCAACCCACCAGCGAACAACTCACAAAATTAAACATCGCCGCCGCCCCCAACAAATAAACCCCGGAATTGTACGTCCACTCGATATGATTATACTCCGCACAGCCATTCCGATCATCCGCGCCATCCCAAAACCGATACTCATCCGTCATGAACCCCACCTCGCGGGTCCAATCCCACACCTTCGTGGCCCAATCCGCATACGTCTGATTACCGGTATATTTCGCCAACCGGGCGGCGAGATTAAAGAAGCATCCGTTCGAGATGGTATTCTTGTAGTTATAGCCGTTGTTCCAGGTGAAGATCTGCCAGCGCAGGCCGCCGGAGCAGGTCGAATCGTCCCAGCGGGCGGCCTGCGTGTTGAAGACCGCTTGCGCCATGGCGAGCCAGCCGGGTGTGGGTGAGTTGTCGGAGGAGGAGGAGGGAGGGTCCGGGAAGTTGCGCTCCGCGGCGGACATGGCGGCGAATGCCCAGAAGCCTTGGTCGTCGTTGCCTTCGGTGCGCGTTTGGTTGGCCGGCATGAATGTCCCCGAGGACCCGGCTTGCCAGGTTAGCCCTTGCATGGTGAGGTTGTTGTAGCTGGTGTCGCCGGTTAGGAACCAGTATTCGATTAGTGCGTTGAACATCGCGCCTGCTTCCCACCAGTAGTATGGATCCGGCAGGTTACCGGGGTTGTCGCCTGGGAGGTTGCCGGTGTAGTGGGTGAGCATTTGTTGGGCGACGGATTGGCAGGCGCTTTTGATGGATTCTGTGTGTTATGGGGGGTGTTAGATGGGTGGTGGGTGGGGGGGGGGGGGGAATGGGAGGGGCGTGCCTGGGTTGTCGAGGTCGTAGTCGATGGCCTGGACGGCGGCGATGAGGAAGAACAGGAGATGCCATGGTGGTTGCATGATGTCGGTTCGTGGGTGGGCGGGTCGGTGTTGGTTGTTGCTCACCTCGGTTTGCAGAGGGGGGGGGATGGGGGATTGAGGGTCGAACGATGCTTATTATCTACCATTTACCATCGACATTCTCGCAGGAATGTGGCATCCATGCTTCCAGGGAAACGACCCACCCGGGCAGATCCAGGCACAATCCAGTGACGATGCGCGACCAAGTTAATCGGGGTTTGCGATGCAATGGCAGGTCGCATTGCGTCTGGTCCCTGGAGTCGCGGCCAATGGGGGGGTTGGAAGGGGGGCTGGCATGCCGGATGCGGCGTCGCCGCATTCCGCATGCTGGTCTGCAAATGCGGGTATTGTTTCATTGTTCGAGCACATTGTTGCGTTGGCGGTCGGTCGGTTCTGGGTCTTGCTGTCGATCTTTGCTGCTTTTTTCAGGCGTAAGTTTGTTGGGGTGTAGTGTAGGGTGGGATGGGATGGAGATGGATATGGATTGGGGGTTAATGGATGGCATTGTCAGGATAGTTGTCCCCTGGGGAGGGGAGGGGACTTCTAGCTACTGCTCTCTCTGCTTTCGCGTTGCGATGCGATGCTAACACTAGTATCCACCTCTGAGAACAGCCTCCACCACCTTCGCGTGCTGTACTAAGAGTTCGTCCTTCATCCGTCGGCCCACCAGCTGGATATGACAAGGGGCGCCCTCGACTTCCTCGGGTTTGTCTGCGCAATCAGCTTAGCTTCATATCCAGATCCAGATCCAGATCGGAACACAGCACTCACAAGCAGGCACGTAATCCACATCCCTCGCCTCGTGCAGATCCTGCAGAGCATCCGCCTTCCCAAACGGCAGCACACACGCCGGATACTGCCCATCGTTAGCACGGCCCTCGTGAGAGATATCTCAATAGATAGACAAATAAATAACCCACGCACATCAATCAAGCTAAAGAAGACCGTATAAACCGGCATGCCATAGGTGTCATGGGGGACTGCGCAGCTCTGATACCCAGGAGCAAGAATAACATCGAGGTCATTCTGCAGCCACAGGCGTCTGACTCTGGCCGCGATGTCGTCCTTCCTGACATTCAAATCATACAACTCGCGCAACGACGGCTCCGGCAGCGACTCCTCGACAGGATACGAGATCTTCAGCGACGCGATCGGGGGCTCCCCACTTCTCCGCAGATGTCCCTCCGCCGTGCGGTCCGGATCCATGCTAAACAGCCTCCACGCCATCGCATTCGCGTCCGCCATGGAGGGCATCAGATCCGTGATATCCACCACCGTATGGCCGGCCCCCTGCAGCCTCGCGACGGCGCGCTTCATCGTCCGCGCCATATTCGGATGCAATGGTCGCGACGCATCCTCCCTATACCAGCCGATCTTCAACTTCCTACCCCGGGTATCCCCAGCCTGCTCGCTATTCTCCGTCGTGCTGGTCCCCTCCAACCACCTCATCCCCACCACCCCATCATCCACGTCCTCCGCCCTGGCCCTCGCCTCACACACCGTCCGCATGAACAGCTCCATATCCCTCACCTCATGGCCCATGGGCCCGGCCACCGCCGGAATGCCGCCGACCAACCCCGGCCTCCCCGACCCGGCCACCCCGCCATACGGCACCCGCCCGGCACTCGGCTTGAAGCCAACCCCCCCGCAGCACAGCGCCGGGATGCGGATCGACCCCGCCACGTCCGTTCCCACGCCCAGAATCGAGCCCCTCAGCGCCAACAAAGCGCCCTCCCCGCCCGAACTGCCCCCCGCCGTGAGATTCGTCCGGTACGGATTCAGCACGCGTCCAAACACATGATTCTCGGAATCACACGTCATCATCGTCTGCGGGATGTTCGTCTTCACGTACAGAACCGCGCCCGCAGCGAGAAGCACCGTCACGAGCGACGAGTTCTGGCTCGCCGGCGGCCGATCCAGGAAAGCCACCAGCCCAAGACTCGTGTGTATACTCGCGATATTGAACGAGTCTTTCAGACTAATCGGCAGCCCGTGCAACGGTCCCATCGTCCGACCGGTTGTTCGGAGGTGCGCGTCCAGCGCCCGCGCCCGCGTCAGAGCCTCGAAGAAGAACGTCTCCGTGAGGCACGAGACGAGTTGTTGCGCGATCGCGGCGCGTTTGCAGAATGCGAGGGTTACTTCCTCCGCGGTGTATTTCTGGGACGCGAGGGAGGACAGCAGTGCGGTTGCGGACCCGGTGGAGGTGATTTCGATGTCCAGCGGGGTCAACAGCCCGGTTTGTTCGGGGATCGAGAGCATGTTGGTGTAGGTGGCTTGCAGGCGCGTGAGGTCGGACGAAGGGATGAGCCATTCTACCGGGATTTTGGCGGCTGCGGTGGTGCGTTTTTGTTGCGCTTTTTCTTGCCAAGTGGTTGGGGAGGGCATTTTGGTCTGGTTTGTTGTTGTGGTGGTGGTGGTGGTGGTGCTTGGGAACGTGGAAGGGAAATGAAATGGGCAGAGGGGAGAGAGGGAAGGGAAGGAAGGAGGAGGGTTGTATGTCAGGGCGGGACCTCGGTCGTCAGGTGAATGAGATGAGGGGTTTGGGATCTGCAAGTCCAAGTGAATGGGATCTCGGGTGAAATGACATCAAGGTGTTCGTTGCCACATACTTGGTTGGGCTGGATTTGGGGTAACAAACCCACGATCATGAGTGATTTTGGATGGTTCACTCAAATTGAATGCAGCGCCAAGTAACCAAGTATATACAACACCCGCAAGTCCTTTTGTCTATCCTATTTTACCCATCCTAACCCTCCAACTCCAGTCCGTTCCCATAATGTACATCGCCCGTCGCCACTTCAGAGCCCCCTCAACAACCCACTACACCTTCCTAAGCAGTCGTCGATCCGTCTTGAAACGAATAAACCCCGCCAGCACAGCTGCCCCCAGCGCCATGAACCCCGCATACAGAATCGCCGGACGATACGCCTTGATCCCACCCACTTCTCCGCCCGACGCATCGAGAATATATCCCGCGATGGGAGAACCCTAGGTAGCCACAGCCGTCAGCATCAACCCCCCCCCCCCCCCCCCAACTCAGATTTTACTTCAAGACAACCTACAAGAAGATACCCCCCGCCCAACTAGTCACAATCATCCCCATTGCGACCGACACTCTCGCCGAGCCGAACACGTTCCCAACGACCGTGGGAATCGTGCTGAAGAACCCCCCGTTCGCCATGCCGTTGATGATGACGAACACGATCAACGGCCCGATGGACGTCGATGCAGGCCAGATCACCAGCATGCTGAGCGCGCTGAGCGTCAGGGACACGAAGAGCGTGTTCAGCCCCCCGATTCGGTCACTGGCGAACCCGCACGTCAGCCGTCCCAGGGCCGAGGAGAAGTTGAATGCGGCTACGACGCCCGCTCCGGCGGCGGAGCCCATTCCCATTGAGTCGGTGTAGAGAGGGAGGAAGAAGGGAGGGACGAGAAGTGGGAAGGTTGCGATCGCTCCGGCAGCAAAGAGGAGGAGAAAGCGGATGTCGCGGAATAGGCGCCTGATGGGTATGGGTTAGAGAGTGAGGTGGTTGTGGTTGTTGGGGTGGGGGTGGGGGTGGGGGTAGGGTACACACCACTCAACGAATGCGGATTGGGGGATCGGGACTCGCTGCTTGACCATAAATGCAGCTGGGAGGCCAGTCGCCATTGTGATCAGGCCCAGGATGCGGAATGTCCATGCTGTTCCCACGCGTGTCAAGAGCGCGTTGAGGATGAAGCTGATGGCAGCGCCGCCTAAGCCCCCGGCGGCGTAGACAATCCCATTGGCAATGCCGCGCTTCTTTTTGAAGTACTGAGCTGGGGTGATCGAGACGACCATGAAGCAGAGACTGCGATGTTAGTTAGTTTTGCTAGTAGTGGCCGGAGTGATGTTACCTGGTTCCCACGCCCATCACGACACCCGCAGTGACGAAAAGACCGCCGATCTCCTTGAACGCAAAGCCGCTTAGAATTCCCCCCAGTCCGAGTAGGAAGATGCCCAGTAGTGCGGAGACTTGGGTTCCCAGTTGGCGAATCACCCGGGCGTTCGGGATCCCCAGAAAAGAGATGCAGGCTGGGGCCAATGAGCCCACGAAGGACAGTGTTGACGCAGACGAAACCCCCTCTTTCACCAGAGCGGCTTGCATAACACCCCAGCAGTAGGAGGTCCCGATGAACCACCAGGTGATCACTGCACAGCCTGCGATGACCACCCAGCCGGCCCCTCCTTCAGGGACTTCGGCGTCCGCGAGGAGGGAGGCCTGCATGACCTCATCGGTGGTGGTTGGCACTTGGATGGCGGCATTCTTGGGGCCTCTTGCCTCGAGTTCGACCAGGTGTCCCGGTTGCAGTTCGATCGCGGTCGAGGTCGACGTGGATGCCATCTTGGGGGGAGGGGGGGTATTTTGTCGTGGTCGAAACAATCAATCAGACCTGGGGAGAGGAGATTATTTCATGGGCGGGCGGGTAACCCTAACCCGTCCCATGTCCAGATCAACCGATGGCAACTGGCAAGACATTGACTCACAGGCTAGTTTTTGCGATTGGAACTGGCAAGTCTAGACTCTGGCTCCGATCTCGGGTCCGGTCGGAATCAGCCAGGACTTAACCAGAACGAGATGATCCGATTGAGTGCCGGTCGGCAAGTGGAGCGTGTCATCCGCAGGGCGTGCGAATTCTGGAAGTTCCAACTTCCAACCCCCCGACGACAACTCCCGGGGAATATGCCTGCTCATCCCCCCCAATGGAGTTCCCTCACCCAGGGCTACCGCTCCCTGAACTATGTGACGGCATTCTGTCCCTAGCGCCGCTGGACGGAGACGATGCCTTTTCATACCCCACCACCCCCGACCCCATCTTCACCCTGCCGTCGGAGCTCCCTGAGAACCATTCCGCCCCTGCGATCGCTCCCAATGCCCTCCTCTCCCCGGAGAACGACTCTACTAGTACCCGTCCAGTTCGGCAGCATCAGCGACTCTCCAGAGATTCGGTGAGAATCCTCAAGTCATGGCTCAACCAGCACCGGGACCACCCATACCCCACGGCCCCCGAGAAGGAGGAGTTGGAGCAGCAGACGGGCCTGAGTCGCAGGCAGCTGTCCAACTGGTTCAACAACGCTCGACGCCGCAAGAGGTCCAGCGGGGATGTATCTCTGCTGTCACCCATGGAGCGCTGGAGGAGCTCACCCCCCGAGAACGAGCCCGCGGCAGCCGACGACATCCTCCGGGCCCTCGCCAACACCGACACGCCCTCCTTCCACGCCACGCCGCACTACGCATGGTCCAGCAATGACTCCAGCGGCTCGTTCGTCCTCGGCCCAGCCTCCATGAGCAGTCGCGAGCACAGCCAGTCGTCGAGCTCCGAGATCTCCGTCGCCCTGTCGCATTCGAACCACCCCCCACAGCGTCCTCCCACCCCCCTTCATCGCCCACCACCCCACCGTCGCCGTCGCAAACATTTCCGACACGCGAACCGCCTCCAGCAAACCCGACGCCCTTACCAGTGCACCTTCTGCGCCGACACCTTTGCCACGAAGTACGACTGGCAGCGACACGAAAAGGCGCTGCATCTCCCGGTAGACCGGTGGCACTGCGCACCACAAGGCGGTTATATCGACGGCGAAGGCGACGGCGACGGCATCCGCACATGCGCCTTCTGCCAAATCCCCAACCCAGACGACGACCACCTCGAAAAGGCCCACGACTACAGCACCTGCCGCGACAAACCCCCCGAGCAACGCGTCTTCACCCGTAAAGACCACCTCCGGCAGCACCTAAAACTCACGCACCAGGTCGACGGACATCTTTCCGGGATGGACGCGTGGCGCACGACACGCGATCGGATCGTCTCTCGGTGCGGGTTCTGCGATACCAGCTTTCAGACATGGTCGGAGAGAGTCGAGCACGTCGCGGATCACTTCAAGCAGGGCGCTGATATGATCCAGTGGAGTGGCGACTGGGGGTTCGAGCCGGAGGTGCAGCGACTCGTGGAGAATGCCATGCCGCCGTATCTGGTGGGGAATGAGTGGCATACGCCGGATCCGTGGAAGATGTCGGATGTGTTGGGGACACCGGCGGAAGGGGACGCGGAGATGCCCTTTTCTTGGGATGTTCCGACCGCGCTGGATCGGTATGTCAACGTTCATCGCGTGGTGTTGACGTATATCCAAGAGCAGATGGCGGAGGGGATACGCCCGTCGGACCTGATGATTCAGCATCAAGCGCGGATGTTTGCGTATGGCAGTGATGATCGGTTTGATCAGACTTATGCGGATGATCCTATGTGGCTAGAGGCGGTTAAGGTTGAGGCTGGGTTGATCAGCTGGGTATAGTTGGATCGAATGTACAGACCGTATCATTCATCCATCCATCCATCCATCCATCGCCCATTGCAGAGGTCTGGACACTTTTTGCTTTGTTGACAAATCGACCTTGGTTTCCGTCCCGTTGGTTGCCGTAGATCGTAAGCGGTCCGGGGGGGGGGGGGGGGTTGGACTCCTCAGATTTGGGACTCCAAGTGAGGCTTCATGTCGCTGGATCATATTGTTATGCACGGAATGAGCCACATTGGCCTCGATCGATGACATCATTTTCTTTACCCAGCATCTGCATCAGTCCGAGTCTGAATCTCAGTCCTAGACAGATGAATCGCGTCTCCCTGTCAGTATTAGTAATCACCCCATTGGTTGGTTAACTATGTGTCTGCCTGCTCCTGCCGCTAGCCTCCTGTGCCCTATCCATCCCAGGCACCCTGCCCTATAGCATGCAGATGAAAAGCTCGGGGTTAAGCTTTTCAGCCACAGGGAACGGGTCCGGAGGTGCCACAACGCCTCGCTAACGCGGGCTAAACCCACACTAGCGGTACTATTGGTGGCCAAATCCCTGGCCGACGAGCGATAGCGCCCCCCAATTCCCCCCCCCCCGGGGACGTTTTCGTTTTCTGGCCACTCAAGCCCTTCCTCAACCGAAGAGACTAAAATGTCATTTCCACGCCCCTCGACCAGATAAGCCCCTCTTTTCCCGGTTTCCAGATAATAATACGTGCAGTGGCACTAGACTAGATATCTATCTATCTACTCTAAGTCGTCTAACGCACTCTGGGCAACCTGGCACGCGCCCACTAGCGGCAGAAAAAAAAGGGTCATAAAGAGGGCCTGGACCCCTTTTTTTTTTTAACCCGAACTTTCCCTGGCCACCGCCAGTGCCATAAATAAATGGATGAATGAAATTGAGTGAATGACTGGGTCTGTCTGGGTCTGGGTCGGACTCAGGGGTCTCGTCTCGTCTGTCATACTACTCATGGGGCGTCTTGGCCAGGGCCTGCGATCCGCCCTTGCGGTGGTCGCTGTCGCTGGAGGTTTGTTGAAACGTACGTCCGTCCGTCCCGTCTCAGTTCTTCGTTCAAAGTTGAATAATTCGTCTGCCTGTTTTTTTTTTTTTTTTTTTTTTTTTTTTTTTCTTTTTCTTTTCCCTTTTCCGGGTGTTGGGGTGTAAATTTCTTCTCTTTTTATTAACTTTTTCTCCGCCAGTCGTCGCCGCACAGGACTGTTATGCCAATTCGACCATTAATGGGTACACGTTTGATGTAGATAACTTCTACTCCCAGGATCAGTTGGATGATTTCGCCCAGAACTGCACCACGCTGTTTGGTGACGTCGGGTTCGGGTCCAATTTCACAGGGTCGGCCGTGCTGCGCAATCTGCAGAACATCACCGGCCTCGTCACCGTCGGGTCCAATTTGACCTCTATCGAGTTCCCGGATTTGCTGTCGCTCGGGGGCCTCGATGCCTCCTCATCCCTCTTGCGAGTGGTTTCCCTGCCCCTGCTGGAGAGGGTTAATGATATCGACGTCGAGGAAGCGCAGTCCTTGAATTTTTCTTCTCCGAACGTGCTCAATGCCAGCTCTATCAAACTCACGGGACAAATATCTGCGTATGTATTTCTTCGTCTTTCGACTCCCGGCTTGGTTATCATTTTACTCACTGTATGTGTGTAGTCTGGATTTCAGTCATCTGGACACCGTCTTCTCGGAACTGTATATCGATGGCAGCTCCTTGAAGAAGTCTTTCAATGTCAGCCTCCCCGCTTTGAGAAACGCCAGCGATGTAGAGATCTCTGGCAATCTGTCGAGGTTTGTTCCAGTGCAATTCCATCCAACATTGGCGGTCCGGTCTAATCGTCTGTCTGTAGTCTGTCGCTCCCTCTGCTTGCCACGGCCGGAAGCAGCTCCCAACAAGCAGGTCTCACACTCTATAACTCTGGAAAGCCCATCAATATGAGTCTCCCGTCTCTCAGCAACGTTAACGGCACGCTTTCGTTGGATGGAGGTATTGCGGGGTATGTACCTACCTATCTCGATCTCTCTACTTCGTTTCGGTGCACTGATCAGCGGATTAGAATCTACCTCCCATCCCTGCTCAACACAACAGCAGACCTCGTGGTCGACACCTCCAGCAGCCTCGCCGTGTATCTACCCTCGCTCATTGGAGCGAACAAAATCAGCCTCGAGGGCGCAATATCCTCGTATGTACAACCCCTCTCCCATCTCCGAGCCCCTATTAACAATCTCCAGCGCAAACTTCTCCTCGCTCGAATACTTCACCAGCTTCGACATCCAATCCAACATCTACATCGACTGCGCCACCTCCCTACCATCGAACCGCACCCACCAGGGCGAAACCAGCTGCTCTGGCGCCGCCAAGCCGACGAATAATTCGGGCCGCGCGATCAGCATCGGCGTCGGTGTGGGCGTGGGAGTCGGCGGTGGCATCGGGCTGATCATTATCGTCATCTGGGTTTACCGCAGGAATCTCAAGCATAAGAAGAGGGCGAGTGAGGCGGTCGCCAATCTGGATGTGTATGGGTTGCAGGAGCAGACGCATTCGGCTGCCGTGGCTGTGGAGAGGCCGAATACGGATCCGCCGCCTTATTCGAGGTATTAGTTGGTTACTATGTATATTCTGAGACTTTATTGGATAATGTTAGATTTATTTTTTGGGATTTCCGTCTGGATGTTCTGGTAGTTCAGTGGTTTAAGATGTCTTGTTTATGGGTTCATAATTCTGTGGGGACAGTGTCCCGGTGATTTCAGTTTCTTGTTGGTCAGCGGGAGCCATTCGCTATACTTATATATTATATCCGGCACGGACAGAGATTTCATCGGCATCACCCAATACCTGCAAAAGCACACTCGTTGTGGCATCATGCCGGACAAACCCTTTAATCTGGCTTACTTGCTATATAAGTTTTCGTAACTGATCAGATCCCACCCATTTATCATCCCAATACAAAGCTCCATACCCCTCATTTCCTTCATCTGACATGACCATTACCGTTCTGAGTCCCATTACCGCATCATTACTTCAAGAGATGGGGCTGTGGTTTAGTGGTATAATATTCCCTTAGCATGGGAGAGGTCCGGGGTTCGATTCCCCGCAGCTCCATTACTTTTTTGCCTTTTTGCTTTTGGGTCTCCCGCCGGCTATCGTCAATTCCCCGGGGTTTCAACCTAGCTTTGTTTGGATGGAGCTGAAACAGCACTCACTCCCTTTACCCCTTCTTTCATTCTTCAATTCCATGTCTAGCCGCTGGGGAACTATTTTGTGACACGCCGCCATTTCTGCCTGAGCAGGCTTGATAAGCACCCTCAACTCAGGAAGGGTTGTCCCGGGGTGTAGAATTACATGGAGCTACTTTCTTTGATATCCCCCCATCTACAAGAAGATAGGTCAGATTTAATTTGTTGTTGTGCTTAATTTAGCGTATGTGGCGCCCTTCAGTGTTACACGTACTCGGAGATAACCCCTTCATTTCGCACAATGACCCACGCAATACATCTGTCTCCAGCTCAAACAATTTGAATCCTTCATCACTAGCTACTTACACCACACCCTCCCCTCTAATTCTCCGGAATAACATGCTCCTCCGCCTTAACACCCGCATTCCAGCGATACTTCGCGGCCGGATGATCAGCCGGCGGACCACTCTGTCCCGCCTTCCCATAGAGGTTCTCGCGGTAGGTGCCCTTATTGACCGCATAATCATCCCAGAAAAGGCCCCGCTTACGGAGCTCAGGGATCAGCAGCTCGATGACGTCCTTGAACGAACCGGGCTTGATCGCATATGCCTGAGACTGTTAGCCTTTTATTGCCCGACCACCAGAGTTTACTGTGGCGGTGACAGTGACTTACCAGGTTAAACCCGTCCACGTCCGCCTCGTTCACCCATTTCTCCATCTGGTCGGCTACCTGCTGCGCTGTTCCCACTGGCGTTGCGCCCAGTCCCCCGACGGTGATGTGCTCGCCTACCGTCTTTTTGGTCCATTTCTCGACCTCCGGCGTGGCTTTGGACCAGCCTTCGACTGCGGAGCTGCATAGCATTGTTAGCCCCATTTTATCCCATCCCATCTCAGACACCCCAATCCAGGCAGAAAAAAAAAAGAAAGAAAGAAAGAAAGAAAGAAAGAAAGAAAGAAAGAAAGAAAGAAAGAAAGAAAGAAAGAACCCACCGAATAGCATTACTCTCCACATGCCTCAACTCCTCCTCCTCGCCATACCGATCCAGATCAATCCCGGTCCAGCCGCCAAACAGCGCCAACGCCCCATCAATCGACCCCAGACTGCGATAATAGCGAAACTTCTCCCACGCCTCCTCCTCCGTCCGTCCCAGCACCGGACACAGCAGTGCCAGGAACTTGATACTCGCCGGATCGCGTCCGAACTGCGACCTCGCCAACTCGCGGATCTCCGCCACGTTCTTGGCCACCACGGACGGACTGTGGCCCGCGACGAAGATCGCCTCGGCGTGTTGCGCCGCGAACGCCTTCCCGGCTTTGGACGTCCCGGCTTGCAGGATCACGGGCGTGCGTTGCGGGCTGGGTTGGCAGATGTGCGGGCCTGGCACGCTGAAGTATTTTCCGGTGTGGTTGATTTCGCGTACGAGGCTGGGGTCGGTGTAGATTCCTCGCGTGCGGTCGAGGACAACGGCGTCGGATCGCCAGGAGGATTCCCAGAGTTTGTAGGTCACTTTTATGTATTCTTCGGCTTGGGCGTAGCGGTCGTCGTGCTGGACTGAGTTAGTGGGTTGGGGAGGGGGAGGGGGAGGGGGAGGGGGTGGGGAGCGTACTTGGGGCTGTTGGGTGTGGCCGAGGTTGCGGGCCGCGGAATCGAGGTATCCGGTGACGATCTGTGATGTGAGTGTGAGTGTGATTGCGGTGATGCGAATATTGCGCGGGGAGACCTACATTCCATCCTATCCTGGTTTGTGTTAGTGGTCATTATTATATGGTGTGGTGTGGTGTGGTGTGGTGTAGTGGAGGCTGACTTACCGTCCCTTAGTCAGGTGGTCGATCGTGGACAGACGTCTTGCAAGGTGAAACGGCTGCTCGTAGGTCGTCGTGACAGTGACCCCGAACCCGATGTTCTTAGTCACTGCGGCCATGGCAGGCACCACGGATAATGGCTCGTTGACAGGCCATTGCGCGCCGGAAATGATGGCCGGGTCGAGGTTGCGGGGGCCCTTGTAGACGTCGTAGCCACCTGAGGGGTTTAGTTGTCATGCTTGGGATGGATCTCATGAAGGAAACAGCTTACCTAGCACATCGGCGATGAAAATGCCGTGGAACTTTGCGGATTCCAGTAATTGTGCTAGCTCCGTCCAGTGCTCGATGTCGTTGAATCGGTGCGACTCATCCTCGGGGTGTCGCCAGAGTCCCGGGGATTGGTGCCCGCTGCCTGGTGGATGTTAGGGAGGGGTTGGTGGTGGTGGTGGTGGATGGGTGGATGTATGGATGTATGGGTGGGTTGTGCGTACACATTTCTACAAATGCATTGAGGATGAGCGATTTGCGTGGGCGCGTGGATGCATCGTTGGTAGTAGTCATTTTGGGAGGTTGGAGGAGTTGGTTATTGTTATTTTACAGAGATCATAAGAGTTTGATTGAGGGTGTTCGGGGGAGGAGACAGAGAGAGAAAGTTAGTATTTTAAGCTAGAAACCTAGGCGATCAACGCGCTTTAAAAGACGCCGACCGACAGAGAGTGCATGACCCCGCGTCTACGGTGCCTGGCCTCCGTGATAGATATGCGCGGGATGATGTTCTCTAGCACCACAGTGGGCCGGGATGACGTGACGGAGCAGGAGGGCAGCCCATGCGCGGGGGCGCAATGTCCAGTCTGGAGCAAGTAGACAACGGTACTCGGTAGAGCGCGGATCATCCTGAGACCTTTGATCCAAAATCCAGAGATTATGAATCTTTAGCCCCGATGCAGCCCGGATCCCAGACGTCCTCGGTTGAAGGGAGTGAAGCTGGAGCTGCGGCCAATTAGGGTTTGGCCACGGAAACGGCAGCCCCTGCCCTGTCTTTGGGCCGATGCCGCCAACTCTCGTCGCTGTCACGCAATCCAAACCTTCTTGATCCTGCTGCATATCTATCGGCCGATACGCATCTATCCAGCTATATTATTGCCGGTCGGAGCACCTCATCTGTCTGAGCTATCGTACCATCAGGGACCACGGCATGAACGTGGAAGGATCGATGATCGACAGACAGTTGGGTGTAGCTGGATCATTCGTGAGATGTAGATCCTCGTATCTGCCGGTGGCGCAATGTGCTCTCGGTTTATATTTACTCTGTCGAGTGCCTCGTAGGGTTCCCTGTACTTGTTGGAAGACGGTATCACTGTCAACGCAATGTTCGACCTTAGTACACGAGCGGCGGGGGCGTCCGTGCAGCCTCCCCTGTCCCAAGCTGTCGGCTATGTCGTCGTTGTGGTGTTGGGCCTGGTCATCGCTTTGGGTATGTTAGACCCCGTGTGATCATGATGTACTATAGCTAACAGAATAGCGATGATGGTTATAACCAAGGTCCTCAAGAAAACGACAGGAGAAGACAACGAAAAGACGGAAATGTACGCCACTTCTATCCCTCGAGTCAAACATACTGACCATCCAGGTTCATGACTGCCAACCGCTCGGTCCGGACAGGTTTGACAGCGTCGGCTGTGATTTCTGTATGCCGCTCCTGTGTCCTTGAAAACGCCATCTAACAAATCAGTCCTGGTTATGGACGACAGCCATCCTGGGTGCTTCGTTTGTCGGATATGACTATGGAGTAGCCGGTCCATTTTGGTTCGCTGCCGGATGCAGCCCCATGATTGTCTTCTTTGCGTTGATCGGAATATCCTGCAAGAGGAAGATACCAGACGCGCATACCTCGCTTGAGGTAGTTCGGATCAGATATGGTATGTTGCTCGGGACATTTCGTGTTCTTGCTGACTTGATCAGGACGGGTTGCACATATCGTCTTCATGACCTTGTGTCTGATCAACAATATTTTTGCTTGTGCGAACATGCTCTTGGGCGCTTCGGCTGTGATATCTGCCATGTGAGTGGACTTTCCGGGATGGAGATCAAAGCTGACTATACAGAACCGGCATGCACATCATCGCTGCGACGTTCCTTCTGCCTGTTGGTGTGACGGTTTATACGTTTGTCGGGGGAATCAAAGCGACGTATGTGCTCTGTTTGGAATCGATGAAATGTGCTGACAGTAGTAGCTTCTTGACGGACTACTTCCACACGGCCATTATCTTGATCATCGCTTGCTACTTCACGATCAAAGCATTTACCTTCGAAGAGGTCGGGTCAATAGGCGGATTGTATGATCTCGTCCAAGCGGCTGCGAAGCGTCATCCGGTGTCTGGAAACCACGACGGGACTTACTTGACCATGACTTCGAAGGGTGTATGTAAGCCTCCCAATCTCCTGATGCATTCTGACACCAAAAAACAGGCCATCCTGTTTGCGATTCTGCATATCTGCTCCAACTTCGGCTTGGTTATTGTGAGTACTCCCGTTCATCCAAAAGCATCACTAACCTCCCCAGATGGACACCAGTTACTTCATCAAGGCCTTCTCCGCCTCACCCTCCTCCGTCGTCCCCGGATACACAATCGGAGGGATCGCCTACTTCGCCATCCCCTGGGCACTCGGTACCATCATGAGCTCCCTCGCCCTCGGTCTCGAGAATCGACCCGTCTTCCCAACATATCCACGAGTACGTGCCATCCCCCCACCCGCCCAAGGACAAAACTAACAAATCTAGCGCATGACTTCCACGGAAGTAAGCAACGGCCTCGTCCTCCCCTACGCCGCCATCGCCATAGCCGGCAAGGGTGGCGCGGCCGCCGTTCTCCTGATCACCTTCATGGCCGTCACCTCGACGCTCTCCGCGCAAGTCATCGCCGTCAGCTCCATCCTCAGCTTCGACGTCTACCGTGAATACATCCACCGATCCGCGTCAGACAGAGACATCATCCGCGCCAGCCACTTCGGCGTCATCTTTTTCGCCGCATTCTCCGCCGGCTTCAGCACAATGCTCCACTATGTCGGCATTGATCTCGGCTGGACACTGTATATGCTCGGTACACCCCAACCTCCACCCCCGATAATCCCAGACAACACTAACCCACAAATCCCAGGCGTCGTCACCTGCCCGGGCATCTTCCCCATGGCATTCACCATCCTTTGGCGGCGCCAGAGCAAGGCCGCCGCCATCCTGGCCCCGATCCTGGGCATGGCCACCGGAATCGCAGTCTGGCTTGGCACCGCGCAGCATTTCTATGGCGCGGTGTCTGTCGCCACGACGGGGGAGATTCTCCCCTGTGTGTACGGCACCGTTGCGTCGGCTTTCTCGCCCATCCTGTACTCGGTCGTCATCACCCTGTTTCGGTCGCAGAGGTACGACTGGGCGGACTTCAGGAAGGAGAAGTTGGGGCTCGATAGGGTGGATAGCGATAGTGATGCGACGGTGGATGAACGGCAGGTGGAGCATCCCGCGTCGACGACGACGACGACGTCGTTGTCTGATCCCCGGGAGTTGAAGCGATGGGGTCGCATCGCGGCGTTTTGGTCCGTCGCGACGTTTCTCGGGCATTGGGTTATTTGGCCGTTGCCGATGTATGGGTCGCAGTATGTTTTTGGGAGGGGGGTGAGTGTCTTTCTTTTTTCTGTTCCTTTTGCCTTTCCCTTTCGTTTTGTTTTGATGTTTGTGGTGAGACGTACTAATTGTGGTACAGTTCTTCTCAGCTTGGGTGGTCGTCGGGATCATCTGGCTGTGGATTACCATGCTCGTGGCAATCTTTTATCCTATCTTAGATGGGGGCATACAGCAGATCACGCAGGTGTATCGGGCGCTGCGTGGGAGGAAGGATACTCCCTCCGTACCGTCGCCGTCCATTACGGACGGATCTCATGAGGTGACGAAAGTGGATGAGAAGAGTGGAGGAGGGAGCAACTCGGCAGGTTGGATATGATATCCGCGTGACGTGAGCAGTGGGCACAAGTCGCGCGCGCTATTACAAATATAATCTGGGGGTAAGTGAATGGTAATATGTGATCTATGTAGGTATGAGGTACATGATGAATGATGTTCTCTTCGTTCGCTTTTCTGGGCTTGCGTTGCTGCCTCGGGGGTTAAGGCCGATGTTGATCATGCCTCGAGTGTGTAGTTGGACCTCAGGAATCAGGGGTATTTGGCATTTCACAAGGTTGAATATGCGCTGTGCCAGCTATGTATGAGAAATTTGTAGGTACTCTGCCTACATTTGATGATGATTTAGGCAGTGAAGTCTATCTAAGATGACATCGGTTGAAGTTATCTAGGAGACTAGGAATGTTAAAGAAGTGTAAATGGTAAATGGAAACAAAGAAACGGCAGCATTACTCAGCAGGCGCCGATATGTATGGTCTGTTTGTTTGAGTCTTCAGTCAGTTCCTTCGATATTGTTGTGGCGATACTGCCATTTTGGGTTCGCCATGGGTGTTTGAGTAACCAGGGGCCAACACTAATAGATAATAATATTTGCTAGGATGATTTAATAACTAAGCTTTTTCAAAATATATATCCATATCCTAACCATTCTTTCTTTAGAGGCTTCATCTTCTACTTCAGATATAGACTTAAGATTATGAATTATAGATACTCTCTCAGTATTCTATATTATAGTGTTTATAGTATATATAGTGTTAGCCAGCTCTACCTCGGCCTATGCTCTCTTAATTATGTTAGCAAAACGCGAATTTAACCTCCATGGCCTCAGGCTGCGCGTCCGTGGTTGCTTCCCAAGATCTAGCAGTAGTCGGGAAGACTCTGTCAACCCCCGATCCTCGTCCATCGGACCTAGGTACGGGGAGCAGAAGAATAACACCGCGAGGAAGTATAATATTGTAGCTTTCTACCACAATATAATCGGGCAGCTGCGGTGAATACTATAGAGATAAGATATAGCAGGAAGCAGAGTAAAGGTATTATATTCGGGTGGGTGCGTAAGAATAATATACGAGCTCTACTCTTGAAAATGGAGAACGTTGCACTTGGGGGGTTTGACCCCTCCAAGCCGAATGAGAATGTCCGCGATCTAATCGTCAGACTTGCAGATTGCGGTGCGAGTATGGGTCCCTTTTCCTGTCTTGTCATCAGCACTTCTAACTATTTCCACAGTCAGCAAACCATCGACCCGAGAAATCACGTCCCTCGCCCATCGCAGCCCCGAAGTCCACTTCGGGAAAGCATGGACTCAGAGTATCGACGTTTGGTCCTGGGGGATAATTGTTAGTATTTTTGCCTCGAATAATGTCGCATGCTTCCTATACGTTGTGTTCACTAATGCATCATACACAGCTGGCCCAATTGCTCCAGTGCCAGGTTGATCTCCAATCCCCAGGAATGTACGATTCTATCTGCACCGGCACCCTCGCGGAAAAAGAAAATGCCATTCGTGATCAACTTGCAATCGACTTTGACCTAGCCTCTGTGCCATTTTATGCCGATGACGAGCAATGCGCCAAGATGCTTCTTGCACCGCAGCCAGAAGAGGCGTACATGTGGGCAAATACCCTGGTTGAGAAGGGTGTTTTGGGCGAAGACGTCCAGTCTCTGGCGGAAGTTCTGAACCCAGATCCAAAAGCGCGCCTTACGGTGCGTGAGATCCTTGAAAGTGGGTACTTGGAAGGTTGAGTGGATTGACCCGTGCCTCTCAACGCCATGCTGTACAGGAAGCCACTGCATACAGCCATAGGGCGTGGGGACCAGGGCTCGCTGCCCGCTCAGCCATACCTAAGCCACACATTAGCGCCTAGTGGACATGCTGTGTTTGACTTGAGTTCATGAATTAGTATATAGTAAAAAAAAATACAGTAAGACTGGAGTTCGATCAGGAATTTCACCAGTAGGGGTTTAACAGGACTTAAATCTACAGTTAACCGCATGATCTTACCATTGATGTTCATTTGCCCCATTTACTTATCTACCCCACTGACCACACTTGCTTACCCTCTCAGCCATCGAATAACTATTGCGCACTTGTCTTGTCTACTCACCCTGACCTTCTCCAGTTCGCGCGACCGTAAACCGGCCTCACCCGCTAGCTTCACTCGGGCGGCACCCGACTAGACCACCAGCAAATCTCTTCTTTTGAGAAGTTTGCTGTTTCCCCTACTAGTTTCTGCCACTCCTGCCACCTTGTTTGTGGTCTGTTTACCTGTTCAATTAAGGCTTATAAGCTCGCGAAGCGCCCGTGTAAAGCATCCCAGCAAGGGGCAACAAGTCAGGTTGCACAACCAACAGATAATACGATCACGTCGTGAAACAAAGAAAGGCAAGTGGATAGATCCAAGCAAGGATCCAGGCTAGTGGCCGGGGGATTTCCGCTATTCCGTGACCATTGACCCATATGGCTGAGGGCTGCACACTAAAATCTGACATTGTCGCCCTTCCTCGCGGCTAACCAACACGGCGACACGCTTCCAAGGCAGGGATGGACTCGTTTGGCCCCCACGTTCCACTCCTAGCAACCTGACTCGTGTTCTGGACTGTGATAGTGGTCCTGCTAGTAGTCCTATACCATGCAACGTTATTGTTTTCATTGACTGCGGGTAGCCTCTTGCGGCTAGCTTACCACGCCGTCTCGTGCAGCTGCCAGGGAAAGGGCTAGCGCTGCTCCCCCCACTGATGGGCCTCTAGTACGGGGGTGTCTCAGGGCTGTGTGTTGGTCGTATTTTTCAAAACATCCCCGTCCCGGCAGCCCGGCATGGAGTATGGGCATAGTACATACTTCAACGGCCAACGCGTCAACATCCAAAGACAGTAAGGGCAGCAAGGCCATTATGTACTAAGTGGCTGTGGGTCAAGCTTCTAACCATGCACGTCATGAATTCAAGTCACAAACGCAATCACCTCGGGCGAGGGGAGGGGAGAGCCGCCGCGAGGCAGATATCCTCCCCCCCCCCCTTTTCCTCCACGACTCAAGATAGAGATAGAGACCGTTACAACTTATATCTACCTACAGTTGGCGCCCCCAAAGCACTAACCAAACCAGACCATCATCAGCGATCATCTATCGATCATCATATCCGACCATGTCTTCCCCCACGACCGGCTACACACTGCACCGGAATTACACCTCCTCAGCCCGGTAAAGACGCACGACCCGTTCTCGCTGCGTCGCCTGCTAAGTGCTAACCTCCTTACTGTGCAGGCTGAACGCCCAGCATCTCCTGTGGAAAGAAGCCCTCGGATACAATCTGCACCCATGCATCGATCTGCCCCGGGACCAGCCCGTGCGCGTGGCAGACATCGGCACGGGCACGGGGATCTGGATGATGGACGTGAAACGGGATTATCCGGCCGCACGGATCGACGGGTTCGATGTCTCCTTCGCTCAATGTCCCCCCGCGGAGTGGCTGCCGGATGGGGTTAATTTGCGCCCCCTCGACCTGTACGAGCCTCTGCCGGCGGAGCTGGAGGGCGTCTATGATGTGGTGCATCTGCGTCTGTTCTTTGTCGTCATCCGGAATGATGACCCCGTGCCGGTGTTTCGCAATCTGTTGCGCATGTTGAGTGCGTTTCCTGCTTCTGAATAGGATCTGGCGTGGTTGACTGACTAACTGACTCCAGAGCCCGGCGGCTGGCTGCAATGGTCCGAACACAACTACGAGTCGTGGTCGGTTCAGTCCGTGGCCGGGGTGTCCACCCCGGCGTTGGATGAGATGATGGCGTTGATGAAGGCAACGGGGCTTGGACGGTAAGTGACACCATCCGAGTCTGTGCAGACTGCAGTGGCACAGGGCTAATGTAGTGTGCCATGTCTAGCTGGGTCCCTGGACTGTCCAACGTGTTCGCGCAGCACGGGATGGCCGAGGTGCGCAAGGAGCTCCATCCTTGCATCCCACACACGCGGGTCTACTGGAGCCAGCTGCAGTTCAACTCGAATGAGGAATACAGTTATTTGGCGATGGATAACAGCTCGCCAGACGCGGCGGGCCCCAAGCTGCGCAGCCTCATTCACCAGGCGGCCGAGGAGTGTCGGCGGGGCGCTGGCTTCGACTTTACGATCGAGGTGACACTGGGTCGGAAGCCTCCCGCGTAGGAGATAGATAGCATGCTATAATACCACGGACTATTCCCGAATCATAACGCCATACTTCACGGTGTCGTTGCAGCGTTGGTAACTTGATTGGGGGCCAGGCAGAACAAAGTAGTAGCGAAGGAAGACTAGACTCATTTTAGGGCGTGGGGTGAAAAATACGGTATCGGGTACGGTGGATCACCGGTGGGTCTGTCAATCTTAGTGTCGAGGAATACGAAGTACACCAAGACATCCACGACATGCAGCAAGTAAAACAATAATAGCGGTAATATAGATAGCAAATAGCCAGGTCGTAGATAACATGTAGGTCAGTGTGATAGACCTGCATGCTCTGGCAGGGTTCGTCTTGGTGGTATCCTGGAGTCGGGGCCTTATCAACCCTCATTTCTCCCCCGGCGAGACGCTCTGAGATTGAGATTCAAGGATCCCCCTGCGACATCATGGAGTCACCAACAGAGATGCTCGCCCTGGCACAACAGTTGGAGACGGCGGCGATGGCCCCCAGCCAGCTGCCACCTGCTAGTGACGAGCTGCATGCGCGACTGCTAGCCGCAGCACGCAACCTCATCACCGTCCTCGAGACGCCCGAGACCGAGCTGATGCACCTGGCGAAAGCAGTACGCCCTCCCCTCCTGCACCTGTTTATTCGACTGCTTTGAGCGACCCAACTGAACTGCATAGCCCGTCGCTCACGGCGTCTTGCGCGCTGCGCTGCGCATCCGACTGTTCGAACGCTTCGATGAGGGCGCGCCCACGGCCACAGATTTGGCGCAGCGCTGCGGAACCGATGTCGCGCTCCTCAGTAGGTCATGCCAGGTCCATGTCTGTCTACATTCCCCCATCCAATTAACATGAACCACCAACAGCTCGCATCATGCGAACTCTCGCCTCCATCGGGATATTCACTGAGCCCACCCCGGGCATCTACGCACATACCCCCCGATCAACCACCCTCCGACACGCCCAACACCGCGCCGTCATCCAGGGCATGTCCGTGGCCGCTCCCCCTCCCCTCACCCTAACCCATGACCCTCACTATCACCGGAGCCCAAATCCAAAGCCTCGACCACAGTCCCAGACCACGCCAATCTAAACTGTTAACTGACACATGGTCTCCACTCACAGGGCCGAGACCGCCACGCTAATGACGGCACTGCCCGACTTCCTCGACACGCACCACTGGCAAAACCCCGTCGACTCAGGCCCCACCCTGTTCGGCTTCGCCCACCACACCGATCAGACCATGTTCGAGTGGTTGGAGGGCCAGCCCGAGCAGCGCGCCATCTTCGCTGCTTTCCAGTCCGGCACAACGGCTTTGGCTATCTGCCAGCTGCAGCCGTTCCTCCGCGACCTCCTCCTCACATCCCCCCCCCCTGCGCCTGCGGTGTCGGTGTCTGGCTCTTCGGTGTCCCCGTTGGTCCCCGACCAAGACCAGGACCGAGTCACCCTCGTCGATGTCGGGGGTGGAAGGGGCGCCGTGTTGCGCGAGGTAAGTCGCGAGTTGCTGCCGACCAGGCCTCCGGGGCGCATCGTGCTCCAGGACCTTCCCAATGTGGTTGAGGGGCTGGGTGTGTCGGACGGGGTCGAGGCCATGCCGTATAACTTCCTCGACCCGCAGCCCGTTAAGGGTAACAATCCCCCAGTCTCTAGACTAAACCCTCCCTGAGTCCCTCCTCCCCTCCCCCTTCCCCTCACTTCCTAATATCTACATATCGACCCCATCCATCTATCTAACCCAACCGCAATTCTCAAAAAAAAACAGATGCCCACACCTACCTCTTCCGCCACATCTTCCACAACTGGAGCGACAGCGTCGCACACAAAATCCTACAGAACACCGCCGCTGCCATGGGCCCGTCCTCGCGGGTCGTCATCGTCGATCTGGTGCTGCCCGACCGCGGCGCTTCGCCCTACGCTGCTTTCCTGGATATCAGTATGATGGCGTTTGGGGGCTTGGAGCGCACTGAGGCCCATTGGAGGAGGTTTTTGGAGGAGGCGGGCCTGGTGGTGAGGAGTATTGAGCCGTTGGATGCGGGGATGCCCGGGGGAGATGCGGTTATTATTGCGGGGAAGAGACTATCTGTATGATGTAGTAATTTGTATGGCAATATGGTAAGAATTTAGATACCGTGTTGGCGCACTATCTGGGTGTCTGGATGATCCTCTTTAGTTCAAGTAGTTGGTTCTATGTAGATTCCGTTAAACAACCACTAAGTGACAGCATGACTGACAGATCGACAGCCACCCCACCCCATTCTATCAGATAGTATATAATAAACCGGACCAGCAGCCCCCCCCTCAACCCCCAACATCCTCAACACTCAACCCCTATACCCATACCGAAACCTACAAATGCCTCTCCACAAACCCCGCCACCGGCACCGGATCGACCAACCACGGCGAATGACCCGTCTTGATCTTCTCCGTCTCGATCTGCGCGCCCTTCCCCCGCGCCTTCTCCACCATCAACTCCTGCACGAACAGCGGGATCGCCCGGTCCTCCTCGCACAGGAGATACGCGGCGGGAATGCGCGTGTACGCCGCGCTCGTCGCGGGGGTGTTCTTCGTCGCCCAGGAGTGTGGGCGCAGGGTCTCCGCCCAGGTTTCGCCGTCCGGTACGTCGTGGAAGAAGAGGCTGTAAGGGTCTTTGGCGGTGACGGTGTTGTTGGATTCCTGTGTGGAAGTAATTAAGTTGGTATCGGATGTGTTGGGGTGGTTGTTGTTGTTGTTGTTATCAGAGGGGGGGGGAAGGAAGCATACATCGCGCAAATACCAATCAGGCGGAACGCCTCCAAACGCCCCGATCAGACTCTCGCCCACGTCGGGAATGAAGGCCGAGAGGAAGATGAGTTTGGTCACCCCGCCCGCCTGGCCCGCAGCTTGGCGCTCCGCCTTGCTGAGCCCATCCAGCGCGCTGTTCACCGGTAGTCCCGACCAGCTGTGCGAGATGACCACCACGTCGTTGCCCGCCGCGGCTTCGACCTCGACCAGCGTCCGGATGGTCGTGATGTCGGGCTGCAGGTCCTCGATGGTGGGGGCTTGCTGGATGGACGGGAACGCGACCGTGTGGGTGGTGTAGCCGGGCAGTTGGGCGATCAGGGGGCCGAATGCCGTGGGCGGGTACCAGGCGCCCGGGCAGAGGATTAGGGTGGGTTTGCCGGCCATATTGGGGGAGTGAGGTGGTGTGGATGGTGGATGTCTGGGAGAGCGGGATGGTGAGGGGAGAGGGAGGGGCAGTGTGTAGAATATCTATGCGGGACGGGCAGTAAACCCGCTCTCTCCTCAGCCTCGTGGCTACTTATTGCCTGTCCAGCCTCGCGTGGATGCAGGAATCGGAAATTGGTACGGCGGATGTCGGATGGGGGCGGTTTGGTACTATTCCAACCGGTGTTCTGGTGGTATTCGTCAATTTCAAGCGCGTATTTGCAATCCGCTAGCGCAGGATGGCACCACCCCAACACCACACTAAGATAAACATCAAGGACATTCCTCGGACTTCCCTGGTCACTTCATACGCCACTCTGCAGCTCGAGTGTTGGTGGATCGCCCGAGGGCTGTCATTTGCGCGCATATCTTGGCGACACGCCCCGTGGCCGGACCATCTCAAGTAGTCGCCAAATAGTGGCCGCATGCCTCCGAGTGTGAGTGTGGTGGCATTTAACTACTGTCATCTTCCTCACGGCTTGCCCCTCTGGGCCCTTGGGCCACTCTGGGGGCCAAGCAGGGTCACGGGGGCCCAATAAGCCCCGTACGAATGCCGTTCTGCAAGGGAGTTGGAGCTGGGGTCCAACCACCCCTCCTGTCAGCACGGGCTGGCATAATAAGAAGAAGACCGGCGGACTGGGAGGCTTCACGCCCACCGTGACTGACTTTCCTTGCTGTCGGTCGACTGCTCTCCTCCCTCCTTCTCCCTCGTTCCCCCCTCGTTCTCCCGGTCCAGAGTTGTTCTCGTGGCCGTCGCTCGGAGTTCTTGGATCCTGGATCCTGGATCCTGGCCCATCATGTACGACGTCCACGCCAGTCAGCAAGCCCGGACGCTGGGCGCTATTATCCCCTTTGCCGTCTTGTCCGTCATCGCCGTCGCATTACGCTTGCTGGCCAAGTCGATGATCCGCCTGAAATATGGCTTGGATGATTACTTTATCGTCCTCGGTCTGGTGCGTCGACCTATCACCTTCGCGCCTTGGAGTACCACTGACCTTCTCGTGTGATAGTGTTGTTCGCTAGGATGCTTCACGTTGTCCGCCATCAGTCAGCCATCCCGACCCTTCCTCACTGACCCGATAACTGACCGGATGTAGTGGTGAAGCTAGGGTCCGGGCTGCACTTGGCCGTGGTGCCGACATCCAACATCCCAGAATACCTCAAGGTCCGCCCTCCAACTATGATGGATCATCAATCTTGATCGGAGCTGGAACTGATCCGGACATCCAGTGCATGTACGCGTACCAGCTCATCTACACCGCATCCGTCCTGGCCATCAAAACCTCCATCCTCACCTACTATGTCCGCATCTTCCAAATCCGCCCGTTTCGCATGGCCGTCTACATCGTCGGCAGCGTGGTCCTCGTCTGGGCGGCGACCGTCTCGCTCATCTCCATCTTCTCCTGCCGCCCCATCCGCGGCTTCTGGGATAAGTCGTTGACGGCGAACTGCGTGAACAGCAAGGCGTTTTATGTCGGAAATGCCGTTCCCAACATTATCACGGATATCCTGATCCTGGTCCTTCCCGTGCGCATGGTCTGGACGCTCCAGACAACCTTGATGCAGAAAGTCACGCTGTCCGGCATTTTCTCCTTGGGTGGCTTGTGAGTAATCCTTCTTGCCGGCACAGAGCCAAGGCTGATGATCGCAGTGTGGTGGTGTGTAGTTGTATCCGTCTGTCGACGCAGTTCAAGGTCGATGACCCGGATTTCACATGTACGCCCTCTCCTTTGAATCTGTGCGCATGGATAAGACTAATAGAAACAGGGGCCATGAACGGCACCGTAATCTGGACGTCGCTGGAGGTCTCCTTCGGCGTCATCTCCGCGTGCCTGCCCACGATGCGTCCCCTGGTCCGCTGGGCCTTGCGGAAACTTAACATGTCGACCCACGATGCCGGCGACAGCTCGCAACGCGATTATGTCGTTACGCACGGCACGGCGCGCGGGTTTGAGACCTTGTCCGGCTCGATAGTGGAAGACCCGCGCCGGTTCCAGACCATGGCGATGCGCAGTAATAGTCGGACGGAGAGCGAGGGCGACGAGGTGCTGCTAGGCCAGATTCAGGTCAAAAGTGAGGTCCGGTTAGAAGCCGAGTCCGTCTAGATTTGGCTGTAATTGGCATGTAAAATAATGATATCAGGCGCTTTTTCTTTTGTTTTTGGGCTACTGGTGGCCTCGCGCTGGGAGTGTGGGTGCTTAGGGCTCGTATCTGTCGATGGATCGACAACGGCTGATCCATCAGCCACGACTGTAGAGTGACTCGGTCTGTCCCGCCTCGTATACAGCCTGTGGACTCGTCTGGAAGAGCCTCTTAGTTTGCTTTGCTAGAGCCGCGTAGACTCATCTTCGGTGAATCACCCGTTAGACCCGCCCACGCACGTCACCCCCAATGATGGGGGGGGATGGGGGGTGGCCGACCCCCCCTGGCTTGCAACCATGCGGCGCCACGGCGGATACATGGCACGGCGTAGATAAGTCACAGCATCAAGCGGCTGCTGAGCTTGGCTATTTCGGGTTGAATCCCCGCCTGGCCGCATACAAATGGAAGCCATCCCCCTCTTCCTGCTGCTGCTGCTGCTGCCGCTACTGCAACCTTTCTGCCCAGTCTCCCTCCCCCCAATCCATCCTCCCCTCCTACTCTCTCTGCCTTCTACTCTCCCGCTTCCATCCCCCAATGCCTCCACCCGTGTCCCAGTACTTTCTCCAGCGGTGGCACACCACCCCGCTGCCTCGCCTAATCGATGAGCTGGCCGAACTATGTCCTGACCGGCCCATGGTCTCCCTTCCCTGGGACAACGACCACCCGGTCAAGGGGTACCGGGACTACAGCATCGCCGAGTTTGCCGCCGCTGTGAACCGGGCAGCGTGGTGGATTGAGCTCCAGCTGGGACGAGCCCCGACTCCCTTCACCACTCTGCACTATGTAGCCCCCCAGGATCTCTCCTACTTCATCCTCACTCTCGCCGCAGTCAAAACCGGATACAAGGTAAGCCCTCCCTCTCATCCCCCACCATCCCACGCTTGCAACCTCCCTAACCACCTCCACAGACATTGACCTGCCACCCAAGTGCGGACGTGGACACCCACCTCTCGCTGATGGAACACACCGACTGCCACTTGCTGCTATACCCGCCGTGCCCCAACACCGCCGCCATCCGCAAAGTCAACAGCATTCGCGCCCTGAAGTCGGGCCTCACAGCCCTCGTCACCCCAACCCTAGACGACTGGCTCTCCTCCACCTCACCCCCCGTCTACCCCTTCCCCCACGATCTCGCCTCCATCCTCCACGACCCCTTCACCGTCATCCACAGCTCCGCCTCCACCGGGCCCGCCAAGCCCATCCTCTTCACCCACGCCACCGTCTGCCTGCAACCCCTGGGCTTCGGCAAAATCCGCGACCCCAGCCACGTCAACTACGAGCGATGGCGCGGACAGCGTGTCGGGGTGTTGACCCCCCTCTCCATCGCAGCGGGTCTCTTCCCCTTCCTCGCCATGAACTTCTGCTTCGACCTCACCCTGGTCCTCCCCGCCACCTCCGGCCCCATGAGCGCCACTCTCATGGACCACCTCCTCGTCCACGGCAACGTCAGCGCCTGTATCCTCGGCCCCAAAACCCTCCCCGACACCTGCGCAAACCCGACCTATCTCTCCAACCTCCGCCGCGTCCGCTACCTCGCCATCGTCGGCGCCCCCTGTCAGCCCTACCTCGCTCCCCTCATCACCGCCCACGCCCAAATCACCCACATCTACGGCTCCTCCGAGTCTGGGACCCTCCCCGCCGAAGTCCTCCCCGACCCGGACGACTGGGCATACCTGAAACTCAGCCCCGAGGTCCCTCACGAGTATCGTCCCGTCTGCCAGAGCTACCACGAACTCGTCCTCCTCCGTCGTCCGCACGGTGCCGCCCAGCCTGTCTTCGCGATGTTCCGTGACCAGGACGAGTATCCCATGGGCGATCTCTTCGCCCCCCATCCCACCAGGCCAGATTGCTGGCGGTACTGCGGCCGCCGGAACGATCTCATCGGATCCGAGCAAGGCCTCTTCCTCCCCAGAGATATGGAATGGGTGCTGGAAGCCCACCCCGCTGTTCGATGGGCATTGATCTGTGAAGAGAGACGCGGCGGTCTGGCCCTCTTGCTCGATCTGATACCTGACGCCTTGGAAAAGGGACATGCTCATGACGAGAATATCTGGGATACCCTCCTCCCGCTCATCGAAAGGGCAAACGCCCTTTGTCCTATCCCCGCCGCCATTCGTCGTGAATTGGTCCTTTTTACGGACTCGGTCCGCCCCCTGCCGTTGAGCGTGAAGGGGAATCCGCAGAGGGTTAGGTCTAGGGAACTTTATCGGGCGGATATTGAGCGGGTGTTTGGTTGTGCGGATAGGGAGGGGGGCGTGGGGATGCCGTTGCCGTCACCGTCGCCTTAGGCTGGGTGCTGCGGGGGGGGTGTTTGTGTTTATTTGTTGGTAGCTTCGGTTCAATTTAGGTTTGCATTCTTTTTTTTTTTTTTTTTTTTTTTTTTTTTTGGTTTTAGTGGTGTGGTAATGTGGTAGCGGGGATAGCTGTAAGCACTTTATTTATGGTTGATGAGGCTTTGGTGTGTGTTATTGTTTTTTTGGTTGGCTTTGCTGTTGTAGGTAGGTAGGTTGGTAGGTAGGTGGGTGGTTCCCTTCGTTCTTTCTGAGGGTTGTAAGCTCCCGAGGCATCGGGAAATAAACATAAACATTATTTTTAGTCAGTTTGATCAAGCCTGTATGTATGTCATAATGCTAACTCTCTGGGTCAAGGATCGTGTATATGTGAGTAGATACTTACAGGCGAGGAAGAAGACAGGAAACAGAAAAGGGGTTATGGATAGAGACTGGATCCGTCCACTGTACTTCTTAAAAAGCGCAGGGAGATGCCCACGTAACACGACTCCACCAGGAAACTGGCCCACTCATTAGAAACGACTTTCAGTTGAGGTAGGTAGTGGAATTTGTTGACATGTAAGACGGGTCGGATATCCATTAGCTGGTAGAGAAGTCCAACCTGAGTATGTTGGAAACTGGGGACAGCACACCGAAGATTTCATGTCCAATTTGATGGAGGGAAATATAACAACTCGCCCTCCTCTTCCATTTGTCTTTCTTTCACGAGAGAAATACCCGGGATCGGATCTGTTGACTGCTATCGCTTGACTTCTGTCCCGGGTTGGATCTAAAGCTCAGGCTCCCTTTTCCCACCCTCCTGTCATCTCAAGTCCCTCCGCATATTGCTATTTCTGACGGGAGCTTTGATCGTTCTTCAACTCTGCTTGCCCAACAATAATGGCCACAAAGGCGGAAGGCACGGAAAAGCGCGCACCAGCCGGTCGAGAAACTCGCCAAGCAACATAAGTCTCGGCCAACTGTCATCGGAGATGCGGCGAGAGGTCGAGGAAGCGCTACTCGCGAAAGACAGGTTGATCGGGTCCTCCGTGATAACGTACGTGGCTATATAACTCAACGAGTTCTTCCGAACTAATATTATATAGATATTACAAGAACCTTCGTCTCCTTTCGCGTGTATCCTCGACGAATCGTGGTAGTGTTCCCGAATAACAAAGCAGAGCTATCTGCCCATAGAGGATCAGCATAGTCTGGAAGCTGGGGATATTTATAAACAATTCTTTCAGTCCCTTCGATAACTATCAAACTTGTCTTGCCAAGAACCCAGGGAGCCAAGAAGTCAGTCGAAGGTTTCTCCCCCGCAATTCCACACACGGAGACTGAGCGGGGACGACAATCCTTATTTCCACCCTTCCATCCATCCATCCTCAACATCCTCAACATTCTACCCCACACGTCTGTCTCTACACAGTCACACACTCTCACGCTTCTTCCAGATCCTTGACCATGGCGATCGACCACACTGTCCTGTACGTCCCCGAAGACAAATTCCAAGAATGCCTCGCCTTCTACCTCGCAGCGCTCAAGCCGCTCCGTTATGAAATCCGCTATCGGATCAGCGAGCTCATCGTGGGCCTGGGGTCGGTGCATGATGACATCGGCAGTTACCGCAAGGCGGACTTTTGGGTCCTTGGGGCCAAAACCACCTCGGATTGTCCGGCCCACATTGCATTCACTTGTCACGGTATGCAACCGCCCCCCGGTTCCCCAGAGGTATGCAGACTAATTTATTGATTCTTTGCGGAAGACCATGCCACAGTTGACGCTTTCCATGCTGCCGGGATCCAGGCTGGGGGCAAGGATAACGGTGGCCCGGGCTTGCGACCGTCCTACCATGCCACTTACTATGGCGCCTTCGTGCTCGATCCCGCGGGAAATAACCTCGAGGCGGTGGATCATGGTCTGCGCTGAGGGTGGGGGTGGTGGGGAGAGGCGTTTGCTCTCTCATCGCATCGGATGATGAGCAATCGCGGCATTCAAAATACTGTGTATCTTATTGCTACCCAGTCTAACAATCAAGAGAAGGTTTTGAGTACTACCATTGTTATAGCAGGGGGGCGTGCGCGGATATAGAAGTAATTCCCTGTTATGATGATTTCCAAGGGGGCCAAAAAAGCCAGATTATATATATATATATATATATTTTGTATTCTCTAACTCTCCTATCTGCAGAGACCTGTCAGGAAGATCACCGTCCAATGTGCCGAAGAATGTTGCGGCTGTCCAATAGACCCATCCAGGTCCGCATTCCGAAGCAAGGCGCTATACGGAAGGGGAGGAGGGCTCCAAACCGCCCATCCGGACAAACCCCCCGCGACATTTCTCAAATAACCCGAATCAACACTCCAACCCCAATCTCATTCACCTGTAACCTCCACTCCGCTCTTCTCCACCCTCACCACGCATCCCAGACAATCTACATCCCGACCTCATCTACCCACCATCCAAATGCACCCACGACACATCCTCCCCTGGCTATCGTGGCCACTTCTCGCCGTCTGCGCGACACCCTCATCATCACCCTCCCCAGCCGCAAAAGTCACCCCCATCTACCAATTCCAAGGCTCCGGCACCTGGGCCGAAAACATCGCCATCCGCTCAACCGGCAACCTCCTCGTCACCCGCGTCGATGCCCCGGAGCTGTGGTCCGTCGACCCAATCGCAAAGACGGGGTCCCTGGTGCACCGATTCAACAACGCGACGGCGCTGATGGGCATCACGGAGATCTACCCCGACGTGTTTGCCGTGGCGGTGGGGAATGCCACCACCGCGGGCGATCCAGTCACGGGGTCGTGGGCTGTCTGGACGGTTGATACGACGGATACCCTCCAGGGGATAGATATCCAGGAGGTGGTAGCAATCCCTGAGGCTGTATGGCCGAACGGGCTCGGTCGGATAGATGACGCGCCTGGGGTGGTTCTGGTCGCCGATTGCGTGAAGGGGGTGGTGTGGAAGGTTGATCTTGCGAAACGCACGTACGCGGTGGCGCTAGAGGATTCGACGATGGCGCAGATGGATGTACTCGGGATCAATGGCGTGCATGGGTATAATGGGTCGGTGTATTATACCTCGACGGCGTTGAAGGCGCTCTTTCGGGTTCCCGTGGATGGGGAGGTTCGCGCCACGGGGCCGGTCGAGACGGTGGCGCAGGGGTTTGGGGTGGATGATTTTGCGATTGCCCCCGATGGAACCTTCTATGTTATGACGCATGCGGGGAATACGATCTTGAGAATGGGGAAGGATGGGGTGGTGGATACATTCGCTGGGGCGGCGGATAGTCTGGAGGTCGCGGGACCGACGGCGGGTCAGGTTACGGGCGATGGGAAGACGCTGTTTGTGGTTACCTGCGGGGGCTGTGGAAGAGATGCCCCGGATGTGACGGTGCCGGCGGGGGTTTTGGCGGTCGAGCTGGATCCTTCTATCTGAGAGGTTGTCGGAGTTGTAGGGTCAAATTGATTAGGGCTTGGGGGTAGTTCTTATTGCAGTTAGGCCTCTTAAATCACAATACAACAATGTTTAGAAGGAATGTCTATGTATTGTGACTGTAGTGGGTATAGACTGGGAAATTGTAATGTTTATCTTCGGTGTTAGATGAGTTAGGACTCTCAATCAACTACCTCCTTGCAAGCCCCTTTGCTTCAAAAGGTGATATCTCAGTGAATGCAAATCGAAACACCCCCCCCAAAGAAAAAATACAGACTGCCCAAAACCAGCAACACAATCAACACCACCTCAACTTCAACCTCAACCTCACCCATCAACCTCTCATTTCTCCGACTCACTCCCCCCATCCACCACCACCACCCCTCCTTCCCCCTCCTCACACTCCTCCACTCCATCAACCCGGCCCCCACAACCGACAAACACGCCATGCCCAGCGCCAAAAAGAACGTCTTCATAATCGCATCACTATACGCGCGAATCGCCTCCGTCAACGCCTCCCCCGAAAACACACTGCGGAAGTTACTCGCCCCGATACTCGCCACACTGCGTCCATCCCACCCGGGCATATCCGACACCCTCTCCGCCAGGTAATTCGCAAACAGCGTCTGCGCGACGGCCAGGAACACCGCGCCGCTGAGCTGGTTCGTGAACATCATTAGACATGCGCCGATGGGTACGTCTGCGCGCTCAAGACACGTCTGCACGGCGATGTTTGCCTGCGTGAATCCGAGGCCGAGCCCGATGCCGAAGAGGATCTGGTAGCCGATCCATTTGGCGGGCGGCGCGGTGGGGGAGAGAGTTGAGAGGAGGCCGACTGCGATGCTCATTATGATGGTGCAGCCGTACATGAAGGGGTTGTAGTATCCGAGGTGGGAGACCAGGATGCCGGACGTGATCACCGTCACGGTCATGGAGAGCACGAAGGGGAGGACCATGATGCCTGATTTTTCGGCGTTGACGTCCTTGATTACCTGGAACCAGAGCGGGAGGTAGTACAGGATCACGGTCATTCCGGCGGACATGCATGTTGTCCAGATCGTGCCGGCGAGGACGGAGCGTTGCTTGAAGATTCGTGGCGGGATGAGTGATTTCTCTTGGTTTCGGATCTCCAGGTAGATGAATGTGAGGAAGAGAATCCCGGATAGGATGAAGAGGAGGAGGATGCGCCAGTTGTTCCATGGGTAGGCCGATCCGCCCCATTCCAGGGCTAGGAGGAGACTCGTCACGCTGGGGATGAGGGCGAGATTTCCCAGGGGGTCGAGGAGGAGGAGCTGTTCTTTCAGACCCATGCCTCCGTTGCGCGGGGCAGGGGTGTTCAGGAGGAAGAAGATGGCTGCGAACGCTGCGCCCCCGAATGGCAGGTTGATGTAGAAGCACCAGCGCCAGGTGAGGCGGGTGGTGAAGACGCCTCCGAGAACTGGACCTAGAACGGAGGCCACCCCGAAGATGACGCCGTTGAGGCTCTGGAATATTGGCCTTAGTCGCAGGGGTAGCAGCAGCACGATGAGGACCGTATTTCCGGACGCAATCCCCCCGGTCCCCAGACCAGCAATCGCCCGGCCGCCGATCAGTGCGGCGGAGGAGGGTGCGGCACCGCAGACTGCAGAGCCGATCTCAAAGAGCAAGATGGAGCCCAGGACCACCCATTTGGCGGGATAGAAGGTGTAAATCCGGCCATATACCAGCTGGGAGGCAGCCGCGGCAAGCATAAAGGAACTTCCATACCATCCGATATCACCCAGGCTCTTGAACTCATCCGTGATACGAGGAATGGCTGCCGTCACGATCAGTTTATCCTGAAGCAGGGGGTTAGCTGCTAAGAATCTACAGAGAAGGCTGACCACGGACCAGAAAGATCAGAAACATTGAGGCATACAGTGCCGTCATGATCAGAATCACTTTCGCCAGCGACGGGTATTGCGTGGCTTCTGGGGGCGCTGCCCGCTCTTCTACCGTTTTTTCCGCCTCCGTCATGGCTGAATTTGCTTCTTTCTGGCTGAGGGGAAAAAAAAAAAAAAAAAAGTCAAAGAATTTGGGTACTAGGATAAGAACGAGGTCTGGACTGGGGTCAAGAGGTGGTGACTCGTGGGAACAAGGGATGTCTGATGAAGCAAGGGACAGGGTTAGGGGTGGTGCCGCATTCCAATGTCAAACACCACAACGGAAATGTCTCTGCCATATGCCCTTGATTCATCATCTCCATCAACTACCATCTCCGGTGGATCGTGATGCCAGATGCGCAGGCACGTTGTCGTCCTTAGCCCCGGGTGAGCGGGCAACGCAGCCCTAACGGGTGGCGTTTGATGGGCGCCATGACCACCAGACTTGGATCGTAGCCCATCGAACTTTTTACAGTTTTTCTAGTTCGGCCTTGCTTGCGTTACCTTGCAGGATGGCGTGGCAGTCTCAGACTGGTCGATATGCGCTGCTCCGTCGGGGGTCGTATTGGTGCCTGGGATCAATTATGCTGTCATATTCAGCATTTCCTTGAAGGATGCACTTCAGGTCAGATGAGGGAACGAACCCATGGACGGGTGTGGTTAGGGAACTACAACACTTGAAGTCAATTCAGGAGAATGAAGGGTTGTTGACAATTCTCCTATTCTTGGTGCGTTGTTGCGTGTTGGTTGAGGATTACGCATCAATGATTCTCCTTCAACCCAAAATCGCGGTAGCCACAACAACGACACCCATATTTGGGATTTATTATCTATCTATCTATCTATCCATCTATCTCCCATTCATGCTCCCCCAAGAAACTCAACAGTAGCTAGCTGTCCAAAAAGAAAACAGCAAAAAAAGATATGACAAGAGTGGGATTCGAACCCACGCCCCTTTCGAGACTAGGAATATTCCGAAGAACAGGAGATGATCAGGTGACCTGACCCTAGCGCCTTAGACCGCTCGGCCATCTTGCCGGTTGATGTGAAGTGCCCTGCACTCCTGTGACATGTCATAAGGAACATGTCCATTATGACGCCCTCTCCCTCACCATCCCCGCCACCACTCGTGCCCCCTCATATCCCTGCCCTTCCCTCTGCCCCTCGCTCTCCATCGCCATCGCCAACAACCCCCCACCACCCCCTCGCGATCCCCCTCCCCCCTCTCCTGACTCATCTTGAACTTCCCCTCCATCCGCTCCACCTCCACCTCTATGCCGACGATATTCCTCTTCAAGGCCCGGATATACCCCTCCGGCGCGTCGTCGAGCGTCCACGGCTCCGGCCGGCCGTTTTGCCCGTCGTGGTTCATGAGGGTGCGTTCGCAGTGCAGTGCGAGGTCTCGGAGTTGGGTGTCCAGGAATGCGGATGTCGCGTCGCAGGATGAGTCGTAGATGGTGGCGCGCCCGTAGACTTGCACGGCGGCGTAGTTCCAGGTTGGGGCTACTTTGCCGGTGGTTGGGGCGGTGGTCGTGTAGAATCTGGGCGTGATGTAGCTGTGGTGCGGGGAGGTGAAGAGGATGAGGATTTGGGTGGGGAGGGTTGGTGGGGATGGTGAGGTGGGGGGGAGGGATGAGAGGATCGCTTGGCATTGCGGGTTGGATTTGGCGATGTGTCCTCGGAGTTTGGGTTTGGGGGCGGAGGAGGAGGACGAGTTGTCGGTGGCGGTGGTGGTGGTGGTGGTGTCGACGTCCAGGAGCCAGGGGAGGTGAGTAGATTGCAGGAGTGGGTGGGTGGCGGAGGGGATGGCCGTGGTGAGGACGCCGAGGGGGTGCTGGCGGATGAAGGCGTGCAGGGTTTCCGGGTTGGAGTCGGTGTAGATTTCCTTGAGATACATGGTTGCGATGAGGTTGCGATTAGAGGAGGGGTGGAAGAGGATGGAAGCCTGGAAGATCGGGGGAAGGAGGAGGAGTAGTAATTAATATATGGGGGAGATTGGGAGATCCTGCAGGATTCTGGATTCTGGATGCCCGGATTCTGGAGATCCGAAGATTAGATCGCCGTGCGGGGTTGCGATAACCTAATTAATTAATTAATTGCATTTACTCCCGGGTCCCGGTTATATATATGTATCGGTTACTGTTAGGGTTTCGGGACTTCTGGAATTTATCGATGGGGTGTGGATTATGGCATTAGATGGGTATTAGTGGTAGGAAACTATGTACAAAGAATGTATGCTCATTATTGGCATTGGACCGGCCGTCCGCTGGAGGGTGTGGGTCGGGGTTCTGGGAACAGTGTCGGGGTCAATCATTTGCCGATACAGGTCTGATCGGAGTCTTTGCTCGTTGGGCGCTGCGATTGCGATTGGAAACAAAGACCGATGGTGGGGGTGGAAGCAGGGACCGGCATCTTACTGCCCGTCCGATGCCCAAAATGCCCACTGAGCGATGGTGCTTGTCGGCACTCGTGCACTTGTAAGTCTGGCGGTGATTGCAGATCTGAAAGCGCCTGGGTCATCGCTGCCTGATGGGAAGGCCAGCTGCAATAGGAAATCTGTAGATGTCCACGGGGCTTCGTGGGCAATTTTCGGTCGCATAGCTGAACAAGAGACCAAAGTGCGGAATGAATTGTCCCCCGGGAGTGTCCGGGGGCAAATGATAGCGAGAAAACTGCAAGACACGAAGCAAATGGCCTGGGATTGGTGGTAGTCCGGTACTGGTGTGGTGGATGGGACGCAAGTTCCAAATCAATCAAAGTCCACCCAAGCTGGGGGGGTTCAGCCACCCAGCGACCCTATCTCTGGCGTTGTCCACATATACTGCTAGTCGTCCTGGGTCTGCTTAAAAGAGCGCCAAATCTGGCGGAGACATGCATGTTCTTGGCCACCCTTCCCCCTCAGTTATACAGGCTATTCCTCTCCTGTCTGGCACTCAGGTTGCTGGATGCCGAATCGTACGCCGCTTCGTGGGTGACCTCGATCGTCGTATGCTGCAACACCACTCCCATCGGGGTCATCTCCAGCCCGCTCTTGCCGATCATCTCCTCGGTGGAATCGCTCCGACCACGGGCGATAGTCGTCGAGGTAGGTCCATTGCCATCGAGGCTGCCGCCATACTGGTGCGCGGCGGAGGTCTTGTTCCGTCGACTGGTCTTCTGGCTGCTGTTGACCCGGGCCTCGGGCTCCAGCACCACGCTGCGGCGACTGAGGGTGTACATGAGAGAGTCGCAGAGCCCGCACAGGGCCATGAACGAGCCGGCGAAGCAGAAGTACAGGACGCTCGGGGAGTTCCCGCCCGCGGAGGCCATTCGACCGGCGGCAAGGGGCAGCGTGAGGGAGATGTAGACGACGGGGTAGACCGCCATGTGGAAAATGACGCGCTTCAGTCGGTGCAGACTCTCCGCGTTGTGCTCGCCCAGGATGGACGATTCGGCGATCCTCTTGCGCAGCTGGACGAACATGATGGCGTAGAGAACGACGGTAAAGAATTCCGAGGCGAAAATCCAGAAATAGTGGGTCCACAGTCGCATGGTCTCGTACTTGGGGGTCATCCAGCACTATCGCGTCTCTTAGAAGGGAGCAGGGGAGGAATCAAGAGGGATGGCAAACTTACCCAGGCCACGGCGGGATACCACACGTACTTCCCGTGTACTGCGATCGGGATGATGGTCATGACGACCCCGAAGACCCAGAGGCCGATCACAATGGCAACGAAGGTCCGGTGTTCGATTTGGTAGCCCATGCTGACGTGAAGGAAGGTGTGGGCGGCGATCGCAAGCACAAATAGCCCACTCATCGGGTCACCTATCTGGAGCCAGACTCCCTGCAGGAAGCATGCGGGATCCGAGGCCCTCAGCGAGTTGGTCGCGATCCATCGGAGACTGATGATGAAGCCCAGACCCTGGATGGTGTCGGCCAGGACCAGGTTGAACATCAGCACGACATACTGGTTGTAACCAATGTACCGCTTGTAGTATCTCTTCCAGAAAATGAAACGGTAGGTAAAGAATGTGAGCAACGAAACAGTGCAAAGGAGAGACAGGGTGGCCAGGGCCGAGATGACGATCAGTCCTTTGGTCTGCAGACTCGGCAGGGGGCTCATGAGAGGCGTGCCTTCGTCGTCGGCATCACTCGAACGAGAGTGTAGGGTCTGGCTGCCCGGATACAGTTCAGCACCGAGCAGGGACTTGATCGCCAGGGACATCATGATGCCAGATGGAGGGGGGTGGCAGCCTTCTCGCAGACTCCCGCAGACGGGATTTGGCCAATATAACCATCGCACGAGCGACCCCCTGGGGTTGGGACCGTGGCATGGCAGTACTGTGGCTCGCCCAATCCCACTAAGGTCAGATTAGGGACTTCGCGTCAAGTGTCGATCTTCGGGGGGGAGGTAGTGGTGTGGACGAAACGATTCAGAGCAATACTGCAATTACCGGGGCGGGTTCGGGCATGTGCCGAAAGGAGTTATCACCATCCGTTATGAGTCGGGGCAGTCCCCCACCCCATGGCTAGCCTCATGGGCGGAGCGAATGGCATGCGACCGAGAACAGACCAAGCTTTATAGTCGCAATAATCCCCCCTCAAGACGGCCGAGTTCCAGCTTCTCAGGGAACCGGTACTTCCTAAAGGGGGGGAGTTGGCACATATCTGGCGAGAGCTCAAGTCCGGATATAACCCTAGGAGGCGCCACTGAAGCTTGTCGACGGCATGTAAATCCTCGTGCCGGGGGGGGGGGATTTCCAGGTGTCCACAGATGGTTCTGCAGCGAACGATTGAGTCCTCGTGGTAGCTGCATGCTATCTTGGGGATCGCAGTGCTCCGGTATCTTCCCGAGGAAACTGGGTGGCCGTCTGGGTATCGAACTTATCGGTGCCCCAAGAACCAGGATGAGTCTAGTTAGATGGTACAAAGTACGTACCTGGTGGCTGACAAGTAACAACCTTCGAACCTTGGCCATGTTGGCATGTCGACCAACCTGCCAACTCAGGAATAGTGCCATGACCGACCAAGGCCAACGACCTCGCGCTCCAGTTGCTAAGTATAACCCCGCTCTGGCTACAGTGCCTGGAGGAGAAGGGCCCACTTCGTGCTCCCACGCCAGTGGGAAGCCGGAGAGCGAGTCAGAGAGGGTGGCATTCGGGTTTCATAGTCAGTCACTAAGGGCAGGGAGCCGAGCTGGGTCGGCCTTTGCCTCCCGCGACCTGCCTATTTCTGCCTGCCTCGTGCCGCCGCCCGCCTGATCTTCGTATTTGGCGTGGAAGTAGGCTCGAAAATTCTGCAGGGCCAGGGTCCCCATTGTTTGAGGTGGGCTATTTTGTACTCTGCATTGTTTTCGCGTGGCTTGTGGCTGGTGGTGGCGATAAACAGCACTTATAACATTCACTTGCACGGAGTACACCGAATGTGAGTTTGGGGGGGTGATTTTTTTTATCCCTTCCCTCTTCTCTCTGCTTCTTCCCCTTGTTGCCTGGAGAACGTTACGGCGGATATCCGCAGTACATACGTAATCATGATACAGGAATGGTTTCGTTGGTTTTGGTATTTTTCTTTTTGCCCCTCTCACCGTTGATCTACGGGGAAGTACGGACTACTACTCCGTAATAATGAGCACGTGTGGCCATAAACGTACGGAGGACAGCTCAGGTAGATTGCGATCAAGAACCCCAGCATTGCTAGCAGCGAGACCGGTCGCACCAAAAGCAGCCAGCATTGACGTGCCTCGGTCCATGCGGTGGAGTTCCGGCAGCAGGAACTTGCCGAGCGCCTGAGACGGGACTCGCTGGCAGCAGCAGCCTGCCAGTGGGAGGGCGGGAGGATAAAGAAGCTTGAAAGCACGATGTGTCATGGTCTCTGGCTAGCGCTGTTGGTGTAAGACAGTGGAGATTGATCTCCAGGGGGAGGGGAAGGAAGAGAAGAGTCCAATACGCTTGCCCTTGTCGATCCACGGTAGCCACGATTGTGGTCCGGAGCAGTCGGGCCGGGCGACTGAGGACCTTCCCTCGATCTCGATGCTTGCAAGTCACAAGTCAGGACGAGCTGATGATCGTCTCATTGCCTTGTTGCCCTTCTGGATTGCTTTTGTCGAACTGACAGAGTTCTTCAGCCCTATGGGCGTGGAGTGCAGATGGAAATACATCATCACGCAGTGACACCCACCACCTGATGCATTCACTCCGCGGGCTCGCTTGGGGGATGTTAGGGCACTCCGTAGATGAGATGCTACCGCTCTTCCACCGCCAGCCAATATTGCAGCCTCGCAGCCTCCGCGATATCTAACCCCCCCTCCCCCAGATCGGCAGGTTTAGCTGTCAGCACTAGGCAGGTTGTATGGGACTACAGCGCAGACATCCAGGGATCCTCGTGCTAGCTTTCACTGCTAGGCGTGTCTTCGAGTCAGTCAGTACCCTTGAAAAACAAAACCACGGCAATGCGATTCTAGCTTTCGCTCGAACTGCCGTGCTCGATTCGCCTGAACTCTGACGATGATTTATGGTTTAGGAAGTGCGAGGGACGGCAACACAATCCCCCACGATGGCGTTAACTTTCCCTTCCTAAAAGCCATTGTTCGGAGCAATAAGATTGTTGAGAAACCCCCCCCGGTCAACTCCCAAGGCTAGGACCAACGCATTGGAACCGTCCCTTTTTTTTTGGTAAGGCGGACCCGCTTGGCGAAGGAGCCGGTCAGCCACCAGCCGATCGAGGGGAGATGATCCTCTGCCTATACTATCGCTCTCCAGGCTCCAGCACGGAAAACGGAGTCAGCGTTCTTGGATTTGTCCGCCCTCGACTCGCTTGTCGACTCGCGGTTGCGGGAGCTCGATGCGACCTCGATGCGGTCCTGTCTCCCGCGCCGGGTTGCGCATCAAGGCGCTAGAGTACACTTCACACATCGCAGTGCCCAGGCGCCGTGGTGATGTGGATGTGCGAAAGTCTCGACTCGCCTGCCTCATTCGGAAAACAGGACAGCCGCTGAGTCAACTAAAGCTAAACTGCCCATAACCATTCAATAATCCATGGCTCATCATTGTGTCTTGCGCAGAGTTTTCTTTTCGAGAGGGGGCAGAGCGCTCCTAGACTCTTGATCAGCGGGCGTGTATCTCACTGTCTTATCAGCTCGGGGAAATCCATGAGTCTCGAACTCTGGAGAAAACACCAATAAATACAATATTAGACGCCGTCAAATTAGTCTGGTATCTGGTGGTCTGTTCTTGACCGTTGGCTGCTTCCCGGAATCCCGAAGCTTTCCAGAACGGCTCGTGCGTTAAGGGGTAAAATGGGATTAGTTTGACAAGAAAAATTAAAGAGATATTAACTATCCCCAGCATCTGGTGTAGCTTGCATTCATTTTTCGGTTTTACGCTCCCTCATAAGACCATAAAGTCAGCATGACATCAACAATTGGTTGTGTAGTGTAATGGTCATCACTCTGGATTCTGATTCCAGCAATCCCGGTTCGATCCCGGGCACGACCTTTTTGTTTATCTGTTTTTCCCGGTTGTTTTTACACCCAATTGAATTGTTTTTAGCCGGGAGGAACCACCCTCCATCGATAAGCCCTGCCGCCATTGAAGAAGAGCCCTATCGGCCAGTGCCTTGCAAGATAACCATCCCCTTGGCGTTACGTGTTCGGAGCTGCATCGGACACGCATACGTATGCATGCGGGGCGATATATCCCGATTAAGCGCAATTCCTACCGGTTATCTAGGCCAGAGTGCTTATCTTCAATGTCTGAAGAATATCTCTTGCATAACCGTTGGACCCTGATGGACCCTCATGGGCGCCAGCAAAACCTTGATCGATAGCCGGTCATATCCGGTCGTAGCCGGGGCGATAGCCGTGAGTCAACTAGTAGATAATGCAACGATACAAAATCCATTCCCATGAATAGATAAACTCATTCCACCGTGCTCGATCGACGCTGCAATACAGAACAAAATGTCCATCAACCCCCACAGCCTTGCGACCCTGGCCCTCCACGCCGATGACCTCCTCCCCGGCGAGGCCGATGTCGCCCCGCCCATTCACCTGAGCACGACCTTCGAGTATCCCCAAATCGCAGACGACTCTTCCTCCCCTCAAGCCACAGTAACTTCTCCCCCAACTCCACCCAATCCCACCACTACAAACAAATCCTCACTGACCACCCACAAACCCAGACCGGCGACTTCCTCTATTCCCGCTACCACACCCCAACGCGCACCCGGCTCGAAACCGTCCTGTCGGCCCTCCTCCACGGCCCAACCCTCACCTACTCCTCCGGCGTCGCCGCCGTGCACGCCTACCTCGTCTGTCTGAAACCCAAGCGCATCGCCCTGGGCCCTGGCTACTACGGCAGCCGCCAGGTCGCCCACCTCTACCAGGAACTCACCGGATGCGAGATCCTCACCTTCGACCAACTCGATTCGCTTCGCGAAGGCGACGTCATCCATCTCGAGACGCCGGTGAACCCGACCGGCGAAGCGCAGAGTATCAAGGCGTTTGCGAAGAAGGCGCACGACCGTGGTGCCTACCTTGCTGTTGATTCTACGTTCGCACCCCCTGGCCTGCAGGATCCGTTTGCCCTGGGCGCGGATCTTGTGATGCATAGCGGCACGAAGTATTTTGGGGGCCATCATGATTTGCTCTGTGGGACTGTGTCGGTCAGGCCCGAGAGGGAGGGGGATTGGCTTAGGAGGTTGATGGATCAGAGGCTGGTCTTGGGGTGTGTGTTGGGTAGCATGGAGGGGTGGTTGGGGCTGAGGAGTCTCAGGACGTTGGAGTTGAGGGTGAAGAGGCAGAGTGAGAATGCGACGGCGCTGGTAGGCTGGCTGGAGGAGTTGCGGACGAGTGAGACGGATAATGTTGTCCGGGGTACTGTTCACTCGGTCAGTCATGCGAGTCTGCAGGAGGGGGATATGGGGTGGCTGATGGAGCAGATGCCCAATGGGTTTGGGGCCGTGTTTGCGTTGGAGTTGAAGACGGAGGAGATGACTCGGCAGTTGCCGGCTGCTTTGCTCTTGTTCCAACATGCGACGAGTCTGGGGGGTGTGGAGAGTCAGGTCGAATGGAGGAAGCTGGTGGATGCGTCCGCGCCCCCGACTCTGCTCAGGTTCAGTATCGGGGTGGAAAATATCGAGGACTTGAAGGAGGATCTTCTTCGTGGACTGGGGAAGCTGCTCGTCTAGAGGAAGGAAGATTCTGAGGATTGACAAATCCTACTGTGCACATCGAGGATGATTCGCATGAATCCTAACCGGAATGATGGGGGGTATTACTTCAGACTAGTTTCGTTATGAGATAAACACAGAAACTGGTGTCCGAGATGCCTGGAAGATAAAAGTATATAAACATGAGCCTTTTAAATACCAACCATAGCATGTCGTATTTCCAGTCAGTCACCGGTTTAAGGTGCGAGGGAATCGGTGGCGCATGCCGCAGTCGATCTGTAGGGCTGGGGAGGATAACTCATAACTAGTTAGTAGTCTTAGCTTAAATAAACCCGCAGTTGCATGCCGTTCTACAGTCGGTCTTTCACGGGGTCAAGCAGCCCTTCCTCCCCATGCCACCCCTCCCTCAAGCCTCTCATCCCCGAATACAGATCCCTTCTTTCCCTCATTCCCTCACCCTCGCCCTGTAGGAGTCAACCAAGCCCGTCACCCACTTCACCCCAGACACCACCGTATACGCCGCCCTGGGGCTCCTGGCCCTGAGATGTCCTGACTACGGCATCCGCGCTCGTGCCATCAAGACCCTGCGGGCTGTCCCGCGCGCTGGGCCGTGTTTTAATGGGTCTGTGACGGCGGAGGTAGCTGTTAGTTCACTGAAAACGGATCTGGGGGTGGGGATTGAGGTGGGGTGGGGGGGGGAATGCTGGATCGGGGTCCGTAGAACAGTTGTCGCCGCGGAGCGTCTCCCCTCCGCGGCGCGATTGGGATGGTATTGAAGAGGTGGAGGAGCTGCTCAGCTCGACTTGCATCAGGCGGGTGACCGCGGTTTCTGGAGTAAGTTGTCTCCCTTCAGGGGGAGGTCCGAGTAGATAGGTCCGTGTGGCTCTTGGACTCCGCCATATGAAGTGAGATGTAAATGAGAGCTTGTTTGACTGGGCTGTACTGTAGCTGAGCGGGTGCCAGTGAATGGCCCTGTTGACCCACCCTTCCCAGACCGTTGGTTTCCTGTCCTTTCAACATCGAGAAACCGGTATACAATGCAAGAATCGCCCATCGACATGCTGATCTTAGCCAAGGAATTTCTCTCTTTGCTTTTCATCTACTTTATAATTATCCTCTTGAGAAATGGCCGCCGAGCACCATTGCTCCGGGCGCCGCGATGGAGAAGAAAAGGAGGAAAAAACGGACCCGATGCCTTCCTACCTGTCCGGACGAGGATTGTGGAGCGCCACTGCCAGGTGCTACCTGAGAGGAAGATAGAGTGAGGCAGTGAGGAACAAAGGACGCGGGGCAGAATGAAGATGGAGAAGAGGATAAGACAGATGGCTCATACCCATACATATCAAGTGATGCCCGTGACAGCATGAGTGTCCACAGCCATCCAAGCACGGTTACCGAGGAAATGCGGGATCAACTATGGACATGATGTTCCCTATATAATTTCAAGCTTACCGGAACCAAGCACATACGACCATAGGGTGTGGAGAACAGGGCTTCCCGTCCGCTCAGCCGTACTTAAGCCACACGCCGGGAGGTTAGTAGTTGGGTGGGTGACCACCAGCGAATCCCTTCTGTTGTATGTTTTTGTCTTTTTTTCTTACCTCTGATTGGTGGAGAGGGTAACACAACCATAGTAAACCGGCGGGTGACCACCAGCCTATCTCATGTCGTGTATGTTGGTGCTCGCCACCATCTGCCTCACTTCCCTCTTCTGCTTGTCGGCCACCTGTAAACAATCTCGATCAACCCGACCCCGGGTAGCCTGAATGCCGAACATAATAACATCGAAGGTCGCAAAGCCCTCATAGGAGGCCTCCAAGCCTACGAACACATTAAACGTCAACTGATCATCCCGATAGCGTCTCGCAGTGATACTACCATACTGGCCGATGTTCATCGAATACGAGAGGGTGTAGGTCTTGTTCGAGGCAGCACTGTACCAGTCAGTTATCCTGGCTATCTGTAGAATACTCATACCCGAAAGACAGTAACTGGTGGTCGCCATTGCCATTGCCATTGCCCGACTGGAAAGTGGCCATGCGGAGCTGGCGATCATTGGAGTAATCCAACGCCCAGATACTCCCCTTGATGTCGGTGCCGGGGACGTGCACCTTGAGCCGCATGCCGTTCTTGGGCCCGGTGGTGGAGTTGGCCCAATGGCGTATAGTCCTGGTGGTTCTCTGGAGCACAGTAAAATGGAGTGGCGGAGACTGTTAGGGTGAGAGAGTTGAGAGCGGTGATACTCCTCATGGCTGCAGTTGAGAGAGAGGGTTGGAAGCATGTAGTAGATGCTTTGTTTGATGTCGGGTGTGATGCTAGAGGCTGGGGATGGACAGGATATTTATGGTTGGATTTTTACCCTAATAATCTAGTTTTTGTCTCAACTGTAGTAGTGACCAATAATTGTGTAGAATTATTACTTGTGTCATCTGGGAGTACAAAACCATTAATCCAAGGCATCTTGATGACGCCGGCATTCACAGCATCTAGCGTTGACTGTTCATCATCCACTCTGAATGCGCCAAGTAAGCGCACTCCAAGCCCTGGTGAATGTTGCCCCCACTATTTGCTCGTGCTGTTGATTTGGCAAGAAAATCAATTAATTCTTAAGCCCACTGACTACCCGTGTTGAGCGCGCCGTGTTGAAATCAACAAGTCTATTTTACATCAATACTTGTGGTCATCGACGGCATGAATCAGAACATGAAGGCAGAATTGCAACAGGGTACAGGCAGTTGTGTAACCATCATCAGATATCTATACAACTTCAAAAAACACCTCTTCTTCTCTCTTCTCTTCAATTTTTCTTCTTCTCGCCATCAAAAAGATCAAGAAAAATCAGGGGGAAAAACATACAAACAGGAGGGATTCGCTGGTGGTCACCCACCCAACTACTAACCTCCCGGCGTGTGGCTTAAGTACGGCTGAGCGGACGGGAAGCCCTGTTCTCCACACCCTATGGTCGTATGTGCTTGGTTCCGGTAAGCTTGAAATTATATAGGGAATAAATATGGCAAACGAGACGCATCCAGGGAACGATCATGGTCATCGGCGGCATGGGCCGGACAGGGAGGCAAGCTATATAAGGACTCGGCACGGCGAACCAGCATTTCACCGAGTCCATCGGCCCGAGACTTGACTCACTCCATCGCGCATGCAACAATGATAAGGCAACCTCGCCCCGGAGGAGGGAGTCGAGTTGGCCCAGATCCCTGACAGCGGCCATTTCCCTATGTATTCTAACCCGGTGGAGATGTATCGTCGGATGGCGGGATTCTTCCAGGAAGCTTCTTGAGATGCACCGTATAGAATAGAGTTAGCATCTTATTTTAAAAATAATTCAGATAGATAGACCTCAGTCTTAGGTGAGTATGAGGATCACCAACCAGCACTACCGGTAGGTAGATGCCCGCGTTCCACCGTGCAACCCTCACAAGAGACACAACTCGTCCAAGGACGTCATAGGTTGGATTCGAGAGTGACACTCGGGGGCCGGAAAAGTCTCATAATGCCCGGCTCCGCTGGGATTTACTGGCAATGTGGATCGCGATGTGTGGGCGGACCGCTACTTTGTGGAGCATCCGATGCAGTCAGGTAGGTACCAAGCATATTGGCAATCCATTATCCATCTAATCTGTCCTCGTGGCGAGCATGTGCTGTTTACAGTCCTGCTTTCTCACTAGTAAGTAGTATTATGGCCAACCAATGTCGGCCCTCGCGGATCGCCTAAACTAACCACTTCTCAGCCCTTCACTTCACCACCAACCTCGTAATGGATTAACCTGATCTCAGCTTTCCCTGTATTTAGAATTCAATCCCCACTACGGAGTACAGTGGCTGAAAACAAAACAGAACCGTCCCCCCCCCCCCTTTCTTTGCGTTTTCCTCTTTTTCTCTCCCTTCCCTTTTATCAGACCAAACAGACCACTCGACTAAAAAGGTGTCCAGACACCTAAGTAGGTGTGATACTGAATGATACTAGGTTTGACACCTTTCTTCTGCGCCACAAAAGCCAAACCCCATAGAGCTGGGGGTAGAAGCAGAGACGAAGGAAAGGTGTCACTCGTTTATTTTCTCCTTCCACGATGCGTCGGTCCATCGCATCCCGCGTGTGTGCGTGGTTCCTTCTTTTACAATCCTTTCGCGCCATCGCTGAAACTACTGTAATCACGGGGACAACTGAGACCTGCACCACGACAGACGAGCTCTTGACGAATCCCTCCTTCGACACGGGGAGCCTGAGCCCGTGGGCGGTATTGTCGGGCTATGGATCAGCTACCGTTGTGGAGGATACTGCGGATGATAGAGGTTACGTAGCGTACGTATACCCCGGCCCTTTCCACCACCGGGTTCACGTTCAGGAAGACTAAGAGCCGGTGAATAGCCTCCTGGGCGATACCAGCACCCTGACTGCTGTCTACCAGACGGTGACGGATCTGGTAGTGGGAGACTCATACACATTATCATTCGATTATAGCATCGAGAGTGCCGCAAGAGCCGGGGAGGCTGCTTTTTATCTATGCGTTGACGGCATTGCCTCCGCGAACAGACTTAAGAACAAAGCGGTGCCGTATACCACAACCGGTACCTCGTGGCAAACCCTTTCGGTCACTTTCGATGCCTCCAGCACCACCCATGAGTTCTATATCTTGGTTTATGTTGTCACCTCCAGCACCGAGCCCCAGGTGTACCTGGACAATGCACAGTTCTTGGCCGTTTCCGCGAAGGATGATCTCCAAGTCTGCATTACCTCGACTTATACCTCCACCTCCACTTTGTTTATCGCTACTTCAAGCTCTGCGGCAGCTTCCAGCAGTACTCCGGTTCTAGAAAGCCCCTCGTCGGTCCCTGGGATCACATCCTCAGTCATCATTGCGACCAGCGCCTCGCCATCCAGTGTTTCGTCATCCAATGCGGTGACCTTTGTCTCATCCAGCAGTTCTCCCGTCCCACCAAGGTCGTCATCGGCTCCTGTGTTTGCATCCTCCGTTAGAGTTACGACGAGTTCTGCGCCATCCAGTGTGTTGACCTCTTCCTCCAGCACTCGTGCATCCCTCTTGTCATCCTCCAGAATCCTCGATACTCCCACCAGCATCCCAGTCCCGTCAAGCTCGCAGGTGACGACGTCCAGTTCCAGGGCCTCTACGTCAAGATCCCTGATACAATCACCATCTCCATCCTCTTCTGCGGCTACTCCAAACTCGCCAACTGGCTCCACTTCGCCTTCCGCCAGCCAACTAGCAGTATCATCTTCATCGACACCATCCTCCAGCCGAGTCTCCGTGGTTTCATCATCAACTCCCATCAAAACGTCATCGAGAGCATTCTCGCCCTCATCTGCCAGAGTACCATCGTCCGCGAGCACCCCAATTCGCACGTCCAGCGTTTCTCGCTTGCTCTCAAGCCAGCCTACCGGTGATGAGGAAGTGGTGACCGTGTTGAGCACGGTTTATACCACTCAGTATGCCATAGTGACCGCCTGTCCTGCTTTCTAGTGGGCCAATATGAACATAAGATATCATTAGATGTCAGGTGGCTTTTACGCGCCAATCATTATTTATTTAATTATTCAGATCGGTTGCCGACAAATAATCATGGCTGTGTTATATGCTATAAAAGGGACAATAAAAAGACCAGAAAGACAGCTGTCACCAGTACTTACCGAATCCTTGCCAGGTTTGCTGTCATCCATGGGAGTTGTAAGTGAAGTGACCAATCACTTCAGGGCTCTTCCCAACGGCTGCCTGAGGACTCGGTTCCCGGATATGTCAATCTCGGAGGGTTCCTCTATTGTCTTGTCGCTATCGTATAGGCATGTGATGAGGGAGCAATAAATATTAGCGAACATGTGCTGAGCAGTAGCTGGGAGCTTAAGTTTAGTGTAGAACCAACACAAAAGGGGGGGGGGGGGTTCATTTCGTACTGTGTGGGGCAATATATATCTCCCAGTGAATAAGACTACTGAAGCGAAGAACGAATGAATCATGATGAAACTGGAAGTAGTACCAAAATCATGTCAGACATGGATCGAAGCTCAGACCCTCATATAGCGCCCAAGCAATAAAAAAACCCCATTCCTGCCAGAAACCTCAATCCCTGCCTGCTGATGGCTGATTACAGGAGACTGATAATGGTATACCTTCCTACTTTTCTACTGGATATAGAGAGTAAACTTATGCAGGATATACAACAACGGCCGGGTGGCGCAATGGTAGCGCGCTGCCTTCCGGTGGCAGTGGTTGCGCGTTCGAGTCGCGTCTCGGTCGTTTGTCTTTTTATCGTTGTTATTTTTGTTGTTGACCCACTTGTTTCCCCATATCGTATCAAGATCCAGCCTCGCTCTTTACACTCTTTACCAGTAATGGCTCGCGATGTTGTCTCGCGATGTTGTTCGGAGTGTTATCCCGGACTAATGTAATGCCCCCCCAATGCGCCTCCAGCTATTGGCACTGTACATGTTGATGAAAGTTTTGTTCATACTCCAGCCCAACTGCAACTGCACCGGGTAACGTACATATCAAGTGCATATCAGCATCGCGCATTCTGTCTGAGAATAAAAAGTGCGAACTCAAGGCATCATGCTAATCCGGAAACTCCCGCATCTCCTCCACTGTCTCACCACTACTCCTCACACAGGACAGAACTTTTCATGCGAGCGACGAAAGAATCATGTCGGCCGCCTAGATCATCCAAGTCAGCATACTCAGACCCCACCTCCATCCAGGCCACTCACCCGTTCCGCAATCCCGTAGGTCGGTGCCTGATAATGGGCTGCCAAAGGGATCGGGATCACCCCCGAATCCACCACCCGCAGGCCATCGATCCCGAACACCCGACACTCGGTATCGACCACTTCCCCCATTGCACATGTCCCCGATGTATGAAACACGGTGCCTCCACTCCTGTTGGCCCGGATGTCGATGCTCTCGTTGCTCCAATCATCGCGGATGGCGTCATCGATCCCGAATTCCACCGCGTTCAGACCGTCGACTGCCTGGATGGCTTGCGCGGAGGCCTGTACACTTTTATACAGGGCCGATCTGTCAATTGGGGATGCGAGCACCTTCGGGTCTAACACCGGGGGGTCCATGGGGTCGGACGAGCGTAGCGTGAGTGTTCCCCTCGACACCGGGTCGACGAGGATGTGCATGAGGCTGATTACCCGTCTGCCTGGCCAGCCCTGCAGCAATTGCTTTCGAGCAGAGGTGTCAACAGTGGCGTATCTAGACGGTAGGTCAGCACTAGACATCGAAGCCACCCCCCCCAGAAAAGCACAGCGCAACCATACACAATGAAGCTCTCGACCTGCATCTTCCCCCTGGCCGAGTATCGAGCGAAGTCTGTCGGGCTGAGAAGTTTCCTCGCCAGCTCCAGAGTCTCCCCGTCCGCGGGAGCAAAGGATATCCAGTCGTATGGCAAGCCTGCGAGCCAGTCGACTTCTGATGCTTGCATCTCCCCATCGCCCATGGTGGCGGTATCATCGGTGACCGTCCAGTAGGTGAAGATATGGGGATGATCCACGTAATTCCTCCCCACAGGCAGCTCCTCAACCGGCTTGATATTGTGTCGATCCAGTTCGACCGCAGGGCCGATACCACTATCGGACAGGTCTGCGATTAGCAGGTTGCTCACGCGGCCAGAGGCTGGCTTGACGGAGTTACCTCAGTAGGAGAATCTTTGCTGAGCCGTGCGCTCCTGCGGCGAGGATGACTTCTCTCCCAGCCTCCACACGGACGCGTTCGGATCCATCGCCCGTTGACCGGGAAATTATGACACCCTCCGCAGTCTTTCCCTTCATGATCACGTTCTCTACAGTCGACTTCGTCCACAGAATGACATTGCTACCCAGGGGGTAGCTGTTTGCAAAGCTCCGCAACCCCCCATAGGTGGAGTTGAATGCCTCCGAGTATCCTAGTGGGCTCCCGGCGTTGATATCACTCGCTTGCCTGTGTCCCAGCAGTTCGAGGAATCTGCGCGTCTTCTCCCGTAAGGGGTAGTTGCGTGGCTTTCCGCTGTTCGTCGCGTGGCTGACCTGGGACTTGTCAGCCCGACGACGTGAGAGGAGCTAGAGATGGATGGTTATACCTTTATCGGGCCACTGCTCCCGTGAGACTCAGATGGGACGATGCCCCGGTCCATCATTTCCGCGGAAGGAAACCAGGTTTCCACCTTCTTGAAATACGGAAGAAGAGCATCCCACGACCATCTCTCATCCCGGACAATGTCTGCCCACTGGTTACTAGACCATGCGTTGATCAGCGACCGGTCCTACAGATCCCTCGATGCCGAGTAAAACCCACTAATCCACGGCCGGCCCGCGGGTGAATACTTGGTAGTTAACAGCCGACCCTCCCCCGACTATCTTGCCGGACGTGAGGCAGACGGTGTCTCCGCCAAACTTGCGCTCCTGCGGCACCGAACGATAGTTCCATTCGATGTCTGAGTCGAATCCGCCCGTGAAGGCCATCGCGCCGGATGTCCGATCATCTTTCTCAACCCCCGCTTCGACCAGGAGGATGCGAAGGTCCGGACGACTAGTCGAGATGCGACTTGCCAGCACGCAACCTAGGGTTCTTGAATCAACCTGTGTTTTGGGAGGAGAGTCGGCAGTCTTCGTGGAATGACATAATCACCTGCAACTCCTGCCCCGACTATGATGCAGTCGAAGGTCTGACTGTCAGGGTCCGTAGCCATCTTGAATTTGTGGAGCTTAATGGGCAGATTCCGGGGGGCGCTGTGCGGAGAGAGATATCTAGGAATCGCATAACCGTGTCGCTTTTATCATCCCCTTTGACCATACAGCCCATTCTAGCCGTTGATGCTTGCAGCGCAGGCTGACAAACGGCCAGATGATCCCATGGATGCCGCGAAGGGGATCTTGGTATGCGGCCGGCCACTACCAAGAGTCTGTCTGCTTCAGGGAACGATCTGACAAGCAGCTGCGGGTCTGGAGCGTCATTCAACCGTGGGACTGTCACACTCGAGCGGGTCTGGAATGCTCCAGATGACGCTGCGGCTACAAACCCTACCATCGCCCTGGATCTTGATTCTCGACCAACCGGAATCGGCCCCCTCCGTCGTCTGACCTGGTTGCGGACGTCTATTCATGCGTCCCCGCATCGCCAAGGCAGTGCAGTGAGTGGATCATGTAAGAATCAGTCGGCACAGGGTTACGGAGATCACCGGTGCAAATGTCCCGCGAACCTGCTCGGCAACCACATGTGTACTACTATATATGTGTACTATATGACACCCCGAAGGATCATGATGCGTATGATACATGGAAGGGAAGTCTCCAGCTACATCAACAACCCAAGTTCCGTGACATGCGATCTGTCCACCCGCCGTTTCGAGCAGATGAACTCCTCCGGAAGCCAGTCCTCGACCTTGCCGGCGGGGATGCCTGCACAGCCCTCCTGGTGCTGGCCATCCCGCCCCAGCACCATCAATCCCACCGCCACACCACACAGCCAGGCCAGGATCATGCCCTCGCCATTGAACCCGGCCGAGATCCATTCCTGGCCTCCAGCACGCCCGGTCAATCCCGCCTCCAGCCTGCCCACGTACGGCAACAGATCCGCCGTGAACCCCATGCAGCCAGTCCAGGCCTGCTTGATGCGCGTCCCATGCGCGTCCTGTCCCCAGCGCGCTCTGCCGAAAGTCACCGGCATGATCCCGTCGAGATAGGCGCTGATCGGTCCACTCATGCGATCATCGCGCCAGACCCCAAACTCGTCGATGCCCTGACCGGGCGACTGCACAACCCCGCCGCCGACCATCAGCTCGCCGCCCAGCCCTTCCTCCGACTCCCCCGGTCGCCCCGGTCGCTGCGTGATATAATCGAACCCCCGCCTGCCGATCACCGACCACGACCTCGCGCCGTCGAGGTGCGGCAGCCCTTCCCCCGGCGTCTGGGCCGTCATGTGTCCCCGCATCGGGAAGATCTTCCCGATCGCCCCAGGCACGAGGTTCGCCACCGACGCATCCGTCGCATGCACGACATGCGTCGTCTCGATCTTCCCCCTCGGCGTCGACACCACAAAGCCCCTCCCCGGCCCCTCCAACGGCTCAATCCCCGTCGCAGGCGTGGTCGCCTCGATCGAGAACCGCCCGCCAAATTCCGACAGCAGCTCCGCGTATAACGAGGTCACGAACCTGTAGGGCCACAGCGCGCCTGCCCGGTATGCCACCACCCCGTGGCACTGCTCTCGATTGAGTCCGAATCTCTGTCCTCAGTTAGTTAAGGAAGGAAGGTGGTCTAGTCAAGGTCGGTTTCCCCCCTGATCTCTTGCACCCATCATCCAGACCAGAAGGAAAAGAAATCTCCTGGCGACCCACCTCACACCCTGCCTCCGCCTCAAACACCTCCACCTCCCCCCCTGCCTCGGGCACCTCCTCCTGCAACTCCCTCACCATCCGCTTCGTCTTCTCCCACATCCCCGCGTCCGTAATCACATCCACCGTCTCCACCTCCCGCACCTCCGCCCGCTCGTACCCCTTCCTCTCCGCGAACTCAACCAGCAGAGGCAACGCCCGTCGCTCAAACGCGAGCATCTTGCGCGCTCGCTCGCGTCCAAACCGGCTCTTGAAGCTCGCGTAGTCGGAGTAGGCCGCGCATTTGATGTTTCCGCCGTTGCGCCCCGTCGCGCCACTGCAGAGTTGGCGGGCCTCGAGAAGGATGATCTTTGGGGGTGGCGTTTGAGTGGCGCTCTGCGTGAGGAGCGTGTAGGCGATGCTGGCGCCGGAGATGCCGGAGCCGATGATGATTATGTCGGTGGAGGGGGGGAGGGTTGGGGATCGGACATCTACGAGGGTCGGGAAGGGGGGGTGTTGTTGCCAGAAGGAGATGCTGGGGTTAGGGATTGGGAGGATTGGGCTCGATATTCGGGTTAGGAGCGCGGTGAAGTCCGCGCTGGAGGTTGAAAGGTCGGCGAGTAGGACTTGGATGCCCAGGTAGCTGGTGCGGAGGGTGGATGTGATGGCGCCCATTGTTTGGTTTGGGGTTGGGGGAGATGGGAGGAGGTGGGATGGTGGAGGAGAGTCCGTCTTTTAAATAGTCGTTCTGGACTAGTTCGATTAGCTGATGCTGATGACTAACTAACCTGCAAGGGTTGTCGGGATGGATGGAGGAGGAGGAGGATGATGATGATGATGATGTTGGTGTTCCGACACTAGCGGTGTTTAGGGTACTTTAGAATTGGTATGAGAGTGCTTGCTTTGTTGGAGAGATGTCCTCATCACTAGCGCAGATAAACGGGATCGATTTAGTTGATTGAAATTGCTCTGCTTTGATTTTCTTCCATCCGATTATGCCACCAAGTAGCTAGTCTAAGCAAGCATCCAGGAATGCAATTTCAACAGAATAGATTATGTTATTATCAAACAGAGTGGTGTACTGATATACGAACTAAACTAAGACACTCTCTTTCATGTTCAATAGGATTCAAGCCATGCAGCATAGACACATCTCAGACATTCGCCTTGATCTTTTGCCACAGACTCTGCGATGGCACCTATAATAGTCAGTACGGGTTCATGGAATGGATAGACACTGGCAGACGGATACATACATCATCTGCAACCTCCACGGTGGACGATCCCGTCACGAAGTCCTGCTTCTCCAGGGGAACCATCCCGGTCTTGTACCGGATCTTGTAGCCGAAGAAGAGCACCACAAATAGGAGGATGGGGAAGTAGGTGGTAATGAAGCTGGAGACGTCGAACGTGTGGACTGTTCTTATTAGCAGAGACAGACACATAATAGAGCGGTGGACATACTGAACGCAGTGAAGCCGCCGAAAATAATCACCACAACACACACGCAGATACCGTCTGCTAAGGATTAGCTCGCTTCCTCCCCATATCTGGATTCATGGAAGGACATACAGTAAGACAGATACGGCTGGAAGGGTGCCCGGTACGGCAGCGTCTTCCGATCGATGCCCTGCACCTTGAGTCCCTTGTGCCACCGGACGGCCGTCCATAGAATGCCGGCCCAGGAGATCATGCCGCAGATGGCGGTCATGTTAGAGACTAGACATCAGGTTAGTTGTGTGGTCTAGAAGCGTGAGAGGAGACATACAGTAGCCGAAGACAGTGCCCGCCTTGCCACTGCTGGCAGCCATGAAGGAGAGCAGGGAGAAGGAGCCACAGAACAGAACGCAGACCCAAGGCAAGCCGTCCTTTCTCGTCTTGAGGAAGATCTTCGGCGCCTGGCCACGGGCGGCCAGTCCGTACAGCGCGCGCGAGGAGACAAACAGATCGGCGCAGCCGGCAGACCAGGCACTCGTGAGCAGGGCCGCGTTGATGATCGACGGGAGAACGGAGATGCCGGCATTCTAGGGTCGTTAGATATGTTGGTTGGGCGTACATGGATATGACTTACCTTGATGGCAATGACGAAGGGACTCTTGGCTGCGGTGGAGGAGAGATCAAGAGAGGGGTCCGAGGGAGAGACCAGAATACCGATCTGATTCATGTCAGTATGCGAAAGTGACGTTAGGATAACAGGAACCCACCAGGAAGGCACTGCAGATATAGACTGTGAAGGTTAGCAGGCGAGCGCGGCCGTAGAAAAGATGCACTTACACAGCGCCAGTCTGATCCAGACGCTCTTGATCGCGCGAGGAACGTTCTTTGCAGGCTGCGAGAGTTAGTTCAAGCCCTAGTAAAAAAAGAAATAAAAAAACCTAGCTGAACACGTACAGAGGCAGTCTCGGCAGCAGCAATCGCAGTGATTTCCGTTCCGATGAAGGCAAAAGCGGCGTCAATGAGCACTGTGGATGTTAGCCTACATGAAGAGATATCGTGAGTTGGAAGCGAATTACCTGCAAAGAAGCCGAGAAAACGTCCTTTCGCACCACCTGCGGGAGTCTCAGCAACAGTCATGAAACCAATTCCACTGAGTGAATCCTACCAATCCCAGAATACTGCACAAAACCCCCCGTTTCGTTCCAGTACCGGAAGCCGATCGCCTCGTGGTTGGGGCCTCCTCCGGCAGTGATGATGACACCCGTGATGATCAGGCCGACGATGGTCAGGACCTTGATCGAGCAGAACCAGAACTCCATCTCTCCAAAGACTTTGGTTCCGGCCACGTTGATCAACCACTATGCATTGGTAAGCGAGACTGCACGAGGCAAGACCCATGACAACACCTACCACAATGATAAGCATCAGACCGACCCACAGGGCATTGTTGCAGATGCCAGTCGTGCAGGTGGAGTCGGCCTGGCCCGCGGGCGTCCAGTATGTGATGAGCACCGCCGCTGCTGATATCTCAGCCGGTAACACGATGATATAGTTGTACACGTAGAGCACCCCCATGGCGAACCCTAGCTCGGGGGAGACGAAACGACCGGCCAGAGCGAACTGGCCACCGGGGATGGGGAACTGCGAGACCATCTCTCCGAGCGCGACCTGAACGATCAGCACGGGGATGCTGGGCGGGAATGGTAAGACGTACCATGACAGAGTACAGCAGCGATGCCATGAGGCAGTATGCGATGAGTAGACCTGCAGGGCCTCCATTCTTGAGATCGCTGGCAGTTCCCAAGAAAAGACCGGTTCCCTAGAGTAAAGGTTGGCAAACGTTGCGATCCGGGGGGGAAAAGACGGGAGACTCACAATGACGCCACCCAGGGCGATCATCTGGCTGCGGGGGGGTGTTAGATCTCCTGATCCATGTCGGACTGGCATCGACTCACATATGACGGGGCTATATGGTCAGTACTCGTCTGTAGGGAATGGTAGACAAAAACACACCTTCAGCTGGCGCTTCAGACCACCCTGCAGATCATGTTGAACCTCAACCGTGCCCATGGCGACGGGGGTCTCTTCGGTGTACGGGGTTTTCTCTTTCTGGGGATTGTCAGTGAGGACTGCAAAAATGGAGATGTAGAGTGGAGGAGGGGGTAAGAGCCATACTTCGTTGAGCATTGTGATGGAGCTGATGGACCTGGTGATGGGGATGGGTCCCTGGAATGGGGGCATACCCTACCCTATTTAGGTTGCTTCAAGTTGCCCCTGCCACAGCCTCAGATTAGCCCGAATCAGGATGCAGATAAGGGCGAGTCAGGCTATCAGATGGAACTAACCATCACTAACAGAATAGCCAGATAACAGGCGCGATATCTAGCCATCGGTCTGCACGGCTTCTTGCCGATAAGCCCGACCCTCGCCGAGATAGTGAAATACCCGGTTCCCCCCGTGCCTATCCGTGCCCAGAACATTCGCAACCCGCCATGGCGCAAAGTCGGTTCCAAACACGAGCCCTGAAGCCCGGCGTGTACGCCCCGTTGCCCACCTTCTTCGACGAGGTCCAGGAACTCGACTATGGCAGCTACAAGAGGCACCTGCTGAGTATGACCCCCCCCCAAATCGCATGTTTGGCCACCTGCTAATACCCCGTCAGATCTCGCAACCAAGGGAATGGGTAGGTGCAGTGCATCTTCCACTCTCGCAATTCCATACTGACCAGACCATCAGTCCCGGTATGCGCTGGTTCGCTCGGAGAGGCGGTTCATCTGGTAGGCCCTTCAACAACAACCACACCCCCACCCCACGTACTCAATTAACGGCAACAGAGCTTCGATGAGAGAACGGCCTTGATTCGATTCATCCGTGCCACGCTGGACGAGGCCGGGTTGGAAGACACGCCCATCGTCGCGGGGGTGGGGGGTCTCAGCACCCGCGAGACCATCAGCCTGGCCCGTGCGGCCGCGGAGGCAGGGGCGTAAGTGCCATTCACTGTCCATGGCCTCAGCTTGGAATTAAAAGAAAACACCCAGGGACGCCGGCATGGTCATCCTTCCTGCATACTACGCAGCCAGTCTCAACACCGACACCGAGCAGGTCATCCAGTACTACGTGGATATCTGCGAAGGGTCCCCGGTATGCGTCCCTGTTCAAGCCCTCCTCGGCCAGAGTCTGACCTTCTAGATCCCACTGCTGCTATACAACTTCCCCGCCAATGCAGGCGGACAGGACATGTCGTCGGCGGTCATCCAGGCCGTCATGGAGCGGGCGCCCAACCTGTGCGGAGTGAAGCTCACGTTCGTTCCCCAGTCTCCGAATCCGGACTTTTGCTGATGGGTCTGGACAGCTGCGGTGGAAGTATAGCCAAGCTGGTGCGTCTCACTGCCGCCATCGATGAAAGTCCCAGCATCAACGAGAACCGTCCGTTCCCGTTCCTTCTCCTGGACGGGCTGATTGCCGATCTTACCCCGTGGATGCAATGTGGCGGCCACGGGACCGTCAGTGGGATTCCTAACTTCGCCCCCGTGGCCTCGATGAGGCTGTGGGAGTTGTTGAACACCCCCTCTCCGAGCCCGGAAGAACTATCTGAGACGAGAAAGCTGCAGGCTGTCCTTTCTCGCGCCGACGTGGCGGCCGTTCCTGGGGGGATTCGCGCTATGAGTATGTCTCCTACCAAGGTGCCTTTTTGTGCTCGACTGACGGTCTAGAATACGCACTCAATAAGATGCATGGCTACGGGTCGGCGCCGCGTCGACCATTGCTTCCTCTGAAGGACGCCGAGGGAGAGGAGTTCATGCTTGCGTTGCGAGATTTGCTCGCGTTGGAGGCGGAGATGACGAGAGTATAGTATAGAGATGACGACAATGAATTGCCGCGGCACCTTTTTCTCTATTGTATGTCTTGGCATGGATTATGATCGTTCGATGATACAGTTAATCCTCGAGGCAGCATCACAGCGTCATCATTATGCTGAAAAATGAACTCGTGGCTTCCCAGTAACACTGACGTAGATCGCCTTTCTCTTTTTCCTCTCCAACCTCACTCGCCCTATTTATCTTACACCTCCCCATCTCATCCTTCACCACCTCCCACATCCTTAATACCTCCATTTTACCTTCCACCCTCGTACTCGACAGAGATATATTACAGAAAATGTTCAACAAGAAGAAACCGTTGGAGCAACCCAACGAGGCAGGCACTCATCCCTTATGACAGACGGCCAACAGGGCGCATGCTACCAGCGCACTCGAAGATATGGACGGTCGTTGCGACAATAGTTTGGAAGCATGCCCCAGGGAAGCAGCCGCTGTCAGAGCCAAACCTGCAGACGAGGCAGCCATCCCAACCGAAGATACACGAAGCCCCCCAGACATTTCCTCCGATACCACAGAAAAGAGACCCGATTTGGCGGAGAGCATCTCCGACCTGCTAGATCTATACTTCGCCAGCACGCCAACAAGACACAGCCAAGAGCATAACTACATTGTAAGCTTGTATCGAGCGTACAGCGGGGGGCGGATGGACCACAACACGCAGGTTCATTTTCAACGAACTCTCGCAATCCGCTTTGACTGGAACAACCGAGCCAATCTTTACTCCAAGTTCCTTGGTTTGTACAAGCTGCCTCCGATCGAAGACTGTGATATTCGAAGTCATACGCTTACACAGCCGGCAACCGGTCGCGAAATGTGCAGGGACTTTGAGATATATTTGTGCAAATCGGCGCTTTTTGACTCGACACCTGACGTGAATGGCCCCATAGATCTATACTACCGGAAACCCCTGCAGTATCTCGCCGCCCAGATGAGCCTGGCGGGGTATACAGAAGCGGATATGCGGTCTGCCGTGGATCGTTTGCTCGTGGCGAAGGACAAGGACGATTTCCCCCATCCGCTTACGTTTCGCACGCTGACCCAGGGGGTTTTGAACGCCGTGAAAACATTGTGGGATTCTATAAAATCACGCAGGAGACGATCGGGGTCCAGCTCCAACCCTCCGAGTCTGTCAAAGGTCGAGCGGAAGTGTTCTTGCAGCATGTGTTGTCCGAATTGCAATAAGTGATCAGATCATGGCGACTGCTGTGGCAAAAGGAGAACTGGGTCATGCTGGAAGGGGATCATGTTCGAAAGTATTTATTTCTAGCTTTTTACTTTATCGCTGGTTTGATTGCAATATGGCCCCAATTTCTTTTCTTTTCTCTTCTCTTCTTTTCTGTTCTTGCTTTTATTACATCTCCCGCATGGAGCGTTCTATTGTATATAGCTAGCTAAACATGAGACCATCCCCTGACATCATAGTAATGCCACCCACCAAGCTTAGACAGCAAGAAACTGGATATACATCCAAGTAAGCATTTGTCTTCCAATCAGACAGCAGCGGCCCTGTGTGACAGCACCAACTAGCTTACGCTCATATCCCGGCATAGCGCCATCTAGTGTAACACCACTCCCGCGGATCTTTCTCGCAGCAAAAGACAACTTCTACAGCTTCCTCGGACGTTCAAACAACATCCAGACCATCAAAAATTGATATAAAGAAATAGAAAAAAACATACAACAGAAGGGATTCGCTGGTGGTCACCCACCCAACTACTAACCTCCCGGCGTGTGGCTTAAGTACGGCTGAGCGGACGGGAAGCCCTGTTCTCCACACCCTATGGTCGTATGTGCTTGTTTTGTGGGAGAGGTGGGCCATATGGTGCCGTGAAATAAACGAATGGTGAGTTGTCAGGCGTGGCAGACACAGAGGGGCCTCATTTGTGTGTTGTATACCTGATTCATTTGGATGTTGGGGGAGGGAGCGGCTCGTATTTGTATGGGTTCTACCACTTGACTTGGCCTTATTTTGAGATCATCACATCAGGGAGAACACGGAATTGTCAGACATCAGCCCCATTGATTAGTAAAGATAGGACCGGGGCCTTGGACTTTCTCCTCCTCCTCCCTCCCCGGGCTCCTCTCCCACCGACTTAACCCTCTTCGTCCCCAGAGCCTGCGCCCCCTCTTCGTCAAGAATGTCCAAGATTTCGGACAAGATTGTGGGCTTTGTGATTTCAAAGACAAGTTTCCTCTTGGTATCCCCCCAGTAGTAAGTGCCGCCTGATTCAATCAGGTACTCCGGACCTGCTGCAAGAACAAGTGAGATATTCTCTAGCCCATAGCCTCTGGCATGGTAGGTTTCTGCGGAGTCCGGATCAAAAAGCCAATGGAATTTGCTCGCCCTGCATAGATATTGCGTCACTTGGGTTAGATTACACTGAATAGTGGGTGTGCTTGAGGGTGATGTGCGTTGCTTCAACTTACTGGGACTTCTATGCTGGGGTATGAGAGATCCATGAGTTTGTTGGCAAGAGTGTTGTAACAAGTGTTGTGTTGTCGACGGATGTGAGGTTAGGGGGTCCCGTGTCGTGGTGATCGTCGTTGGGAATCGAGGGATGATAGGATGAGAAGCAGGTAAGAGGGAGATTAGAGCGAGATATGAGACAGAAGTTACCCCTCCGGATATCTGGTCCGGTGAAGTCAGCAATGAGTGAACATTGACAGAATGGCTTCGAGTTCCCTTGGGTGTTCCAAGCTACTTACTCACTATATTAACCGTATATCTTGACCAGAATCATCAGGCCACAAACCAACTGCAGCATCAGTTCCAGCAACTTACCTCACCAAACCTTCATATCTACTTATGTATATACAGAATCTACATATACACATCCATGTGTTCCATATATCAAGAAAAAGTTCGTCCAAAATTAGTATCCCTTTAATAAACACAGAGCCAAAGCCCAGCCAAAGCTAAACCCTCACCCCATGCGCCCACGGCCCATCATCAATGATCGTCGACCGCCGCACATCCCGCGCCGTCATCGTCTCCGTATACGGATTCGCCCGATGCATGGATTGCCTGTTCCCAAGTAAGTCAGCCCTACCCCCCATGCAAAAGAACAAGAAAAAGCCAAGGGAAAAAGCAGAAAAAGATGGCCAGTACGAACCGATTATCCCACCAAACCATATCCCCCCCCTGCAACCACTCCATACTAAACACATACTGCGGCTGCGTGCAGTGGTCGATAAGCTCCCAGATCAGCTTCTGGCTGTCCTCGAACGACCACCCCACTATCTGCTTCGCGTGGGCCGCCAGATACAGCGTCTTGCGTCCGTCCGGAGCGGGCTGCACCAGTCGGTGGAAGGCCGGGGGCTTTGCGGCCAGTTCGTGCGGGAGGGGGTTGCCGTAGACGATTGGGGAGGCCAGTTTGCGGGAGTGCCAGAGGCTGTTGCCTGTTGAGTACGTATTCTTTTCCCTGAAAGAGAGGGAAGGCTTACTCGTGTTCCACGATGAGATCTTCCAGCTGGGCTTTCTTCTCCTCTGGTAGGTCTGCGTACGCGCGTCGTGTGTCCGCGAAATGGGTCCACGACCCCCCGTGCACGGGGTTGCCGTGGGATAGCAGGATGGAGTATTTGGAGCGTTGTTGGTGGTAGGTTGAGTCCTGGGCTGTTAGCAACATCTCCCTGAATTGAATCGATACGAGATCGGTCTTACCGTGTGCCACAGCGCATTCCCCAGACTGTGATGCCATCGTCGACTATCCAGCTTTACTAGAGATCCGTCCAGCTCGATACTTCATCCGGTTAGAGAACCACCGCCATCTATATGAGAAAAAAAAAAAAAAAAAAAAAGCCAAACTCACTTCGCCACATCAAACAGCAACGGCTCGCCGAGACGGTCATTCTCCCGACCGTAGAAAAACGGGTTGATCTCGAGCTTCTCGCCCAGCTGCTGCGAAAACGCGATGTGGCGGGCATTGTCCAGGCCCGTTTGCCGGAATATGAGCACCGCGTATCGGTCTTGCAGGGCCACCAACTGGTCAGTTGTTAGTTACGGGGATGAGCCGGTGTTGCGTGCTTCCAGAAGGGAAAAAAAAAAAAAAAAAAAAAAGAAAAAAAGCTCACCTGTGCCACTACATCCGCTGGGATCGGATTACTCCAGTCTATACCCGACACCTCTGCCCCAAAGGACGAGTCCGCGGACTGAAAGACCGGGCGGACAGTCAGAGCGCCCTCTTGGATGGCGGGGAGGGCATCCGCCCTCGGACAGGTGTTGGCGTACGTGCGGATGTCGATGTGGGCGAGGGGGTTCGCCATCGTCTGTGGGTGAGGCATATTGTTCGATTATCACGTCAGGATCACCATCAGCGTAAGGTATGGCAGGATATCTCTTGGCCATGACACTGCTTTTATCGCCGTATCTCTCGCGGCGTCGGTATCTCCGCCGTCGGGCCAGACCCGTCGCAGCCGATACGAGATCTGCCTGCCTGCCGATAGTCGTCGTCGTTATTAAATCAACTATCCTATCTCTCTATCGCTCGATCTGACAGATAACCATACCCATACCCTCAACCAGACGGTCGCAATCCTGAAACCACAAAAAAAAATAACTCCATCAATCACCATGCCTCAAGTCCTCATCACCGCGGGCCCCTACCGATTCCTGGCGTCCTTCGAGGCCGCCGCCCCCAAAACCGTCGCCCTCTTCCGCAGTCTCCTGCCCTATCGCCAGAAACTCATCCACGTCCGCTGGAGTGGCGAGGGGTTGTGGATCCCCCTCGGCGAGACGAAGGAGTTCGAGGTCCCCTGGGAGAATCACACGTCGCACCCTGGCGCCGGCCAGATCCTGCTGTATCCTGGGGGCATATCGGAGACGGAGATCCTGTTTTGTTATGGAGGGGTGTCGTTTGCGAGCAAGATGGGCTCGTTGGCCGCGAATCATTTCTTGACGATTACGGCGGGGCGGGAGAATTTACGGGATCTGGGGGAGTTGGTCTTGTGGACGGGGGCACAGGATGTGCTTTTTGAGGAGGCGACCGAGGAGATGTAGGTTGTGCGTTGTGTTTCTCGCGCGCTGAAGAAAGGCTGATGATTCATGATTATAGGATCCACCAATTCCGGGCGACCACTCGAGCTAAGCTCTAGGTCTCGATGTTTACGTTCCAGAACTCCCCCGGGTCGAGCAGCGGGCCTGGCCATTCGAACCCGGCTTCGTTCATCAGATCCAGCACCGATTGCAGCGCCACTTCGTCGACGGCGGGCCCTTGGTCGGTTGGTGGTGCCAGCACCAGTGCGGTGGCGTTGTGGACAATGGTGCTGAAGTCGCGTGCCGGGTGGAGCGTCGTCGATGCTGAGACGGCGTCAAAGAGGTCGCGGGAGAGATACAGCAGGCGAGAGATGATCGAGTTAGGGTTTGGAGGGAGCAGCGGGGACAGAGCCTCGGTGGTATGGACTTTTAGGTCATCTGACCATGTTGTTAGCGAGCGATTCTGAATGAAATGAAACGAATATTACCCACCATTGATGACGCCCCGGGTGTAGCAGAGTACCAGGAAGGTGACGGCGAAGGTATGCGAGATCCACGTCGAGTCCACGGCATACTGGAGGCGCTGCACGGCCTCCGCGTCCACGTGGAAGGCATCTTCCGGGAAGCTTAGGCGGTCTTGCGAGTCCAGTCGCCAGACGCTGTGGGCTCCGCTGTCCGACAGGGACAGGAGCATCTGCGCCGCGGCCGTCAGGCTGATCTCGAGCGAGGGAAGCAGTGAGGCTGGTGGTGTGCGGGATGCGGACAGGAGGGGGGCGAGCGCGGCGCTGTTCAGGGCCAGTCGATACCACTGATCAATTAGTCCGTTGCTTGTAGATCATGGAAGAGGAAGACAGGATAGATACCCTCACGGAGGTGAATGGGAGTTGGTTATGTTGCGACTTCGTCTGTGCCAGACGCACCGCCCATGTCCTGCAAAGGGATCAGCCACGATCGGGATATCTGCAAATCGGAATGGCACCCACGCTTCCCACTCATCCAGGGACAGATTGAGTCTGCGCAGCCCGTCCGAATTCAGCTGGCGTCCGGAGACATCCCCACAGCGGCGTATCGCCCGGTGCACCAGCGCCACGAGCTCGACCAGCCCGGCCACCCGGAGATCGGCTGGCTGCTGCGCCAGACGATGGGCGCCGAACCGCCGCGCGAGCTGCGCAGAGGCCGCCGGGTCCAGGGACGGAGGCAAACCCGAAGTCAGCATGAGGTTGAAGTCGCACGTCAGCAGGTTGTACCAGACGCGTAGCCGGGCGATCTCGCCCGCCGTGATCGAGTCGGTCGAGCTCTGCGCGAAAGGGCGTAGGGCAGACTGGTCGAGACCCAGAAAGAGAGCGTAGCGCACGGCGAGGCCAAGCACCGCCCAGGCACTGATCTCGTTGTATCGGCTCTTGGGCGGGTGGTTGTCGTCGGTTGTGTAGGGCATCCACTGCGCGTAGAGGAGGAGCACCCGGATGGAGTCGAGGGTCACGTCCGACAGCGTGGGCCGGAGCAGCAGGCGTGACACGGCCTGGTCGAGGAGGGCTGTCAGGGAGGACATTCTATGTACCAGGATTAATTAATACAGGCTAGTACTGCCAGAGAGAATCCCACGTCTGAGGAACGTACTGCGCCCGATGAGGTTTATGAAAGCGCATCCCCACGGCGCAGATGGCGAGGAACAAAACCGGGGTTGTGCGGCGCAGGTCCTGCCATGCGTTGCGCATCTCATCTCCGAGAAAAGGGGCCCAGGGATGGCAGTGATTGAAGAATCTACAGGTCGGTCAGCGTGATACCATCGCGACTCATCCGAGGACATACAAGGTGATCGCACTCTGCGCGTCCTCGACGGACACCACGCCGCGCGCCACAGGATCATAACCGGCGCGCGAGTCGTCCTTGGCCAGCGCCCCCAGCGAGCGCAGCGTGGCGATGGGAGGCCCGAGGTCGATGCCGTCCATGCTGAAGCCGGGCGAGTGCGACGGCGTGGCTGTCATCGGCCCCGGACGGTCGGGATTCTCTGCGGGTGGCTCGACAGTGACGGTCGGGGCATCTGGTTGGGACCGTTGTCTTTCCAGTTCCTCGATCCGGGCTTCATGTTGGTTGATTCTATCGAGTGGTCAGATTGCCCGAGGTCCACGGGTCTCCCCCAGACCCTGAAGTCGACATACTGCTCGTGGAGGTCGACGATCAACTGCGACATGCGCAACGGCGCCAGACACTCTTCGGGGCGCACGATCCTCTCCGTCTGGAAGGAGCAGGTGAGGCCTTGCTCCCTGCATCGCCGACAGGGGGCCTGCGGACCGCCAGGCTCGGGCAAGCAGCGCTGCTTTCTGGCGCGACACTGCAGGCACGCGCGTGAGATGCGACGGGCCTTGGCTGGGTGGGCCTCAGCCGCGCTGCATGAGGTGTCAGTCAGTGTTGCAGGCTGGAGGGCTTCGGGGAGAGAGAGGGGGTGGGGCTACCTTTCTTGGGGCCGTTTCTCCATGGGGAGAGGGGATATTCTCTTCTCGGTGGGTAAGAGGAGAGTGCAATGTTCGTCTGTTGATTTAATCCCCCCCGATGCGGGCTGAGACCGGCTGTCGTGGCGGCCCACGGGGCGAGCGGGTCTGATTGGCGGGAGATAGCCTTTATCGAAGGGATTGGAGGGATCGGGCCAATGGGAGAGCTCCATTGGGGGGGGGGTCTCCACATCGATTGGTGGCCGAGAGAGTCGAGAAGGTCGACAGTAGGGCTGATGGGGGCAAAGTGAGGGCAAAGAAAGAGTCACCGCGGGCTGTCGGCAGCCTGAGGCCCCGATCTCACTTTAACACCTCTTTACATTCTACAATACACATGATTGGCAAGATATGGTCCGATGCGTTATGGCAGGATAAGAAAGTACATTGAGGATAACAGCTACAAGGCCAACCAGAGACATAAGTAGGGCCAAAACCGCTTCCATTGCTGTTATATATGCTTTGCATTGGCGTGCAATGTCTGGGAAGGAGAGCCTGCCTATTATGCACTTTCTGAACTAGGAAAGTGTGCGACCAGGTCTTGTCTAGGGTGTAGCTTGTAACTTCTGAAATATTAAATAAACCAGACTTGCGCATTCAAATTTCTTTTCTTTTTTTTTTTGATACTGTGTCAAGTGTTTTTAGACAGCACGCAAAAATGAGCCACCCGTCGTCTTCCAGTCGTAAAATGGCCAAGAGCGCCACAAGCTCTAAGCCGGGCGCCTTCTCCGAGACACTGAAACTCACCTTACGCGAGATGCAGAATCAGCGTTGCTGGTGTTGCGATGCCCCGGATATGGATACCGCACATGTAATAGCTAAAATGGACTACGCCGTAAGGAAAAATGACAATTACTCTATACCAGACAGTAGCTAAACGTATAATCCGTAGATCCCTCACCTGCGTTCCCGCGGGATTCTGAAACACCTAGACATAAGAGGATTGGCCAACTCTGTCGGGCTGTGCGGAACTCGCCATAGATTGTACGATGATGCCCAAGATCCCCGTGTCGTTTTCATGCCGGAGGACCTGGAGTTCTTTATCCGTTTTGAAGTACGAGATCGAGCTCGTAGAAGGGAGGCCGGGCTTCCAGTAAGTGCCCGAAACGTGCCCAGTGCCGAGACGTTCCGCGCATATCAGGTGTCCCAAGGAAGAATATCTGGAGAGGCAGTGGGCGGGATGTATGACCGCTACATTCTGGAGGAGCGGTGGGCGAACCAGTTGCGCATCACCCAGACTGCAGAGTGGCACGGAGACCCCATGGCCGCTATTCGGCGTGCAATTCTTGTAATTGGATCCACTAGGATCCAACAGCTTCCAATCACCACTGTTCACCAGCTTCAGGTGTTACGGGATCTCTACTTCCGCGATGACGAGATGGCAATCGAGAATTTCTACGGCCTGAAGCCAGAGAAGCTGCCCGGGGATTCAGAAAGCATCAAGGAGGAGGAGAAAGAAGAGGAAGAGTCCGTAAAGGGCAAGAGAAAGCCCAGCCCCTCGAGCCAAAACACTGGGGGGGATGCATCGCACAAGCGTCTTTCGCTAGACATGCAAAACAAAACTCGGTGGATGTTTGGGCCCGAATCAACTACCAGCGACAATGTCCAGAAGTACATCCCTATTTTGAGAGGCCCAGGTAGGGTATGAGTCTATGTACAGTGGTGGTGTTATTGACCTCGACTGTCATTGGTATACATCAATAAGTGGTTTGCCAAGGTTATAGCTGCATTGCACTTCTATTGTAGGGCGTGTCTTACTAAGATCGTATATTGGAAGGTTCCATATTCTAGCTAGCCCAAATATTTCCTAAGCAACTTCTGTGCAGCTAATTTTCCTCTTCTTCAGCTGGGAAGGGTCTCTTCTGTGTCCGAATCTTCCGAGTCTGTCGGGGGACCCGACCAGTTCCCCTGGCCCTTGCAGAGCATCTCGAATGATAGAGGGGGAGCCACCGTTGGCAGGTCCTCGTCGTCATAGAAGTAGAGGTCTCGAAGGGTCTCCAGCTGTTTGACGGTCTCTTTCGGAACGACCCGGATTCGAGGAGAAGCCAGGATCCCCATGGCACGCAAGATGGCCAGAATCGGCGGTCCCGGCCAGGGCTTCGGATGGGGGTCCGGCACGTAAGGCGTTGTGTGGAAAAGCAAGCGCGTGTACAAGCCCGACCGGTCGTCTGGCGAGATGGCCCCGGAGGCAATCTGGGCCTGGCGGTATTGTTCCCGGTCGGGGATGACTCTGCCTGGCTTGGGCTCGTCGGGGAGCGTCGGCGTCGGGCGCGGTCCTCTAGCTCGAACCGGATGAAGTATTCCAGGTCGGCGGGGAAGAAGTAGTACCACTGGTCGATCGGGTCGGAGAAGCCCTTCTCGCAGTTCGGGCAGAGGTCCACCACGTTGAGGTCGGTGTTGTAGAAGGTGTGGACCTTGAACTTCAGGAACTCCTCCAGCAGTCCGAACCTTGCGAGAAACTCGCTCTGGGTTGCGGTCAGTCGGGGTTCACATATGGAAAGCTCGCAAACATACACTATTTGCATAGCTATTGGGGCTGATCATGGGAGTCGGCCTGGCCATGGGCATCTCACATCCCCAGCATTCATACGGCTGATATCGTTCTGTTGATCTCACCATTCTGTCCGCAAGGTTGACTCGATGAAATAGTTCAGATCCTTCAAGTGGATTAGATGGCGGCTTTGGGTGGTAGTGATAGAGTATTGGATGGAGGGGACGGGCTGTTGTTGGGTGGAAGGAGAAAGTTGGTGGTGGGGTGAAAGGTCATTTCAGTATGGTTTCTGATGTATATCTATGATCATGGTGACAAAACAACGGGATCTTCTTTCCAGGCATCAACCTCGCATCATAACTACGTGTGGAGATGTATGTATGGGCGATGGTGATGGATAAAATTTGCAACCCCTTGGAGATAGTGTTATCACACCGACTGAAGAGAATGGGCACTTTTTTCAGTCTGATGGTTTTCTCTCACAGCCAGCTCCAGGACTTGGTTCCATTCTTCCTGAAATACGATGAATCCCGCTTGGATGCACTGCTTTGAGTGGTGAATAATTAACCCAATCACGGATCCGAGGTATCCGTCCATGCTGATCTTGATATTCATGCTGACAACCTTTACCCATGCCGGATACAGGGCAGGGTAGACAGAGCCCCGGCGGCAAATCCCCCCCGCTATGCCGTCGGCATCTTCCAGCCACTATAAGCACGCTACTGCATGCTTATAAATGCCCTGATGCCCTGTCTCTCGCCACCCCCGGTTTCAGACTCAGCTTCTGGGTGAAGCTTTATATTCACCGTCGATAATCCTCATTGCATGTGCTGTGTGACTGCCAGGGGATGAAAACTAGCTTCCCCTCTTTTCCTCTCCCTTTTCTTTCTCACCTCTGTTCTCTCTTCTCTCCTCTTCTCTCCTCTCTTTAACACTCACAAGCACTAACCCAACCCGCCATCTCAGCTTTGTGTCTCCCCCCCCCTGCATTTAACTATTTTTTACTATCATTTGATATAAGTCCATTACTACCATGCAGCTGGCCCTCGGCACCCGCGTGCTGCCGTGGCTGCCGCTGCTCTGGCAGTCACCGTCGCCGCCCCAGCGCTTGCCCCAGCCCTGCGCCAACCTGTCGCTGCCGCTGATCCCCGACGCCGAGATCGTGTCCATCACCAGCCGCGAAGTCCACAACTACACCCTCCCCCAGTTCCCCGGCCAGCAGCTGAGCTTCTGTGACGTCAACATCACCCTCACCCATACTGACGCTGACGAGGCTGAATACAATGACTTCGCGCACGTCTCCGTCTGGCTTCCCCTGAACGCCACCGACTGGAACGGCCGCTTCCAAGCCACCGGCGGCGGCGGACTCGCGGCAGGATTCCCATCAGGGCCTTTGCAGATCCTAGCCGTCAGCCAGGGCTACGTCGCTGCAGCCACGGACGGCGGCCTGACCCTGAACGGAACCATCGACCCCCAGTCCGGCAGCTGGGCTCTCCGTCCCGACGGCTCGCTGAACACCGCCTTACTCGACAACTATGCGCATCGCTCCACCCACGACCTCGCTGTTATCGGGAAGATCCTCACCGAGAGGTTCTACGGTAAACCGCCCACTTACTCCTACTTCAGGGGCTGCTCGACCGGCGGCAGACAGGGATATTTTGCGGCCGCGCTGTATCCGAGGGATTTCGATGGGATTTCGGCGGCTGCCCCCGGCATTAACCTTCCTCATTTGTTTGGAACGTTCTTCTGGCCGCCTATTCTGATGATGCATGGGGTTGTGCCGCCGCAGTGTGTTTTCGAGGTGTTTCAAAAGGCCGTCGTTGAGAAGTGTGATCCGCTGGATGGGGCGGTAGATGGGTTGATTTCTAATTATCTTCCGGAAGCGTGTCAGTTTGATCCCGCGGTGCTGGTTGGTAAGACCGTTGATTGCGAGGAGACCAAGTCGACTGTTACCATCACACCGAAACATGCAAGGCTGGTTCATCAGATTCTAAAAGGCCCTCATCTCTCTGATGGCCGCAAGCTGTGGCACGGCCTGGCCCCTGGGGCGTCCTTCCGCGGCATTGCCAACACGGTTGCTCGCAACGGGAGCGATATCATGACCATCAAACCCTTCGGTCCCATTGTCGGCTGGACCAAGAACTTCGTGTTCCAAGACCCGACCTACGATGTCTTCGCCATGGATTTTGTCGACTTTGACGTTGCCGCGATCCTTTCCATCGCCAAGTTCCGCGGCATTCTCGGCTCCGAAGACCACCGTTTGTTTGGCTTCCAGCGCGCCGGCGGGAAACTGCTCTCGTGGCATGGCCTGGCGGATGAGATTATTCCTTCGTCGGGGACCGTGACGTTTCGCCAATGGGTCGAGGAAGATGTTGGGGGCCCCGAAGTCGCGGATGGCTTCTATCGCTTGTTTCTGGCTCCCGGCGTGGGTCACTGTGGGGGAGGGTATGGGCCGGTTCCGACGGAGGAGATGGAGGCGTTGGTTCGTTGGGTCGAGGAGGGCAGGGCGCCGGATACACTTGCTGCGGAGATCGTGGATTCGGCAGGCGAGAAGGTGTCGCGTCAGCTGTGTCGCTATCCGGATGCACTGGTGTATGATGGTCATGGCGATGTCAAGCTGGCTAGTAGCTTTCACTGTGGGTCGCTCGATGGCTGATCGTGTTGGATCGCGGTCAGGAAAGGGTGTTCTGTAAACTAGTCCCGATATGATTCTTGAGGCGACACCTGGCGTGTCTCACCTTGTGGACATTGTCATACTTTTCTTCGTTTTGTTGTTGTGTTGGAATTCAAACCTGATGCCAAGTGTTTCTGGGATTCTCACCTAACCCGTTTGATCTGGAGAAGTATTCCCGATCTGTAGATTGTGGCCGCTTCTAGTACTTTCACACCTACCTTGGTATCTGGACACCTCGTTGGTTGCGTGGTAGTGATGTTCCACGAATTGCCCAACAAATCTTCATTGAAGGGGTTATGCCTGCTAGTTTGCCTTGGCATCGATTTCCGCGTAATATCAAAACCATTTGAAAAGCCAGATCCGGATACGATAAACAGGAGACTCTCCATGATGCGACTTGATGCGCCTGGTAGGGATGGATGGCACCAAGATTGGTACTTTGAATGTCCAATCGACGAATATTTAAATCATTACTATCGTATACTAGGTCAAATTTTGACCCGTCGAGTTCACCACTATAACTTCATCAGATGAACGAACGCCGCCGCTTGAGATGCCCATCGCGCTAGACCCATGACAATAAAGCCCCACGGAGCACCAGGCTCGTGCGGCTGCAAAGAAACCCTCTATCGCATGTCCACCTGGAACAGGTACTTCTGACGGATCTGAGCCACATCGTACACGATGTACTCGTTGTAGAGCAGGCCTCGCGACTGAGCATTCGCCGCCGGCGACGACACGTCAGGCATCGTCACGCCCTTCAGACTGGGGTGGACACAGCTGGCATCCTTCCAGGCCGAAGGGATTGATGAACCACGACCCAGCGTGGCGACCTTTCCTTCGCGCACGGCATCCTCGCCCGCGTTGAAGTTGCCCCCGTCCAACTCCAGCATGGGATTACCGACTTCGACGTCACAGAGCAGCAGCAGACCCTGATTCCCACTGCCCCACGAGCAGCAGTAGTTCGCCGACTTGGTGGACATGTCTGCAAAGTAGACACCCTTTCCGAACATGTATCCGCTGACGGGGGCTTCTGGCGGGGCGATGCGCAAACCCTGACTCAGGATACCACCGAAGTTGGTGCTGCGGGATCCGTGCCACAGCAGACGGCGACTGCTCTTCTTCATCTTGGCAAACTTGGACGACTGGAAGCGGTCGTTCTCGCCCTGTCGTTCAATGCGGAAAATGTTGATGACCTGTCACTGGTTAATCCGCATCCTTACAGGTACATCAGGCCACTCACATTGTATCTAATCCCGTGCGTAGCACCACGGGACTGGATGAGATAGTCATGCAGCTCGATAAATTCGGTAGATGTGTGATCCACTGTATGAAATTAGCGTGCGAAACATAGGCCAAGGAACGGGCATAGCGTACGTGGGGACATCTCTTGCATTCCCAAGCCCTGGAATTGACGGTCAAGCTGGTGCACCGTATCGACATCCTTCGCAGCCTTCATGATGCTGTTCGCAACCTCCATATCGGTCAATGTTTCCAGCAGCTCAATTTCCCTCTTGATGAGATTCTCCTGGACCAGCACCGGGGGCCTGTTGCGGCCAAAGACGTGAGGGATGAAGGTAAAGTACAGGTTGCTGATGTGCTCGGCCGCTTCATTAAAGGAAAGGCCGTATTGGTCTGCTGCCAGGTTGGGGTTCGCGACCAGCTCCGAGAGGTTCTTCAGGGCCTCAAAACCGGAGAGCAGGGTGCGCTTGCTGAGCTTACCCAGGGGCAGTTTCTGCGCGTCGTAGGACATGGCGGCCATGGTGGCATTGAAAAGATCCTGATTGAAAATGAACGCGATTAAATTCTGCACCGCCGCAGGCAGGGTGCTTTTGACCTCCGGTGCCTTGGCCTTGGAGGGCTTCTTGACGACAGCTTTGTCGTCCTCGTCTTCATCGTCGGAGCCCTCTTCATAGTTCCGCTCAATGAAGGTATACTTGCTACCCTTGGGGGGGTCGAGACGGTTCTCCCAGGTCAGGCCGGACTTGTCTTTGAATTTCTTCTTGAACTCGGCTTCCGCTCTTCCGTGGCTACCGTCGCCTAGAAGGGCATGCTGCCCCAGTTCTCCCACTCGGCCCCAATGGGTCCAGGTCTTAAAATCGCTCTTGCTGCTGTTGGTGAGCAGTTGAACGCGATAGAATTTGTTGTTGTTATTGCTCGCACTGGTCTGGTTCAGGGTGGCATCCCAGATGAGGCCGCTTGGATCAATGTATACCGCGTAATGGGCTATCGAAGAACAGTTAGCTCCGCCTTGGCTCCACTAATCCTTGCTCTACGCGCAGGGGTAGGTCACCTACCTCTCAGGGGGCAGGTCTCGTCCACGGGAACATTGAGGGACTTGGTGCCGATGGTCTGAGCGTCCTTGAACTTCTTGGTTGTACCATCCTGCTGGACGCCGAGGGCTTCTTCCAGGGTGCGCTTCTTGGGCTTCTCCTCCTCCTCGTCCTCGTCCTCATCCTGGTTATTGTCGGCGCCCATCAGGAAATCCTTCTCGTCGAGCCGTTTGCCCTCCGCGTCGGAGTCGACGAGCCAGGCCAGCGAGACAATGTTGCAGGTGTATACCTTGCGGGCTTGCGTGTCTGGGCCTTGTTAGTTACCGAGGCCCGACACATCGGGGACGCAGCGGGTGGCAGTCGGCAGTCCTCGATCATCGTCGAACCGACCCTTCGACTCACATTTGACACTCCTGTTGTCCACCTCCTTCTCGGTTGTAATCAGGTGGGTGCATTCTTCCGTCACCGTCGACGAGAACTTGCCTCCCTGGCGACTGACGATGTTCTTCAAGTCCGCTATTATCCCGAACAGGGTCAGCAACCGCTCCGAGGAGTATCACATCGAGTGGCAGAGCGGGACCCACCTTGCTTGAAGCCGGGGAATGTTCCGCCGACGGCGATAACCAAGCCCTTTAAGGCCTGGACGGTCATTGTGCGAGAGAGGGTGAGAGCAGTAGCTAAAAAGAGGAGCGGGGGGGAAGCCGAAGTCGTGTCACCAGTGAGGGAGAGCAGCGATGTGGTGAGGGGGAATTGGGAATTGGGAATTGGGGTGATGGCAGTTGTCGACGGGGTAGTCCCGGATGGAGGGTGTGCGAGGAGCAATGAAGGTGATGAGGGAGATGAAGGTAGAAGAAGAAGAAGAAGCGAAGACGGGGAGGAAGAGAGAGTTATAAAGCAATAGTTAATCTGGTTGACCGGCGCCTCGCCTGCCCGCCTCAGGCCCCTCAGGCCCCTCAGGCCCCCGCCGCTGCTGTTGCCTGGACCCTGAGTCGCCGGGGCGGCCTGATTGGCCCGAGCTCCTGTGGGGCGGCCAGGCACCAGCGCCGCACGTGACTTCTGCCTGGGGGCGCCATCCCGATCGGGCAACAGAGCCTCAGGTACCAGCCGGCAGCCTGCGACTAGTGATGCATTCGAAACAGAGACGATACTGTGAAAGACGATATAGTAAGTCCCAGTTGATATTTTACTGCGGGAAAAAAAAGCTATGAGAAAAACGAAAAAGCTTGCTAACCAAAAATAGTTTATGTGGAGCCAGAGTGAATCGACCCCGCGTTGAACACTTCCGAGGACCCTTTTTTTTTTTTTTTTTTGGCGCCGTTCACCCAAACAGGCGACGCGACCGCCTTCTGCTGCTTTCTCTTCTTCTTCTTCTTCTTCTTCTTCTGCTTCTTCTTCTGCTTCTTCTTCTTCTTCTTCCTCTTCCATCATCCTCCTTGCTTGGTCTGATATATACAACAACACAACATAACGCCTCGCCCAATGCACATTATTATCATTACTAGAGAATCAAAAATCCGGGAATGGGATAGGATATATCATACTCCCTCTCTCCCTGCGCTGCAAATGCTTTTTTTTTTTTCAATCGAGCCTGTCAGTTCTCCCCCTCACCCACGTCCTCGTCCGCCACGTGCGACTCCTGCGCCTTCTCGTAATACGGCGCGAACTTGCTCTTCTTGCGCAGGTTCTTGCCGAACAGCAGGAAGCACACGGGGATCGGCACCAGCACCGCCGCCAGGCAGCCCAGCAGGGTGGACGCCCACTGGATGCCCATGTTGTCGAACATCTGTCGCGAGAACAGCGGGAAGCTGGCCGCCACCAGCGACCGGCAGAAGGTGTTGGCCGCGATGGCCGATGCGGCACTAGATGGCAGGTCAGTCAGAGTCCGGGGATACCTCCACAGCGGGATCGGATCACTTACAACATCAAATACGTGTCGATCAGGTAGTTGAACAGCTGGATGAAGATCATCAGCAGTCCGAATCCCGTGAACAGCCCACTCAGCGTCGGCACGATCCACGGGATGCTGTTCGTGAAGCCCGTCCACCCGAACCAGAACAGCCCGGCCGCGAAGAGCACGCCGCCCAGGATCACCGGCGGCAGACGCCACTCCGGCACCGGCATCCCCCCGTTGGCATCCAGCTTCCGGTTGTACGCCGGGCTCGTCAGGATGATGTACGCCGCCGCGATGAGCAGGCCCACCACCATCCCGAACAGCGTCAGCCCGCCCACCCCGGCCGACATGCCGTACACCCCGTCGAACACCAGCGTGTACGCCGTCAAGAAGCAGTACAGCAGCCCATAGATGAAGCTGAGGTAGACGGTCACCGCCAGGATCAGCGGCTCGCTGATGAGCAGCCGGATCGGCCGCGAGAAGTTGTTCACGATCAGCTCCCGCAGGTCCACCTCGATCTCCTCCTGCTTCGCGTGGATGCCCCAGTTCTTCGTGCGCCGCCGCAGCTCCGCCGCCTTGTCCACCAGCACCACCGGTGGGTACGATTCCTTGAGGAAGAACAAGTTCATCACGAACGCCGCGTACCCCATGATCGCGGGGATGTACGCCGTCCACCGCCAGCCCAGGTACGACGAGTTGATGAACCCGCCGATGAAGGGGGCCAGCAGCGGACCCAGGAACACTGTGCTGGCGAACATCGCGATGGCCACGCCCCGCGTGCGGTTGTCGTAGATGTCGGAGAAGATCGCCGCCACCACCGCCAGCGGGCTACTGCCGAAGATGCCGCAGAAGAAGCGGCAGATCATGATCGTCTGCAGATCCTTGGCCACGGCGACCGCGGTGTTGAAAATGCCGAACCCCAGCATGGCAATGATGATGGGCAGGCGGCGGCCCTTCAGTTCGGAGAGCGGCGCCCAGATCAACGGTCCCGACGCATACCCACAGATATATAACGAGCTAGAGAGGGTGGCCACTTCGATCCCGACGCCGAACACCTTGGCGACGTTCGTGGTGGAGGAGCTGAAGATGGCGGAATCGAAGGTCGAGCAGATACTCGTAAAGGCGAGCATGGCGCTGATGTATATCCTAGGGGAACCCACACCGTCAGTACACATCTGATCCATCAATCTTCCGCCCGCGCAGGACCTACTTGGTGGACAGCTTCCAGTTCTGGGGGTAGAGTGGGTCATCGGGCCCGTCGAACTCGACGACATAGTCCTCTCGCGCCGGCAGCGGGGGCGGGTAGGGCTTGCCGCCTCCAAAGGCCGGTAGAGGCGCTCGCGAAGCGCGCGACCTGACGCTTTCGCCAACGGTGAGGGCGTGTTGCAGGCGCTGGGTCTCGATGCGGCTCAGGGCGTGAGAGGTGGCCGTGCGATGGCGCTCCAGGTCGATCTCGGTGGCGCGCGATTGGAGGGTGTGCAGCTGCGGGTTGGGCTCAATGGAGCTGCTGTAGCCAGTCGAGCCGGTGGTCCCTGAGGAGGTCGGGCGCTCGAGACCCTCCTCCTCCTTGCTCGAATGGAGCCGGGCATCGAGCTCAGCCTGCTCGAGGTCCTTGTCGACGCGGGACATGATGAAGTCTGTCTGGTCTGGAGAGAGAGGCCCCGATGCTGGCCCAAGACAGGACGACGATTTCTGCTGGCTAAGAAGGACAGGACAGGACAAGACAGGACAGGGACGGAGTCGCCGCCTGGGGGTCCAGGCTGAATAATAATAAAGACTGTGATGGCCATGGCCAGCATCCGATTTATCCGTTCTGCACTCGGGAGCCCCACCGCGAACGGCTGCCACCCGGCCTCAGCACTGCCGAAGCGCCGAAGAGGGCCTCGATGCCCTCAACCCCCCTCGCGCTCAGAGCCTGTAAGTGCGGGCAGCCGAGTATTTGAAAATATCGACATCCTCCTCATAAGCAGGACCTTGACGCTGTGGAAGCTGGAATCGATTATTTGGTGGTCCATCTCCCCTGCCTCCAACAAATTGGCTGACTCTGCCTCAGGCATGCAGGCCTCCAGCCTGGCAGCCTGGGGCCGCCAAGAGGCCGGCCCATCCGCCATGACGTCACGAGGGGCGGGTATTAGTCAGGATGGCAAATGAAGGCAGAGAATTTCTGGTGTTTTCCAGCACTTGCCCGGGGGACTAACCCCAAGGAGGAGTGATTCATGCCCAATCGCCGTCGGATACGCCATGGGCGGAGCCTGACTCGTCTCCTGATCCGAAGGCGTCGGCAAGTATCTATCTATGTATCTCATCCACTGTACGGAGTAGATATGCGGTGAGGGACATCATCCCATACATACTCTCGAGGGTCCCTGCACGAGAGCCACTGCCTTCATATGGAACACGTCCAGCATGCACCTGTACCAGAGCCTCTTGGGAGGAAGAAGACCGGTGCACGTACCATAGTCATGGTTGATTGTTGGCTCCCGAAGTTGGACGAACCCCCCCCCTTCCCCCCCCTGGCTAGTTGGATCCCCGTCAGGCTGAACTACTGCAGCCGACTTCTGGCCAGGATCAGCTGCACCAGGCACCTATTGATGGGACACGCGATCCCCATCTCCTGCCCCTGTCGCACAACCCACCCGTTGATGAACTCGATCTCCGTCGCTCGGCCGGCCCGCACATCCTCGCACATGCTGCTCGAGTTGCCGGCCGTCTTCTGAATGTTGCTGATTAGCTGCTCCTCGAGAGCTGCCACCGACATCCGTGCCTGCACGTCGGGGAGGCCCTGCAGCTCGGGCAGCTGGCAGAAGACCGATGAGATCTCCCCGAGGAGCGGGCGCTGCATCCTGCGCAGCTCCGCATTCTCCAGCATCGCGCCATTGTGTACGCCCAGCAGCGCCGTTAACGGGTTGACCATGCAGTTGGTCGATAGTTTCAGCAACTGCGCCTGGCGGAGTTCTATCCAGGGCATCTCGGTGCATCGGATTATCGGGGCTGCGACCAGCCGGTCGATGAGGTCGCGACAATGGGGGGACGCCTCAGCTGACACCTGGTCGCCGACCACCCCGATCGCCCCAGATCCATGGCGTCCGGCGAGGACTGCATCCAAGGGCGACTTTATGTAGGCGCTATGGCGCATAATTCCAAACATGTAGGTCGGTCTCGTCAGTGGGTCCGGGAACAGGTGCTTGTTCAGCGCTTCAATCTGGCCCAAGCCGTTCTGGAACAGACAGATGGTGGACTGCCGGCCCAGCCGATGCTGGATGGGCCGCAGGGCGGAGACCGTCGCGCAGGCCTTGACGGCGACGATTAAGCTGCGTATCGGTGCCGCTGCAGATCGACGATGACTATTGTTAGCATCCCCCACGAAATCGACGTCATACCCGGCACTCCCTACCGAGGAGCCACCTTCTCCGACCTGGAGATGGAGCCGCTGGCCCCGCGCGAGGAACTGCTGGTAGATGGCTTCGCGATGGAGCAGCAGCGTGACAGGCGGGGGAGTGGGGATGCATCGCAGCGAGTGTGCGACGACCGTCCCGATGCTCCCCAGGCCGATCACATGTATGCCGTGCGCGTTCATGATGGATGTGGTACGGGGGACAGAGTGGCTGGAAGCGATCCGAAGGCAGGTATCTATACTATCGGCTAGTATCCTGTGGATCCGAACCGCAGCTTTCCTTGGATGCCATCCGTAGCTGTCCGCAGCACACGTTTTGTACCCCTTGCATCGTGTGCGTGATCTTCGTGTCATAACACCCGACACTCAATGTCCGACCGGGTGGGAAATGACATCAAATTATGGAGAATAAACCATGCTACGACATCGGATACGCGGCACTGCCAACAACCCTGTCCATTACCCCTGATCCATAAATCATGAACTCATCCGCACCAACGAAATCACCCCAGACTCAAAAAAAAAAAAAATACAAACAAACACAAGCGCCAGCCCAATACCCTACGGTTGCGGGAATTCTCCCCTATTCACATTACACCTCCATTTAAAACATCGGCATTGCGACCTTGTTCGAATAATCCACATTATCCGACACACTCTCGATCCGTCCGCCACAGGTGCCAAAAATCACATCCCACAGCCGGGTCTGCTTCCCGTAGTTATGGCTCTTCTTCCACCCCTTGCGGTGATGCAGATCATGATCCTCGATGACCAGCTCCGCCCCGAATAGCTTCAACAGCCAGTTCAACGTTGAGGGCGGCGATGCATGCATCCGCAAGCCACTGTGGCCCGCCAGCTCCGCGAACATCACGTACTGGTGGCAGATCCACCACTCATAGAATCCCATGGGGAGACCCATGAACTTCATAGTGAAATATGTCATGAGTGGCACACCCGCGATGTCGAAGAACTCCTGCTCCGTGTCGGCGTACAGCGTCAGCAGCGGGTTCGGGTGCTTGGTGAGGTGGTGCGTGCGGTGGTATTTCCACAGTGCGCCCACGTCATGCATCAGCCGGTGGTACCAGTAGAACCAGAAGTCGAGGATGATGCCGTACAGCCCGATCTCGAGGGGCAGCCACGCCCAGCTCATCTGCGCCGGGGCCACCGTGCGCCGGTAGCTGAGGAGCACGGTCATGATGGGCCGGAAGGTCGAGGTCGACATGAGCGACTGGACCACTTTCTGCACCCCGACGTCGGGCACCCCGTCGCGCTCGTGCTGGTCACCGTCCAGGTAGCCGAGCTTTTGGCCCATGCGCCGGAGGGCCTGGAACTCGTGGATGGCGATGAGCTTGAAGGCGAGGCTGTAGAAGAAGAAGGCGGCCAGCGGACTGAAGTTTTGGCCCGTGTAAGCGACATAGACGTGGTGGACGGCCAGGGGGAGGAACGAGTGCCAGAGCACCCAGCGGTGCTGGGACCACTGGCCCATGTAGGGCACCTTCTCGGTCTTCTGGTGCACGGGCACCTCTTTGTCCAGGGCCTGCGGATGGATGCCGAGGATCTCGTAGAACCAGTGGAAGGGCGTCCACTGTTTGCGGTCGAGTCCCCGCCAGGAGGACTTCATCGAGTCCTTGGGATTGCGTTGGAATTCGCTCATGATGGGTGAGGGCGTGCGCTCTTTTTTCGTGTTTTGGGATGGTTTTCTGGTCGGCCTTTGAGGGGTCCTGGGGCGAGGAGCGTAGGTGGGTTGGCTATATAGGGCTGCGGCGGGTTCGGGATCGACCTGCCCCAGGCACTCGGAAAAGGTAAACGCAAACGTTGACCTTCCGCGCGGGCTCGGCTCAACCGCATGTGATACGGGTCTTGCAGTCCCCGTGGATGTTTGAACCTCTTTTGAGGGGTTCATCAGACTCGCTAACGAGGGAATCACCGCGGCTCTGCAGATCCCCCGAAAACGAGGCTCGTCGTTGGCCGGTAGCGCAGCTCAGCGCTTGCCTCCACCGAAGACCCTTGACACATGATGCTCGTGCGATTGTGCCGAGGACGTTGGGAACTTGGGATGGAGTGCCAGGCCGATGAAGCGTTGGAGCCTGGGGAGTGATGTGATCGAGTTCCTACATCACCCGTCGTTCACTTTCCCAGCGGCTGCCACACCTGCTGAGAGATAGGTCAGCCTTATCTCATGTTGCTTATTTTTCTCGACCGTTGACCGCTGCGGAGACATGTGTGCCGACTTGTTCTGTCCCTGAGGAGGTGGTGTCCTGTTGGTGCCCTTGCCTCCCTGTCCCCTGTTCGGTTGATCCCGGGTGACGAACTGGATCTGAGGGGTGCCCTCGGAAGATTTCGAACCCCTCTGACTCTGGAAGCAGTCTCGACATTGAGCATAGACTGGGACCTGTTGAGGTTTATGTCAAGGGGACAGGTAAATCCCCAGGTAGGACACCCTCGCGACCAGTGCCGCATTGGGAAACCCATGCCACCGCGATGCATGGCAGTCCACAACCCACGAGACCCACTGACGTATATGTACATGCGTGCCGTGGTCGGGCAGAACCTGATCGAAAGCAGGTTTTCTGATCGAAATCGGGGGGGATCTATCTATCTACAGTGCGTGCGAAATTGTATATCCGGTGATAAACGAGGTGTTTCGCTTACAGCATGTCGAGCTGAAAGGTGGAGTTATAGTATCTGGCATTATGCATATCCGGCGCTGCAAGGCAATCTCGACGCGACAAGGCCCTCTCTTCAGCTCATGCGGTGATCATTTCCGGCCCATACCTCGACGGAGGATCTGACAGCTTAGATTGGCGCACAGGCCGGATCATACGATACTCGGCGATCCAGTACATCCTCCAATTTCGACAATGCATCCCGATCGTGGGCTTACGGGATGGTTCCTGAATCTATGGGCCTTGCTAGATAAATTGCTCCAGGCACCAGCACCAGGACCAGCACCAGGACCAGGGTCTTCCCATTATTGTGGCCCGTCGGAACACCCGATGCCCAGACTGGGTCCAATTTAACCTTGTGCTCCCTCCCGCACCCCGACCATCCGAGCGATACATCGATGGCTGGAATGACCGGATGATCTGCAGGTCGGAAATAAAGGGCCATTGCGGGAATCCTGGGAATGGCATGCGGGTTGTGCATGTTATTGCAAAGGCTCTCTCTCTCTCCTCTTGACGGGTTAAGCGTTGAGCCCTCCCGTCGTCGTACAGTACGATCGCAGGTGACAGCCACGCAACTTGACTTTTCTTCAGGGGACAAGGTACAGGAAATAGGGGATTGAGTTTGCCAGGAACCATCACTAACTACGCCTATGTAACGGCGATGTTCTATTCTGGTGTTTACGCCGTCGCATAGTGGGCGACCCAAAATTGGGCCTCCGCGCCCGACAATTGCGGCGCGCCAAGTCGAGGGTTGATCTCCACCCGTTCATCGCATGGCTGCGCATCGCCGTTTCAGACTGCCCCCTCCACGCTTCGGGAACCATCCGTCCGTGTCGCTCATCCGGATTTCCAGCCTCGATCGCGATAGGGCCGGTCCACCTGAAACATGGTAACATGGTCCCAACCGGGAGATGCTAGCAACCAGCAAACTGTCTACGCATGTACAAGCTACCTAGCAAGGAGCAGGGCAGAAAGACACCCGTCGGCTAGTTCCAGGGGAGACATCCATGGATGCGGCGTATTTATATTTCCATATAACCCCTCCCCTTTTCATCTCCAAAAGCAAGGGCAAACCTGTCGCTCTTTTTGTCCACCCCAGTCACTCCTTGTCCCCCTAATCCCCCATACGCTCATTGTAAGTCTTCCCCGTGGCCACATGGCGACATGGCAACAATGCCCTTGTCGGGATCTCGGGATCTCTCTGACAGCCGTCTATAGATGTTACGTCCGCTTCTCCTCTCGCTGGCGGTGCAAAGCCTGGTCACCGGCACCATCGCCAGCCCCAACCCTCACCCCCACGCCTCACACCTCCACGAACGAGACACGGAGTTCGACTATATCGTCGTCGGCGGAGGAACGGGCGGGATTACCATCGCCACGAGACTGGCGCAGAACAAATTCAAGGTTGCCTTGATCGAGGCCGGTGGCATGTATGAGCTCGAGTCCGTCGCTGAGGTGCCCGCCGCCGACGTGCTCCCCGTCGGATCGGACCCCGCAACCATCGCCGCCCAGGACTGGGGCTTTGTTGCGGAGGATGTCCCCGGTGCGAATGGCCGGTCCATTCACTATGCGCGGGGGAAGTGTCTGGGTGGATCGTAGGTGTCGCATTCCTATTCCCCGATGCTCAACGCTAACGACACTCAGCTCAGCCATGAACTTCATGATTTACCAACGGTTTGTCTTCCAATCTTCACACTCATTGTTTCCCCCGATGCCTGTTTCCCAGGACTGACCGTCTGTCTTCTCGTCCAGTCCTACCATCGAGTCCATGCAGCAATGGGCCACCACCGTCAATGACAGCAGCTACACCTTCGAGAACACGCTGCCCTACTACAAGAAGAGCGTCAAGTTCACCCCTCCCAACACCTCGCTGCGATCCAAGAATGCCACGACCGGCTATGATGCCAGCGCGTACGAGTCCACTGGCGGCCCGCTGAAAGTCTCGTACTCGAACTATGCCATGCCCTTCTCCACCTGGATGGACCTCGGCATGCAGGCCATCGGCATCAAGGAGATCGAGGACTTCAACCTGGGATCCCTGCTCGGCTGCCAGTGGTGCGCCTCCACCATCGACCCCAGCAGCGAGTTCCGCAGTAGCTCCCAGGCCTCCTTCCTGTCCGATATCACCCCCAGCACCCTGACCACGTACTCGAACACCCTCGCCAAGAAGATTATCTTCAATGATCAGAAGCAGGCCACCGGCGTGCAGGTCAAGGGCTCCTGGGGCATAATTTCCACCCTCACGGCCAAGAAGGAGGTCATCGTGTCGGCCGGAGTCTTCCAGTCCCCTCAGCTCTTGATGGTCTCCGGCATCGGTCCCCAGGATATCCTCGAGGAGCATGGTATCCCTGTCATTGCCAACCGCCCCGGTGTGGGCCAAAACATGTGGGATCACCCGTTCTTTGCCCCCTCTTACCGCGTCCAGGTCCAGACCTTCACCGCCATCGCCAACAACATCCTCGGCATCATCGGCGAGTTCCTCGGCATGATCACCGTGAAGACTGGACCTCTGACTAACCCCATCGCCGATTACCTGGCCTGGGAGAAGATCCCTGCGACGCTGCGGTCCGCCTTCAGCAGCGAGACCACGAAGCAGCTGGCCGCCTTCCCCAGTGACTGGCCCGAAGCGGAGGTATGCACTCTCCCCCCCCCCCAACATCCAGCCGCACAGCTAACATTCTACTCAAAAATAGTACATCTCCGGCGCCGGCTTTATCGGCAACATGTCCAACCTGCTTACCAACCAGCCCAAGGACGGCTATCAGTACGCCTCCATGTTGGCCGTGCTCATCACCCCGACCTCCCGCGGCAACGTCACCCTCAAGTCGGCCGATACCTCCGATCTGCCTATTATCAACCCTAACTGGCTGGACACTGAGGCGGATCAGCAGGTTGCTATCGCGATGTTCAAGCGCGTTCGTGAGGCCTTCCAGAGCAGCGCCATGGCGCCCGTCATTATCGGGGAGGAGTACAACCCCGGTCTACAGGTGCAGTCCGACGAGGATATCCTCCAGTTTATCAAGGACAACGTCATGACCCTGTGGCACGCCTCCTGCACCTGCAAGATGGGTCTGGAGAGCGACGATATGGCGGTTGTGGATAGCCAGGCCCGCGTGTATGGCGTCGAGGGGGTGCGCGTCGTGGATGCCAGTGCCTTCCCCTTCCTCCCTCCGGGACATCCCCAGTCGACAGTTTGTAAGTCCTTCATCCTACCCTAGCCCAGTTCGAATAGTCTTGACTAACGATACCAGACATGTTGGCGGAGAAGATCGCCGAAGAGATCATCAACGGGTCGTCCTAGACCCTCCCCTCACTCGCTGCACATACCTTTATTTCTTTTTCTTACTTTGCCCTCTTTTGTACAACACCATACCCTTCAATGTGTATACTTGGTGATATTGCCAATGCGTATAATCGACAGACTAATGAACAGAACAGAACAGAACCAACCCACTAGATTAATATGACCACCAGTTTCTCGCTGTATTACCCATTATGTGTATACCAACCAAATCCATATCCACGAATGAAATCACTTTATATTAACGAAACAGCCCCATCTAATACAGTCTCAGGAAGTGACTCCCCCGTCTCTCACCCCCCTCCTGTTGAGCTGTGTCCTGCTCCGTCTCCTCGAGAATATCGCTGTCGAGTCGCGGGTCAAGCTTGCTCAGGATCTTGTTCGAGTGTGGCTTTGCGGTCGTGTCGGACCCCGGACCGGCAAGTTGTGGCTGGCTGGCGCTAGCACTGGCTGAGTCCTCGCTGTCTGAGGCGTGGTCCATGGGTTGGACGTTCTTTGAGTTCAGGTAGCTGCGGCTGAGAGGGGGGTGGTCTGACATGATTGCGAGGGAGTGGTAGTGGTTGCGATTGCGATCGACAATGGCAATATACGGGATGTCAACCTGGAAGACTCGAACCAAGTAGGTTTGGATGTTGGATGTTCTTTTTTGTTAATGACAGTAGAGCCCGTGTCTAGTCGAAGTCGAAAGCAACCACTTTATATCAAACACTGCGATCGTGCCATTACATCATTGGTATCGATCGGATGACGATGACGATGACTACTCGGCCTGGCCTCTGCGGATTGTTGGATAATTCGATATCACTTGCAATGGCATTGTTCTCATCCGACTGGAAGGTGACGTCAATTTTTGTTGATGGTATTGCCGCAAACGGCACACTCGCGGGGGCATCCGTGGTTGAGGGGATCGGCACCGTCATACCATGTCCCATGTCCCATGTCTCATGTCTCCACTGGGGTTCTTTGGGGTTCTGGAATCTGGGTTTATGGGCTACTCGTGTCTGTGTGTCCTGTTGGGAAATTCTCTTCACTGCTTGTGTGATATTTCAATTGTAAGTCGGAGAACAGAATAATAATACAACAAAGTATATTCCAAATTTCCTCGTGCATCTGAAGCCAAAGAGAAGAGTCTGCTGGCAAAATGTCAATCCAGCACACCGATGTATACAATTTGCCCAGCTGATAGCAAATTTACATCTTCCACTTCATCCCCTAAAACGGATTCGTCGCATTCCACTCCAAAAACCCGACACTCGGATCGAGAATCAAGTTCGAATTCATCTCCGCGGGCTCACTCTCATCCAGCTGCCCATCCCAGCAATACCGACTGAAGCATTGCTCGCACTGGGCTGTCCGCTGCATGCCGACGTGCGCCAGACTCCTCTCCACCACCGCGCACCCGATACAGTCCGCCCACTCGGCGTCCCAGGTCCCGTTGCCCTGCGTGACGATGTCGAAGCTGTTCACGAAGATCTCGTCCATCTGCTCGCGCGTCGTGGAGGACTGCCAGAAGGTGAAGTTCGTGTAGGCGCTGTAGGGCGCGTTGGCGTAGTAGAGGACGAGCGGGGCGCGGGTGTCCCCCGTGGTGGTGAGGTTGGCGCCGCAGCCGAAGAGGACGGGGTGGGTGGTGTAGTTCAGGTTCACTAACGTGCTGACGGGGGGGATGATGGGGAAGGGCAGCCCCGTGGCGTTGGCGGCCAGGTACGTGTTGTAGAGGTTGGCGCCCGAGATCCAGCCGTAGGGCGCGGCGTCCTGGGAGTCGTCCCACGCGAGGATGAAGTCGACGTTGCGCGCGGGCTGGATCTGGCCCCAGAAGGGGATCGTTTGGCCCGTCTCGGACCCGTCGACCATGCTGAGGGAGGCCGAGCTGTGGGCGTTGCCGGAGGACAGCGACAGGTTGGCGAAGGGGTTGGGGTAGCTGGAGGAGGCGATCTGGGTGAGGTTCAGCCCGACGGCCTCCTCGAAGACGTCGGCAATCCCGTCGAGATCGACGAGAGGGATCGACCGCTTGGATGGGCCGGGCTGGCGGAGGGATCGCTTGGCAAATTGGCCCAGGGTATTGTTGGAGACGGCCTCGAGGTACCAGAAGTTGAACGCGTTGGCGGAGGAACCGATGATGAAGCTGGAATGGCCGGGGAGTTAGGGTTAGCATCTGGATCTGGATTCATCGGGACGCCCGGATGGGGGGCTACTTACGAGTCACGGTCAAACCCCTGGTAGCAGACGCTCTCGTTGACGGGTCTGCCGTGGGACAGCCGGTTGCCCAGCCATTCGACGGGGGTGAAGGCCCGCACGGATCCATCCCAGGCCCCGAACTCGAAGGGGGTCACGTCGAACTGTGGGAGTCAGTCATGGTGGTCTGGATAGACGGGGAGTGCTGCAGCGGACGTACGATGGTGCCATTGGAACGGGGCACGTAGAGGCCATCATACTCCGGATCCCCCGTTCCCACTTCCGAGAGATGGATGATCGGCATCGGCATCTCATGGCTGACGAACTTGCTCAGGTTGCGGATCGACGAGAAGGTGGTGTTGAGGCCCCCCGATGCCCCCGGGACGAACTCGTAGGCGTACCCACGGCCCATGAAGTCCCCCACGCCGATGTCGAACCCTTCCAGGTCCTTGGTGACGATCTGCTCGAACATGTCGTCCACGGTGGCGGCCTCCGCGGTGGTGTTCTCGACGGTGAGGAACCGGTCGATCTCGGGCTTCCAGATGTCCACGATCTCCTCGGCCGTGGGGAAGTTGTTGGCCGAGAACGACATCGTGGGCCACGATCCCCCCGATAACCCGGACAGGTAGGTCAGGCTCTGCAGCAGCCCGCCGGTGCGCTGCTCGTTGGCCGCGTCGACGCGATCATCCAAGGCCCGCATCGCCCCGGTGCCGGTGAAGGCGGATGCAAAGCCTCCGCCGCTGATGGCCATGCCCAGGATGGGGACGTGGGCCTGGCCGGACTGGTTGAGGCGTGAGATGTACTCGGGCACGTCGAAGTCGGTCAGCCCCAGACGCGCGAGATAGCCATCCAGCGCGCCCAGGACGACCTTCTTCCGTCCCTGGACCCAGTCGGCCTCTCCGCGACTGAGGCCGACTGCCGGCCGGATCCATTCGAGGTCGGGCGGGCAGGAGACGGGCACGGGGGCATAGCCCTGGGGAAGATCGAGGGCGGCAGAGAGCGCTGCCGTGGCAGCAGGGAGTAAGAGAAGCCGCATGTTGGTCGGTTGAGGGTTTGGTGGTGAATGATCAGGAGGGAGATGTCGGCTGCGATGGGGTTCCTTTTATGTCTCGTCTCTCTGGCTGGCACCATGACTTCGGTAAATTCGGCCATGAATTGGGCTGAGGAGTGGAGGCTGAGCGAGGCATGCCGTCTCCCAGAATACCAGATCTGGAAAGCTGGATGCAACAGACGGCTTGGAAGGATTCGAAGCTGGTCGATGCCCTGCCATGCCCTGCGCAGGAACCAGATCCGCGGGCGGTGATTGGCTGTTCGTGAGGGTTTCCCGTTTGGGAATGCTGTGCCGCTGTCAGCCTTACCAGAGGTTTTTTTTTTTTTTTTTTTTTCTTTTCTTTTTTCCGGGGGAGCTGGGCAAAGGAACATGAGCAGATGGTTAAGCTGCAGAAAGAGGGGATGAATGGAATGGCAGCGGACTTTTCCCGGTGCAGAACAAAAAAAAAATAAAAAAAATAAAAAAAATAAAAAAATAAAAAAAATAAAAAAATAAAAAAAATAAAAAAAAATAAAAAAGATGGTGGATGGATACTGAATCAAGAACAAAAACAAAAAAAAAAAAAAGGCAAAAAGTAATGGAGCTGCGGGGAATCGAACCCCGGACCTCTCCCATGCTAAGGGAATATTATACCACTAAACCACAGCCCCATTGGTTGAAAGATGGCTCGACTTTTGGCAAAATATTCAACAAGATATGCATTAGGACCTCTGGATAAGCAGTGGATTCAAAGCACCATCCCAACTAGATAGTCTCTATCATTTTCCAGTGCAGACAAAGGATACTGCGTCGTGATTTCTATTTCTGTTTCATTCCTCCTTCCTCCTTCCAGCCCCTACACCACTTTGTTTTGACTTGGGGGGAGAGGTGTGTGTTTCCTACAGGCAGAAGTGGCGACAACAGACAGTTCAGCATGGACAACTCAGCTGACAGGCGATCGTTCAGCCTACAGTGAAGGACGGATCATCGACACGCTCATCAAGCACCCTGAGAGCGTTGGAGGAACGGGATCGGAGATGATTTCCGACGCTTTGCTTTGGCGTGGGTTGCCAATCTGGCCAGTGCTTGCTCCGAGGAATGATCATGATGCAGTCTGCAGTCTCCAAATGCGAGGACCACTCAAGAAGCAGCGATTAGGAGAGGGCTCCTCACGAGCAGGGATTGTACGTCAGCATGCCTCCAAGCCACCAACCAACATGCACAGGCGTTGCCCCCCAGCAGGATCATCGCCGGCCCTAATGCACCCCCCGTGCAGAACCTCGGTGTAACAACCTCCCCAGGCCAATCACCACCTCCCCACCATGATGCAATGACGGCTGCATTCCTCCATTCAGAGTTCCGACATGCTCATAAAAGGCCTATAAAGCGGCATGTGGCCCCGCGGACGCCCCCCCTCTCATTCTGGTTTGCATCTGCCGTCATCATGACTGCAACGCTGTGGTCCGGCCTCCTGGTCGCCTTCGCGGGCTTCTATCTCGCGACTCTCCTTTCGGGCCGCAAGAAGAACCACCCGCCTCTGCCACCGGGTCCTCCCCGGAAGCCCATTATCGGTAATCTGTGGGATCTGCCAACCCCCGACCAGCAGGACTGGCAGCACTGGCTGAAACACAAAGAACTCTATGGTGAGGCCTGACTGGTCTTGTGGGAAACCCCCCCCCGTTCTGCTCGTTGACTTGGTTTCCCCCCCTGGCTAGGCCCGATCAGCTCCCTCAGTGTGATGGGAAAGACCATCATCATCCTGAATGATGCCCGCCTGGCCGTGGACTTGATGGAGAAGCGATCCGCAATCAATTCCTCACGTCCGGAGCAGACCTTTACCGAGCTGTAAGACACTTCCCTATCCACGCCCCGAAAAAAGACGGCCCCAGGGAATCTGACACAGCCAGGACCGGCTGGGACGAGATCCTTGGATGCGTCAAGGACCCGGAACGCCACCGGCAGACTCGCAAACAAATGCATCGCGAGATCGGGTCCAACAATTCCGTTGCCCGCTTCAATCAGATCCAGACGGCGGAGGCCGGTCGATTTCTGCTGAGGGTGTTGGACGCGCCGGATGACCTGCTGCACCATATCCGGAAGTGAGTGGCCGGATCGCTCTGATCGATTTCCTCGGGTGTAAAGGAGCTGACAGCCGACGATCAACAGGCAAGCCGGTGCGGTCATCCTCAGCATTGGGTACGGCTACACCGTCGAACCCCACGGTCAGGACCCCTTGGTCGAGCTGGCCGACCGGGCCATGACGGAGTTCTCCATTGCGTTGCTGCCGGCCACCTGGCTGGTGGACTTTCTTCCCATCTGTAAGTCCGTGGATTTCGATAGTCGGGGGTGAGAATAGGTTTTGACTCGTCGGCTTCACCCAGTGCGATATGTCCCAGCCTGGTTCCCCGGCGCGGGCTTTGTAAAGACCGCGCAGGGCTACAAGAAGAACGTGACCGACTTCACCGACATCCCCTATGGGTTCGTCAAGCAGCAGATGCGCAGTGGCAGCTTTGTGCCCTCCCTCCTGTCCAACCTCCTCCAGGACAACCCCGTCCCGTCCGGGTCCGAGGACGAGAACACCGTCAAATGGTCCGTTGGGTCGCTGTATGCCGGGGGGGCAGACACGGTGCGTGCGCACCCCGAACCCATCCTGCAAGTCCCGGGCTGATGAACGAATAGACGGTTTCGACAATGTCAAGCTTCTTCCTCGCCATGGCACTCTTCCCGGAGGTGCAGCGCAGGGCCAAGCAGGAAATCGACTCCGTGGTCGGCAGCGACAGACTGCCACAGTTCCAGGACCGCGACAATCTGCCCTATATCAACGCGGTGGTCAAAGAAGCGCTGCGATGGCACTCCGTGGTGCCCATGGGTGTCGCGCACTCCTCCACGCAGGATGACACGTTCGAGGGTTACTTCATCCCCAAGGGGTCCTCGATCCTGAGCAATATCTGGTCAGTCCTCCCGCCCCCGCCCCCGTTTCCTAATATGGTCTGTGGTGACCGCGCAGTCTGACAAGATACAGGGCTTATACCCATGACCCGAGCATCTACCCGGACCCCACGGCCTTCAAACCGGAGCGATTCCTTGCCTCCGACGGACACCCCCCCGAGCGAGACCCCCATCTCCTCGTGTTCGGATTCGGCCGGCGAGTCTGCCCCGGGCGCACGTTGGCGGACGCAAATGTTTACCTCACCATCGCCCAGGTCCTGGCCGTGTTCGAGATCTCGAAGCCCGTGGAGGACGGCAAGGCCGTCGATCTGGTGCCGAAGTTTATCCCGGGGGTGATCAGCCATCCGGCGCCGTATAGGGTGTCTGTCCAGCCGCGGAGTGAGGCGCATCGGGAGTTGATTCGTTCCGTGGAACAGGAGTATCCGTGGGAGAAGAGCCATGCGGGAGAACTGGCGAAGGTGGCATTGCCGCAGACGCCGGTGGCTTGATGGTCTGATGGTCTTGTGGCTGAGAGAGACTGCCTGTGTAGAGGCGACTGAGGGACGAGTTAGTGTCCAAAGCCCCGTGCGATGAGTATTGTTGTTGTCGTAGTCTATACTGCGAGAGGGAGAATGTTACATCGTGGAGAAAAAGAGGAGTTGACACCTATATACATTCGAATCGTAAGATGCAAGATCCGGGGATCCAGACGGGTCTTCTTACAAATTTACTTCGTGTTTATCCTTGTTTCTGCATGCCGAGGCCCTCCATCATCCACGCATCGAACAACAGATCCACGGCGGAAGGTCGATCCTCGGCATTCCACTGCAAGGCTGCTCGCAGCCACCGCAGAAACCCTTCTTTGTCCTTCCCCCTGATGTCACCCGCCAGGCTTTCGAGGGAGATGTCGGGCAGTGGCGCCAATTCCTTCCAGTTACCTACGATTGACTGAATGTTAGCAAAACAGAAAGAACATGATTATATGAATCTCACCCTGTTCGTCCCAAAAGACGGCGCTTAATTTGCTCCGCTCGCGGAATGTCGCGGGCGGAGGGCCCAACAGCGCGACCATCTCCGCGAGGTGAACCCGATCATCGAAGACGCCATCCGGGTTCTTACCGCTGAAGAGGGTCCGAGGGGACACGATGTCCCAGGCCTTTCCCAGCATGGGTTAGTAGATGTAGGACGGAGTCGAGGAGATAGATACGTCCATACCCCAGCTTGGCCAGCACTTGGTACCTGTTGTGGAGGACGTCGCCTTGGAGCACGGGGTAGTATTTCCCCGGCTGATAGGTTGGCAGGGTTTCTTCCTCAATCTCCGTGGATGGATCGACCAGAGTTAGCCCCGAGGTCGGGAATGCCTTCAAGGCGGACGTCCATTCCGATGGGGCGGACATGGTGGTTCGACACGGCGCGCGGCGGGGGAATAAAGGCACTCGTGGAAAGGGCGACGGGAGATATGGGCGACAGGCACGGGGCATACATAGAGGGCGAGAGGAACGAGCAAGTCTGCTCATCTTCAGATCGTTCTGTGGCGGGCGGCTAGAGGATTGATGGATTGATTGATTGATTGATTGATTGAGGGAGTGTCAAACCTAGTATCATTCAGTATCACACCTACTTAGGTGTCTGGACACCTTTTTAGTCGAGTGGTCTGTTTGGTCTGATATCTGTTGACCACACCGAGGTCAATTGTAGACAAGCGGTATCGCCTGAAAAAAAGCAGAACGGAGAGGTGGGATCAATATCTATGTGTAGCAGAAAAGCCGCATCTTTGCTTTGAAGCACAATTGAAATTGTGTTTGCCGTTGGTCAGGATGATGCTTTGGCAACAGATAGCTGACCATTCCGCTGCCCAGTCTTCAAATCATGGGAAAACGCCAGCAAACAGACTTCAGCAAAGTCTATTTAATACACATAGCGAAACTGCGTGTTCTGCTTGTCCGTCAGTCCCGCCCACTTGGCCTGATCCACCATCGCCTCCTCGACCCTCCCAAACCGCGCCTCCCTCCGCCGATTCTCCCAGCGGTAATACGCGAACAGCACCACCGACATCACCGCCGCCGCCGCCTGCGTCGCCAGCACCGCGATCTTGGCCGGCCGATATTCGGGGGCGTCGCGCGCCTGGAACGTCTGCGGGCCGATGATGTTGCCCACCGAGAAGGAGCCCGCGATGAGCGCGCTGCTGAAGGCCCGCTTCGTGTGTCCCGCGCAGTTGGCCATCGTCCACTGGTACAGGATCGGCAGGGTCGCCACGATGGCGTTGACCAGGTAGATGCCGATCAGCACCCCGGTCTTGTCGCGCTGGGGGAGGAACGACATCAGCGCCCCGCCGATGATGCCCGGGATGGTGCAGAGCACGTTCCACACCCACCGGTGTGAGGTCCGGCGGATGCCGATGCCCACCAGCAGCGTGAAGCAGATGCTCACCAGCCCCGCGGGCGTGTTGAGGAGGGCCGAAATGGGACCCGAGTAGCCGAAGCCGGCCACCAGGGTTGCCGAGTAGGTGGTGACGACACCGCTGGACACGGAGATCTGTGGCCTCGTGAGTGAGTCGGATGGGGGGGAGAAGAACAACCGGGAGGGACGAGGTTAACTCACCAAGATGGTGATCAAGGTCAGCAGCCAGAGCTGGACGTCGCGCACCGCCTCCCAGATCTGCTTCCCGTTGAACGTGCTGCTCCAGACCCCGGTCTGGTTGATGCTGACGTGCTGCAGGAGAGCGACCTTCTCCTCGCTGGACAGCCAGGGGGCCTGCATGGGGGTGTCGGGGATCAGCAGGAAGGTGAGTACCCCGACCACGACGGTGACCAGCCCGATCACCAGGAACATGATGCGCCATCCGGCCATGGACGTGTGCTCGACGTGCTGGAAGCCAAATGACACCAGACCGCCAATGATCTGCGCCACCCCCAGCCCGTTGTACCAGAAGGTGAAGCGCGGGGCCTGCTCGCTCTTGGTGTAGTACTGGCTGCTGATGAGCATCAGCGATGGACCGATCGTGGCCTCGAAGATGCCCAGGAAGACCCGCGCGGTCAGGAGGGTGGTGTAGTTGGTCGCCCCGGCTGATGCGGCCGCCGCGACGCCCCAGAGCGTGACGTTGGCCCCGAGCCACTTCGCTGCCGGAGCTTTCTGGAGGCAGTAGACTAAAGGGACGAGAGCGTGAGCACGAGTATGAGTTTGCGCGGGAGCCAGGGCGGGTCTTACTGTTGGGCACCTCGGCGATCAGGTAGGCCAGGAAGAACCACGTCGCGGTGTTGGTATATTCGTTGCCCTTCAGCCCGAGGTCTGTCTTCATCCCCATCACGGCGGCATACTGTCCGGCTCCCACGGTGTTAGATCGACCGGATGGCGACGAGAAGGGCTGGGTCACGACACTTACGTTGAGCATCACCTTGTCCAGGAACTGCAGGACGTAGCAGCAGAACATGAACGGAAGGAGACGAAAGTCAATCTTGCGACGCAGAGCCCGAAGATCGGTCTGGAGGGCGTCCGACTCGGCTGTGGCATGGCCCTCCAGGTAGAGCACCGCTTCGTCGGTGCGGTCTGCAGACACGGCCTGAGGGACAGCTTCTTTCTCCTCCATTGCGACAGAGCATCCACAAGACACAAGAAGGGAGAAAAAAAGCAACTCGACTCGGAAAAGAAAAGAGGGGGGGAATGACGGTGAAGCGAGGGGGGAGGAGAAGGTACCGGACGGGAGCTGCGTTGGTTGCGTGCGGGATGCTGCAGGCGAAGGGAAACCCTACTCAAGTAGGCCTGCCAAACCTTCGACTCACGCAGCGGTTATAGTCGCCACGGCATCTGCGTCGCCAGCTCACAAAAGGCATCGGGGCGAAGCAGCCATGCATTTACCCCTCGGTCGAATGCCGCGCTGGACCAGGCCAACGACTCAAGGGCGCACAGGACGCCGGCCTGTGTTCCCCGACGGATTGTCTAATTAACCCACCAGGGCCCCCATCCGTCGCGGGCCTGGGTGACTGTCGGTGTCTGATTGTCTGATTGTCTGATCGCCTGATCAGATCAAGGGCGATGGCTTCCCCCATCCTGCTCCTTTTCCACGACCGAACCCCTGCCCGGCAGAGTTTGACCATGGCCCGTCTGAAGCCCCCCGGGGGAGATTGTCATTCCCCAGCACAAAGACCGAGTCGAGACGCGCTTTTTAATCCCCCCTGCCTCGTCCCTCGGTCGGATTCCATACTCACCAGTTCTTTGACCATGCCTTGGGTGCACCATGCCTCGCCGGCGGTGGAGGCGGAGTCCCAGTACCGCCTGATTCTGGGGGTATGTCTGGGCCTGACCCTGTTGATGGTGACCACCGTCTGCCTGCGGCTGGCCATTCGGTTCCACGCCCGACGATTGGAGGCCTCCGACTACGTGATGGTGGTGACGATGGTAAGAGGGCCCCCCAGTGGGTGCTGGATCCGACCGCTAACCCGGGCCAGATCTTTAGCATCATATACAGCGCCTTGTGCATCGCTCGTGAGTCTGCGAGACCAATGCACCCGTGAAACCGTGCTCACGACAATAGAAAGCAGGTACGGGCTTGGACTGCCCTTGAAGTTGCGGCCAGAAGAGGATCTGCCCCAGTACACGCAGGTATGGTTTTGCCGGTGTTTCCGTGCCCTAACTAATGGCGGCGACTGACGGAGCACCACCAGCTCAACTATGCCGGTCGCCCCTTCTACCAGGTCGGCATCGCCGGCTTCAAAGCGTCGCTGTGCCTCAACTTCCTGCGCCTGATCTCGGGGACATCCAAGACCTTCTATCGGATCCTCATCTGGGTGGTGATCACGCTTTCCACCGTCGGCCACCTTGTTGGGGCGCTGATCCTGATCTTCGACTGCCAGCCGGTAAGTCGACGACCGACCGACATCTTCACCAGGAACCGGGGATATTGACGGCATGGCTCTCCGACAGGTTGACCGGGCCTGGGACCCGACGATCGCGGGGAGTTGTCTCCCCACGGGGCCGACCTTCTACGGACTGGCGGCGTTCACGATCGTCTGCGACGTGGCCATCATCATGCTGCCCATCCCGTTGCTCCTGCAGTTGAACATCAAGCCCGCCCAGAAGGCCGGGGTGGTGTGTCTGTTCCTGCTGGGCCTGTTCACCACCGGCTGCTCCATCCTGCGTCTCACCCAGATCCATCGGGTCGCGTACGGCGACGGGAATTCCACCATGCTGGTGCTCTGGGGCACCATCGAATTCAACGTCGGGGTGTGTTCTCGCCTCTCCTGCTACCATATGAGACCTCTCCTGGCTAACTGGTCCATGTCCAGAACATCATGACCTGCGTGCCCTTCCTGGCGCCCCTGCTGAAGGGCGCGGTGCGGGATTTCCGATCTTCCAGCGACCGCAAGACATACGATCCACGCAGCTATGCCCTGCAGTCCTGGTCCAAAGACCCCCGATCCCAGCTGCGATCGACCACCTCGGCGGCCCCGCAGCCGCGACGGACTCCCAGCGAGGAGCTGATCCTGGACAGCCGGTTGGACGAGGGGGGCATCCATATGACGGTGGAGCTCCGAGTATCCCTGGAGGAGAAGGCGACGAGGGAGGGCTGATCCCGTCCCTGGCCAAGAGTCGTCCATGTCTGTTGATTTCCTTGTTGTACATTAATCACGCACCGGTCGGTGCCTACCCCCTCCCTCCTCTCCGAATGGTTCTCAGCATGGCACGGAGTGGCCGCAAACAAAAATTGCCAACACGACTAGACTTGTTCTCTCCTGGGGGGTGACGGGCCCGAACAGGGGTCCGGCGGCCAATGGAGGAATGACGGGATCTTTCGCGTCCATCAGGGCTGACTGCGGAGGGTCTCCTGTGTCGTCTGTGGCTCTCTGTAGTCTGTACCACTCACGGGGGACCGTTTGGCTGTCTGTGCGTCAGGTGCCAGGTGCCAGGTGCCAGGTGCCAGGTGTCTGGTGTTTGGTGTTTGGACCTGGGATTGAAGCCGTCCCGCGACCCGCCCGGAAAGGCATCCTCCCTCCAGTTCCCACGCCCCTACTGCTGGCTCGTTCAATCTCACGAGCTGCAGATTTGCCCGATATGTATTATCTAGATTACCAGGGTTGATAATGAGCGAGAGGGTTAGATGGTGCATTTCGAATGACGCCGTCCCGCGCGCGGGCCCGTTTAAGGCTCGTTAGGGCCATGGGATGCAGGGGGGGGTTTCACCGTCTCCGAGAGTGAGGTCGCTAGCGGACTCTCTAGCCCTTGTTGGTCCAGGAACCTTGTCCGAGTAACTATAGTATCTTCAACGCTATACCAGGAGGGCAGTGGATGCGCCTTGCGCCTCCTGTTTCTCTTTTTCCCAGCCCATGGACTGGAATTGACCCCTGGGAACACACGGGCAACGGTCTGGAACCGGCTATGCATCAGCCCTTGGTTCCAACCATTCCAGCCATTCCAGCCAGCTGCAGCTGCCACTGGAACGCCCCCCGGGGTTAGCCGCCTGCCAGTGATTTCATCCGCTGCCGTCAAACGGTCAAATTGTCAGCCTGTCAGACTGTCAACGTCTTCCCCGCGCCATTCTCCCTTCCCTCCTCTTTGCCCCTTCTCCCTTCCCTGCCCCTTCCCCTGTCCCTTTATCCCCCCCCCCATGTCTGAACTTCCCGTCCTCATCGCCGGTGCCGGCATCAGCGGCCTCCTTCTGGCCCAACACCTCCAACAGCAAGGCGTCCCCTTCCGCCTCTTCGAGCAAGATGCCGCCATCGACACGCGCAGTGGCGGCTGGGGGCTAACCCTCCACTGGGGCCTCCCTGCCCTGCGCGAACTGCTCCCCGACCACCTGGTGGCCCGCCTGCCCGAGACATACGTGAACAAGGTGGCCGCGGCGCGCGGGGACACCGGGCGCTTTCAGTTCTTCGATCTGCAGACCGGGTCGGCCTTGTATAGCGTGCCCGCCGCCGAGCGCATCCGCGTCAGTCGCGTGCGGTTGCGCCAGCTGTTGGCCACGGGCCTCGACATCCAGTGGAACAAGACCCTCCAGAGCATCGATTCCGAATCCGCGCCCGATCGCGTCACGGCGCGCTGCGAGGACGGCACCGCCTTCACCGGCTGCCTGCTGGTGGGATGCGATGGGTCGCGCTCCCGCGCCCGCGAGATGCTGTACCCGCACGGCCCTAAGATGAGGCCGCTGCCCGTCCAGCTGCTCGGCGGCGCTGCCCTCTACTCCCCAGAGGAGATGGCCGGGGCGGAGGCCATCGACCCCTTCCTGTTCCAGGGCTCGCATCCCGAGACCGACGTGTTTTTCTTCTTCAGCCGTACGCACCTTGTTCTCCGGCATTTCTTTCTTTCTGAAGTTGCATTGCGTGCTTGACTAACTGGAACCCAGTGCTCGACACCCCGAACAACTTCGACGACAGCAGCAAGGACAAGTACCTCTGCCAGATCATCATCTCCTGGGCCGATGCCAAGGGCATTGCCGTCCCCGGCGACAATGCCGCCCGTCTCGCGTTGATCAAGTCCCTGACCGCGAACTGGGTCGAGCCGTTCCGGGGGCTGGTGCACAACCTGCCCGACACGACGGAGGCTCGCTCCATCCGTATTTCTGACTGGATGTTCCGACCCGCGCAGAATCACGCTCACCCGAGAGTCGTGCTGGTGGGGGATTCGGCGCATACCATGACCATGTGTATGTCATTCCTATTCTCGCGCTGGGTGCTGGTGCCGTGGAGCGGGCTCTAACGGATGGGAATGGCCGATAGATCGGGGAGAAGGCGCCAACAATGCCATCGTGGATGTCCTCGATCTGACCAAGCGGGTGGACCTGCGGTCCCTAGGGTTAGTGATTCCCCTTTTCCTGCGGGATGCCCATGGCTGACAGTGATATCCATCCATCGGCGGAACAGATCCCTGACCCCAGAAGCTCTCAGGGAAGCTCTGGCAGCATATGAAACCGACGTCTTCACCCGAGCAGACCCCAGTGTCCGCAACTCCCGACAGGCCTGTCTGGATGCCCATGACTTCTCACGGATCGTGAACGGCAGCCCCCTGGTATCGGCCCGGCTGCGCGAGTAGACCTTCCCGACCAGGCGAGAGAGAGACGATTTTGTGCCATTCATGCGTGCTGTTATCCTAGCATAGTGTTATACCGAATTTGGAGACCGAGGAACTGGAACAGAGTGGGATAATGCTCTTCTCTTCTTCATTGTTCCAAAATTGTGAATTGCTCCAAGACGGCTGCATTGACTGCCACAGCGAAGTCATTTTGCTCCGAACTGGGCACCTCTTTACTGCTGATACTCGGAAGATCTGCCAAAGTAGCACAGGGCGACATCCCGGGTGGGGTCTCGCGGCGCATGAACTTCTCCTGTTAATATTTTCCACTGAGAGAACACTTGATGCGCTTGACATTTGTTGTACTAGGAGGTAACTAGCTCTTGAGACCGATACTGATAGAATCATCCGATAATATCCCCAGAGAAATGCCCACGCCGAACAAAAGCCGATCCACACCCTTTCGAGCCGTTTATGCTTCTGTTATGTCATTTAAGCGTCACCCCGCAACCCAGTTTCGATCACACGCCAGGCCGACGTTAGGAGGAGAGCATTTTCCCCCCTTCATTCGCCCTTCTGGGCCAGACTCTTGATCGGCGACCAGTTGTAGATGATCCCCTTGTTATGCAGGGCACTCAGCTCGCGCAGGTCGGCCTCGCGCTCACGCAGCAGCGGCAGCACATCCTCCGCACATGTCAGCCCGATGCCCCGCAGGATCTCCGCCAGCGCAAGCAGGTATGTGTCCGTGCATTTCTGGACCAGGAACGGCTGGAACCGGTCTGTTCTGGATTCCAACACCCCCAGCCGGGCTTGTTCCAAGTGGTCGTGGATGGCCGACGCCCAGCTGCGACATCACATCCATTAGTATGCCTGAACGCATCAATCCCGGCAATGCCGCGTACCTATAGTCCAGGCCAGCTTTCCGAAACAGGGCGGGCACCTTCTCCCCAAATCTCTCGGCCTTGGCTCCTGCGATGACCTGATGCACCAAGTCTGCTTCCTCCCATTGGACGTACCCCCCCGGCTCTAGTTGCCCGTTAGCAAGAAACGCACAAGTGCGCCGTGGGAGGCTGGGATCCTGCTCACTCAGCAATTTGGCGATATGCGAGACGAGCGGCGCAAGGTTGCCGTCCTTGATGTTGCTCGCCCACATCCGGACATGCACCACATCGTACTGACCTGTCAAGGACGGCGGTGGATCGACCAGGGAGTTCAGAAGACCGAGGCTGACATTGGAGGGCCACAATTCCGGCGCAGGGAACTGATCCCCCGAAATGTCAAACCCGTGCAGCTGGGTTGCCGGTGGGAGGTCCTTGGACAGATCGAATAGCCAAATCCTGCCGCTTGTCAGCGCTGGTGGGGGGGTGGGCAACGATGATGGACGGGACGGGGCAGAGGCTGCTCTCACGCGGTACCGGTCCCGAGCTCGGCAACCTTCATATCTGCCCTGACTGGGATCTGCGGGTGCAAAGTGTATCCAGTGTGGAGCTTCCAGAGCAAGTGCTGGGCGTCCAGGCTGTATCAGGGTATGGGAAACTTCCTGTCAGCCGCGGAGTCATTGCTGCTGGGGCTTTGCGACCCAGCCACTCACCGGACGGAATCTGAGAGGGCTCTACCAAGCACGTAGTCATCAGCGTAGGCCATGGCGTTTTCTTGATGTCAGCGAGGTGATGAAGATAGACAATAACGGAAGGGGCGGTGTCGTAGGAGACTTGTTCGATTCCTAGGTCCTGGAAGCAGATGTGGACATCCATTGACCAGATCGCGGCGGATATATATAGCCGCCAAATACGGAAGAAGATGTCGAAGACACGGAGCCAGACGATCTAACCCAGTGTGGGCCAGATAGTACACTGCGCGGCATCAGAAGGACAAATTGCCCCTTGTGGGATATATTTCCTGTCCAATGATGGCGATGGCAGCATGCCCGGCTCTCGGCTGGCGAACATCCTTGTGACACGCAATCTTGCCCTGTTCGGGCCACCTGCGTCGACCCGACCGATCGGCTACCCTCAAAAGTCGGTAACTGGTACTGATTTAGCAGTGGTGGGCATTGTGGTTATGCATAATCTGCCTCTTGTCCCTGCTTCCTGCATGTCCCCCCTTTCTCTCTATCTTCAAGATTCTAGATCAACATGTCTTATCATATTCTTTCCCACCCCATGCCATTTTCGGTTTGCTCCATCCAGGTATTCCGCATTAGTCCCCTGATGTCAACTTCATTGTCCGGAATACATGTTGGGAGTGCTTTGCTATGCCCGCTGGGAATATGTGGTAGTAGGGTTAAGAGGAAAACAGTCAACCGCCGTTATGAGGACCCCATGTCTGTGTATACAGTTAAGAGAATGCCGCATACTACCACTCGAGCGTGATCCGGACCCTTTGACAGGCATGGCTCGTGATTCGGTAGCCAAACTTCTTCTTTGGTTCATCCGCATAAGCAGTTCACAGCAGATATCAACTCCTGCTGATCATTCTTGGTGTCCGCTTCGCTCCTTGGACAGAGAGATCAGAGGCACCGTCATCATAGAAGTATAATCCGCTCACGACCAACATTCCGGACTCACCGTTTTTCTTTTGTTTTTGCCACCATCCGACGTCGGAAAGGACTGAGGAAATCACAGGACTTTTCCTTGGTCTATAAGTAATGGCAACTTGTTGCCTCTGACTCGAAGTTTCGTGGAGAGCAACCGGTCTTCAAAGACACGTTTCTTCCATAAATCCATCTCTTTGCTCTTGCACCGCAACACCAGTTACCGTCTCTTCAGATCAAAACAGAATACCTCTCTCGGTCCTCCCAAGGGGAAGCATCCAAAAGAAAGAAACAATGACGCGCATCATCGAGGCATCGATCACCCTGGTGGCTGGACATCCCGAGAGGGTCAATCTTGTGACCACCTTGTTGAAGAACCACCAGGGCCACGACTACTATGCCTACGAGCGTGGAGATTGCTGGTACGTCGGCCTTGGTGCATCCAAGTCGCTGGTGATCGACTCCCGCGGACAGAGTGCCACGATCATCGTTGATCATGAAGAGAGAGCCCATCCCGTGAAGACGTCGCTGTCTGATGTTGCCCGAGACTTCCTGGATCAGCACTGGAACCAAGTTGGCAGGGTGTTTGGCCAAGTCGGGTTCAACTACGCCGCCCATACCCGTGGATACAGCTACAGCCCGGGGAGCTGGCCGCTGCTGGCCTTGATGATTCCGCGGAACGAGGTGATTCTTCGGGGAGACCAGGTCCAGGTGATCGGATACGACAGCAACGAAGTCCTGGACTTGACCGCGTCCATCAAGGAAGCATCCCATGTCCGGGTGCCGAGACACATTCCAGCCATCGGCACGGCAGACTTGTCCGGCGAATATACCTCTCGGGTCCAGAGGGCTCAAGCGGAAATCACCAACGGTCAATACCTCAAGGTGATCCCGTCGCGGGCTGTCGACATCCCCGAACGAGTAGATATGCCCGGGACATTGCTCCAGGGTCGACAGTCGAACAGCCCCTCTCGGACCTTCTGCCTCAACCACGCAGGATACCAAGCCACGGGGTTCAGCCCCGAGCTGGTGATGTCGCTGGACAAAGGGGTGGTGAAGACCGAGCCTCTCGCGGGAACCCGTTCGTGCAAGGGCACCAAGGCTGAGGTCGCAAAGCTCCGGCAGGAACTGGAAACCGACAGCAAGGAGATCGTGGAACATGTCATCTCCGTCAAGGAAGCCATCCGCGAGATCGGACAACTGTGTGACCGGGCCACGGTGGACGACTTCATGTCCGTCCGCGAGCGTGGGAGTGTGCAGCATCTGGGCTCGTGCGTGGCCGGCCATCTGGCCCCGGAAAAGGACATGTGGGATGCCCTCAACGTGCTGTTCCCTTCCATCACTGCCTCGGGCATCCCCAAGCAGGCCGCCATCGAGGCCATCGAGCGTCTCGAATCGCGACCCCGAGAGCTCTACTCGGGCGCGGTGTTGATGCTGGAAGGCTCGGATTCGATGGAAGCAGCCCTGGTTCTTCGCACGGTATTCCAGGGCCCCGATCAGCAGTGGATCCAGGCGGGCGCTGGAGTCATTGCGGAATCCAAGGCTGCGAGAGAGCTGGAGGAAACGTGTGAGAAGCTGGCAAGCATCGCCCCGTATATCGTATCAGAATCGGCGGTCGAGGAGAAGGATCGGAGGGAGGGTGTCTGAACGGATGGAGGCAATTCGATCTGGGCTGGCCAGATGTTACCTGTATCCCTGTTGTGTGCTTAGCCTCGACCCCTCAGACCGATGCAGTGATTCTGATAATGTGATATTCACCCTGCACGTACCTCTTCCCCTGGGTCGGTCCAAAAAATATCAGGGGATGTGGCTGACAGTCTAGTATCGCACCCACTGTAATGATGACATGCGATCCAATAAAGAGAGTTCGTTCGTAGGTATCAGACAAAGTGAAGAAGAGGGAGGCAAAGAACTGCTTCAGGCAGCTCGATATTCCGCGCGCAAGTAATGATTCACTGTCAATTCACTGAGTCCATCGACCCACTCTGCTGCCCCCCCCCGTGTCTGCTCTTGTTTCTCTCTGTCTCTCGCGCGCCCCATCTCTCATCTATCCTCTCACCCAACTATCTCCTCTTGCCACTGATCTTTCTCTGTTGTTTGTCAATCAAGCAGAAATCGTTTCGAGCGCGTTAAAGCGCATCAAGGATAGTGAACACATCAACTAGCTCAAATATATCGACCATATTGATCACATCAAATCCATCAAACATCAACATCGTCCGCCCTGGTGCGAGACGCGCCTTGAGTCCTTGTTGACTGTCTTTCTGGTCCAAGAGTACCGGCTCCCGTCAACTTCAGTCAGCCAGCTAATACTAACACACACAAAACCCTCACTGTCAGACGCGTTCACAATGAGCGCCCCGATCATCCCCCCCATCATCCCCGACACGGCCGCACAGCGCCAGAAGCTGCAGCGCCAGGCAGGACGATGCCGGATCATGTACCAGCGCAGACCACCCATCACGCCCTGGCGCCGCGGGGATCCGGTCGGGGCTGAGGTCCCCAAGCCCTCGAAGACCAACCGAAACCGCTCGGCCTGGGACCACTGGCCCACCACCGAGGAGGTCTGGGATCCGCTGGTCGAGAACGAGTGGCCCCCGTATGGGGTGCGTCTCAACGACGTCTGGCTCTACCTCGCCATCAAATTCTTCCGTCGAAAGCAGCGCTCGGTCCAGTACCCGGCCGACTTCGATGCCAACGGCTATGTCCGCCCCGGACGCGTCCCCAACGGTCCGGCCATCATCCTGCGGGCCCATGGGCTGCCCTTCTACGCGGTATACAAGGGCTATTACGTGCTGTGCGGCTCCGAGGGCGCGAAACGCCACATGTGGCTGCTGGAGACGCAGAACATCGGCGCCAGGAACGACTGGGGACCGCACGCCATCGTCGTCGGGCCTGTCCTTGCCCTGCCACACGTCCCAGGCAGCATCCGTCAGATGGTGTTCCACGATCTCCCGTCCTTCGCAGCCCCCTACGAGCATTGGGCGGAGGAGGAGAACTCGAATGGCAACCACGATACATGGGTCACCTGCCGGAACGACCTGGTCTTGCGCTATACCAACTTCAGTTACGAATTGGTCCCACTGGCGGTGTTTCAGCCAGAGAAGCACTGTGCCATGAGCGCCGCGCACTCGTCGTTTCTCGAGGATCGTGTGGATCCAGTGTCGCACGAGCCTGCGGCACTGGCGGCCAGTCCTCAAGGTCAAGGCGATCATCCATCGTCCACCCCCGCCAAGAGCTCAACGTACAGTCTTTCATCCGAGGATGATACTTCTGGAGAATCCGAATCCGAATCCGCTGCCGAGGAGACCGGAGATGAAGATGCATACTATGAAGATGAAGAAGGGGAGGAGGAGGTGGTGGAGGAAGCGGAAGATGAGCACCACGAACCATATGAACCTCACGGAGGATACGCAGGTGGTGGCCAGCTGACCCCTCGACCGGATGCTAGCACTGGATCAGCCGATCAGTTGGCGATGATTGCAAGCATGGTCACCGAACGGTTGCGTTACCAGGAAGACGAAGAAGCTCGATGCGCCGTGGTGGCACCGGACGCCATGTACACAGCTTCCCATCTGGCCCCCCTTCTTGTACCCACGCCGTCACTGAGATCGACCGCACGGGGCAGCTGGCAGTCCCTCCTGCTGTCACAAGAGCCACCTGACGGGGAGATGGAGGGCGTCCAGGAGACCTATGCAACTGCCAGTGGCCCGGCCCAAACCGTGGCAGTTCCGGGACAGGCCCTCGTTCCGTACGGCACCCCCCCTCAGTATGGCATCCACTATTGCGTGCACGCAGACATTGCCCCCCAGGCCCCTGTTTTTCCCAGAGAGCCTCTGTTGCAGCCCCTGTTCATGACCAGGCAGCCCCAGTACTATCCTGGCGAGCCGACCCGGTTTGGCGGGTAGGTCTGGGTGGGCTTTGGTGGTGTCTATTCCTCCTCCTCCATCTCATCGATGATCAGTCCAGCCATGGTCTCCGGGAGGGCCATTGGATGATGATCATTGTTTTCGATGTTATCGCTTTGCGCTTTGATCCAGTTCGGTTTAGGTGTTGGGTTCGAATGTCGTTGCTTTTCGTCTGTTTTTCTTGATTTGAGATGTTGATTCTCTTGTGTTCGTGTTTGTCCAGTTCAGACATCATTCCTTTTCTCTCCATTTGATACCGCAGATGTGATTACCCTTGTCTTTGCCTTGTCTTTGCCTTGTCTTTACCTTGTCTATGCTGTTATTTCTTTCGGTCTTGCTGTCAGTGCGTTAGCCTAGAAAAAGATAAAACCCCCCAAAAAAAAGTTGAAAATTAACGCAGTCTCCCACAAGGGATCTTCGCCGGGTTTCCAGCATCCTCCCCATTATCTACCCAAACGAGGCAAAGGTACGTAGTAGCATTCTACAAGTGGAGGAAGCAAGGTCGATAACCACGTCCATTCATTGGAAAATAGCATACAACAATCAGCATCAGTCCGAGTCGTCGGACAGCATGGTCCGACCATTGATGGCCAGCAGTTCCACCTGGCTATGCGAAGGAAGTGAGCACGAGATAGAGGTCTTCCTCGCGGACAGGGACGTCATTCACTTACAAGACCAGGGGCGAGTTGCCGGGAATGAACGGGGGGGCGCCCCTGCACAGACAACTGGATGAGTACAGCCTCGACAAGAAAGACACACACACACACACACACACGAGGCTGGATAGACTTACTTCTCGCCGTACCCGTACTGGCTGCAGGCAGACATCCCCGGATCAGCAAGGGCACAGAGCCAAACAAGGAAGCACAGGAAACGTACGGGCCGAAGGTGAGATAGGCCTTCTCCCCAAGACTCATCCCCAGGATTCCCACCTCCCATCCTGTGTGTAATCGATCGGCTGTGAGCAGGTCTCCCGTTGAGGACGAAGAATAACCGGCGACTTACCCTTGATGACCGTGCCCATCCCGATCCGGAAGGTGAAGGGGTATCCCCGCTTGATGCTGCTGTCGAACCTGCAACATCGAACGTGGTCAGCACTACTCCCACTCCTACTCCTCCTCCGAGGTCACTGCAATGGATTCCATCGGCCATCAGACATACCGACGCCCCGATTGCGCGACCGAGTCGGGTCGTAGAGGTAGCCGTGGTAGTGCACCGTCACCATGTCGCCGGCCTGGGGGTAGTCGACCCCGTTGCCGGGCCGGAGGATGTCCTTGATGAAGTCGATCAGGCCCATGGTGGAGAGGTGTTCGGGATCGTTGTTCCTTATTCCCTATTCCTTGGTCCTTGTTCCTTCTTTCTCTCCGAGTCTCTCTGAGTCTCTCTGAGTCTCTTCTCGTCTCTTCTCGAAATGCCGACCGGCGTCGCAGCACGTGACCATGGAGCGGGGCAAATCGGCGGCGATTTCCGAGTCGGTGGTGCCTGGCTGCCTGAATGCCTCAGGCTAGCATGCTATATCTGGGTCGTCAGGGAGGTCAGGGAGGTCAGGGAGGAGGAAAGAGGGAGGAAAGAGTCGTCCACCGAGCGAGCTGGAGGATTCCCTCTTCTCTACACCGGGAGACTGATTCGCCACCAATAACCCTCCCAGACAAACACGCAAACAAAGAAGTTCCCCGACCAAACTGGCCCTGGTTTGGACAGCAACCAGTCGGATTGTGCCAGGCGGCAGTGACCCTCCAGGAGAACATCCCCCTCTCTACTGGCAACCTCCGAAAGAATGCATGTTAAGGGAGAAACTGGAGGGAACCGGGGTATTGGGTCCCTCCAGAGGAAGATGCCTGTTTCGCAGAGGGGTGCATAAATATCGTGCCTTTGTTCCTGGACATCAACTTGTCTTTCAGCCGGGTAGGATTCATACCATCCGTATCTGCGCATTCCAATCCCCCCCCAAAGCTGAGCCATCCTCTGATCCGATCGCAACAGAGCTGATCCAAGATGGGGGAGGACGGGTCCCCTACTCCTCGTCAATCCCGGCGCCTCGCCGGCCTGGCGCCAGAGCATGGTCTGGAAGACGATCAAAACGACCCCCAGGATGTCAGCGCCATGGGAAGCTCCCGAGGAGGCCCCAATCTCAACTGGGACAGTGGGGTGCCCGAAAGACGCTTCCGCCGGGTGGGCGAGCGTCGGTCCCTCGGGCACCTCCTGTGGATGATCGTCAAGTCGATCTTTGGAACGCCGGATGTCATCGACACCCCTCAGACCCCGGAGACGAACTTCCCTCTCCTCCACGCCGTGAAAGCTCGCCGACGTGAGGGGGACCCGGAGTCGGGCTATGGCCTCACCCTCTTCGAGTTCCAGGATATCTCCGGCCCGGGCGTGCCGTTGGACTGGCAGGGGTGCGAATCCGCCCTCGCCAAATCCATGACGGTCGATCTCGAGGCGCGGAAGAGATGGGCTGTGTACGGGGCCGTGGCCATTGGCCAGTTAATCCAGTTCTATCATTGCGTGGACGGCGGGGATGTGACCAACATCAAGGCCAAGGGGAAGTATGCCCTCCACATGCAGGATGACAGCGGGCTGATCATGGGCCAGCTCAATGATATAAGCCAGCAGTTCATCGAAGACCTCACCAGAGATGACGAGGCGGATGACGAGGAGGACGACGAAGATGACGGTGGCGATACTGGCGATACTGGCGATACTGGCAGTGATGATGAGAGCGATGGCGACGACGACGACGACGATAACAACCGTCGCGCGGCTGGAGATGATGGCCCACAGGACAGCGAGGATAGTGATGAATCCAATGCTCTTCGCGCAGTCAGTGGTCGCAGACCTGCTGCTCCTACGTGGCTGGTCAATTTCACCCCCGCAGCATCCCCCAAGAGTAGGTCCTCGAAAGCCACCCCTAGAAGTACTCCTAGAAGCACCCCTCGAAAGACCTATAGAAGTGCCTCCGGAAACGCCTCCGGGGACACTTCGGAAGATGCCGCGGGTCCAACGCCTGAAGACTCCTCCATCACATCTGCGGATTCACCTTCGAACGCATCGGACGACTCTTCTGTGACATCTGAGGATCCACCCTCGAACGCATCGGGGGACCATTCGGAGGATTCCTCTGAAGAACAGTTTGGGGACGATGCTGGGGACGATTCTGGGGACAGTTCCGGGGGCGATTCAGGGCCTGATAATGGCGATGCTTGGGGCCCCGTTGGAGACAATTCTGGAAGCGATTCTGGTGACGATGAGAGAGAGAACTCGGAGGAGAACGAGGAACACAGCCGAGACTCCTCCCCAGACCCGCTCGAACTCACGACCGAAACTGGCGACGCCGCCCCCGGAGATCACATCTCCTACCATCAAGGAAGATTTCGGATGGTCATCCGAGGAAGACCTCGAACGCCCCCCGGGCCTCTCTCCAGGCCATCTGCCGAAGACTCCTCCCCAGACCCCCTCGCCACCGCTCTCGAAGATGACTCCTCCCACGTGGAATCGGAGGCCGATCCCGAATATGTCCCTGAATCCTCTGCCTGCGAGGCTCAGCCCGAACCCGATGCCGACATGAACTCGCCCCAGATATCAGACGTCCGGATGCTCTCGCCTCGGTTCCCACTGGACTTCAACATGGCCGGCAACCACCCGGAGCCGGATTTGGAAAGCCTGGAAGGAGGGACTGTCATCTTTCCGCAGGACATACTGAAGAGCATTACCGGCTTTCCGAGGGGAGTTGCGAGGCACTTCCTGGACGTACACCCTGCCCGTGAAAATGAAAGAGGGTCGACCGAGAAGCAGGGGGCAGTGAGGGGGTCTTCGTGGCCGGGGGTGTAGATTATTATCTCTTTTTTTTTTTTTTCTTGCTGTGGTAGACGTGTTGCAAGTAAGATGGCTGGTTCAAGGGAGGAAGGCAATGAAGGGATTTGCAATAACATTGATTTTTCCACGGCGCACATTTTGTCCTCACCAGCTGGTAAAAAAAGTAGTATATTGTATCCTCGTAGACAGGGCAGAACCCTTGATCGCAAGGTGGTGTGGAGGTGGACCTGTAGCTCTTGATCCGGCCTCGGGCAGATGGGACGATGATGATCGATCCCCTCTTCTCATCTCTCATCTCTCATTGTCATCATCACCCCCTAGATAGCCCCATTTCCACTCCAACCTGCTTTTACACTCAGTCTGGATTCGCATGGCTCACGGGCAGCGGCAACATCGGCCAGCTCATCTGCGGCGAGAACCCCAACCCCCTGGCCCGCCATCTGCAGCAAACGAGGAGGGCATCCTGTATGCGGATCTGGACCTGGAGCGTTGCATCGAGGGCAAGGTCTTTCCGCTGCATGTCAACCGGTCGCGGTCGGATCCGGTGGTCAATACGTGGTTGGAAATACTAGCAATGGATCCGAATGATTCATAAGTAAGGATGTCCAAACCCTAGAACGGAAGTTCCAGTGAATGGATCCCACAACACCAAATGTCGCCCCCCCCTTTCTCTTCTTCGCCCTCGCTTTCTATGTCTCTTTGTTCCACATCACTACGTGTCTGTCAAGCATTATCATTCGATGCGTCTATCAGCTATCCGTGGTAGGGATGCCCCCATTCGATCTACATGGCCTCGTTCGTCACTCATCCTCCTCATCCTCCTCCTCCTCATAACCTAGCGACTTCCTCCGCCAGTTCGGCCTCAATCACGCCCAGCCCATCGCCCTCGCGCGTCCAGAACTTGTTCACGCGCAGGCCCACCGAGTTCAACAGGCGCGTCCACTGCTGCGTCGTGCGCTCCAGGCCCGAGCAGAAGACCATCACGGCCAGGTCCGTCATGCCGTGGATCGCCGTCGCGTTCCGGTCGGGCACGATATATTCCTCCATGATCAGCTTCGAGTAGCCCGGCTCCATGGCCTCGATGACGTGGTTGAGGATGATCCGTGCCTTGTCGTCGGACCAGTCGTGCATCACGTTCTTGAAGTAGTACACCCGGGACCCTATATCGCATCAGTGGCCGTGATTCGTTCCTCTCGCGCGATCCCACCCACCTTTCACCGGCTGCCGCTCCGTGAAGAAGTTATATTTGACCGGCACAATGCCCGCGGCATCCAGATCCCGCGCCCCCTGTACCTCGTCGATCACCAGCGGCAGGTCCTCCAGGATCAGCTTCCCCGGCGAATCGGGGAACCGCGACTGGAATCCCAGCAGGTCATGGCCACGGCCAGCCCCGATGTCCACGATCAGGGCTCGCTCCGGGTCCGGGTCGGCCTGAGCCAGCACGCGATCCGCCACGGGGAACCAGTCGGCCCAGTGGGGGCGATCGGCGCGTTGGCCTTCCATGAAGTTGTTGAAGCGCGCCAGGGCATCCGGGTGCTGGCACAGCCACGCAAACCCATCCTCCGTCATGTCGTTGGTGTATTGCAAAGGGGCGAAGAGCGGGTCTTCGGGGTTTTGGTAGCCAGTGCTCGCGAGGTATTCGGGGGTCTTCTGGACGGCCGGGAGGAATTCGAGGAAACTAGCGATCGTTGGAGGCCAGGGGTTAAACTCAGACTCCTCTAGACCCCCCCCCCTGGAATGATCATCGGCTCAAGACAAGGCAGAACTCACAGCGATTCCACCACCCCGATAGAGGTCCGGTTGACCATCTCCTTGGTCACGGCGGTCGGAAGGTATTCACACGGCGAGGGCTCGTCCGCAAAGCCGAATGCCACGCAGAGGCGCATCATTCGCTCTGGAGACAGACGCAGCGAGTCAGTCCGCCATACAATTCACAACTGAATTCGCAGCTGTCCGTCCGTCCGGGAGAAACACACCGACCAAAAGAGGATCCGCAGGCTTCAGGGCTGCGAGCTCGCCAACGGAGACGGGCGACGTCGCTGTCGCCAACACAGGGAAGACCTGCATGTCATGGGCCACTTTCACGGCCATCAAGGCGTTCGGCTAATTGCGGGATCGATGCCATCAGCGAGCCATGACGGGCTCACGTCGGGACGAAAAGACTCACCGTATAGGCCAGCTTCAAAATCGCATCGCGGGGCTTCTCCAGCGCTCGTGTCAGCTTCGATGCCTTCTCGAGGGCGTCAATCCGGGCGGACTCCGTTCCACTGGATTGGAAGGCCTCCAGCGACGACTGAACCTCAGCCCAGATGGGCTGGATCGACTCCGGGCTCATGTTGGTGTTGGTTGATTGACCGGCTATGGTTGTTTTTGCGGGCGCATCGATGGAGCTGCTCCAGACAACGCTCCCGACCACTTTCTTTTATATCGTGGGCCCCGTCGGACTGGGGGCATCTGGATCATCTCGCCCGTGTGCCAATACTGCAACTGATTGGGAGGAAGGAAGACCCGGTTGAGGAATGTGTTTCCATCCGGTTGGCGGGCAGGTGGAGTAGGGTCTAATGTGATGGTTGGTGGGCTACGTCAAGAAGAATGGGACGTTCGGTACGGATGACGGTGCCGTACAAAGTCCCTAGATACTACCTACTCCTTTGTATAGGGAGACAATCGCATCCATTGATTATTGCCCAGTGCTTTCCCCTTTTCCCTTTAACTCCTTGGCTGGCTGCCGGTCGCCCATTTGACTTGCACCGAGGATTGCATCCCTGGGAAGGATCCTAGGACATCGAGAAGACCAGACACACCGGCTTTTCGCCCATCTCTCCATCTCTCCACATCCCTCCCCCCCCCCCCAATTCATGTTCCATCCATCTCCCAGGCGGAAGACCAGCCCGCCGTGGCGCGCGGCCCGCCGGCCCACCGACGTTGCCCTAATCCAGTCAGTCCTCCGGCGGTGGTCGACTCTAGTTGCGCCCCACTGCCCACGATCCTGATCCTTCGCGCCTCCTGAGTTTTGCGTTCTGTCTGGTAGATCCATATCCCTCTACCTATCTAATTTGCAGGTTTTACGGTGCTGACAGCCTGAAGCTGATGCTTCTGGCGCAAGTGCCGCGCGGGATGGACCAGATCCAGCAGGCCAGGGTAGATACCTCTTCCACCGATCGAGATCGGACAGAATCGTAGGGGGGCATGGATACGGTTCAGCCAGGGCGATGCCGTGTCTCATCCACAAATCCCGCGAGACTCTTGATCTACCTCAAACGGGGGCGTCACTCTGGTCTCTGCAGTCTGCACAGGCCGTGCTGGCAACTGTCAATGTCACGGTCCGTCGCGTCCATCATCCTCTCAAATCCGAACTCTCGGTCAGAATCATTGTGAAAGGCTCAGCCGCGGTGCGGATATGGGGCACACGGGACGGCGCTGGATGCGATGGAACCAGTGGGGACGCCGTCAATATCTCTCATTGGCAAGCTGGTCGTCGATCGTGGGGAGCGATTACTGCACTGGGGCCCGTTTGTCAAGAACGGGAACCTCTTCCGAGTAACGACTGACAGTCTGGCAGAGTATCAAACGCACTTGGACGAATCCGACCAGGAATCCCCTGTCGAACGAGAAGCCAGCGACTGCGGTTTGTTCGAGTTTGATGTCGCTGCGAAGCCACCCGCCACTTCTCATCACACTGAGTGATGTTGTCTTCTGTCCAGATATCGATCTCGTGTTGCAAACTTGCAGGGGCGAAATGGCACTTGCGCTCACGGTCGCAGCGGCTCCACAGCCTGCCGGCTCGTGATAGAAGGACATGATAGACTAAACGCAGTAGTACGAGGCATCTACGATTTCGCACATTGGCCGCCTCGAACCGAGGATCGTGAAACAGATGGGTTCGCTCCCGTTTCGACCCCATACAGGATGATGGGGTTGTGGGATTGAGCTGTCCTCGCCGCGCACATGGGCATCCATCCCCTCGTGCAAAGGGATCAACCGATATACGTCCCTGTTTGACCTGGAATACACGTGCGTCTGCCAGTCTCGATGTCCCTGATGACCGCTGCCAGCTCCCGATCGGTCCTCTATTACATACAGACTACACACTAGCTAGTAGTGCATTCAGCCGTCCTCAGGAGGTGGCGATCTGCAAGGACGGATTCGTCTACATCTGCCTTTTTGGATGGAGACTAGTGACCTCTAGATCATCGACTCCAACTCGTGTCTTTGTTCCACATCCGCCTCACCATGCTAGCGGATGCAATTATGGAAAGCATCGGTTTCCTCTCAGGGCAAGCGAGGCAGGCGATAGACCGACCGGCGGCATCCCAGCGGCCTAAATGCAGACCGATGTTCATCTTGCAGGATTCGACGGTCTCGTTGCCTCCCCCCCCTTTCTACGCATCACACAGGGATTGCAACGAGACTGGGGCTGGATGATGTACCCGCAGTCCCCTGTTTTAACGACAGTCTTCCTCCGGGAATTTTCCTCGGATCTCTTTCCGGGTCTTTTCCCACACGCGCAGTCACCTTGCGCGTGGAGGCAACACTTCCAACATGGGCTACAACCTCACGGCGGAGATGTTCAGCGAGTGGGCGATCGGGCTGGTGGTCATCGCCGTCCGCGTCTATGCCCGCTTCTCGGTGGACCGAAGGCATTTCCACTGGGATGATCTGTGCCTCTTGCTCGCGACGGTAGGCCTGGAGAAACCCCCGCCTGGATCGCGGGTGGGCTGACGCAGTCTCATCAGATCTTCTGGACCTTGCTGGTGGTCTTCCTCTACATGTGCACCAGTACGTCTGGCCATCCATCCGGTCTTCCGGTCTGCTCATCATGCTAACAGAGGGACAGGTGTCTACGGCAGCAACATTGGGCTCAATGAAACCACGGCAGCCGAGGTGCCCGACGACGAGGTGGCGGATCTCAGGCAAGGCTCGATCTACGCATTCCTCGCCTGGCTCTCCTACATCTTCATGGCGTGGGCGTTCAAGGGGGTACTGGTCTTTCTCTACAACCGACTCACGTAAGCGCGATGATCTGACGGCCCCTGAGACGTAACATGACTGATCGTTGGCAGGATGGGTCTTTGGCAGCATCGACTGGCCATGGGAGTCGGCATCGCCTGTATTGGCACCTTCCTCGTCTCACTGCTTTTCGACCTCTTGATCTGCAGACCCATCACGAGAAACTGGCAAGTCAAGCCGTATGCGGGAGGTGAGTGGAGAGATCCCCTTGAATCTGGCCTCGTCAGGACTGATCCGCGGCCAGATAATTGCACCATCCGCCCGTTGAACTATATCGTGATTGAGGTTTTGAGCATCACGTAGGTGACATGACACCTGGACGGCCATCCTTACTGACACACACCTTCTAGGACCGATCTGGCCATCATGTGTGTTCCCATCCCCCTCATCCTCATCGCCAAAATCCCCCGATCCCAGAAGTGGATTCTGTGCGGACTGTTCTCCTCCGGCATCTTCGTCATGGTGGCCGCTGCCCTGCGCGCCTACTACTCGGTCAAGGACATCAACACCCTCTCCACGGCCCTGGGCTGGGCATCGCGACAGGCCTTCGTCTCCGCCATCATTGTGTCCGCCCCTGGAATCAAGCCACTCTTTTCCCGCCTCTCGTGGTTTGCGTCTTACAACTACAACTCCTCCGGTGGATATGGCAAAAGAGACAAGACCCAAACCACCCTCTACAACTCGAAAGGCGGACGGGATATCACGGTCATTAGTGCGTGCGACCCTCAGCCGCATGAGCTTTCATATATGGGTTGGAGGAAGCGGGCGAGGAATTCGTCGGGTGCCAGCCAGGAACAGATCATGGATATGCTCTCGCCCACGCAGGGCAACAGTCTGGACCTCGAGAGCAATATGGGGATTGTGATCACGACGGACGTTGCGGTCGCACATGAGGATATCCAAGGGCCCACCGCGCTACCAATGCATCATTGAGCCGGTTCCAGTTCATGGCATGAAATTGCACAACATCCCTTCTATGAGATTCCATCACAACAGCCCAATCTAATCATGACTACCAATAAAATGTTGAGCGCCGCAAACTGCGACCGCAAATCGGTTCCTATTATTCGGGAAAAGGCTATCAGAACAGTGGTTTCAACATCCACCTATCCATCGACCTACAGGTATTTGGCCGTTGTAGTGCCCATCTTCGAGCTGTTTTGCTCTCGGCCTGAAGGCTATTTCTAAGAAGAGCATTTGTGTAACTTACCACCACTTGGTGACCACTTGGTGAACGTCTACGAAAGGGTTTCAAGATAAAAAGATTTCCATTATTGTGAAAAGAAAGACCGTCAACCAAAGAGGCATGTCATCAGAAGACAATCAAGCCAGCTCTATCATCTTCAGGTCAAGCCTTCGCTCCCGTCCGAGGCATCATGTGCGCGTATCGCTCACTTCTTTCCAGAGCCCGACTGCTGGCCGCTCTGCAGATATCCCGTTGCTCCAGTACCCGACTTGGTGTACGATGCCGCCGCGGCATTGTTGGCATTGCGGTCTCCGGCAGACTGCGCGCGAGAGGCAAAGCCCTGGGAGCTCATGTCTTTCTCTCACCGGGCCTTCTCGCATGGTTAGCATGGGGTTGTTCTGCTAGAAGAGAAACAATGCTAGAAGGGAGAAAACTTGCCTGGGAGGACTGGATGCGCGATGCATCAGATGTGGTCATGTTGTTGGAAGGCATTTTGTAGAGAAGGTTGGGCTTAGTTGGAATGCAGGTCTGGATGGACTTTGGTGTGGTCGAATGAGGAGTCAAACGTGGTTGATGAGGAGATAGAAGAGTGGGTATTTATTTATATCCCAGGATTGGGACCGAAATTCACCCCAGACACTGATTTCCAGAGGTTTCCTCCGCTTCTTCAGCCGTCACCGTGCTATTGTTTTGCCATTCCCTGGCCATTCACGCACGTCTTGTGGGACCAAAAGCGATTGTCGAGTGATGGCAAGAGGGATTCATCCGTCGCCCATCGCCTTCCCACCACCTTCACTGGCAATATTCTTCGGTCCCGGAAATGCGACAGACAGTGACAGGGCTCAGTTGACCCAGTCTATCTTCGATATCTGACCGCAGACAGTAATTTCGGACGACCGACCGACCAGTGGCGTATGTTCCCCGAGGGGGGTGAGGGTGGTTGTTCTCCAATCGGCCGCAACGAAACCGCTCTCCGTCGCCATTTTTGTGTCATCTGTCCGTCTACCATCCTCGATCTCATTCAAAAATGAATGAAGAATCAGGAAAAAAAACATACAAACAGGAGGGATTCGCTGGTGGTCACCCACCCAACTACTAACCTCCCGGCGTGTGGCTTAAGTACGGCTGAGCGGACGGGAAGCCCTGTTCTCCACACCCTATGGTCGTATGTATTCGATTTGGATGGAGTGTGGATTCTATGGGACGGTAGCTGAGATCTACCCAACTCGCTTTGTTGTGTTGGAAGAGAGTCGTGGATTGAGGTACACGTTGCATGCAATGGCTAACACCCATCGATATATACAGAGCGGGAACCGGCCGAAAAGGAAGTTCATCACAAGACTACAATAACACAGGCCTCTAAATAGCGCCGGAATTCACCAGAACAAAGGAAATCGGTGGCAGACAGACAAATCGAGAATGAACAAAAGAAAGAGACCGAAATTACAACCGCAGCGTCCCTCCCCTGGCCAAGTCCGCCACCGCCTCACAGAACCTCTCGAGGAGCAGCTGCGCCCTCGAGGAAGAGAGCCGGTCTCTGGGGCCCTGGATATTTATCGTGAGGAAGTCCGGCCCCGGGGTAGTGACCACATTGAGACGCGGCATGACGCCGTAGTCGACGTGTCGGCAGAGACACTCAACTCCCGCGAGTGGGAGACTGGGGGGCAGTCTCGCTCTCCGGTCAGTCGCGTCAAGACGAGGGCCCAGGCAGCCGAGGCCAGCAAGGCCAGCGTGATGCCCAGCGGCGGAGCGGGGAGCGGAATGTCCCGCCGCGCTTTGATCAGGCCGCCCAGCGTCTCCGTCTCCGCCTCCGCCTCCGCCTCCACCTCCGCACCGCGGGAACCCAAGTCCAGCTCCAGGTCCAGCTCCGGAAGCTCCAGCATCTGAGCCCCCTGGAGATATTCCCGCCAGAACCGGAGGGTCTCGGGGGTCTTCTAACACTGACGATAGCGGAGGTAGCGTCAGGATGATGGTCTGGAGCCCCGGGACGAGCGCGGGGTGGAGCAGTCGGTTGAGCAGCGAGGGCGCCAGGATTTCAACAGGAGGGAGTCATCATCGGTCCGGATCCGAATTCCTACCCTCGAAGCCCTCTCTCACTGGGGCTGATGGATAATAGGACGTCCATCCCTCCCTGCTGCCACTGGCGCACGACTAGCACTACTCGAGTAGCCATGTAATGATGGAGAGAGAGCCTTGCACGCAGTCGAGTACATTTTCATGAGCTCTTCCCCTGTGCGGATCCGGGTGGTTTTGGTTTATCCAGCCAACCCCCAGCTAGTGGCACGCCGTTCAACGGACTTGCAGTATACTCATCCATGCGTCACTTGGCAATCCCTATCAGGGACAGAAAGAGTGGGGACTGGTGTTGGGCAAGTTAGTTGTTACCACGCCATCTTCGGGTCTCCGAGTGGCCTATCTCTCGTCGACACCGCTGCGCGTGCCTGGAGCCGTTGTCTCGGGTGATTGATGGACTCGGAATGCTACGATGGCCTATATCTGTCCGGCAGCCATGGACAAGAGTGTCCCGCAATGTAAGGACGCTGAGTAATGACGGCCTAGGCCTCTCTGGATCTATCTTGCTCTTCATCTCCACACAAGTCACTCACTCTCATCCGGGGTGACCAATCCATGTGTCACGTGACTATGGAAGGTCCGAGAAGCCCCGAGAAGCCCCGAGCGATTTCCCGCATCAACTGGCATCAACTGGCATCAACTGGCATCAACTGGCATCAACTGGCATCAACTGGCATCAACTGGCATCAACTGGCGATGACGGGCATCCACTGGGGATTACTCAGGGTTTCTGGGGGGTTCTGGGGATGACAGACATCTCTTCGATCCCCCAGAGTCCCAGGGTATAAAGAGACCTTCGACCCTTCTCCTCCTCACCACCATCATCAACATCATCCTCATCCTCATCTCCGCAGAGAACCAGTCCACTACTCTCAACCCTACTCAACCCTACTCAACCAGCTCAATCGCCTCAACCACCTCAACCACCTCAACCAAGCTTAAGACCATGTCTCTCTTCAGAACCATCCCGGCCGGCGGCGACTTCGCCCCTCTCTTCCGTCTGCTGGACGACTACGACAACCACCGTGCCAGCCAGCCCTCCTCCTCCACCTCCTCGTCGTCCTCTCCTTCCTGTGTCTCGATGCGCTCCTTTACGCCGCGCTTTGACGTCCGCGAGACCTCCGAGGGCTACCACCTGGACGGCGAGCTGCCCGGCATCGCCCAGAAGGACGTCGACATCGAGTTCTCCGACCCGCAGACGCTGGTGATCAAGGGCCGCACCGAGCGCGAGTACCACTCCTCCCCGGATCCGGACCAGGACCAGGGCAAGTACAAGAGCCCCGAGGTCGAAGATGAGGGCGAGGGCGAGGGCGAGCGCCAGGTCGAGAAGAAGCAGCCGGCCAGCAAACGGCGGGCCCAGCACCACTACTGGGTCAGCGAGCGCTCGGTGGGCGAGTTCCAGCGGGCCTTCAGCTTCCCCACGCGCGTCGACCAGGACAACGTGCGCGCCAGCCTCAAGAACGGCATCCTCTCCATCGTCGTCCCCAAGGCCGCCGCCCCCGTCGCCCGGAAGATCACCGTCGAGTAGGCGGCAAACAAGATAATCCTTCACGATGTCACGGACGGGGCGTTTCGGCATGTAGTCAATGATCTCTTTTGCTGTTTTATTCTCCCTTTGCTTTCGACTTCCACTTCCGCAACATTGCAAAGGATGGACTCGACCTGCTTATAACGGTACACACACTCTCTCTCGACTGCTGTGTTTTCACTCCTTGAATATGTACTTTAATGGCTTCTAATACTATCTGCTGCGTTGATTAATGTCTCCCTATGCCCTTTGTAGAACCGTAGAACCGTAGAAATCGAGTTTCGTAGCAGCTCCCACTAGATATCGGTACGATGAACCGCCTCGTTACGAGGGGGTATGTTTTGACCAGTGACGATTTCAATCTCGAGATATACATAATGTACATGTAGTACTTGATGGTGGGAGTTTTGTTTGTGCTTGGTGGGCTTGAGTCGGTCCGGTGCATTGTTGCAGCCAGCCCATGTTGGTGTCCGGAATATATAGCCGGAGGTCAGTCGCGGTGGAAGTGAAAAGATGGCGGCCATAGAATCGACCGGGCTATGAAGAGCCCGAAAGCGGAGCAGAGTATGTTCCACTACCTGTATAAAACATATAGTTTATTCTATTAAATATATCACCATCACTCTATAGTGGTATGGGTATACCAAGTGGTTGAGCACGACGAGAGATATGGCTACTAGGTGATATAAGCAACGTGGAACTTTTTGTATATTCAATCCCCGATGGTCTAACGGTCATGATTTCCGCTTGTCACTCCTGAACAGGAACAAGCGCGGGAGACCTGGGTTCGACTCCCAGTCGAGGAGGATTTCTTTTTTTCCCTTTCTTTTTTATTCACGCCTGTACTTCCTGTCTTTCATATTTTTGACACCACCATGTTGTTGATTGAATGAACCAATCAGCTACCATTTTGTTCCCTGGAGTAGATTACAGCAGATGGCCAGACCGGGGTTTCTTTCCGGTAGTTGGTGGGGAAGCTGTCATCGTGGATGCTTAGAGTACAATAACTCAAGTGCGACCGACGTTCGCCGGTCATTTAAATAGGCCTCGTCAAGAAGCGGACCACTGCCGTTATCCTCATCAAGTTGTCTGGGTGGCGCAATTGGTTAGCGCGTACGACTGTTAATCGTGAGGTTGAGAGTTCGATCCTCTCCCTGGACGCTTATTCTTTTTTCCCTATTCTTTTTTTTGCTTCCCCCCTCTCTCTATCTTTCTCGCCCTCTTCTTAGCTACAACTATTCCTCCACCGAAATACTTACCCTGAACCCACCCACTAAACCCCGCAGTCATCCCTGTCCCTGGCGTCTAATCTGTCCGGCGTCCACACCCTCCAAGGCCCCCGAATCTGTTTCCGACTGCCCCGATGGCCCAATGTGGACTCACACAGCCCTGCAGCCGTCAGCCTCGTCCCCCTCCATGGATATTTCCGTCAGTTCGTGGGATCCTGGTGAGGGGATTATCTTGTTGCCCCTTCCCTCCCTCTCATCCTTCTCTTCTCCTCGCTGGACTTCTGCTGACCCCCCTCCACCCAGAACGTTCATACGCCCTTTGAGGCCTCATGGCACCGTCTACAACGGCCCTGTCGGTGGACAGGAGCCCACATCAAGCTAACGATCGGCATCGCCCCCTTCAGCGCGACGGGCCAGGGGTTTGCGGACCAGACTTCCGATTCAGAAGACCAAACTTAAGACAGACTGACGAGAGAGAGAAAGAGAGTCAGGGTTGGCCGACATCACTCATACATAGCACCACAGACCCCCAAGATATTGGCTTCACCGAGACTTCTTGATGGTGGGATGGCATCATGGCACCAGTTTAAACTTCGGACTGGCGTATGCTTATTGTGGAGGCACACAGCAGGGCTGCACCGGAAACCCTTCAGGTGGATGGCACACTGCAAACCATCGCTACTGGATATGCACCGAACAAGCCAGGGGCTTCTACATCCGTTCTTCCTACAGAAATGGGGCTGCGGTGGACCATATCGGGGCGGGGAAGCCGTCAGACTACGGCTTATCCGACATCCCATCGCCACCTTTCTGTAGGAGAGACAATCATGATGATGTGTATATACTTAGGTTTGTACAGAACATCCGTGTCGAGAGCGACCGGGAGAATGCCACATATTGACGATGCCCACGCAAGGAGGGTTTCAATAGCGTCGCTGGTGGGTCGCGAGTCGCCGGATCGGGACATTCCCAGAGCCCAGCCCACATGCCCTCCCTTCCGGTTCTAGAACGGCTGTTCGTGCCCGCTAGCGGTGGCTGGGTGCTATTTTAAACGTCTCACGACCGCGAGCGTTCCCCAAGGCGAGTTGATCTCCGCCGCGTCAACGCGATTAGAGTTTGGGGGAAGAAGATCTTCCATCCGAGGGTCGCAAGATCCAGTCCGCGGGCGGTTCGCTCAGATGGAGCACGGGTCTTTTTTAGTGTCTATACCCAGTAGATAGATAGTCACGGCATTGATGGCAGCTTCATGTCGAGACCGCGCGTGGTTGGTGGTGCATGGGTCTCCACCGCGCAGGTATGTCCCCTTCCGGGTGCGCGAGTATGTTTCAGACAAGGCCAACGGGGGATGTCTCAGGGCGTACGACGGGTTTAAGGGGGTGTGAAAAAAAGTCCGGTATAGACCAAGAGGGTGCCAGACTCCATTGGATATGATACACAGGACCGAAAGACAGAGAGAGAGAGAGAGAGGAACTACTAGTCGTACATGGCGCTCACTTCAGCCAGTGAGTGAAGCCCGTGCGGGACGGGGTATGCAAGTTGGTATGAGATCCCACGCGCAGAACCGGACCAGGAAGCAGATAACACCAGAGGAAAAAAGGACAGAAGACGAGGACCGATTTTGAGAGGCCACAACGCGGACATGGCAGACGGGAATCGAGAGAGAGAGGGAGAGAGGGAGAGAGGGGGAGGGGGAGAGAGAGAGAGAGAGAGAGAAAGAGAGAGAGAGAGAGAGAGGACGGAGGGAGCGAAGCAACTGAAGGGGATTGATTCGGGGATTTGGGGGGAGGGGGAGGGGGGGGGAGGAGGAAGATGGAGGATCATCCGGGGGCAGCCAGGCTGATCCTGCCGATCCCCGATCAGGCCTCATTCCATTCGCGCACCGACGCCTCCTCTTTGGCGTCGCGTTTCTTGTTGCGATAGAGGAAGTAGCAGCAGACCCCGACTGCTGAGAGGAAGAATCTGCGATCCACCGTTAGTTGGGAGTGCGAGCGAGGGTTGGGGGGAGGCGAGGGAGGGCCATATCCCATATCACGTACACGCCCACGATGATGCCCGGCACACCGCTCTTGAGGAAGTTGCTGACGGGCTTTTCCGAGGAACTGGAGGAATCCGAGTCGCTGCCACGCGCCCAGAGAGGGAGGGGGATGGCGGCAGCCCGTCTGGCGAGCTGGGCGAGTTGTGAGGACTCCATTGGGATGGGTTGGAGGGAGAAAGAAGAGGAGGAAGCGGAGGAGGAAGAGCAAGAGGGTGTATCAGCTGCTGGGAAAGACGAAATCCGGGGGGAACGGACAGCAGCAGTGCAGCAGCAGCACTCAGCCGGGCTGGAGACGGGGGGAGAATTTGGGGGGGGGGAATAAAAAAGGGGAGTGGGAAGGGTAATAATAATGATAATAATGGAGAGAGGGAAGAAAGAGAAAAGCTTCCGCCTTCTCCCTGAAAACGGGATAGGAATAGGACTGGACTGGTAAGACATAAGACATGGGGCGGGGGCACGGCCCCGATCCAGGGGCATTGATTCACCAGGAATAGTTTCATCTCATTAAAACTCCCCCCACTTCGCGTCGGTCGGTCTTCTTTTCTTTTCTTTTCTATTTTTTTTTTTTTTTTTTTTTTTTGGCACCCACCCTCAGCCGGAGCCATGAGGGCAGGCTTTGCGACAGACGGCTGTCTGACAGTGAATGAGACATGGGACATGAGACATGGGACGGAGGACAGGACAGGACAGGACAGGAAAGCCGTGAAGATGTCCAACAGTTATCAAAGTCAACCTCAACTTCAACCCCCTGACCGGTGGCGACGGCGACGGCCTTGGCCGCTGATTGGCTCCGTGCCCATGTCGTTGATGCCTGGGTGCCTGGATGCCATGATGCCATGATGTCTGTATGCCTGGATGCCTTGGGGGCCTGTCTATGTGGATGTCTTGTCGCCTGAGTGCCTGAGTGCCTGAATGTATGCCTGGATGGCTGCCTCAGGCATCAACAGCGGACCCGGAAGCCTGTCGTTGCCCTTATTAGCAAGCAGGATGGTGGGAAATCAGGACATCAGGACATCAGCATCAGCGCCCCCTGACTAATCGTATCAAGCCATGGGGATGCTCGGGGAAAAGATACAAGGATACAAGGGCCCCTCTGCATCCCACCATCCAATCCGGGACCCCAGAGGGTCTACCCTCCGGGGGTAAGTGCCTGCGTTGGCTGTTGGCTGTTGGCCTTTGGCCTTGAGATGGGTTCGGGTTGGGGTTACGAGGCCCGTAGCCCTGCCTGCCAGCCTGCCAGCCTGCCATCATCGCTCCCCTCAATAGGCCTTCAATAGCTTCTCAATAGAACCCCGGTCACCCATGTCAGGAGGGAACGTACAAGTAGCTACCAGTCCCGTTCGAACGGGATCCGCCATGGACTGCCCCCGTTCCCTTCCCACTCGCCTCCCCCGTCGTGATGTTCGCCCCGCAAGAGCTTCCGGTTAGCCTTCTGTCCGTCAGTCCTCCCGTCTCCCACGCAGGACCTCGCGACGTCGACTCATTGATCGAAGATGCCCTCCAGGCCCCGGGCGGGACGCGCATGCTCATCAGCGTGAAGGGGCGGGCCGACTACCTCGTGTGGATCGTGCCCACCGTCGACCGATCGCCGTTCGGGACCGATGATGCCGTCCGACACTGTCAGGAGTTCTTGCGCCGCGACACGGAATCCACGCTTTGCCTCGTTTTTCATGCCTGCCCCCCGGATGGAAAGGCGTACCTTCTCGTGGCGACTCGGTTCACAGGCCTCCCTTGCCAGTCGATCCAGCTTCCTTTCATCGAGCCGAAGCACCTGGAGGGGCCTGCAGCGGGGTGGGGCAAACGACGCATACCCTCCTGGCCGCCCCTCCTGGCCTGCTGCTCCCGATGGGAGTACTCGCGGGTGGTGTATCTCTTTCTGGGCCTCTTGTTGGTTGTGATACTCGCGATCTGTTTGTTGATACACAACAGCCTCCGCTTCGATACCAGCGGCAGCAGAGGGCCCCAGCACCAGCTTCGCTTGACTGCCAGCAATGTCTCCGAGTGGGCGTCCACGCACCTCGACGGAGAAGGAGAATGGGAGCTCCGCATCGACGATCAGACCATGATCCCAGCCCAGCTTCTCGACGACGACGAGGAGCGTCACCAGCAGTGGTTCCGCCACCACTATCCCGAGACGAACGAGGTTCGCCTGACCGGGGATTATGTCAACGAATCCTCCCTGGCCGACCCGAATGCGATGAAGGTACCCGGGGATCAGCGGTTTCACACGGCGCACTGCCTGCTCGCCCTGCGCAGATACTGGAAAGCGAAAGAATCGGGCCGGCATGTCTGCCCCGTGGATCTGGACTATCGGCACGTGGAACATTGCCTGGACTCGCTCGATCGGTTGGTCTTTCTGGACACCGAGTCGCCGTCGTCTGCGAATGGCCCGGATTCGATGGCGGGGGATTGGCCGATGTCGCTACCCTGGAAGACCAAGGTGTGCTGGTGACGATGGAGCATTGCGGACAGAAGGAATCTCCATCTCGAAGATTATGAGGGTGCCGTGGGACTATGACCCGGATGAACCTTACCCAGACACTCTGTGGGGAACAGGATTTGCCGAATGCGGCTGAGAGAGCGATTTGGGTTCATCTTCTGCTGCGCGTTCATCCCCCCAGAAGGGAAAATCCCTTCTCGGTGCCTTTTGGGGGGGAGGGGGGGGAGGACTTGCCCTGATTCGAGGTCTCTGACGATCACCTAGAGGTGTTTCCAGCCGATCCGGCTCAAATATTCTACACTGAGATGTCGGAAAACGATGCCCGGGAGGCCGTCGACTCTTTGAAGCCCCAGAGCTATCAAACGATGCATAGCCCCTGCACGTATGCCGCATGGAAGGAGGTCCCCAGCACCTACTTTTACTGCGCCAAAGATGCCGCGATTCCTTTGCAAGTCCAGCGGGTGATGGTCGAGGAATGGGCCCATGGATACCCCATCAGAACGGAATCCGTTGACGCGTCGCACAGCCCCTTTGATTCGGTGCCCGGAGAAGTCGCCGGGGCCATCCGGAGAGCAGCCGGGGAGGATGTTTGATCGGCCTCTTTCGGGCCAGTCGGGTGGCGTTCAGATGATACTGGATCTGTACAGCATCCTACATGTACATTGCATCGAAGACAGCGATTGAATATCACAGCCTCGCGGATCCTTCGCCGAGAGGGCGTCGGTCACATACTCTCTGTTTGGTGCCGATGCTGGAAGTGAATGGATAGACTCATGCCTCAGGAACTTGGTCGAGGAACTGAGGCGAGATCGATGCTGGGTAGCACAAGGACTGACATCACAAATAAGCCGTACGACGATGCATCATGGAGGGCCAGGCAAAAGGCACCGCCCAAGACCATCGCATAGGCCCCATCTGGCGTGAGCATACCGCCGATCTGTGCCCCAATAGCTATGATGTGCACAATGACCCGGTTATTACTGATTGTGACCGCGGAACTCCTCCATGTCCGTTTAGAAGCTTTCTCACTCCACATTATCTCATCTCCATTCGGCCCGCTTACTCAAGTGGCCGAAGACTCTTAAAGTTTCCAATGCGGACGTTCTGTCGGGCTTTTCAGGACCGACAGTGACACAGATGACGATGTGGAAAGCTCATACATCGAGCCGCTTTCGGACCCGAACCCAAATCCAGGGGCGATATATCCACCCACAATCGCTGGAGATTTATCTACCAGGCGATGAAAACCAGGGTAGCAGCCCGGAGTTTTTGATCCAGAGACGCAGCATCAGAGGATGCAACGAGAGAGAGGGAGCAGCTCCGGCCATGATGCCATCAAACCTTGACTGATTAGTTGTACCATGTCAGCTGGTCTACGGAGTGGACGTCTGGAAATTAACATACCAGACGCTGGAGTGTGTCCTTGTTTGTCTGGGATAAGATTGAGCCTCAACAGCCACGCGCCCATGCCACACAGTAAGACGTCCGTGAAGAACTCATCCCAGCGTTGTTCGCCGGGGGCGCGTCGTACATACTCCCTTGTCTCGTCGGCGAGTTTGCCATCGGGAGTCAAACTGTCGGCATATAACCCGTGTATGACTTGCCAATCACCTGATGCCTTTTCCAAGCGATGCTCTTCAGTCCAGGTAGCACTCTTACTTTCGGTGACTCGACGATACGAGGACGGAGCCAGAAGGGGTTGTCTCCATTGCACCGCCACTTCCTTGATATCGGGCGACGAAAGTCATGATCGGTAGTCCCGGCCTTTGTCTCCATTTGGCTGCTGGACCATGGTCAGCGATTGATCGCAGCCCCACCGGTCTTCGAGGATGCAAGACTGCTTGCTTTCGCCCTCCCGCTACCGCAACCCTAAGAGATGGCGAAATCCGGTTCCGAGCAGCAGTGGCGCCCAACACCCCAACCATCCGGCTTTCTCGAGTCTGGAATTGGGGACAGGAAGAATAATCGGCCGGAAAGGAGGGCATCTTCCTCCCCAACCCCATGCTCGCCCCACTACGACGGCATCCCATCCTCCCTGGCTGCGAGGGCGATGGCTCCCACGATGGTCCTGCCGGCGGTCGATCTCACCCCCAGAGACCAGCATGGAGCCTACCGCGACGACTACGAGGTCCGCTGGGACGAGAACGACGCCGCCAACCCGCATAACCTGACCTCGAGGCGCAAGTGGGCCGTGGTGATCCTGGTCTCCTCCATGACCCTGTGCGTTTGCGTCACCAGCTCCCTGTACACGACCACCTACAAGCACACCATGGCCGAATTCGGCTGCTCTCGCATCGTCGCAACCCTCGGACTGAGCTTCTACATCGCGGGGCTGGGCTGGGGGCCCTTGGTCATGAGCCCCTTGTCGGAGTTCTACGGCCGACGGCCCATCTACCTCATTTCGCTGCCGCTGTTCATCGTCTTCCTCGTCCCTTGCGCCGTCGCACGGAATATTCAGACAATGCTGGTGGCCCGGCTGCTGGATGGACTCGCTGGCGCGGCCTTTACCTCGGTCGCGGGCGCAACTGTGGGGGATATGTACAGCAAGAGCACCTTGCACTTCCCCATGCTGGTCTACACGGCGTCGCCTTTGTATGGCTTCCGGGGGTTCTGTTCCTTGCTGGTGTGACTGACGGGTTCGCAGCACCGGGGCTAGTCTGGGGCCGATTCTCGGAGGACTGATAAACTCATGGGCGTCTTGGTGGGTGTGAAAACATCGTCGAGATGGGAACGCACGGAGCGTCTAACACTATCCTCAGGCGGTGGTCTTTCTACTTCCTGCTCATCTGGGCCTCCCTGCAAGCGATCCTCGTGATGCTCTTTGTCCCGGAGACGTATCACCCAGTGCTGCTTCGCAACAGGGCTCGGAAGTTGCGCGAGGAGACGGGGGACGATCGATGGAGAGCCCCTATCGAAAAGCTGGATCGATCAGTCCTCAAGGTAGAAGACGGACCCCACGCTTTGATCTACAGATCGCTGACTCCAGTCGGGCTAGACAGTTCTTCGCTCCCTCTATCGCCCGTTTATGCTGCTCTCGCTGGAGCCCATGTGTCTCAACCTCTGTGTGCTGTCCGCCATCGCTCTAGGTGTCCAATACCTCTTCTTCGGGGCATTTGGGGTCGTCTACGGCAATGCCTACAATTTCGGGCTCTGGCAGACCGGACTGGCATTCTCCGGTCTTTTTGTAGGCATGGTGTTGGCGGTTGCTGTGGACCCATGGTAGGTCGAAAGAGGCTTGGGCATTCTTTCCTGGCTCGATGTTAACGATGAAACAACCTGTGATAGGTGTCGCAAACTCTACCCATACTTCTCCCGCCAACAAGACGAGCAAGACGAGGCTGCGAGCCAGGACCCGGAATGCCGTCTGCCCCCGGCCATCATCGGGGCTCCGCTCCTTACAATCGGGTTGTTCTGGTTTGGATGGACAGCGTGAGCACAGGTGCTTCATCTATCCGCATCTGCATGCTGAAATCTCGCAGTGTACCCTCGATCCATTGGATTGTGCCGATCATCGGGAGCGCCGTTTTTGGAGCTGGGTATGCCAACATCCGTCTGTCTGTTCCGATTGATAGCCTCCGACTGATGATTTGGGCAGAATGATATTTGTGTTCCAAGGCGTCTTCACCTTCTTCGTGGATGCGTACCCACTATATGCTGCCAGTGCCCTGGGTGCCAACAGCTTTACCCGAAGCACATTTGCAGCGGCGTTTCCCTTGTTTGGGGTGGCGAGTGAGTGATGTCGATGTGCTGCAACTACCCATGGAAGCTGACTGCGCGCAGTGTACCACAAACTGGGTGACCAGTGGGCAACGTCCCTCCTGGCCTTCCTCAGCCTGGCTATGGCGCCATTTCCGTAAGTGATCGCGAATAGGTGATGGGCTTGGCAGCTAACCGTGAGGCGACAGATATGTATTTTTTCGATACGGGAAGAGGATACGACGGAGAAGTCGCTTTGCTACGAAAAAATGAAAGGAGAAACAGAAAGCCCGGAGGGTAATGTTGATCATCAAGCCAGAGACGGGTAGTTAGAGAAGCAATTTGTGCCAGGTGATCTGTTACGACGTGTATCAGGGTAGATCCGTACGTTGTCATCATGGACTGGGTGTAAGGACTGATACCATAAAAAACTAGACTCTCTACAATTTCATCGACCAGTAGCTGAAACGGAAAGACAGAGGAATGAAACAAAGTCAAGAGAATACAGTACACTACAAGTTAGAAAGATGGGAAGAAAACAGCCCAAGCCCCCCCCCTGATACTCGCACAACCCTCATTTCTCGACACTCATTAGCCATATGACAAACCGACAATTAAACAGACAACGCCTATTTCAAGACACTAGCCATGACGACGACAGGATGGCCGATTTCGATCCCCTGTCGGTGCGCCCGCAAGGCCGCCACGGCATCCAGACGGTCAGGAAGAAGATCATTCTCGATCTGCAATGCACAAAGCCCTGCCCCGGCAGGGGTTCGGCCATCAAAGACACGCTGCAGGGAGCTGGTGCGATAGAAGTAGAACTGGGGTCATCGATACATATTAGCACATGCGCTGGACAGACAAGATTACACGTACCGGTCCGAGCCCCTTCTCCTGCTGCTCGGCATAGCCCCCAATGACCGAGTCTGGCTCGCTTTGCACTTTCCAGGTCATGGAAATGATTCGTCCCGTGAAGCCCACCACATGGGCGAGATCCAGCATGAGGCTGATGGGGACTCTGCCGCCCATGCTGGAGAGAATCACGCCATGGTCGGTGAGCAGACCAAAGGTTCTTGCCTGCAGCAGGCACACGTAGTGCAGATCCAGAAGTGCCGCCGACACGAACGGAGGGACAACCCCCGAGACGTCGGCGGCATCGAAGAAACTGGACGACGTTTGGCCGTCGCGCAGATCCACGCCCTCTGGCACGGGGATGTTTGGGAGATTTCTGGTCCTGTCATTACCCTGGTCCGGAAATTGACGGGGGAAGTCGCCATGAAAAGCACTCACTCGTAGATCAAGTCAAACGGCATCTGGCCTCGAAGGGGCACCAGGCTGTGGCCGGTCAGCCCAACCGCGTCCCGCGCAACATCGCGGACCCGGTCATCGGCCCGGTCGACGGCCGACTTCAGGTTCATCTGGGCCTGGGCCACGACCTCCTCGTGCAGGTCGGTCATGACGATGCGGCGGAGCTGCGGGAAGAGGTCCAGGGCCGCGATGGCATCAGTCCCCGAGCCCGTCCCAATCGTCGCAAAACGGCGCACGGGGCCGTAGTTGGCGGCCTGGAGGACCTTGAACGACCGGAACGCGGCGGTCACGGCCCAGTCGGCGCTGGGATCGTGGATCTGAGACGGGGGTTAGCTCGCATGTCCGAGACCAGGGGACGGGGGAAGGGGGGGAGTCAACACGGACTTTGGGCTGGTAAGTCAGATCCGATAGCGAGAGCAAGAAACTGCGGTTGACGTGCCGGGGGTCGACCCCGAAGAACTGCTTGAAGTCGACATTCACCGTGTGCTGCTGCGGCTGAGGGAACCCGTCGAGCTGGATGTCTTTCCAATCCTCGATGAAGGGTCCTCCCTGGATGATGACGGTGGCCATGGTGACAGTTACCAGTCAAGGATACTTACGTGTATTGCTGGTCGCGAGGAAAGAGGGAGTTGGACGGCGTGCTTGGGGGTATAAATAGACCGTTAGAGTCCCTTCGAAATACTTGATTTCTGATATCGAAGGCACTCGAAGAAGCAAGCCCGCCAAAGCAAAAAAAAAAAAAAAAAACAAAGTTAAGCTCCATCCGGCAGCCTGCTCAGCTGGACGAGCAGATTCCCGAATGGTGCTGGACAGGGTTCCTGGGAGTCCTTCGTACCTGGCACACACGCATCTCGGCGATGGAGATCTCCGTGGGGCGTCAAGGGATGATTTCTGATTTCTGATTTCTGATTGCGTGTCAGGCGTGAAGGGATCCACGACGGCCGAAGAGAGTAAGCCCGCTAGGGGACCCGATTGGATGCGCTTATTGGCCTCCAGCCATGGCCAGAGGGACTGGCAGTTCCAGGCCTTGTCGAGGGGCGCCACATCAGGTTTTCCGGGGCGGAAGTGGCTGGCACAGCCATCAAGGCAGACGGTGGTTGTGCACAGGGGGGGTTCTTGTCCGTGGCATTTCCCTGGAACCCGCCCAACCTTGGGATGCCCTCAGCCCTGGAATCCTCCACGGGCGACCGTGCGCCTCCCTCGATGGGGGAGGAGCTGCAGATCGCCCCCGGGATGACGACGCGGCCATCTGCTGTCGGGGCCTCCGCCGGTTTAGGGTTACGGACAGTCCGACGGGCTTTCGCTGCGGGAGAACCTGAGGGATCACCACCGGAAGAAAAACGAAAACAGAAAAACCTCATCATTTGATTGCCTGCACCCGATGCCGCCAGCTTGACAGCCCCGGGGCTGCCGATTCCCCTCTCGTGATACCTGGTGCCTGCCAAATACCCTCCGAGACGGTGGCAGCCTGCGACCCTGCGACCCTGCGACCCTGCGTCGCACACGACAAACGGCCGTCGATGCCTGCCCTCCAACCATCTCAGGATGCCACGGGGACCCCCTGGCGGTGTGTGGCCCAGGCCCTGACTCCCGGGGGGGTGAAGGGGAAAGCCGTGAGGGCGGGCCTCGATTGGATGACATCCCCCCGGGGGCCCTAAACTGCATTGATGATCCCCTCGCCGACCAAAGACAAGCGACCTGGCACCCGGATCTAATTGCATGCGTCGAAGGGCGCTGGGCAGCAGATTGGACAACAAGAAGTGGTCGCGGACGGCTCGCACCGACCCTGTGTCTCCCAGCCCTGCAATCTCCCGCGGTGACTGGGCTCAGTCTGCTAGTCGTTGGGTCTTTGTTGGACGGTCATTTCACTCCCTCTCTGATCGACGGGGGGTATAGGAGAGTAAGTTGTGTTTCTTCCCCTTTCCCCTCTCCCCTTTCCTCCATCCCCCATCAGCCATCTCTCTTCCCCTATCTTCATCGTCCATCGACCCGGGTCAGCACCACGCCCACGATCACGATGGCGTCCCCACATCTGTATACGCTAGCCGACCAGATCGAGGGACAGCACGAGAACGAGAACGAGATGGAAATGGAAATGGAAATGGGACCAGAGACCCCCTCGCCGTGCGCAGACGCGACCTTTTCCGACGAGGCAGCGACCCCCCCATCCCCATCCCCATCCCCATCCCACTGGACCATCGGCTGGATGACTCCCAGCGCCATCGTCACCTGCTTTCTTCTGGGTATCTTCACCCCCTTCCTCGTCCGCTATGAAATCGATGCGATGAACGGACGGACTGACTGACCGACTCCCCCCAGCGGCTTCCCTCGCCTCGATGCATCTGAGTCTGTTCCACTGGCTGGACCAGCGCGAGGTGACCCGGACCATCCGCCAGCCCTACGTGACGGCCCTGTCGGTCGTCTTCGTCAACGGCTTCCGCACCTTCCTGGCGGCCGCACTGGGCCTGGCCTTCGTGCAGATGCTGTGGCAGGGGCTGCGCGTGCGGCCCATGCGGGTGGGCGACCTGGACGCCTTCCTGTCGGTGCTGGCGAACCCCCTGTATCTGGGCCAGCTGCAGCTGCTGCGCGTCGCCCCGATTCCCTTCCTCTGCGCGCTGGTCTGCTGGTGCCTCCCCATCGCCATGGTCTTCCCCGCGGGCGCCCTGACCGTCGAGCCCCAAACTCTCCACGTCCTCGCCAACCAGAGCGTGCCGACCTTCGACCCCGGCTTCCTGGGCAACGGCACCTTCTCGGGGATGATGGCGCAGGCACTGTGGCAGCCGGACGATTTTGACGCGTACAGGTGGGTGCTTTCCCCGGGGATTGGAGGATGTGGGTGTGAGGATAGGGATCGGGAGAGGGTATACCGGTGCAGAGATACTGATGGGATGCACCACCAGCGGACCCACGAACCAACTCACCCGCCTCGCGCGACAGGCCATCATGGCCGGACGATACCTGCCAGCGCCGTCCCCCTGCGCGGGGGACTGTTCGTATACGATCGATCTGCCGGGCCCCAGCTTCGAATGCCGCAACGCCTCCACCCCCCAGCTGGCCCGCTGGGTCAACCAGAGCTATCCGCAGACGCGGTCGTGGCCGGCGCTCTACCTGGCCTCCGCCGACTATGGCGCCCGCACCAACCGCTCGCAGTCTGCCTTCGACTTCGCGCTGCGCTGGCAGGCGGACGGGGGATACGAGAACCTCCGCTGCCGGGCGTACGAGTCGATCTACACCGTGCACCTCACCTACACGGGGGGCCAGCCGCACACGACCAGCGAGGTCCACCCCGTGCGCCCGCTGAACAGCTCGTACCTGTACGATGACTATGGGATGTATCCGCAGACGGGCAGCCCGGACGCGCGCCTCAATGCGACGGCGACGGGGGCGACGGGGGGCACCGTGACGGAGATCTATCGACGGGCCAACCTGGCGGCGGTGCAGGACTCGCTGGTGCTGGCGTTGTCGGGGTACATTGATATCTTCCGTGTGTGATTATTCTCCCTTTCTTCTCCCTTCCCTGGTCTCGGGGTATTGACGGCTTGACTGACCACACGATGCTGCTGCAGTCCTCCACAGCCAGCCCTCGGCCAACACGATCATCGCCCTGTCCGAGCTGTACTCGGGGTCTGTGGCCTCCCCCCGATTCGACCTCACGGGGGCGTCGCTGCAGGACCTGCTGCAGAACATCACCCTCTCCCTGCTGACGCTGAACCAGACCACCGTGACGACCACCGTGACGAGCACGGTGCCGGTCAATGTCTACTCCTTCCAGCGACCGGTGCGGCTGATCGCCCCGTACTTCGCGTGCCTGGGGGTGGCGCTGGGCTTCCTGCTGGGGGGCACACACGCCCTGGTGCGCAACGGCATCTCGGCCAGCCTGACGGGGCTGTTCCAGACGCTGTGCACGACGCGGGCCAGCGCGCGCCTGGACGACTTGGCGGCGCAGGGCTGTCTGGGGGGACGCGAGAACGTGCCGGACGAGCTGCGGGAATTGAAGGTGATGTTTGGGGAGATCCGAGGCAAGGGGGGGTTGCGGAGGGCCGGGCTGGGGGTGGCGGACGAGGTGATGCCACTGCAGCGAGGGTCGCTGTGATTGTTATGGATTTGGGAGAATTATGTCCACTGGCGCGGGGAGGGGGGGGGGGTAATCATCAACTAGTTAATACTAACAATACTACTACTACTAATAATAATAATAATGCGACGCGTCACGGCAGGATGTCCCCACTCGTTCGGGAGGGAACGGGGCGGAAGGCGATCGATCCCACGCCCTTTATTAGGGTTCATCCCCTCCAACCGATTTATTCATTGCTTCCCCTCCCCCCCCCTTCTCCCCTTCTTCCCTTCTCCCCGTCTGTAAATAACTAAATCTAAGTAAGACCCCCCCCCCCCCAAATGACTTCCCCCCTGCCCTACCGCGATGCCTCCCGCCCCATCCCCGACCGCGTGGAGGACCTGCTGGCCCGCATGACGGTGGCCGAAAAGGCCGGCCAGATGTGCCACAACATGCTGCTGATGGGCCCCGGGGGCACCCTGGCCGGTGCCTTCCCCCGGTTCAGCCTGGAGAGCACCGAGGACCTGGTGTGCCGCCGCCAGATGACGCATTTCAACCTGCTGGGCCCCATCGCCAGCGCCCGCGACGTCGCCACCTGGCACAACCGGCTGCAGCAGCTGGCGCAGACCACCCGGCTGGGGATCCCCATCACCGTGGCCACCGACCCGCGCAACCACGTCACCCAGCACGTCGGGGTGGGCGTCGGGGCCGCCACCCCCACGGAGGGGGGGCTGTCGCAGTGGCCGCAGACCCTGGGGCTGGCGGCGCTGCGGTCGCCCGAGCTGGTGGGACGCTTCGCGGACGTGGCGCGGCAGGAATACCTGGCGCTGGGGCTGCGCAGTGCGCTGCATCCCCAGATCGACCTGGCCACGGAGCCGCGGTGGGCGCGCATCCACGCGACGTTTGGGGAGGACGCCGGCCTGACGGCGGCCCTGGCGGCGGCCTACATCCGCGGCTTCCAGGGCGGCGACGGACCGCTCGGGCCGCAGTCGGTGGCCACGATGACCAAACACTTCCCCGGGGGCGGCCCCCAGCAGCACGGCGAGGATCCGCACTTCGCCTACGGCCGCGAGCAGGTCTATCCGGGCGCCCACCAGGACTATCATCTCCGCCCCTTCCGCGCCGCCATCGCCGCCGGCACCGCCCAGATGATGCCCTACTACGGCATGCCCGTCGGCACCGACTGGGAGCCCGTGGGCTTCGCCTTTGATCGTGGGGTCATCACCGACCTGCTGCGCGAGCAGCTCGGGTTCCAGGGGGTCGTCTGCACCGACTGGGGCCTGGTGACCGACGCGCAGATCCTGGGCCAGCCCATGCCCGCGCGCGCCTGGGGCTGTGAGGGCCTCAGCGAGCTGGAGCGCGTCCAGAAGCTGCTGGACGCCGGATGCGACCAGCTCGGGGGTGAGTCCTGCACCCACCACCTGATCCGCCTGGTGGATGAGGGCCGCATCCCCGAGACCCGCCTCGACGCCTCGGTGCGACGCATCCTGACCCAGAAGTTCGCGCTGGGGCTCTTCGACCGGCCCTTCGTGGACGTGGACGCCGCGGTGGCCCTGGTCGGCCACCCGGACTTCCAACGCGAGGCCGATGCGGCCCAGCGCGCCGCCTACACGCTGCTCACCAACCGCGACGCCCTCCTCCCCCTGTCGGCGACCCCCCGGATGGTGTATCTCGAAGGCCTCGACCCGGGCGCGGTGGCCGCGCGCGGGCTGCAGGTCGTCGCGACCCCCGAGGAGGCCGATCTGGCGCTGCTGCGGCTGCAGGCCCCCTACGAGCCCCGTCCCGGGGCCTTCGAGGCCCTCTTCCACGCGGGCTCGCTGGCGTTTTCCGAGGCGGAGCAGGCCCGGCAGGCCCGCATCTACCGGACGGTCCCGACCGTCGTGGACCTGTTCCTCGATCGCCCGGCCGTGGTGCCGGAGATCGCGGAGGCCGCGGCCGCCCTGCTCGTCAGCTATGGCAGCAGCGACGAGGCCTTCCTGGACGTCGTCTTCGGCCGTGCCGCGCCCCGGGGCCAGCTCCCCTTCGATCTGCCCTCGTCGATGCAGGCCGTGCGCGAGTCCCGCGAGGATGTGCCCTACGATACGAAAGACCCGACGTTCCGCTTTGGCCATGGTTTGACGTACGCCACCGCGTGACCGTGATGATGCCCGGCATGAGAGCACATCGCCAGTATAGAATGTGAGGTCCGTCCATGCTGAGCGTTTTGATAGCATGCAAAAATGCGTCCGTTGGTGTCAGGTGGCGCTGATCCTCCTGAGCATCATGATGACAGAGCATGGGGTATGCTCACTGTCATCGCGCGTATGATCTGGATCGAATTCAGAAGTGTTTCTCAGAGAGGAAATGAGCATTGTGTGGCCACATCTTTATCTTGAGAAACAGGAAGATATATCATGCAATGTCAAGAAGGAGGGAAGTGCATGCCTGATGGCTCAATTTCAACCGCCCTCCCCAAGATCCAGGACGGCCCGTAGTATAGAGGTTCCTACCGTTGTAGAATTTAAGAATCGTGTCGTAAAAGCGTAGCTGGGATCCTTCCGCTCCCCTCTGAACCACTCAGAGCAGTCAAAGCAATGTTCATGCCAGCCGGCAGGGACAGCCTGAATCCACGGAATCAATCCTCAGAAGTTGCAACTGCCCACCGTGTACTCGGCTGAAGAGGGCTCACGAGAGCCACCCGGCTCATCGCGAACTAAAACCCCCGATTTTTGATCGTGGAGACAATCCGGGCGCGCAGGAAGCCACACGGCTCCAGGATCTCCTTCAGCACGGGCAGCCACCACTGCTCAATGTTGTCGTGGATGACGGTGGCCAGGGCATACTCCATGTACTCCGGGTAGAACCCGCTGTATTCCCAGTCGACGACCCCGGAGACGAAGGCCCCGTGGACCAGGATGTTGCGCGCGGCCAGGTCCCCGTGGGTGAGGGCGAATTTCGGGGACTTGCTTCGCATCTTCGGCAGGCGAAGAAATTGTAGGTCTGCCGGCGGCCGATGCGGCCGATGTAGGGCTGGATGCACTTCCGCATCATCGCGGCCTCGGACCGGTGGAAGGCGAGCCGCGGCTTGACCTTGACGGCGACCAGCCTGCCCCCGGTGGTGCGCGACTCGACCACGCGGTTCCCGAAGTAGTTATAGAGGTCCGTGTCCTGGATGATGCTCTCATACTCCGCGCGTTCCTGGGCGAATTGAGCCTCGAGCTCCTACCCAAAACCCTAATTTTTATATAGATTTTATAAATATATTTAAGTTTGTTAGAGATTTTAGTCTCTGTTTTTCTTTCTTTATAAAAATTAAATCTAATTATTTGCGGGTGTTCTTTAATAAGAATATAAAAAAGATAATTTCTTAATAAAGATTTATAAGACATTATTACTTATATATAAACTCTGTAAGAGATAGCCAGTCTATCTAATTAGCCAACCCTCGTCCGAGTCGATCCCCTACTGTCGTGAAACGGCCGGGGACTTGGTTCGTCAAACCTTGGTGAATTATGACTCTCTGGGTGGCGCATTCCTGCCTTCACATATGTAACGAATGGCCCGAATTGGAATTGCCCTAATTTGCTTGAGCGCCAGACACCGTAATGTGCTGGAAGACGACTCCGGCAAAAGGCTAACTTCCCACCTGGCCTTCCCAGAGGTGGTCAGCATGACAAATTGAGATGCGTACTATAAATAACCAAGCCATATGTTTTCAGAAAGGATGCACCCTTTCTTGAGAATGTTACGGTTTTGATTACAGGAGTCTGAAGGTTGGTGGAGGCGTAAAGGCTCACATGAGTTGAAAATGTGAATTGTTCATCAGGGCTAGGTAGTTCTTCGTGTCTCGTCATCCTCGTATAGATCTTGACCATGTCTCATCTTACTTATCATCCCATCCTCCACCACATCGCGTCCCCCTCACTGCGAGGTATCCATCTCGAACCCAAACTGCGCCAGGTACTTCTCCAGCTCGCGATCCTCCTCCTCCAGGTTTATCTTGCCGCTCTCCGGCAGAAAGCAGTACACGATCATCCCCAGGATGGCCACGCCACCGGCCAGGTAGAAGGTGGCGCTGTCGCCCGCGTGGTCGCGCAGGGGGGTGAAGCATTGCGTGCCCACCGCCGCCCCCGTGCGCCCGAACGCCGTCGCGACGCTGTACCCCATGCCGCGCATCGCCGTCGGGAACGCCTCCGTCGAGATCAGCCCGATCGTCGCCCCGGGCCCCAGGTGGCCGAACGCCTGCAGCAGGCCGTACAGCACCACGAACGCGGCGATGTGCTTCGACAGCCGCCCGTACAGCCCGCCGATGATGAAGCCCAGCACCACGTACCCGGCGAACCCGACCAGCCCCGTGCCCCGGCGCCCGATCGCGTTGGTCAGCCAGGCGCCGATGAGGACCCCGGGCACCGGCAGGACCGCCAGGATGACCTGCCAGATGGCGGTGGTCTGGATGTTGCCATCCGTCACCAGCGAGGCGATGATGGTGCTGGACATGATGCTGTTGGGGAAGTTGATGAAGTCGTACAGGAAGAAGGCCAGCGAAGTGGTCAGCAGCCGCCGCCAGTACCGCCGCGCCAGCAGCCAGTAGAAGCCGGCGGGCTTGCGCTGGCCCTTGAAGTTGGAGCGGTGGTACAGCGTCGAGTCGGTCATGAAGAACCGCAGCCCCATGATGACGGCGGGCAGGATGGTGCCGATGGCGTACAGGGCGTGGAAGGTGACGGCCAGGTTGTTGTCGCTCGCCTTCAGGCAGATCAGGTAGACGATCATCAGGATGGGCGACGCAACCGTGGCCATCAGCGTCGTGAAGGAGACGAAAACGGGGCCCCGATAGCGACGTTGGAACTACACATTGCCGGTCAGCCTGCCTGAAGATAACCAAATAGCCGGGAGGGGGGGGGGTCACGCACATCGTCCGACTCCTCCAAGCCGGCGGCGGCACTCGGGGGATACTCGCCCCCGACGCCAAACCCGCAGATGCCGCGCACGATGACGAAGTACCACAGCATGTTGTAGGACGGGTGCACCTGCAGGGCCAGGGCGGCCATCAGGGTGGCGATGGTGACCAGCCCCGAGGTGAAGAGCAACCCGGCACGCCGGGACACCATGTCGGAGACATAGCCCAGCGCCACGACCCCCAGGATGGCTCCAATCAGCAGGGAGTTGCTGATGCGGGTCTCCATCTCCGAGGGGTAGCCCGTCGTGCCGAGGAGCTTCTTGAAGATGACATTGGTGGGGTTGGCCAGCTGGTTCTGGTAGCCATCACTGAAGTTGGCGATATACTGCTCGGGGGAGGGGGCAAACCATTAGCCGGGAATCTGGGGGATCTGGGGGAAATGATGAGACTCACGCAACTCAGGATCGTCAGGTTACTCTGCCAGCGGGTGGGACGGTATCCCCGCCGCAACCCCGTCTCGACCTCCACCTCCTGGTCGGCCACCGCCGTCTTCTCCGTCTTGGGGGGGGGATGGGCGTCCAGCATCGCAACGAACGAGGCAGCACAGCGCAGCGCACCTTTGGAACAGAACCGAGATCACAACCGAGTGCAAACTCGAGCAGAAATGTGCGGCCACCGTCGATGGCACCGGGGAGGGGAGGGCAGAAATTTCAAGGGAGGGGTCGAGCTGCAGCCCTAAGTCGGTGCCGCGGGATCGGCACGGACGAGATAGCCAGACTGCCAGGGACCCTCATCGTGATAATGGCCCCGGCCCTGGTTGGCCGTCCGGTCAGACCACCGGCCCGCCCGTGCGGACGAGTTCGGAGTGCTTCTCCGCGGGGAGATGCAGCTGTCGATCATTATTGTTGTCCGGTCAGTTCAGTGACTCAAATCCCCGATCCGCACCCGAGGTCAGGAACCCAAGACGAGCCCCGAGCCCCGATTCCGAGTCAGGACACCCAGCTCGAGCCACCCAAGCGACTGTCTGTTCGTTGCCGGAAATTCGGATCGCAGGACGGCGGTGGTCGGGAGACGGTGAGTGCACCAGACAGGAAAAAGCCTGCCAGACCCTTCTGCAGCCCCACTTGCCGTCAGTCTTGGTACGTAAGCGTCGAACCAGATAGCCAGCGCCGGAGATGCATACGGTAGATAAAATGATGGATATAAGCAGGCCAAGTCCAAATTCCAGGAGCAGGCGATCGAATCACTGACGCTTGTCTGGCATGATATGTGGGGAACACCTGTCGATGCTGGATACTATGGTGATCACGGTCATGATTCTTTTTCGGCACTACGGATCCAACAGAAGTAGCGATCTCCCTGTCAACGCTCCTTCAGCCGTGAAACGGGGATCATCCTCCTCGCTAGGGGAAGGGGGAACGATCCGAGACCCGCGACTGCGCGCTCGCCGACTGGCGGGTCGCACCATCGGAGAGCGTCATGATGCTGCTCACGCTCTCCTCAATCGTCTGGAATGCCTTCGCCGGTCCCACCGCCCGTGCTCCGGCATTGCTCATATTGGCCTGAGGGAACCTGGGTCCACGCGGCGGGTCAGTTCGGGGTCTTCGAGAGGACGAGACAGGCGGGCAAAGGGAGCACGGGTGACTCACCCCGGATCCGCGACGATTCGTTCTCGGAAGAAATCTGGCGCACGACCCGGTGCAGCATCGCCTTGCTGGGCACGGGGCGCTGCTCCATCCCACCGATGCTGCCCAGGGGTATGACAAACGTCGGACGGGGACTCTTTTGTGGCAGCAGATACACGACCTGGAACAGATACAATAGACCAAAGTTGTTGACGTGGAGGACCGGCATCGGTACGGCATGCGCGGGGGATTAGGGGTTTGGCGATGGTCAAAGAGAGAGGGAGAGAACGTGGTGTTGGTGGACGAATTCTTGTCAAGGTAGGTTTTATACAGCAGCATCATAAGACCAATATGGGAATGGATGGTCATTCACGACCACGCATATGTATTGATAATCATTGATAGTCCGCGCGAGACCCGTCTGATGACAATGAGAAATGTCTTCTGTGTCTGTTGTGGATGACTCCTGGTCCGGGACGCCAGTCGCAGATGGTCCCCCCACCGGATTACAAACATGAGGTTTGCCGCGGGCGAGTGCTGCCATGATGGATGACCCGGTGATCATCCCGGTCGGTGAAGCGGATAATAGATCCAAGGGCAAGGAAGTTCCCATCCAACCCGACGCATCACCGCCAGGGCCTCTTGTTGTCGGATATCTATTTCGTCTCATGTACACGCCATCCTCGCCCAACAGCGCGACGGGCAATCCAGCCGTCCGTCCGCTGCCATGCAATTGTTCCACCACCCCTCAGCCGATGCGTTGCTTCCGTCGCACCCAGACCTCCTGGTCGGGGCCGTCGGCGGTGCCCGCGGGCAGGTCCCGCAGCTGCACCTCCCACACCTTGAGCTTGTAGTTGCCCCGGTCGCCCTGGCCCGAGAAGAGGTCGAAGGACCAGCCGTGCTTGGGACAGGTGATGCCGGCGCTCAGGACGACGCCGAAGTCCTCGATGTCGAACAGGCTGCCCTGCGACAGGGGGAAGGCGGAGTGCGGGCATTGCTGGGCCGGTCGGTCAGCGGGGGTCGGGGTCGATCGACGGCGGGGGGCACACTCACATGGTCGACGGCATGGAATTTGCCCTTGTACTTGAAGACGAGGACCTGGTCCTTCAGATCGCCGGGTCGGTCCAGAGCTGCCTCGACGGGACCGGGGGGGTCCTGCGGGCCGGGGCAGGAGGTGGGGGGGATGGTGAAGGCTTTGCAGCCGGGGGTCAGGTCCGGCTGGTCATCCCCAAGATCGGGGAAGGCGGAGGCGCGACCCACGCGACGCCAGGCGGCGGCACCCTGCGATCGTTGTCGGAAGGGATTCATCGGGGGTGCTCGGCGGGATAGGGAGTGTCCAGGTGGAGGGTTGAGGTTCAAATGTCCGATCGGATTTGCCTCCCGCGGCAGGTGGGGAAAGGCTGCACCTGGCCAATGAGGGATCGAGGTCCTCGTCTCGAGGATTCTCCAGACAGAACAAAGTAAAAAGTATCTGGACGGGAATCATATATGGAGATCTACTCCACGGTGTTGGGCTGATCGGTAGGAAGTCGGACACCTTCTCAGTGGTCATCGGGGAGGACGAGTCCGGGCAAGGACCCCGACCGGAGATGACCTGCTGGTATAGAGCATAGATAGTTCCCTCCCTCCAGCGTTATGTTATTCTTGCCGGGGCATCAAGTCCGGCCAAATCCCGTCCCTGGCCACTTGGTCATTTCTGAGCCACCTCTCACCACCGTCGTGCTATTCCGCCCGGGAGAGATCAAGCGATCCGTGATTGCGACCGACGGCTAAGGCGCCGTGGCAGGTGGGGGATCCGATGCTGGGGCTGGGACTGGGGCTACCCAAGCCCGGTGGCCGAAGGGGGCGAGTTGTCGGCTCGCAGGATCAAGGTAGTCGTCTCTGGCTGCTATTGAAGACTTTGGGCCGGAGGGGCGACATCGAGAGCGGGGGAGTTGTCGAGAGGAAGGAGGAGACGATCTCTCGCCCCATGGCACTAAGGTCACATCTGGCCAGCTGGGGCAGACATGCCGGGGGTCCCCGCGACACGAGGAAGAAGGTCGGGACGTAGGGGGAGACAGGGAGACAGGGAGCTGGGGAGCTGGAGAGCTGGAGAGCTGGAGAGCTGGAGAGCTGGAGAGCTGGAGAGAGTGTGTTGGAGAGGATGGGGGAGGATGGGAGAGGATTTGGGGGGGGGGTTGATGTCACCCGGTCACGTGGGGCTGAGAATACACAAGGCAGCAAGGCAGCAAGGCAGCAGGGCAGCAGCCACCGGGCGACGCAGAGAGTCGTCTCATGGCTCTGTACTAGTCGGCGGTGGTTGGTGCTGTTTGAGTTGGAGTATCATAGTCCACAGCGCATGGCATCCATGTCTCGTTCTTTGGAGGAGAAACGAGGGTCCCATTGAACCGGGTGGTAGAAGGGCTACTGGTGGGATCGATGTTGTCCGCTCAACATATACTTCTTGCGGTGACCGCAACGTCCGCCACGACCCATCGATCCGAGATACTCGATACCCTGGCAAAGTATGGAGTCGGATGGAGTCAGAGGATGAGAGTTTCATCAGACACAGCCACTACTGTTCCTTATAGTAAGAAGGCAGTAATAGTGCCGAGATCCGGGAGCGAGCCAGCCGGCAGTGCACACGAAAGGACCGGAAATGATGTCATGGACTGTGGCGCAGGCGGCAGCGACTTTTGCCGCGCCGCCTGAAACGGGCCTGGGTGCCTGGACGGCCGGGCCAGGTATATATTTAGGGGAGCCATCCACCATCCTCCATCCTCCATCCAACTTCCCCTCCTCTCATCACCACACCTCCCCATCATCATCTCAACCACATCATTTGCACTATCACCTCCACACCACTGCAAACATGCCAACCCCCCCTCCTCCGCGCGTGCCCGATGGCTGGAAGCCCGAGTTCGATGACCGCTACCAGGAGTGGTACTTCGTGAACCTCCACACCGGTCGCTCCCAGTGGGATCGCCCCGACCGACCCGCCCAGCCCGATGGCCAGGCGCCTCCCCCGTCCGGTCCCCCCCCCAGCTACGAGGCCAGCGCCGCCGCCGCCGACCGGCCCTCCTCCTCCTCCTCCAAGACCCGCGATCGCCAGTTCCGCGCCTCCCCGCGCCCCCCCGCGCAGGCTGCCTACGGAACCTACCCCCCCCAGCCCCAATACGGCTACAAAAACAACCCCTACCCACAGCAGTACGCCTATCCCACCCAGCAGTACCCCACCCAGCAGTACCCGGCGCAGTACGGCAACCAGTACCCCGCCCAGTACGACCAGCAGCCCCCCCGCACCCAGAAGAAAAAGAAGGGCATGGGGAAGATGGGGGCGGCCGCTCTCGGCGTCGGGGTGGGCTGCTGGGCGGCCTCCTCCTGGGCGAGGGCATCGAGGCCTTGGAAGATGACTTCGACGGCCCCCCCGGACCCGACTTTGGCGGCGGCGGCTTCGATGGAGGGTTTGGCCCGTTTTAGAGGGATGACTGCGGCGACAACGACGACAACTACAACGATGCGGATGGGCGATGACTTGATGAATTAAAGCGTGATACCTGTGTCCTTTGCTTTTCTTCTTTACTTTCTTTCTTTCTTTTCTTTTTCTTTTCCCCCCTTTTCTTTTGCGATGTGTCTGCCATAGAAGAAAATACAAACCGTTCGATGCCACTCCCGCCGAGAGGTAACACCCCGTGACCTCTGTTTGTAGAGCCAGTCCCTCCCCCATGTGGGGATTACCGTGGGAATTACCGTGGGGACGAGGACGGAATCCATTCCTGCGGCGGTGTCGATGGCAATGCCGACGACGAACAACAGATGACTATGGAGGATGGAGGCTGTCTACATACATTCCGCTCCGGATCTATTCCTTGGAGGGCTCCCCGGGGCCCGTGGCCACCGTCGCGATGCCCCCCGTCTGCAGCCCGTAGACGCCAAAGCCGCCCGGCGCCATCGGGCCCTCGATGCGCTCCTCCTCCATCGCCAGCTGGGTGTGCTGCCAGATCTGCAACCCGTTGCGCTCCCCGGACGGGCGGACCGCGACGGGGGCGCTGTCGAGGCCCGGGGAGGATCGTCGGCAGAGGGAGACGTACGTGCCGAAGAGGGTGACGCCGCGCAGCTGGACGAGCCGGCGCACGAGGGTGAAGCAGTTGGGCACGTTGGCCACGATGACGGCCGTGCTGGCCTCGCGCACGTACCAGAAGATCCACAGGATGCTGTCCGGGTGCGCGAAGCAGTAGTACCGGCTGAGCGTCGCCGCGATGACGACGAATATCCCCAGGCTGAACACTGCGCAGAGCGCCAGTTTTCTGGGGGCACGTGTCAGACATCGGATATCCGACATGGGACCGGGTGGGGACTGAAGCGGAAGCGACCTACTTTTTCCAGAGTAACTGCAGATGCAGGATGACCGGCAAGGGGATGCACAGCATCAACACGTCCGAGCTCACGTTGAAGACGTAGGACATGATGAGATGGTGCTGGGCGGTTTCGCACTGGACTGGACTCTGTCTGTCAGCGCTTCCCCGGCCTCTGTGCACTGAGGGTTCCGCCGACGGACCGTTGTTGTCTTCTTTGACCGCGAAGTAGTCGGCAAACGGCCGGCACCAGACGCCGTAGTAGAAGATCTCCACCACCACGAAGCCCAGCGCGATGTATCCCATCAGGATCTTGACGTACTTGGACATCCGCGTGCCCAGTCTACGGGATCGGTCCTCGATCAGCGTGCCCGTCCGGAGCAAGGACGCGGGGAGGGAGGCCAGAGGCCAGGGATTCATGCACTCACGTCAGTCGGTAGTAGACCAGGATCATGCATGTCTTACACCCCCACTGCACCACGATCATGGACTGTTCGAGGACAAAGGTGATCGTGCTGCCGTAGACGCGGTCGTGGATATCCAGCGCGGTCAGGCCCTGCATCCCCGTGGGCGGCAGGATGTTGGTCTCGGGGTACTGGGCCTGGATGTTGACCCAGACGATGAAGTTGGTGTAGAAGGCCTGCCAGCGGTCTCAGCTGCGATCCGATGGGACGACTGGTGCCCCAAAGGGGTCCCGAGACACGTACGTAGGTCAGGAACATCACATAGTCCTCCAGCATCAGGCCCCGGAAGCCCCCGAGGAGCATACATCGGGAGGCACTGGCCATGAGGGTTAGCGGCGCGGCGGCGACGGACCGCGGGGGCCGACGGGACTTACTATCGCCAGAAGACGACGACGCTGGAGACGGCAAACCAGGTCCAGGATTCGATGAGGCGATTGTTGGCCATGCGGAGATCGTCGGGTCGCCGCAGGGGACGGGCTCGGCTGGGGAGGTCACTGGTGCGGTAGTGGAGCTGGCTGGGGGCATTTGATTCTATCCATCCCTCTCCCCTCTCGCCCTTCGGAGGAGGGGGGATGGGCGTCCTCAAATAGTGCCCTCGAGCGGGCATCCCTGTCCTGGATGGGAGCAACCCTAGTCGAGGGCAGCCGGGCTGGTTGGCTGGGTTGCCAGAACCGCCGTGACAGCGCCGTGACAGCGTTAGATAGGGCCTAAATCCTGCAGGCCGACAGAATCAATGTTGCGCGCGGCGACTAGGTCGAGGCGACGATGTCCCGATGCGAGAGGGCTAGAGGGTTAGTGAGCCTGCTAGAGCCCTCCCGTCGCGCCCTAATGCAGCCTCTTCCCGGGGCAGGCCAATGGTGACCCCGGGATTTATTCCCCCCCCCCCCCACGGACTCTGGCGCTTACGTGCGGAGGAGAGTTATGTGGATGGGCCGTTGGGCTGGATCGACGGCCAGCGACGAAGCCGATCATGAACGCAGCCGTGCTCCATTGAGCACGATCCCGATTCCCGAGAGGCCATCGATGTTGCGGCGACAGGAAGAATGGGGAGACGCGCGGGTGTCCAGGCCGTGGCTAGGGCTGGACTGCCATAGCGGAACTTGCCAGGAAGGCGATGGTGGACGACGGTGGTATGTTCGGATGTGCCCTATAGCGATCCTACTATACTGTCAGTGGGAGTCGAGCGTATGAGTAGTAGTAGTAGTAGTAGTAGTAGTAGTAGTAGTAGTAGTAGTAGTAGTAGTAGTAGTAGTAGTAGTAGTAGTAGTAGTAGTAGTAGTAGTAGTAGTAGTAGTAGTAGTAGTAGTAGTACAAACACACTGTTCATACATACTGGCATTCTGCAGGTCCCGATCGACAGGGGCACCAAGCCACCCCAGCTTCTCCACGTGTGTCCTGCATGTTTGCCTCCTTGCAGTTTTTTTTTTCTCTCTCTCCTGAGTCCCGAATTCTCACCAACATTCGTCTCCTCCGGCATGCATCCCGAAACTCTCTGCCCATCCACCTCCGCAATGGAGATCGAACGTGAACGGAAACCCCTGTGGCACTGGGGCATCGAGGCGAACGGGGGCTCTCTCGCATCGCGTCGCCAGGCAGACGACCTGGCCGAGCGGCACATGCGGCAGATCCAACAGGGCAATGGGCTGCTACGATCCCTGCGCCAGTTCGAGAACTGGGTGGACGGCAAGCTGGGGGTCGAGGCCATGGGGGTGGAGCGCGTGCCGGACGACCAGCGACGTCCGCCAGAGGTCCTGAATGTAGGTTGCTCTCTGAGAGAGAGAGAGAGAGAGAGAGAGAGAGAGACACGGACAGAAAGATTGGAACTGACCGGGTCTATCTAGATGATGTTCTTCTGGTTCTCCGTCCTGATCAGCCCGACCCTGATCCCCGTCGGCATGCTGGGCCCCCTGTTTGGCCTCTCCGTCAACACCTCCATCATCCTGACCGTCTTCGCGACCCTGATCGGGTCCCTGATGCCCGCCTTCACGGCGACGATGAGCCCTCCCAGCGGCCTGCGCCAGATCGCCGTCGCGCGCTACGCGTTCGGCCTCTGGGGGGCCAAGCTCTGCGGCCTGCTCAACATCGTCGTCAACGGGGGGTACGCGGTCATCGCCGCCGTGGTCGGGGGCCAGCTGCTGGTGGCCGTGTCCGAGGACTCGATCCCCCTGGCGGCGGGCATCATCCTCGTCGTCGCCCTGGGCTTCCTCGTCTCCTTCGGCGGGTTCACCCTCATCCACCATTACGAGCGGTACGCCTGGATGGTGGCCCTGGTGCTCATCTGCGTCACCTACGGCCAGGCCGCCCGCTACTTCCCCGCCACGCCGGGGCTGAGTACCGTCAGCAGCGGTATCGACTACAGCGGCTGCTGTCTGAGCTACTTCGCCGTCGTCTTCGGCGTCTGCTGCTCCTGGTGCCCCATCGCGGGCGACTATTACGTCCACTACCCGGCCACAACCAGCAAGGGGCTGGTGTTCGGGCTGACCTACTTCGGCCAGGCGCTGCCGACCATCTTCGTGGGCATCCTGGGCAACTACTTCGGGGGCATCGTCATGTTCGACGACGCCATGTCCGACGTGTACAACACGGGCGGCATGGGGACCCTCCTCATGGCCACCCTGCGTCCCTCTGGCTGGGCCAAGTTTGCCTGCACCGTCTTTGCCCTGACCTTCCGTTCGTGCCTTGGACCCCCCCCCCCCCCTTTGAAACGTTGAGAAGATGCTGATGGACCGGACAGTGGCGAACGTGACCGCGAATATCTACTCCAGCGCACTCTGCATCCAGCTGTGGGGGACGCACTTCCTCGCCGTGCCACGCTTCCTCTGGTGTGGCCTGATGGCCCTCATCGTCCTAGCACTGGCCTGGGGCGGGCGCAACGTGCTGGAGGACATCATCAACAATCTGCTCTCGATTTTGGGCTACTGGACCCTGGCGTTCGGCCTCATCTTGGCCCTCGAGCACGTCTGGTTCCGCCCCCGCCTGGGCGGGTATGACCTCAGCGCCTGGCAGGACCCGGCACGCATGCCGCTCGGGGTGGCGGGCACGACGGCGTTGCTGATCGGGATCGGATTCTCCTTCCTGGGGATGGACCAGACTTGGGTGAGTGGCGCCCTTCCGGAGAGACAAGCCGTCGCACTGACCGCGGCGGACAGTACATCGCCCCGGTGGCCAAGCAGATCGGGGCGTACGGCGGGGACGTGGGCGATTATCTGGTGCTGGTCTCGGTGCTGGTGTTCTATCCGGGGCTGCGCACGGTCGAGATCCGCATGACAGGTCGGTGATGGATGGTGGGGAATCTTGATGGAGCATGGCTGGCGGTGTCAATGTTCCATGGGGGGAGGGTTGACCGGGAGGAGCGTTGTTTCTTAGGGTTCTAGATTGTAACACATCCTCCGTACTCTGTTCCGTTCAACATCGCACCTGGTAGGATTCTTCCCTCCGCGGGCCAAGGCCACACGGTGCAACCATCGGTGCAACCCTCGGGGGTTGCACAGACTGCCCCTCTTGATGAGTCGCCTGATGTCTGATTGTCCGAGGGATTGCCACGAGAGAAATTCTCAGACACCCTCTGAGGCTCTCAGAAACTCCCCAAAAATTTCCCAGCCAGCCAGTGCATCGACATCGGCCGCGACGTCTGATCCAGCCATCCAGCCCTAATCCCGCCCCGTCGCGCTGCTGCCTGAGTGGCCCTTTCCTTCCCTCTCCTCTCCTCCACGTCGACACATCTCTGTCTATCCCCCTTCTCCCGGTCGTTCTTTCACTCGCTCTACCGGTTGTTCTCCCGGTTGCTCATCTAGATTCATCCTGCTCCATCCTCCTGACAGCCGACGCGACCATCTCGATGGCCGCGGATAAGGAGAATGACAACCCCCCGGCCCCGGGGGCGTGTGACGAGGAGGCACGCCCGGCGGTCTTCTCGTCCACGGCGCAGGAGATTGTGTTTGTGGTGGTGGCCACGATGGCCATCGCCATGTCGTCGCTGCTCTCCGGGGCGATCATCGTGCTGACGGCGGAGGTGCAGCGGGATCTGGCGATGACGACGGCGGAACTGACCTGGCTGCCGGCCTCCTCGTCGTGGGTGCCCGTCTTTCCCTTCTTTCCCTTCTTCGTTATCCTCTCGTCGGCCCGGCTAACACCGTCGGATGTTGTCTTCCCCCCCCCTCCAGGCTGGCGTGCGGGTGTTTCCTGCTGTTCTTCGGGCGGCTGGCGGACCTGTTCGGGCGCAAGCTGCTCTTCCTGGGCAGCATGGGGCTGTTCGCGGGGTTCGCGCTGGCGGCGGGGTTCGCGCGCACGGCGCTGCAGCTGGACGTGCTGAACGGGGTGATGGGCCTGCTGTCGGCGGCGGCGGTGCCCCCGGCGCAGGGGATGCTGGGGCGCTGTACCCCCGGCCCTCGCGCCGCAAGAACCGCGTCTTCGCCTGCTACAGCGCCGGCAACCCCCTGGGCTTCGTCTTCGGCAGCATCTTCTCCGGCATCGCCACCCAGCTGTTCAACTGGCGCGCCAGCTTCTTCCTGCTCGCCATCATCTACCTCGTCATCGCCGTCGTCGCCCTGGTCACCGTCCCCGTCGACCACTCGTCCAAGGAGCCGCTCTCCCGCGCCGCCCTCAAGCGGTTCGATGTCGGCGGCACCCTCCTCGCCGTCGCGGGGATTGGCATGTTCTCGGGGGCCCTCAGGTGTGTTATCACCCTCCCTCTTCCGCGCCCTCTGCCGTCTTCTTCTTCCTTCTCCCGAGGAGAGGGGGCGCAACCCCCCGTGTCTGCAGAGTAGGCTAACCGAGTGGGCTGCCATAGTCTCGGGTCCGATGCCCCCCAGGGCTGGGCCACGCCGTACGTGCTGGTCCTGCTCATCCTCGGGGTGGTGCTGATGGTCGGGTTCGTGTTCTGGGAGCGCTGGTACCCGCATCCCCTGGTGCCCATGAGCATCTGGCGGGACCGCGACTTCTCGCTGGTCATCGCCATCCTGCTGCTCGGCTTCCTGGCCTTCCCGACCATGGGGTTCTGGATCTCTCTCGTCATGCAGGAGCTGTGGCACCTGTCCCCCCTGCTGGTGGCCGTGCACCTGCTGCCCATGGCGGTCGGGGGCATCGTGGTGAACGTGCTGGCGGGGATGCTGATGCACCGGGTGTCCAACACGGGGATGATGGCGGTCGGGGTGACGGCGTACGTGGGGGCGTTCCTGCTCATGGGCCTGCAGCACGCGGACAGCAGCTACTGGGCCTTCACCTTCCCGGGGCTGGTGCTGGCGGTAGTGGGGGCCGACTTCGAGTTCTGCGTGGCCAACATGTACGTGATGAGCGCCCTGCCGCCGGCGCAGCAGAGCATCGCGGGCGGCATCTTCCAGACCGTCACCAAGCTGTGCCTGACCGTCGGCATCAGCGTCAGCACCGCCATCTTCGACGCCGTGCGCGCCCAGGGCACGCCCACCACGGGGTACTTCCGCGGGGACCCCATCGCCCCCTACAGCGCGACGCTGCTGTACTGCGCGGGCATCTCCGGGGTGGCGATGCCTCTCTGCGCCTTCCTGCGCATCGGACGCCAGGGACACGGCGGGGCGGAGAAGGCGGAGGCGGGCGCGGACAGTGATCGGGGCGTTGGCCCCAGGGAGGGCGTGCTGGAAGGGAGGGGCGGGAATGAGGACGGGGACGGGGTGTGATGGTGGAGCGGCGAGGCGGAACCGAGAGAGCACTTGGGAGCCATCATTCTGTGCATACCAGTCGTCTAGCCAGGGCCAGGGCCGGATCGGGAACTACGGGACTGTATCCATCCAAAAGTACATCGGAGGGAACCCTCCCCTGCCTGTTGCGTGGCAACCACCGGGGACTGTGTCCCATTGTAAGGTGTATCCCATATCCTGCATTCAAAGGACCCGCAGGGTATTTCGTCCCAACCAGGATGGGGGCTAATCCCCCAGGGACCAGCGATATTGGCATCCACGGGACGATGGGACGAGGGTGACGTCAGGGGGGGGGGAGTGTGCACCATGTATGGGGTCAACGACACCCCCCAGGGCAAGTACTATTAGTAGACATCTAGTAGTAGTGAGTAGTGGTAACGAGTGCATCCGCAGTTCCCTTGGTCGCCAGCACGGGCCTATGTCGATGATTGCGTCGCACGGAGCATCATCATCTCCTATTATTGTCTTTTATTGTCTTTTTGGTCAAAGACAAACCGGGTCAGGGCAAGCAGGAGGGACGGCCGATCGCTGCTGCCACCACCGCCGCCGCCCCGCCCGCTACGTCATCGCCCGCCTTTTGTTTTATAGTAGCCGTTTTCTTCCATCCGCATCGTCATCGCCATCAATTCCTACATCCCTCCCATCCATCCTCACCACCACGACTCTCACCCTCACCCTCACCCCTTTTCACTGATTTATCCCCCCACACAACCACCGCACTTGACCGAACCACCTCCATGGCTCTCAACTCGGCCACTTCCGGACTCACCTCCGGCGTCACCGGCGTCACGGGGCGCCCGCCCAAGCTGGTGAGCGACCTCAAGAACACCGCCCAGCAGACCCAGCGCACCACCGCCCGGGCCGCGAACCAGGCCACCGGGGGAGTCCCGCGGCCCGTCACCGACGCGGTGCTCCCCGGCCAGTTCCCCGGCGACGAGAACAACATCAAGTCCACCCAGCGCGAGCCCGGCAACACGGGCCCCGTGCTGGCCCCGCTGCGCCAGTGGTTCAGCCAGGCGCTGCCCCGGCTGATGGACCGCTGCGAGTCCAAGCTGATGTGGCTGCTGTCGTGGTTCCTGCCCGCCCCGGGCCAGGCCCGCGTCTACGAGGAGGCCGCCCGCCGGCCCGCCAGCACCACCTTCCTCCTCTGCCAGCTCATCTGCTGCGGCATCCCGCTGCTCATCTTCCTCGCGGGCGTCTTCGTCTTCGCCGCCGTCGCCATCCTCCTCTGGGCCGTCCTGTCGCTGCTCATCCTGGGGCCCGTCCTCCTGGTCGCCAGCATGCTGGGCGTCTCCATGTGGGGCTGGGGCTGGCTGTTCTACGGCCTGATCAAGTGGATCGACCAGACCTACCTCGGCGGCCTGATCTCCCGCTTCTGGTTCTCGCGCGCGTCGGGAAACGGCCCGGCGGGGGAATCCACGGGCGCCGAGGGGGCGGGGGACGCGGACGGGGACACAGACGGGGACGGGGGGACCAAGGAGGAGTAGTATGCCCCCGTCTCGGGGGGTGGATCCGGGCCGTGGGGATATGCGGGGTCCTGTTATGTATATTATGCGGGGGCATGTACGTATTCCGGGCGAGCTGAACGGCATCAGCGTGTATGTGGGATATCATTTGGCGATGGTCTAGCAATGTCTAAAGAGAACTGTTCACAATGGGTCATGAGGCTGTAGAGGGCGGCGGGAGGGCCGATGCACGCGACGAGAGAGAGCATGTAAAAAAAGAGCAAAAAGAAAGACAAGCCACAGAGAAAGGGAAATTCGAGACAGGAGATCTGAACAGCAGTCCGCAGGTCCAGGTCAGTCCGCGCGTTCGGTATCCAGCGGGATGATGTCCTTGTGGGCGGACGCGAGGCGCGAGTAGCGATAGGACCGCCGCACGAATCGCTTGAACACCAGCATGCCCGCGATCGTCGCCAGGCACGCCAGCAGGGCGGCCCCCACGATGGCCCCGTTGACCGTGTGCAGCGGCCCCGCCGGGCGCGGGGTGGCCGCCGGGGTCGGGGGGGCCACGGCGGAGGGTCTTGCCTCCGCGGCGAGCAGGAGCACCGCCGGATCGTCGGGGGCCGGACGGCGGCCGTCCGCTGCGTGCGGGTGACGGCGGACCAGCCCAGGGAGCGGCCCGCGCGGTCCACGGCCTCGGCGGAGACCCAGTCCAGCACCCCCCGCGCGGCGAAGCGGCTCTCGAAGTCGCGCTTGGTGACGTTGCCCAGCAGGACGGGCGCCGCCGCGGGGTGGGCCCGCGCGTAGAAGCGCCAGTGGGCGACCTCGGTGGCCCCGTTCCAGCTGACGTGGAAGACGGTGGTGGACACGGTCGACTCGTCGTCGCGGCGGTCGAAGGCGCGGGCCACCAGGGCCGGGGGCTGCGGCGGGTCGCCGCGGAAGGGGAACTTGTAGGAGCGGTAGCTGTTGAAGCGCGGCGAGGCGAAGCGGGCCTCCATCACCACGGTGCCGTCGGGGGCGTGCTCGCTGTGGTAGCCCTGCTCACTCCAGCCCACGAAGCCCTGGCCGGCCTCGTCCAGCAGCTGGAAGTTGCCGCGCATGCGACTGAGCCCTCCGTCGGGGCGGGGGAAGCGGCGCAGCAGGGTGGCAGTGCGGTGCACCGTGTCCAGCAGCACGACCAGGGCGGCGGAGGTCGGCTCCTGGTTGGTGAAGTCGTCGGAGGCGTTGTTGAGGAAGGAGAGCACGGTGTGGGTGGCGTTGACGGAGACGAAGCGGGCGTTGTGCTGCTTGGAGAAGGTGAAGTCCATGGCGAAGTCCGAGTACTTGCCGCCCAGGCGCCACAGGATGCGCCCGTCGCGGCCGGAGATGAGGTAGAGGGTGCTGGTGTAGCGCGCGGACATGAGGTAGTCGCCGTCGGGGCTCTTGTCGGCCGCGTTGACGTGGATGTAGTCCAGGCCACCCCCCCCCTCGGCCGGCGAGGAGGGCAGGACGTGGTCCGACTCGTGCAGGGGGATGTGCTCGCGCGAGTCCCAGTCGAACAGCACCTGGCCCGTCCGGCCCGCCGCCAGGTCGATCTCGACCACGCCCCCGCTGGCCACCCGGCTGGTCTCCTCGGGGCGCCCCAGGTCCGTCAGCGGCATGTCGCGCACCCGCAGCGAGACGGCCAGCGCCGTCTGCCCGCCCGCCAGCACGTTGAACTCGTGCAGGTCGAACCGCTCCAGGTCGTTGGTCACCGGGACCTCCGCCTCCACCTCGTAGCGGTCGTTCAGGATGTAGGCGGCCCCCTTGCTGGACGGCGTGCCGTCGTCCACGTAGCGGCGCTGCAGGATGAAGGACAGGCGCGTGCGCTGGTCCGGCCAGCGGTTGACGGGCTTGAAGTCGAAGACGTTGCGGTTGTGGTGCAGGCAGGAGCCCGCCCACACCAGCGTGCCGTCGCCGTCGTAGATGTGGGGGCCGACCTGGCAGGGCATGAACTTGCCGTCGGGAGGGTCGGCCTCGAAGTACCAGTAGGGGGCGACGAACCAGTAGCCCGGGCTGATGCGGTCGGGGTGGTGCTGCGTGACGTTGAACTTGATGGCGCGCGTGTTGGGCATCTAGGGAAGAAGGAGTGAGACTTTTGGCCTTGAAATCAATCCAGCCTGTGTAAAAAAAAAAAAAAAAAAAAAAAAGACTTACCGTTACAAAGGAGAGCAGATCGTCATCGCGACTGCCGTCGAAGCCGGCGGGGGCGGAGGGCTGGGCATGGGTCGAGGGCAGCCACGCGGCGAGGGAGAGGAGGAGCGAGAACAGAGTGACGCGACGCATGGTGTGTGGTGTGTGCTAGAGAGCACAGGGACAAGTGAATGTGAGTATATAGCAGTGAAGGTGGGATGCCGGGAAATCAAATGAAGGACATGGTCAGAGAGGCCACATGCGGTGCAGACGTAGACGTCTCTGATCCCTACCCCCTACCCCCGGGGGGGGGGAGGGGGCGCAGACTTTTATTTACCATAATAACCGTCGGGCAGTCAGGACTCAGGATTCAGGAGATAGAGAGAAGGATCCGTCGCCGATGGCAGACTTCAGCCTCCGCCACGCGGATCCGGCCCTGACAGGCCTGGACCCTCGGCGGCCAGCAACGCCCGCGAGAGTAAGCAAGAGTAAGCGACGGATACGAGGGCCGCCGACTCGCCCGCCCCGCACCGCCCGCCCCTCCCATTGGCGCGGGCCCGTCGTTTGTCGCGCCAGCCCTGAAAATCCAATGCCCAGTGCCCAGACGCCCAGCTGGCGACCCCCCGTCGGCTGCATCCCCCTCAAACCCTCAACCCCGAGAGAGGCCTCGGAGCCCCAGCGCAAGGCGACGCGGCGGTGCCTCTGGCGGAGCGGGGATGGGGGAAGACGCGTCACCTCCTGAAATAGGGTCGCCGCTACCGAGTGCCGATACGAACGGTGGATGCGCCAGCCGCCCGCTAGCCGGAGAGAGACATATGAGATAGGGCACGGCGGTCACGCCGACGGGAGGCTCTCATCCTTATTTGACAGGCAGCGCCTCCCCTTGCTCTAGTCCCTCCGCGCGCTTCCGCACACTATCGCTGCAATCTGACCTGACCTGACCCAGACTGGATCGCACCACGTCTGGCTCGGACCATGCCGGTCCCTGTCTTCTGGTCTCCTGCCAGAGGCTCCCATCCGTTATCGATCCCAGATTAGGCCAGTCCATCACTGCGCCTCGAGGGACCTTGTGATCCCCAGCCCTGCAAATGAGGCCCGGAATCTATTCCCATGCTGACAGGGCGCAGTCTGCCTTGTGCAGAGGTATTGTCACCTAGAACCTATACAAACACACACGGTCAAATGGGCTGTTTACACCCAGGCAGTCAGATCATCCTCTCATCAAAGATTCCCGGACTAATCGCAGTGATACAGAATCCTAGAGCTGAAGCCTCGGACACCGCCTAGTTTAGCCTAGCCGCTTAGCGCCTGCTGTATGGCCGTTTTCTTAGTTCTTATCTATTATAGATAATTATAAGAAGCTTACATTTATTATTTTCTATAGACTCTTCTTAGAGTGGGCAATAGCCAGGTCAGGTCAGATTATCAGTAATTCTTATATCTGACTGTTATAGAGTGGCTAATAGAGTGGCTTAACCTGACTGTTATATCTTAACCTTAACCTGGCCATAATCTGGATTCTGGCAGTTAGATTAAGATATAAAAAATTTTTAACTATATAATTAAGATTAGATTAAGATATAATTATTATTATAACTATTTATATCTATCAATCAGAAAGATTAGATATAGTAAATAAATTAATAATTATAAATTAATTTATAATATATATATTCTTTTTATATAAATAATATATAAAATTAAGAACTTTTCTTAAGAAGTAAGAACTTTTCTTAAGAAGACTTTATTGAACTTTCACTTTCTTATATAAATTAGGTGCAAAAGTAAGATAAAAGTGAGAGAAAGATAAGAGAAATAAAAAATAAGAAAAATCAAAGATTAGATAATTAAATAAGAACTTTTCTCTGATCTCTTAGAAAGACTTTACTAAACTCTTACTTTCTTATATAAATTAAGTATAAAAGTAAGATAAAAGTGAGATAAAGATAAAAGAAAGATAAGAGAAAGATAAAAAAATAATAAAAAAAATTAAAGATTAAATAAATAAGAAAAAGATTAAAAGCTAATTTAACTTGATTAAAATTTATTAAAAAACTAATTAAAAATTAAGAGATCTTTTTATTTATATTTATAGTCAATTGACTATTAAAAATATATAAAAATATATAAAATTATATAAAAATTATATAAAAATTATATAAATAAAACAGGGCTGAGAATAATAGAATTAGTAATTAAATAAGAACTAAAATAATTAATAAAAATAAGATCTCTTACTTCGCTGCGGGATAGATAGAACTTAGAATTATTAATTTATTAATTAATAATCTAAAACAGCTAACTAATCTGAGATTATAAATTAATAAATCTTAGACAGTAAATTAATAAGTCTGTTTATATTATTAATATATTCCCGCAGTTTTAATAAGATAAAATATCAGAAAAAACTAAAGTAAATAAATTATTAAAAATAAAAAATAATAATAATAGAATTTAATAAATTATTATATTTAATTATTTAATAAATTAAATATATTTCTGACTAAGAAACTATTTAGTTAGACTATTTATTTATATTTTATTAATAGATATTTATTAAATATTAATTATTTTATTTAGAGCTTCTTGCCTTAGTTAATAATTAATAATATTAATATATTTCAGACTAGTCTAAAAGAGAAAATTCTTATTAATAAAAATTTTAACTATTTAATAATTATTATATAATATAAAAAAGTATTGATTAGGGCTAAATTTTATTTATTTAAAAAATCTTTTTTATTAAAAAAATTATTTAATTATAGTAGTTAGAGCTAATAATTCAGCTTTAATAATTAAAAAAATTATATAATACTATTTCTTGCTTAGCTAATTAATAGAGCTATTAAATAAATAAATAATATATTTTATTAAGCTAGTATAATCTTAATTATTAGTAAAACTAGTATTATTAACTATATAAAATAAAATAAAGCTAGAGCTAAATTTAATAGTTAAGTTCTTTATTTTTTTTAAATAAAAGATTAAATAATTTATAGTCTTAAGATATTTAGAACTTAGATTAATTAAATATTCTAAAATTAACTAGTATAATTTAATAATATCAGATCTAGTCTAAATTATAAAATATAGAATTAATTCTATTTTCTGTTAAAATTTATAAATTTAATTAATAATAATTTAATAAAATAAATTCTTTACTAATTTCTTATTTAGAAGTAGAGATTTAGAGCTTTTTCTTTATTTTAAATTAAACTTATTAATAATCTTATTAATATAATTTAATTATTAAATTCACAACTTTCTATTTAGATAATTATATAAGATTTAAATATTAAGAAATAAATTAATCTCTTTAAGATCTTTAAATTTAAATAATATTATTAATTCTTGCTTAAATTTATTAAATTTTTAATAATTTAATTTATAAAATATATAAATTATATTATTTATAAAAATTATTAAAATTATAAATTTATTAATAAAGATATATTAATCTTTTTAAATAGACTTAAGTCCTAGAACTATTAGTCTCTGTTTTAGAATATTTTATTAAAAAAATAATAAATATTTTAATTTATATAGAGCTTTTTATAATAAAAAAACTATTTATTTATTTTCTAATTTAGAAATTAGACTTATATAGATTTTCTTTTTAATAAGATTATTAAGAAAGACAGTGATTATATCTAGTTAATTAATTTTTAGATTAAATATAATAATTAAAATTAAAAAAATTTATATAAATCTGATTGTAAGAGTACTAGTATATATTTTTAATTAATCAGATATTTATAAATTATCTCTAATATAAATTCAGGCTTTAAAATTAGTTAGATAATTAGTTTTATTAAATTTATATAAAAATATTTATTTTAATAATAATACTTCAGCTTTATTAATTTTATAAATTAAATATATATTTTAAATATTTAGAGCTTTTAATTAATTAATTTCAATTTTAATAGTCTGAGTAAATTAGCTTAAAAATATATAATTTCTTATTTTTTATTAATTAATAAACAGAGATAGAAGTAATAAAAAATTAATATAAAGAATTTTACTTTTATTAATATAATTAATTATTATTTAAATAATTTAAAAAATAAGTCTAGTTTTTTTAAAATTAGAATTAAATAATTCTGAGCAGATTTATTTTAAATTTTTAATTAATTTAATATCTAAAAACTCAGTTTTATTAATCAGCTTATTAATATTTAAATTATTAATAAGAATCTAAGACAATAAAAAAGATAGATTAAATAATAAAAATAATAAATTCTCTATAATTATATTATTATCTTATCCAACTAAGATATTTAACTAATTATTTAAGACTATTAACTAGCTTAATTCAGCAGTTAATTAATTTAAGATTATTAATTAATCTTATTTTAATTAATTATCTAATAAAAATTCAGATATTTATTTTAATATTTCTAAATTAAAAAAATTTTTATTTATATCAGATTCTTTAGATTTTTCAGAAATAAAGATATTTAATTATTCTAATTAAATAAAATTAACTAATTTAATTATTTTTTACTTTATTAATAGATTTCCTAATTCAGTATATTATTTATAATTAAAATTTTTATTAAAAATAATATTATAAGCTAAAATTACTCTTTTAAAAATAAATATTTAGATCTGCCAAATATTAGTTATCTAATAATTAATTAGATAATTAATTAAGACTTTAAGCTCTAATTTATTTTCTTTAGATAAATTATTAATTTAAATATAAATATATAATTTATACTTTCTTAAATAAAAAATATCTGATTTTTTAAATAATTATAAAAAACTTTTTTAGATAGTTTTATATAATATTTTTTAATTTAGTTATTTATTTAATATTCTATTTAGAATAAAAATAGCCGAATCTATTATTTTAAATTATAAAAATATAAAAAGTCCTGAATTAATTAATAAATTTTTTATTTTAAAAATAATTAGAACTTTAGATCTTTCTATATATAGATTTTATTCTAGCTGATAAATTAATAAATAATTAATTAATAAATTTTTAATACTAATTTAAATTAGAAAGATATTAAAATTCTAGTTTTAATTAAAATAAAATCTCTTAAATATTATCTTAAACTAATTAATAATTAATTAAATTATATTAATAATTAATTCTAAAATATCTGATTTAAAAGTTAGAACTTGCCCTAGATAAAATTTTA